TGCGGATTCCAACTTGCAAGAGTGACTATCTTAACCCGCATCACATCGCTTCTAAGAAGTATGCTACGGGGACTTACGCCCTTATTACCTCAGTGATATGGAAACGTGACATTCATCGTCGAATTCGAGCAAGGTACATTCTGACCTACCGATTAACAAGCCTTTACTAAAGGAGAGGGGGGAGGGGGGCACCAATGAAACTCTGGGCTGCAAAATACAAAGCCCTGACGCTGTGTGCCTCACTAATGCCCGCAGGTTCTGCACAACTGGATTAGAACCAACCGGGAGCTCCTACTCCAATGTACATCTCACTCAAGGTTTCAACCCGGCCTTGCTCGACCAGTAACTTTGCGTTGTAAGTGGTGGTCGAGGGTGTCACACATGTGAGGAGTGACAAGATGTAGACACAAACATGTTGGGCCAAAAGTGAGTAATAAAAAAAAAAGTATGATGATCAATATGCTGATGACAATCTCGACTTGTTACCAAAACATAATTGTTTAGGACCCTTGATCAGGGCAAAGTCAGGTCTAACACACGAACAACGTTTACAGTTACCAGAACCCTTAATTAAAATGCACATTAAACTGCCTAGTACCATCCGATCCAGTGCTGCTTTGTCAGGCTTGGGGAGCTCTGTTTGCCGCAATTCAAAAATGACATCATTTACTGGCAGAAGGAGGCAATGTGCCTATAGTACTATTGACAGTAATCTGGTTCAAGAAATTTGTAGACCGGTTAACAATCGTGGAAATAACGGAGTGGTGAGTGGGGAGCTTGGGGTTCCCTTCAGCTGCCATAATTACGTTCAGATTCGTAGTCAAGTAACGCTGACCACACGAAATCTGTTTGCTCTCCATGCACAGCTATATCTTCAATTAGTCTATCAGACCGCAAGGACTAACAGTTGTACTTGTTTTGTAGTGTTTTTCTCACGCTTCCAACCACGTATATAAGAACCCGATTGCACACTTCAGAAATGCATGAGGGTAAACATACTTCAGCAACGTGCAATGCAATGTTTCATCACAAGATTCGTAATTTCTTAGGCCGTACCCACCGAAAGAACATCCTTCTCCTTTGTGAGGTCACAGTCTTGGTCAAATCGGCTTGGGCTTAGGCATTTTTGCACGACACTTACGTGAATGGCTCGAATGTATAGGAGTTATTGGCGACGGAAAGCCCGGGATCCCATAGCAAACAGCCTTGGATGGGTGTGAGAACAGAGAGAGAAGAGTGCAAACAACTAAAGGAGGCAACAGCCAGACGCACTGTAAATGCATAAACTGATGATGCCCGGCACGTGACTGGATTACCAAATTGCGGCGCTATGTATAGCCTAAAATTTACGTGGCTTTTCCCACACAACTATAGGTCGTTCTGGTGACCACCGGAGCGATAGCTATAGTATAACACCGTGAGCGGTATGTCTAATAGGTTTTCGATTTGTAAACAAGATAAATGTTATCTTCAAACTGCTTACGAGTGGTAACAAGAACAAGTCACCGCTAGTTGAAGACTGACGAGTGCAGAGTATTTGAACAGCTGCGTGTGCCAACGTGCTTGCTGCCATTTTGCAAAAGATTTATCATTAGAAGATACCACCAGTCAAAATTGATGACGCCAATACAGATACGATGCTGTCTCTTGATTTTGAGAAGCGTAGGGCTAAAAGAGTCATTCAACTACAGCAGCATAATCTTTTGAACCTCTCAAGACTTAGATTTCACCGTACATTCAAGAAAAGTGATAGCACCCTGATGTTTGGGATACATTGACTAGTCATCAATTCTGACTGAGTATAGCTCATTATCAAGTTCTGGCTTCTGGAGGTCAAGTACAAAAAAGAATTGAAATATTGTGTTGGTCACGAGTCTTGGCGGCAATGGCATCGGCCGCCCTCTCCTCCCTTTTCAACGCAATTGGCAAAGCTTTTGCTTTTATACTTGAGAGTATATAATAGTAACATGACAGTTTCTACAGTTGATATAGAATACTGTTGTAGTGAAGGATTGGTATGATGCACTGAAAGGAAGAGCCTGAATCTACTCGAGCATAGGATAGTGAATATGGTGTTCGCATGAGCGTGGGATCGCAAGTGTAACGTTCTAAGCGTGAAATGATAGTATAGGTACTGTCAAGTAGTATATAGAAGTCTAAGCCCACAAAAGAGAATATCGGTGTACAGAAAGGGGGCATATGCCCACTGGTTAAGTCACATGATCACCACTTCCCAAGTTCGGTGATCCGAGAGCTTGTCGCCTTAGTGTACGGAGTGCTCTCCGTGCACTGTGGCCATTAATAGTCATCCATGTTGCCACAAGTAATCATTTTGATCCAGGACGAATATGTTGGTATGACTAATCTCCAACGTCATAGCAAACTAGCTCGGTGTTTGGGGGAGTGGGCTTTCTCTTTGCTGGTATGTCGCGGGAGCTCACCTTGACCGTTCCAGCCTTCGAGTCCCACGACCCGTAGCACTCCATGAAAGTTGCCAGTATTCGTAGCAAGTAGCTACAGGTGGTTTCAAGTGTTGTAGTGTTTACAGATTCAACGCACCAGTTCAATTCATGCACTTACGCTACTAATCACTTTGTCGCAGGCAGAAGGATTGCTTATTCTGAGTTCGAAGCAGAACCAAAACCCTTGGAAGCTGGCCGAAAATAGAATGGGCTATATCTGCAGCGGAATGGCGATGCTCTAGTATGAGACCCAGGAAGTGATCCGAAAGCCTGCTCTCAATAGGATCGACTGGATGGTATCGTGCCTAATCAAGAGTATACTGTGGCGATATAGTAGCTTAACAATATAGAGCTTCCACTCCCGACGAGTTGGCTCCGTAAGGGGCTCGTCCTCCTGTATTCACATGGAGTAAGCTGTACGATGGTCTCCTTAATGCTAGAGAAGCATCAAGTTTCCTGGTCGATCACTATTCCAATCTCACCAGTGGATTAGTACCATGCCTATTTTCATGCTTCGCTACAGGAGTATATCCGGCGTAGTAACGAATCGTCTTGTGCAGGGAGCTCGGCCGACCTGGTATGTGTAGTCGCGTTATGAATATAAGCACGTATGGCGGAAAGTCAACCCATTTCCACAGTGGGTGGCTGGAGTTCTCGGAGGAGTAAAGGTACGTTGAAGTAGTGATGGCGGTTGTACAAGTGTAGGAGACATGTATGGCCGGGTGGTCGTGGTCCGAAAGTCTATGAGTGTGCTTCTGCTATTGCAGAAGGGATTGCGGGTATTGTCGAAATACTGCGTGGTGTAAGCCGTGCATACATCGACCTCCAGACACCGGCTTTGGTGTTGAAGAAAGCAAAACTGAATGATGAGCAACCCGGCTCATGCAGTTTGAGTTGGACCGTTCCAAAAAGTTACCCTAGTCCATATTTACTACATAGATTGACGGGTGAAGCCGTTGACATAAGCTAGAACCCGGCGGGGAATCGGTTCATTTCGGTTGCGATCCTGATTTTTGCTTTAGGACTTCAGGAGGCGTCAGGTGAACAACAGGCTTTGATGTGAAGGAGCTGGCATAGTTTATTAGACCATACTCAAATGCAAGGTATTAGGAGCGCCGCGAATTATAAGCGAGCGCTTGCCTACTCGGTACCACTTATGCTTTACGCATTAATTTTGTTGTTGATCGGTTTTCAGATATGAATTAAGTGGACGATGTTTGCATGAAGTCAATGTTCATCAGATTAAGTGATTCAAATCTGAACTTGACTTTTGCATTTACTCAAATTCCACATTTATTGAGCACGTGTGAAGGATGTTCCGGGAGCCCCACGACTTCCCACTCATAGTTAAGTTAAAAGTTAAATCTCTGTACGGCCGACCCACAGCCATGAAAGCCCCAGTTGGGGGATCCGGAATCTCACCTGGGAATCCCATCACCAGCAAATTACTCGTCGTTCATCAATCTCTCCCCAGGTGCAGCAGCTAGAGTAAGCGAGCGCTAAGCAACGGCACCCCCTGCAGCAATCTTGATGCCTTCGCTTGCCTCGGTAGCACCCGACCCCTGAATCGTCATGGCCTCAGAGAAGGTTGGAGAACAGCTCAGCACTGCTAGCAGCGCCTTCTTCCCAAACACTGCCAAGAAGAATCGATTAAAGACAAAACAAAGCTCATCCGATGTGGGTAGTGAGGCTCCACAACTGGTAGGGATGGGCTGTAATAGTACTATGTACATGGTAGCCGCGCACCTAGCACAACAAACCCCTTGCGCGATTCTGGCATGATGCATCTCATCATCGAACCTCAGCCCTGACTCCTGCGAGGGGCAACGACGTGTGCAGTCATCATTCGATACGTTGCTCTGAATGGCCCTGCTACTGTTGGACCTATCGAAGCTTCTGCGCAAAAAGCCAGAAGCTGGCATGTGCTGGGGGGGGGGGGGCACAGAACAGAAGCAATTCGTATAGACGAGCTCGCTAACAGAATTCGAGCAACTGACTTCGTCCCAACTCAGAGCCCAGAACTTCTAGTCTTTACTGGGAGCAGCTAGCGTCCCCGATATTTAGGCTTGGCAGGCCGGGGTATTCGCTCTGAGCCGGCCCACCCTGCTGGGCCCAGAGAGCCTCAATCCACTCTCCCACCGTTGCAAGGCGCAAAATGAAACAAACCATTGGCGGAAACGATATAACACCATGTCGATGTTTATCCTTTCCAATATCAAGTTCATCTATTCACGACGGGCCCAATAATCGAGCCATGCGATTGAGCCGCATGCTCCCTATTGTTAATATGCATGCCGTGGGACAGGTGAGGTCAGTATAAGTAGGTTTGCATGTCTTCAGTGTGGTATCGCTCTTCTTTTTTGCTCTACACGCTCGTCCAGCTGTATTCAATTCACTCTCTTGTTCACACTTTTTGGCAGTGCCAAAAGTACATTCATTTCTAACGCTCATTACACACTTATACTCGCTCGCTTTCAAGCTACAGCCAAACCACCACATCACAACTACGTCTTATCTCTCACACATCAATCAATCAAAATGCGTTACTCAGGAGTTGCTGCTCTGGCCTTTGCCAGTGGTGTCACCGCCCACACCCGCATGTACAGCGTCTGGGTCAACGGCGAGGATCAGGGTGATGGAAGAGGCACTTACATCCGATCTCCCCCTACCAACGACCCCATCAAGGACATCACCTCCGCCAACCTCGCCTGTAACGCCGCCGGCTCCACCGCTGTAGCTGACTTTGTCTCCGTCGCTGCTGGTGACGCTGTCAGCTTTGAATGGTACCACGACTCTCGCAATGACGACATCATTGCTGCTTCCCACTTGGGTCCTATCATCACATACGTCGCCCCTTACACTGATGGCATGGATGGTACTGGTGCCATCTGGTCCAAGATCAACGAGGAGGGTTACGATGCCTCGACTAGCAAGTGGGCCGTCGATAACTTGATCTCGAACGGAGGAAAGAAGGACTTTACCGTCCCCTCCGGCCTTGCCGCTGGCAAGTACATGTTCCGCCAGGAGATCATTGGTCTCCACGAGGCTGATGTAGCTCACTCTGCCAACTCTGCCCGTGGTGCTCAGTTCTACCCCTCTTGTGTTCAGGTATGTGATTCAGCCCCTCGGTTATTTCCTTGTGCAACAAGCATAGCCTCGATCCATCAATCTATCTTGAATAATACTAACCCACTTGGCACAGGTTGAGGTTACCGGCAGTGGCAGTGCTACCCCCTCCGAGAGCTTCGAGCTTCCCGGTGGCTACACCGACTCTACCCCTGGTGTCGTCTTCAACCTCTATGGCTCTTATTCTAGCTACGATATCCCCGGCCCAAGTGTCTGGGATGGTGCCAGCGGCTCAAGCAGCGGCTCGACCACCACCGCCGCCGCCGCATCCAGCACTGTTGCCGCTACCTCGACCAAGGCTGCTGCCGCCACCTCCGCCGCCGCCACCGCCGTCGCCACTTCGGCCGCTGTGACCACCTCGGCCGCTGTCCAGACCACCCTTGCCACCTCGACCAAGGCCGCTGCTACTTCCGCTGTCGCCACCACCTCCGCTGCTGCCCCTACCAAGAGCTGCTCCTCTAAGCGCCGTCGTGCTGCTCGCAAGGCCCGCCAGGCCCGCAAGTAAGCGACGCCAGCCTATGGAGTTGGGTGAAGAGAAACGGACGTTGTGAATCTTCTGGATGTTCTCACTTTTGGCAAGCTTGACCTGGGAAGAGAATTATCTGGATGCTGGACTTACTTCATTGTATATATATTAGACACATTTGCTGTGAAAATAACAGTCGATGACTCGCTGTCGTCTCAACCATGATCACCTTGTCTTCACTTGAATGCTTCTGAAACTGTCATTCCTTTGCTATATGTCATGATCATGCTAAGGACTATATATTGCCCGTGAAACTTGTCGTTCAACCTACCCACTTTAGCCAATACCTAATAAGTTGCTTGGCATTTGAAAAGTTCATAACAAGATTCAAGTCGCGTGCAAAGCCGACAGGCGTTCTATTCGAGGGCCACCCACAACCGAGGGGAATGCACATCCATGCATCAACTGGAAGAAACGAATAATGCAGTTAGCGAAAATTCAAATTTTACGAACCTAAGACTTCATATGACCTCGTCAGCTGTTACTACTGGCTCGAAATAGGCTGCTGCATATGACTAATCACTATGCTTCCGTTGGTCATTATGTACGATCTGAATCAACTACAACGGCTCGTCATGTTGAGCGTGATTTTATTTATCCTAGGACTAATACATGGCCACGGATAAGCCCAGCCGACTGTCGCCTGACTCACACAGTAGGGAGAGAGGAAAGAGGTTTCGATGTATAGCAAGAATGATGTCTCTGCTGAGCATCAAGGCTTAGTATCACCGAAAATGAGTTCCAGTTTCCTCTTGCCCCCAATAGTAGTCTTACGACTTCGACACTGCCCTCACTATGAATGTTTATGTTCAGTGCGATGGTAGAACCTGATGTCAGTGGTTGTATAGGCTGGCATCGATGTTATGCAAGTATAGTACTTGTCAGGTACATAATCATGCTTTATCCAAGGTTAGCTTTCCAGTCAAGACTAGGCTGCACAACTACAATTACCTATAGTAGTTACTGAATGTTCACTGCTGAGGTTGTCGTCAACGGTCCATCACCGAATAGGCTCCACCCCTATCTAGAGAGCAATGGTTCTTCTGTCTTTCAAACCACTGTGACATTTGGGGAAGATACTGGTGGAGAAGTATCATTGAATAATATCATGACATCTAGGCTGAGAATCCCATGCAATAAGAACCCAAAATCCTCGTTATAAAGGGTGTTCATCTGGTGACTAAAGCGGCAAATAATATTTTCTAAATTTATGCCGAGAGTCTTCATATCACATGCTAGTACAACGAACGGATATGCAGAAGCGCCTTCGTCATTTACCATATAATTTACAATCGACCTGTGTTCTGACTTGAATCGCATCAAGGCCCCCTCTCCGAATAAGACTTGAGTTTCCCTCACGCACCGCATGGCCTACGGCCTTGGCTATTTTTCAACCCAACTATTATATAATTGAGATCAATTAATAATTCAATATATATACCATGCGCAGACCTAGCTACTAGTCCTTTTCTTTTTGGCAGCCCAACTGCCGCGGTCGATTCCTATACAACCTCACCTTCGTGAATCACATTTCCCACGGCAAAGCGACAGTAGCTGATTGTAGATGATTTTATAGTGGGGTTTAATTGCTAAGATTCTTCGTCAGGCGGTCTCGTACATTGACTGTGTACATTTGCTACTGTTTGCCACGGTGGTTTAACAGCATTTATATCTCAAGACCGCGAAGTCAAAAATATCTCCACGTTCTATTACTGGATTGCAAAGTGTTTCAGTGGATGTATATATGTATCTCTGGAAATGAGTCCGAGCTGGGCAAATAACAAATCACGACTACCATTATTTCGATGCAGAGGGTCAGTGGACAAAGATTATCATAGAAGAAGAGTTACCTTCGCCCAAGTAATTACCTTTTGATCATAATCGTACCAGATAGCACAGTTTGCCGACAGAAATAGGTGCAGCTTCAAATAAGCTTTTCACTGTGCTGTCCAGTAACGATAACATCGCGTCCAAGGATTTAGCAATACATCTGGCAGGACATCTCATGTTTGAAATAGTGTCGAAATTATGTTTCTTCGTGGAATAACCGCCGGCGACTGTCGATATATTCTCACCAGTATGATACTGAGCACTCCGCAGAGTTTCGATCCGGAACTTAGAAAAGTCTCGCGGATTGGGTAAGCCATAAAGGCATACCAGAAAGTACCTACTGACGTATGCGATCATGAGATCGAATCGCCTCAGGACGCTATCAGGACATTCAATGAAACATATTCAATCAGAACTTGAAGTGTAGGCGAGCATCGCTTAGATGATCGCCATAATATTATGCTGCTTCATGAATAATCAGCAACTCTTTGCCGAAATCTCTACACCCGCTTTCTCAGTGCCGGCATATCTTACCACGCCCAGCCGCTATACGATCAGGTTCAAGGGGCTTAGGGCACATGGTAATTGCACTAATACTCGAAGGATCTTCGTTTTGAGTAAGATTTGACCTGTAATACATCGTATAACTATTGTATTAAGAGCACACTGAGAGAAGTATCGCATGTTCGAAGTGTAAAGAGCATACATGTCTGGTGGAGTTAGCATTCACTACTTCAACTCACCAAAATCAACTGCGAGCAGCTGCTCCGTATACCCACCCTTGACGGGAGAGCAACGCATGGGTAATGTATCATTACGGCATTCTGGCATCATTACCAAGAGCTTTCTTCGAAGATCATAAGCTCCAATAGCTTTCCAGCTTGAATACAAGCATACGAGCATCTCTATATCCGAGATTGACAAGCCATTATTCTTGGCTTTAAACGAGTTCAGGAGAAGTGTGACTGTGCTGAGCATAATATCATGACACCAGATAACTTTCATAATGCATATAACGCGAGTACTAAAAAGCCAACGTTGACCCTTAGTTACTAAGGGCGCATTGTTTCCAGGCGATCCCCCTTCTGAAGTTGTCGAGATAGCACCAATGTAGTCCTGGACTCTGGGCGTAATACTAGCACTGATGGTCTGATTACGATGATCTGGTCAAGGTGGTCCAATGGCACAGGGTCAATTGAGGACAATTGATGCTCGATAAGGGAAGTGTTATTAGCTCTTAAACCTCTATCAGGAGTTTTGCTCCCAAAAAATGCTGGTTAAAACGTGGAAATAACGTGTTGTCTTGGCCGAAAGCGGTGATAAGTATCCCTTACCTATAAATGGTTGAGCACACCGCTCTTATCTCCACACCAGCACCCAGCGTCGTCTCGCTCGCCTACCATGCCAGAGATATCTACTTTGGGCAGGTGCACTTGCTTGGTTGTGAAGTTTGAAACCCAAATAGTACCTCGGAAGTGGACTCGGCAGAGCACTTGTATTAAAGTTCCTAGACTAAGTACACAGATCATGCATGAGCAAGGCCCACCGCGGCACGCAATCCCAAGGGTTCCTGCCATTACATAACTTAATAAGTATAACAACGTTGTTATGTACTCGAGAACGCGACCAACTAATCGCTGGTGAAATGTGATATCTAAGTTAGCTACGACTCATGCTGCAGTCTCGACGAAACGAGCGATCCATCTCTGATCATCTTGAAACGTTGGATTGGTACTATGACCAGGATTGACAGTGATAGGCACCACGTCCAATGGCAAGCAATGTCGCAATGAACACCCCATGCTCTGTTTGAGATATTGGTGAGCGAACGTCTAGTTCCACTTGATCCAATAGATGGGCACAGGGCTGAAAAGTCTAAAGTTTAGGGTTTAGTTAAGCTGCCCTGACCGCCACGACGTGTTGTCTCAAGGACTAGAACCCCCCACGGTAGAGATATGTGGCATGCCGGTGCAGCTGTTTGAATGAAACACGCTGGCGCCCACTGCACGTGGCGATTGGCGATGCAGCAAAAGCTGTAGCAAGCCGCAGTGTCTAGAGCAGCGAGACTGGGGCGTCTGTCGTAGGAAAGAAACGCGACAAGAAATGGCGCCATTTTGTCACACAGCCGGCCTTGGATAGCTGTCTTGATTAACGACTCATCAAGCCATTATGCTAGGCGGATTGGACGGTGAGTGAGGCTCAAGCCTCGTAGATGTCTGTGCGGAGAGGATACAGTCCTAGGTCAGGAAACTCGCGTTATCAATGGCTCGTAGGGTAGTGCTCAAAAATTCAGATGGCATGAACCAAGTCTGAGCGTAGCCGGCGAACAGACATTGAACAGATTGCTTGCGGAGTCACTAATCACCGCATTGTTAGTCAAATAGCATCCAGGCTTCATTTTCGTTGTATTGAGCCGTTCAAGCTTGCGATTTGGAACGACGTAAAGCATAGGACCCGGAAAATAGTTGTAACCATATTTAATTTGGTTCAGGTAAGCATGAGTCGTGCGCAGTTGAGGTTCACTGGTTTCTAACACCAAGAAACTCTTCTGGGCACGTTAGGGAAAGGCACTTTTGAAGAGCGATACCACGTTGGGTTAAATCGGAACGCCGCTTCCGGTCAAACTGTCTTCCGCAAATGTTCCATCAATCTTGGAAACGCCGGCGCGGTCATACATCTGGGCATCAATTCCCGAATGAATGTAGAACACTGATTTTTTTTGATCACGCACATATCCGCAGAAGATGAGCATATTTTTTGAAGCATAGAAAGGTGCCGCAGAAGCAAATAGAGAAATGGAACCTGTAACTGACCGGGAGACCTGGGCCGGGACGAATGTTTTCCAAGCCTATTGGAAATGACAGTTCGAAAAGCAAGACATAGCTTATTACAACAACACAGTACGTTGTGTCGTAATTGCTAGGCACTGGTTTAGGCTAACTAGAATGTGTTTGTTGCGTATCATCCGATGCATACTACCAATAGGTCTAGCGATAGGACGGTCTATTTCACGCACTAAATGCTGGATGCAGGCAGTATAGAGCACTACAACTAATGGTAGCGCCGGCCGCCGCTGAGCCATACTATAGAAGCTATTCTCTTCTTCACACACAGAAAGACCATACAGCAAGAGGACAAATTATTTGTTTTTGAATATTCGTTGCCGAGCTAAGCTGCATTCACATCCAGCCTGTTCAGGTCTGTTAATTCAATAACAGTGGAACCCTTCGCAGTGGCTCAGACCGAATGATTCACGTACTGCTGCTGCGTGTACGTAAGGTGCCCAAAAGCAGTGTCAATTGTCCACTAAAGCATGATATAACTCCACATAAGCATGCGTGTATTAGCCCAGTAGCGACTGAAGACACCTTACGGGAGCCATTGTTTTCTTTTCGTTTCTTTTCTTTGCGAGTGCCGCCGTGTATGAAAATTTCCCGCATCTGCTGCCTGCCTTTGCTAGTCAAGTATTGTGGAATTTGCGATGTGATGCAGCTTTGAAACGTACCAGTGAGCGAGATTTTTCTTCTTCTTCGAAGCAGTCGCCCACACTATAAATATTGTGGAATGCGCATCCGCTAATCATGGCAGAGCATTGGCCGATCCACAAACACCTCGGCTGCGATGCAAGCTGTGATGAATGATTAACGCAATGGGGTTTGGTGATTCTTATGTCGAGAAGTGAAAGCCTCAATCTGTAGCCATAACAACCCAGGGTAGTTGGCGAATGTGAATTTTTTTTTCTAAGGACAGATCGTGGTTAAGCGACGGGAAGTTGCGTTACCAACAGTCCGTTTTGAGCAGCGATTCCCCAGGTTTGCGAGATCCTCGGCTCGCTTCTACATTGAACTATATAATCTGGGACTGGCTCTCGACAGAAAAGTTGTGTAGTGATGGGTCACCCACTAGCAAGGTTGTCGAATCGGGACTCTCCGCGTCTCTATTCGCACCGATTCCGCATTGCTCAAATACAGTACGTCTCTCGCAACTGTGCATGTGCTAGCATCGTATACTCCGCCGAGAACCACAATGTACGAGCACTCCGAAGAGGCTAAGCTTTCCGAGGAGGGGGTTTGCTAGCTTCTTTGATGACCGACTTATGCACAGGATCAACTTTGTGTTGAACAGAAAAAGGACCAACGCTGAGGCAGTGTTTTGTAGGGAGACCTGTTACCTCTGGCGACTAGCCGAGAGCTTCATGAGATCTGATTGTGTGAACGCTGGTCAAATGGATGACCTGAACAGATCCAAGATCCTGCTTTCAACAATCACTTAAGGATTGCCTCCGTCTCCGCCAACGGCGGTCGTCTTGTGCGGAGAAGATACCACTTGGTTGTGTGCTTGACGTAGTTTTCTTTTGTTCGAACGATGCCAAGTGCTCAAAGTCCACCGTAGAAATATGGCTTATGGTCGTGCCCAAGCTCTTGCAGTACCGTGAACTTTATGTTGCACGTTTAGCACAGGCCCAGAAGCATGGATACGATATTCGCTAGCCTCCTCCTCATGTTCGAATTATTACGAGGTCATGGATGTCGATGGAAATATAATCAAGCCGTCGGTCGAGTAGGAACCCCGATCCAATGCAAGATGACCCAGATTTGGACGCCAGGTCTACAATTCGCCTGCCGCCAGAGCCGGCCAACGAAAAACACAATTGGCTATCTATGCGTGATGCGTCTATTCTATACAAACCCACCGATACACAAGGATTCCTAACACAGGCCCTTGATGTATCCGTTCCTTTCCGTCACGGTTGAGGCGTAGAACTTCAACGGCCAAGCTGGGTCTTTTGTTGACACCATGGACAATTGGGGTTAGTGAGGCCGTGACGATGCGGAGCATCTCCAGTATGGGGATCAGTCAGAGAGGTGGTCGAGACTCGCGTTCTGACATGGTCGCTTGATTGGTCCTGTTAAAGTCGCGCTCACGAATGCTTCAGCACGAGGGTGTGCGAACAAAAATCCAAACTCATCCATCGGTGCTACAATACATAGAGAATGCTTCGGCCGTGGCGCATCTTATTTGCAGATCGCTTCTCGAATTAGCTTTGAGAACGTTGAGCTCTGACGAATAACAATTACTGACACCTGGCCCACTAATCTGGGAACCCTCGAAGCTGCAGATGCCCCTGACGGTCGCGCCGCTTGCATGGCAGGGGGAAGCGGGCTCTTCCACGTTCAGCCGCCCCAACCTAATGATCGACCATGAACAACTCTCGCTAATGCCTACGGAGTATTGACGACGAAATTCTCACCACAAACGAAACACTCACATAGTGTCACAGTGCAAATGCAGCTTCGGTACCAACGGGAACCCCAACCATTGCTTGCACTGCTGGAAACAGTACCTCAAGGTTGGTGTGTTGCATCAGCCCGGTGACCCGACAGATGACATCGCAGGGAAGATGGTTTTCTTGAATATCTAGACATGACTAGGCACCCATCGAGAAACAAGATATCGGTATTTAGTTTTCCGTGTTGTATCTGGCTTCATAAATATATAGACGACAACGCTGCCGTAGTGCATTCATCATAGCAAACAATAATATACCTACACTCGCCTAGAGTTTTTCGGTACCTGACATGACGCCGCGAGAGGACTACGCAGTACTTGATTACGTTGACTGGCTGCCCCTGCTTCAGGAGTGAATCAGGACCGTGTCTGAACACATTATACAACACACACAAGCTTTGCTTTCCTCTCGCTGTACATCAAATCCCGAGGCCACGAGTCTAATCCGCCCTACAGCTGAGACATACATGCGTGGGCACTTTTCGTTAGAAGTCTGTCACCGCCTCTCGCGGGTAGAGGCTGATCAACGGCGGTAATAACTGTCCATTTTTCCCCCTTCCCACAATTGACTGCGCATCATCCCCAAAACTAGCGTTACGAGCGCACGATTCCTCATGGTCTGCAAAAGGCAGGAGGAGGAGTCTGTACCTGGCTTGCCTTGGTCTGCCGTTTTTAGGCTCTATCGACTAGTTCCGTCCTAATCTGCAGGTGCGCGCATTTATCTGGTTCCGCTGCTTTGGTCCTGGGTCCAGTTGCTTGAAGTGGAACACGTCAAGTGTCGACCTCGGCGACTTCATGAATGCTTGAGAAACGTTTGCCGGAGAGCTTCTTGTGCGACTCCAACTATTGCCATTGACCCTAACACGAGGGCAATAGATCGCAAAGAAACAAACCAGGCTTACAGTAGACGGCTGATCGAGTTCTCGGCATCCCGCATATCGTATTTTTGACAATCTCGTACTACTTTCGGTCGAACGTTTTCAAAGATGCACTGTAATGTAGAGGGCAAACCTTCTAGGCGAATGCTAGAGAAGCAAGTCTGCGAACCGAATGCTTTCTCCAGGGACATGGGAATACTACGTATGTATAAAAGTAGCCGAACAAAAACAAAAACGCGCTGCTGTATACGGCTCTTCGCATGGACTGGATTCGATCAACTGCAGATGTCATGGGTGTCATTCAAGTGACATTTGAAAAGCAAAATCAAATGGTTCTTGGGTCCGGCGGCTTCAAATTGTTTCCCGCAACATGGTTCATCCTAGACTTGAATGCATAGTGCACTTAGCGATGCTCCTCATTGGGCAACAATTTCACGGGTGACCCATAAGGAGGAGACCTATGCTTTAGGAAACCAGATCTTTTTCCATTGGTCAATTGCATTAACCCAGATGCTTCAGAACGGAAGTCGGATTGAGATGCACAGTGCGGTTGTGGTTCTTTGCTATAGGTGCCTACCTTCCAAGACCCAAGCCCGGCATTGCATGGTATTGTTTGGATTCATTGCTGAATCCCAGTGAGTATCTGAGATCTGGACTCCTAGAGGACGCTCGGGCTCGACCGGTTTTCTGTCGCCTGCAGCTGTCAGCTCAAAGATAGACTTTGTTCCACTCGCGCTACGACGTAGGAAAAATTTCTGGAAACACCCTTGCTGCCCAACTTGAGTCCAATCGGCAATAGCAACAGATATTTTGGTGTTAAGATCATTCTCAGGAACGGCTCCAACAGAAAGATTGTACACAGCCCTTGACCATGCATGTGGCTTAACGTGATTTTCCCATACGATTATGTAGGATCCTAAGTCAACGTCAGACCATCGCGCCAACACTATGTAAGCGGCAGGAGCCAGCATTAATCAACCCCCTGGTACTGCTGATCCTTCCGGAGCTCGACTCTGCAGCAAGATATTGCAGCAGGAATCTTATTTCTATTTCCAGAAATCCTCACAAAAGCCTTTGTATGTTCTGATCAAGCATTTGCTTCCCGTTGAGGGAATATAGTTGGCTGGTTGCAGCATGATACGATGCAACAGAAGCAAAGAATCCAAGAATACTGCAACGTGCACTGCACAGTGAAAGCCATGACAGCACACAACTACCGGATCGTCGAGGACTCCACAGCCTCAAGGGGTCCTTTCTTAGCTCAATCCCGGAATGCTACCATGATCCGATTAGCAAGGACACCGCTGCTGTCACTTCGTACTAGGCGATTTGTGCAGCAATGAATAACGTTGGGGCCAACTTGATCGAAAGATGGCGGGATTGCAAATGACCCCCTGTACCTAGCCCTGCAGATAGTAATCCGTAGCGTCCTGAATTGGCCCACAGGCGACGAAGCAAGCCGTTGCATGGAGAACAACAAGTGAAATGCACCATCGTCGTCTTCGGCGGATTGTGTCGAGACTATCGATGACTTGTTAAAAACCTTCTACTTTCCGCCCGGCCTTGAGCTAGCAATGATATTTGATTGCATGATCTGGTTCCGACATTCTGGTCTTGGCATCTATTGTTATCGTGTCCCCTTTAAATCCCCCGGCGCACTCTGACTCGGACCTATCTGACGGAGCCTCGTGCTGGTTTTCGTACCTGCATAAACGGCGGGAGCTTATTACACCCTATTCTCGACTCTTCCGCTTCAATACATTGACGACTTCTCCAAACTTCCGAGCGCCAACACAAAGCACGTTTACTCCTGGGGGGTGAATTTCAATTTTTTTTTCTTTCTTCTTCTTCTTCTCCCTCGAGAAGACGTTGAGTTTCTGCCTGGCGCATCGAAAAGCAGGTTCTTGGGCAATAGATACGGACGTTGAGCGATAGGCGACTTACATACACGAAACGCAACTCGCACCCGAAAACGTCAGACACAACCTGCCGGCTTAGACACTCATGCATGCTTCTCAACATACTTAATTCAATTCATCTCCAGAGGAGCATTTCCTTTACGATTAAACCTTGGACGAGCTGGTTCTCAAAGGTATGTTTCCAATTCCCTCATTGAACCCCTCTCCCGGGCCACAGAAGCACGTCCAACGAGCCGCATCTAGCATGGTCTTGGGACATGAGCAGTGCTCAATATTAGCTTTACTATTCTTCGCCTATTGTCGAAATTCGAAGTCATGCGCAACCGTGTTTCACGAGATCAGCCCACATGCAGTGTAACCACCTGCACACACTCGCCTATCCCTCCTGAGCCATGGCGATATCTCGTGGGGCCGGTCAATAATATGACCTGTCCCAGAAGTTGCTCGAGCGGTCGCACAAAGAACTGTTGCGTGTAGAACCATCCGATTTGCTCATTTTCAATGCACTATGCATCAACATGGGGGTATCCGAAAGCAGATTTCGGATTCTACCTGACGACGCCCAAAGTCGGGAGCCAGGAGCTCGTTCATGTTGCAATGCCAGCCTCTGCCACTGCGTATTTTCGTTGTTCTTGGGTTCTCACAAACTTGCAGCTTATCCGTACGGGGAATACTAACTGGTCTCATGCAGTGAATTCTATGGACAGCTGAAGTTCCTCAATCCTGCCATATTACCATTACTCGCGGCGCTCAGTTTGGTCAACTCACGATTGCAGTAGTCACTCTATCTCATATCCTGATTCACGGCCCTCAGACTCGCGGAGCAAATATCTGTCCAGTACTTGATTAGGGTCGTGCCGAACGATCGAAGCTCGACGCGCGTTTGAGAGTTGGTGTGCAGTCCTGGAAATAACCATAGACGGCAATCGTAACGACAAATCGGGCCCATCAGCTCCAAGAACTGCATCCAATAGTCCAGCGGGCCGCCTTCGACGGGGAGCAGTCATCCAGTAACGACTCATTAGCCACCCCGGCCGAGTTGACCACTTTCGGGCGCCTTGCATACCTTACGCACTAGAGACGCGTTGGGTAGTATACAACTACATTGTTTGCGGCAGTGGCACGACTTTCATAGCTTTCGTATCGGAATTTTCGCTGCTTGATCTACGTACACACTGCGCCCACAAATTGTTATAGTCCCAGCAGCTGTCACAGTACAATTGGGCAATTTCGGAACTCAACGGTCAACCAGGCTCCCACATTTCGCTAGGGGCGTTACCATTGCCTTTTGATTAATTCAGTCAGAAGCGAGAGAGGGCAGCTGCATGCCATTATTAACACCTCGCCTCTTCTCTCTATTCACCCATTGAGCCGGGACGGGCTGCAGTACACCAAGACTGACAGGGAGGGCACATCGGAGGTTCCATCTCAACAAGTCGCACCAATCTTCCGGCCAGCTGGTCCATACCCCTGTCTTGTATACCCTTGCTCCCATATTGGGTCCTACCCCCGTCCATCACGCATCTTCGCATGAGGATTCATAGTGGCTCTCCCAGGGTATTCCACAATTATCCCCACGCCCTGCCACCCCATCATTCGACACCTCTTCAGATCCCTCGAAATATCCCTTGCCTGAAGCTACACTCTATTATTATAGAATCGGCACAATCTGCCCCCCGCATACTCCCCTTTCCTGCAGTTTATTTCCATCCGTATCAGGCGTTTTCTGAAGTTGGAAAACGTTCTTCACGATTGAAGCAACTTGAAGTGGATCAGATTGAGTGGGAGGGCCGGTGACTTCAACCTTTCAAGCAATCAATACGACGTGGAACCGTCTAACACCAGCGCCCATACGGAAGCAGAGTGAAGCGACACAACATGTATTCGCCACTTCCCGTGTATTCGATTCCTAAAAAGTCGAAGAGATGGAATCTCTCGAAAGGGTCTGCCTCATCTAAACCAGGCTCAGATGCGTCTCCACCCCCAACATCCTCTTCAAATGCAGCCCCATCGAACATGTTTCAAAATTTGGGCGACCTGTTGGATCCGGTATTAGATGGACCTCCATCCCCAGAACGTCTCAGAGCACTCGCCAACCAGATGCGCAAGACGTCTGTATCAGATAAGCACCAAAGTCAGCAAACAAATTCCTCAGGGTCGTCGTCACTTATTTCAGGTTCATCGGACAGACCTTCATGGGAACATGGATTAGAAAGTTTGACATTGTCAAGGCATTCGTCGCAACGGTCAACTACAAGCAGTATGCCATCGCGCGAACGGCCGGAAAGCGTACAGTTATTTGGAAAGTCTATCTTCAACCGCAAAGGTAAAGCTAGGAGAGAGAGCAGCGACCTTGGTTCATCGGATAGCTCGATGCATTCAGCAGAAGCACCAATAGACCCAACGACTGCCACATCCAAGGATCAGCACTTCCTGAACTCCGTGCTGGCAAGACGGAAGGTTGCTAAAGAGGATGATTCGGCGCAGAGAAAACTCCAGATATCGGGTCCGTACAACTTTCAACACCTAGCCCACACACAAAAGGAGAATACACCACAACTGGACCACTCCAGCCGCAGAGAGCTGGTACGAGAGTTCTCAGAAATGCGTCATGGCAGAAGGCCAAGAAATGTGTCCTTGCGTGGTGTACCACCCAGTGGAACGCATTACGCCGATACCCATTCTCAGGCTTATAGCGTGCAGCAAGACCCGTCAGCAGGGTTGCATGCCTCAAATGACCTACATACCGAGAATCCAGAGTCATATCACTCTTTTGCACCTCCCGTACCGAGGCGATCGATGAAGAGAACTCAGTCTCAAGAACAAATTCGCGTACCCCCTCCACGCCCGCCAAGATCCCCGATTGAACAGGGCTTCACCTCTCCAGTGTCGCCACCTCCACGTCTTAGTAGTCGTGGATCTATGCGACCAGACGGTGCTATTGCCTTGGGAATGATTGATGTGGACCGTCCAATCACCAGCTCTAGTATGAGGATACCAAGACCGATAGTCTTCCCCTCCAAATGGGAAGCACCAAAGCAGAATCCACCAAATAGCGCTATTGCTTCAAATGACCATGCTATCGTTTCGATTGACCAGAGGTTCTCACATGCCATCACTACCCCTGATAACGCAGCGTGGCCTTTGTCAAGCGATGCGGTTACAAAAACCTTGCCAGACGTTCCGGAGGAGGAAGAAAACAATGGATTTTCGCGCTCCCGCGTCAGTGTCACGAGTAACAGTTCGTCTCTTCGTGGCAGCATTTCCGTTCCACTACTGCGTCAGATGTCCCAAAGCCAAGTCGCGGCTATGGCTAGGCCACCAAGCGGTGCATCGGAAACATTAGGACGTTTCGATTTGCTCGCTGCACAGCGAGCCCTTCGGGCGAACGCAGACGATGAGAGTATCTATGATGAGTTCATGCAGGAATCTTGGGAAGACGACATCGACTATTGCTACGAGCATGCGGCTGAAGCTGACTGTGATTATGCTTGGGAACGCCCTTCATTAGATCTTATACGAGAAGACGAGCAAATCGGGCCCTTAGACACTACCGGCACTCGATATCCCAGCCACGGCCCAGGCTCGCCGGGCTTCCTTTCTCCACCGGGTCGCGATGATGTGCCTGCGCTCAGCCCCGTCAGTCAGATTTCAAATGCAACACAGCATGAGGCAAGAACGCCCACTATTTTTGTTGGGCCCGTGACCTCGAATTTCTCCCTCCCCAGACGCGATAGCTCGACATTGCTTCTGCGCAGTCACCATCGCAACGTCTCTCATGCCGATAGTTTCAAGGAATGCAATGGATTTGATCTGTCACCTTCACTTTTGATTCCTAGCGATTATCACCAGCAAATGCTACTTCACGAGAGAGGAGAATTGCACGAGGAGGACGAGGACCTCTTCGTCGCACCCCTATCTCCTTCAGGCACACACTTTGCCAAATCCTACATGAGGATGCAGGCACGCTCGAGTGCATCGACCACCGATTCTGTATTTTCACAACGCCACAAGTCCAACACCTCAACCTCTACCACATTAACACGCTGGACTTCCAACAGCACCACAACAGCTACTATCGACGCCTGGCAGACAGCTTCTGAGGAAAAGGAGCATGCAGTCTGCGACTTCGGGAAGCATGTCATTAGCCCCCTGCCAGAGCTTGACGAAGCTGGGTTTAGACGCGACCCGAGTACCGAGAGGCATGCCAGGGCGCAGTCTCATGCAGATATCCTCCTGAAGTCTAGCTCCGATACTGTCATGGCCAACCATATCAAGGCGGACAAGGAGGCAATTAACACTCGGCGTCGGGCAAAGACGACAAGCCGAAGCCACTACCAGGCACCCGTCAATCTTACCTTGTTCCCGTCCGTGGATCGTCCGTAAAAATCCTCGACCTTTTTACAGGTCATGACAATGCAATTCAGTGGCGGTAACTGTTTCACTTATTACTTGTTCCAGGCTCCTCGATGTGCTGCAGGATCGTCATATCCTTTGCCGAATATCTCGGCTGGCATTTAGCGGCGCGCGCTATATAACCACACCTACTTTTCTTTTTGTTCATTGTTTTGAGCGACTCTATAGATGCAGCGGGAACTACCCGCATACGATCGTTTGTCATAGAAAAAGTCAGTACTGGGTTTCTTTTGTTTTGGTAATTTTTTTTCTCGGACGGTTATAGGGTAAGGACGGACCGGCAAGACGGTGCATTTTCAGGGACGCTCAAAAGCTTTTGGGGAATCTAAATTCCCGCCACCAGGACATTGGGAAATCGGCGGCCATGATTCGTTGCCTGTTCAACGTTTGCGCCGCTGCGCTTTTACAGCGTGCTGCGCTCTATTATCCCGGGCAATGCCCAAGGGTTGAGTTTATATTAGATACATCATGTGGTGGAGCGTTGTTTACCAGCTGAGGGACAAGCTTTGGAGCAATGTCATTTTTACTAGCTCATTTCGGTGAGGTTCTAATCCTATTAAATATATTCACCCTCTTCGTTGGTTTCCGCCGCATGCTTGCCCGAGTAGACCTTGCTGGTGGCTGTCAAGACGTGTTGGTGGAAGCTGGAGTGCCATGCCATGCTGCTGCATCGCATATCGACCACTGAACTGTACTACACATGAATTAAAACGGCCGCGGCGAACATATTTTAGTTCTACAGCCATAATCACTTGTATGTCGGAACATGTAGAAATCTTGGCTTGTAAAATCTTTAATTTTGGTATCCGCAACGCCTATTAATGCATAATTCTGCTTCGACCACCGTTCTTTCGCAGTTTCAATGCCATGATGATAAGTGCTATACGACCCCGGCTTTACTCATCATCACCCTCATCCTCGTCGGCACCAGCATTCTTCTTTTCCTCCCTTTGCCTGACCCACTCCGCAGCTCTGGCGCTGACTCTCTCCCTCGACTTCTGGTCACCGTTCTTTTGCTCCCAGTCAGCCCACCGTTTGAACCACTTCTTTGCAGCCCGGGGCTTGAGACCCTTTGCCTTCAATGCCCGCTCAAAGACATCGCGGATTGCGGTCTTGTCTGCGCCGGGGGTGTCTTCGTGGTCAAGAAGTTGGTTCCACAAGTCGAAGCGTTTCGGGAAGGTGCTGAGTAGACCCTCAAACATGGTTCTACCTAGCTCCGGGCTCGGGTGCTTGGAAGTGAATTGCAAGGTTGCAAACTTGGTCATCAGAGGAAGATGTGCGTGCTTGGGCAGAGACTGAGTGGCTCTGGGCAAGAGAGCACGGGCACGCTCTGGCTCGTCGCGCTCAGAGTGCAGCCAGTGTGCGTAGTTGTACCAGACATCGGGAGACGTGGCGCCAAACTTCTTGGTCATTGTTTGGAAGAGCTCATCTGCCTTCTATTTGATTTGTTAGTCTCCGGTTTGCGCCTGGCTAAGTCTACAGGACAATTAGACGGGGACTGAAACTTACCTGAGGCTTATCCTCATGAATGTAGATGCTAGCAAGTCGTTGGTACACCTCCTGCTTGTCGTTGACCTGTAAGGCGCGCTTGAAGACATCGTCCACAGTATCGTCAGTGCCATAGTGGACCTCGAGGTTGAGATAAGCAACCCAGGCATTGAGCTTTTCTGTTTCCTCTGAGCTGTTGATAGTAGACACAGCACGCTCTGCCACCTTTCGGGCACCGGCCAGCTCGCTGGATTGCATTTGGTAAGCCATGTACTGGATCCAGAGCTCCGAAGAGTTCGGCTTTCGGTTGAGAAGCTGTTCGTAGTCGGCAGCGGTGCGTGGACCAAAAGCATCGAGATCACCACTACGATCAGCCTCGACCTGGGCCTTCTTCCGTTTCTTTTTTTTGTCCTGGGCGCTACCGGCCTCTCCCCCAACAGCGTCCGGTCGACGCTTCTTATCCAATGCATCTGCATCCCAGTCAAATCCTCCAGCATCGAGACCTTCGACCTCGTCGCCAGGCTTGTCTGTCATCTCTACATCCTCGTCGGAGTCTTCATCGGACACATTATCCGTGCCAGTGATGAGGACACCACTTTCACTATCGTCCATGTCTTCATCCTCGTCTTCTTCTTCCTCCTCCTCCTCGTCATCATCACCGGAATGCAATGCTGCGCCAGCATCCTCGTCATCGCTCATGTCTGTGTCGTCGTCCACAAAATAGGAAGGTTTCAGTCCAAAGTTGATTCTCTTCTTCTGAGCATCCAACTTGAGAATAATAGCCTTGACAGCGTCTCCTTCGTTTAAGAGCTTTCGGGCATCATCCACGGGCTTTTCAGCCAACTCACTTCGGTGGCATAGACCACTGACATTGGCAGTTCCATCTACAAGGATGAAAGCACCAAATTCTTCAACCTTGCGGACCTTTCCGGTAATAATCTGACCGACCTGGAGGTCCTGGTAGTTGAGTAGCGGAACGAAGTCCTTGTCCACAACAGATGACTTCAAACTCATCTGGATGTGACCCAAGGCATTGTCAATTGAAACGATGCGACCCTTGACAAGCTGATCGATCTGGAAAGAATCCTTCCACTCCTTCAGGAATCTGTCTGACAGATCGGAGATCTTGACCATTGCTGTGATATCACCGCCAAGAGCCACGAAGACACCCTTGTCAGACACATGTTTAACAAAGCCACGGATAACATCGCCAACATTGAGCTGCGCAATCTTAGAGATCTCCTGATCCTGGACCTTTGCCGAGGAGTTCAATGTTCTGGAGTGGCGGGCCGAGAGACGAACTTTCTTGTTACTCTTGTCAACATCGACAACCGAAACACGAATTACACTATTCTTGGCGAAATTCATCGTGTTTGCTTCGTTATAATCATCACTGATATCTGTCAGGTGAATGGGTCCGGAAACCACATTGCTCAACTGAACCATGATTTGGCGCTCATTTATTTTGGTGATGCGTCCGGGCAGAACCATGTTCTGCTTGACGTTGTCCCATGTGAGCTCTTCGCTAGCTGAAGAAGATCGTGCCGACAGATCAAGGCGCCCTTGTGCAGGGTCTACAGAGACAACACGTACGCGAAGAGCAGAGCCAACAGGGAAGTTTGCCGCCAAGTTCTCGACAAGAGAAACGTCATCGGAAACATCAAATGCGTTGATTCTGCCTCTGACATTGGGAGTAATGTTTACCCAGAGTGACCTGTCCTGGACATTATTGACATAAGCGAGGTGAGAAGAACCGATTTCCAACTTGTCGTACGACAAGTTCTCTGGAGCGGTGTGCTTCACATCGCTTGACCTGGTGGAGAGCTCAAGAACGGAGTGCGTCGACCTGTGCGAGATGGGCAAGAACCGATGATTTTTGGCGTCGTGTACTCCAAGAACCCTGACAGGGATGACGTCTCCCTGCTTGAAGTTCTTGAGGGGATGTTTGGCATCTTCAATTTCGTCCCAGGAGTCAAATACCTGTGACACATCGACACGACCTTGTATATTGTCTGCTAGTCTGACGTTGAGCTGAGAATTCTTGACAGACGCGATGCGCGCCTTGGTGATCCTGCCGACGGAGATGTTGTCAATAGAGCCGATCGTTTCGTCTACCGGGTTTTCCGCTCTGACTCCAGTTTGAGTAGAATTCTTCTGCTTTTCAGTCCTTTCTACCTTTTCTACATCAGGTGAGGATACGACCATCCTGCTGTGCTCTGTATCGACAGATATCACTTTGACGGTCGTGGATTGTCCCTTTTCAAGACCAAAGTCTGTTTGTTTCTGCGCCTCTAGAGGTAATCTACTCTTGGGCAGCAGTGCATGCAGTTGGCCGGCGAACTGAACGAAGACTGCTGTCAGAGTGATGTTCCTGACAAACCCCGGGTAAATGCCATCGACTTTGGCGTCCGCGAATGTTGTTAAAAGTTTACCCTCCTGGCTACCCTTCACCAGGCTAGGCTTTTTACTTAGGGTGATCGATCGGCGACCCTCGTTCTTGTCGATGACGACGAGGTCATTGAGAGTTTGGCCGACATGGAACTTCTTGATCGTGGATTGGCTTTTCTTGCTCGACCCATCCGTAAGGTGATTGACCGAAAGCATGGCCTTCAAAGAGCCTTCTACAAGTTCAACAAAGACGTGATCCTCGGTTTTCTGCACAATCTTGGCGGAAACAACATCTCCGATTTTCAAAGCTTGTAGAGCTTTCTGCTTTTCGAGACCAAAGGCCGAAGGGTCTTTGCAAGAAACGTATAGCTTCTGTGCCTCGGCATCAAAATTGAGGACATGAACTTGGACGACTTGACCGATGCGGAAAAACTCCTTGGGATCGTGGATGTAAGCTTCACTCATCTCAGACACTGGTAAGAAGCCCCTGAGCGAGCCATAGAACTGCACAATAGCGCCATTCGCAACGATGCTGATAATAGTCGCGGGCACCTGCATGCCGACAACCAGCTGATCGAACGACTGGAGTGGGGCAGCCTCGGAGTTGAGTAGAGTTTTCTTCAGTGTGAGGCGAATCTGGCGTTTGACACGATCAGTGGAAATAACACGCGCTTTAACCTTCATGCCTTCCCGGAATTTTTTCTCCGGATGTTGAAGCTTCACGTCAGCCAAGTGAATTTCGGGAACAAAACCGGTGATACCTTCGGCGAGTTTGACCAGCAACCCGCTGACACCATCCTGTCCAATCACTAGCTTTTCAATGGTTCCATTCACAATCTCGCCAATGGGTATGTCCTCGACACGCAGGAAAGCTTGCTCAAGAATGTGTTTCTCGAAAGATAGCTGGTATACACCATCGACTGAGTTGTATCCAACGACTCGTCCGCGATGCTCCGACCCAACCTGGAACGGACCTGATGACTGAGAGACCATGTCGACTTTGCCATCCTTGAGTCGAGAGATGTGGACGAATCCAGCAGCGCCGCTGATCCCGATATCAACGAAAACGCCAATATCGGGCTCGACCTTGGTGACTGTGCACTTCTCGACTATGCTGGAGATGGGAAGAGACTCCACTGATGACTTCTTGCTTCCTCCGGTTGTTTCCTTAGGCTTGAGGTTCACAATGTGCTCAAGAAGGGAAACTCCCAGTTTGGGCTCGCTTGCTGCCGGGAAATTGCATATAACTCGTGCCCTGACCTTCTTGCCAACCTTGTACTTGTCTTCGAGGTCAATCGCAAGAGGCCCGGAGCCAGAATGGATATGGTCAGCAGTGACATCCAAGGAACCCATGACCTTGCCGGCAATACCGCGGTTTGATATGTCCGTAACCAGAAGATCAACTGCTGTGCCAGGGAGGAATGAGTTGATAGTTGTCGCATCCGAGGGGAAATTTTGGATCTTGCCCAATTTGGTCTGGATAGTGGTAAGCTGGGCAATCTTTCCGTTGGAGCCCGAGCTTGTGGCCAAGCAGAGGAGGACAGAGCCTGGCTGCATCCGGGTTTCCGAGATGGCGGGATCAAGCTCCTTGCGTGCCAGAAATCCCTTGAGCTTGGAGTCTTCGAGGCCAAGATCCATGACGAATCCGTGATCTTCTACACTGGTGACGGTTGCCATAACAGTAGTGTTGGCCACAACATCTTTGCTGGAAAGGCCGCTGTTGGTTTGGTCCGGTCGTAAGGACAACTCAATTCGTTTTTTGGCTTTTCCAGAAGGCTCTGCTGGTTCTTCGGATGTGGAGTTGACGTATGCCCGGACGTATTGACCAACAGTGAATAGTGACTTCAGGTCAACATCGTCTGCTGAAGTCTCGTCGTCGTCATCGTCGTCGTCGGCGGCTGCCTCGGCAGCAATGCGCTCATTGAGGAGCTCGGAGATGGCGGTGATGGGAACGTGTCCAGTCAGATTATTTGGCAGTGCTAGGGTCAAATCCAGAGCATTGATCTCGGTGACCTGGGCGAGTACAATGGAACCCTTGACCAAGCGCTTGTAGTTCAAGCTCTCGACCTTGACCGTGTCGTCGGCAGTTTGCGACTTTGCAGACTTTCCATCCTTCAACTGTCCCTTTGACTTGATCTTTTTCAGTGTTTTCTCGGTGTTCTTGCCTGACGCCTGCTCGAACAGTACGTCCTGCTTTGCCTGGATGGAGATTTGCCTGTGCTCGAGCGGTGACAAGACACTTCCGCCTCCACGAGGAAAGAGAGGCTCCTCCTCCTTCAGTCGCGAGATGCTGGGCACGGGGGCAGGCTTGTCGGCGCTCTTGGGCTTGGGACTCGCCTTGGGATCACTCTTGGTCTTTTCGGGTTTCGAAGTCTTGGATGGCCTTGAGCCGCTGGTTATTTTTGCTGCTTTGGCAGCAGATGCGCCTCCCGGGGCATCCTTCCTCTTGAGAGAGCTCATATTGGAATTGCACGAGCGCAATATTGGAAAAGCGCAAGTCAACAATATGCAAGCGCTTGTTGCACTTGCTTTGGGAGGCCGGCTGAGGGTCCAAAACTTTTGGTCGCATCCAAAATATTATCCGCTAAGATAAGCCGAACTTTTTTTTTGTTGGCATTGATAAGGCGCCATGTGCATAGTACGGATCCCGTCCTACGTACTATGTAAGCCTGAGATTGCCTGAGGTACCCTGACGGCCGGGCGATTCGCCCGCTGGCGGGCCCCCGCAAGATTGGGGTCTTCTGGGAAGGGTTTAGTGAGGGGCAACATGTATGCACTCTGTAGCATTGTAGGGTTAGTGCTATTTCCAGACGTCTCATCCTCTCATCCCCAAGTGGGACGTACTGTACGGATGCAGATTGCAACACTCGTTTTTGTTGGACCCAACTATACGTGCAAGCAACTTTTCATGGACTTACTTATTATGTCAAACTAACTTGGCTGTATGAGAAGTTTACACACAACTCGCATGTACATGTGTAGCTGTTCAAGACCCGATCTATCACGCAGCTGCTTGCCCCCTGCCCCTTGCCCCTTGCCCCTCGCACTTGCAATCGACACAGCCGAGGCCGTTTGCGCTGATCTCATTCGGGCGACGATTGGCTCATCCGTTGCGGCTTTAGGCGGTTAGAGCTGCTAAATGACCTCTGGGAGCCCGTGACAGCATCTATGAGGGACTAAGGTTGGAGCACAACTACTCGCATAGACGTCATTGCGATACTGTGCCGAACACCCCGACTCGTTCAGGTAGCCGTCAGATTGTCATCTGCAACGATTTGCGACATGTGTCTTCACCATTCTACTGCCAGCTGCAGCAAGTCGACATGAGCTCACGAAAGCGATCACGGCCGAATCCGGTCAAGAGCACCAGCACTGGTCAAGGCAGCACTGCCAGCGCGCCGGCGGCGTTGCTAACTCTCCAGCCGCCCAGTGTTGGCCAAAGCCTGGAAAACGCCTCAGGAGAGCTTTCCACCTCCAAGTCACCGCAAAGCATGCCTCCGCCATCGACGACAGCCAAGTCAAACACTGAAGACATCCACAATGGACAGGATGCAAAACCAAACCAGGTACCCCGACATGGTGGCCATCGTGAGGCGCTCAGATGCTTATCAGTGCAGGTACGCAAGTCAACGTCATGGTATGGCTCGTTGGGGAGGAAAGCCTCGGCCTCAACACAAGTTGCCAAGGAGACCATCATGGGTGGAACAGTCAAGTCAGCATCAACCGCAGATTTCAGCCGCTACGAAGGGAGAAGAAATGCAGACGGGTCCGGCGATTCGGACGCTCAATCGACACAGACCATGCCCATGATAGCTGAGACTGAGGTCGACGTGCATCCCGCGCAAACCTCACAGCCAAGCCAACAAGACACGAACGGTTCAGCGAATCATGATGCGCAAACACAACAGCAGCCGCACATCGATCCTGCACCTGAAGAGTTGGCTAGCGAGAACAATAAAGCAGCATCACAAGTCGACAAGTCGCCCTCTGAGATCGCACCACAACCAGTGGCCTCACCAGGCTGGTTTGCCGGCTGGTTTGGGACATCATCAGCACCAGAAATGACAAAGGACAATAAGGATGAACTTATGACAGACGTATCCAAAGGGAGCGAGCCTGCGCCACTTGGATCTTCACAGGAAACACTTGACGAAGCATTACCACCACCCCCGGCCAACACCGAAGCACCTCCTGCAGCGGAACCCACGACACCCAAGCCCACAAGGCCAACAAGCGCTTGGCTGGGATCTTGGTGGGGTACTCCAGCGCAATCAGAAAGCGCACTGAAAGGTCCACCAGAAGCCACCGTATCAGAGGCGCCGTTGATCAAAGAAAGTGAGGACTTGAGTATGGAAGACGCCCCGCCTCCAGCGCCGGCTGCGCAGCTGGAAAGTCAACCATCAGCTGGTTCAACTTGGGCATTCTGGTCCCGAGATACAGGCTCAAAAGCGGCAAGTCAGTCAAAGCCCACTCCAGAACAAGGGGAGCTGGCTGTAATGGGCGAGGGATCAGAGGCGAGTCCTCGAAGATACTCTAGCGTCGGGGTGGAAGAGCCTTCGGCTATTTCTGTCAAGGAGCCGCCCCTGAGGAAAGACCCCAGGGAATTACCAGCGAAGACGTCCCGGTCCAAGAAAAACAAGAGGGAGAGACCACAATCTATGGACCTGGACCAGGCTGTGCCGATGGTGCCGAGCACACCCGTCACCACTACATCGACCGCCAAGCCGGAGACGCCTGCTTCCATCAAGAGTTTACAGCCAAATCTTGTCCTGCCTTCATTTCGGAATACGTACCAAATGAAGCAGAACCCCTCCATTATAAAACAAATCACCCAACTGCTGCTTAGGACACGCCAGCCAGTTCCGACTCACGTTAACCTGGTAAAGGAGCCGCCAAAAATCCGAAAGGCTATTGCTATTGGCGTGCACGGCTTATTCCCAGCCACTTACTTACGCCCAATGATCGGACAGCCTACGGGCACCTCCATACGCTTCGCCAACAAATGCGCCGAAGCCATTAGAAGATGGGCCGATAGTCATGGTTGCCAAGATTGCGAGATTGAAAAAGTTGCCCTTGAAGGTGAAGGCAGAATTGCCGATCGAGTCGACAATCTCTGGAAGTTGTTGTTGAACTGGATAGAACACATCCGCAAGGCTGACTTGATATTGGTCGCTTGCCATTCTCAAGGAGTGCCAGTTGGTCTGATGCTTGTGTCAAAGCTCATTGATCTCGGGATAATCACGACGGCCCGCATAGGAGTTTGCGCAATGGCTGGCGTCTCTCTTGGGCCCTTTCCCGACTACAAATCTGGTATGGGAATGCTGATGGGTTCAGCAGCTGAATTATGGCAGTTTGCAGACCCGTCAAGCGAGATATCTCAAAGACTGGAACATGCGATGAAAACCGTTCTCGAGCACGGAGGAAGGGTGACATACGTTGGAAGCATCGACGATCAGCTGGTACCACTGGAGTCAGCTATCTATTCACCTGCATCGCATCCATACATCTACCGGGCAGTCTTCATTGATGGCCGAGTACATGCCCCCGATTTCATCGCCCATCTAGTCGGCTTTGCGCTTAAGCTTCGAAACCTTGGCATCTCTGACCAGGGACTTATTCGCGAGCTATCAGTCGCACTTGCCGGCAGTCTCTATTCGGGAGAAGGGCACTCTCGCCTTTATGACGACGATGAGGTCTATAAGTAAGTCCACAATCTTCACTTCGACATTGCCAATTAATAGACTAACGTATCATTTAGCTTGGCGGTCTCTCATGCCCTCGAAACCACAGTCGTGAACAATGTGCCTTGCCGTATTGACAAACATGAGGGACTTGCTAGTTCTAATCCATACATCCTTCCTTGGATCATGCGTGGACTACTAGAGGAAAATTTTGTCAAGACAGAGTTGTCAGCGGAGACAGCAGAATTACTAAAGCAGTTTGACGACTGGAAGCCTGCCACCAAGGCCTTAAAGGATATCAAGTTCCGCTTAGAGGCTGTGAGGTCTAGACTCTAGCACTACGCACAGTATATCCGGACCCAGCATCGTAAAACAGAAGGATTAACCATATACAGCGATTAGTGCACACCATCTTTTAATATCAATTTTAGGGGGGGCGTTTGGTGGATCCTGTCGTATTATTACGACAATAAATGAAGAATACCCGATGTTTTCTGGAGTTGAGGGTGTCGGTTGATTTGTAACACAACTCATTTTGAACATGAATGAGTCAGGCATTGCGAGCGTCATAAATAAGTCGGCAGACAGCTACAAATAGACAAGCTTATCATTTAGGCAGTGCAAACCATGCTGGCTGGCGTCGTGTAATAAAACGCTTCTTCTGTGAGTGACGGATGTTCTGCATTCCTACATAGTTAGCGGAGTCCCAACCCCTTTTCCTCGTCCAATGGATGACTGTTATGTCGATATCCAGCCCCAAGATCAAGCTTTTTGATCAAGTCAATCAAAAGCCAAGCCTAAACTAATACCCTACCAGGGCGTCCAATCGATGGCTCTACGGATCCGTACATCCATATGAGCCCCAGCCCAACCCCTGCTTAGTTGCATGTGTTTTATAATTCACGACAGATGGCATCTTCGAGGACGATGCTCAATGAATGAGGAGAAATGAAAAAGAAGGGGGGAGCAAATATGTCAAAGCATGAGTCTGTAGTGTTGCAAGTTTGGTACTACGTATATGGACTTGCACCTCTGAATTGTTAATATCCTGGGTTTGTATCCAAATACGGAGTGTTTTCACGTGGAACTGAGTACTTGGTATAAATGTTATACTGTAGAATAGAAGGGATGGATGGGCAAAGCCTTAAACTCGCAGGGTTCTTCGTGGCACCCAACAGAGTGGGATTTCTGTCAGCGAACACATTTGCACTAACTAGGTTAGACTAACCTTAGGTTAGTTCTCAGCGAGCTCCCTAGCAGCCTACAGAGTGTAAGACTGCAGATGACGGACAAAGACCCGGTCAGACAACGCAGGCTGGGAACCCCCAAAAACCTCCCATGATAATAGACCAAGAGGAGGTAATATTCCTCGCAGTTGGTGAACCCTATATATCAGTCTTCGTCGTCACCTTTTCATCGTCCAACGGGCCATGGGCGATTTACACGTAGGAGAGTGATAGACTAATCTCCGAAGGCCATCGTTAATTACTTATGACGTGCATTCCGACCGAACAGCCACTTCGCGAGCTCGCGGCCAAACTAGTTACCAAGGGGCTAAGGCGAAGAAGTTCCAACAAGCATTCTGCCTGTGTGCTCAGAACCGCATCGAGAACTGGCCTCGCTCCGCCATCTGGCATAAACAAACCGCAAAGACAGATATTGATCACCTAAAAGGCGTGCCAGCTACCTCGTTGTCACTGCGGGCCGGGCCAGACAAGTTGTCCAACGTACCTGAAAATCGCCGGCGACCGGGCTGCACATAGCGCCCTGCTAGGTCCACGTTCCGGCATTCTCGGGGGGCGGAGCTGGGATCGAGATGGGATCGTTGCGAAATACGCCCACCAACTAATTGATTATGATGCAGGGCAGAACAAGTTCTACTTACAATCATGTAAGCTCTCTTTCTACGTCGAAGCCCGAAGCCTCCTGTAATGCAAACTTGCGACGACCTATGCTGACAACGACTCAATGCAAGTCGGCTACGTGGGACGCGCCGAAGGCGCCCGAGCAGGAGAAGCAGCAGCAGTAGTGACCACGGCGACAGCAGCCATGGCCCTGTTCAATCCGACGTTCATTTTTGGGGTCATCGTGCTCGCCTACATTGCCTCCTTTGTACTATTCGCCCTGCTGCGCATCGTCACCGGCATTTCCATCCAGCGCATCGGCTACTTCTCCCTTCGACGACTGGCATACACCCCGAAAGATGGCATCAAGATTGAGATTCGGGGGCTCGGCCTCAACGTGCACCGGCCGACCTTCTCACAGCCCACATGGCTGAGCATCGTCGTCAGCGAGCTGGCCGTCACGGTCGACATCAAAGCGTTGGAAGGCCACAAGCATGGACTTGTGGCCGAAGAAGATGGACAGCGTCATACGGTGACAGGAGAAGAAGAAGAAGAAGAAGAAGAAGGAGAAGAAAAGCCGACGCCGCTACCGAAGAAAAGGTCATCTTTACCCCGTCGAGCCACCTTTGGCGCAGCGCGTAGCGAAACATGGAAGCAGCTCACGAGGACGAAAGAAAGGATCAAGAGACTACATCGAAATATTCACTGGCTTCGCATGGTAGATGTCGTGGCCACCGATTCAACCGTGAATATAGTGGACGTTGGCCAGATCCAGTGTGGCAGCTTCACAATAGCGGTTGACACCCGGCACAAAATAGTTGACCGCGCCAGGTTCTTCTTTCAGACCAGTGCTGAGAAGAAGAGACAGAAACAGCAGGCGGAATGGATTGCTACTTTGAAGAGCGTCTTGTACACCACGCAGGGGGGCGAAGCATCCGAGGTTCTCGACAACGCTGTTCTCAATGTACATGGTTTTCTCTACGATCAGCTAGATGGGTTGAGGGATGCGACGGTAGCGCTGAAGCTCGGTCGCGTGCACATACCCTACGATGATGTCCACGCCGGTGTTGAACGCTATCAGAAGCAGAAGCGCTTATACGCAAAGGACTTCCACACGGTCGAGGCCATCGATATGTCGGTAGATAAGGTCATTCAGGAGCTCGACGAGCCCGGCAGTACAGATCAGGAACTCATGCAAACGGTCTCGGATTCCAAAGAGTTTGTAAGCTCAATTCTAAGAGGCGTTAAGGAAGTTCAGTTCGCTGTTAGTCTGGTCGGATTGAACAAGAAGGTAGAAACGGTCAAGGCTTCTGGTGCACCACTCCTTCTTAATTTCTCCATGAAGGAAGTGGGCATAGACTTGCATCGCTTGGATCACAAGTCTCCTGCTCACAGAATGTACTTTCCCTCTAAAGACTTGGCACACGAAGCGCTGGCCGCGGCTTTGTCAATATCGGTTGGTCTAGATGATGGGCTTGGCAAACCCGAGCGCTTGGTATACATCCCGATGGCCACAACTACTGTCAAGACCACACTGCCGTCGAAGACAGTGGAGCTTTCGGAACATGGGAGTGCTGACGAGAGGAACGCGAACATCCTCTTTGCTAATAGCGTGGTGACATCGCCATCTGTTGACCTCGACCCGAAGCATCTGCCTATACTTCTGGCTCTTCTTCGACCAAAGCCGAAGACTCCAAAAGCGCACGTTGAGCAGCGTCACATGCTTATATCGCGCCTCCTACCGAAAGCCAATATCAAATTCACAATGCACGAGCCCGTGCTACGTGTTGCTCTACCTCCCGTACACAAGACGGACGACCCCGATGACTTCGATCTAATTGTCTCGTCCATATCTTCTATTTCTCTCGATGTCGAATCTTTCCATTCAGCTGTGGAAGATCTGCATTATTCCTTGGTCTCGCACACCCGGGTCCAAACACATAATCTTTATTACCAAACAGCACAGGGCAATAGGTTCGACCTAGTGAATACCGAGTTTTTTGACCTCAAGGTTACGCTCGGCGCCAACCCCGATGTCCATGTCATGGCTAATGGGCACTTGCAGTCGCTGGCCGTGCATATGGTGCGACCTGAAATATCGGATGGTTTACGGCAGATTATACGTCAACTCAGGTTAGATGTAGAGCCAGACAAACGTGGCCGACCAAGGCTCAAGAAGCAACATAACGCCATCAGAGGATTACCGCCGTGGCTTCTACACTTCCAAGTGTCAGTCGATGACTTCAGCGCTGAGGTTGCAGGAGTCGATGACGACTTTCCGAATCACACTCGTGGCGTTGCGCTTCAAATTGACTCTTGGTCTGCGGAGTATCGTGCACAGCGCATCGATCAGCACTTGCAAAGACGCCCCGCGTCTAGGAGACGGGCGGCGAGTCGTGCGGTCATGCCGGATCCGGAAATCCTAAAGCAGATGCCTTCTCCGACATCGCCACGGAAGAAGCTACCTGATAACTATAATGAAGGTGATGGTCGCAGAATAGCTATTCACATCCGTGGATTAGAAGCTTTCATCATCGACAACGAAGAAAAATGGGAAGCGGATCCCTTCGTTCATATGCCGCGCTTCGAGGTCGCATTGTCGACTCTCAGTGACAAACAGGGCCCCATCCTGCATGTCCATTCACATTTGAAGACGTTGATGCTTCAGTATTCGCTTTATCGGCACTATGCCATCGGCGTCGCTGTAATGGTTCTGATCAAGGCATTCGTGCGGACGAAAAGGGACATGGCGGATTCGAAAGCGACCCAACAGCACACGGCAAGAACTCCATCTGGAGCTGACCATTTGTCGCCTCCAATGCTGTCTCCTTCTTCGCCCGCCACTGATGAGATGGGTCATTTTAATCGACCTGTTCAAGAGCTTATTACTGTTGATATCAAGGCATCATTGATACAAATCAAGGCGGATCTTCCCTCGGATCCTGCTGTCATGTTTCAGCTATTCAGCGTCGAAGCAGGTCGCCACAGATGGACACCCCCATTCTTCCACTCCAAACTTGTGCGTATGTTCGCTGGGGCACCGCGCATGCGTGGTGTTTGGGCCCGCATTGCAAGCATCCAGTCTCTTCGTCTTGACTATCGCGAGTCTCGGAAGTTTACATCTTTCGGCTATCAGGATGACAAGATGTTTGATGTCAGCAGCGAAGCGATGCGCATCGCTGTTCCCTACGAGCTCATCATACACAAAATCTCGGATAACTTTACCAACGTGATTAAGGCATCTGCGCAACTACATCACCGCTTCAAAACCGGAACCAATGAGTATATTCTGGAGAAAGGGCCCGAAGGACCCAAACATGTACCCAAAATCTCAGTGCGCACCCGTCACTTGCTGTTCGAGCTTGAGGATGGTGCTTTCGAATGGAAGTTGGGTATGATTTACAGGGCCGGTCGAGTTGAGCAACTTCAGAGGTTAGCGCGCGAAGATGCTTATCGTGTTAAAGTCAAAAAGATACACGAGGAAGAGTTTCGGAAAGAGGCAAACCGCATACGCAACCGGTCGGTGATGACTAGGGGAAGGAACAAAGACATGAATGTGACATTCAACCGGAGCAAGAGTGAAGATGGGCGCCCACGGACCGCCATGGACGGCCGGCCACCAGAAGACACTCCACGGGGCAGGAAGAAACCGCGATATGACCCAGATGGCTGCCTTGGCTTCAGCGGCAGTGCTCATATCTCCATCAACACTGCGCGGGAGACACTGGATGAGCACAATTCTCAGAGCTGGAAGAAGCGGATCGACCGGCACTATCAAATGGCCAGAGATGGCATGAAAGACCTCCGAGGTTCGTTCTGGGGACCTGAACATCTACCAGATGACTTCGAAGAGCACGAGAAGATCCTGGAGGTCCCACAGCGTCCGGCTCTTATGGGTGCTGTCATCGATGACCTGCACTTCATGATCGACAAACCTTCCTTTCCGTTATCCAAATTGCCCGACTTCCTCTATGATGTAGGCAAGGGCCAACCGAAGAACATGAAATATGCATTGCTTGTTCCTATGAGTGTCCAGATCAATATAGGCCAGGCAAGATTATCACTGAGAGACTATCCTCTGCCATTACTTCACATACCCGCTCTCAAGTTTGGCCAGTCCTCTCGCCTTCCGGCCATGTCTCTAAAGACAGATTTCGTCATTGCGGAGGAATTCCGTGGCGCTGCGTCGACTAGGAGAATCAAGGTTCAAATCACGCCTCCAAGCACTAGGGAGCCAGGCCAGCCAGCCGGAGGCAGCTTCGCGATCGACGTGCGCCGCACTATAGGACCGGTAAAGTCATATTCTGACATGCACGTCGATATGAACACAGCGTATCCTACTCGAATCACATGGGGTCCCTCGTATCAGCCGGCCATCCAGGATATGATGATGGTTATTGAATCCTTCACCAAACCTCAACTGGACCCCTCTGAACGGGTCGGCTTTTGGGATAAGATCAGACTCAACTTTCACTCCCGTGTCCATATAGCATGGAAGGGTGACGGGGATGTGCATCTGGCGCTGAAAGGAACCAGAGACCCATATAGTGTTACAGGCAACGGCGCTGGTTTCCTCATGTGCTGGCGCAATGACGTGAGGTGGAATATCAATGCTGCAGATGACCCGAAAAAGTTCATGACCGTTGACAGCGGGGAATATGTCCTCGCCATTCCCGATTACGGCCATCAGGAGCGTGAGGTAGCTCGCAAACTTGGTGAAGGCGATAGCGTAGCCAGTGGTGACAGTTACAGATCCGGCGCCTTGTTCAAGAAGGTCGTCATGAAACTTTCTGGTAACGTGCAGTGGATGGCTGGTCTCGTCTTCGAGAAAGCTATAGGCCCAGATGGTCACCGGAGCTTTGACTTTAAGCCTCACTATGACGTTGTTCTCAAATCGCCTTACCACGCCCATGCTGATGGCGATTTGCCGTACGATGCTTTCAGGGGCTTCCGAAGTCAGCACATTCACCTGTCAATTGGTATCAGAGCTCCGGTCGATATGGACTGGAAATCAAGTATTCACAAGCTATCGAGAAGCTACAACACCGTACATCTGACTCCGCGTTTCTTCACACACTTTTTCGCATGGTGGTCGACTTTTGGTGGTCCAATGTCTCTGCCCGTGCGCCAAGGCGCCCTATGGCCTGGCAGAGAGAAGAACAGCAAAAAGTTTGGCAGGCACCTAGGTACGATTAAATACAACATATTGTTGGCGCCACTCTTCCTAAGTCATATCTACAAGCACAAAGATGCCGAGGACTATTCGGAGAATTCAGTTTCTGCAACGGGTATCAAAGTTAGATTCGACAGTTTCATGCTTGATATGCACCAACGCCGAGAGGAGTTCAATACGAGGGACCGCGGTCGCAAGACCGAGAGCAGGACTACGGCCATGAAGATTCACGCTGCACAATTGGACCTTCTATCTGCTGACGTGCGTGCTGTGTCAGCTAGTATCAAGGGCACGACGACAGAAGCGGTCAAGAAGAACTCCATTTCTACTATCATAGCACAAGGAGACGAGGACGGTACAGACCTGTCACATTTCACAATACCGGACAATGACTTTAGTTGGATTGACATGGATGACTTTGTTGAACTGGACTGGATCCTACCCTCGGAGCCAAATCCGGACACGAAAATCTTACCTTTGGCATACGCACCAAGGGTAACGTACTTCCGGCAAACAGATATTGGTGATACTATTGCGGGCGACCCCGATCGCACGAGTCCCTTCGGGCACGAACCCACTCACTTGTGCATAATGAGCCAGGATGACAACCCCAGGGAAGTTCAGCAGCACCTGATTCAACAGAGGCTTGATCAACTTGAAACCCAAATCGAGAACAACATCCGAGCTGTTGGAGAGAGAGAACTGATGTACATCAGGGATGGCACTGATGATCCTCAGCTCAAAGCCGACTGGGACAGCTTCCGCAGACATACCGGCGTTCTTAAGGACAAGCGTACTTTTTTGCAAGGCATGCTTAGAAACGTGTCGATGGGCGCCAATACCGATGATGCCCAACCTTCGAGCAGCGGCTCGCCGAATGGTTCAAAGTCGCCTGAGGACTCCTCCTCCACTGCAGACGCGGCCAGAGGAGCTACTGGGGCTGACTTTGCTAGTGATTTTAAAAATCGGTTCGTCATTCACAACATGCAGCTCAAATGGAACAACTTGCTTCGCAATATCATTCTTCGTTACAGCCACCAAGTGAGTCAAAGACGAGGTTTCGTCTACTATCTCTCCCGGCCCGCAGTCAAATTCATCCTCGACATTGTTGAAGAACAAGCCAAGGCAAAGAACAAGGACAAGGACAAGGACAAGGACAAGGACAAAGCAAGCACCACCTCCGGAGACAAGGAAGATCCCGCTGCGAGCTCTCAATCTAATGGGCGCCACATGAGGGAAGCTGCACAAGACATTGAGCATCGGATCAAGCAGATTCTGCAGGATGGTCGCAAGTTTGTTAATGCCGATGATTCGAATACTTCAAATGAGCCGTCTGCCAATGTGCAGATGGACGACCTTACGTCGGGCATTGCTGAGGACTTTTCACCACAGAGCAGTTACCACGTCCGCTTGATCGCTCCACAGATCCAGCTCCAAAGTGAGAAGAATAAGAAGCATGCTGTATTGATCGCTGCCCGGAGCATGGAACTCAAAGTTGTGGAAGTTATGGAAAAGGCCCGTTTGTCAGACAACGTTTCTGGCCTCGTTCAACGCCGTTTCTTGGTAGGTATGGATGGCACTCAATTCTTCGTCACTCATCAAAAATGGTTCTCTGGGCAATACCTCGCCATGTACTCAGGGAACACCTATGGAGCACCGGCCGGCACCTCATGGCCGCCGTGGGTGCCAATGGAGGTCATGTTCGACTTCCAGGCTGATCCATTTGGCTTCAAGCGTGTTGTACAGAAAACGTCAGCACTGTTGAGATACGACAAGTACAACACATTGCGTCTCAAGTACAACGACGATATTAACAACAACGAAGGGGCCGAGAACCCGGCCAACGAGGGCACGGAAAGCAGGATGGACAACCTCTGGGTTGAGTTCCCTCAAGCTAGAGCCCTGTGCAACTCGTCGCAGTATTACGCAATCTATGTGATTGTACTTGATCTGCTCTTGTACAGCGAGCCTCTTGAGAAGACAAGAAGTGAGAGGCTCGAAAAGATCATGTTGGCATCGGACTTTAGCGACTTGAGAGGCACACCAGAGATGGTCACAAAGTTACAAGAGCGAATTCGACAACTCGAAGAGATCAAGGCACATTTCCAGCTCAACTCTAAATACCTTGACAAGAAGGGCTGGCAGGATCGTCTGCTTCTGGAGCGCGATCTGACTGCATGCGAAGACGAACTTTTCTTCATGATGAAGGCCATTACCACATCACAGCGGAAATACGACACTACATCGCAGAGCAATGCCCTCCTCAGGTGGAGTATCTCAGCGAGAGAAATCGTCTGGCATCTGATTCGTGACAGCAATGAGCCCCTGGTCGAGCTGCAGCTCAGAGACGTTGAGTACGACCGAACAGACAACTCGGACGGCTCGCACATCAACTTGTTCCAGGTGGGCAAGGTATTAGGACTCAATCTGTTGCCTGATGCAATGTATCCGGAAATGATCGCGCCGTATATCATGGATGAAAAGTTCAACATGATGGACTTCCAGAACCAGCAGATGATCCGTGTCTATTGGCACATGCTTGAGGCTATTGCTGGCATTCCTGTCATGGATCATTTCGAAGTGAACCTCTTCCCTTTAAAGATACAGCTTGAACGTGAGGTTGGTAAGAAACTCTTCGAGTATATCTTCCCTGAGGTGGAAGGAGAGACAAGCAAGAATCAAGATGGCAGAACAGATTCGCCGTTTATACTCAGCAAAGTCGCCAACGACTCGGAAGAGTTTCAGGACGAGTCAGGCAGTGGATATCTGGAACCTGCAGCTTCAGACAAGGACTCCGGATTCAATACAAGAGCCGGATCCCTAGAACTTCGTCTTCGGCCTACCCTGACATCAGACTCTCAGACTCCTGAGACCACACCTCAAAAGAACAAAGCCCTCAGCGTCCACTCCGGCGATGGCAATAGTGTCTTTCGTCTCTTCAATTCTAAAACGGTCAGTAAGAAACCGTCGTATGAATCGCTGCGCTCCAGCCAGATCACACCTCGGCCGGGCATTGGGCGCTCTTCAACTATGGCGTCGACGCAGAGCGATAACAAGAAATCCTCACGCTTCGCACTTGCTCGCAACAATGCCAAGATGTCTGACGACAAGCCTTCGGATGATCTAAGCAAGATGATAGACCGTGCATCCAACTATATGACCTTCGCATACATAAAGATGCCGTCTGTAGTCCTGTGCCTCAGTTACAAGGGCATGGGCGACCGAAATTTCGAGGACGTGCATGACTTTGTGTTCCGCCTGCCAACAATCGAGTACAGGAATAAGACATGGTCAAATCTAGATTTAGCTTTGGCTCTAAAGTCACGGATCATCAAGGCCTTGATATCTCACACAGGTGCCATCATTGGCAACAAATTCAAGAAGCATCGACCAAACAGCAAGGAAAAAGAGCGACTGAGGGAGCTTGCGACGAACAGTGTACTCCTCTCCACTCCAACCGTTGGCAACAATGGAGACAACAGCGACGATTCTTCAAGCATATTCGGGACAAGTCCAGTAGATTATTCTCGCAGCCCACCGCGAAGTTTGAGTGGTAGCCACAGCAGTATCCCGGTGCCGCAAAGGAGTGATTCGAGAAGCAGTAGCGTGGCATCGAGTCGTAGGAGCTACTTGCCCGTCAACACGATCAACACATCGCAGGGCAACGGAAACGGTCAAGGTCAGGCCAATGTCCCGACATTCCTCATGATGACGCCTCCAACACCACAAGAACGGACCGGGCCTCCCGCCGGGTTTAGTATTGACTTAAGACCATCGACGAGCGCTGGTGAGACCAAGGCTCGTCCAAGCACAAGAGGCAGCCTAAGACCTGTCAGTAGAGGTAGCGCTCTTGATATCCCAGAACCCAAATTCAACCTCAAGAGAAGTAACACCATCGCTCCTTCTGGCAATGGAAGCGCCGATGGGCGCCTAGCAGGGCTCAAAGGCAGGTTCAGTGCGCTCACGAACCGCCTCAAGGATCATCGCGAGGGCAGTAATCTGAGCAAGAGCTCTGACAACGCTGCTAGCGGAGAGAACAATACGGCGGGAGAGGAAGAGCTGCAGATCGACGCTGAAGAGCAAGGTGGCGATGACCCAGGAAACAGAAAGTTCGGTTTTGGCGGGAGGACAAAGACCACTTTTTGATTGAGAAATGCCAAGATGATGTCGAAGTGAGGGGGCCGGCTGGCCCGACGGATGTTCGGCACAGCAGAGTGATAGGGCCCCGATCCGATTGGGCCGCCGTCTTAGAAGGCGCCTTTTCCCATTTTTTTTCTTCTTTTTATTATTGTTATTATTAGTACAGACCTCAGTGCATGGGAAAGACGGTGTTGGAGGTAATATACCATTGTCAGCAATGACCTTGCTTCGGAGAGTAAAGGAGCCAAAAAGGCAGGCCCGAATGCGTGCGTATAACACAACAGCACGGCAGAATGGCGCGCCCGATTGCTCTGAGTAGCAAAGTATATATAGAAGCAAATGTCTAAATCAAAACACCCACAATTATTATCATGTTCCTCGTTTCTGATGACAACGTGTGCAACGTCTTTCGGGTGACGGTTTAATGTGTGATATTTCTTGACCAAGCACAACTGGACGACAGACCGACACCGAGGACTACAAATACAGCCCGGGGTTCACTTTCGCGTCGACCTGACCTTGTCAGTAGCTTCGACGGAATCAATAACAAAAATGAGTTTACGATAGACGTGCAAAATGGCGTAGTTAAGATCTGACAGCCTACAGTAAACAGCCTAAAGGGGTTACACAGAACGAGATGGAGATAGTATATTCAGAATTTCTGGCAGTCGTCACTGGGTCGGAGGATATTGTATAACGGACAGGCTCTTCGCATGGTTTGTTGACACTTGATCGAAGATGTCCGGCATTTTATCATTCCTATTTGCATTTAAATATATGCGCCCTATACCATCATTTGCAGGGCTGCTACAGCAAGCAGAGGTATACAAATGCTCAAGACACCCGATCGTAAGCCCCAGGCGTCTCCTTGTAGCAAAACTGGCGTGCCGAGTGTGTGTGTCTCATCGATGCTGCAGACTTTCTTGCACGCGTTCTCGCGCTTGAGCAGGCCCCTCTTCCTCCCATTGCTGTCGTCTGAGGTCTGCTCGCCCGCTGTCGAATTGTAGACCAGCTCAATCCACTGGATCTGGAGGTACGCCTCATCGCCGACGGACATGTTGCCACTCCAGTTCGCGCCGTCGCTCCACGAATTGAAGATGAGATAGCTCGGATCCCGCGGGGTCTGGAAGCTGATCTGGCTTACATTGACTCCGTCCACATACCACGTAGTGTCTTCCGGGCTCCAATCCATCCTATGGACGGCCCAGTCGTCCCAACCAACGGGAACGGTGGCGTTACGGGTCGCCTGGTCGACCGCGTCTCCTGTCCGGCTGTACGACGGCTGATTCGTGTACTGGATCACATCCGGAGGATCCATGGTCCGGATCTCGAGGTCCGACTCCTGGATCGCATTCGGGTCGTCGGACCCGCGGTACGTAAACATGGCCGTGATGGCGCCGGAAGGGCCGACCGTGCGCGCATACATGCGCGCCGAGAGGTATTGATAGGTCTGCGAAGTCGACTCGAACTCGGCAGCCGTCTGAAACTCGTCGAGCCGCGCAGTCCTCAGGGTGAGATATGTACCCGACTGCCCGTTGATGTCGGTATTGGCATCGAAGTACACGTTGGCCGGCGAGTTGACCATGAGAATCCGTGCGTCTCCGTCATCGAGATTGGCGCTGTTGTTCCATTTTTGGATGCCCCAGGCATCGGTCCATTCTTTGGAGTTGAAGTAATCATTAGATGTGTCCGCCTGACTCGCTGCGTCCGCACTTGATATCGAGACCGACGGTACGTTCACGTGGTCTGCCATGGAACGAAAATCGAAGAACTTGTGGGTCGTGAAGTATGCCCCCGTGCTGCCATTCGTGAGGTAGCAGTCACAGTGACTGTCGTCTGTAGTTTGATAGTCCGCACGCGCGTGTGATAATGTCGCTAATATGCCAAGCCCAGCGGTCCATGAAACCCCTTTGCCCGCCATCCCTATGCAGTCGTTCAAGTTCCAGCGCCCAAGGTCAAAAGTAAATACGGCAGAACCGAGCAAAACACAAAAGCCACGTTCAATGACGGTTTTAAGGTCAACACTTCGATAAGCCAGTTTCGAAGCTAGCCACGCCAGTGATGGTGAGTCCGGAGAATTATGTTGTTGGCGCACTTCAAAGGCACCAGGCGTACGCCTCTGATCTCATGGCGATGGCATATACCAAGACATGTGGTTCGAGAAATAATGGGACCTCGACTTGGAATATATAAGACAGAAGTATGGCGTCTGACAGATCTCGACACGCGTAAATGCAACGCTCAGCACTGAAATAGGCCCCAAGCAAGCACAAGCCGGGTCTGAATAGATTGCAGGTAACCCAGAGATCAGAAATGGGAAGCGAGGGGAGGGTCGAAGAGGCCGCTGAACCGCTCAGCCCCCCATTTTGCACAGACCTGACAGACTACTGCCATTGTCCATGCGAGAAACTTGGGGGTTCAAACGCCCAGACTCTGGCTAGGCTGATAGGCTGGTGCTCGAGGCTTGGCAATGGTTCCTGGCACATATATGGTGTAGGTGGAATGCAGGCTATATGGGTTTGTCTGTAAATGCAATGTTCCCGTGGATAAATTGCTTGAATGCAACGTGCTTGCGTTGACGTGGAAGCGGCTGAACTCATCTCGGCTCAATCTGGAACCAGAGATTAAGAATGTGGGTTCACGGGAGGCGCCGCATATAGATCAACTCTATATGAGATCTTAGGAAACAAACATATGAAACTTTCTCATCTCTAACACATCCCAGGAACAAAACTGATGAGGTTGCAGCCCGGACTGGACGGTGAGGCAACCGAATCCACGTCCAGCTCCAACAGACATTGCCCAGCACTATTGTTAGTGCAGTACGTACTGATCTAAGGCTAGGCAAACTTCCAGTGCAATGCGGGGACCCGGAACTATCGGCAGGTTATTGACAATTACCCCTACGCCATGGTTTCACTGGAAACGCCATCATGTGCGCAGACGGGCATGGCTGTCCGGAAGACGAAACAAAAGCAAAAGTACAAGGCCTGGACAAGACAGTAGCGCGGCTGCTTGCATGGAAGAGGTGCCGCACCGCACCGTAAAGATCTTCGAGTTGGCGATGGACCCCCCTGCATGATATGGTGCAGGTTCAGCAGGATTTGTCCTTCACCTAAACAGGTCAATAGAAGGATGCTGATTGGGCCGTGCAAGGCGATGGGCAATTCCGGAAAGAGCATCACCAAGACCCCCGTCCATCTCAGGAATACGAGATGTGTGCGTCGAGGCGTGCCGGGCCTGTGCCGCAGCGATGATTAGGAAGGTTGCCGCTATGGCTATAGTCAAGGCGATTGTAACAAGCGTGCATGGCGTGCAAATGAGACTGTTCAATCACTCGACGTGAAAACACAAGTCCCAACGCATGTACGTTAATGGGTCGGATCATGGAGTATTGCATGAACAGTTTGTCGGCAATACTATAGTCCGCAGCAGCGGCTTGGATGGCCACCGCCCCACCAGGAGCACGCGATAACGATAAGCCATTCAATGCTCCAAAGGTTGCCGGCATTGATTCATGGATCGTGATGACCACCTCTGTCACTCGTAGATCACACTCATTCGACGAGCAATTGCTTACAATTCGCACTGCTGGGACGGCATTCGCAACGACTCAGAGTCTACTCTTGGAGGTTGGCTAATACTTGAATGTATTATTCATCCAGACACGAGGACAGTTTCATGCGCCATGAGTTCTCCAACGACGTCATCTCGCGCTCCGGAAGGAGAGGTTGCACCTTCCACCGACCTCTCTCATGACCTCTCTCATGACCCTGCCATCGCCCGCGAGGTAGCTGCAGCATCTCGTGAAGCAAATCCGAAGCGCAGCGCCGAGGACGCGTCAACACCGGAATCAGATCATTCCGCGGAGTCAGGAGAGGTCTCACCAACCTCTGGGGCATCAAGCGAGGCTGAGCGTGGCACTGAAGCACCACCGCTTCCTGACGAGGCACCGCCGCTACCCCAAGAAGCCGCGCCGGCCGCAGAGGACGACGGCTGGGATTTTCATTGGGATGAGGCTCACCAGGCATACTTCTTCCATAATCACATCACGGGCCAATCCACGTGGGAAAACCCTCGGCTCTCCAAACCAACAACTGGCGAACCGAGCACAGCCAACGCAGCTGAACCGCCCAAGAACGAAAAGCCCCCTGCCGGTGGCTACAACCCAGCTATACACGGAGACTACGATCCCAATGCATGGTATGCGAAGACCGACGAGGAGAAGTCGGCAGGGCAATCTCAGCCCGTGGATCCTGCCGCCGCTTATGCCGCAATGGGCTCATTCAACCGTTTCACCGGCCGCTGGCAGAGTGATGAGCAAAACCCCGACCAACACAACGACGAGAACAAGTCTAAGCGCCAGATGAACGCTTTCTTCGATGTCGATGCAGCCGCCAATTCTCACGATGGGCGTAGTCTCAAGGCTGAGCGATCGGGAAAGAAGCCAAGCAAAACCGAGCTCAAACAATTCAAAGAGAAGCGGCGGGCAAAGAAGGAAGAAAAGCGCAGGGCTTGGCTGAAGGACTGAGTTGTTCAATTGCATGATTTGAAATGGCGTTACGGCAGGCATACACAATACCCGGTAATCATCGTGTGCCTACACCGGATATTAGAATTGGATTCAGTGCTGATAGCATTGCACTTTCGTTGGCGTAAGATGTTTTTACAAAAAAAAAAGGTAGAGGCGATCTTCGGTTTTGCTTTTTCTTTTTTCAGCCGGTTCTTTTCAGGATCTTCGACCACTGTCAAATGCATATCGCCCAGGCTATATGTAATACAAGGCAATTTTTGTCCAGGATCGTTATTATCGCTGTAGATCAGCTCTTTGAACTCGCCAGTGAATGCTCATATCACTCAGCCAGAAATGTTGACATGGTCTCTGTCGTCATGATATTGAGCACAAATGTCGACATGGGCACAAGGGGGATCAGAACAACTCAAAATTTGATTGTGACCAAACATCATATCGAGGCAAAAATTCACGAAGTCGCATCGCATCATATCCCACATTGTACTTCTGGATGCCTTGTAAGCCGCTCGTTAAATTTGAGTGACCTTTGAGGTGGTTTTATATTGTAATAGTAGAGATCTTTCTGGAAATTGAACATAAATCTCTGAGTTTTGGTATGCGCCACTTGCCAAAGATGGATGGCTACAACTGGCGAACTCCCAGACTTCAGAGCCCTGGTCCGAGAATGATGGTGCCTTGACCGTTACACGAGAATTGTCCCAAGTATGGACTCTCATGAATAAACAACAAATGGCTCGTCGCCAGGCCTGTCAATGAAGGACAGCTAACTCTACATTGCCCTGCCCTACACATTATCACCAAAACTTTACCTCTCTGGCGACCGTAGTAGACGGATTTGAGATGCTGTTTTGAATCCGAAACTCCTCCACTATTATCCCAAAGTCACACGTACCTCGTGAAGTCCCAAGAACGCCTGTGTCACATCCGACGACGTAGTCCAAGGGGAGAGGTGGGCTTTCGGTCTTTTGGACTGGCGTGTCTTCATTATTGTCAAGGCTATCGAGCAGATCAGAGAAGTAGCCCGCCTCCTGCGGAAAACACAGAGCGAGAATGTCGCGAAGGCTAATTAGCCAGCCCCTATCCTTCGCGCATTGGTAAATCGGCGCGGACTCTTGAATGAGCGCTGTCGGTATGTAGTCTAGGTCTCGTCGTGTTACGAGATCATGATCACATGTGAGCCCGGATCTCACGAGAGATTCTGCCAGTTCTCTGCTTTTCATGTACGGCATCAGTAAGTACCAACCCTCATGAGGCTCGGGTCGACCAAACTTCAACGATTTAAGAGGCCCAACAACTGAGATTTGTATGTTAGGATCGGCCCCCTGTCTTAGGAGAAGATCAACGACTTTCGCATACTTCTGAACGCAAGGGATTTCGTACATCAGCATGGCCCACAAGAGTGTCTGCCAGCAAGTCCAAGGGACTTTGTCGATGGTTTTGCTTCCTTTCCAAGAAACGCTAGCTGGGTTCTTGTTCGGAATCCAATTCAAATCAATGCCATTTGCGAAGAACTCTGCAAGTAGCTTGGAAAATACATCTAGTGTAAGACCTGATGTCTCATTCAGCCAATTCCATCTAATCCAGTCCCGAGGTCTCTTCGGCTTTTTGGTGTCGTTGGCTTGGCTGTGGTTGGCACGTTCATAGTCATTCAGATGAAAGTAACGAATCACATTCAAGAATGCCTCGAACATATGATGAGTCATGATGGGTGTCTCAGCGCCTGGAACTGCTCGTCGTCTCCTCCATTCACTATATTCGTAAATTCGTTCCCGGAGCGTTAGAGTCACAAGAACCTCATGCGGAGACCTGCTGGTGACTGGGAGACGCACTTCTTGGATGGCCAGCTGTATTGTGAGGTGCCGCTTGATCGCATCCCCTATAGCATCGATTAGGCTAAGGAATCTCGGGGATCCCGATAGACCCAGCAGAGCGCCGCATCTGATCAGCTCCTTCAGCCGGGTCTGCAGGGTATCCTCGAGTATATCAATCAATTCCAAACATTCCCGTTGAGGAATATCTTGCTTGGGCTTGAGCAATGGATAATGTGACGGAGGCAGAAAGCGAAGACAGGCCAAAACGGTTGAAAAAAGCGCGAAAAAAGGATCGAAGTCAGCCAGGTACGTACTCATCTGACTGAGTGCTGTGTCCGAACTCAAAAACTCGACGATAGAGCGGTGTGTGAGAGCAGCGTACATTCGCTCGTCGCCGTTTGCGGGCCACAAAGTAGCCTCGGCGATGCTAGCAATACTAAGGAAGCCTTTACAGTGACTGATAATTCTTTTGCGAGCGTTCTCTAAGCGCAGTTGTATATCTAAAGCTTTCGTGTCGGACCGTGGCTGGAATGTGGACAAGTTCCAAGTTGGTGATGCCTCGTCAAGCAGCATCAGATCCAAAAGACCTACTCCGTGATATGCTTGGCTTGACCGCAATAGCCCTGGAACCTGGAACTGAGCGAACCGTACCAAGGAAATAGCCCTATACACCCAGGTACGGTGATTTGCAGTGACGGACTGCAACAGATGCGGAAACAGGTCGTCTAATTCAGATGGGCAGAGTCGTATTTTCCGACGAATCTCGCTGGCGTTGGTTATATCACGCGATAGCAAGGCATCTTCGATTGTTGCAATCACCATGATTACCCATAAAAACACGCCTTCAGCCTGTTTGATCATGAGGTCTTTTATGAGTTTTGCTTCCTCGCAGGTTGAAGAAGAGAATAGCTCCTCGCGTGTTTGCCAGCAGGTTATCATCTGAGCCATGTCGTCACATGTCAATTCATGTAGACGTAATTTGGGATAGCCTGAGAAGAACTCCTCGAATATGCCGTACTCACGACTAGACACGCAAATCTTGATTATGGGCCGGTAATTCGTAGCCCAAGCTTTGAGGATCACGAGAAGATCCGCGTGGTTGCCTTCAAATTCGTCTAGCCCGTCAATAACCAACACAACTTTGTGTCTGTTTGTAACTTTGGATTTAGCCAGTATGTTCTCGAACGCCCGCTCCACATCCTGGTCCTGGATTGGATTTGGCCCCAAACGGTTGCTGCGAAGTCCTTCGCAGAGCTCTGGGAAAGCAGTCGTGGTAATATCAGGGCTAGACTCGAGAATAGAGTATAGCAACCCGCGAAGCAACCCATTGATGCTTTTCTATACACGGCTCTAGGAGTCAGTGCCACTCTTTTAACTAATATCAATGAACATACCTGCTCTGGCTGTCCAGGCTTCCAAAAGAAGAATCTGCCTACGAGAAGTGCTGATCCGGCGGCCCAGACCCTTAAATGGCGGCAGAAATTGATATGGCTGCAGATGAATTTCATGAGCGTTGATTTGCCCGCACCTGGCTTTCCAGCTATGTAGAAGAAATCCTCGCCAGCTTCAAGCCACTGTACGAATTGCTGCTTGGCTTGGACCAAGTTCTTGTCGAGGTGTTTGCACGTACCATCCACCGAGTTGGCCGTGTTTTCGTTAGCCAATAGCCAGTTGAAGGTAGCATTGTGGGCTTTAGTCACACTTTCAAAGCGTTCGTCATGAACTGACCGGAATTTGAGCATGTGCAATACCGCCGCTTGTTGTGCCCTGGCGAGGTCTTGCTCTGATTGAGATAGCAACATCCTCGGTATGTTTGTGAAGTGACCAACAGCAGAGCGGGTATCAGCGGCGGTTAGTTTTAAAGTAATAAGATCACACTGATCTGAACAACCACTCGTCCCAACGAGATCGAAACTTTTGATCGCCTCCGGATTGTATGATGGTTACTCAATACTGTTTGCGAACCAAAGAATCGGAACTTCTCACCAAACAGGATCAAATGATATTATAAGTTATTCTCGGCATCAATTTGTTGCTCCTTGTTGTTATGCCTGTATTCCAGTGGCCAATCCTGGACTTAACATGAACATAAGGTCATTCAAATTGCGATTTGGGTACCAGGCTTGGCCGGATAGTCCTGGCACAATTTTCATGCGACGGTGCTAAGCAGTATGGGCTCAATGTATTCAAGGCTGCCCTAAGAGATAGTCTCAAGAATGTATGACAAACCTGATTGTAGGCAGAACTGCCTCGCTTGAGCAATGTCTTTGGCAAATGATAATCCTGGTGTAGTGCTGTATTGATTTGTGTGCATTTGCAGTATGACAGACGCCCGCAGGACTTTCTGTCATGCACTGTGTGCAGCGGTTGGATGCGCCCGTCTTGTTATCGTGCATCAAGGGCTCTGACCATATAATACGTTGGATTGTCGGCCTGCCAATCTAGGACGACTTCTTAAGCGATATGGCAGGGATAGACATACAGATGACAGGGTCTATAGCCTCCCGGGCCGTAGTATCGCAGAAATTTTGCGGGCCAAGGTGGCTGGCGAGACCACTCTAATACTGTAAATATTGAATTATTGAATGCGAAGCTCTCAATCCATCCTAGTAGGCGCACACTTGGGACAAGCCATTGACCAGGGGGTGGCAGCCACAATTACCAACGACAGGCGCTGAGGTTGACGTTTTCCCCTTTTAGAATCACACCAATTGCGTTCATCAATGAGGTACATGCACGGGAAGTCGTAAAATATCACAAGGCTTATACCGAAGAATAATTTTGGGATCTTCTTTTTGTATTATACATAGAAAGATGGAACCTCTTAGAGAATCTTTTACTACATCCGCTGGTCTACATCCTCTGTTGAAATATTTCGGATGATGAGAATCATGTATAATTTCATTTGGTGTGAACTATTTACCTCATCTGGTCTTGTATAATATCAAACTGGCATAGATAGTGCTCCCCCAATCACCGCATCGCATCCCATCTGTTACTGTTCAACGCAACACCTGACATGGCACCTCTAGTACCGTCTTCTCCGAACATCTTGTAGCAATGCTGTACATGACTCTCCGTATCATATCGTGGCTCAAGTGTAATTCCGATCGTCTTGGATCGTATCTGTTTGCGCCAGTAGAACATACAGTGAACAAGGTGCCAGCGATGTGTCATATAGAACACTCCGCCCTCGGGAAGGTCTGCGAGTGCCCCCAGCTGACCAACGCTCAGTTCCTGAGTGTGTTCAAAATCCGCCCAGTATGTCCAACTTCCATTTGGGCCGTCGCCGGAGTGATTGAACAATTCGGTCAACTCGTCGTCGCGGCAGTGATCAGGCAGCCAAGCTGCTGCTAAGGTGTCATACCTGCAGTTTAGCTGCAGAGCTTGGGCGACTGAGTTGCCGCAATTGCAACCAGGCAGTGAAGGAGTGGATTGTGGTTTCTGACGAATATGGTTTTGCCGGTCTTGTAAGACCAGCTCGAATAAATTGAAGAGGGTAGGAATGGCAAGGACAAGTAAGACTATATCTTTGAGCACAAACATGGAATCGCGATAGAGGCCGCGGTTTCGAGGAGGTGCCTGTCCTTCTAGACTTTCTAGCAACATCTCGCTTTCCTCTATTCCCTTTGAATCAGCTGCTCTAGATTACTATGTCTAGTAGATCGACATCCAAGAATTCATTGAGGTTGGGCTTACCTGTGAGTGTTGAATCTCGCGTGAAGGCCATGGCCATGGAAGAAGATATTGGTAACGTTTGAAATGAGAGATGATGAGACTCAAGTCAAGACAGTAGTATTACGGTCACAATGAGATTTTTCCATACAGAGGGGAGAAAGGCACCGGCCAAAGCAATGTTTTGTAATATAGGGCTCTTGAGGAGACGTAACGAACGACCTTTGGATTCCACTTGGTGGGCAGCATAATTCAGCTTCCGCGCTGTGGTCCATGCCTCAAGATCAAAATACGAGATTCTTGGTAACAGTAAGTCCTCTCCGATGCAACGTTTTTGATGAATGTATGCTCCCCATACATGATATCAGCTAAACCCGTCTTGCCATCAGACTGTAGACGTTGGCGTATATTGATCATTTGGCCCACAAAACTCGGTTGCGGAGAGGTCTCGACTGCGTGGTCCAATCTTGGCGTGGACTGATCAGAGCATACTTGCATACTGAACTGCAGTGCCAAGTATGCACATTTAGTCCAGATGGTCATAAAATCGGCTTTAGAACCGTATTCGTTCTCATACATTGCGTACTACGAACTCCCTCCGTTGAAAATCACAGTTGTCATGCACTATCTGTATGAACTAATGTAAGACGACCGGCAACTCTAAAGGGGAAGTTCACGGACGTTCCGCAAGGATTTCCAAGAACTGCAAAATGAAACTTGAAAGCTTGTAAGAAGAATGATGGTGTCTCGATATAAGTCGAATCAACAAGACCTTCAACGCTCCAGGCTAGACCACTGTCCCTAGGTAGAATTTACCTGCCCGATTTGGAACAGACTACACAAGCGAGGATCAATCATTAACTACAGAGTAGTTGTTGTACCCTGAGATTGTTCTAATAATTCTCATTTTCATGTATGTCTCACACATTCCTAAAATCCTCCCATGTGTATAAATCTCCCATCTCCTTACCAGCAGGTATGGTTCAGATTGGTGAAATATTGTCCGAATTCAACTAGCAACTATCAACACTCCATTCTCTCCCTCTAATAATTACTTACTGCCAGCTTGGTATCATTCATATTAGATACAATATCTATAATTTCTCCAACATGAAGTTTCAACATCTCATTACTCTCTTCGCGGCAACCACCCTAGCCATTCCTCTTGGCCGTAATATCTCAAACGCCAAAGACAAGAGAGATTATGAGACGCAGGGCGCTGCCAAATGGCCCAGTCTCCCAACTATCGCAGAGCGAGATGAGAAGCGCAACTACGAAATACAGGGTGCTGCCAAGTGGCCCAGCCTCCCCACGATTGCCGAGAAAGCGTAGGCAAAAGGGTATGGATATTATATAATGAAGAAAACTTGCTGTACGGAGACTAACGCGTGACCACCCAGTCAAATTAAATCTCATTGAACATGGAGAGAAGGGAAGAGAGAGAGTAATGAGCTAGGTGTCTGGATTTTTGTCCTATGAGCTCAGATGAAATTGCCTGTCATTAATATTGTCTTACCTTGGCTCTCACAAGGTCCTGTCCTGTGCAATTCCTCTATAAGGGTGGATAGGTACAATTGCACGTGGCACACAATCATTCAAAAATGCTGATCTGATGGATTTACGGTCGGCGATGTATGTTGGACTAAGCTTAAGTCCTCTACTTTCTTTCGCGTGTTTCAAACGGAGAATAAATTACACGAAGTGATTACATTTTCTAGATCCAGACTTTTGTGGTGAGTTTTGCATATAGTCAAAATCGTATGAATAGATGTTGGGCCAATAAGGATGCATGCGGGGGGATCTGATGGCTGTGGATAGCACAACCCCCGTTTATGGCGTTGCTCCTCTAACATTAGTCTTAGGTTAGTGTCTTGCACTTTAAGGTATGGTTGCTTATTCTCCGGGTTTTTGGAGAATTGGGGAAGTCGAGTCGATTTCCAGCGTGGGCCAATAATAGAGTTTTCGTGACGACATATAGTTGGAGCGTTTCTACTATGATGTGACATTTCACAGGCTCTTCGTTTGCAGAGCTGATACATGTATCCCTTGTCATAGATGACCTAGACGCGTCTGCACCGCGTAGAGGCGTTGGCAGATGAGTCAAAGTGGCACGGAGATGCAATCGCCGAATGAGATGTTACAGCGAGATGCGATAGTGGATCTATCTGCCGGCCGCCCTGTCTGAGCAGGGGCGTGAATGGCACGATGTGGGAACCATGACCATTGAAGCGCCTTTGATAAGACAAATTCGTCCGCCAACATCTTCTAAGACACATTTCTGAATAGCCTCTTTTTTCCGTTGGAAAGTACCAAGAACGTCCAGATAACCCAATCACTCAGCCAACACGAGAACCAAGACTACAACATGTCCAAGGCATTCGTTCAACGTCCAGCTCCTGGCTTTAAAGCCATGACCGTCTTTGCAAATGGCGAAATCAAAGAGATCTCGTTGTCCGACTATCTAGGCCAATGGTGAGTTCTCTCCTACTTCGCCAGTCGCCTCCTGGGTGTTCCGAACACTTCTGCTTCTTCTTCCTCTTCTTGTTCAAACATGTCACATTCTGAATATGCTAACCACAACCTCGCACAGGGTTGTCCTTCTGTTCTACCCTATGGACTTCACCTTCGTCTGCCCGACAGAGATCATCCAGTACAACGACGCCCTCTCGCGCTTCCGCGCAATCAACACGACCGTTCTCGCCCTCTCCACAGACTCCCACTACTCGCATCTCGCCTGGCAATCACAGCCGCGAAAGCAGGGCGGACTCGGCGCAGACCTGCAGCTGCCCCTTGTCGCCGACCGCAACCAGAAGATCTCCCGCGACTACGGCGTGCTGCTCGAGGACGAGGGCGTCGCCCTCCGCGGCCTCTTCATCATCGACCCCAAGGGCACACTGAGACAGGTCACAATAAATGATCTGTCGGTCGGACGTAATGTCGAGGAGACGATCAGACTGGTCCAGGCCTTCCAGTTTACCGATGAGCACGGCGAGGTCTGCCCCGCTGGTTGGATGCAGGGATCCAAGACAATGAAGGCAGACCCGAAAGGCAGTCTCGAATACTTCAATGGTGTGCCAGACGAGGCTACCAACGGACACACTAACGGCGTCAAGAGGGCGCGTGTCGAGTAACAGATTCACCGTCAGTAGCAGCGCGTGTGTGAGGAAAATCAGATGATAGGGCTCATCTGGACCTATGTAGACATAGATGTAGATATAGACTAACCTTAGACCATTGGCGTTGTCTCATAAGGGCAGCCGCACTATAGCGGTCCTATCGGTCACTTTCAGTCTCGATTTAGTACGTCAAGCGGGTAGATGCTAAAACCCCGGGATGCTAGAAATGGTTTGCCAATAAAGTTTTACTGGTATAATACGGATTGACCTTGGAAATTACGAAGGTTCATGTGGAGTCATTACACTACAGTGATCCAACGTTAGTGAAAAGTTTATAGATGACAAAGAGTAAGACGGGTATAACACTACGACGGCAGTGAATTTGAGTATCTGAGAAGTTTGAGAAGTCTGTGATGTAATTGGGAACTCTTGTACTATATTCTTTCAATTCACGATAATCTACCACATATCATGCATAGCGCGATCTTGCAGCTATCTCCCATAGGCATGGGTGCTTCCATATTGTATTCCACCAGAGTAGGAACACAAGTCTTCTGTTTGCTTCTCTTTCACAGCCCTGTATACCTATTTCTCGATACCAAGTTCAAAGAGGAAACTGCTGCTGACGAGGAATCTTGGGCATCTCAAAATCGAGCTCTTTCAACGAGTGTTTGCGATGAAGAATTCCAGGCCCCACCGAGAACTGTTCCTTTTTCGAGTACCCAACATCTTGATAGCAACTGGCACCTTGCCTATAGTATGAGTACCAAGTTCTCGTCTTGAAGAAGTGAGCGCCGAGCTTGGCCTTCAGCGTGGTCCAGATTGCATTCGCCTCCCTGGCGCTGTTGTCGGTCTCGAGCGCATCGACGTGGTCGATGATGATAACCATGTCGTTGCCCAGCAGGGCAAGAAGGTGGGTGATCGCGTCCAGGCCGTCTTGGCATGTACATTTCGAGCCATCGATGCGCTTGAGATGTGCCAGCAAGCTAGCCTCGAACTGGGCGTTGTCGCTCCCGGGCAGCAGGTCGATCATCTGGACGATGAGAGAGTACATCAGCGCCAGGGTGCCGATCTCCTTTCCCGTCACCGCCCGGTCGTCCATGCTGGTGTTCTTCTCGACAAAGTCATTTTCCCGACAGAAGAAGGCGACGCGCTTCGTCTCTGGGACGCTGCGCATCTTTTCATAGACAGTCAGCGAGACTTTCCAGAAGTCCTCGTCAACTCCTTGAAAGTGACAGGACGCCGTGTCGATGTCGATCCAACGCTGGATATAGTTCTTAGCCTTGGTGCTGAGATCGTACTCGTAGCCGTCATTCCGGAGGTGTTGATGTTGGTACTCAGCGAACTGATCGTAGGTCCATTTCTCTAGGCGCTGTGCCTCGAGTCGCAGATCACCTTTCTTGCAAGATGTCATAATGGATACGGATCCTAGACCGACTAGATATCACTGATACAGCTCCTACAGCCTGTAATTAATGCTATGAATCAATGGGGTTGTAGCTTGGTTGCTCCCGGAAGACGTCTTGATCCCGATGAGGAATTTGCGACGAGATATAGACAAATCAAATGTCTGTATGCAAAGGCGTCTCGCAAAAGAAGTAAACAAAGACAGTACTAGATCTACGCCAGTCTAAAAGCAGTATCAGGCTCATTCAATTTATTCACGGACAAAGATACTCTCTATTTGCAAATCACAACCATGTCCTTCCCTCTGAAGTATACGCGCCCTCTTGAGAACCAAGCTGTCACGTGCGTCTGTGCTTAGGTTCGGCTGTTGTAAAGAGTGAGGTATGTTCACAACATTGTCTAGTGTCACTTTAGAGTATGTGTGCGATACGTCCCAAAAAACAATAGGTATCATATTGATCATCGTCTAGCAAGACCTCTAACTGTCAGCTAGCGATATGATCTTCTATTTGTACATGATTTTCATTCCGTTTCCATGGTCCATTAATTCCTCATGTTCATTTCTCGAAACCGACGCAAGATGCTGCAAAAGAAGCGCCGATGCAACTCCAGTGATCGTGAACCAAACATTAAACCCAATTGCCGAATGCGGCAGATATCCTCGGAATCGGCCAATCAGCTTCAAACTCCACATCGCTTCGTCTCGCTCCAACTCAACACCGCGAACAACATTACCGGCTCAGCTTGCTGCCGACACTGCTCATGGTGTCGCTCATCTTCTCACTCATCTTTTCGCCAAAATTACCCATCCACTGCGGCACTTTGATGCTCATCCTGACCCGACCTTCAACTACCATGCTGATCACATTCAGTAGAGCAAAAGTGGTGGATCCTATAGCACGGAACACCGCCAGTGCTGCAACGGCCCACATGATAAAGCGGAGATAGTAGTTCTCACCCAGTCCACTAGATCCATAAGCCTCCGAAACAGCCATGGCCAAGATAGCGTTTGCGATCATCCATACAACCACCATATATGTCCGCACAGATTTGTAGTAATCCTCCTGCAGCTGACTCTCAGAAACGCCAGGTTCGGGCACCTCGACACGGTCACGAAGGTTGCGAAGGGCCTCATCATAACCTGAATCAATATCGAGTTGCTCAGATGGCATTTCAAGTTCGACGAGACCACCTTTGCCAATAGCACCGCCGAGGTCGTTCTTCATCACGTTGTCTCCCTTGGTCCCCCAAGTAACATCATGCGTGTTGCAAAAGGCATAGACTTGGAGAGTGCAAATGTATGACGGAAGGAGCATGAAGTATTGTGCCGAAGAGGTGAACATATGCCAGGGGTCTAGGTATATGAAAGACATGAGGAAATACATGCCCACAGTTGAGCCCACAGACACGGTCAGGTTCGTGAACACGTTATTGCCGAGTGAAGCCGAGTTCTCTGTGGTGATTTGCTTGACTACGATGTAGATACAGGCAAATGTGTTGTATGCCATGATTATGCCGTAGATGATCATGCTAGCGAGGTAGAGCTTCTTAGCACCTTGAGGCCTGTTGCCTAGCGAGATGATAAACTGCATGGAAATCAGAAGCACACAGGTATATCTTAAGAGTGTGAAGATATATAAGCCGATATGGTGGCCAAATGGATCTGCAGACTCGTCTGCGAGGCCGCCTGCGATGAAGTAGAATGTTAGGTAGAAGTTAGCCAGGGAGAAGTATGTAAAGAGTAGCTGCAATAGTTGGTAAAAGAATTCGATGTGCAGTAACACTTTTCGTGCCAGAGTGTGATCAGTCTGCCACAATTGCTTAAAATGGACGAGCGAGTAGACGGCTGCAAAGAAAGCACCGTTCAGCCATCGACGTCGTTGCGAGATGAATTCCGGTACAGTATCTACGATGGGGTTAGCGAAAATGGCGTTCTATGAGGAGTACACCGAACTTACCTGGGACATCAGTCTCACCAGTGCAACCCTTGACATATTTCAGGACCCATCTTTCGTTGCGTTTGGCGACAAGTTCCCAACACAAGATACGATCCTCAGCTAGGTACATGTTGGCAGTGAAGACATCGGCGTGCTGACCATGTAGAGTCTCTCCCTTGAAATATTGGCTGAGAGGCCCATGACCCGTTTCATCATTCTGGAGAGCGTGATATCGGTAAGCGCTCAGAGCACCGGGCAACACTGTTATGTATCCGAAGACGGACTCGAGCGGCTTGTCCAGAATGTTGGACATCTTGTATTCGAAGTTCTGGGAGGCCACCAGCGGGTTGAGCAGTGAAGTACCCCACTTGCCCTTCATGGCTTTGATTTCACCACATGCGCCGGCAACATTCGAATCCTGATCGAAAGCTTTCCAAAGATGGTACAGCGAGTCTTTTCCTGGTTTCGTGCCGACGTCGAGAAGAATGCAGACATTGGGATTGAGCGCGCGACCAAGAGCGTTGAAGAACCACCTGTGGGAATTGAGCTTCTTCTGATTCTTCTCCTTCAGACAGAAGACCATTTGGCAAGGAACGATGCCCTTCTCGGCACCTTTGAACTTCAAATCCGCATCCAATGAAACCTGTGTTGTGTACTCGTAGACATGGGCCTGCACGGCTTTCTGGTTGACGTAGTTTTTGGCGATGCCATGTTGGTAAACACCCATGGCGGCTAATGCATCAAGTGTTCGCGGATGAATCTTTTCTCTTCCATCCGACACGATAGCCACAACGATCTTCTGCCATCCTTTTTCACCCCATGTCCTTGACTTGTTTCGACTGCAGAAATGGCTGATGTTTTTCATGACGGCGTGCATGGTTCGTGTGAAGCCGATTTCATCCTCGTTATACATGGTGACGCAAATGAACAACTCCGTCTCACGAGCAGTCTTCCCAATGTTTTGTCGCAACTTATAACCCTTCTCAACAAAGTCATCCGGGTCACACGTTACAGCCGTGTATCTCATGTGAGTGAACTCGACCTCGTCTCTTCGCGGCAAGAAACTGTACAGAATGGTCGGGATCTTGCACTCAAGGACAAGTTCTCCGTTGATCAATTGCACAGCCTTCTTCGCCATTTGGGGCGGACGAACACCTCGACGTTCTTGCATGCCATCTGGGGCTGGCCCATAGTAGTGCTCAGCTTTCTCGTCAAAAGGCGTTCCAGGTACTTCACTAAGAGTAACTTGGGATTCTGCGCCGTAGGAGTTACGGTGGTCAGCCAAGTCACTCTCATCAGGCCCGAACACATCGTCGTGGTCATGGTCTAACGGAATATTGACTGTCGCATCGTCTGCCATGAAAGCCGAATTCCGAGCTGAGCCGGAGAACAATGGCGCCGGCGGTAGTGGTCGACGCGGGCTACCGCCATATTGGGATGAGGGGGTTCCTGGTCTAGGGCTTCCATTGATATCTGCCGGCTCGTACTGGACATGAGAAGGAGGAGGTCGTCGAAAATCCGACCGTGCGGACATCCTTGACCATGGTCTGGTGGGGGATCCGCTCTCGCGCGGCTGATAATAGCTCGAAGTCGGAGGAGGTATGTGGGGAGGGTCGAGATATGACGAGTCTAGTGAGTTGACTGATGGTTGGTAGTTTCTGCGTGGGGTCGGTCGAATACTATTTGGTGTTTCTTGTGAGCTCTCGTTGCTAGGGGTCTTCTCTTCTCGTAAGATCAATCTGGGGCCACTTGGAGCCTTAATGGCATGAAGAGAACTTCTCCTTGGTGAGGGGCCTTCCGGTATCGTTGGTAAGCTCTGTAAGATATCTGCTTCACCCACTTTAGGTGAGCTCTTCTTCTTCTTCTTCTTCTTTCGCTGTAACTTTACAGTTGGAGTACGTTGCACCTTGGCAAAAACCTTGCGTTGTGGAGAGTCTGCTCTCGGAGAAGGTGGATCTAGGAAGGTGATGGATTTCGGCGTTGGTCCATCTTCCTGCTTCTTGAGCACCTCAAAGTGCTCTGGGGTAGAGACTGTGGGGGTTCCAGACGACTCCTTGTGCTCTACCTGCTGATTTTGCTTGTTCTTCTGCAGAACAAGCGGAGCCGGTACAATGCTTGAATGAGATGGTAGTACAGCTGCTGGAGATACATACGGTCGAGATTCCGGCAGTGGATCTTCCATCGATGTCAGCAACCTCACGGCGGCTGAATTTCCTCCTGGCGTATATCCGTTGTCATTGTCATCGTCATAGTAGTCCGGTGGGCGGTTGTCCATGGCGAAGATCTATTGCCAGCAAAGACGCTGACGTTTTCGTGTGTAAAACACCAGCCCCAAAGCTCTGAATAAGTGGAGGAATGTGTTGCGATATCTTTTCGAATATTCTATCGCTTTGCGCCTGATATACTGAAGCTTGGTGTGCTCGGCGACCAGGTTCTGACAGTTCAAAGCCGGACGATGTTGCTCAGAAGACAGGCAGACAAGGCCAGCAGCATGACCATTCAAGTTGTCAGAGATGATGGGAAATGATTATATCGTGCGCTAAGCGGGATGATATTGGCGGAGACATCAGGCGCAATCTCGAGCTCTTACATGCACACTTTGTTTGCGTATCGCCTTGCAATATGTTGACCCGGCAACGCGATCGGGATGTTTTTGCTAGGCGCCAAGCACAGGCCCAGAGAGCCCACCATTAGCGCTCAACCCCAGAGTTTGTGCCTTGCATCGGGACACGCTAAGAAGATGCTATTTTCGAAACACGATCGTCGCTCTGTGGTCATTACAGACTATGGCGTTCAATTCAGCCGCCTGTTTTCTATGTCGCAACTCTATGCAAACATGCTACGGTGACAAAAGAGGCTTGTGTATGCCCGCATTGTCTCAGTAAATGTCAAAACTCAATTCAAGAGATCTGTTTCGTATCCAGCGTGTCCCGCTCGCGGCGCTAGCTGTAATATTGTTTACTCTGCTTGCGGGTCACAACATTAATGCACACAACCTTTCCCCTTGGCTGCTTAAATCGCATGTAAACAGACAACAGCAGTATCGTTGCGAGATCTATGTCTCGTCGCAGTGAGACTCCATCGCAATTTACAATCAAGATGAATTTTTGTTTTGGGAGTTCTAGATATGCCAAGCCAGTTTATAAGGCAATAAGATTATGTTATATCTCAATACCGATTGTTAGACCAGACCACAGAAAGTCGTTTTATCCCATTCAGAGGCCGTCTCTCAAAAAAAGCTTAAATTTGAACGTGTTATAATGATTTGGGAGAGCCAGGAGGCACTGGACTGGGTTCCAATGCATCAGGCCATACCCCAGATTTCCCGCCAGCTCCGTTCATCTCTGCCCAAAGGACCTCTTGACCTGCCGAACCTCGCCTTTTCTCCCGAGTTGGCCTCGGGCAAGCAGAGCCACTCTCGGATGCAATATGGTATTTCCTCTCTCACATGGCTAATGGAAATAAGAGCTTGATCATCCGTCAAACCCCCTATCTTGACAGTACCATTCTTTGAAGCTTCGCTCTCAACCACAACCTCCGATCCATCATCCTGGGAGACGTAGGTCTTGTTTTCGCCATGTTCTAAAAACAGGAGACAGCGATTCCTTACACCATCATCCATGCCACTGCACGCTTCGTCTAGAACTACGATAGCAGGGCTCTTGATGATAGCGCGGAGGAAAAGAGACACGCGCTGTGCTGAAAAAGAAAGCTCGCCAAACATGTAGTGGTCCGCCCATGTCAAGTTGTCTTTTTCGGAGGAACTTGAACGAGCTGGGTTCAGCTCTGGTGCGAACCATCTGAGCACAGCTTCTACCTTTTCCTTGTCCTCTGGAGTAAGCTTTGCCTTTGTGCGGAATGTATCTGCCCAGGCATTTTCCAATACCTGACGAACAGTCAGACTACGAGGCATTAGCTGATGTATTTCGGGACTACAGTGCCCAATACGAGACTGCACATCCCATATAGTCAGAGGCAGAGCACCTGAGCCTGGTTCAGGTAATCGACTTCTGCCAAAAAGCTTGATGGGTAATGAGTATGTTTGAGGATGATCGGAGCAGATGAGTGATAAGATTGTGGTCTTGCCAGAACCATTCGGTCCAAATATACCCCAGCGTTCGCCTCTCCTGACAGTCCATAGGAGGCCAGTTTTTTCTTGGCCGCCAACTTCCTGTTTCCAATTGCCGAGGACCACCTTGCCACTATATTGGACCTGACAGCCGTCCATCTCTATCAAAGGCTCGCCCTGCAATCTAGATGCATCTGTGTCATGACCTGGAGTTCGGTCGTCATCAACGATTTCTTCACCCATCAAGGTCCTGCCTTCAATGCCATTTTTGGTCAGCTTCCTTCCCATTTCAGTCAGACTATGCACTGCGAGCTTGTGGTCTTCTTTTGAAGTGCCGTTCCAGACGCCTTGCACGTATCGCCGTAGCTTATCAAGTACTTCCTCTTTCTCGCCCATAGCTCCGACTTGACAGTCACTCCTGAGGTACACAAGATGGGTAATCCAGTCTGGTATTGGATCCTGTGGTCTGGCGCTTAAAACAAGGCGAGGGCTGGCTTTACTTGCCATACCATGTAGCAGTGGGCTCAGTCCAGAAACGGTAGGTGGATCAAGGCCCATGAACGGCTCATCTAGAAGCAGTACTTCTGGGGCAGTGAGCAAGGCTCTTGCAATTCTGGCCCTTCGTCCCTGACCATTGCTGAGGAAGGACACTGGCAGTTCGAGCAGCTGATCGAGTTTAAGATCATTGATTACGCGGTCGAGGAGAAGAGGATCTACCACTTCGTCATCCTGCTTCAGCGCATTCAGCTGAGTGTTGCCGAGCAGGAAGTCACGAAGAGAAAAATCTGTGTTCTCGCGCTTTGATTCGTACCGCGCAGCCAGGTATGCTGCCGCAGTGGACCCGCTGGTCAGGCCTTCATTGCTGAAACCGACATACTGGATTGCCTTGGTCGGAATTCGTAATTTGTGAGGCACCGCTTCTGTTGACAGGTATGGAAAGCTCCGTGCTGTCGGCGGGAAGCACAGGTGCTGGCCCCTCAAAAGCTGCAAGAAGGTTGTCTTCCCACTCAGTGACGGCCCTACAACGTACCAATGATTTGGAGGATCGGGCGCTGAAGGGAGTGCGAAGTTCAAATTGGAGAATAGTGCCGGGTTAGGATGTGTAGACGGCACATTGGGATGGTGGCGGTAGAATGTGCCATTGGCAATGCTAACTATGGGCGACCGAGCGAACGGAGGACGCATTTTGCTAATTGGGACACCTACAACACCCCCGCAATGTCCATTAAAGGTGATCTTTAGAAGAGTGGCTTAATCATAGTGACTCAAGTTTAAGAGAGGTCATGTTACATTATGCCCCGGTGCCGGTAACGGTGACGGTGGAGGTGGAGGTGACGGCGGGGATAATCGGGGATTAGCGTAGGATCTCTTGTGCAGATATTATGCAGCCGCCCCTGCTAACTCACGTTCAGAGTTATGCACTGATTGAGTAAGGCTCCTGACTTAGGCTCCTCCCAGGGCGTTCGTGTTCAGCTTGGAGCCTTCTGAGCGCAGCTGCTATTTGGAGCTTCCGTATCTACCTACCACAGGGCTTCTCGTCACCATCAACGTTAACCTCACAACGCAATCGCCGCATTTCTCGTCTACATCTCTCTGGACAAACGCATCAGAGCTTCCGGACACGCCATTACGGAGTAGAACAACCTGCCTCAAGGAAACAGCACCACACAGCCGCCAAGATGGTAAGCCACCGCTGCTATTGTCGGATGCCGGGCCTCCAGCCCACCACTTCCTTTTGTGCCCCAAGCTGATGTTTTCCTCTCGCAGTCGATGCGTCTAGTACCCTCTGCCAACCACTCCTCCTCCTTCACACATCTCAAGACCGCTGGCGCTCCTTCCGCGCCCGGCCTGCACGACACACTCCGCCACGGCGTCGGTCCCACACCTTCACACCTTGGCGAGCCCTCGGCTCCCGTTTCGCGACACCCGCTCGAGTCCCGCCTGAAGGCCTGGCAGTCCACCCAGGATGCCCTCAGAATGGAGACGCTGCGCAAGACGTTCGGCATCGCGGAGCCGATCCGCCGCGGCATGGAGGCAAAGATTGTGAGCGAGGGCTCATGGCGGCCGGCTGCGCTGGGCGGTGGCCCCGGCAAGAACAGTGTACACGAGGATATCCTGGCCGGCCGGGACACAAGCTGCGACTGGGAGGATGTGTTCACGGGCGAGGAGCAGCATGGCGCTGTGGGTATCCATGACGAGATGGAGCGGAAGTTGAGAATGTAAGATGCTTGATGATTCCATGACTCTTGGCCATTGTGAAGCCCAGCTTGTACGGAGACTTTTGCTACATAGATTCGGTAAACTGACCTGGACCATGTTTTGAGGCTCTAAGGCAGTGGGTGACGGCATCGAGGAAACTCCGATGCATGTACCATTAAAGTCTATTGCAGTTCTGTGATGATGCTACGCCATAGGAAACAGAGATGATGATCCTTGAGGAGACACAAACATGCGAAATACGCCAGGTGGATGCACTGGCCTTGTCATACCGTGCTCTTTGTAGTGTTCAAACCAGCGGCAAAAGCGCTGCCTTCTAAATGCATATCCAGCTATACACAGTGACCCTAAAACAATGACCCCGTAACCTATTCCCATGAGGCTGTGACCAAAAGAGAGAGTAAGAATTTACAAAAGCAAAACGCTGCGCCAGCCGGGCGATATTGTTTCCCATCCTCAATACCTCGTGTATCGGACAAGGATAGGTCTCCTTACCTGATCGTGAATCTGGCAGTTTCATGAACCACTGCTCAGAACTGCTTCCCACTGGATACTCAATCATGTGATATGCGCTTACCCCAACATCGGAGACGCGCTGTATCCCTCAACTTCTAGTCGCCCAAGTGCTGATATCGCACCAGTAGTCGTGGGCCGGTGAGGATCCTAGACGAGCCTGAGTCGCCATGTCCTAGCCTCTATAGCGAGGCTGAGCTGCATTCTAGAGAAACTGCTCCATCACAAGATTACACAGCATCCGCTACGCCCAGATTGCGAGCCCGGTTCCTTAAGCCGTTTGTTAGCCTCCTCCTCGTCTACGATTTCTTGCGGTTTGACCGTCATGTGGATGATGCTCGTGACGGACGGCGAGAAATCATATTCTGCAAGTAGTAGTCAGTATCAAATCAGATGCTAGTACGGCGCTGGTTGAAGGTAGACAGGCGGGTAAAACATACGGGATAGAGTCGCCTTGTCATCCAGCATTTTGCCCATTTTTATGAGGCGTATCGACGTGGGTTCCCGTGGTGGCGTCTCCCACTCCTTCCGCCATTCCCGTAGCACCAGCTCTTTCAGTGTGTAGACTGTAATGCTGAAAGGGTCCATCTTTCCGTCCTCTGTAACGCCAGTGACATTGACGTTTCGCTTCGTCAGATACTTCTCGTTGATTCTGAAGGGATGGCGGTTCCCGGTGGTGGGTATTATTATCAGAATATCCACGGTCAGTTCGCCCGGTACCGAGGGTTCTTGGCTCGAGTCTGCGGGACCAATTGCATCTTGGTCTGGGGAGTCTGCATGGGTTGCAGGAGCTTTGCCCAGAGCCTTCGCTGAGGGGTGTGCCGGATTCCCTGAATCGGTGGTGGTGTTGAGAGGGCCAGCATTCTCGTGGAGCGGTGTTTGCGAGGATTCGGCGTCGCGTGTCGAAGACATCGCATTATTCGCGGACGCTGGGTCAGCAGCGGCAGAGGCCGCTTCTGGGGCCTTTGCATCTGGTGACAAATTGTCCATCTCTACTGCGTCGGATGGTTTAGGTAAATGTTGTGTTGTTGATAGATTCGACTGCTCCTCGCGCGAACCGAGATCCCCACCCGGCAACTGTCCCGGCTGTACCATGGCTGCGCCGTTCGTGGCAAAAGAGTGGCCCTCGCACTCGATTGAGACTGTCGGATGACAAACAAGCTTGTGGAAAAGTCGTGATGTTGGATATCGGAGAACAATTGGATGTCAAGGATTCTAAACCGGCAAGGGAGACGTTCATGCGACACGGCTTCGTCCGATTGATTGATTGATCGACTGCCTGGGAGACAGGCCGACGTGCGACTACTGACGGTGTTTGCCTTGGCTCCAAATGAAGTTATATTGACAGTACCGGTCGACTAAAGAAAGTATGTATGTATGTATGTACAGTTCCTGGGAATACCTGGGCTGAAACGCTGTCGAGTTTACTAGGAAGCCAAGCGGAGGATAGGTACTCTATTTCATATGCAGGAAAACGAATGTAATTGCGACCAGGCTAAAGCACGCAGAGAAGCGAGGAATAATGGGCCGATGGGAACCAGAATGCTTGTACTGTGCTGTACTTGATCCTGCCCCGTCTGGAGAAGTGTATGGGATGCAGTCCGCTTAGAATGAGACCGAGCAAGGTTGCACTAAACAATTCTGCGGATGGAATGAAAAGTTGAAGAATTACGTGGTTGATCGATGCTAAATAAAATAGCTGACTACCGGCAATCAAGTCGCTCTGGATTGATTGCTTGATTGAGAGCTGAGACCTCGGCCAGGCACCGCACCAATGTTCGCTTGTGCCCACTTCAACCTATTAGGTATCAAGTAGACCTCCAGCAGTAGGTTGTAAGGTAATCCGTAGATGGATACGAATTAAATTGTTTGTTGGTATCCGAACGGGGTAGTCAGCATTAGTGAGGTCCGTCGCTATCATTCATCAAGGGGTGCCAAAGTCTGACATGGAACATTATTTGATCTGGCAAGTTCCTTTCTGATTGTTACTCTCCTTGACCGCGTTATTACCAGATACACAGCAAGCGCCTGTGAAAACCTGATTCCCATGACATTGAAAGTACCCTTACGCACCTCGCTTGCTTTGACATTGGGTTCGGGTTTCGCTCCAGGCTCTCTGGACTCCTGTGCTGCGGGTGGGCGGGAACTGGAAACGTTAGCGATGAATCGGGGCTTGTTGGCCTCGAAATGGAGGGGAGGGAGGGGGGAGGCTCCACTGTCAAGCTGGGCCCGTGAACCATTTTCCAGCCAATTGTCGCCTCCTACGCTTGCCTACGGGAGGTTTCAATAACGTGGGGAAACGATCTAAAGCATAAATTCGCCCACGGAGTGTCGCTGTCACGTCACCTTGTCAGACTCGTGGCTAGGAATGAAGCTGAGTTTGAGAGAAAGGGCACTTCCCGGAGAAACTCGTTGACCATATTGCTCAAACCAAATCCGACTCAGGTACCGGAGTAAATTTGGCGAGACAAACCGCTATTACGGTCCGGAAGAGATATCTTTCTCAGCATGCTGGAGTAGAGAGTTAAATATATTACTTGATCACACAGCAAGTACACAAAGCTGCACTGAGGCTGGCTCTAAATTCCGCCTCGCCATGCTGCTACAAAACAACCAAAGTGTTAGGCTCAATTCTGAGATGGCCTACCTACGAGTATACCCTGATAGAACGAAACGTCTCCTTCAATTCCATATCGTACCAGTGATGTCTTTCGTGCTCCAGCACTGACCAGTAACGTTAACTCAATTGTCAACCGAGTGCCTATCAATGTTATCGAACTCTCCCAAAACAATCTGGCGAGCACCCGAGTCAAGGAATGCCTAACCTTAGGGCACTCGGCAAGGTCCCCCGGCTGAATACTTGGCACTGCGTCCCCCACCTCGCCCTACGAGCAGGATATCGACAAGTCAACGAATCAACTGACAAATATCTGCAACGAGTCGTAACGTATCTTGACTGATGTTGCACGGCATACGGGAAAGTGTTTTGTCAATTTGTGTTGGCAACGGTGGCGGTGTCATCTTCTCTCCCCTTGAGCTTTTCAAATTGTATGGCTTCCAGGGTCCTAACCTAGTCCAGAGTGATTGTTGATTTGCATTAATGGGTGGTGCAGTACGTAGCTGTACTTTGTTGCTGGCCACTTGGCCTACTTTAGACTAGTCACTGTCATATGCGCATCCTGCCCACTGCGTCCCCAAACACCGCCTCTGAATGCTAGTAGCGATTACAGTAAGTACTTGGTGGGTGAGGGGACTAGCAGAATGTGTACACTCGACACCTTGTGTCCAAGAAGACAAGATAGCGGGACTATTGACGATATATCATCCATCCGCAGACTCTTATCAAGTGCTTTAACTGCCAAGGTGCTCATATATTCTTCCTAGTATTATTGGTGTTTAAACTCATTCTCAAGCTTTATGAGGCAGATTGGGACTACGGCCTGGGGAACATCAACTGGCACATGACAGCGGGTCCGCAGCCAAGTGATAGGCACTTAGTCACGAGATGCATTGTTCAAAGCTTGTTGAGATCTGGGCAAGTCTAAAGCGACTGAGGTACGGTTTGTGGGTTGGCAGAATTACAGCCTTGCAATAGCTTTGGGATCATAGCGATAACACATCGACAGTTTGTCATGCTGAGCGGACAGTCTGAATCATGCCAAGATAGTGCCATGGCTATGATGACTTCTTCGCCCTGGATTGCTCATCGGCAAAACCTACATAATTATAGTTTGTCCAATCATGCGTTTAATAGCGGCTTAGGTCTATTTGTTAACAATCCTTCGAAGGTGGAAGAAGAGGATTAACCTAACAATTAAGCCGCCGCAGGACATGGTCGATGTGGGCTGTGCAGTGCTTACTATGGCAACTTCTACTCCAATTGTGAGGACGAGGTCTACCGGAAACACGTTGTGTCTATCCCTCGATGTAAGAACAGTTAGTACATTAACACCATTCACTATCTTACACTAAATGAGAACTCACCTATTCCAAGGGTCCTTCTTATTCTTACTCTCCAGATACTTTGTCTTATATTCAAAGTAGATACCTTTCCAGGGAAAAATTACAAGTTTTATACGAAATTACTTCAGAAACGAGAACATAGTGTGCGCTTGAGAGTAGAAATGTGTTTGAACATTGTACACCTCCAAAGAGTGGTCGATGATGCATGGGTAATATAAGCATCTTGTGTGTCATTCTCTTGATTATGCAATGCCATCGTATGCTTAGGGGTGCAAAGGACGAGGTTATTACTGCCAAACAACATGTATGAAGTCCGGTACTTTTATATCCGTTCGAGCCGCTTTTGAGTCAAGACGCTTCCTTATGATTCCCCGCTGCTTCAGACACATCCAACATGTGTACATTGGAATTGAGTGCGAGGGACTTTTTAGTAATATAACGTCTATGGCATGTACCACAACTGTGCAGTGTGGGCAAATCGTCTCTAAGACTCTATATACACGTTCTACTATTGATCTTGCATTTTGAAATCTTTAACTATTGTATAGATATCCACGTTAGAGGTTTAGTTTTGTTATCACTGTGCCTTAATATCTTATTTCATGTTCACCAATTCTCAATTACCGTGTCACCACAGCCAGCAATGCGTTTATCACAAGTTGTTAACGGTTACAGGAAGGTTTGAAAGTGCCCGAGTCGTTCAGTAAGAAGTCAAAATAGCCACAGCGCTTGCTGAAGACTATAACGGAGACGAGTACTATAGTAAGAACGATCGATCGCGGCTAACACCCGTTGCACCCTTGACTCCACTAACCTACATGATCTGCTGAGAATATGTGCAACCAACCTTGGCAGTCACCGTCTTTCCGCGACCATTGGAGATGTCGTTTTTCAAAATGGTCACTACCGAAAACGTCGCTTGTCCAGGTCGCGGATTCGCGCCTATGAGGATCACCAGAGTTCAGGAGATCTGATAAACTCCAAAAAAGCCATCAATGAATTGAGCCAAGAAAGCGTTTTCGGCTCCGGGGTGTGGATATTGGGCACGGCTAGCGGGCCGGTACTCATCTCCAATATATGCGTTTACGGCTGATTACGTCACTAGCACACATCATTAAGCTCGGGTATATCGGCTTTCGAATGGCAATCATGAATTCCATAAAGGCTAAAATGCTGTTTGACGAAATATTTTGGTATATAATGAAATGGGATCGTAGATTATGCATCGTTGGTGTCTCTTGACCATATTTCGAAGTTGATTCAGCCAGAAGCACGTCGCCACCCAACTAAGTATGACAGACACATCACACTACTCGGACGACTCGTCCTCGGACGTAGAGCTAGGGACAGCGTCTCGAGTCCAGCCCTATAGATCACGATCAGGCGGGTACCATTCAGAAAAAGAACACGATGGACATCGGCCATGCGACTGTGATGACGACCTGGAACAGATGGCCTCTCGCGCCAGTGGCAGATCACGAGCTAGTCGACCAGACATCAACCGTACAGAATCATTGGTCTCTAGAATACGATCACGACCCGTACCTAAGTTTACTCACCCATTGGCACGGCAGAAAACAACACAAGATCAGCTCGTCGACTTCGAAGGGCCGGATGACCCCTTTCATCCCCTAAATTGGTCACTACACAAGAAAGTAACCACCACGATGCTTTATGGTCTCGTGACCATGACAGCTACGTGGGCTTCTTCTTCGTACTCAGCGGGCACGAATCAGATCGCGGAGGAGTTTCGCGTTGGCACGCAGGTTGCAGTTCTGGGAACGTCTCTATTTCTCGTCGGCTTCGGTCTCGGGCCTCTGTTGTGGGCACCACTGAGCGAAGTCTACGGGCGGCGTCAAGCCGTCCTAATACCCATGTTTGTTTCCATTTGTTTCTCGTTTGCGACTGCAACGGCGGAAAACTTGCAAACAATTATGATTACACGGTTCTTCGGCGCTTTCTTTGCTTCTGCCCCCGTCACCAACACCGGCGGCGTCTTAGGTGATCTGTTCTCCCCGGCGTATCGCGGAATCGCGATGGCTGGGTATGCGATGGCTGTCGTAGGTGGACCAACCCTTGGGCCGATTGTGTCGGCTGCTGTCGTAATCCAGCCATGGCTTGGCTGGAGATGGACAGAGTACCTTACAGGAATCTTACAGGCGTTCGTTTTGTTTATGGCAACCATATTCATTGATGAGTCTTATCCCCCCAAGCTGCTCGTCTATAAAGCGCGACGACTACGTCATGAAACTGGCAATTGGGCCTTACAGTACGTATAAATACAACCTGCACCCTCGAATTTCCTTCATTACTTTAGGAGGATCTATTCCACAATATTCTCCGCTTATAGGCATTTCGAGAGGTGAAGCTAGTGGTCTTGGTCAAATCAAAATCCTGGAAATTACTCCCCATTGTGACGGAGAAATCGACTAACTCTTCGTAACGCAGTGCCAAGTTTGAAGAATGGGATGTCAACATCAAAGAGCTTGCAAGGAAGTTCTTGATCCGTCCAGTCCAGCTACTTTGTACACCCATCTGCTTCCTTGTGGCGTTATATGCTAGTTTCTGTTACGGCATTCTCTATATGCAGCTTGGTGCAGTCCCTATCATCTTCGGAGAGATCAGGGGCTGGAACTCGTTCCTCGCAGTGTTACCCTTCCTAGCACTCATGCTAGGCTCACTAACAGGGGCCTTTATCAATATCGCCAACCAATTCCAGTACAACAAGGCATACCACGCTGCAGGTGATCGTGCTGTCCCCGAGAAACGTCTTCCGCCAATGATGCTCGGGTCGGTTTTATTTGCGGCAAGTCTATTCCTCACAGGCTGGACGGCTGATCCTAGTGTGCATTGGATTGTGCCGATCATTGGGTTGTACTTGGCGGGAACTGGCTTCAACACAATCTTCCAAGCGGCTCTTAATTATCTTGTTGATACCTTTCAGATGTATGCAGCGAGCGCGGTAGCAGCAAATACGTTCTTGAGAAGTTGTTTCGCGGCGGCCTTCCCGTTGGTGGTATCGCCTCTTTATCATAATATAGGGGTTGGGCCGGGCTCGAGCATATTCGGCGGATTCGCATGCTTGATGATACCAGTGCCATTTATATTTTGGAAATATGGAAAGACGATACGTGCTGGTAGCAAGTGGAGTAAAGGGAGCGTGTATTGAATTATGATCTTGCCATAATATAGAAAGGAAACGGCAGTTTTAACGACCTTCTCATATGTGGACAATTTCCGGGGCATTGGATACTGAGGATTGCCATGAATCTTACCTGTAACATTAGTCTAAGATTACACGGCAAGTGTTCATTTATTTGTTATCGAACTCAGGGTGTTAGCAACCGTTGCTTGCTCAAGGTTCTGGAAGGTGGTCTATTGAAGAGGCTCAGGTTTATGATTACACTTGGAAAAGGGAGAGTCGGAAGGGAGCGTTACAATCATGTTTAGTAAATCAATAAGCCACCGAATATGACAGCAGGACAGTGACTAGGCACCCCCATGACCGGTCATTCGCACCCTTCTTCTTCTTCTTCTTCTTCTTCTTCTTCGAGCAGCCCGCCTACGAAACACACTACAATCAAAGGGCACCGTCCGTCAAATAGATAAATCGTCTAGGTTACTAAGGTGGCGTATCCGGCTTTTGGTACTCCCACGGAGCGTCGAACTTCAGGTTCCAACAATTTAGACACTCGTCAAAGTAGTTACGTGGTCCGCACATTCTCCTACCATGCATGTTCATATACCTCAGCCTCAATTAGCTGCAGCTCTTCTAGGGTTTTGACAACCTTTATATGATAGCGCGGCTTTTCTAAATAATCGCAACGCCAGAAGTGTCGTGTTGATCGTCTTGCACGGTTGTGTTTCTTTCAATCGGTACAGGAAACTCGTTCCCCTCTGGTCGTCACACCACCGCCTGTGGTCCCGGTCCCGAGATAATGACTGGCCACAAATTCGGGAGTGTTCTTGACAGTATTTCCTAGAGCAAGCTGCAAGTGGGCAGTTTGCTCAGGGCACTTGGTATTATGACCCCGACATGTTCCCAAATTCTGCCTAGGCAATGCTAGGTCTGGGTCGTTTGTAGTATTGACTACCTTTGACTTGGCTTTTGCCTCCTCAAGTCTCTTTAACGAACTGTTTCGTGTTATCTTACGACGAGTAAGGTATAGAAGAAATAATAAATAGAGAACGTGGAGGGTTAGGGGAGCATTGTTACTATGGCTATGAAGTCGTTCATTTCCCTTCTTAGAATCAGATATATCAACTGAATGGTCCAGGAGATATATGCAGAATATATCGCCGCGCAGACTCACAGCGCAGACTCAATTGATAGGAATTATCTTCGTGGTGTTACTTGGTTAGAGACATTATCTTGGAATAACATGATCTATGTATTATTCCCCCAAAGTATCATAGTCCATAAACACCGCAAAATATATTGAATGAGATATATACAATGTATCAGGCTTTTGGGGTAGACTCTGTTCCAGGACAATGTCAAAGACCTATGCTGAAGCCGAATGACCCGTCAAACACATCAAGGTCTTCAGGTGCCTTCCCACCACGCATGCCCTTTATCACATCAACTTCCGGCACTTTCCCACCGTTGTAGTATTTTAGGATATTGTCCATATCCTCATCAGTCAGATCGCACATCTCGTTCCAAGTCAGCTTATCGCTCACTTTGCTCATCCACTTCATCCTTTTGGGTCCCTCCGACGTTTCTGGTGCAATCTCTCGCAACTTCATCCTCAACCTTCCTATTCTCTCGATGGCGTTGCCCACATCCTGTGGTAAAGAAGCCGCAATGAATTTCCGTATGCTAGCTGCCAGTCTCGGCCCTTTGCCGTTGGTCGACACCATAATTTGTAGAGGTCCGTCTCTATGCACGGAACCGAAGTAAAAGTCGCACTCAGGCGGCACATCAGCAATGTTGGCGGCGATGCGTAATTTCTTGCAGAGCTTCCATATTTGTGACGAGGCGTCTGGGTCGTCAATGGCTACGAGAACCATGTCTGGTGGACCTGTCCTTTCTGCATCGCCGGAGGGATGTGGAAGGGCCTCGAGGTCGACGGGTTCGAAGAGTCTGTCGATATGCTGTACTTGTTTCTGCTCAACTCTATGCCGTACTTCGGGGTTCAAGCCAGAGTATGGACAGATGACGGTCACGAGGGCATCGGCATCGAGGACGTTCAGGATGCGACCTGCGGCGACCTGTCGACGTAGCGGTTAGTACTCGGGTCTATTGGTGGGCTCAGTTTCCATGGCCCTCGGTCATTACAAGGGTTGCGAGAAGACCATTATAAGTTACTAAGGACCGCTGGATCGAAGAGAGAATATAGGATTATCTGCACTCACCTCACCACCGCCGACGACTAGCACATGCTTGTTCTTGATTTGCCATGCCAATATCAAGCTACCGCCACCCTTTACATCAGGAAATTGCTCTTTTGATCCAGCCATGGCGATGACTACCTGTTTGAATCAGTTGTTTATGAGTCGTTTCACAAGGCTCCGAAAGAGCGTTCCCTGGTTTGTTCATACCATAATTTTTTCTTTGTTAGGTGATGATAATTCAAGCGTCCACGGAGAAAGCGAGCTGCGATGACGGCACGAGCTTTATCGTCCAACCATAACTCCAAAAAAAAGTCATCCTTGCAAAAAGCTGCTAATCCCTAGGTTAGTCTAATCCCTACTTACATACTGTACATACATACGGATCCGTACATGGATACCACTTAGCAGGGCGATAAACGCATCTGATAGTGGAACCCCGCCTGACTCCCTGAATCTTCATCCAGAAGTCAGGTCTTGGTGCGTACTGCGAGACTGTAGGCAGCTGTAGGTTAACTTACTGGAGTTTGTTTATGGTTAATTGATTTAGACCTAGGCTCCGTGACTTGCGGGTCCCCTGTCCAAGTCCAGGTGCTGTAGGCCAGGAGAGTTGCCTCGCGACAAGGCGTTGCTACTGCGTACAGCACTATTGTAGATACGGTACGCCAGAGGTAACACGGCAACGTTAGCTAGGTTAAGGCATTGTGACCTGAATTCTTCATCCAGCTCAGTCCCAAGTTAGCCCAACGTACAGTAGGTGCTTGGATTAGCGGTTCAGTGGACAAATTGGCTGATTAGCACCCAAATTGGCACCCCGCAGCCGTGGGGTCCCGGGCCTTTGCACTAAGCTCCATCCTCAGGCCGCCTGCGGACCGCCTTCCATCAGTGGAACCAACCAACCATATGATCCCCCATCCTTTCACTGCTGCCTCGCCATATTCTGCCAACTTAATTGCTCGGACGTGTCTTGTAGGCTCAGAGAGATCCAGACCTTGGCCCCATGGCTTTCCGCAGTCCATATTTCCTTTTCTAGGAGAAGCCTGCCCATCCGACCGCCATGTCGAGCCGCAAACTCGGCGGGGGCCGCGTCCTAGGCAGTGGAAAGGGTCTCGCCCCGCCGAGCGCAGCGGCAGCATCGCCAGCAGTTCAACGGGCAACGAGCCCTTACGCCCCCTCGGACAGTACGCCTTCGATCGGAGGATCTATAGGAGAGTCTGTTCTATCCCCAGGCTCTGGCTCGCCAAGCTCCACCAGCCCCTTGCCCGGCCTCGCTCAGGATCTGGCTTCAAATATCAGCGTAGGAGGGCCCAGCAATGGCGCAGCCGCGGGATCAAAGCTGGTCTGTCCTATATGCGAAGAGGAGATGGTATGTTCACATACTTGCTCGTAAAGCGTGCATCCGTTTGTGTGAATTTGGGTCCGAGCATAGCTAATTTGTCTTGGCCGCAGCTGACTTTGCTTCAACTGAACCGCCATATCGACGACAACCACCAAGAACTCCCAGACTTCCAACAGGATGAGGTCAAGACCTGGTTTGATAAGCAGGTCTTGAAGGCCAAGAAGTTCCAGCCACTGTCGCTCATCAACCAAAAACTACGGGGTCTAGAAGTGTTTGAATCAAACGAGGCCGCCCCAGTTCCGAGCCACACAAGAGACATCCCCGGCTCGAAACCACCTGCCCTGCTCGAGTCGCCCTTCGATCCCGACGATATCATTACCAAGTCGCACTGGCAAAGGTCAGGCTTCAATGACTTCTGTACTGATCCAGCTTGCGGAAAGGGTCTGGGCGCGGTCAACGGGAGCATCAATTGTCGGAGTTGTGGGAGACTGTTCTGTGAAGAGCATACTATGTATCAAATGAAGCTATCGAGATCCGCGGCCCACGATCCCATCAGGGGTCACTGGTACAGAGTTTGCGAGACCTGCTATAAGTCCCGAGAAGGCTACAACGATCATAACGGGCTAGCAAGGGATCACACGAGCGCATTCACAGAGATCCGGAAGAAGCGCATCGATAGGCAGACACTGGAGATATCCAGGTTGGAAAAAAGGTTGACAAAACTGACGCAACTATTGGCAACCCCCCCTGAAGAGATGTTGAACGGTAACGGCGGACCTGGTGGGAGCTTGCTGTCGCCCGTCACATCGTTAGCTGGCCAGAGAAATCAAAGGAAAACCATTGAGCAGTCCGTAGTCACATGGGAAGAGGACGCGAAAGTCAGCAAATGTCCATTTTGTCAGCAGGAATTCGGGTCGTGGACGTTTAGAAGACACCATTGCCGGATATGCGGTCGGGTGGTTTGCGCAGATCCTCTGACTGGTTGTTCATCCGAAGTAGGGTTGAACGTTGCCAATTCGACCGCGCCCCCTTCGGAAAAGTCCGGTGGAACCTCAATAAGTGTGGACATTCGCATGTGTCGTGGTTGTAAACACACGATATTTGCGAAACGGGATTTTACCGACACGGTAGTGCACAAACCACCGGACCAGCGAGCATACGAAACACTACGACAGTTTGAGCGAGGTATACAGCAGTTCATGCCTAGCTTCCAACGAGCACTGCTGCCGTTACAGGACGAGGATAAGCCGCCCACGCATGCTCAGATCCAAGAGGCCTCGAAACTGCGAAAGAGATTAATCGACAGTTTTACCAAATACGACATTGCGGCAAAGCGGGTAAGAGATCTTAAGACAGACAGTCCGACACAGAAACACCTACAGAAAGCGATATACCAGGCAGCAAGTGCATTCTTGCATATGCATATGTTGCCGCTCAAAAATCTGCCCAAGATACTAAGGCATTCCTCGTCATCTGGATCGAGGCGTCTACTACCCAACGGGCACACACCTTCGCCTCTGCGCGGAAACTCAGACTATCTCGACACGGCCTCTCAGACAAGTGAGACGAGCACCGTCGTATCAGCGCTCGAGACTGAAGAGAAGGAATTACGAGAGAAGCTCATTGTCTTAGAGGAGCAGAAGTACATGGTACAGTCCATGATTGCAAACTCGCAAGGAGCAAAACGATTTGAAGAGGTTAGTGCTCTCACTCGGAACGTCGATGAGCTAGAGAAAGAGATCCAGAGTGTCAGGACCAAGGTGGGCGATGTGGAGGATAGATGGGAAGGACTTTATGCTGGTGGAAGACCTGGTGCTGCTTAAGGATATTGATTGGACTACATTAATTACTGGCGGAGCGATATGTTGCCGGGATGCGCATATTCGGGGCATAGCTTACTTTTACCCAGCTCGTTGCATTGCATGGCGTTGAAGGCCGGGGCGATTAGGATCATGAGTGGAGGTTGCATGAGTGATTTACCGCTATGATATTGCAATTGGGTTTGCAACACTTGAATAAATTTACAAATAATTTACTACTCGTTACTTTGGGTAATCATAATGTTCTCCCCATTACATAATCTAGCTCATCAGCATGCCCCGAAATAGACCGCCTAATCTCATCTTGTCTCCAACAGTCTCAGTCCCATGAACCTGGGGGTTGAAGAACTCAAGTCTGGCCTGGATTGCATTTTCATCGCCCTCTCTCATCCAGCGTCTCCTGCTATACCTCACCAGCTCCTTAAAGTCGGCCTCTCGCCTCTTTGGCTCTTCCTTACCGGCATAACTCGTCATGTACGAGGGCAATGGGTACACAAACAGTCGATCTTCCTGGCCAGGATGCAGGCGACTCTCCGTTTGCTGCCCGCCAGGTGTGGCATAATGGAAAGGCCTCATCCTTTCCGCATCGACCGTCAGCTCAGGCAGATATAACTTCGTGCGTCTCCGCAGGGGTTCCTCAATCGCACTCAGAGCCCAGGTTTCCCGCACTTCCCACCAAAAACGGTCCTCTTCCACAAGATCCAGACGAAGAGTCATGTCTTGGAGCGCTCCGGTGCGGCAGAGATCAGACAGAGCGATGCAGAGCTCGTGCCATTTGTTTTGCCGTGCGATAAAGCTCGAGTTGGGCGTTTTCGGATATATGTGATTGTGAAGGGATGGGTAAGGAACGCAGAGAGAGAGCTCAATGGAACGGATATGAACAATGTACGGGTTGAAAACGAAGACCTTGTGTGCCAGGGACAGGGACGTCAAGACCAGCGTGAGGCGCGAACAGAGGGAAGGCAAAGCTTCGTCGAACCTGGTATTGGGCATCAGTGACAGAGCAATTTCGAGGAGGCTCGAACGTTGGATTGAGCTTGGCTCACAGTCGCTTGCAAGTTAGAAAACTGTACGTCACTGGTCCGTTCATCTTCGCCCCCTGTGCTCTGCAGCTGAGCATGGCTTCCTCGCATCTCCAATGATCCTGCCATGCAGAAGACATTCGTCTCGCCCACTCTGCATCATGAACCTAAAAGACCAACAAACGTTAGCAGGCATGGTCTATTATGGACGGAAAAGGACCCGGTATCGGTTCATTCTTCGGAAGAATTGGAATATGCATGGGAATGGCGAAGGGGGCAGCGATATGCATACCATGGACTTCGGCTGATGTGCCTGCTGAGATCGCCACAGCTTCTCAAAGTCTTCATTCCTGCTGTCCTGCTCGCCGGGTTCCAAGAGACACGGAAAATAGCTTGTACTGCCCTCGTGCTCGAAGACATGCTGACGTGACCCGAAGACTTCCCAGCAGTCGAGATAGATCATGTCTCGAACCTCCCTTGGAAGCTTGAAGAAAAACGGTGACTGTAGTTGCAGGTCCATATTGTTTTCAAGCCCGAACTCCATAACTTGGTGTACCCGGGAAGTATGTTTGAGAAGCCAAGTCAAACTTATGTGAACTTGAAAAGGAGTGAAAAGAAAACGGTCGCACTGAAAAGCCTCACATAGAGGGACACAAGGACAGGATCCAAGCCTTAAGCAGGTGACCATGTGCTTAAAAGCACGAATAGGCCCCCTGGGCTTCAATTCCAGTGCGGCATCGCAGGCAGCACAACAAGCAGGTAGGTAAGGCCACAGCCGGTCTGAGACCGTAAGCAATGATACGATTCTCCCATTGGTGGTGCTGAAGGATCAGCGGGCGCCCCCTTCTCGATGCCTTTCGTGGGAGGAACTATTTTCCCGGTACAACGGCTTCGCATAGTGTGACCGGGTTGCGATACGTCGCTAAAGAAAGCAATCGATATTGCAATACAACTGCAGATTTCTCTGCAGTAGAGAGGCCAGAAAGGGATTGCGAAAATGCATATCATCGGTCATGACGATCTAGATTGTGACTGTTGGAGCCGTTGAGCAATGTATTGGTCGCGGAGACCTACCGGCCCTAGCTCAATAGAAACAAGCGCGAATGAGTGGGCTGAAGCACAATCTATGACCAATGATTGCCTGTACCAAAGGACTGGATCTCCAGTCAGCTCAGTTCATTCTTATGGACCCATTGCCTTGCCCCTTGTTAGCCAGTAGCCAGGTTAGATCGAAGGTTGGGCATTGGGGACTATGTAGACTAGGGTCAAATGCTCATGGTTCAATATTTGCTAACACCGTGCGAAGGGTAAGCGAGCGTTCCAACAAGACTTATGAATGGGGCTTCCGAGCCCCAGCTGGTGTGTAATACAAAGGATTGCGGCACAGGCACGGGAAGGGGCAATAAAAAGGTCGGTAGTTTCCATGTCCCCAAGGCGTTGGGATTCGGAACAGCAGTCATGTTGGAACCGAGCGATCCCCGTACAAGGATGCGCATGTGCCACATGCAAAGTTCATGATCACTAGGATGAACGTTTCACAGCAAGACACAGAATCACATCCGAAATCACTAAAGTTGTTAAGAGCTTCGAACAAAAGGCTAGTAGTATACGTTAGGATAAGATAGGTAATACAGCAAGACCAGGTGATATTCAAATTCATGTGACTCTCAAGAATTTCAGTATTGGTGGCATGTCTGCATTCCCTTTCATACTGATGATGAGATTGGGTTACTCGATCGTTGTGTAACTGCAAATACGACAGTTGCTGAGCACCTAGATGCTCCATAGCGTGTTTGAGTCAAACGACGAAGCATTGGCGACTTACTCGAAGTTTTATGTGAGCGTGTCTAAAGTGCATTGTCTTTTAACCGCTATAAGTTCTACCTGATCCTCTTGGAAATCACTGCCGGTTTCCAGTTTCCCGCGCGGTGGACTCTTCGCGATAGAGGCGGTACAGTATTTACCAAGGTGTAGCGTACAATTGGGCGTCGCTGTATGCTGAAGGGATACTTCGCAAGTGACCCTCGGTTGCCAGCAACATGCTCTTCTGTGTGAATACCTGGGGTTTCGACAATGAAGATTTTCAGAACTTTGATTGTGCTGAAATTTGACAACAGGGATTCCTCGATCGTGTCAACCCTCGTTCTATAATCAGTATCCAATACATCAAAGGAGATCCTTAAGTCATGGAGACATTTTGTTTGCTCAAGTGAAGTGAGAATTGCCAATAAAGGAATCGTTTTTGTTGCTTGCTCGGTACCGCCACTGACGAGAAATCCAAGATATTCATAACTTCTTGCGGCGAAATTGATATCAACGTATCGAATATTGCGTAATAGTGGTGGTCGTCGTAAAACAAAAAACCAATAGACTGACGTTAAGTCGCTGCAAAGAAAGACATGGTACTCAAGAATGGACTTCATGACTTCTAAGTACCTGGACTCAAGGACTCTGGTTAGCTTGTCTTGGTAGTTATGGACTTTTCACTTAAGGTGTTTGACATACATTTGCTTGCAAACGAGCAACATGCCCATCCAATCTGTTTTATCCTCCTCTTCACGTCCGCTGGAACGAGATGCATCAAGGTGCAGCCTTTCTTTACACCTCCAGTGTCGATGACCCCAGTCGCTTGTAAGTCTCTTGTGCCACATTTGTAGCGATGATTCTTTAAACATATCTACAGCTGGGCTTTCGTATACGCGATCCATTTCCCTTTGGATAGAGTTCATGTCATTATCTCTCGGGTACATGACACATGGTGCGTGTAAAAGTTGGCCGTTCTTGTGGTAAATGTGATACTCTCGACCTCGAGAAGACCACAAGTATTCATATATGACGTTGCGGATTTCAGGTGGAATGTTTCGAAGAAATGAACGCTGGTCTTGAACATGTTGCCGAGTGTTTGGCGCCAAACTCACAGGTTCTTCGACAGAGGCAACCGAAACTTGTGACACCCATCCTTTCCCAGGATTCGACCAAGTATCGAGGTTTGATTCACCAAGTGATTTGACACAAACAGTCATGGTTTGTTCTGAGCAGTGTAGAGTAGAACGATTACCATTTCCCGAGTGGTCCCTGATGAACGAGGGGCATGGTCTTATCACTTACAAACAATGTGCAGCAGCAGCCGCCGCCATCTACAGCCCGGACTAGGATTGGTTCAGCATATTTGGGAACGACCAGTACGAGTCGTTGGTTGTGTGGCATGGTCAACCTCCGGATATCCCAGGCGAAATCGCTGGCAGGCGAATGACAGTGACGGATGTGCACAAACGAACATGCACATCAAAAACGGAACTCCAAGAGCTGGCAGTGAAGGCGACATGAGCGAAACACAGTGCGAGTCCTTCGTGTCACCTGACCCTTGAACCAACCAATATGAGCCTTTGCCAGCCGTGTGGTAACCAATAATTGGAGGCAGAGTGGTCTTTTTAGCCTAGGAGTCAACCAGCAAGCAAACATTGAAGTTCAAAGTTCTTAATCATTTCATGCAAGGAGCTGTTGGCGACCTACTTAAGGTTAGTTTGTTAGTGCACCGGGCCGCCAAAGGAACGGAGCCTAGACAAAGCCCCCGGCCAGCTTAGATTCCAGCATATTTTCTAATCTAGGTAATCGAACCAACATACTACCTGTACATGAGCCTTGATGGACGCCACGAATCATGATCGAGGCATTCTGTGCCTTTCATTATGCAGTGACAAAGCTACTTAAATTTGTATCTATATCAATGGGTAACCGGCTGGACCAAGATAATATAACATTCAACTGACTTTGAGGATTGGTAAGCTTAGCGAGCTGGGACATGTTGTGCAGTTACCTTAGCAGGTGGTGGAAACTTGTACAGAAGCTGGCGTGTTGAGTGTCCAAGTTAGCGGGATAGAGACAGCGCCCATTGCCAGCAGCCCGTTTTCTTGTGTATCTATTTATCCTGCCAAAAGTTTCCCATGTTATCTTACACGAGTATTACATTGCATTCTATATTAACCTGTTGGGGTTTCATCATCGTAACCCATTTGAGTGTTATGCCCATCAATCATACACGCGTGCTTAAGCAACGGAATCAACAATTGCACGTTGCTTAAGAGATTCCCCGCAGTGCCAATTGCCGTGTCCAACGCCTACTTAAGTAAGTGAAGATCTTTTTGCCGTTTTTGCAATATTGAGGTGATAGTGCATGATGAACTGATCGCCATGTTTGGCATCGTACATCGTACCACATTTTTCCATTGTTCACAATATGTATTTTGATGCCTATGGAAATAGTCCTTGAGATCTATCGTCAAGCTCATGAAAAACAGTATTTGAAGCATGGTTCGTCATTATTCATCATTCATATCGGAGTGCCTCAATGTTCTACCCATCGGATTTGTTGCCTTGTGGACCTTCAATTCCCCGGTCATTAAAAAAAAAAAATGATACCCACCAGTCGTAACCGCCTCCGTTGCCCAACCTCGGTTGTTATTTTACGGGTCTTCAACTGGTTGGTTCTAGACATATCGTCAGCGTTCAATATCGCTCAATGCGTCGACTGCAACTTACATCACGCTGCCAGTACGCCTCATAACAGTTGACATTGGCCTCTGGCGTGTAGAAGATCTCCCCACTGCCCTTGATCACCGCCATTGGCCCAGCAAACGAGCTGGCGCTCGCCGCTGTCGAGACAATATCGCCCTCAGCAGCCTTCGTAGCGTTGGACGGAATTGCAGCACTGAGGGTGAATGGAGAGGTAACCTTGGTTGTCTTGCCTTCATATTTGACGGTTGTCTTGTTGTTCACATATGCAGTTTCCTGCGGCTCCGGGAAGTCGGGAAGGAAATCAGGATAGTACCAGAAGATGGCGGCGTATCCTTTCGAGGTTGCGTTGTTGACGCAGTTGGCGAAGATGTAGCGTTCCGCAGTATCGCGCTCGTTTATGATTGGAATGGGTGACGAGTTGACGAGAGTAGTGGCTAACAACAAAGCGCCCGCAAGAAAACGCGAGAGGGTTTGCGATATCATCTTGTCGAGGTGGAAAATCAGGCTTCTTGACGGGAGCGGCGACCAGTCAGGATGATTGCAGGCTTGAGCTGACGTTGATGAAGATATTGAGCAACAGATCGGGCTTTCATCATGTTTATATACTTCTTGGCTCAACGAGAGCATGCGTCTGCCGTCCAACACGATCATTCCAGCCTTTCGCTTGGGTCACTCATCAAGTCAAGCGGGTTACTGCTCGTAAGACTTTTCCTTGCCTGACAATCATTGACAATATGCATGGTGGCTGCTTGTACATGCTTCGAGTATGCTGGAGCTTCCGGATCTAGCAATTTTATCGAGGTGGATAACCAGATCTAGCCCTTCTGGCCTGCATCAAGAATCGATAGCAATCTGCATGTGCAAGTTTGTGAGATTCTGTGACACCAAAAGCTCTACGGCTTAACGGCTGAAGACCCTGCATAGTCATAATTACCAACACACTACCGTAAAGCTTGATTTGTTGCTGTCATGGATTCAATCCACCGGGGAACAAGGAAACGGCCGACACCGGGTGATCTTCTAGCCTCGTTATCGTGCATGAACATGTCTCGGCTCAGACTTCTTCACCGAAAATTATGGGTAATAAAAAGCGGTATGAACCTGGACTCCCGGCTGCCCGGTGAGCTCGGAAAGCATGCGATTGATGGACCACGTTGAGGGTCAAAGCCACCAATACCACATTATGGGTTGTTCCGCACGATGGATGACCTTGCATATGTTTGAGCCAAATCTTTTACGAAGTGCGTGACTAACCGTCTTTTCAGTCAAGTAACCCAGCCACCGGTATACTCTTTGACTCCATATGTCTATACTTAGTATATTAAATTGCGCCAATTTCCAACAATCTCTTCCACACTCAACTTCGGTTCTATCGATTTTTCCTACGAACATGACATAGGTTTATTCAGTAAGCGTGCGCTGACCGATGACATGGTATTAATGATCACGATTGCCATTCCGCCCACTTATTTCATCGGATGGGTTGATACATCAGACGCTATCCTCGTCGGGATGGATTTCTGTTATCTGAGCACCGCTTCCCTTGTTGGATCAAAATCCATGATTAGGATTTTTATTTACCCGGAAACCAGACGGTAACAGCTACCAGGTTCAAATATCAGATGACCTAACTCGGCGTGTAAATTGATCTTTTACTAAACTTTCGCTTGGCGCACTCTTTGCTATCCTTGCGACTGTTCAATACAGCGGTTGTTGTCAATTTGCTGTCAGGGCTGTGTTCTAAGCGGAATGTGGAATCCTTTTAGGGCCCACAAATCACGAGAAACACTAAGTTAGTGTATTGGAACTGCAGCTTACTGAGGCGTATATCCGTGACTGGAGCAGTGACAATGCTAGACATGTATTGTATGCCCTAAAGTTTTATCTGTCAGATTGTGAGTATGCTATTTTGGCACTTGAGCATAGCCAAGCCGGTTTCCGAATTTCTGTCCCGCATTTGTATGGTGTCATTGCTCGATACTCCGTACGCACAGAGCTTTCATCTATTCCACTGTATGATGTGCAGTTGAGTATGAAATTGGTATTTCCAAACTGTTAGGTAGAGGTAAATCTTCATGAGGTTTAAATCGTTGCGTTCCTGCTAATTGCAGTGGCAAACTACTCAAAAAGAAACACGAGTGGACAGAATAATGGTCAAAGCAGGACAGTCTCGTTGCTATGCTGGAGGTGGCCGGGTTTTGTGGGCAGTGCAAATGCAGACCTTCTAGCCTATGTACATATGTATTTACTACCAGTATGTTAACCTGATCGATGACCGCTGACATGCCTCTCCGGAGCAACGCAAGGCCCAGAACCTTGGTAGCGAATTCAGCAAAGAAAGACAGACATGATTGTAGACATGCATAAATACATAAACTTTCGGCAGAGTGCATTGGTTTATGCACATATTTGGCCGAGCTTCAGAAGCGAAACCCCTGTTATCGGAATTCGGACCTCTCCGACTATCTCCAAGCGGGCAGGTGGGGAACCCGGCAGCCGGGGATCATCAAATCGCCTCAACGAATGGTGTCATACCTTCTTTCATTCTAATTTCCTCATCACTTCATCTGGACTTGACTGATCTAGTCCTCTGGTTTATTCTTTGGCTGTAAGACTAGAGGCGGACATCATGACTATCGATGAGAAGCTCCCGCTGGTGCAGCCTGTTGACACTCGTCAATGTGGCGAGCCACGTCGCACTCGAAGAATCAGGGCTATCTGGAGACTAGCTATTATAATCATCACTTTCGGATTCATTCTCTTGTTCAACTTTGATTATCGTGGAATTTCTGCGCCTTTTCCATCCCAGGTCTCTAAGAAGCTACAATGTCCTCAGATAGATCCCATCTGGCCTACCCGTAAGACAGACGCGCTGTCGCAAATGGGTGAATTCTTGGACTCAAGCAAGTTCCGCAACGAGAGCATCACTCGATTAGCTGGTGCTGTACAGATTCCTAGCGAATCTTACGATGACTTGGGCAAAATTGGTGAAGACAAACGGTGGGATACTATGTACGATGTTGCCGCGTATCTAGAAAAGACATTCCCTCTTGTTCACAGCAAGCTCCAGCTGGACAAGATCAACACCCACGGCTTGCTTTTTACTTGGAAAGGATCAGACGAGTCTCTTAAGCCCACTGTCCTGATGGCTCACCAGGACGTGGTGCCTGTCGCAAAAGCTACCATCAGCCAATGGACGCATCCACCATACAGCGGCGCTTTCGACGGCAAATACATTTGGGGTAGAGGCTCCTCCGACTGCAAAAATACCCTTGTCGGCATACTAGAAGCTGTAGAGCTACTGGTCGAGGCTGGATTCGAGCCAAAGCGCACCGTGATTCTTTCGTTTGGCTTCGATGAAGAAAGTTCTGGTAAACAGGGCGCTGGGCATCTATCATCAGTGCTTCAAGAACGCTACGGCAACAACGGTGTTGGTTTGATTGTTGATGAAGGTGCCGGGGTCTCTCCTGCGTGGGGCACTTTCTTTGCTACTCCGGCTGTCACTGAGAAAGGCTACATTGACGTCGAGGTAACCGTACGGATGCCTGGTGGCCATTCCTCGATCCCGCCTCCGCACAATGGCATCGGCGTGATGTCAGAGTTCATCACTGTCGTTGAGAACAACCGCCATAAGCCCTATCTTGCACCTGAGAACCCATTCCTGGAGCTGCTACAATGTGGTGCTGTTCACGCTCCAGATTTCCCATCAAAATGGAAGAGTCTCCTGCCGTCCAAAGGCAAGGAGAACCCTCACAAAGTTGCGAAATTGGCCGAAGAGGTGGCCGAGTCTAGTGACTTTTTTAAGTACCTCTTCACTACTTCCCAGGCTGTCGACATCATTGGAGGAGGGGTAAAAGCCAATGCTCTTCCGGAACGAACGACAGCTCTCATTAATCACCGTGTCAATATCGGCGAACGCGTAGATGACGTCAAGGAGCATTTGACAAAGCTGGCATCTCAAGTCACGAAAAAGTACAACCTCACCTTGCATGCTTTCGATGGAGAAAGCGAGACTCCTTCATCTCTCACTCTCAGCAACCCAAAGGGTGAACTCGAGCCTGCACCTTTGACGCCAACTGAGATTGATGCATTGACACCTTACGTGGTTATTTCAGGTACCACTCGTGCTTTGTATGGAGAGAAGCTCAACGTTGCACCAGCGCTTATGACTGGAAATACTGATACGCGATACTATTGGAACCTGACCAAGCATGTGTTTCGATACATGCCCGGTTGGGATCCTGAGGACGATGCTGGTCTGGGAAATATACACACTGTCGATGAGAAGATCAGCGTTACGAATCACATCAACGTGGTCAAATGGTACAATCTTTTCCTTCAGAACATTGATGAGGCTGAGCTTCCCTAAATACTGGAGATAATTTCCGGAAACCCCGAAGATAAAAGATAGAATTTTGTACGTTGGTTAATTCACAAATCACTTTGTAACCTGCAGCTCAATGCAACGACAGAATACAGTCACTGCTGAGACCTATGGCACACCTACTCATCACAGTCTCTCTAGCCTCAAGGATTTTGGGGATTGTCCACCCGGGACCGTCTCTGCGATAGATTTGTGTTAGATACCAAGTAAATGATTAAACAGACGTCCTGACATGGGTGAACACCATATTTCCTAAGTTTTGCCAGCTTTTCCTGTCTAAGTGTCTGCGGATAAACCTAGAACCCGACCTGACATGACGCCAATTGATGGTTCGACTTCCAGATCGAACTACGACTAAGCCTAAAGTAGGTGCCTTAATTCTTTCTGACGTAGCGCAAGTGGCGCATATAACAACTCCCGAAGAGTATATTCAGTTCTGATAGACAATCAGTGGTATTATACAACTTGGTGTTGCCTTTGAAATCCACTGATTTGATGACTAATTCGGATGAAACCCCAAAAGTATTGTACGGGATTAGCTAGGTTAGGTGATTTTGGTCGAATTGGTGGATGTCTGGGTCTAAGTGCCCCGATGTACATTCTGGACCCTTGAGTGTCCATACACCTCCGATCGGAGACGCCTTTGTCTAAGTAATCCACGAAGCTATTGTAGCCATCTTCAGTATGCCCAGTCTTTTCTCCTTTCGCAACCAATGCACGTGACAGAATTAGACTAGTTCAAACGTAACTGTTAGATAGTATTGTTTCTGGCTAGTATACCGAATAGTTACATAAGGATCCAAGACTTGTAAAATGATGTATGGTATCTCTCAGGGTGAGGTTAAGACATAGGTTTGTCTTTCTGACTCGAAAGATCTGTCGTATCAGCAGTAGTCTATCAGGAGGAGTGGTAGCATTGGCTATGCCCATCTACTACAAGCTACCTAGCGGGGCAAAATATGGGTCAACTCGCTCGAAAGGCGCGCGGTATGTAAAGGTGACTCGTAATACGAATGTGTCCGATCACTATAAATTATCGATCGTTTAGAGGGAGCTCAGGACATGAGTTTACATTGTCAACTTTCAAATTCCGGGTTTTAATTTGCATCAACGCAGGCCATAATGAAATCGTCATCGACGCGAAAAACCGCACTCATCCTAGTTGACGTACAGAATGGCTTTCTGCACCCAACCTTTTGGGGCGACAGTCGCAGCACTCCAGAATGCGAGTACAATATAGAAAAATTACTTCAATCTGCTCGCAACCATAGCAAGGGGTTACCAGAGACTCGCAGCGACAAATCTGTACTCATTTGTCATGTGCATCACCACAGTATCCAACCAGATTCCGAGCTGCACCCAGAAAAACAGATCGAGGTGAACGGGAAGGTTTTATTAGCGACGGACCCCCAGAGCTTTTCATCTCCTGTCTCTGGGGAGTCCGTATGGGTCAAAAACGTCAACTCGGGATTTATCGGAACAGGACTCGAGGCTTTCCTGAGAGAAAACGGAGTCAGACAACTGATCATCTGCGGATTGACTACAGATCATTGTGTCAGCACAACGACACGCATGGCAAGCAATCTGAAGATCGTGGACATCGTGAACGACAACGGTGAGGTCTTGGAAGTGGGAGACATCGTACTAGTTGGTGATGCTTGCGCAACGTATGCGAAAGGCGGTTTTGACGCCGAGACCGTTCATCGAGTCAATCTTGCTAGTTTGGACGAGGAATTTGCTCAGGTGGCCTCAACGGATGATGTTATTGAGAAAGTATTGAAGACTTGAATTGCTCGTTAGAAATATGAACTTGGAGGAACAAATTCCGAATATCCAGGGCAATGTGTGGGCATGGCAAACGTGAAGCAGGTACATATTTCGATTGGTTTGAAGACTTGATCAATCAAATCTTACTAATATTGCGTATGTGAAGATGTCTTAGATACTAGTGACTCTTATACTGTCATCTGCAATGTTTAGACTTAGACGTGATGCACAATAAAAAGGAGGGTACTACGATATTGTCGTCATCTTCATGTTCACCGTCCGTGTTGCCTATCATTGCTTTCAACCCGCCCCCCCAGTGGGAATCCAGTATCACATATGTAGATCCCTTAGCAAGGTGGAGAGTTGGCGTAATATGGAATGATATGGCCTATTTGGGTACACCAGTAATAACGAAGAATTATTCCAGTATGCAACATACAACCTTACCATCTTTTCGGTGTTGGTTTCATCGACTGCAGCCTTCGTCGTATCTAGTTCGAAAAGGCCTTCCATACAACATGCTACTTAGTAAAGCAACGCTATGCAACCCGTGTCCACCATCTAGCTTGACTCTTTCGGATTTCGATACTTGATGAAATGGGTCATCTTGGTGAACAGAAGATAAACGCTAACCCCGGCCCAGAACCCAAGGATAACGAACAAGCCCCAGACGAGCTTTGCGTCAACAATGCGGGATGCAATAGCTTTTTTAAGCGCGGTGCTCAGAAATAACCAAGCCCAAAGTGACGTTCCGGCCTTTGTGGCCTGCGCTGCCGTGAGCTGGTGGTTTGCTTGCTCGCTTTCGCGCTGCTCAATGACATCGGCCATCTTCCAGGCAACTTTATTGCTAATATGTTCCCATGTGGCCTCAGTCGCTTGAGCACGGCAAGAACTGCCGAGACGTTTCCGTAGGTGGTTATCATTAGAAAGTATCAATATCTGGTCGACGAAACCTTCCAGGTCAGTTGGCGGCACAAGATACCCAGTGCTACCATGGTCAATAATGTCGCTTGGGCCGCCCTCATCTCTCGCTATGACTGGTACCCCACTTGCCATTGACTCCAACACCACCAAGCCAAAAGTCTCTGTAATGGAACAGTGAAGGAATATGTCTGCAGAGGCGTAATATGTCATCAACTCCTCGCCAACCTTGAATCCGGTGAATATGATCTTTCCCTTGCCAAATAGAGGTTTGAATAGGTCTTTAGTCTCCTGCTCAACCACTGCGTTACGATTTCCCCCTACGACAACTAGTTTGAAGTCCAGTCCTCGCTGATCCAGCTTCAGTACTACATTCGCAAGAAAGCCAAAGCCCTTTTCACCAGCAAGGCGTGAGCATGTGAATAAGATAACCTCTCCATTAGGCGCCCAGTGACGTCTCAATGCGTCACTACGCTTTGATGGGTTGAAGCCCTCCGTGTTCACGCCTCGCCTCAAAACATCAAATTTATGCTCTTGGACCCCTGCTTTCTGCTCCAAGTACTTTCGCACAAATGTGCTTGGATAAAATACGGTCTTGACTGATGGATGGCGGAATAGATACCCTTCCACTTTTGCAAAAGTCCAGCTTGCGATTGATCCCAGTGGCCGCGGGAATAATATTTCGCAGTACCCAGCAAGGTCGGTCTGAAAATTGCAAATCACTGGCACCTGGGCCTTTTCTGGCTCCTGCTGCAGCTGCAGCATAACCTGGAAACCTAATGACGCAGGGCTTCCCAAATATATGAGATCTGGTGGCTCGCCGAAAGTACGTTCGTACAGTTGTGAAAGGCGGATCGGGTACACAATAGATAGTTCCGGGTTGAAAGGCACAGGGTAGCCGGTCAGCCGTACCTCCTGATTGCGCATCGAACTTGGGTCAATATTGTCAACGGCCTGGAATGTGTTCACTTTGGTGTGATTGTATGGAGCCACGACGGCTACCAGTGCGCCATGAGTCCGGAGGTGGTTCACCACATTCAAATTTGTTCTGCTTACTCCGTTGATAGGGCCGAAAGATTCGACACAGAATAGAATGCGACGACCGTGAAGAGCTCCAGGAAACGTGCCGAAATCGTAGGCGGGCATTTTGCTGGATGCTTTAGACATTGTACTCTTGCGGTATCACCGAGTGTTTGAACAATCTCGCTGCCAAGGTCGAACGTCCTGCCAAATTCTGGAATCGAAGTATGCCAGTCAGTTGGGAACTCGATGTCGTATGTACAAAGACAAAGAATTGCTAGGCCATTGCCACCTTCCCGAGATCTAGACATATTTGCTACTGCAAAAAAGATGCATATATGGTAGGTTAAGGCATGAAACGGAGTCTGTCCATTCAGCATATTGACCATCTGACCACATTCAAACTACGCGAGTGTACCTGTGCCAAAATGGATGGCAGAAGCCTTTGCCATCAAATGTGAGGGTGGGGTTTAGCAGTCTAACTAGTCCACCTGTAGCAATTTTATTTGATGGGTCGCTCAATCAGCCAATACTTCTGGCACGTTGTTTCTTCCGCGATTCATCTTTTTCGGCAGCCGCAACGTCTGCTAATTCGATGCGCGGCGAAACAAAAAGTGTGGCGAATTAATTCGTTGTTTTCCTGCAAATTTCTTTATGGCAGGACGGCTCTTGTGACTGAGGAGGAAAATAACGAAGACTTGCAACTGAAAATCAATCATTCCGGCGCCGTCACCTGGGCACGCAAGACCCTGCATTTCAGATACCTCGACTCCTTCGCCTGACATGAACATGCGGGGTAATCTACCATAGCTCATCTGTTCTTTTGCTATGAGCTTGTGATAGGTAAGCTCTTGGATTCGATTCGTGAGATACCTTATCAGACAATCTACATCTCCATGTACATAGCATATACTGTGGTATTACTGCCACTATCCCGACTCGACCTTCGCCAATCATAGATCACAATGTCTGCACGCTAGTCTGCAACTTGGGTTTGATAGGCACTACAACTGCGAACTGGTATCTTCCACATCGATGATGCTGGTGTGGAGAGGCAGCATATACCCGGTAGGCAAACGCATATCTACTGTATGTATATAACTAGACTAGACTAGTTAGTGCTAAGGTTAGGTGTGTACAATGCAGCCTTGCAGCATTTGTTGCTTGTCCACTTATATTTAAGCATTTTACCCCCGTGGGATTCGCTGAGTCGTCGGTTGGGTATTCGCGTTGTCATGCACAACATACATAAGCATTTGAGCTTGAAGTACACCCGTCGTTGAAAACAATGCAGTACCTTTTCCGACTGTCTCAGCAACCATCGAGTCAAATTGAATTGCTGCGCAGACTCTTTGAATTCCTCTGTCAGTAGAGTAAATCTTTGTTGCCCCTTTGGCCCATTTCAACTTCTCAATCTGGTGCACAAATGTCATTTCGCACCTGCTCCAAAAGCACTCCGAGGTGTTTATAACCCAGGTCGCGCTTCATGCAGCAGGATCTGCAATTTAAGACCAAGTGGGTACAGGGAGCACCATGTGAGAGTATAGATCCTTAGTCCTGGTTCCTAACTACGCATTGTACTGTCTGATGAGTATCCTATCAGTGCCGTTCGGTTCAGTCTGGTGCACCACTCGCTCTGCTTGCAGAAGCCACATGTCAAGGCTGCAATTGGCTTTCGTACCAAGGTACGAGATACATTGGCTCAAGGCCATCCTTCAAGCCTGGCCAAGACAAGCGCGTGCCTCTTGGTGAAATTCCCGGAGTTTCCCTGTGATGTGATCAAAGTACCTATTGCCTCTTGCTTTTTCGGAGCGAGAGTCTTTTCTTATCATGCTAGTCGTTTGTTGCACAACCCCTCCATTGCATCAGAAATGTGTCTCATTTCTGGCAGGGAAAGTCATTGCCACAATTCGTCGTTTCCCCTTGGTTGCCCTTTCTTCCCCCCAGTATTTCTGTTCGTCCCATAGCTGAATTCGGAAGACGCGACCGATCTCAAAATTTGAACTGAACGCCTATCACACCTTGATAGTGGTTGTGATTATATGTGCCGTTGTGCCTTGATATTAGCAAACTTCCTCGGAGATCACGCGACATTCGATTGGTGTTCAATCTAAACAAAACCATCAAGCTATCACCAAGTTTGCGTCTTTTCGTCCCTCTACAGAGCCTTATTCAATGGATCCTATACCGTCATCTGTGGTTGGATCCGAAGAGGGAGCACTGGTCGATATCGCTCCCTCGACAGCTCCTACTACACCCGAAGGCAGTTTAACGTTCAGTCCAGTGCTGCGTGCAACGGCGGATGGTCATCTGGATATTGATTCAGCAAGCCTTACAGCTCAAGCTAAAGGTTCAGAATCTCTTGAATCTATTCTGCCCAATCTGCGTCCTCGGCTGGTGCGCAATATCTGCTGTGTTGGTGCTGGATATGTTGGTAGGTTCTGCCATTTTACCTCATGTCGTCTTTGTTGAAGGGATCTTTCCAAGATTTTTCAGACTTGTTCCTAATCTGAATTTGTCAAGGTGGTCCAACTGCGGCGGTTATCGCTTACCAGAATCCTCATATTCGAGTAACCATTGTTGATAGAGATGAGAAAAGGATCAAGAGATGGAATTCCAAGCATTTACCAATTTACGAGCCTGGTCTTGGCGACATTGTTCGTGTTGCTAGGGATGGATCGCGTGAATGCTTCTTCTATAACGAGCCCGTGGTCTCAGGGTGCTCGGACGCATTTTCCGATACTGCATCATCATCGTCAGAATGTGGCAGCCAATGCGAGGGATACGCCAATAGGTTAAAGATCATCCCAGAGAGACAACCCAACCTTTTCTTCTCCACTGAAGTCTCCAAAAGCATTGGTGAAGCAGACATTGTCCTCATTGCTGTCAATACGCCGACCAAATCCAAAGGCATGGGTGCTGGGAGCGCAACAGACATGACGGCATTCGAGGCCGTTGCTGGTATTGTGGCCCAACACGCTCGACCGGATGCTATCATCGTCGAGAAATCGACTGTCCCATGCAGAACAGCCCAATTGGTCAGGGAGACAGTAAGAAACATACAAGTCGGGTGAATACCATGTACTAATGATGACCTCAGATGTGTATCCATCGCCCAGGTGTGCATTTCGAGATCTTGTCTAATCCCGAATTTCTGGCCGCTGGTACAGCTATGAGAGACCTCATGCATCCAGATCGTGTACTGATTGGTTGTTCGACGACACCATCAGGTCAAAGAGCAGCAGATGCACTTGCCAGCGTTTATGCTGCATGGGTGCCAGGGAAGCGCATTATCACTACAAACGTCTGGTCCTCAGAGCTCGCCAAACTTGTCGCCAACTCTATGCTTGCGCAGCGAATCAGCTCAATTAACTCTATCTCTGCCATATGCGAAAAGACTGGCGCTGATGTGGATGAGGTCGCTGCTTCAATTGGCTGCGATCCAAGAATTGGCGACAAGTTTCTCAAGGCCGGGATCGGTTTCGGCGGCAGTTGTTTCAAGAAAGATATTCTGAGTCTTGTATACCTGGCCGAATCCCTTGGGCTTGATGAGGTTGGAGAGTACTGGCGCCAAGTCGTCAAGATGAATGAGTATCAACGTGATCGATTCAGTAAGCGTGTCATCAAGTGTCTCAATAGCACCTTGACTGGAAAGAAGATTACCATACTGGGATATGCATTCAAGGCGAACACCTCAGATACGCGAGAGTCTCCAGCATTGGAAATCATCAAGACTCTTTTGGAAGAAGGGCCGAAAGAGATTGCCATCTATGACCCCTGTTGCAGCCCTACCGTCATTCGAGATGAGATCAAGACACTCTTGAGAGGGATTAAAGCTCTTGAAGAAGACGACGGCCCTATTAGAGTATACGCTAACGCATACGAAGCATGCGCCGTGTCCAACGCTCTCCTGGTTACAACCGATTTTGACGAGTTCAAAACTACAGTACAAAAGTCAGCGTTTCCCAGTCACCCAAGATCAAAGCCAATAGATCCGCGACCTTTCGAGCGAATTGACCCGACAGAGACAGATATACTATCATTGCAGGAATTCCTGCTCCGTTCCGGGTCAACTTCTCTGTGTGCCGACAGCGATCCGCTTCAGAGATATCAGGAAGAACCTGCTTGTGCCCACGACTGCGCAGACTGTGGGCCAGGAAAGGGCGGCTATTCAACAGCTAGCAGCTTGGACGAGTACATGCCTAAGGAGAAGCTTGACTGGAGTAAGATCGCATACCACTTGCAGGGACCGAAATGGGTATTTGATGGCAGGGGCGTTGTTGATTCGAGTGCTTTGACTAAGCTCGGTATTCGAGTCGAGAGCGTTGGACGTCAAGGCTTAACCTAAGTTGGCCTGCGAAAATCTGACATGCTTTTGGCTATCGAGGGAGCATTTTTGGAGTTCTTGGTTGGATCAGTCATATGTAAGGACCGAGTGAAGACGTTGACTGTGGTATAGATTTTCATTAGATCAGTACGTTCGAAACAAGACGGAATGCCACGCGACAATTGTCGGTTTCATTCATGCGACTAGGTAATACAGTGTTAATGGCAATCCATATACCTATGTATTACCCGATAACGTGATATATGTGCAGCTTAGGATGCTTAATTAATGCGACTGTGTCACTTGGAGCATCACGCGACGTGTGTTGCGGTCGTTTTCCCGCATCGGTTTTTCATTGCTACGATAACGACGCTATGATAGGTAGACCATCATGTTTAACAATTGCATGAGCTCTGCTTCGATGCAGGGGCTTACTGAACAGCCTACTCGATAGTGATTGCGCATGCAGACGCGAACAAGAAGAGGCCAACTCGCGTCTGTGGGGGCATTGTGGTTATAGTTACAAGTCGTCAGAACTAAAGATTGTGGTGAGACGGGGTGTAAGGTGACCTGACTATGGAACTACGGAGCCCCCATCGCTAGCGGGTAGACTCACTTGGAGCGGCACAACAACATCGGACGGGTATTTTTAAAGCGCCGACTGGATCCTCAAGGGTGCTGCCGAAGCACCGACGTCATGGATGGATAAAATAGACGTGACCCCCGTCGTGATGCGAAAGTCGAATGGCTTGCGAACCAGCAATTAACACCTTTGCTTGAAAGTCGCCGGCCGACATTTATTTATTTTTTTGTTAGTTCACATAGACAAGATGGTTAGATCAATCAGAGTACTGAGCGCATCGCTTCAACTGTCCAAGAGCTGGGCGACGCCCAGATTCGGCAGTACACAGTTATATGCCCCGCTCATCCGGAGACTGTATTCGACAGATGGCCCGAAGCCGAAACGTGGCGGATCGAAAGTGTACAAGTCGGCGGATGATGCGGTCGCAGATCTCAAAGATGGCTCGGTAATCCTAAGTGCTGGATTCGGCCTGTGTGGTGTAGCCGGTATGTTTATTTAGCAAGCTATTTGCATTGAACGCACCCCCGGGCGCGATTGCGCTCCCATGCGCATGATGTATGTGCTAATATTGTGCATTTTAGAAACCCTCATTCAAGCGATACACAAGAAGGGTCTCAAGAACCTCACAGCAGTGTCGAACAATGCTGGTTCTGGTGACAAGGGTCTTGCAAAACTCACCGGAGATGGACGGATAACCAAGATGATCATGTCATACCTTGGCAGTAATAAGGAGTTAGAACGACAATATCTCAGCGGTGAGGTTGCGGTTGAGCTATCCCCACAGGGGACCTTAGCTGAGAGGCTTCGTGCCGCCGGTGCTGGTATTCCAGCCTTTTATACATCGACCGGAGGCAGTAAGTCTCTTGTTTGACAGTTGGGCGGAAGCTTGTGGTAATCTAACGCATATGTAGAAACGTTCATTGAGTCGGGAGACATCCCACTCAGGTTCACTCCGGAGGACGGTGTTATAGAAAGGGGTGTTCAGAAAGAGTCTAGGCTTTTTGGTGGCAAGTCCTATATCATGGAGACTGCATTGCCCGGCGACGTAGCTATTCTGAGAGCATGGAAAGTCGACGAGGCTGGCAACTGTGTCTTCAAGTGAGTGAAGATGTGAGCCTGCCACCAAAACTGCCTCGCTAATGAGATGTTAGGTACACGACCAAGACTTACGCGCCGCTCATGGCAAAGGCTGCGAAGATCGCCATCGTCGAAGCTGAGGAAATCGTGCCGATTGGTTCGCTCGACCCGCAAAATGTGCATCTTCCCGGCATCTTTATTGATCGAATCGTCCCGGCTACAGCCCCGAAGAACATCGAGAACTTGAAGCTCGCACCTCCGACAGACCCGACCAAGAGCAGCAAACCCAACGCGCGAAACACTATTGCAAAACGCGCAGCCAAGGAGTTGCAGGATGGATACTTTGTCAACCTTGGCGTTGGCATTCCGACACTGGCTGCTTCATACGTACCAGAGGGTGTCAAGGTCTGGCTTCAGTCCGAGAACGGTATCCTGGGCATGGGTCCTTACCCTGCCACCGAGGAGGATGTCGACCCAGATCTCATCAACGCTGGCAAGGAGACCGTCACTCTACTCCCTGGTGCTTCAGTATTTGACTCTGCTGAGTCTTTCGGTATGATCCGTGGTGGTCATGTTGATGTTTCAATTTTGGGTGCTTTCCAGGTCTCGGCCTCTGGAGACTTGGCCAACTACATGATTCCTGGCAAGATCTTCAAGGGTATGGGTGGCGCTATGGATTTGGTGTCAAATCCTGAGCAGACCAAGATCGTAGTGGCAACTGAACACGTCGATAAGAAGGGCAGGAGCAAGATCGTGCAGGACTGCAAGCTACCTCTTACTGGCAAGGGGGTCGTCAGCACGATAATCACAGATCTGGCCGTATTCCAGGTCGATCGCGTCAAGGGCGGCTTGACGCTCACTGAGGTTGCCGAAGGCGTTAGCCTTGAAACCGTCAAGAAGAACACGGATGCCGAGTTCATTGTGGCAGAGCCTTTGGGCAAGTTTTAGGTGTTTAAGATACGGTGATATAGTCCACATTGTATATAGGGTACGAGCGTTAGCATTGTTCAGTCTGTAGATATCTTTCAAATTTAAGGAAGTGTATACTATGTTCATCAAGCTGCCTCAACACTGCTTAAGAGAACATCATGCGAAGATCGCCAGTATCTTTGTGCTCATGTCAATGGTTGGAATGCGGTATTTCTAAGATTCTACATCGCTCTATTAAACGTGCTGTTGTAGAGGCATATGGTCAAGAATTACCTATTAGTCCGGGGTTCTTCTGCATATACACTTTTACAGGAGTTCGCACAGATGACTTTTAAGCGAACCAAATTCTTTATTGCCAGAGTAGATATACGGGCAAATTCGACAAGCAGACTATTACGATGCCGCCAAAGGAGAATCTTTGGAATTAAGGACCTTTGTATCACAACTCATATTGGTATCTACAGCTCATCTATCGTCTAGAGCTTCGGGCGCAAACCAGGAGCGAAAGTTGTCCCCGACCCACCACCAATGGCTTGCACCAGGCTGTCAACATTTTCTAGCAGCCAAAGGTTGCCATCGTTGCTTGCCAGCCACTCGCCACCCTGAACCTCTTCCTCACCCGCGGCGGTCGCATCACCGTGTTCGTAGGCTTTTCTCAGCCCGAAGATGTGCGAAACAACCTGAGGGCCAACTCCGGTCTGCGCCCTCAGACAAGCGATTGCCACAAGACTGGTCAAGACTCGTCCGACCGTGGCGCCTGCCTTCTCGCCCCTGGGATTGCCGAGAAGATTCGAGTAGTGGCCGTTAATAATGTGCACCGGAAGGTCCGGATGGCTCTGCGCCAACTTGTCTAGCAGCTTCCTCTCGAAACCAAGGTATACTGAGTCCCAAAGCGCGAGACCGTCCTGTTTCCTGATCTCTATATTCTCTGGCGTGTACTCGCGCGTGGGTTTCGTATGTAGTTGCGAGGTGACGTCAGATGGGAGGCTGGAATGGAATGCACCAAGAGTGTTGATCGAGCGTGGGATGCCATTGAACGAAATGCACTTTAGCCCAACTTCGCGGATCAGCTCGGCGTTCTTCACAGGGCCAGGGCTTTGGGAGCTCTCGTTTGCGATATGAAACACCGATGTCATCGCTTCCGGGCAGTTCAGCGTTGCGCTTACTGCTGTCTTCAGTTTTCGTATGGTCAGTCATCGCTCAATTGATCGGTGTCATTATTCAACATGCATGATTCCACGCACCGATAATGTGATCCATGCTGGAAGTCCAACTTGCTTCTCTATTGCAGATTTGGCAAATTGCGCCAGCGCTGGCTTCACATGAGCCGAGGCTTTTGTGTAGCCTGGACTTGCGTGGCTGGCATTGATGAGCGCCTTCACGGCATCTGAGAGTTTCGACATGTCTGCAGCTTAGCTTGTGTATAATCCACTATGCCGCTCGACGATCGCACATAGATGTTTACATGACAAGATTATAAGAGACGGGCGACGGCCGTGGTTCAAAGCCGAATGGCGACCGACCTCGCCAGGGACGCGAATTGACCGTGTCCTCGGCCATTCTTTTGATGCCCGAATGAGCTGACCTGTGGGGTGAGCTTTGGTGGAGCTCAGGCAACCCATGTTCGCTAAAGCATCAACCGAACAACGCTGAATATCGAGGTACTTATTCAAGTCATCTCGGTAGTCAGAGATGCAGCGGTAGCTGGGCTGCCTAAGTATGTCAACATACTTAACACACGAGCAATCGATAAATAGCTGTACCATACTGTGCTGCCCGAAAGTGATTGGGAGGTAAACTTATTGTGAAGGGTCGGTCTGCTCGCATCACGTTGGATTGCGCAGTGGCATGGGCTATTAGACACGCTAACTTAAGCTTTCTAACGGCGGCAACACGCAACGTTCCCATAAACTTGGTTTCAGAATGACTTTCATTCACAGGTATTGCCTGTGGGTTTTACTTCTTCATCTTTAATACAGTGATCGATCCAATCATCACTATCGAGATCCAAATGCTACAGGACCAATCGGAATGACGGTTCCCTATCATCGTTTTTCCCAATGTGATGATCATACTTCCCCTTTGCCTTGTCCCTGTTAACCTTCCAGCAGTACAAGACATTGAAGAGAATCCTTTGCGAAGTGTCAGTAGGGCAGGAGGACCGTGTATTTCGAGACACTCACAAGAACCATCCCCCAACTAATAGTCCAAGAATAATTGTATGTCCTTTGTGGTACTGTGGGCCTTGAGACTTCGGATAAATGAAGACCGTCACAAACCCTCCGCAATTGGCAATAGCTAGTTGCAGAGCACTTGTCGTTGCTCGCTTATAATGGCCCGCTGAATTATTAGAGAGCCAGCCTAACACAGGCGGGACGGAACAGTATAGCCCCGTTGCCATCAGGAACGTCATTCCATATTTGACATGCGGGTCCGTGACGTTGGCGATGACAGCGTAGCCAATAATAGCAATAGGGAGCGTGCAGAGCATCATGATACCACGAATACGAAGACGGTCCGATAGGAAAGCGACAATGACTGTGCATAAAATTAGAGGGGTTTGACGTATATTCGTACTGACTCATACCTGTGCAAACAGCGGCGACAGCGTAAGGGATAACCGACCACAGCTGGGTTTCGGAAACCGTGTATCCTCCCAGAGCGTTGATAATAGTCGGTAACTGTGGAATGGTCAGTTGTTAGTCGCAGCTGCGGGCGTTGCACTCACAAATAAACCGAATGAGTACAGTCCGGATAGTATGCCAAAGTAGGCACACGCGGTCAGCCATGTTTGCCAGCTGAAAACACCACGAGCAACCTCAGACCACGAAAACTTTTCCGTGGCCTCACTACCAACTCAATCAGCATATATTGGAGCAGAAGGCATGAATGATACTAACTGTTCGCGCGCGTTACTCTGGTCGGTGCTGGATCGGAGACGATTAAGGGCAAATTGACGTTCCTCGGGCGTGAGGAATTTAGCTGTAGAAAGGCCGTTTGGAAGCAGGAAGAATGTGGCGATGCCAACGAGAGCTGTCTACCGAGGTGTCAGTTAAAGTAGGCGAGGTCAGAACTCCTGCTTACCAACAACCCTTCCAAAACAAATATCCATCTCCAGCTGCTCAGACCACCCCTATGGCCGATCTGTGCAATGCCGTAAGCAAGTAAACCTGCCTATATCAGCGCAGTCCGTCTAGGACTCAAGAGAACACATACCACCAAAAGCTCCCGACAGAGATGCGGCTGTGTAAAACAGGCCAATGCGCAGGGCCAGTTCTTCTCTTCGGTAGATACCAGATAGGTATAGAATCTAAGCCATCTTAGCCTCAACCTTTTGCAAACAAACGCAGGACAACCCAAATGTAACGAACCATTCCAGGTAGCAGACCACCTTCCGTCATTCCGAGTACAGCGCGTACAGCCACAAAACCAGCGAAGTTTTGGATAAATCCCAGGCACATAGCGACAATGCCCCAAGCACAGGCTAACAGCGGAAGCCATATTGACGGCGTCACGCGCTTTAAAACTAGATTCGATGGGACCTCGCTGTACAAGTTAGACCGACAACGGACCACGAAACAATAGTATCGTCCCACCAACCTTGCGATATAGGTCGCGTAGAAAACAGCGAGTCCCTGATCATATTGGCGATCCGTCATGCCAAGATCCTGCTCCAGGTTATACAATCGCGCGTTTCCGACATTCGTGCGGTCGAGGAAAGAACACAGGAAGAGAACGGCAAGAATAGGCAGGATCCTGTAACGTGTCAGTACTGATAGAAGTAGTGTTCATTACCAATAAAGTGCTTACCGTGTGTCCAGCTTCCAGAGGATCTTGCGCGTCAAATGATCGTCGTAATTGAGCATATGGACACCCCCGTCGCCCTCCTCAATCTCTTCAGCGCCGCCTTTATAGCTACTATTGGTGCGTTCTACAGACATGATTGATTTGTTTGATCGGGTTCACGGACATGTAGGTAGGCCCCCGTAGTACAGAATGCCCAGGAGATAAAACGGGGCTTAGAAGTACTTAAGTGTCCCGCCAAGTAAGCTTCGCGATGCTTGGGTTTTTAAAGGTGGTGAACTATTAGATAGGGAATTGCGGGGGAAATAGTTGGACAAGGATACAAGTTTGGGGGAATGTTGAGGGGCAGCAAGGGTCGATGCGGGGAAATGCAGCTCCATCATTATGTATATAGACACGGCTGCTGATCAAGGACCGATCCTCGTGACACATGTGTGCACTGGGAGGTGGCATTGATATTCACTTGGCCGACTCAGGGGGGAAGCGTAATGTGAAACATCAGCTCATTGTCAGGCTGACCATGCAGCTCGGGTTACTCTAGACTTGTCTTTTTCTTTTCTTTTTGATAGACATTCAAGGTTATTCAGCGGTGTACCCGTTTATAGATGACGGCTGGAACTGACAACTGGTCAAATTCTCTTGCAACGGAATAACATGAGACATTTTAGATAAGACGGCCTGTTTATTCTGCTTACGCGACAATCATCCGAAGGGAGTTTGGGTATAAGAGGAAGTGTCACATCACAGCCATGTATTACGAAGCAACTAGCTATAATCTTATAATCAATACAGATTACGGTGATACCACACATTTTGACGATGCCGCCAGCCATGTTGCACACCGAGCGCCATGTAAGTGATTCGCCTAGCGGTTCCTAACACGAAAGCCAGACATGTATGATTCTCTTCTTTCAGGATTACTTTCTCAGTTAATGTGTCTCTTTAAGCGAAGGTCGACCAGTCCATCCAGTCCAAATCTGTCGCATTTTGAAACTGGAAGTCTTCCCATATTGATTCCAGACCAACGTCTGTATTGTTGATAGCCTCGTCCAGTTGGACATTCGACATGGTCGAAAATAAGGGGAAATCCGGTACCGAAGCCATATTTGTAGGTGCCATCTCCACAGACATGTTATGATGAATATTACCCTGAGGCATCTCAGAAAACACCAGTGCTGTTGTAGGCTCTCTACTAGGCTCGGCATGACTCCGAGCATTTTCAGAAGCCCGAGAAGCTAGTTTAAGAATCTGCCTCAATTGCCTCGCAAAGAGACAAGATAGTCCTTTGCGTTGTATTGGCGTTGATCCGATGCGTTCCAGGACATCGGTTGTTTCCGCAATTAGTGTCCGTATACTTGGCGCCAAGCTCGATCCATGAGCGTCGGCCACTGTTCCAACTCTCAGCGCGAAACATGCAGCACAGGATATCATAATGGCCGTGTTGTTTGGCATGGATTTTAGTTGGCTTTCGCCCTGCACAGCTACCCGCAGCACGTTCAGTGCAGAAGACAGCCCAGCAGCACGAAAGAAATGGCGAGCAGCGACTGGAGCTGTGAGATGATTGATCACGCTGCTGTACATGGAGAGCCGAGTGTGTGAAGCAAGAATTTCAACATAAGGTGGCAGTGCAAGTTCTTTGGCATATTAGCAGAAGACTTATTTTGACTGTAAGGGTGACTTACGCTCCCGGTCACCAATCTGCAGCGGCCAAGTTTGATACCACCGGTCAAAGAACATGTTAATTTCCTCTTTCAACCTGAATTTGTCAGAAATAGGTTTATGAATTTCCTTTGCCACGAGGGAAGCTTACTTGTCGACGACAGCGGTTTCGCTATCATTGTTGTCTACGTAACCATCGCAGATACCCCGTACTCGATTGATCAGATTGGCCTACATTAGAGATGTGAGCCTTTTGTACTGCAAGGATGATATCGAACTGACCAGATCTCTTCGTAGCACTGCGACCGACACTATTGAACCATCCCATCTATCTGCTAATTCAGACAAGTGCCATTGATCACAGCTCTCAATTAGTGGAGACATGGGTAAAGCATAATCTCTGCCTCTCGCTAAACATACACTAAGTTTGTTAGCCAAGACAAGAGTATGTCAACTAGAAATCACCTACCCTCTTTCCAAGACGAAAAGTGATAACCATGTCCGCTCTCTCCGCCTCAGGAGTCGTCTCGCACTCAAAGACATAGGATCGAGGTCGCTAAAGCCATCAAGTGACAAGGCTTTTCTTGCATCTAGGCAGTCGGCGGTAGCAACTCCGTCCCTTGGTGTTTGTGGTTCAAATGAGGCTGGCAAGATGATTTTGTTAAGTGACAGATCTAACGCGATGGTGAGAGCCATAGACAACCAAGTTGAGGTTTCGTCGTCCGCCCAATGCTCTCCAGCTGAGACCCAGGGTATGTTGACCATGAAAGCCAGGACAATTTCGACAGATTTGTAGCGCTTTGACATTATAATACTCGCGAGCTTTTGCCGATGATTTGATAACCGCTTATATAGAGATTCTAGTGATGGGGAGAAAAGTGCTGAAGCAGCGGCGATAGAGGTGAGCAAAAATGCTGAACGACTACGAACGAAATTGACCGTATGTATCACTGGGTCGATACCCCATCTCGTGTGAGCAAGTTTATCGTAAAAACTATAGAGAATAAGCAACATATAATACAATCGTCAGCGACGAGCTTACTATGAAAAGAGTGCTTCAGCTTCGGCAAGAGTGACTAAGCCAAGTTCAATGGGATCAAGGTCCTCCCCAATGTCCAACCGTGGCTGATATGGCCCAAAGAATCTTTGAAGATCGAAGTCACTTCGATGACCTATTTTGTGGCCAGTGTAGCCAGGTGGACCGTTGGAAGCACGGGGATTGATAGCTGAAAGGAGTTCGGAAGTTCGCGCCAGCAATTGCAACGGGTTTTCTGCGTCGTCTAAGCTGAGCTGATCGCCGTCTCCTCGCTGCAGTGATGCATCATCCCTTCCAAGTGCTTGTGGAGGTGTGTCTACCGACACTGATGTTCGGTTTGGTGATGACCTCTGATCCTGGTCATCGGACTTCCCTGCCGCGTATTCATCGAGGGCATTACGATTTCCCAAAAGCTCACGGCTCCGCTCCAGAAGGTAGCGCAATTCGTTGGCCTGATCTTGATTTGCGATCTGTTCCCCAACAGAGCTTGTCCTCTTCAATGCTTGCTCAATTTGATGTACCGCCTTCTCAAGGCCAGTATGTTTGCTTTCGAATATTTAGTATCCAGATGCTACGGGCAACGGAAGCCTTACTTTTTAACACCTAGAATTCGTTAGAAAATGATTGCTAAGACTCACACGGTCCAAATGTGTTGAGAATCCTACCTTTGTGCCGACCTACATGATACGCTGGAGCTGCGCAATCTATGCGTCGCTGTTTGCATCGAGTACATGTCGCAGATCCGTTTGTTCTCACGCACTTTAGCTTTGAACGTTTGCAGTTAAAGCATGCTGCCAATCGTTCATCATCTTTTGTGTCGGGAACCCGGGCTGAAGCCACAGTTTCGGACATGGCAGCTACACAGCAGGCCAGCCATGTGGCCACAATAACTCGACCGTATGCACTTCTTTGACGTTCACCTGTGCATATTATTGAAAAAATCAACTTCGGTTTCGGCAACTGAGATGTTGCACTCACATATTCAAAATTCCCAATTGGAAGACAGCCCTCCCCGCTCTTTCTACGCGAAGAGCCTCAATCACCAAACGTCAAATCTAAATGGTCATCTGTCACGTGACTGCCTGGTGTCTCCGACGCTCCGAGCTTTGCCATGACGACGACCTCGGATATATTAAGCAATAGGCCTACATCACCTCTACTGGCATGTGAAGTCTTCAATGGTCACGGAAAGAATTGCTCACCCTCATTTAGTATCACAGCCACTATGTCAATATCAGTGAGTGCAAAATGAACCCGTGATGAGAGGTTGGACTCAGTCACGTTTCCACGTTAAACAGTCTTTGATGGGATGTGGGACGTGACTCAAATTGGTTCACTACCATATATGGAGCTGCTGCGAAATCCAAAGTTTGCTGGGACTTCCACCGCCTTTGGCAGCTGATCATGCTTGACTCTGACAACAACGGCGTGTTCTTCCTCGAAAGAGATTGAGAATGGATAACTTTGGGGACCCCATCGCCTTTACCGGACACATTGTGGAGCATTTTTGAACATAAGGCCGGTAGTCCATATGCCAAGGTCATGGAATTATACTGCTCATCGCCTAGAGCACCCAGAACTGGAGTCAGCTGGGAAACTCAGTCAATGTGCGCGAGTAATGAAAAGGACTCAGTCGCACGTTGAAGATGCTTCCAAGAGACTGGGGTTTGAGCCAAGACGCTATCATGAGAAGTAGTCCTGATGTTGGACATGAGGTCAATCGCCGCATAGATTTTAGTGAGCTATGACCGCAAGAGCGACTGTCAAGCGTTTCTAAATTAGTTTATTCCCACCAAATTCTTCAACCGTCTGTACCCCTTGACAAGTTTATAACGAAACCAAACTCGAAGCACCACAGTATTGATGAAGCATTGCGTTAAGTACTGTTCAGTTCGCGAAGGTTTTAACCGTCTCTCAATGATTCTAGCGCTTCCAGAATCCAGCACTCTACGCTTGCCAGGAAAGGCTTCGGTACTTGGCACATTGGCTTTCTATTGGTTAGAACTGTCGGCAGATACTCATTTCGTCGTGTTTCTTAAACTTGCTTCAACCATTCATATTAGTTCATGATTTGGGCCAAGTCTATGGGAAGAAGCGAGTAATTGAGCGGATAACTGCAGTGTTACTTGGCACTTGACTATTCATTGAGCCATCGGACTGGGCACCTCTTGATGAGTAAAATAAGTCCACTAATTAGGAGACTCTTCGGCCAGATTCGCCATGGTCACTTGGGTAGCGGCGGTTTGCTCTAGGCCCTTGACTTCGAATCAGACGACACCATGATAAGATTATCTGCTGGAGATTGTGGGGAGAGCTCTAGATTCTCAGTTGAAGATTGGGCTAGCCATGAAGCAGTCAGGGAAATGCTGCTACAGACTAGCTTGGCAAGCAAAAAGGCTTCCCCGTATGGGGCATGCCAAGGGAAGGGGAAAGAGTCTGTTTCCCCATGGTCAATGGGGTATTGCTTGGTTTGGGTGGGACAGCTCAACATGGGGAAGGCGTACAAACAAAGAGGCAGAACATGTGTATATAGCTTAAGAGCCGTTCCCCCATGGCTGTGCCCTTTTCATTGTCATCACCAGTCTGCCTTATCACACCTGAAGTCTTCTCTTCTGTTTAATTATTGCTCTTGCACTCTTCTATTAGTTGGTCAACTTTCACGATGGCCGGCGGTGTCCCAATGCAAACTGGCCAGTTGGCCGGCGGCTACCTGAGTGGTAGAGCGTTGATTTTCCCGCTGTCTTTGGTCATATCGTTGTTTTTCCTTTGGGGATTCTCGTACGGTCTACTAGATGTACATGACTTCCTTATTGATCACCATGAGGTCTAAGCTAACCTTTGCAGGTTTTGAACAAGCACTTCCAGACAGTCTTAGGTGTATCTCGACTAGAGTCAACCGGTCTTCAGGTCGTCTACTTTGGTGGCGGATACTTGCTGTTCAGTCCCATTGCCGCCGAGGCCTTGAAGCGACGGGGTTATAAGTTCACCATTCTGATGGGCCTTTGCCTATACTCTATCGGTGCGATCATGTTCTGGCCAACCGCTCATTTCTCGACCCCTGAGAACAAACGGGCTTCATTCGGTGGATTTTGCGCATGCACTCTGGTCATCGCTTGTGGTCTTGCGACTCTTGAGACAGCAGCGAATTCGTACGCTGTCGTCATCGGAAACCCAGCGACTGCATCAGCTCGTCTGCAGTTCTGTCAGAGTTGGAACGGTGTTGCCTCTTTCATCGGTCCATTGATCGCTGCCAAGTTTTTCTTCGAAGGGGAGCATGCCAACAGTTTGACCAGCGTTCAGTTTGTCTACCTTGCTGTATCTTGCGCTGGAGCCGCTGTGGCCGTGCTATTCTTCTTTGCCAAACTACCTGAGGTGTCCGAGGAGATGCATAGTGGACAAAGCACTGCTGATAACCCAGCTCTAGACCAATTCGGTAACGAGGTTGGAGCCGGCCCTCTGTACAAGCAGTATAACATGATTTTCGCGTTTGTTGCGCAGTTCTCCTACGTAGGGGCACAGGTCAGCATTGCTTCATTCTTTATCAACTGTAAGTCATTTCCAACTATTATCTACTAGTCTCACTTACTAATGTACAATAAGACGCAACTGAAAACGGTGGTTTCACATCTAGCCAAGGATCCAACATGCTTTCTTACGCTTTGATTTGCTTTACTGTTGGACGATTCTTTGCAACTGGACTAGCAACCGTTTTACAACCAGATTTTATCATGATGATCTACGCCGTCATCGCTATTGGCTTTAATGCTTACATCTGCGTCGGAACCGGTACCCCAGCCGTAGCGATTCTTATTGCCATTTTCTTTTTCGAGGCCCCCATGTATCCTACATTATTTGCCATGGGTACAGCAAACCTCGGAAAACATACTCGCCGCGGTGCAGGTATCTTGGTCATGGGTGTATCCGGCGGAGCTGTACTCACCCCAATTCAAGGTGCCATTGCGGATGCCGCCGGAACTCGTATCTCGTACGTTGTACCTCTGGTTGGCTTCGTCTACGTACTTGGATATGTTGTTACACACTGGCTGCGCCATGGACGACACATCATGAGAGTAAAGGAAGTCGTTGCCACGACCGATGCTACGCTTGGAACATCAGAGGACGACGCCGAGAAGAAGCACAATGAAGCTATCATCGTAGAGAGAGCTTGAATGGGTGGGTAATTTACGTGTTATAGATGATAGATGATAGATGACAATCTCAATGGAAGGTTAAATGGATAGAGGAATGAACCAATCATACTTAACATAGATATTAGTACACTATTATCCAAATCTCGATATCTCTTTTATTACCTACGTAACTATGCATTATTTGATAGACTACGTGACTCCCGTACCTCAAACTCTCTTTCTATCTTGATTCCAATTTTCACAGACGTGTTCCGCGGTGCTTCGTCCATATCCAGGAATGTTGGCCGCCCATCAAACCGAGGGCTCATAATACTCGTTACGGAACCCATTCTCGGCTTTAACATCTGAAAAGCTTTGATAGAGTCCGTCTCTTCTTGATAGCGGCTAACTGTCGAACTATTCTTTCGGGGTGTGCCAGGCATGCTGGGACCAAAGCCTCCCAGGTCTGCGTCATAGATATCTGCGGCCCAAGCCTTTTCTTCATCTCCGCGTAGTTGTTTTGTTTTCTTATCAGAATGCGCCGAGCCAATCGTAGGCGGGTGCCTATCGTCTGGATTATATTGAATTGTGGTTCCGTGCGAATGTGAGAAGAGGAAAGGGAAGAAGTGGCCAATTAGTGGTCTCATGGTGGCAAGCGCTGCGCACGTGATCCCCGAAGCCAGCTCTGCAACCGAAAAGCATGCAGATGTCCATACGTCGTATGTAAAGTCCTCTATCTTATCTGTATGAATAGTAGTAAGGCGAATTATCGATATCACCACGGTGCTACAGACACACTTCTGTAAGTATTGAGCGGCAAATGAGTATATGCGGGCAAAACTTACATCGAACCAACACCAAAGACGCCAAAGACAGCAATCTTTTGTGCTCTTGGTAAATGAAGCTTCCAAAGTGCTGGTAGAGGAAGCATGATGATGATTATGTCGGTAACCATATTTCCAGCTGCATTGATGTAGACCAAAACCCGTTGATCCATGCATGTTGCGTCGATGGTCTTATCCCAGAAGCCCGCAACAGGCAGGCAGACAAAAGTGATCGAAATCAACTGGCCAATATTCCAGGCTACCACGACCACCATAGCTATCAAATATGTGTTTCTCATAAATTGTATCTGGCGGAAGATTCGGAAGTATTGGAACAGGAATGTCATTTTGATGAACAGCAAGGCGGCGTTGTAGAAGAGTGCGGTAATCCAGAATGTCTGAGGATAATAGCCTTGTTAGACTGAGCGAATAACTGGCAAGTATGTATGTTCTCTTACCTCGAAAAAGCCCGGGATATCAAGCATAGCATTAAATTCCCATTCGTGTTGACCCAGACCTAACAAAAAAACAACCGAATTTAGTGTTTTGAATCAGTGATTGAATACTTTCTGAAACCTCCGAGTAGAGGCGCTTCGAAAGCCAAATGTGTTCGAGAGAGAGAATATAGAGATTGCGCAAACACGAGCGGTATCGAGAATACTTACATTTAAGTGCGTTGATTCCTTGAGATATCGCCATCCCATATGTACATAGCTAGCTCATCTCAGTCTGGACGCCCTGAGGCAGGCAATGAACAGAGTTGCTCACCAGTGCTATAACCGCAAGCCAGTCATCTGGCCCAACCAGGCGGTTGATATAGATTCTGGTGAAAAGACGAAGGGTCGTCGCCACCGTCGAAACAGCACAACAGATCGAACCTGCTAGGATGATCATGCGACCTCGTGAGTCTTGATTCGGTGCATCATGGTCCATTTTTTCAGTTGGAACCAACTAAGTGGTGCACTGATTTCGAGGTTGCGGTTCAATATTGCGCCAACTAGAAGCTCACACCCATCATGTACCGTTGACGAGGAATATTGCAAAAGACATAATAAATGAATGCATACTGGCAAGGTTGACATGATTCACAGTAGGTTGTGGGTATTCTTGTTGACAACATCATGGTATGGCGGGAAAATCTTGAATTCTCCAGGATATACCATGAGTTTGCATGAGATTGGGTCGAACTAATGTTTGATCCCATCTTCTGAACCACAACTGAGTTGCCGCAGTTTGGGCCCTTTTGAAGGGGAACGCTACGTCTGGTATTTGTTACGATAAGATTAGATTCACGCAAGGGAGACGTCAACTTAACCCAAAAAAGCAATTGTTCTGGAAGTCTTCCATTTGTTACTGGGATCAAGCAGCGTACCATAACTTATTTAGGCCGGGCCCCGTCTGCCATGATGGAGGTCGCTAGCGTACCGACGCGGTCGGACTCAAACGTGTCTCATAACAAATAAGCTTGCAAATGTGGAGTGTCGTGCGCAGATCGTGAGTTGTACGGCCATATGGACGAATCCCATATAAGTTTGCGAACGAGCCCTTGAATGACACAACACCGTCTGTGTAACTGTGCCCGTGGGGTACATAATCTTGGCAATGGGTATTCGATGGCTGGTTGCTTCGGCTGATTGGGGTCTCGCTTCACAGCAATACTCCGATATGCAGAGCATCAATCGTTCTAGAGTTCGTGTTTTTGGAGCTGGGCTGTTTGTTCCGGACATCATATTAAATCGGAAAGAAAGAAAAAGCTGCATGTCCGATGAGTGTTAGAGCAAGGCGAAACAAACGTTTCCCCCGTCTATGTTTCTAAGTAAGAAATTTTTTTCATATTTTTTTTTCAGTATTCGGGTGATGGACGCAGCAATTGGCGCAGTCGGTTGTCGTGTCCAAAATTAAACAAAATGAGTCCAGTGTAGAACTACAATAACAGACACTACTTACAGGTAGACAAAGATTCCAACAATCAGCTGTAATATCTCTAGCATCTACTTGATGATATATCTTGTGTTTAGAGTAAAGTGATATAAGGCAGGAAGCTCGTGAAAAGCGGACAGTCTGCATATTGTTTCGGACACTACGATATCCCTTCTGTCTAGTTAGACTAGGTTAATTTACTGATGGGGCTTCTGCAACTCCACTGTAGTGGTTGTTCTCGCCATGCAGCCCCGCTATCCTGCGATTCTTGCCTTGGGCAATCATCAGACTGCTTCATCGAAACAACACATGCACACCAAATATGGACAGTCCTTATGCCAGAGACCTGCAAACCGCAGTCAATGTCATCCAGCAAGCAGCGAAGTTAAGCCAATCAGTCATTTCGGCAGAGGACAAAGGCGTTATTGAGAAAGATGACCTTAGTCCAGTCACGGTTGCAGACTTCGCCATCCAAGCATTGCTCACAGCTTCTATACACAATATCTTTCCAGATGACAAGTTTGTAGGCGAAGAGTCTGCTGCGGACTTGAGGCGGAACCCGGTGCTCCTTGGCCGAGTTTGGGGTCTACTCCAGCTCGTGAAGGACGCCGAAGCCAATGGCCTTTGCAAGCTCCCCGGGAGTCCAGAACAAATGTGTGAGATGATTGACTGGTGTGGTATGGGAAAACCTGGCGGCGCCGACAGCGGGAGAGTGTGGATTTTTGACCCGATTGACGGAACTCAGACCTTTGTCAAGGGGCAAGCTTACGCTATCAATGTTGCATTGCTTGAGGGAGGAAAACAACTTCTTAGTATTGTGGGTTGCCCAACAATACCTGTCGGTGCTGAAGCACCCATTACCAATGACACAAAAGATCCCACGGGCCGTGGCTCTATCGTTTTTGCTGCGAGAGGTTACGGCACGTACGTCCGTCCGCTCGTCGGTTCTTCAGCTGAAGTGCAAATACGGAAGATCGAACCCCATGCTCAGAATATCACGGCCGCCGAATTGCGCTCAGTAACCTGCTTTAACACACTAGTATCGGGTGTCGATAACGCACACCAAACCATTGTCGAAAGGCTCGGGGTTGCGTTTCCCGGCTGTGACCTATTGGGATGGGTTCCGCGATGGGTGACTCTGGCGTTAGGGGCCGCAAACATGACCGTCTGGGTTTATAAGCGACGAGATCGGTATGCAAAGATTTGGGACCATGCTGGGGCAATGCTTCTCTTTGAGGAAGTGGGAGGCAAGGTCACCGACGTTAATGGTAGAGACATTGACCTGACTGTGGGAAGGAAGCTGACATCCAATCACGGATTCGTTGCTGCACCCAAAGATTTGCATGCCATGGTTCTCATGACCGTGCACGAAGTTCTTCGGGAACAGGGCAAAGGTGAATTGCTGGGTTCTGATTGAAAGTGGGTTGCTTGACATTCGGCTGTCGACGAGTGGTTGGAAGAGTTTAGTGACCAGAAGCAGCAATGATGTACAGATCAAACGATTCCATAGAAGTGATCAAACTTAAGAGGTCCAATAACGCTACGAGACCTGAGCCGATAAGTCGGTCAGATACAGACCTATGTAAACTTCATGACCTTGCATTGCAAGCTCCATGATGTTTGGCGGCCACAACGATACTCAAATTCTCCTATCGGTAGGATCATTGTGAAATCGATGACACACTTGCATTCGGGGTCCAAATGAATTCGGAGATACAAAGAAGTTGCCTCGTGACGCCATTTTCCGAAGCTCCATGTGCTGCTTTGGTTATCTTCCGCATTGCCGTTTTGGGATGACTGCCACCCTGACGCGCATTATGACTGGCTCCGAATTTCTCGGCCGCTACTAATCTTGTTTGATACATGCTTCCTACCAGCGTGTTTACCGTACATGGGTTAATATAACTGTGACCCGTGCTAATGCCATTCCCAGGATTCACTTGGAGCTCAATGGTGGAAACAAGTCTACGTCGTTCTTGGCTAAAATAACGATCGCCCCAATGTAGCAGATTCACAGACACAATCCCCACGACTACCGACAGTCAAATATATAGTTGCATCTTGTTGATCGCTCCTACGCCTGCTAGGTCGCATGCCTATTATAGCGACCCAAGCTTTGCGGCCCATCATCATGAAAAACGTTCTTAATCTCATCGCAGCAACTGCACTCGCAGTTAGCGGGGCCTCTGCCCATTACATCTTCCAGCAATTTAGCCTGGGCTCAACGAAATACTCTGTTTATGAGTACAGTGAGTCGCTACCAAGTTTACGGCACCGGCATTTTGTAGCAAAAGCTAATATAGATATGTACATTAGTTAGAGAGAACACAAACTACAATTCCCCAGTTACTGGTACGTGTGTCGATCATACAAGTTATTCTTGGTTACTCAAAGATACTAGACCTTACCTCGAACGATCTACGCTGTAATGTCGGGGCGAATGGTACTGGCACAGAGACGATTGCTGTAAAGGCCGGGGACTCTTTCACTTTCACTCTTGACACTGTGGGTATCAGTATTGAGAAGCAACTAAAATATGCTTGTCGCTAATGTTTGACGTGCAGGCGGTCTATCATCAAGGACCCGTTTCGATGTGAGCCATGCGTGACCATATACTTTTGTTTAACAAAAGGCTTACTGTGTTAGTTACTTATCGAAAGCGCCAAGCACTGCTGCGACTTACGATGGAAGCGGTTCATGGTTCAAGATTCTTGACTTAGGTGTGTCTAATTTGTGCACTCCTACAATTTATCCAACCACTAATGCTCTATCAAAAGGTCCAACCTTCAGTGGAGGCTCAGCCACATGGAACTTGGCGCGTAAGTTCTGTCAATCCGTGTTGTTACATGTACGTGAATTAACAAGTGTGTAGAATCTTACACCTACCAGATTCCTTCGTGTATCGCATCTGGCGAGTACCTCCTTCGTATTCAGCAGCTCGCCATCCACAATCCTTGGCCGGCCGGCATCCCACAATTTTATATCTCCTGCGCCCAGATCAGCGTGACGAGCAGTGGTACCAAGACCTTCTCGGGGGTTTCCATTCCCGGGGCTTTCAAAGATACCGATCCCGGATACACCGTCAACGTGAGTTCTCCCATGGCATACAATATATAAAGAGAAAAAGAAAAAGAGAAAAAAAAGTGATTATGACAGAAAAGGAAGCTTACTTCTATCAGATTTACAACAACTTTAACAATTACACTGTCCCAGGCCCTGCCGCAGTAAGTAACCATCCATTCCATTACTCATCCTACGCTAATTATGCAGATCACTTGTTAAATCCTAGTACACAACGAAGAATTTCCGCACTTGTCAAGTCGCCATATTTTAAGAATGAAGTAGGAACAGATCCAAGAACAATCTTAGGTGTGGTCGGTTGATAGGACGAGTACTAAGACACAAGAAGTTGGGCATTTTCTCTGAGTCTCACCATCTCTGGCTTAACCGTAACTCTACACCTTCAAGCGAAATATGCCAATAACATATATCTTGCCAATTCACTTTTGCCCATTTCATCTTGTAGATTGCTTGTTTTCACTATATTATTTGACAATAAAAACCCTGAAAGCAGACACACTTATGAGTGCATGAACTCTGCTCCCGCTTTTGTTAGTCGCTATCTGTCATCACTAACACCTGGCTCTTTCATGGCCACACCGAGATCAAACAACTAGGGCAATTCATTTATTCGCCTAGATGAGCAATGTATCGAAATTACCTCTCGGTCCACCAGGATCTCGTATATGGAGTTTACAGTAACCAGAGCTTCGTTGTTCAACCGAATGCCGCTGTGGGTAGTCACGTCTAGCTTATAGTTCACTGTAGAGCGATCCAGCCCCTTATCCGACTGTTGCCATGTCAGCTACTTTATTCCAGGCCCGGACAGTTTATGGTGGACTTACCCAACAGTACGCACTAATTACGGCATTATGCTTATTAGCTCCGCGAATACAGTGACCTCGCGGAGTTCAGTGACAGTGTCTCGTTCGGCCCGGGCCCCGTAGATCTCGTTTCTTTGGATACGCATCGCGATAATGGCGAAATACGCCTCTAGCATATGGTTGATGTGTTCGAGAAATGCAATCGCATATTCTGTGCGTCGGTTTAGAGTGGTAGATTCCAAGGCTTCGCACCGACCACTTAATTCCCCAAAGCTCAAGCTTTCGGATTGCGAGACGCATATGTTCTCGGGCGTTTGTGGCAGCCTCTCGACGTTTTTCTTTGGATTTAGTTTAGTGCTCCAAGTGTAGACAGCACATGTAGAATTTTAACATACCTATCGTAGTCAGCAGTCCTAGCATTACTAGGACATACATTGTGATATCATCATCCGGCATCCTAATCTCGCAGATGATTGTTCTGAAAAGGTGGTGATAGTGGCCAGAAGAGAGTCGTTGCACCTTTGAGGAATTCATTGGAAAATACTTATACATTAATGAGGATATTGAACACAGGTGCTTATCACGAGCACTAATAGTTGTTTTGATGAGCTCCTAATCACCCGTCATGCTGCTGGGATGTCAATCACTCAAGATTGCACATCTCACTCACGTTAACACTTCACAAACTCTAGGCGACATTTCGTGCAATTGTCAGAAATGTATGTTGTTGCTACTAAGAGTTATGTTTAAACAACTGACACGCACAAAGGGCTTGGGGTTTGGAAGGCTTTCACAAATTAGAGTCGATTTACTGAAAGGTGTTATATACAAGGATTGCGTATTCGTTGATGTTGACAGTACTGCCGTTCAAATGTGGTTGCTATCTTATCCTGTATAGGTTGCGCGTACAACGACTCTTGTGGCCACATCTATTCTCTAACACACCTACTAACCTAATAGGACATAGAGTAGCGTCGAGTCGCCATGTTAATAAAAGTGGATACGATCATAGATCCAACAGTGAACATGGGCTAAGATGGATTATTCCTAGGTTACTTGACTCAATGGATGTTCGAGTCTATGTGACTCTTAAATTTTACGTTGTTGGCATGCTCGTATTGCGCCTGGGCTATAGAGTCGTTTCTCCTAGCTCTCCCAAGAACCTCATCATAATGGTTGCTTGTCATTCCAAGGGTTCATTCGGCTACTTTTGAGTGATTATCCCGACCACAAGGTTGTACGCATCAGTCTACCTAATGATGAACTATTTTGGCAGGACCTTCTCCAGTGGAGCGTTTAAAGCTCCGAGTGTTAGTGCTACAGGCCGGGTCTAACTAATCCTTAATAGCTTGTAGCAGGTGGTCGGCACTCCTGCCAAGACTGCGCCAGCAAATTCATTAAGATAGTGATAGGCCTGCTCTGGGGGTTGTTGTCCATTCATTGTCGGTCTTTTCCATTCTCGTTATTGAAAGCCCAAAACGTAAGCTGGTGCGGCTGTTTTTGACGATAGCGTGCAGGTGGCAGACCGCCTAGACCCTTCAGCAAGTCTTGGATTGCGCCGGGGTCTCCGCAGGGAATTGTCGACAACTGAACTTCGGAATCAACGACTTCACGGCTTTCAAAAGCCTCAAAAGCAAGGTGAGACACTCATGACATCGCGATGGTGCACTTTGCAGCCGTTTCAAAGGTAAATCAGTAGTTATGATTGGTCGTCTCACCGTTGACCACGCTATGAGAGTCAACAGAAACCTGGAAATTCGACCAAGCCCACCACCTCAGCAAGTTCAGCTGTGTAGTTGACCGGAACAGTGGGCCGTGGCGCTCGTATTGCCGGACCTGCATTAGAGTTGGCTGCTAATATTGACTCGGATATGCAAGATCAAAGCTCAAATTTGGCGCCGCCTTCTTCAGCTGGCTCGAAGTCGATAAGCACTCGGTTTACTATTAGTGCTTGAGCCATGATGCGGTGGTGAGTCTCGGCCTGCTCGGCGTTTCTGCTCGCTTTGCTTTATCTCCTGGCGGTGCCAGTTGTTCAAGATATTCATTATCCCTCATTCTTCAATCTGCCGCTCATTTTTGTCTGAAATTTTGGACGTGTTGGTTGCACTCATATTGCACTGAGATTGCACCTTACAAATCGGCGATCACATTGCGCTGTAGCAGCTCCACCTCTCCGGGACTTCGAACCCCGAATCCAGCAATACGGTCTGCCGTTCTTTTGCTTTCCAGTACTATGAGTTTATCCCAAGCTTTACTGCTGGCATTCAGCGCTGTCGTATCGGCTGCTGCATCTGACAAGCGGGGTCTTGTGTTTGTGCCAAATGAGAAATGGCCTCAAGATGATAAGATATGGGTCCAGTCCGGATCGGATCTCACTTGGTATTACAACTATGGCTCAACACCGTCGTCCGCTTTCTCAGATGTATCGCAGGACGATTTCGAGTTTGTGCCAATGCTTTGGGGCACCATCAGCGATACAGCCTTTCTGAACGAGGTGAACAGTTTGATCGATGGTGGCCGCAATATCACACATGTCTTGGGCTTCAACGAGCCAGACGGCGATCAAGCGACGGGCGGTTCCAATATGCAACCCGCACTAGCAGCCCAGGTGTGGGTTAAGAACATCGAACCGCTAGCAGCAAAGGGTATCAAACTAGGATTGCCTGCATGCACTGGAGGCTGGAATGGAATTCCCTGGCTGCAACAGTTTCTGGCAAACTGCTCAGCGCTCGTCAGCACAGATTCCGAGACCAAGAACTGCACGTACGACTTCGTCAATATCCATTGGTACGGCGACTTTGGAGGGCTCGCAAGCCATATGGGCTCATATTCCGCTGCGTGAGTCAGATTGTGCGATCTACCCTTGTCAAGTGACGTTTTCTAAGATGGTTATAGTTTTCCGAATGTCACCCAGTGGATAACGGAGTATAATCTCGACAACCAAGATCTATCCACAACTCAAGCATACTTCAACACGTCCGCAGAATACTTTGATCGCTTGGACTCTGTCGGTAGATATAGCTATTTTGGCTCGTTCCGATCGAAAGTTAGTAACGTCGGCGAGAACGCTGTCATGCTAAACAACGCTGGAGAATTGACCGGTAAGTGGCTGAGAAGTGGCGAAATGTCATCTTTACTTTACCTTGCTTTTCCGAAAACGATAGCCCAAATTTTGCGCGCACATGGCGCCAAGTCGTCTTTCTATGTATAAACTGAGATGCTAAATATTCCTGTGACAGATATCGGCTCTTGGTATTTGGGAGGCAAAGCCACTGGAGTCTCACCTACGTCTGCCGCTACGTACAGCAGGTCGCCTATTGCACTGGCGATCACGACTGGCCTTTTGGGTGCCTTGATTCTTGGAAGTTTCTAACGGAGTGGTGAGCTACGTGATAGGCATTGGCCTAATAGTAATGTGTTGTGATTTGTTGGGGGTAATACATGGCGCACGCAGACCTGCATTGCACTCGATATTGTGTACTGACTTGGTGCGGCTCGGACTTGGCAATAGAAATAGATTGGTTTATTGGGCATGGTACAGGTTCAGGTCGCATTTAGGCGTTCAATAATACAGGGCCATAACAACCGTGGGCCAAATAAACATTTCCTCGTGGTGCAAAGATAAGATCACCCTACTCAAATTGATGATATCGGAAGCGGGTTTTAACTGAGGTAGCACGGAATTGACACGAGGGGGCTTTGGACGAACCTACCTAGGTATTGAATGAAAGAACTATGCATTCCTATTGTATTTGCATCGATAGGATAAGCCGCTGCCCGAAAGCATGGGTTGTACTTATGTACGCCCTAAAGCGGGCCGAGGCGCTAGAACCATACATCTGGCAACCCTGGTACCCTGGTAGCGTTTGAACCGTGTTGCGCATAAAAGCTGACCGAGGCCACTACTGCTTGCTACTGGCTTTCATCATTATAATAGTCTCCAAAGTGACCAAAATCGTGTGGTTGTTCTGTGATAAGGTAGATACATGATATAGGATGACTCGAGTTTAATTAGGCTTTTACGTCTTTTACAGTTTGTACGACTCCTGTGAACTATTGTATTCATACATAGCTCAATACGCCTGTTTGCGTATACTTGTACTGCAATCCCACAAACCCTAGGACTATGAAAATCGGTACTCTACAACTCAAACTATCTCGCTGTAACATGAGTATTGCGACTATATTATGATGGCCATAGTGGAGCTTCTCACAACGATACGAATAATACAGGACGTGAACATACTATCGCCGAAATCTTTTCAAAAGGTCGGCGCCTGGCGTCACGCCACATACACAGGCGGTGGCATAAGAATGTTTGAGCAGCATATTGGCGATCGAGACAGGCCTAGGATCTAGATATCTTGTTTTCTCTGCGGGCGCGAAGGTAGCTGATGGGTACTTTTCTATGCCCCTATCTCCCTTACCGCAGCAGTTTCAACATTAGAACCGCGGATCAGGGTGGTGTTTGCTGGTTTTCGCCACCTCGGCGGCGCTCGCAGCACTGTGCCTACCAGATTCGACCGGTTTTCCCCCGGCCTGTAAGGACATGGTGCAACGAGTATTGCTCAACAAACACACGAAGCAATACGCATCCTGTCAGACCGAAAACGTCAATGCTTATAGCAGGATGCTCGTCGGTTAGATAATTTCCAGGACACGCCTACAAAGTTTGTGGAGGAACTTCACTCAAAAGTAGTTCTTCACGGCTATATGTAGTTTTCGCCACCTCCGATACTTGTGAGATTACTGATGAGTGTGCTGAGGTCCGTGACCCTGGAAGAAGTAGTGGCCAAGGTGGTGGTTTTGGCCTACCAACTTGTTGTCCAGGCCATCAATGTCTCCTCGCGGGAAACCATTTCTGTATTATTTCTGTGAGAATTCCTTGCTGTCTTGACCGATATTTGTTGCATCATAGCAATGTATATGAGTGCAGGGCCTCGTAAAATCGATGGTATGAGGGAGATGGGTACGGCTTTGGTCACTTGGCTCCAGATGTGGTTTTCTTTTTCTGCATTCCAAGCTTCCAAGAAGATTGGAACAGTGGTCAAAATTTTTATGCTTTCATGGTTTAACATGAGGTTCGAGTGTTAACATATTATAGCATACGCAGTCTTTAGCATCTTAGTACTGTCGAGTATTTTATCTTTATATATAGCGGATGCAGTTCTCATCGTGGTGAGTTATGTCACCGGTGGCCGTTCTTCGATGCAAACTCGTGGAGTGAATGTACGGTGTACCGCGTCACATTCGAGATCATTTCCCAATTAATGTAGTATGATGCACAATTGGACGGCCAACGCAGTTCACGAGTGGCGAGCGAAGCCAGTTCTGTAAAACCCGTTTGACCTAAGTACCTGACTATTCTAAATAATTTACGCAGGCTATAATACAAGCCGAACCCCCCTTTTCCGCCGCTAGTCTCGCTTCACGTCGATATGAAACTTTTCCGGGAAGCTGGCGAAAAGAACACCAGCAGCATTATGGTCGATTCCGTCGGGGTTGACATCGTCGTACGCAAAGGCGTAGCCCTTCAAATTGTCCAGGTGGTTGTGTACGATCCGGCTATAGTGGTTGCACACTGGATGCTTGTAGTACTGAGTAATATCCGTGTAGGGCTGAGTGTTGCCGTCAGTTAAAGCATGCGTGCCACGAGTAAACATAGCGCATAGGCGAGGTATAATCCTGCTGTGGAACATGGTGATGGGTATAGCAGTATCGACCGGGCCTACGACAAACGGGCCCGAGTCACAGCCCCATATGTCTGCGGTGGTTGGCTTTCCATAGCTGTATGCTCCAGCAGTCCTGTCGCAGGTCATGTTGGCTCCTTGAACACGGCATGTAGCACTGACGCCTTGTCCTGCTGTTGGTAATGCCAATCCGTTTTCCTCGCTCTGCATGTGGATTACAAGGTCTTCTTTGCCATACCGCGTCCACATGGCATCTATATCTGATGTGTAAAAATCGGCCATGCTGTTTCTGGCGCGATCGAGGGAAGAGTAAATCTACGTTACGAAAACGTCGCATTAGCCAAATTGTCAACGACGATAAGTAACATTGTTTTAGGTTCTGGCTCGATCAAGACCACTGGTCTCACTTTTCAAAAAAGGCCCACAGGCTGAGAAGGTTATCGACTGTTACCGTTGCGAATAACAAGAGAAATGAGAGAATGCAGGTTGTGCTCTACACGTACATTTGGGGAAATTACCCTCACGAGGGCTCCGTCTGCGGCGTTAACGCACATCTGTCCCCATTCAGGCCGACCGCCTGCATCCTTTGCTGAGGATTGCTGCTTCATTTCCTCACAAATCTTCTTCAGTGCACCCCCTTCCAGGCCCTTTACTTCCTCGGTTCCTTTTTCGGAAGTTAAGCTCATCCCAATACTAAGGCCGACCCAATCCACGAAGGATAAGTTGACAAATGTCGCGTCTTTCGTGTGAGTAAGCTCGACAAAGCCCCATTTGAGATTATATTCTGGAAGAGACGGATCTGACCCGGACGGCTCCGCAAAGCTGCCGTCCTGATTGACCTTGAAGTGTAAGTCGCCTTCAGCCAACCATATACGACCGGATTCCAGATAATCCGGCAAGTTCACTGTCGTTGTTTGCTTTGGGGCAATATGGATCGCAAAGGGAGTCGAGTCTAGCATTGCTTGCGTCGTCACCTGGGCGGTGAAATTATAGTACTCCTGAGTGTCCGCCTGTAGAAATATCTGGGTCTTATGAATGGGTTCTTTTCCTGCTATGTATGCGTTGATAGAGTGATCCCGGTCATTGTAGATCTCAACCAAGAGAGTGGGAGGTTTTTCTTTATCATCACGAGATTCGAGGTGGGTGGAAGAGCCTAGGAGAATTTCATCTCCCGCAATGGCTGCTTGCTGAGACTGATGGACCAAGGAAAACGCTGGAAAGCTGTAATATGCAGCTAAAACAGCTACACTTGTGGAAACCGAAAGATGCATAACGCGACGTGCATGAGACAATCTTTTGAAGGTGAGGTAAAGTTTGTTTTCCGTAGTAAGTTCGAAGGAGAACACGAACTTCCGGACGTGTATACTTATACGACATGCTGCCTCTGATTCTCATGCCTGTATCCCGTGATCAATGCCCGAATATAAAGAGCTTGAGGCTTTGCACAAGAGACCTCATCAGGGCATAAATCCAGACAAAGAAAACACTTGTTCCGGGGTACACGCGAAGCCACCACGAGGACGAACAAAGAGCTCAATCCGGCGTCAGGGGACATGCGGCAGAAAGACCTCCACGAGCCAATTGTGCCCTTGAATGTATTTTTTGGTCTCGTGATAACAAAGTCACAATACGAGGAACTGGTTGTTGAATACAATGAGTCGACGGAGGTTGGAAGAAGGCCCAAAAAGGAGAAGAGCACAAAAGAGAAAGACTTCTTCGCGAGTTCGACGAGAGACCGATGTGTCGGAAAATATACCATCGGCTTTCCTGTGCTTCACATGGTCAAATACATTGCTGTGGTGGACGTGTCTTGGAAGCGCCTGTGATGAAGAAACCAGAGAGTTTGTGCGCGCAGGAGTTCACTGGAAAGCTACAAGCAGGCTCTTTTTGAGGCATGCAAAACAATAAACGGCAATCATGGTTGGCTGGGTAAATGAAGGGTAGACTAACTCACCTCACCTAGGGGGAAGATCCCAATGCCAGACGCATACCTGGACATACCCCAGATTCTATACGGCAGGCTAGCGCTGCTTACGGACGCGTAATTAGTGGGCAGTAGTAAATACTTGGGCCGGCGGGGCGCCCCCCCACGGCTCTGCCAAGTGGAATCTGCCGCACTAAACCCCCGGTTGGGGCTCACGTTTTAGGCCCATGGCCCGACGTGCCTCGGCAAGTCGAGGCTCAGTGGATTGGCCCCCCGTGGTCTTTATGAATGCGAGTCCGTCTGCAACCCACGGCAGAGAGCAGCAACTCACTTCTTCTTCAGTCCTTGACATTTGAGTTCCTCCCACTCCGCCCTGTCCTTGTACACCACCGCGTCAGTCACCATGGCCGCCGAACGCCTTGCATCCATTGTCAAGCAGCTCGCTCCCGGGACGAGTTTGTCGCAAATGTAAGCCGCCCACCACTCCCACGTCCTCGCCCTTGAGCTTGAGCTCGGGTGCACCAGCCGCAGACGTCATGTCCTAGCCGCCTGTCTGCGCCCTCGGAAAAATCATGTCTAACACGGCCATGTAGCACATCGAAGAATGCGGACGATATCGTCATTACCCTTGCTATCCGAACGCCCTTGTGTAAGGGCAAGAGGGGTGGCTTCAAGGACACGACCCTCGAGTACATCACATATGCTCTCTTGAAGGAGGTCAAGGACCGCATGGGTTTCGACCCAGCTCTCGTCGAGGACATCTGCTTTGGCAATGTATGCGCCCACCCCCCGTCCTGTTTATGACTATGCCCTTCCTGCTCCCATCCGAAGCACAGCAAGCTGACATTCCATGTGATGCAGGTTTCCGACGGCAAGGCCGCTTACAAGGTGCGCGCCGCCTCTCTCGGTGCCGGCTTTCCGAACACGGCCGGCGCTTCATCAGTGAACCGCTTCTGCAGCTCCGGTCTCAAGGCCACAGCCGACATCGCCCACGCCATCTCCAGCGGCTCCATCGAAGTCGGTATCGCGATCGGCGGCGAGTCAATGACCGCCGGCGGTGACGCCCTGGACAAGCCATTCGATGAGCAGATCCTCGTCAACGACGATGCCAAAGACACCATGCAGGCTATGGGCTGGACCAGCGAGAACGTGGCGCGCGACTTCGGCATCTCAAGGGAACAAGTGGATACGTATGCTGCCGAGAGTTTCCGGAGAGCCGAGGAGGCCCAAAAGGCTGGCTGGTTCGACGACGAGATCGTGCCAATCACCACAAAGGTCAAGGGCCCCGACGGCGAGGAGAAGACCGTCACTCTCACCAAGGATGAGGGCATCCGTCCCGGCACCACCGCCGCCGGTCTCGGCAAGATTCGCGCCGCCTTCCCGCAATGGGGCCCCATTACCACTGGTGGAAATGCCAGCCAGGTTACTGACGGTGCAGCCGCTGTTGTGCTGATGAAGCGTTCTACTGCTATCAAGCTTGGTGTTCCAGTGGTGGCCAAGTACGTTGGGTCCACCATTGCAGGCCTGCCCCCCAGAATCATGGGCATTGGCCCCACGGTCGCCATTCCCAAACTTCTCAAGCAATACAACCTCAGCATCGCTGATATCGACATTGTCGAGCTCAACGAGGCTTTCGGAACTATGGCTGTGTACTGCAGGGAGAAGCTCGGTCTTGACTGGGCAAAGATGAACCCCCGTGGTGGTGCCATTGCTCTTGGCCACCCACTGGGCACAACTGGTACTAGACAGATTGTCACTGGCTTGAGCGAGTGCAGGAGGCAGAAGAAGAAGATCCTCTTGACCAGCATGTGCATCGGAACTGGCATGGGAATGGCTGGTCTATTCGTCAACGAGCAATGATCCCGTCTATATCTAGCAGAATATATGTAATGACCATCAATGTAAAAGCGAACTACATCTTTCTCATCAATAATACTTTACACCCTCAAACGAGGGTCCCAGCAAGAAAGCGGTTGAATTGTACAGGCCATAGTTGACAACCATCGGTGTCCAAAGTACACTCATTTAACTGTAAATGACGAGACTATCGAGATTGGGTCGATCAACGGGTTGTGTAAACAGGGTCGTCGCTTCACGTAACTCGACTTCGACTCGAGCTCATCTCTAATTTTCGTGCCTCGGGATCTGGGATGATTTCGCGCCTGGACCATTCGTCCTCTGCCTCGTATTTATCTTTCCGTTGATGATATTGCATGATCACCATCACAATAACGGTCAAAGGAACCGATGCAACGAAATATAGCCACCACCTGGGCTTGGCTACAAATACCGCTACACCGCCACCATCAGATAGGGAATTTGAACAGAACCCTATGCCAAAAAAGCACTGCTTACGAGCGACCCAGGGAGGAATATCATCAACAATATCTGTAAGATTCGCCGTAATCGGTTATCCTGGGTTGAGGCCTGTGCAATCTGAATGTTCAGCTCCGAGTCGCGCTGGTTGATCATGGCGTAGCACTCAATGACACCAATTTTGCCGCGCTCTATATGAAGTCTTGTATAAAATCCGATGGGATTTACCTCTTTCTCAAAGTTTTCCAAGATATCTTAAAGAACAGACTGTGTATCTCGAATATAATCTTCCTTAAATTCTGAGATTGACGTCTTTTGCCGAACCATGATACTTGAACCTTTGAGTACTCGATACTAGCAGCAAGCATATTGTAGTCATTCTAGATCTGGTGAATCTGTTGTGGCAGGGCTAAAACGGCACGCGCCCGTGCTATATAATCGTCTGGCGTGCGAAGCTCGGAAGCCTTTTCTCCCATTGATACAACGGATTGTAAAAGTAAGTTAGGAAGATATGCGTGTGTAGTACGATATTTTCTGTCGTGAATGCGTGCCACTCATCATATGACCCAACAGTTTCTGCCCAGCCTCTCCAGAGGACGTGGAGAAGGATGACGCTTCGATGTTTCGTGAGCAACGCCAGATCATGTAAGTCATACACCCTGTGCCCGCTCTGTTTCCGCTGTTTTTCAAGTAGGCAGTCAGACCACATATAGTATCTCTGCCAGTAAGATACTGCCTAGTAAGCTGGAGAGTCTGGGTCGCACTTTGTGATCTATTGTGGTTGCCTTCGATCCTGAGATATGCGGTATGCCATAGCTCATGGCGAGTTGAGCCGTCTCTTGTAGAGTGGATATTCTTGCCAGGCATGTGCTGGCGACTCAGATTTTCTGTGAATCGTGGATTTACACCAATTATGTCCAGAGTATCCCGGAGTAAGGACTCTGCGACAGGCAAGAGATCAGGCAGCTCTTTGGTAGCATCAATGAACAGTATCCTCAGCCTTGCAAGCTCCTCTTCGGATGTGAGCCACATCCGAATGTCCTCGCTATCCAGATTCTGTCTGAGGATAGAATCGCCATCGCGGCCACACATCAAAAACTTCGGCATTCGAAGTAGTAGAAAACTGGTTAGCGACACCTTAAACCCTCTTCTATGAGGCTTCCGCGTGGGCCTTCTCTTTTCTTTTTCAAAATTTTCCCCCTCGAGCCTCGCTTCAACATATTTCGTCGTCATGAACGGCGGGCGATTCATATAGATCAGTATATCTGTGGCATCACCATGTCGACATCATGCCGGAAGGGATATCCTGCTATTTATAAGACATATTTCTGTGTCAATACCATGGGCTCGGGGCAATTCCACTTCCCAGAACCCTGAATTCGTGGCTAGGCCTTTAACCTACGCATAATATCAGGGCTGGGAATCCTTGACTGACGGGTAGCGGACGCAAGACTTGGTGCTGTAGTCTTGAGTCTAACACCACTGAAGTTCTAGCCGCTGGTCTTTCATCTTCTATGTTATGATAATGAGTTAATTAGCCAATGGAAAGACTAGTTCTGGTGTTCACTGCTTAGCTCCAGCCGGTCCCAAGCACCAATCAAGCCAATGTGAAAGATCAGAAAAGCCACCATGATCTAGCCATTGCAATGAAAGACAAGGGCTGGTCCTTGCCCCATCTGCGGCATCTCCAGGGTAAAAGATGTAACCATCATAGGGAAGGAGAAGAGATATATTCAACTACACGGAGGAAGTACAGCCGGAGGTTTGGACTCTCCTATTATGAGTGCGGGGAGTGATACAAGTCATTGACGTTAAAAGGGATTAAATTTGAGCAATTCTGGGTTACAAATCAGCAGTTATCTTGAAAGATGATAACCTCTTTCAACACACGCATAATGCTATCGCAACTAATTATGTGAGAATTGCTTTATGACATGACGCACGATGCTAGTCCATCCTTCAGCACAAGCGCGCTAGCACTCTAACCTTAGGTATTCAACCACAGTCCTTAAGTACCTGCTGACAGTGTTGGCGCAACTTACACGATCACAAAGCAAGAAACATGATCAAACGGGAGACAGCAGCGCCTCAAGCTTCAGTCGTTGTCTCTATTGGCGGCGACCTTTTCCTGCTTAATGAGCTCAAAGCAGTTGTCGAGCCTCTTGAAGGCGACGAGAGGTACCTCCCAGCCACTTGCTCACTGAACGGACAATTCGCACGCGAGCTTTTACAGCCAACGAACTCAAGACTAATCTATGACGACGATACTTGGCCGTCGGAATTTCTTGAAGGTGTGCCTTGATCCAAACTTCTGAACGAATACGTTGTCAACGTAGCCACAAAGAACTAAGCTGCAACGATGTAATACTAATTCATTATAGTGCTTATCTTTCCCCGGTCCAAAGGGGATTATACGGGCTTGAGCGCAACTGTCCGTGAACTGCCAGGTGACCTCACTCTACCTGTAGGCCCATACATTCTCCATTCCACCACTGGTCGGGTCTATAGTGTCCTCAAGCTCTATGATGACTATAACAACGCTTTCGTGGGCGGAGTCGTGCCGGACGGCTCTTTTCGATACAAATGGCTTCAGTGTTCTAACAAGATACCTGTCCCGCCCAGGTATTCTAGCGACCAAGATCCGAAGTTACCCCTGAATGGATTGCGATTTGGTGTCAAAGATGTAATTGATGTCGCGGGACTAGAAACTGGGAATGGCAGCAAATGTCATCGTGAACTCTATCCACCCCGAGAATCTACGTCCATCTGTATACAAAAACTTATTGATGCTGGTGCAATTATGGTGGGAAAGATGAGATGTTGCCAGTGGTGTGATGGGCAGGATCCACTGGAACGACTGGAGGAGGTGACGCCTACGAACCCGAGGGGTGACACTTTCCAAAAACCTTCGGCATCTAGCTCAGGCTCTGCTGCTGGTTGCGCGAGCTACGAGTGGCTCGACTTCACAGTAGGGACTGACACGGGCGGTTCTGTGCGGCATCCTGCTGGTGTCAACGGGCTCTACGGCATTCGACCATCCCATGGCTCGATGGAGAGTTCTGGTTTGGTCTGCACCGCTCTTATGGACACACCAGGAGTCTTCGCACGGGCAGCTCACATCGCTGAAGCAGTGACAAAAGTAATGATGACGGAGTCTCAAGAACATCGTCTAACAAACAGTACGCGATTCAAATTGTTGTACGTCGTTGAGCCAGAAGTATCAGAAAACGAAACCCCAAAGTTCTTCTCTCGAGCCGGCCAAGGTCCAGAAACGGCCACTCCCGCTGGCCAGATCATGGAAAAGTTTGTGCAGGCATTAGAAGAGAACCTCGAATGCAAGCGCCAGGAGACAGATATTTTCGGCCTTTGGAAAGCGACACACCCAGAGTGTACGTCGGATGACATGTTGAAGGAGACAAATGATGTTTATAAGAACATTGTGTACGGGCAACTTTCGCGTGATGTTGTTCAGCCTTTCAGTCGCGAATACGAGGACCGTTACGGCAGGAAACCCTTCATCGAAGCAAACACGATGGCCCGGCTCGAACACGGAGCGAGCGTGTCTGACGCCGAACTCCAAACTTCCATCAGAGCTTTCGACGCATTCGCAGGTTGGGTCAACCGCGTGTTGCTACCAAGACCTTCTACCCACGGCGACGGGATCGAAGAAATACCTTTGTTGGTCTACCCACAAAGCTGGGGGAGGCCGACATATAGGGACGATCTAGGCAGGATGAAGTCCGGTCAGGTCTTTTGGAATGGGTTCTCAGCGTACTCCTTGAGTTATTGCTCTGGTTGCCCTGATTTCACCATACCTTTAGGTGAAAACAAGTTTGCGTCCAGGTTCACAGGGCACGATGAGTATCTCCCGGTGGCCATATCATTGATGGCTCCTCGAAACATGGATACAGTGCTGTTAGAATTGTTAAACCGATGGACGAACGCAGGTATACTGAGGCCGGTTGACTGTGGGTCGCGTCTTTGGGCAAAAACGAATGTCTCCATTTGAAGTGATCCCCTTTTCGCCCAAGGCAAATTCGGCAACGGGACTGGATTGTATCAAAGCCAAGACGTACTAGACATGCTGAATGACCTAGATTGGCGTGTCGGGAGAGTTGCAGTTGCGAGATATACGCATGCACAGTTTGCAGTTTTCGATTTGATTGATTCATAACAGTGATGTAGCCAACAGAGCCTGGCATTGGTGCCAACAAGCGACAGTCATTAGTGTTAGAAGAAAAATTTTCTATTTCTTTTTCTTTTTACTGAGCAGGACTCGCAGGCAATATTTCTAGCCTGTCAAGTGGGAATAGCCTCCGCTACTTGCGCCACCTCTCTCGATGAAGGGAGCACTGCTACGTCTGAGTCCCCATCCTTCGTGGCTGCCACGCCCCGCAGTGCTCCAAAAGTCTAATGCGCTGCGCTCTGGGGATCTCGCCGAACCGCTAATAAGAACGACATTATTATTACCATTCTCGGGCTCGGATGCTGCGGTTTGTGTGGTTGGCACACTGCCAGTCTCCAGGTTCTGCAGCCCGGCTTTCTCCAGTTTTATTTGACGGATTCGTTCCTCGAGGATGCGCTGTTCATCGTCTAGCTTCTTGATAGCATCATCACGCCGTTTGCGGTTTTCAGCTCGGGCTGCGTCCTTGCGTGTCTGGATCTTCGCTGTTGCTGCCTTCATGAACTCCATGTGAATCGACTCTTCCTCCTTGTGCGCTTCCAACCACTGCTTACGGCAATCTTCGATTTTACTCAGTGTGTCGTTGTAATGTCCGATACGAGTCGTGGGTGCCTTAGAAGGCCGGACCTCATCTCCAACAAGGTCTTGGACAACAGTTACGGCGTTGTCTTTGCGCACAGCAATTTCCATGATGAAATCTTGGTCGTATATTCGCTGTTGCTGACGGTCAACACACTTATCGATCGAAGGCATCCGCGAGAGAAGAACTTACAAGCTTCGGGCTCTCATTGTCGCCACCATTTGGGCGGGCGGGGGGTGTAGAAGGGTCGGCCATATTGAGAAAATGTAATGGAAGCTTGTTGAAGTACACTCACGATTCTTTTATGGCAGTCGCTAAAAGAGTTTGTGGTGCTTAGTAAGTCATTCTTGCTGGCACCTACAAAATGGAATGATAGCGTGTCCGTAATCGCTCTATTATCACACATTGCTTTCTCGACAATGTGGTCTTTCTTGGTTGTTCTAGGTTATTCCATGAAGACCAAGTAGACACGATAATCGAGTCTTTACCGGTAGTGACCATCTACTGAACCAGGCAAATTGTAACTATCTTTACAAGAATGATGGCCTGAAATAAAGAGAAACAGGAAAGAGAAAGATAGAAATTGTCTTCCAGATCCTAAAAACTCCGCCAGCAGTTGCATAAGTTTCCTTGCTCATCAAAATCAAACCCCATGTTGTTGTTGTCGTGTCTTTTCCGAAGATTTGTGGCGTCATGTTATGAGTAACATACAAATCCGGAATGACATACATCGAACCCCATTACCTTGTAATCCAACATCGACACATGTGTGTTCTGTACAGAAACCAGCAAGTTAGCACGGAGATATAGTACGGACCTTAGCAGTCAGCGATGTGACTTGTGCGGTTCGTGGGTTAGTCATATTCTTTGATAAGAAAGATGAACCTACAAGATTTGATTTTCACCAACTCTTCCGCCATGATCAGATTAGCTGCTCCGTGGTGATCGTAAAATGACCACAGATCCTGCTCCGTAGACTGATACAAGCATTAATCAAAGCCCAAGAGTACTGTCAGCTAACCAGCCAGAACCCAATATGTAGAACAGGTGGCCATGACCAAAAAGCAAACAGCTGTCGCACTTTTATAATGCCCACGCAACCTTGCAGTCTTGACCAATTTATCAATGTCCTGGTCTATTTTTGGGTGATAGTTGTCTTTTGGGTCTTAGTTTTATTCGATGGCTGGCTCTTTTCACCGCTATTGATAGGAGCACTGGCAACCTCGGAAAGGGCTGCTGAGATACTGTTTGCTGCGCTACGAGTGATAGCTCTTCTTGGCTGGGCAGGAGCGGCTGGGTTTGGTGCATGTTTGGGAGCAATCCGTCGGAATTTGGAAGGCCTCGCGGCGGTGTTCTTATAAATAGGACCTGTAAAATAATTCGGCAAAGCTTTCCGTCGTCGGGCAGATTCTGCACGGTCGTAAAGCCTGGGTATCATGTCAGTCGGAATAGGACGAACGAACAGCTCTAAATTTACCTGAGAGAATCAGCACTGGCGTAGTGCTTGTGCGTGCCAGGGTCAGTCAGGGACTCAATTGACTCCATGATGTCGCTCGGAGTTTGAGTAATGAGTCTGGCTAGTCGAGTACTTGATGGTAATGGTTGGCCCGTCTCGCTGATGAGGACATGGCTGTTGGACCTAGCGCGTTGCGCAGGGTAATATGTTGTGATACTTTCGACATTTGATGGCGTGGTTTGCGACGATGTCTTTTGAGTGAGTTCATTCGTGTCATCGGCATGTGCTTTAGCCGCCTCCCTATCTATTTTGTTGTCGCCAGCAGCAGAATTGTCGTGGCCACTGGCGATTAGCGGTACGCCATCGTCGCTATCTTCATCTTCCTCAGAAGACAGAGGTTTGTTAGATAAGTTGAACATCCATTCTGGGGACAATCTTCCCGAGGATACTCGTCCCGAGACTAATCGCCCCGAGGATAATCGCCCCGAGGATAATCGCCCCAAGGATAATCGTCCCGAGGATAATCGTCCCGAGGACAAGCTTCCTGAGCGAACGCGGCGGCGAGGTGCGAACGATAGGGCGGTAGAAACACTCCTCGATTCCTGACGAACCTGATACAAAAATCATTAGATAGATGCCAATCTGTGTATGAGAGCAACAATTCACCTTATCATGCCAATGGATCCATGAGTGAACCAGTTTAGGCAGCGCCTTGGGTTCCTCAACAATCTCCCCATCATCTTCGAGCTTATCAATATAATTGCGACGGGCCAAGACCAGGGCTTCAGCGATATCTGTTATATCGCTCAAGCCCAAGAGGAGAGCCCATGGAACTTGCTGTTTGACGGTTTGCCAAAAACACTCCGGGTCACTGGTGTACTTGTGACGGTTATCGTGCCTGGTCCCGGCACATGAATTAGCTCGCTTCCTCGTGCTCAGCTGCTAGTTTCTGGTACAGGGGGGTCGGGGTCATAAGTCCTTCTCCAAGTAGTAAGACGAGAGCCTCTATGCAGTTTCCAGAGACTTAGGAGGGCAACGCAATTGTAGCATGTTTTTGTTTTGGTACCTACATGACTTGAAATAGTTGGGCAATTTTGGCATCGACATTCTCGTATTGCTCCAAGTGCTTAGCCCAGGAAGCATGCAATTGCTTCAGCACGAGACGATGGGCCATGGGGCCATCAGGAAAGATGAATCCATCCTGTGAGATGTATCTGTGAAGGGCGAGGGCTCTGGTACTCATGTCTGCGGTGATATTCTCGACGGCTAGAGCAATAGCGGGGGAGTGGATGGCTGGGCGGTCGAAACCCGGATGGTAAAAGCTGTAACAGGCTGGCGATCATACAATACCTCAGCAGGTGACAATCTAAGCTCAAAAATGGCTAGCTTTGTAGGTGCGCTGAAAAGTACAGCTGTTTCGTCAGCTGGACGAAATTCCAGGAACTGTGAGTGGCTAACGATGGACACAATGCTTGAAAGCCCAAAATAAACACGCTAGCAGCTGCCAAGGCGCACAGATTCATTCTATGCTACCCACCATTCTGACGGCCGGCCAACCACCCGGAGACTGCATCGCCAGTGGGGCCGAGTCGGAGGTGATGTTGCGAACCTTGCTCCGAACTTCATCACGCCTAAAACCACAAAACATAGCCCTTCACATAGCACTACATTCGGAAATGTAATCTTGTTCAATCCCTATTGTTAGATACTTATAATAGAAGAAGAAAAAATTGTATTCATATATTATCATAACAAAATGCACACTCTCTCAATGCCCATAAGAACGTCTGTGAGCCCACTTCTGATGCATTGATGACAACCTGTTAGGCGAGGGGCCTGTGTCTCAATTTTTCATACTTAGTCTCCTGAATAACATATTCCGCCTTTTTGGCGATATCAACATCATTTGCATATGCTTGTCCATTTGTGTAAAGTTGATGCTCAAATCTGACATGATATTGTTCGTGCAAATTAGCTCAGCTCATTATAGTTGGCATGATTTCTCTGTCTCACTATGTTCTAATGTTAGAGGAGCTTGGGCAAGTTGTGGTAATAGTATTTGTTGCTGCACTCTTGTGCGGCTCTTGCAAGAGGTGTGAAACCGCATAGACGCCACCCCTGACCATGCCTAGATATTAAACATTTGTTGTGATTTCAATCACGTAGTATGCGGTGAATACTATGAGTATCAATTTTCCACCATGCCAAGTCAATGAAAGGGGATCTTCACCACCTCCAAATGCTAAGTAGTCATATAGCAGGAAACTCATTGTTGCAACAACCAAATTGCCTCCAGTCTTTCCGAAAACTATTATGTTCCATTTTCTTTTTCACTCTTTCTTTCTCTTTTTCCTTTTTTCTTTTCTTTTTGCTTCAGCTCACAGATATTCTGAAATTCTTATAAATGATCCTCGCTGGTATGATGGGGTCGTTTGCCCGTTTGCCCGGAAGTACATTGATGCATTGGTGATACGAACTGTTTCTAGGAGTGGTTCCTTTCGTTCTCCTAGAGAAGATACTGTACAGTCGTTATTCATGCTTAGTAAACCAGTCAAAAGTGTACCCTTGGATCCCATCAGACCGGTCCTTCATTTGGCAATTTATGTGTCTATTTGTATACTGCAGTGGAACACGATGGAATATAACGGAGCACTGGAAAAGTAAAGGAACGTATGAGCAAGTACGCTAAGACGAGAAAATGCTTATGTGAGTTGAGAATGTATTGCATGTGAAACAAAGGGGTTTCTGATCTTTATACGCACAAACGTAGTCTCTCACATTTCGACTCGGGCTGCTTAAGGTTAGAACTCTGGGAATCTCTTGAAGAAATACTTCATCTTTTTTACGGACCCACCCACCGGAGGATCCAAAAATACCACTCTTAGGAGTGACTATATCACATAGCAAATAGACATTTCAGGTGATTGTAAAATGAAATAAAAGTTTCTTAAATTTGATAACAGATGCTGTTTGAACGCCTACCTCCCTGCCCCGGAGAACGCCGACTATGATGACTATTTACATGACCAAATATCTTCATGACACATAGAATTTGTTTGTCTATTCCTCGTCGGACTCGTCCTCGGCAACCTATGACCATATTAGTAGTGCACTACACGTCAACAGATTCATGAAAACTTACGTTGTTATGGAAGTCCTGTCCGCCCTTGGTCTCAGCAATGACACCAACGCGGATGCAGAAGTCACCAAATCTCTCGCCCTCCTCACGTTCCGTGGCGTACCTCTTCAACAGTGGCTTCATGATGTCGAGAATCTCGTCCTCCTTGATGCTGGATCGGTATAGCTTGTTGAGACGCTGACCGTGGTAACCACCACCAAGGTACATGTTGTAAGCGCCGAAAGCCTTGCCGACAAAAGCAACCTCGGCAAGCCATGGACGAGCACAACCGTTGGGACAACCAGTCATACGCATGACAATAGAGTCTTGGCGCAGACCGTTCTCTTCAAGGCAATCCTCAAGCTTGGAGATGAGGACTGGGAGGTAACGCTCAGACTCAGCCATAGCAAGACCGCAAGTGGGGAAAGCAACACAGGCAGAAGAGCTGAGGCGGAGGCCAGAAAATTGGATGTTGTCAAGCTTGTACTTGGCCATCATATCCTTGATTTGCGGCAAGTCCTCATCTGTCACGTTGGATATGATCAAATGCTGGTTGCCTGTCAAGCGGAACTCGCCCTTGTCAAGCTTGGCGATCTCACGCAGACCAGTCTTCATTTGGAACTCGGCAGTATCCTCGATACGACCGTTCTCGATGAAGAAAGTAAAATGGTTGAGACCGTTCTCATCCTTCTGCCAACCGAACGTATCGATATTGCTCTGGAAGTGGAAGGGTTTCTCAGGCTCGAAAGCCTTACCCCACATGGCCTCGACCTTACCGCGGAAGACGTCGACACCGAGATCGTCAATGGTGTACTTGAGACGGGCGTGCTTGCGGTTCTTACGATCACCATGGTCACGTTGAACCAGCATGATCTTCTCGCAGGCAATGTGTGCCTCCGAGGCTCTGACATAACCCATCATGCGACCGGTCTGGGGATAAGTCTTCTTGTTGTTGTGAGTGGCACCCATACCACCACCAGCAAGAACGTTGAAACCAGCTAGGGTGCCGTCTTCGCCCTTAATAGCAATCAGACCTACATCATGTGCATAGACATCGGTATCGTTGTGGGGAGGAATGGCAATGGTGATCTTGAACTTTCTTGGCAGGTAAGTGGGTCCGTAAAGAGGCTCAAAGTCCTGGACAGCATCACCAGCAACAAGCTTCTTCTCCTTGTCATCTTGCAGCCAGATCTCATGGTAAGCCGTAGTAGCTGGTAGCAAATGGTCGCTGATCTTCTGTGAGACGGCGTAAACTTGTCTGTGATACTTGGACTGAGTAGGTAGGGAGCTGCACATGACATTTCTGTTTACATCACCACAAGCGGCAATAGTAGTCATTAATGCGCGGTTAATGGCCTGCATGGCGGGCTTGAGTTTGCCCTTAATGACACCGTGGAACTGGAATGTTTGTCTGGTGGTAAGCTTCATCGTCTCGTTACCCAGCTCGTTGCTGATGTCATCCATCTGAACCCATTGCTTGGGTGTGGAAACGCCACCAGCCAGTCTGCAACGAATCATGAAGGAGTAAGCGGGCTCAAGACCTTGGGCCTTGCGCGCGTCACGAACATCACGATCATCTTGCATGTAGGTACCATGGAACTTGGTGAGCTGCTGGTCGGAGGCCGAAATAGCACCGGTGGACAGGTCATTCAACCCCTCGACAATGGTGCCACGCAAGAAGTTAGACGCAATCTTCATGTCCTCGTTGGTGATCGGCGGCGGCTCGTCGGGAAGACCCTCGATGTTGGCGACGCCGAGAGATTGCCAGAGCCGAGGTTCCCAGTCTGAGTATCCCGTCTGGAAACCATCGGGATCTTGGTCATCGCCGAGACCAATCTCGGCGAGACGCTTGGCACCGAAGCTGTCGATCTTGCGATCCAAGTCCTTGGCTGGCTTGTTGTAGTACACTCTGTCCTGCTTACGAGGCCAGTAGTGCTTGTCACCAAGACCGAAGACAGAATAGTTGACTGAAGCCAAGTCTAGATCAGTGTTGTCCTTGATGGCGTGCCAGAAAGGAATACCATTCTGAGGGAACTCTCCTTGGCCTGCCGTTGCAGTAATAAAGACAATATTCTCCTCAGAAGGAAGGTCCTCGACAGGGTAATCCTCCATAGCCATGACGGTCGTCTTCAAACCTCTAGCCCGACCTCTCGTGCCCAGTCTCTTAGCCAAGTTTTGGGCATTGCCGTTGTCGGAAGCGAACAAAATAGTGAGTGGAGCACCGAAGAGTCCCTCCAGCAACTCATTGTACGCATCCTTAGCCTTGCGCTTTTGCTGGGCGCGAACCTCCGTGCCAAAGTCTTGTGCAAGACTGGCAGCGAATTGTGGTTCCCGGCGCATCAGCTGGGTCAGGTGGTTGTCCCTAGCCAAGAACTCCTTCAGCTCTTTCTTCACTAGCTCTGAATCCAAGGAGAAGTTAGGCTCGCCCTTGGTATCGTTCTCGGGATTCCATCGATACAAAGGCCAGTAGCCGGCATCGACGGCCTTCTTGGTCTCTTGCAAAACGGTAAGCGGAGAATCGTGCTCGCCAAAGTATGGCAGGTATGCCAAAACGATTGAAGGGCCATTGAACTTGTCAGCCTCGAGCATAGCCTGCAAAACCTGAGTGTAGGAGCTGTAGACGGCAGTCGAAGCGACATAGGCATTACCAAAGTTCATAGCGTACAAACCAATGTCCTTCTTGCGACGGGCAGCATCAGCTGCTGATTTCTCCGAGTAGGGTGTTGAGTCGATGATCAGCATGTTGACGTTCTCGCCAGAGGCTAGCACATGGTGCACACCGGAGTTACCCAAGTCATACGACCATGCATCTGAGCCAACCAACCAGAGGGACTCCTTTCGGAAGAGGCCCTTGCTGGAAAGCAGCTTGCGGGCAACAGACGATCCGTCAGTCTCGAGACGAGCGACAACATCGTCGGCCAAGTCGCTGGCCTTCTGAGCATCTTCGGCGGTCGCGGACCACTTAGCTAACCACTCCTTAGGGGCTTCTGTAATGAAATCCTTAGAGATAGCAGCATCCTTAACTTCCTTGATGAATCTCTGTCGATGCTCCTTGCGGGCCAAGAGCGATCCAAAGCCGAACTCGGGACTGGCTGAAACGGTCGCCGAGATACCTGCGTTCTTCGAGTTCAAAGCGTTGGCGACGTAGACTCTGTTACCGAATAACTGGTCGAGGATCTTAGTGTAAGCAGTCTCAAGCTTAGGCTGGTCTAAGCCCAAGCTTGCCTCAGGCGCCTCACGGTTGCCCACCTCCAAGTTCTGAAGGGGCTTAGGTGAAGTGAGGTTCTGGAAAACGCCCCTCAGTGCTTGCGAGACAGTTTCAGGTGCAATGTATCCCAGTTGGTATCCAACAATGTGCTCAACACCACCAAATCCACTCTTGACTGATGTCAGCACATCGATCAAAAGAGGGCCCCATTTTGTCGTTTTTCGAGAGACTTGTTCCAGAACAGCTATCCTTGTGACCGACTTGGGAATGGCCTCGATGAGCTTGGCACCAAGCCATGGCCGGTAGAGCCTTGCGGTAATCATTCCTGACTTTGCATAGATATCCGTCGAGGAAGCCGAGTCGAGAGCCTCTGCAAAGAGACCAGCATCTGATCCGAAGACGAAAATGGCCTTGTCAGCCGTTTGAGGACCTGACCACTCGAAAGCATTGTACTCCCGCTGTGTCAGATCCTTGAGCTGCGCCCAGATTCCAGTAACGTACTTGTAGATTTCCTCGGAGGTGACAACTGGTGGGTTGGCTTCAATGGTGGTTGCCGATGACACGCTCGGGGGACCAGCCGAGTCACTGGGAGAACTTGACTTGTCTGAAACGTCTGTGGAGGTTGCCTTTGAGGCAGCTTCCAACACTGTAGAGTCTGCCAAGTCGGATGTGCGGTTGGTGGCAGGCTCAGGCTGGTCATGAACCACAGCGACTCTTCCGTCATCGGCGTAGATGCTGGAGCTCTGAACAGAGGCGGCCTGGAAGCGGCGTACATCGCCCAAGTTCAGGATATCCAGCACTGCTGAAGCATCCTCGGGGCCAATTGGGGTGTCCCGCGAGCTGGATCCCGCATCAAAGAAATGAATGACACCTTTGCCTGACTGGATGGCCAAGGCATGTGCCGTCACAGCCATGTCCTGGGCCTCCTGTAGCGACTCAGACTGAAGGAATGTCCATCCCGAATTCCTGATGGCGGTAATGGCCGAGTAATCGGGTGACTGGGCGGGGCGCAGAGAAACATGAAGAACGACGGGGTAGTTCGCAAGCTTGTAAAGATGTGCAACGGATGGTAATAAGATGGTCGAGTCAGTGGTCACTGATACAAGTTGGCCGGATCGAATCGGTGTGAATACAGACAGGAGGGGGTCTGTGTTGTATCTAACAGTTTGGATCTGGAACTCATAGAGTCAATTAGAAGTTCCATATGCACTTTGAGTTGTGTAGGGTCGGTCGTTCGTTCGTACCTCTGGAACTGCACCAGCGGTCCTTGCGACCAGACCCTGATCCTTTCTGCCAGCATATCGTTTCAGATGTGAGGAGAAAGCAGATTCTTGTTCCTTTGATGACTGGACCGATACAATTATATCGCTTGCCAGGTAGGCGATCCTCGCCACTACAATTACAAGCACATGTCAGTTCTCAATGGCTCGATTTGGCGATGCTGCGTGCTGTGATTGGTGTTGTGGCGGGGTGCTGCCATCCAGAAGGAGCAAGTTGCCCCGCCATGGGAATGGGTATAAGATAGCATAACATAACGCAACGCAACGTTGACTTACCGGCCTCTTCAGGCGTGCGAATCTGAATATTCTGTGAGTCCATCTCTGATCCCAGGGTCGATGAAGGAGCAGCAGAGGATGAGTCCGCCTTACGAAAGAGAAAAGACATCGTCACGAAGTTCAGCGACGAAGTCGGCGGAGGAGCATTACTAGTAGAAATAAGTTTTTGCTTTCAAGACTTTTGGTTTGGACCTTCGGCCTCGTCTCAAGTTCGGCATCTGCAGCGAACGAATGACGAACTAACTACAGGCCCAGAAGGAGACATAGTCATGTTTTCGCCCCGCTACCACATTTTATTCTGCTCTTTCGAGATGTCGCCATTGACATTTTCTGCGACTGCGCGATGGCGTGATCGTTTAGTTTCCCTTGGTCAACCAATCCCGTCTGATATTTTGTCAGATGAGGACCCTGAGAAGGTAAATGAGGCGGTGGATGCCCCTGGGGTAAGCGGCAGAGCGGTCCTCGGAAGCCCACTGAAACGGGCCACAGCATGCGGCTGCCCGGGCGTCGGTCCACTATCCAGGCACTTGGGAGGTCTCAACACCCAGAAGCACCCATGCACCCGAGAGCCGGAAACTTGGGTGCTTTCCATGACATTGTGACTAACTTTAAATTCCAGCATCTGAACCCCGTAGCTGTCAGTAAAGTGGTAGAAGATAAATATCCTGGTTGTTGCCACAAGTCAACATGTGATGCTCCCCACAGTAGGATCAGCCGATTTTGATGTTTTGTTGTTATGATTTATAACGCATAGCTTTCTATGATGCTCTAGATACAGAATACACTGGGCCGATAAGCGGTCGACCCAGATGCGCCCCATATTGCGTGTGTCACGACGAATTGCACAATTTCAATACCGGACAAATCCAGCACAAGTCGCACCGCTATGCATATGCAATTCCCGACAGATACCGGAATCCCGAATCCCATATGGATATCCCCCCTCGTGGTCTTTCTAGATGCAGATGCCAGCTCACGCGACAGCGGCCTTGCCACGGAACCTTGAGTTCATGCTTCTCGCCCACTCATCCCTTTCCGCAAGACTAGGAAGCCAGTAACTTCTGCCCACAGAAACCATCTTTCGGCCCACCTTGCCTTTCCAACCTTCGCCTTCTGCCATACCTTGTGCGAAAGGGTTTTCAACAGACTGGGATTCGTCGTCCCAATTTTGCTGATCAGCGCCCTCTCGGTACTGGAGCAACACTGAGCGTGCGTAGGCCATAATGACGAACATGAAGTAGACGCGGATGAGCGTGAACAGCACGACGAATGTCATGCTGGCTGTAGTGTCAATTGCGCCCAAGAAACCACCCTCGGGTGGTTCATCCGTCTCTGTTGGCTCCGCCGGCTTGGCTCCAACTTTGTCCAGAGCTAGAAACCAGCTCACCGCAAACAACGTAGTGTACGCTGTATTCACGAGCGTGTCGATGATATAGAGCCAGGCGAAGGCGAGGTTTTGGAACGGCGTTTGTTTTCGGATATGCGGCAGGCAGAATGCGAGGATGCCGAGCGCGACGACCGAGTAGACGTATAGCGAGAATTGGACGGCCGTCAAGTGATAGCCGGTCAGAACCGCGAGTAAACCGTAAAGACCTGTGGCCTTGTTGAACAGCAACGACAAAGCAATCATTTCGGCGCCTGTTTGAAGACTCATGAGCCCGCAAAAGGTCTGTACATGTCAGTACTGCGCAATCTCCAAAGCATGTGGTGTTAGCTTACCGTTGGCCGAGGCATCCTTAGCTGTAATCCCATGATGAAGTTATGTATCGAGAAACCGCGTTTGAGATTCTTTCGCGTCGCAGCTTGAACATCAAAGCTGAAGGGTCCTGGCGATCAAGAGATCTTATGGAGTTCGTTTTTACGATTGAAATGACGACGCAGGCTCGGCTCGTCCGGGCACAGAGGTGTTGGATCGGGGGTCCACACCCCCACGACGTCAATTAAATGCTCGATCAGCGGGTTAAGCCTCAAGGCTGATAGTGTGATTTGACATCAATGCGCTTCTGTCAAGCAGCATCAATCAAAGCATGCAGTCCAAATACAATTACCCCTGGCTAGTTGCGATAACATATGTCATTTTTTGTAGAGGAATCTCTAAGCGCCATAATCGCCGTCTTGAAACTGGCCATTACATTCGTTCCATAGTAGTGGCTCCCTTATAAGAAAGGCGTATCAGCGTTTGTTATACCGTGGCTGCGCGGCAGGGCGAGTTGCCAACCACAGCTAATAAGGTCCCGAAGGTATTTAACAGCGTTATCGGCTAAGCCTGACGAAATTTGACAGGCGAAAGTCAGGTGGAAGTATCAGTTGGCCGTTTACAAACTTGGCAGAACCGTGCTATTTCAAAGGTTCTAATGGGAACTGAACTGGAACGCTTTATCAAAAATGTGAATTGTCAATAGTTGGTCTTTGTTATTCATGCCGCCTACGGATAAGTTCATGCTTGCACGGGAATATCTGTCTAGCTTAGGTAGCCTCTATGCAAGAAACGCGAACGGGCCCCACTTCTGCGAGGCTGCGACTGGCCCCGGGCATTTCCTCAGTGAAGCATTTCTGAAGCTTGCCCGGGAGTAGTGAATTGTACGCAACTGTTCGACAACCTTCACCAATTCTACTTGGCCGAAACAGCTTCTGGACACAAGCTCAAGGAGAATACCACATGATGGCAGCAGCCACGCCCATTGCCACGTATGTGTCATTGCACCCCGACACATATGAACCCTGGCTTTGTTGGTGTCATTTACTAACCATGCAAGCAGTGTCTACGTCCGCAACCTAGAGGAGCGCGTCAAACCTGAGCCACTCAGGGAGGCCCTCGAGGCAATCTTCGGCGAATATGGAAACATCATTGATATTGTCGCCAAGACGAACCTGAAGGCCAAAGGCCAAGCCTTCATAGTATTCGACAACCCCGAGTCGGCGTTGAAGGCCGTCGAGGAGGTCCAAGGATTCGAGCTGTTCGAAAAGCCAATCCAAGTCGCCCTGGCAAGAACGAGAAGTGATGCAACAGTCAAGACTACTGGCAACGACGACGAGTTCGAGCACCACAAGCGCAGAAGACTGGCAGAGAAGGGTTCGTCGCCTTGCCTACCCATGATCGAGCTTCCGCTAACAACAGCACAGACAAGAAGAAGGCAGCCGAAGCCGCCCAGGAGCAGCAGAGGCTCAAGCGTCCTGGCGCCGCACCTGCACAAGATGCACGACCCGCCAAAGCTGCTCGCCCTGGCGGTCTCAAGTCCACGGCTCCTGGTGCCAACACGGTGGTGCCCGACGAGTACTTGCCACCGAACAAGATTTTGTTCGTACAGAACTTACCCGACGACTACGACGTCGAAGCTCTCACTGCTATCTTTGGACGGTACGAGGGCTTCCGCGAGGTTCGTTTGGTGCCTGGAAGACGCGGTATCGCGTTCGTCGAGTACGAGGCCGAGGCGGGAGCTATTACGGCCAAGGAGAACACGGCAGGCATGGCTCTGGCAGACGGTACGAAATTCATGAAGGTCACATACCAGCGACAGTAGTTGCTCCAGTAAAGCTTAGTATGCCCTTGTCCACAATTCATAAGATACCCAAATGCTATACTATTCAAGACCAACGCCAACATGCCATGACTGTATAAAGTAGTGCCTTGAAATCCATCAAGCGGTCCGTATTGCAGAAAGGAAAAGCAAAATGCAAATAAGGTGCTAGGTGGGACCATCACATGATTGTTGTCGTCGGACACTTCATGACTACATGCCTGAGAGTCCAAATCATCAGCGATCACCTCGGCGCTATCTGGACGTTGCATTTGGGGCGACCAAGTATTTCACTTGGTCGCAAATGGGCAAAGCGCACTCAGCCACATCAGCAGGTCTACATAGATGGAGTTAGATTTTGTAGAAAGAAGCTGTAAAGACGGTAGAGACTACCGCCGGCAGTTGCCATATTTTTCTTCTGGGGGGTTTGGTGGAGGAGGAGGGGGGGGTCTGTTTTGTTTTTTTGCCGCTGTATAAGTTCACGCATAGTTTAGATCCTCACCCATAAATCATGGGTATCCAAATCTGTCGTTGCTTAGAGCAATGCTGATAGGGCCCTAGGCAATACCACCACGCCTTGTTTCGCATTGCGCAGTTATGCAGAACAGACACGTTTGTTGCAATTTCGTAACATTTTCTCTTCTTGTGAGGCACTGCTGTTGGTACCAGAAATCTTAGTCAGCTGTAGTGTCATGGGTGACCTGCTACAAGGGTACATTTGAAGCAGAAGCCATCTTTTGTTCTCTTTGTCATGTTACCTAAGCCGAAGAGGCCATGCAATTTTTGTCATGTTCCACACACACAGACACCCAAAACGGCTCCCGGTTCTCCTAACATTATTCACGAATGAGTAAGCCGATACTTGACCATGAGGACGGCCACATGTTTGCCATGCTTGATGTGCTGATTCCGAACGAGTATTGTACGGTCAGCACTACATTGTTGAAAACATATCCGAATCAACCACACTACGTTACTGGTTACAAAAGCTATGATAACTGATTGGCTGATCATGAGTTGTCTTGAGTTGAGGTTTGTTATGTACATATAATCTTTTGTCCAAAAGAAGTATCTTTCGCGATTTTATCTAATAACTTACCTTGCAGCCGACTAGTCAATCACTTGTCGGTCCTTCTCTACCATAGGATCCCCAAGAGACAAAAACAAAGTAGGTCTTGTATAGTGTCTATAATATAACCATTACACGTGCAGTGATGCTGGCCACATCTGCAACGGTGCAATCCGATCGCATGCTGGACAATCCAGCCCATGTGCGACCACCGTAGAAAGTGGCGGAATTGAGGTCAAGATACAGGCTTGACAGAGCCTAGGATGCAATCGCAGCAGCTCTTGTGGGCGCACCTCCAAGTCGACCACTCCATGAGGTTTCACCATAAGCACTTACAGCAGCGCCATAGGCGATTGGGTTTGTCTTCATTACCTGGGGAAATCGGGTCGACAGTTGTGTCACCGTTCAGTGGTGTGACACAAGGAGCCAAGCTCGTTGGGGTGTTGGTGCAAGACATTATGGTGACTGGCGGCCGGTTGACGATGTCAGGAGAGCACCAAAACAGTGAGCGCTGGCCAAACGGGAAAAAGGTTATACTTCGACATCTGCATGTCTTGAAGATCTAGCGCCATGCTTCCTTTGTTGGTCACAAAGCATATGTTGGGTGAAAAATTCTTCAGTGAGGGGGTAATATTGCAGGCTCCTAGGTATGTATGTAATACTCTGTTGTCTCGATCGGCTTTAAAGCGGAGGGGAAAAAAAGACAAAAAAGGGCCACGGTGCTGTATACACGCAGCTTGCCGTCATGGTCGCGATTCGGGCACAATGTCTTTAGAAAATGACATCTTCATCCTCGGTTGAAGCTAATATATCAGCTGGTGTGTCGTCCTCCTCTGGCGCTACGTTCTCCTGACCATTAACGGCGTCTGCCTTTGCCTTTGCCAGTGCCTCCTTCTTGGCCTTCATTTCTGCATCAGCAGCAGCAACATCTCTTTGCTTCTTGCCGGCAACTTTCTTCAGACGATAGAACTCCTCTCTGTCCAGCTCATCAAGCTCAGAGTTGATGTCTACAGTGCATGTCAGTGTCAGCTACTACGTGGCGGGGCACACTACGCTGTGACTTACACTTGATGGTGTTTTCTGTTCGTGGAATGATGACATGCTCACTATCACGTGGTCAGTATTGCTTACGGTATGCGTGCGTGGATCATATGATTCATACATGGCGTTGACTATAACGGTGTTAGCGTGTAATCTCATGTCGTGGCCTCAACAATGTGCTTACCTCTTCGGTTGACGACCTTGATGACCTCGTCGAGGATAACAAAGGCCGTCTGGAGACTGGCGAGCTCGACCAGTGTTTCCACGGCTCTGGCGTACGTCTCTCTGCACCTCTGTACCTGCTGGCCACCTTTGCCGAGACCGGTCAAGCCAAAGTCGTTGTTGCCCTCGGTCTGGTAGCTTTCGAATGCCGGTAGCAAGACACCAGAAACGTTCTCTTGCTTTGTTCTGATTCTGAAGCGGGCCTGCCGCGCCGACTCTTGTACTTGATAGCCAATGTCTCCTCCTACTGCGTATGTGACTTCGGCGAGGGAGAACGCAGCAATCTGCATGACGCGACCCATCTTTCGCTTTGCTTCGTCGATTCTTCGTGTAATGTCTAGGGGATGGTTAGATGCATAGCCAAGAGATACGGGCCGGGGGCTGGATTACCTCGAAAGCGCCTAGGAGAGTAGATGTAGTTAGGAAGATGATCTGTGGTAGAGGTACAAGATGATTGACGCACTTGGTGAGGGCTTCGCTCTTTCTTTTTAACAAACTGTGTCCCTGTTCGGCTCCCTTGAGCTTGGCCTTCATGATACCCAGCGACTGGCGCGTCGGGAAGACGGCCTCGCGATCCTGCTCATCGTCAGCACGGCGGGACTCGCAACCTTCAAGTTGTATGGCAGTGACGTACTGCAGCTCCAGACATTCTGGGGGACTGTCAGGAGGTTGGTAGGGTCTACGAAATGTACTGGAGAGCGTGGGTTGGGGCCGAAAGACACAGAGAGGAGTCGGGCTGCAGATTAGTCGGGGAGGACTGCAGTTCAGAGCTCAAAGGGCAGTCGCTTCAATTCGAGTTGATGGACAGCGGTGCGATGAGGTGTTAGACTAGTTAGGTGATAGCTATATAGGTGATAACTTGACCTATGATGCCGTAGCCAGCTGCGCGGGTGCAGTACAAGCAGCTAAGCTCTCTTACGGCCTAGACTAGCCAACCACCAACTTCCCCTTCAGTGAGCGGCCTTCGCCTTGGAAGCTGGCAGAGCTCCAGACGGGCCACTGCGCTGATGCTCGTGCTGATGCCGACGCTGATGCCTCACTGACCGGGTGCTTTGCATGTCCCCTTGGTTGATTTCCTTTTTCTTTTTCATTGGTCCTTTTGGCGTTGCTCTTTATTGCTCCAAACCTCAAGTGCAACCTTGCCCATAACATAGTGGGGGGGGGGGGCCTTGCCGACTTTGACGACCCGCCCAGCCCGCCAGAGAACAAAGTCCAGCGCAGAAGGAAAGGTGCAGTCTCATTGGAGCATATCCCCAGTACCCATTAAGTCGCTTTCACCTCCCTACGCATTGCCTACGGATTGATTGCCTACGGATCCGTACCCTTGGCCGAATAAAAATAGTTGGCGCCCGCGACAACCACCAACACCACTCAAGTCATCCGGTGCAAGCACAGTAGGTTAGATGAGTAGTGCTGCAGTAGTATGCCGTATCGTGCCACACCCATCTACTATTAGCACCTAATCAGGCGAACCTTGCAAACCACTTCAACCTGCTGTTCCGTTCAGATAACCACCGGGGCGGAGACGATGTTGTGACGGCTGGTTTCACCCAAGTCGCAAAGACTGCTCTCACTCTTGTACATCGCTTTCGCGACCGCACAGGAGCAGCAGCACCAACTTCAACACCAACGCCAACGCCAATCGACGAACCCTCCACCATGGGCCCCAACCGGTTGCCCAACGGCTCCAGTGCGAGTACCAAAAGGCAACCAGACCTTCATCTTGTCGTACGCTTGACCCCGAACAGCAACCCCCAAGCCGGCAGCCACTGACCTCTCCTTTACCTTGCAGTCCGACGAAGACGCCGTCTACGAACAAGATATCCTTCGAGACCCCGGAAGCACAAAACCATGGCTGGCATACATCGAGTTCAAGTTACACCATGGCACAACCCAAGAGCAGGCATTCGTCCTCGAACGAGCTTCTATACAACTTCCTCGATCCTACAAGCTCTGGAAGATGGTAAGTCGGGAACAACGTGAGAACGTCTGCCGCTGTGCAACGTGTGTCTGGTTCTTTGCCCGAACAGAGGCTGACACTGCTTCTTCTTTTTATCTAGTACCTTCAATTCCGCACAAAGCATGTCTCCAAGCTGAACGCAGCTCAGCACGCTGTCGAATACCGGAAAGTGAACGCGCTCTTTGAACGCGCTCTCATCCTTCTCAACAAGATGCCAAGGATATGGGAACTCTACTTGAAGTTTCTGCTCAAGCAGCCCCTCGTAACCTTGACTCGACGAACATTCGACCGTGCTCTGCGTGCCCTGCCCATCACCCAGCACAACAGGATATGGGCGCTTTACAGACCCTTTGCCAATTCCGCTTCAGGGCCCACGGCAGTCAAGATCTGGAGGCGCTACATGCAGGTCCATCCCGAGGACGCCGAGGACTTCATCGAGCTTTTGGTCCACGAGACATTGTATACCGAGGCTGTCAAGAACTACATCGTCATACTAAACAACCCACGCTTCAACAGCAAGCAGAATAGAGGGCCCTACGAGTTGTGGAGTGAAATGGTCGACCTGCTCGTTGACCATGCTACCGAGATCGAAACCGGATACGAGACCGGTATCGATGCTGAGGCCATCATCCGCAGTGGCATCGATAGGTTCCCCGACCAGAGAGGTAAGCTGTTCTGCGGGCTAGCGACGTACTGGGTCAGAAGGGGCAGCTTCGAGCGCGCAAGAGATATATTTGAGGAAGGAATCACCACCGTCATGACCGTCCGCGATTTCACTCTCGTCTTTGATACCTACGCCGAATTCGAGGAGTCCATCATTGGGGCTTTGATGGAGATGGCTGCCAAGAGGACAGAGAGCGGCGGCGAGGACCAGGATGCCGACTTCGACCTGGATATTCGGATGATGCGCTTCGAGCAGCTCATGGACCGGCGGCCATTCCTACTCAATGATGTCCTGTTGCGACAGAACCCCAACAATGTGGCAGAGTGGGAGAAAAGGGTAGCACTCTGGGGAGACAACAAGCAAGAAGTCGTCCAGACGTACACAAACGCTATTGCTGCCATTCAACCCAAGAAGGCCGTTGGACCGTTCCATCAATTATGGGCCAACTACGCCAAGTTCTACGAAAACGGGGGGGACCTACGAAACGCCAGGGTCATCATGGAAAAGGCAGTCAAGGTTCCGTTCAAGTCCGTAGCTGAGCTGGCTGACATGTGGATCGAATGGGCCGAAATGGAGCTCCGCAACGAAAACTTCGACGAGGCGGTCCGCATCATGGCCAAGGCCGTCCAGGCACCCAAGCGATCAACAGTAGACTACTTTGACGAAGACCTTTCGCCTCAGCAAAGAGTGCACAAGAGCTGGAAGCTTTGGAGTTTCTACGTCGACCTTGTCGAATCCGTCTCCTCACTTGAGGAGACGAAGAAGGTCTATGAGCGTATCTTCGAGCTGCGCATCGCCACGCCACAGACCGTGGTCAACTACGCCAACCTTATGGAGGAACACAAGTATCACGAGGACTCATTCAGGATTTATGAGCGTGGACTTGATCTCTTCAGCTACCCGGTCGCCTTTGAGCTGTGGAACCTCTATCTCACAAAAGCTGTTGACCGCAAGCTTGGTATCGAGCGTTTGAGAGACTTGTTCGAGCAGGCCGTCGAGGATTGCCCGCCCAAGTTCGCCAAGACACTTTATCTGATGTACGGCAACTTGGAGGAAGAACGTGGTCTGGCTCGGCATGCAATGCGCATATACGACAGGGCAACGCAAGCCGTTTCCGACGAGGACCGCGCCGACATGTTCAATTTCTATATTACAAAATCAGCTTCCAACTTTGGTCTTCCTTCAACCCGCGGTATCTACGAGCGCGCGATTGCGGTCCTGCCTGACGAGGAAGCCAGGGATATGTGTCTCAAGTTCGCAGACATGGAGAAGAGACTTGGTGAAATTGACAGGGCGAGGGCAATTTACGGCCATGCCTCTCAGTTCTGCGACCCCAGGACCAACCCGGCCTTCTGGACCAAATGGGAGCAATTCGAAGTACAGCATGGAAACGAGGACACGTATCGCGAAATGCTGCGTATCAAGCGCTCTGTCCAGGCACAATATAACACCGACGTCAACTTTATCGCCTCGCAAGCCATCGCACGTAGCCAGGCCGCAAAGCAACAGGTCGCCAATGGAGAGCTGGATCAGGAGACCGCAGATGCCATGGAACAACTGGAGCGTCAGGCACGAGCGCCAGCGGGCTTTGTGGCAAGCAGCTCGGGTATTGCGGGTTCGCTGACACAGGAGGAACCAAAGCAGGCGGTCAATCCAGATGCGATTGACATTGACGGCATGGACGACGAATGATCAACAAACATGATTTTCAAAGGGGTCGGGGCAAGTTAGTTGTTTTTGCTGCTTGGCATGACTTTCTTGTGTACTTATCAAACGTCGTAAGGGGAGGCGTATTTGTGTTCTTTAGCTTTTAGGGATATCTGCCTCACATCACGAGGAGGAACTTCTGAACCGCGTCACTGGGACTTGAATCAAGATCTTATTGAACAACACGCAAAAGCAAATTTGGCCATTTCACATCCCGTGAAACTTGTCATAGTGCTCGGTGTGGCTCATGTCGGGGGATAATGCATTGTCTGGCCCTGTGATATAAGGCTTGCAATCACGTGGATAGCTATAGAGCTTCGAAGACACATCATAAAAACATGGCGGGTCATTGTAATTGGGTATATCATTCTGATCTGGTTTCATGGGTATACATTTGTGCGCAGACTCGTACACCGTACATAATTTCCAGGTTCAAGCTGCGGGTGACATGAGGTTGATGAGGTCAGAGCACGGAAGCTCGACGTCGAAAAATCCCAGTCTTCAACCCTGAAAAGCAAGGGGAAAAGGCATCGCGACTTCGGCATGAATTCAAAGCAAAACTCCAGTGCGACTCCATTCTGCCATGCGGATCACCTCGCAAGAACAAACCTCGCCTCATCCCACGTGGGTCGACTCAGAGAGGAAGCTAGATCTGACCCTTGCTGCTTCCGCTGCTGCTCTTGCGGCGGTGGGTCTTATCACCACCTCCAGCTACTTCCTTGACTTTCTCCTTGACCTTCCCGAAGAGCTTGGTATGCGTCTCGTGGAAGTCGTTGTCGCGGTCCTTGTTCCTCTGCACATGGCCGTCACGCGACCCCTGTGTCGAGTAGATCGAGCCTTTGCGTTGTTGGAAGCGCGAGGGTGGGACCTTGGACGCATCTTCATGTATGACACGATCAGTTCATGGCCTACTGAGATGGTGGGATATCATGCAAAATTGGGGGAGTACTGACCCCACTCGTCAGTGGCTGAGTAGTCCTTCGAGCTGCTGCGCTGTGTAGTACCAGTGGGAGATCCGATGGGGTTCTCGAGATGTGACTCCTCATGCTCCGGAGCGAAGCTGTTGTTGAACTGGACATGCTCCTGAGTGCCTGTGTTCAACGAATCGTGGTTGATACCCTCTTGGGGGCGATATTGTTCTATTACTTGACTGTTAGATAAGCTAGGCCTAGGGATTGTTCGTGGGTATCTCGAAGGATAGTGCCGGTGTCTCAAAGAGAATCGCAACCAGGATTCAAAACACCAGGTTGAGAACGCGCAGACGAACCTTGGGTGGCTTCCATTGAGACGATGATCGATGCTATGCTGGAGTGCAGGAATTGTCTGATCTGTACTGTACTGAATGAATCTAGATAATGGACTTGGTTTGGCTTAGTAAGTCGATAACAGATTTGTGTGACTCGAGCTGGGTGTCAAGACAAAGAGTGATGTTAGAAGCCGAGACAAAGGAGTATTTGTAGGACCAGAGGGGGAGAGGGCTTGGCGAAGGTTTCCAGGAGCGAGGTTACATATGTACTTGCGGGGAGAGATCATCTAAGCGCAGAACAGGGTGTCTATCTCAAGTCAAGTTTGCAGGCAGCAGATACGGTGGCAGTTTCTCGTTTCTGGGAAGGATCGTCCTAGTTGTTGGTGTGCTTTGACTGGTACCAAGTAGCTGCCTCATGTCCAATGCCAGTCAAGCATGTTTAGTCGAACTATCCAATGGCAAGGCGGCTATGCTGTCACGACCAGTCATGGATGAGATGGGGCGTTCGGTAAGCTTTTGGTAGCGATTGCTTCCCCTAAGCGAGATAGAATATTCACCCAGGTTAGAGCATTAATTCGTCATATGACATCCTAATTGTATGCTCAAAAGTTTGAGCCAAGAGGGGAGCTGCAGATTGAGTTTGGGCTGATACGGTTGCTAAGAAAAGCCAACCCTTTACAGCCTCAAGCGGCTCATGGTAGCTTGAGAAAAGCACCTGACAAACATTCCTCGGCTTTTGGATAGCTCCCAGGCAATCCGAACAACATAAGGCCTTTCGCCGTTATCGTGACGAATACGTGGCAGTGCAGTTCCATGCTGTTCTTATCTCACCTATCTTCTGAGGTTGCCCATCATCATCATCATCATCATCATCGGCATAATTGGTTCTCTCTTGGCGGGCGGCCTCAAAAAGAAACAGCTCTAAAAGCTGCATGCGTGATGTACAGTAGCACGCGACGCCTATCAACAATCAAAACTCGGAATGGGCCTTGACGTCACATAGCTATGACCTGGCTTTTACATAGCATCCAGGAGCTCTGGCGTAGATCCCCCGCATTTGTCGTCAACGGCGCTTAATCCTGTCGCTGCAGCCTGCCACTGCGTGAAACTGGTCATGAACAACGACTGTAGGATTGGGAAAAGAGTGTGCCATCTCTGGCAGAATTATCGCTGATATTCTGGCAGTGTGACTTTGCCATCCTGAGCAATGGAGATGCAGGCAGAATCCAAGCCGAAAGCTACAGCTCCTTCGAGCTTTCCAATCGGCGTACTCCATGGTAGCTGTTCGTGGGTGGCATATGGTCTAGATCATGCAGAGCTAAGCTAGCAGCTGCAGCTATTCGCAACAGATGGGATTGTTATTCGCCACATTTGGTGCACTTGGTACTGCAAATGCTGGCCATGACTCCATCAAAACACACAGTGGGTTACAGCGGGTCCGGGGTAGTTCAGCCTTTTGCCGGAAGGGTGGAACCTCAACAGGCTGGGTCTGGGGGGCGGAGACTACCGAACAACCAGTGACGCAAGTGCTGTCAACATGAATTCATCCCAACCACAATCTAAAGTCACAGGATACTTGGTACAGATATTAACTATCCCATACCAGTAATGGTGGACTATTTTCCAATAGGGAGTGCTAGATCTCGGTCTGTCAACGGTTTGTTTGAGCTTATCGTTGATTTGCAAACACTAGACTAAAGGATCATTTGAATTTACTAACTGATCAGAGTCAGATATGTCACCGAAACCCAACAGAACTAGCACTGTTTTTCGAGAGCCAAATGAGTCGTTAGGTATTAAGGAGTGTATTTGTCTTCTATGCAAGGAGCCAGACCCGTCTCGCCTCTCCGATAGTAGCCAGTTTGACTAGATTCTAGATTCTAAATACAGTGATAGATATGGTATGAAACAGTAAGGAAATAAGAGCATCAGTATCAGTATTATTGTCACAACAGCCTCCGATTAATGCCTTTCATCGAGACCTAATAGTCATCCTGGGTAAAGGTGGCTAGGCGCCGTGTAGCTTCGTTGTCAAATGGCAAGAGACCCCTTTAAGCAATCTCGCCATCCTCGCGGAGCTCCTGAATCTCCTCAGGTGAGAGGCCCTTGAGGGATATGGCACGCTTGACCATGGCGCGGGCCTCATCATCAGACCGCTTGACAGCAAGAGCAAGAGCCCGACGAGCCGCAGCGGGAGTGGTGGTGTTGGCCACTAAGATGGGTTAGTGATGGGGTGTTGATGTATTTGGCAGATCAGTGCGACTTACTCTGAACGGGGACCACACCACCGAAGGGACCGGCACGGGCGGCATTCATGCATCGTACCAGGCAGACGTTATCCTGTCCAGCGACAGTTCCGGTGCAGGAGGCATCAGCAGGTATGGCCGCCTTCATTGGGAAGTCAGACATGGCACCGTCTCGGTTGCGGGAGTTGGCACCAGGAGGGGACTGGGTAACCTGGATGTCGGTCCAGGTTGCGCCAGTTCCGTCGGCGTTCATGGCACAGGTGTAAGGACCACCACCATCAGCGTTGACCTGGTGAAGAGTCATGGTGAGCTCGCCACCCTGGCTGACCTGGGGAAGCTGATCACCGGTCTCAGCCATGATAGCTTTGGTGCCGGTCTCGAGGTTGTTGTTGCCAGCACCGACGGTCTCGCCGAATGTGTCAGCCTGGTCACCCTTGAATCGGGTTGAGTCCTGCTGGAAGGGGTCGCGTCGCGTTCCATCGCGAGGAGTGCTGCTGTCAACACCGAGGGCCACTAGGTCAGATTGTTAGCATTGTAAAGCATTGTCGACTAGGGAGAATATCCAACTCACTTCCGGAGCCACCGGCGTCACCGACAGCCTTGATGACAGCACCGTGGCCGGCAACAAGCTGAGCAGTGGTCATGAGACCAAGGGCGATAACGGCTCTGAAAGAAGACATCTTGAAATGTGAGATGATAAGATATTAACGAATAGATAAAGACCTGACCGGCAGGAGAGATTAAGAATTGAAGATAGAAGTGAAGGGCTGACGAAGGCTGTTGATCTGAAGCTGTTGATGCTGATGATGAGGAGAAGAAAGACAACTTACCGACACAAGAGACTACCTTCTTATAGAGAATTAATCTCAGCGACGCCGGTATGTCAAGCCTGAGCCTTCACGATAAGTGTGACCGGCATAGGCAGTGTCTTCCAATGTCACGGTCGGCGGTGCCAAGCCAAACAAGTTAGCGCCGGCATTGACACGGAAGGCAGTATTGACGACCTGATCGCAGGAGAAGTCTGGTGGGCCGCCTCTCCTAGAAGGTTTCGCAGATGGGACGAAGTCAAATAACTCCCTGCCACCTCTTTGCCACTAACCTTCGGATAGATGTGCTTTGGTTGGTCTGACTTGAAGGGGAGAAACATTGTTCTAGGCTGTGTTGTCATTCTGTCTATACTATGAGACGAGGTTGGGCTCAGTTACGATCGAGGGTTTGATGCTAGATGACTGTAGACAGTATAGATGGTGGAATAGTCGTTTGACACTCATTTGCTGAACCAATCGCATCACTACGTAGGCTTAAGCTTTTGATCTTCCATAGATGCAGTGATTGCCGTGATCCGGAAGATCGCCAAGGCAATCTGCGGGCTGGTTCGCAAACATCTAGCCTGGACTAGAGAAGTTCTTCGCTCTGGGAGCGGGTAGTGCGCAAGGACCATCACACGGGGGACCAGGGTCACCCAGTGTTTCCATGTGCTCTCTCCAGCTTGTTTGAGCGATCAAAGAAACAGACGGTATATTGAGGACTGAATCTCGATACGCGATTGGTGCAACAAGATCCAGTCTCATGCTGTGGTACCTGGTTGTTGATCAGTGCAGGTTTGCGGCGGTGCTAGACCCCAGCAGTAGTATAGGGTTGCCAATAAGGTAGTGGAACCAATGAGCTTAATTGACAGACGCCGAATGTCAAACACAAATGCAATGGTGTAGGATCAGAGCTGGGAAAACCCTCTGCCAAGAGCCTCTTGGCAGTTTCAACGCACGACTCACTGCTTGAAGCGTTCTTCTCTGGGGTCTGAGCCCCCAGTCCGGTCGTGGCACGGATCTTCAAGCTCACAGGGTTTGCATTCAGTGTCGCCGAACCCTCAGCCCCTTTGACAGTAGTCATTGAACTCAATGCGTAGTGTTGTTTAGAGCCAGAGTCTGATCGGCGCTGCGATTGGATAATCAACCTGTTAACTGACAGGCATTCAAAAGTGACGCTCCGAGTAGACAATGTCTACTAGACATTGATCTTGCAGTTGACCCTCCTTATTGTAACTGACAAGGGTTTCGGCTAAACTAGTCCCGACTTGGCCATGGCACGCCGCGTGAAGAGAGGCTGAGGCTATCCATCTGATAAAAACCTGCGTCGATACAGCCAAGCTGTAGGAGATGGTAGCAGAGACTGTCATAGATGCATTGAAGCATACTTTCGAATCGCGGGAGAAGGCGCCGTGCACCATTTCGAACCGGAAGGACTATCACTTTTGGTATGCTCGTCCATTGCGCACCGGCAGGTCGCCTTCTTAAAAAGCTGAGAGCGCCTTGGCTACGCAACATATGGCATAATTACTTTTGAAGCAATTGCGATTGCAAGGCTCGTCGTACGAAAGTGTGCTCTTGGCTTTTGCTCATCAAGTCCTAAAGACAGCCCGGACTTCTTCTTCGGTATCTCCTTAATTACTTGAAGTAGCTGCAATCAATTCAAGCTCTGCGGTATCTCGCAACTCTCTGCAGCTTCTCAAGTCCATTGAGGATGCTACATACTGTACGGATCTGCATAGGGGGATGAGTTGCCGATTTGTTGGCAATGTCGTGGCACTAGCTCTTTTGTGATCGCTTTGTTGAATATCCTTCTATCATGTATTCACTTGGCTTGTCTAGACGAATTGAAACTCCACAATACAGTCATTGCAACTGCGTTTTCACAGCATCACAAGTTTGCAATCGTTAGTGCAGCCCATAGAGCAGTTTTGCACCTGTTTATGCCCAATTCTGGTGTCAACCCGCTTTTCGACCTTGAGGCTAGGTTCGTAGATGCTTTTGGAAGTCAACGGCGCCCAATCTTTCCCTTGATGTTCGCCCAGTAACTAGGGTGGCCTGAATCAAACACACCAGATGATTTGACTCATTCAGCAATTCGATGAGTCCTTGCAGACTACCGATCCGCACATTCAAAATCCACCACTTAACATCCAAACGTCTCAACTCTAGTCGTAGCAGGAGATACCTCCCCCAAATATCAGCGTTTCTCATGTCCAAGAGAAAATCTGATGAATTAGACGACATTTATTCATTCCAGCGACCAAGGCAAATCAGGAAGATGGGGTCAAATCCCGTGACCACAACCATCGAGCTGACCGCTCAGGAAGCTCGGCTCAAAGGTCTTTTACTAGACGTTGCTCGCTTCATCGACGAGTCAAAGTCGTCCCCTGATGAGCCGGTAGTATTGCGCTGGGCTGGTGGGTGGGTGCGGGACAAGCTTCTTGGTATTGCATCCCATGATATTGACACAGCGATCAACACCATGACGGGAGAAGCTTTCAGCTCCAAGATTGTGGAACTGTGCGAGCAACCAGAAATCGCCACGAAGCATGGTGTTAGTGCCACCGATATTGGCAACCTTCACAAGATTGCAGCAAATCCCGAAAAGTCAAAGCATTTGGAGACTACTACAATTAGACTCCTGGGTTACGATGTTGATTTTGTCAATCTTCGCAAGGAGACGTACACCGAAGACAGTCGTAATCCACAGATGGAGTTTGGTACAGCTGAAGAAGACGCATTGCGCCGAGATGCTACAATCAATGCGCTCTTCTACAATCTTAACACCGGCAAGGTCGAGGACTTCACAGGCGGCTTGGTAGACATGGAGTCGAAACTCATCAGAACACCGTTGGAACCATTTCAGACGTTTATGGACGATCCTCTGAGAGTTCTGCGACTGATCCGGTTTGCCAGCCGCTTGGAATTCACCATTGACTCAGAAGCTGAGCAGGCTATGAGTGACCATCGTGTGCTGGATGCACTACGAATGAAGATCAGCCGGGAACGAGTGGGTGTGGAATTCGAGAAAATGCTGAAAAGTAGGAACCCTGAAATTCAACTGCTGACCGCGAATCTATACTAACGACAATTTTACATAGGCAGCCATCCACGCAATGCACTGGAGAGAATACATAAACTCGGCTTGTACCATACTGTATTCACAGATCCTGAGAAGCACGACATGCCCAAACCCGACATAACAAACTTTAGCACATCGTATGAATGTCTCGATTCTTTACGCCAAAACAAGACACCAGGATCAATTTACGATGTACTTGTCCGTTCGGACGAAGCGAACTACTTCGCATGGGTTCTAGCAGCTCTAACCCCGTGGGAATTTGTTGCACCCGTCCCTTATCACGGCGAGGGCAAGCCACCGCTACCTTGGGCTACTCTTGCGGCACGGGAAGGCATCAAAGCACCGAACAAATTAAGTGATGTCATCACCGCTTCTCACAAGCATAGAGACGAGATTCTGGCTTTCAAAGCTGCAGTCTGCGAGAAGGCATCTTACATTCAAGAGAGGGATCGTTTCGGAATGGCTATTCGAGAATGGGAGGCAAGAGGTGGACACTGGAAGCTACAGGTGTTGTCGGCTCTGTTATACGACGCATTGCAGTCTCTGCCACCAAAGGCTGCGTCACCCAACGACCCAGCTTTCGTTGCGGGATGGCAATCTTTCCTGGACCATCTCCAAGGGTTGGATGTGATGGAGGCGCCAACGCTGAAGCGAATCATCGATGGAAAACAGCTCGCTAAAGCTCTGGGGGCTAAACCGGGAATCTGGATGGCTAAGGCCTTGGATATTTGCGTAGCATGGCAACTTCGAAATCCCAACGCCACGGATCCCACCGGTGCCATTGAAGAAGTCCGCAGCAAGAAAGACGAGTATAACTTTCCAATCTAAAAGAATACCAAGGAAATTTAAATTCTGTGAGAATTCCGTGGTACTGGAAAATACGATATTATACCCATATACTTTTTGATAAACTTGCCAGTCCTGATGTGGAATTAGAAAGAAAGAAGAAACCGTCCTCTTGTCTTTATCGTAGCATGTGCTTTAGTTTAGCGTCTGTGGCACATCCATCGATCGTCGCAATCAATGAATATAGGAGGCGGAGGTTGTAACAATATCATGCAAAATCGATGACATGTGGCATCTTGCGTGGAAGTGAATCAGCCAAAAGTCCTCCAAACCCATAGAGCGCAGTTGACTTTTGTCGAAAAGTTGCACATTATCCCGGCCAGGTATGTTTTGGTCGATCAAGATCTTGCAAGGCGACATGGTAAATCTTCCGCCGACCACTGAATGGGATGTACACATGATTCCTCACTCACAAACCTTGCGTAGCAATAACACCAAGTCATCCCTTGCAGATGAGTAACATCGAGACGTTGCTTCTAGGAAAGGTATTTTCCATTTGCGGATGGCTTCCCAACGGATCGTTACACAACATGCCGATGCCTGGGCTTCGCGTCATACAGCGCCCCGACTCACATAAACTTGGGATGGTTGCAGGCGCATCATAGGTTCGATCATATAATATTGGCAAGAAAAAATACAGAAGACAACCTGTAAATGTGAATGGAAGTGCAATAGTTTATGTATTGGAAAACGACGGGATTGGTAAGTGTCCAAGTAGCACTGGCTGGAATGATCAATATTTTTTGTTGACTGTACCTGCCAGTACTGCAATCTGTTTTTTTCCTACTTCAGCAATCAACTTGAAACCAACCTACCAAAACTTTACTCACGAACCTGTCATGTGTTATGCTGCTGGGGCTAGGGTTCCGCTCACAAAAAGAATTCAACGAGTCGCCAACCGGGTCACGCATGCCGTTTTGAGAACAAAGAAGAATTGAATCAACTGGACAGTACCAGTTCCCGTGGTGCTCGCGCAGGACAGGGATGTAAGTCGATGTTCCTTGCAGACTTCAGGGAGCCAAACTTTTCAAACCTGCCACTATTTTCCAAGGCTATCCATCTCAGCCGCCCATCGCAATGTCAGTGGCTTACAAGATTCGTTATGCCCGTCATGCTCTGTCGCTGTCGAACGCGAAGGACAACTCGGGAGTCGATCTCTTCGATCCGCCCCTAACGACAAGAGAGGACGAGGAGAGCATGTCTCTGATCGGGAAGCTTGATGATGGGAAGCGCGGGGGAGGCGAGGACTACGCGCTGGGGGATATGCGTAGAAAGTTCGAAAACTTTGCCTCTCTCCGTAATCAGAGCAAGGTCTTCGTCGTCTCTCCTCTGACCAGGGTCGTGCAGACATTCCTTCTCGCTGTACCCGACAGCACGCTGAAGGGTGCCAGAATCGTCGTCGAGCCTTTGCTGGTAGAGCAGACGCGTTGGTTCTCAGATAGGTCCAGTTCCGTAAGGGAAATCCAAGCCATCATGCGCGGCGCTCTCGAAAGGAAGAACCGAGGACAGGAAGAGCCTCTCGTGATTGGGGACCTGAACATCGATTGGTCCAAGATGCTCCAGCCAAGGGATGAGCAAGGCGAGTTCTGCGGCTCCCAAGAGACGATGGACCAGGAATCTACAGATAAGGGATGGCACTTGAAGAACAATTTTTGGGCTCCTAGTCACCTGATTGATCGAGGTCTACGAGCTACCAGGGAAGTCATCCAGATATGCCGCGAAGTGAAGAGAGAAGCTGGCAATTACGATGATTACGCGGTCTGCGTGTTCGGACATGGTGGTTTCGTCAACTACATGGTCGAAGAAGTCGGTGCAGTTGACTTAACGGTGGAGCCAAAGAAGTTATCAGCCTGGTCCGTTGGCGAGATTAGGGACTACGAAATCGAAGACATCGTTCCTTTGGCGGCTCCTCAAGGGAAGTTATTCACACAGCCTTCAAGGAGAAAACTATATGACCTGACCATAGAGGCCAAGGCCCGCGCGGGGTTGATGGAGGCTATCGTAGAGAAAGACACAAGGGACCAATATGGTGAACAACACAAGTCGGTGGCGAGCTTATACAAAGCAACAGATATCACAGGCAAAAACCCCAACCCAAACATGGAGGACGACTCCGGAAACAAGCTGGGCGAGCTCAGTGTTGTAGAGTACCGCGAGCAACTCAAAATCGAGTCAGAGAAGAAGCGTAAAGGCCTTTAAGACTTGATAATAGTATGGTCTCTATAAGTATGACACAGCCCGTGCATGTGGTGTACGCGTGGCTAGCTTCCACAACACCATAACAGGAAAAATATCTCTACTGGCATTTACGTTCATCTATTTGTGAATGTGTTATACTTTCTCTCAATTCATGTATCTGCTTTGGATTCAATTATTTAGCGTCGTGGTGTTTTTCAATTCCACCAGAAGCTGACAGAGAAGCTAACACTCAATCCTCGAACGTAGTGCCACCAGCCGATTGGGATGTACAGAGAATCGCCAGGTTCAAGAATACAGTCTAGGTAGGCTATGTTTTGGAAAGTCTCCCGCTGGCTCTCTGCCGCCTCTTGTCCTAGGGAATCCTCTGTATCTTGGTTGGCACTATCCCATCCTTCCAAGACCCCAACATCCAACAGACTCGTATTTCCCATGTCAACGCCATTCTCTTGGCCACGAGCCTGCATTCTCTGTGTTTCTAGCGGTGAGTAGAGACGCACATACTTACGACCAACCACTTGCACTAGAATGTTGTGATACGGATCGGTGTGCAGTGGGGTTATAGTACCCGGAGGACCAAACCAGGCGTTTAGTAGTGGTTCATCTAGTTCAGGCTGATCCATGCTCGGATCAGTGGGATGCTGGGGCGGAGAGGTATAGCAGTAGTCTGGTATGAAGATATCCTTGCGTAGTACAGGAAGTTGAGTGAAAAGGGGATGTTGAGCCAGGTATCCAATGTGTTGGTCATCATAAAGTGCTTCGTCCTTGGGAGTATCACCTCTGGCGAATACAGAGCGGTCAACGTAACGTTTGAGAAATTCTTCGAAGGTCACTAGTTTCTGGCCCCAGCCTTCATCTACATAGCTTCGGCCTATTTCAACAGGCACCAGTCGACGGCCGTCAAACGTCCGGGACAGCAGATATCCGGGCTGGTTCCATGGGTTTGTCGTTCTGGCAGGCCAATCTTCGGCTACACCTGTGAGAACAATTGGTTCGGGTCCCAGTTTTGGATTGTCCACGTGATCTAAATATCCTTGGAAAGACTCCATAGGCATAGACGCAATGCGTTTAATCGGATAACTCACTGGAGGTGTGAATGGCTCGATGGTTGAGAAAGCAGTAGCCTCTTTCGGTATGGAATTGCGCTGCTCATTGAAAGTGTGCATATTTCGTTTGACTCGCTTAGCGGGATTTTCAGCGCTGTCGGAATGATGACCGACACCTTCAGAGACGTTAGTTGTTGTTTGCTGGAGTAATCCCAAAGCTTCGTCTATCCATGTTCGACCTCTTTTTTCTCCTGCTGCACCGGCCAAGATGAGCGCCAAATCAAGGGACCTGACGAGTTCCGTGAGCACTGAGCCATCTATTCCGAGCGTCTTCCCAATCGAATTCGTGTGATCAGGTGGGACTTGGAATAAGAGGAAGCAGAACTTCAGAATACTCGCATCCGTGTACAGTTGCCTCCAACATGTGGGTAGATCTTTGTAGAGAAAAGCATAGAACTTTGAGTATGCAATGGAGATGATATCATCCAATCTTTTCAGCACAAGCTCCTGCGCGGGTGCATAGGATCCACGTGAGCTATCCTTGCACCTTTGCCATTGGTACGTCTTGGAAACATGTAACGCTGATTGTCCTAACAGACTTATCAGCGCACGACCACATCCTGATAGGTCCGATTTGATGTTACGGACGCTGGTTGCTTCATCTAGGAGCAGTGCACATTCATTGTTGATTTGATCCACCCCGTTGGCACAAAAGTCAATGAGCTGAGTGCGCTCTTGAGCCATAATCAATGCCCACAAACTCAACCGGTTGCCTTCCGTCCTGGCGGTAGATGATAGCAGCTGCTCTCAATTCCAATTCAGAGGGCTCCGTCGTTGCTCTTGATTGCCTTTATTTATTTTTTTCCTTGGGGGGAGGGTTTCTTTTTTTGTTGCGGATGTTACATATAACACATCCACGGTTGCTGTTCAGTCCTAACCATTAATTAGTAACCTAACCTAGTCTAGACTAACCAAGTGCTTGTCAGTAGGGGCCGCTGACAGTGGCCCGTGCGTTTTCAGTTACTAGATATTGCCAGGGCGCGAAACAGGTTCATTTCACCAGCCTGAGTCTGGTCACGAAAGAGAACTGCGTCTTTGTTATCATAGTGTCAAATAGAGTAAATCAAACAAGAGAAGTCATCATCATTAGGCAAGTTTTTGTGTATTATAGTGCTCTCTAATCTATAGAAACTGGGCTTCAAAATGGGTATATCACGCTTGAACATCGAAACACGTCTAGACAGGCTGCCTACTAAATACTGGCTCTACGAGGGGCCATTGTCCTCCTGAGAGCTTTCTTGGCTTCCGTTTCTTCTACTAATGGGAGTTCACCTTCCTCGCGCAGGCGAGCCAAAGTTTCCTTACCATACTGGTACCCCATCTGGTAAATCTCATCAAATTTGCCAAAGTCAAGGGTTCCGTAGTCATCAATAGGCGGACGCATGTATACGCAGCCAGGCATCGTTTTAGCTCTCTCGAGTGCATCAACACTTGAGACGTATGCTAGGCGACCCTGGATCTCAGCCAAGGTCGGAGGGTTAGGTATGGATGAAAACGGATTCCATCTGTTGACAAATGCCCATGTTCCCGACAGAGTGTCTCCGTAGGCCTGTGGTGTATCGTCATCCAACGATCCGACATCAATGGCGAAGATAACGTCAGCGCCGACGGACTTCATATGAGAGACGGTCAGGTTGTCTATGTAACCTCCATCGAGTAGCATGCTGCCTTCATCGCATAGTGGCGGTAGAAGACCTGCCAGAGACATAGAAGCTCGCACATACCGCCAAGCATACCCACTGGTGTGGATCTCGCCTCTACTTTTGCTAATGTTTGTAGTATTGCAGTAATACTCCAACCAGAAGTCCTCAATCTGATGATTCCCAAATGCTTTGAAAATACCACGATTGAACTCATGACCGGTCGTGTAAGAAGCAGAAGGGTAGGTCAGGTCAAGCGCGAAACGCCACATGCTCCCCATTCTCCCAGCGAACTTCTTGGCCAACCCAAACATGGGGACCACATCTGCATGTCGGGCATACAATGCTCCAATGAAAGCACCAATAGATGTCCCTCCAATGACATCAATTGGAATTCCAGCTTCCTCCATGGCTGTTATAATGCCAATCTGAGAAATACCGCGAGCACCACCACCACCAAGAACGAGGCCAACTGATTTACCACAGAGCCGTCTGGCCAGCCGGTGAAAGTCGCCTTTGAAGGGTGCATCGGGTGAATAGTAAGCAGTATGCTGCATCTTGCGACTAGTATACTTCTGAATCTCGGCTTGAAGAACTTGGACTCGTTCTTTCAAAGCAGCGCGGAGACGCTTAGATGGAGGATGCACCGGGACCGCATTTGTCTTGAAAGCCATCTGTATGTGATAGTGGCCACCATTGATCCAGACACGGTTCCTCAACCAAGATCTGGTGAGGCCTGGTGGGGAGTATCTATCGGCATGGACCAAGACCAATATTTTCCGCGCTGTTGATTTCTGGCCAAGCATGAACCTCTCATACTCGCCAATCTCTGGGGATGCCTCTGCCAGACCAACAAGGAGGATACAATCAGCTTGTGTGATACAAGTTTGGGTCCAAGGCGAGTTGACGTTAGTATCTGAAAAACAGTTAGCTTCAATAGTGGCCATAGTTATGTTCATGAAGAGTTAGGTATAGATGGCAGTCAGGAAAAAATTAGAGTATGTTTTGGCCGTCATCGACAAGCTTGGGAGTTTGTGAAATTCTCATCATACTGCACGAGATATGCTGGGTAAAAAGATCATGGAAAATGACTTACCAGCAACATAAACAACCAACCCGTATTTCTCTTCCAAGTCAGCAAGGTACTGAGACAATTTGAGCTTGCCCATCTTGTTAAAGGCATACTTGCCGAGATGGTTGAGGATCGCGGATTGGTTAAGAGAAGTGGCGCCACCAGGAACGCCAACTTGCGTAAGGGCGTTCAACAATCGATTGCCAAAATCCACCACAGGCACACCTGAAGTCACAGGGAGAATGGCAACTGTCCTCATGTTCGTAGTCGAAGAGATCTTGTTGATAGACGTTCCAGCTGTGCTATCCTTAGCCAATGCTTTGGAGGGGTCGTCCACCAGCGTCCTCATTCGAGACGCAATGATCTTGGAGATCTTGATGGTGATATTCGGATGTTCTTGTGCAAGACTGTTGAATAATGTTCGAGGGAACTTTACAAGTTCGGTGTCTCGAATAGCATGTAAAGTGCCCGATCGAGTGGATTCGGTCAGGACCTCCAGCTCACCGACACTGTCACCTTGACCAAACTCAGCACGAACGTTGAGCCCGCCATCTCTCCTGTCCTCAATGAGACGAAGTCGCCCGTTGAGCACTAGATAAATGGCTTCGCTCTCTTCATCCTTGTTGAACAAAACCTGACCGGCATTGATTTGGACCCATTCAAGCGCGAAATCAATATGCAAGATAAGCTGCGGCAGGAGATTTGTGAGTCTCTTAGCCATGGTGAGCAGAACGATAGGGTATTTTTCCACTATACGCTCCAACGATGCTCGAGGTATAAAACCAACATAGACATCTGTCTTGGCCACGACATCAACAAAGGAGCGATACGACGAGACCGTTCCAATGTAACCGGCAAGACCTCCGGGTTTGACGAGGCCAACATTACGTCGGCCTATCCTGCTCTTCTTCTTGCTCTCGGCTGCACTAATCCCTGCATTGGACGCTCGGCTGGAAGGGGTGGGCGTTTTGGAGGAAGAGCGTATGTGTGATGCTTGGGCATCTTCACGGTGCATGGCTGACATAGACATTCGGCTGGAGGAGCTCAGAATCTCTGGGCTAGAATCTTCAGATGGTACACCGATGTCAAGGAAGCCATCAACTACATAGTAGATGCCGGGACTACGCTCTCCCTGCTCCACGAGCACAGAACCCTGAGGAAAGAAGACAATCTCGACCTCCTGCCGCATTTCTGCCGCAAGAAGCTGAGGATTTGGGACTCCAGTCATGGACATGCCACCAGATGTCATCGACTCTGCATCCCAGTCGTGTGAACCTTCGACAGAATCCATGAATCCAAAAGCATTGTTGCTGAAGACCGCTCTTTGTCTCCGCTGATCGTAAGAGACAAGCCGTGGAGATGCTTCCACAGAATCCGGGCCTCTGGAAGAACCTCCAGAGCTCAGTCCCAGAGCGGTAAATACACATTCTAAGATAGATACTCGAAACAGGTTGTCCTCGTCAACCGACTCTCTGGGATCCATCGAAATGCGTGTCCGCTTTTGAGTAGAAAATGGGTCAAACGCGTGACGGGTCAAAGGGCTGGCGCCGTCCGCGCGTGCAAAAGGATCTCCAGATTGCCAAGGTGTGACAGGAATGTCAAGTGTTCCTGGTACCCGAGAACCGCCAGTGCGTGCAGATTGGATATTAGCTAGTAAGTCACCAGGGCCAGCAGTATGTAGGGATGACCGCTCCCTGGGCGGAGCGATGGTCGAGGCGACGACCGAGGTCGCCCGAGCCTTGGTCATAGCCTGCACGACGGCCTCTCTCCGTAGACCTGTGCTAGAACTGCGCCGGCGAGAGGTGGTTGATGCATTATGCAGAGCGATACCCTTGCCACTATCCTCTTCGCTGGTTCGTTCTCTCTCTGATTGAAACTTCTCTTTGAGCCGTTCAAGAGCGTCACCGCGCAATATATTGGGCAGTTGACAAGCTGAGAAATTGATCATGCTCTTCTCGATATGCAGCACTTCGTTTGACAAGCCTAGGTAGTTGTACGCCGTGGCAAGGGTTACACGCTGGAACCTGGATAAAATGACATGAACAATGTGTGCAGTAGCTTTCGGGTACATTTTTATCAACCGACGAAAAGCATTAGCCGGGATAATAGCGATAGTGGTGTCGACAGTGGCCCGGGCGACAATGTCAGGATGAACAGACTTGGTGGCCATCCTCCTCGGTATAGGACGAGCTGGACGCCGTGGTGTTGACGACTGATCGAGTGACATCGGCGGGATCTGGTTGAAGTAGCTTCCATTGGGAGAGCTAAGAGGTATAACCTCGGCCTCGTCCACCAGTTGCGCTCGCTTTCCATCTCTGTCGGGCAGAGGTGTGGTGGGTAAGGAATCTGACACATGACGTGCATGTGCCAGCGCAGCACTTGGAGGTCCAAGGTGGTCATTAAAGGAAGCCGCAGTCGAAGCTGGTGCGGAATCATCAGATGGTAGTCGTAGCTGTACATCTTCGGTAAACAATGACATGATGGAGAATAGTGACGACATTGGCGCTCCATTTCGAACCTCAGTAAGAAGCTGGTAAGGCTGATTGCCCGAAGAGAACTGATGTTCTTCATCGTTGGAGGAACTCGTTGCCTCACTGCCACCATTTCGCTTCGCTGATTTGACGAATATCTCCACCAGGCCGTCAACCACAAGACAGAAGCCCTGCTCCTCTTCTAGATTCAACGTCTCGCCCGCAATGAGTTTTCTGGTCTGCATGCTTCGAGTCAACTCGTGGAAGACAGGGCGTTCAAGGTATCCAAAGATCTTCAGGCCACTGAGGAATTCGTCCAAGTAGTTTGTCAGGCCTGGCTTGCTTCCTTCATCATGAGTATCCGGAGGAAGATCAAGTTCGGGCTCCTTGCGTTGAGGTTCGGGGGGAAGGCGAGAGTACATGTTCAAGTACCTGTATCTTACGACCCATGTAACCGCGGACACGACCATGGCAAATATCAACGCCCTGTCCACATGATTATTAATTTTTCCAAGTTCAGATAAGTACTTTGTGTGCAACGTACAGTGTTGTAAAATTCATGGTGACGGTCAGATTCGTGGCAAACAGCTGATATATCAGAGTTGAGACAGAAATGGTGGTGAGCTTCAAACTCCAGTAGACAATGGATGAGAGCAGCTGGAGGATGAACAATATCGCTCTTCCGAACCAGCCGAGCCACGATGACCCTTTTGCTGTGACGAGTGCATCAACGTCTGTCATGGCGGTGTGGGTGGCCTTCATGGCCGTCTCCAAGGCCGAGGCCAGAGTTTCCGACGAGGCCATGCTGAACCAAACTGTTTGGTGTAATTGGTGTGGCGGCTTTCCACTATCTTGCAAGTGCCAGTGTAGCCCACTACTTCATGACCCAGTGGTTGAGAAAATTTGTGCAAAACCACATGAAAATTTGGAAATTAGCTCAATATTGGGAGCGAGCGAGGCTCCTAGGTTGGTGATTTGGTAACACTGCTCAAGCTGGAAGCGCGGCTCCAGATGAGGTGCTGTGTGGGAGACATTTGGAAAACAACAAAACGTGTGAAGGTCTGATGTGTATTTTCGGACGGGCCAGGGAGAGAAAGCGCCCGAGGTTGCAGCAGCCGCCAGGGGGGAAGAAGAAAAAAAGAAGGGAAAAATGAAGCTGGAGCTATGTGCTGTTGATTTACCTGGGTTAGCCCGGAGCTTGTGATCTTCCGCCGTGGGGCTCTGAGCCATGACTGCTTTCAACATGGCCTCTCCTCTGCTGCGAGCCTGCATGCAGTAAATACGTGCTGTGCCTGTCGGTGGGCTGTGGCTTTGCCTCTGCTGAGTTACGTCTGACCTTTGGGGCATCATTCCCTATCTAACCATAGCGGCCTTTCCCACCTGAGCCCCAGGCGAAAGAAAAAAAGATCCAATCCCGTTGTGGCCGTGCACCCACCGCCCACCGCCCACCGCCGCGGGGCACACCCCACCAAAGGCGTTTCTTCGCAGCTGTTCGCTCAAATTTGGTGCGTGACTCCCCAAGACGTAAATTCACTTCCCAGCAAAAAGCCGTCGACCGACCCGAACGTGATCGTCAGACTCAACCCCCCCCATCACGAAAACTCCGACCTCGATCGCAACCTCAATCTCGACGACTAAAGGAAAGCCCTCTCGCTCCCGTCGAGGAAGATATATCCCTAGAATCCGCGGATCCGACCCGCTTGCCTGAGCGCAATCCCACCTGCCCGATCCCCATCTTTCCACATACAGCCCGCCCAACATGTCGTTAACAAACTGCCGCTTCTACGAGGAGAAGTTCCCGGAGATCGACTCCTTCGTCATGGTCAACGTCAAGCAGATCGCCGATATGGGTGCTTACGTCAAGGTTAGCCAGTTTGCTGTCCAGATTTCAGGTCTGCTCCGCTAACACTTGGGCTTAGCTGCTGGAGTACGACAACATCGACGGCATGATTCTGCTCAGCGAACTTTCCAGACGTCGTATTCGATCTATCCAGAAGCTCATCCGCGTCGGCAGAAACGAGGTCGTCGTCGTGCTCAGAGTCGACAAGGAGAAGGGTACGTGTGCGCGAGCAGCTGCGGCGCAAGAAACAATGTAACCCCCGGGCTAATCCATGGCTGTCACCGTAGGATACATCGATTTGTCCAAGCGCCGGGTCTCTCCCGAGGATATCGTCAAATGCGAGGAGCGTTACAACAAGAGCAAGATGGTCCACTCCATCATGCGCCATGTCGCCGAGAAGACCCTGCTCCCCATCGAGTCGCTTTACGAGAGCATAGCTTGGCCCCTGAACAAGAAGTACGGCCACTCCATCGACGCCTTCAAGCTCTCCATCACGTAAGTTCCCCAAATCACCATGCAGCGGCTCTCAAGCAGAGACAGTCTGCTCACACGTAAACTGCAGAAACCCCGAAGTATGGAACGACGTCACCTTCCCCAGCGACGCCGTTGCCGATGAGATCAAGTCCTATATCGGAAAGCGCCTGACACCACAACCCACCAAGGTCCGAGCTGACGTCGAGGTCACCTGCTTCGGCTATGAGGGTATTGACGCCGTCAAGGCTGCTCTGAGAACTGCCGAGGCCAAGAACACTCAAGACAACCAGGTCAAGGTCAAGCTCGTGTCCCCTCCGCTTTACGTCCTGACCAGCACATGCCTGGACAAGAGCGTTGGTATCTCAAAATTGGAGGAGGCAATTGTAGACATCAGGAAGCACATTGAGGGTGCTGGTGGTTCGTTGATCGTGAAGATGGAGCCCAAGGCCGTTACCGAGTCTGATGATGCTGAGCTGCAAGCTCTTATGGAGAAGAGAGAACGCGAGAACGCCGAGATCAGTGGAGACGAGGACATGTCCGAAAGCGACGATGAGAACCCCGACACTATCTAAGGCGCCCCGTCGGCACAGCACGAATTGGGCCCGCTGCGTCCTTACCGCTTCGCACCGACAGGGCAGTTGTTTATGACGAGAGGGCATTTGCAGTTTTATACAACTGAGCCCTGACGAATAGATGAATGGATTCAATGGCCATGTTTGGGTTGTCTCAGGCGGTCTCATTCATGGAGTCTAAAACAGCATTGGGATAGAGGCATATCATCGATGCTTGTGTATCAAGCTTACTATAGTAGTCATATGATAGGCCAATGGAACATATAATTCAGAGCCAAACACCTGCCAATGCTCCTAATGCGTTGTACAATAAATGGTGTGGGCTGGCTGAAAGGAAACAGACTAGGTGAGATCATCCTCTGATCTATTCTCAACAAACTTGAACGTTATTTCGTCCCAAAGCGATCTGAAGCCCACAACGCAATTTTGAGAAGGACTTGGTAGCAGATTCGCGTCACCAGACCGCACGAGCATATATCCAGAGCCATCCAGAGCCTACAAATGTTCGTGCACAAGACGACGACGTAAATAGACCAATAAAATACGTGCCACCATTTCTAGCAAATCTATTTTCTCCTTTTCCCCCTGGCAGGTAACAGTCCCGGTAGGACTCTTTGAGACTTTATTTGGTAGAGGTGGTCCGGGGCATGTGGCAGTCAACGGCCGAAAGTGCGAAATCACGATAAAATATCTCTCTATTTTGTCTATGGTGCTCAGCTGATACTATACGACTGTGCCCTGCTGCTGTATCAGTACGGATTCTGCAGTCTGGAACAGGGCATTTAATATACTCCATACGCAGTGGAAAGTCCCAAAAATAGAGCTGCTGCAAGATTCGATCCGTCAACATGCGCCTCATGACTCCGAGTTGATAGCGTCTTGTTGCTCGCGTTGCAGCACGAGGTAGCATGGTTACCACTTTGACCATGTCACATATAGTCCCCTATCATGTTCGACCTGGCCAGATTAAAGGTTCAAATTCTCCTGTGCTTTTGGTCAGTTCTTTTCAACTTTGTAATAAATTCTTTGGTGGCAATTTGATTGCAGATGCACAGTCCAGGCCTTTTGTGGCGTTCGAACCAATATATCCCCATATTAGCCTTGGCTGTAGACCTGGGACCACTATTGGCCAAATCTCGAAAGTTTTCCCAAAGTAAACCCTTCTATAAATAAGTTTTTTTTTTAAGTCTTTTTTTTTTTCATCTTCCAACAACTTTCCTCGGTATTGTAAGGTTCAGGAAAGCGGGACTAGAATTCCAGAGACGTGGATGTTGGTTGCTGGCTAATTAATATGGCTAAATAGCTTCTCGCTCTAAGACGATGGTCGAGCCCGATTGTGGCGGCCGGAAGACGGACAAAGACCACTTACCACGGACCTAGACCCCGAAGATTTCCGTAAAACCACAAGGAACCGCAACTGGCGATGTCACGTTGGTGAGTGCTGGGTACGACAGCCGGAAAGATTATCTGACGTTCGGGGGGTGAGAAATAGTCGTCTATAAGATGGGGTTGCCGCATCGCCATCTTGACGGTATTCTGGGACCACAATTGAACATACCTAACCCACGATAATAATACTATATCGAGTACCCTATCATATCAATCGTTGTATCTTACTATTCCTTTAAAAGTAGCCATAATGCGCCGTTCACCACTCCTCATGGCCTTGTCGCCATTGGCGAGAGCAGCCACAAACCAGATCAACACCCGTGACCAGCCTGCTTCTCTACCACATGTAGCATCCATCCAATACTCTGGCTCGGGCTGTCCGTCCAGCGCGCCAGGCGTCGATCAGCTTGGGTCCTGGAACGACCTCGCCTTCCGGCTCAACAACTATGAGATCTCGCTGCCCAACGCAGCGGACAGCACAGCGAACTGTGAGGTCCACCTACAGGTCACCGGCTGCTCTGCGGGTTGGCAACTCGGCATCAAGGAGGTGTATGTGAAGGGGCATCTAGTCCTAGATCCCGGTGCGGAGGTGGATTTCTACGTAACGACCTTCTGGAGCCAGAATGCCGGCACAACTGTGAGTATTCACCCCAACAATGGCATCGTTGAATCGGAAAGCTTATCCAGAGTGATAGTCAACTGTCAGAGGGACCATCGAGAACAGTGGTGCCACCCGGACCGACCAGATCGCTACTGCTCATGCCAGCATCCCCAACTCGAGAATCGTGTGGTCGCCCTGCAGTTCAGCTTCGGGCGATATTGGTACCCTAAACGTCAACTTCCGAGCGGCGCTCCAGGCAGACGGAAACCAGTACGGATACTTCGGCAAGGGTAGTGATACTACAGCTACCGAGAGCTGGGGATATGTTTGGAGAAGGTGTTAAAATGTTTGGGTCATGATAGAAGGAGTTGTAAGGATATTATGGCTAGGGGAGCGCACGCTTTTAGCAGAATATGTACGACAAAATAAAAATCTTCTGATTAGCTAATGAATTAAGTTGCAACGTGGTTTTGATTAAATTGGTAAGAGCACCCAGTACCAGGGTGCATTCTCACACTTATTTTGCGTCCCTTGTGTGTACACCTCGAACAGATACCATTAGACGGTCATTGAAGAAATTGCAACAATAACGACTCCAGAGTGAGGGAAAGATGTGTTTACTTAGCAGGAGTGTGGCGGAGACCGCTTATCAAACATATAACATCCGAAAGGCTTTCCATATAAAACCATTATAATTCCAGTTAAAACCCCATGAAATTGTCAAAGCATTTGTTTTGTCCAATCTCCCTCGTTACTACTTCCTCTCGTCATATACACTCATTAAAGCCTCTTTTTTCTTCCCTCCCTCTCTCTCTCTCTCTCCCAATCCGCACACAACCCGTACTCGCATGTAGTGTAGACATTGCAAATGCAAATCAAGTCTCATGCATGATTCCGTGTTGTTAGAATTGCCTTAAGTAGCCCCGTTAGGCCAGGCAATCGTTGCTTACAAAATGCCGAGATTCTTTAGCATAACTAGTCATTAATATGGCGCACGCTGATATGATGTTCACAAATATTTGTGGTACTACCACCCATGGTATTATTGGTCGAATCGAATTTTGTCGCATGTTACAACCCGCTGTAGTGAGTGAAAAAAATATTTGGCCGGATGATTTTGAGGCAGGGGGACTTTACCCTCAATCCGGCGCTGATCATGGATCATCCTTTTGGAAGGTTGCGTTGCCAATGCGGCGCAGTTCTGCCATGACGTTTAAGATCACGTGGTCCAAAGCGCATTTTATTTCACATGTAGCATTTAGACTAGACTAGCATTTACAGTAGTCCAGCATTTACAGCAGCATGTATTGCGGATTACTCCCCTTGTTGGTGTTGGTGTTGGTGCTGCCGTTGGCGAGTGCGCGTGCTGCAGGAGTTGTAGGAGCCCCCCCCCTGCAAGTCAATACTGATAGCGGGTCTCACTGTCCCCTGACTCGGTACCTAACTTCCATCAGAGCTGCTGATAGGCATCCACTTGGTCAACTTGTCCAATCCTGTTCAGATACTCTGGTATCTGCATTTACATCAGTATTTGCCTTCGCAATTCATTGACAAGCCGTGTCCGTCCCCTACTTCATCAACCATATATCTACAGTATAGCAACTGCCAAGATGGACAACTTCAAAGCATTCGGCAACAGCCTGAGGTGCGTCGCCATCAAGCTCATGCCCCTCACTACAGAACATACCCACAACTGTGACCTGAAGCTTTAGGTAGAGCAGAGCTGTTGCTAACTTGGCGATATCCAGCAATCTCGGCCAAAACTTCACACCCTTCGCATCGCGAACCTTCCAGTACACCAAAGAGCAGCTTGGCCAAGCTGAAGACAAGGTATGTACCACTTCATATTGATACTGCCTTCCACACGGCTAGGCGCTTATCCACCTCACAGACTCAGCTTCCTCCCGACTACATCGACCTCGAGAAGCGAGTCGATGCGCTCAAGCAAGTCCACCAGAAGCTGCTCTCGGTCACGTCGCAATTCAACCACGAGTCTTACGACTACCCACCCAACATCAAGGAGACCTTTGGCGACCTCGGCCGCACTGTCAGCGAGAAGGTCCAGCTGCTCTCGACCGCCTCCTCTCCCGCCGAGGCACAAGCTGCCCTGACTGCACCCCCCACCGCCAAACCCCAGCCCAAGACCTTTAGCCATGCCCTCGCCCGCGCTTCGCTGAACGGCTCCCAGCTCCTCCACCAGCAGCACACCGGCGCCGGCGAGGACCCTCTTGCGACTGCTCTCGAGAAGTATGCCCTGGCCAGCGAGCGTGTTGGTGAGGCCCGTCTCGCCCAGGACGCCCAAATCCAGAGCCGATTTCTGGCCGGATGGAACACCACCTTGAACACCAACCTTCAGTTCGCTACCCGTGCGCGCAAGAACGTCGAGAAGAGCCGTTTGACGCTCGACTCGGTCAAATCTCGCGTCAAGGGTAATACATGGAAGATTGGTGCTGCCGGTGGAAGGGACGATCAGCCACACGACCATGAGCTGAGCCCAGAAGCTCAGGAGGAGATCGAAAAGGCTGAGGACGAGTTCGTTACCCAGACCGAGGAGGCCGTTGGTGTCATGAAGAACGTGAGTCTTGCATACCATGTACCTCTTGCCCGCGTATGCGATGTTTACTGACAATTCTCTGTTAGGTCTTGGACACCCCTGAACCCCTTCGCAACCTTGCTGAACTCATTCAGGCTCAAGTTGAGTACCACAAGAGGGCCTACGAGATTCTCAGCGAGCTGGCACCTGTCATTGAGGGGCTCCAGGTTGAGCAGGAGGCTGCCTATCGCAAAAGTCGTGAGAACGCTCAATAAAAAGACGGCTAGCCGTTGGGAACTATGGAGCCAATATCCACGAAGAAGACCATGCTTGAAGTATAGAAAAGTGCGGAATACCACTTAGGGTGGCTCGGTCGAAGCCAGGGGTGTTTTCTTGATTCCTATTACTCAGTTACCTGCTGCGCAGTTGGTGCAAAGTTGCAATATCGTTGTTGCGAGTGGCTTTGCGAAACGGCCAGAACTGGCCTACCGTTTGATTTGATTGTAAGGTTCGAGATGTGTGAAGCTAGTAAATCTTTCTGGTCACTCAAGTCAAAATGCATTTTGAGTTCCCTTACACGGTCTGATACAAGTGCTTGTAGGCCAAAGTCATGCGAGTATGACCACATGCAGGACACACGCTTAAGCAATAAAATCTTAAGACAACCACCATTTCTCGGCATCGTGGCATTTCACGCAGATAAGATGGGTATCATATAAAGCATACGCCTTTATTGTCTCTCTTACTGGCTTCATTGCCTGTCTCGTATAACAAGTCGTGAGAGAAGAAAACATCGGAACCTATGACCAAGCCAAACACTCCCCTTTGTCCTCGGATCCATTAATGCACAAAGCCCAACTGGGTTGTCACCATAGCTCAAACGCCAAAGAATACTGTAATGAAGTCGATCACATGGTGATCCTGTACCCTACAGAGCCACCATCACAATGCCAGCCAAGCCTGCCAAAATGCCCATGGTCTTCTTCACAGAGATCGGGGCAACTCCAGCAGAAGAGTCGGTCGCCGATGGTGCGCTCTCAGTTGCGGCTGAGGAGCTTTCGGCAGTGGTAGACGAGGTGGCGATATCGGCGTCAGTGTGACTGTGGGTGACAGTCTTTGTAGATGAGCCGGCAATGGTGGTCGTCTGGACAATACTGATTGAGCTGGATGAGCCACCTGTGCCGGAAGCGATGGTCGTTGGGGTGACAGAAGGCAGACCGGGCTGTGTGGTCACCGAAAAGCTGCCGCCGGACGGCGCGGAAATGGCACCGGTAGCAGCGCTGGAATATGCGACAGCCGTGGTGGCGTCCGAGCCTTGAGGTGTGTCTGTGACCGTGGCCACAATACCCTCGGTAGTGGTGTGAGTGCCTGCGTTGAGCGTGACCATGCTCTCAAAGTCGATGGAGCCGGTGTAAGTGACGTCCTTTGTAGTGCTGACCTCAGTGAGGGTGATGGTGAGGGTACCGTAAGCACGGCTGGTGATGAGAGACTCGTGCGGCTCTTCCTGCATGACCTGACCAGGCTCATTCGAGACACCGTTGCCCTGAGCTGCATCGCCCATACCCTCCAAGGTGGTGAGCTCTGCAACCTGTGCAGTGGGGCAGCCATACTCAGAGTATGTGCGAGAGATGGTGGTGAATGTCGAGGACGTGTTGGGCGACTTTGTGGAGGTTAAGATCACAGTGGTGACATCGTCCAGAGTCAGGGCACTGAGAAAATTACCGCTGAAAGCCAGGAGGCCTGCAGTGCCCAAAACCTTGGTCAACATCATTGTGTCTTCCGGGAAGATGTTGAGTGTAATGAGGTGATGGGTCGGTGGATGTTTGATGCTACCTTATAGATGGATCTGTCAGTTGTTTGATTAGAACCTCGCAACTCGTTGGATGAGTTTAGAGAAGGGGCGCTTTATTCTCGGCCAAGTGAATATAAAGGTGGCGCAACTTCAAGATAATCACTGGTGGTTTTGACTGTCAAAATGGGCCACAGACAGGAGCTGTTAACAAAAAGAGCAAGTTCAAACCATCTGCAGTTAGCTTTAGGGCTTTGAAACGAGTGATTGCATAGGCTGTGGAAAATCTCGAGAAGAATGAACTGTTATTATGTGAGAGAGAAATTGCGTTGGTGGACGCGTCTGAACCTGATGTTAATACCCATCAGCTCCATCGATTTCGCGTCATCCGAATAACGCCTATAACATAATGTTTACTCGCATTTACCAAACCGTTTTCGATGGCACCAGCATTATTTCCAGTTGTCGAGGAATGGCTAAGAATTTGATTAGCCACTCATGAGCAAGAGAACTTGATACCAACACCACCTTTAGAGTCTGTCGATTATTTCATACAATTTAATATGCGATAGCATCCTTTTCAGTGGAAAGCACATGCTTAAAAAGCTAACTTCGATGAATGGGTTAGTGCACAAAGGGTTTTAGAGAAACTAGATTATCACCGGATAGATCTAACATAGAGCCTGTGGGCCATAATTTCTCAATGATCCTCCTTGTTCCCTTACTATTGCCAGCTACCATGTTCCTACAGGTTGTGCAATTGCCTGTGGAATCATGACATTAGTTAAGAATGCCTGTACCTAGGTGTACAATCAGTGACTTCTAATACATAGATTTGCACATCATACGTAGCGGTCGGTTGCTTGAGTCATGCAAAAGATGAATGGGAATCTGACAGACAACGCTTGAAAAGGGTAGGGAGATTAATGCGCCTGGGGGACTGAGCATTAGGGAATATTTTGATTTTAACTTGGAAATAAAAAAATGTTCACTGTTGACTGAACTGGCTGTGCTAAGATATGTTGGCCATGCCTTTGAGTACCTATGTCAGAGTCGCAGCAATACAAGTACTCATAGATCGGTCTCTTGTTGGTGGACCTTGCTTTCATGGGAAAGCTTTTTAATTTATATTAGTGAGGTCGATAAGTTACCATTTACAGTAATTTATAGACGTGTAGCTCGTACAGAATAATATCTACAACATCAACAAATCGCCATTACTGCCACCTCCCTGTGCCGGATACATCGCCTGCTGTGGTGCGTACTGGTTTACAACGTAACCGGCTTCTGTGCCATTACTGCCTCCGAATGCATCACCAGCCTCATGGATGCCCATGGCCGCCATCTGCTGAGATCCTATTCCAGCAAAATAGGCATCAGCATCATTAGTTGCCTGATTCATGTTGCCGTTTTGGGCATTTTGACCAGATTGGCCATTAAAGTCGTTGTCAAACCCGGCTAGCCCGCCATCAGGATTTGTCCGCACAACAGCTGGCTGACCGCCCATACCCAACATGCTAAGGTGCTTCTGATTCTCAAATTGGGGCAGATTCTGAGATGTGGGTAGAGTATGCTTTTGCAAGGCTGGACTGTCCTGCAACTTTCTCGGTCTGGCTGATCTGAAAACAGTCTGGACAGGTTTCAAGTAGATCGTCGCGAGCGTGCCGACGTTGAGGCACATCTCTTCTAGTGTTTGAGGGTCCAGCTTTTCAGACTCCGCCGTAATGGCTGGCTTTTCGCCCATGACAACCTGCTTTGCCATGTTCATGTCTGTCGAGAGTAAGCGCCAGTACATGTACGCACGATCGCGTAAATCTGGGTTGTCGGTCTCCTCGGTAGCCCACTTCAGGACTTTCGGAACGAGATCCTGACCCTTGGTCGGTCGCTGGATAAACAGTTTGACGGTCGCAGTCAGCAAGGCAAGCTGAACTTCGACAGGCTCCTCAGCGAATGAGTACAGGAAGTCCTCAAGTAGTGCGTCAGAGTTCTCAATCCGTGATGCGTATTGCCCAATGACCCACACCATTGCAGCCTTGGCCTCGGGCTCGTCTAGCGAATCCAAGTGTTCGCATAGTGTGCCAATGATGGATTCATATTGGTTAGGATACTTGCGGAAGATGTTGCGGATCACCACAGTAGCTTCTTGCACAATGTAAGGTACTTTTGTCGCGACCAATTCGAGCAGTAGATTAATACATCTTCGGGCAGCTGGCTCAATCTTAATGGCCAGCTTTCCAATGGCACGGACCGCTTTCCTTACGAAATGCACGTCGACCTCGGTAGCATATTCTCGTAGTTCTGTAAGTACCTCATCGATGTTCTTCTCGTTGGCAAGCATGAAGATCAGTTCAAGCTTCGTCACTTTGACATAAATGGGGTCGTTGTACTTGCAGAAGAAGACACGGATATCGTTGCGTAGGACGTCCGGCCGCCGCTGCAGGATCAACAAAGCGTTTCTGAGAGCAAGATATTGCACTTCAGGTCCTTTCGCCAATAAGGTGACAAGTGGTGGAGACAATTTCCGACATAGAGCGGCGACGTGCTTTTCGTCTGCGATGTAATTCATCAGGTATAGAATGACTCGGATGCAGGTCAGAACGACAGCCGAGTTGGAATGCGATAACCGGGGGGCTATTCTTTCTGCCAAGAGCGTAGCTTCCCCAGAATCCTGGGGCACATATGACATAAGTGCTTCCAGGATGTAAGTTTGACCCCATCTACCACATGTCAGCTGGACATGGCACACCTCAGGATACGAATATCTCAACGGTACTTACTCAGAGCAATCAGCCAGTATAGCCACCATTTTCGATGCATTGTTATAGTCGATTGTCAGCTTGATTGCATCACTCCTTTCCCAAATATCCATTAGTCCAGCCAGGGCACTCGCAACAACTGTCGGGTTGTCATCCCTAAGCAAAGAATTTAGCCGCTCTATGAGATCCGATCTCTCCACCATATGTCTGTCATGATCGTAGAGTTTCGCGACGCAGTAAGCGGCGGTCTTTCGGACGTAGGGGTCCGAATCTTTGAGCATATGCTTGACGACTGGAACCGTAGCCTCGACAAATTCTCGGACGTGGACGTAGGACATTGTCCGTAATGCCAACGCTCTAACCAGGGGGTTGGAATCTTGCATATCCTGTGCACATATCAGCACCGTACCGTTGCCTATTGTTTCAACTCGCGCGTTAGTGCGGGCGCACCTGTTCAAGGACTGGTATCGCCTTCACTGCGATTTCTGGCTTCATTCTTGAGTAGTTGACCAGGAACAAGAAGCACCTGATATTGCCCATTAGCTCTCGTACTCCTTATTGTGGTTGTGGCTGGCCAGTGTATTCCTCACATCTTCTTGATCTCCAGACTCTGTATATGCATACAAGCAATGATGTCTGGGAATAGCGAAACCATCTCATTGTTGCTCATGGTCATATTTGCGACGATCTTCTTGAGGGCGATTTTCTTCTGGGTGAAGTTTTTGTCCTTCTTTCCGCCACTGTTCAACTCGAGGCGCAACTCGGCGACCTTGCCCTGCATTGTCAAAGGACGTGAGTAATAAGTTGATGGAGCGGCGTGCGCTAGAAACATGACTGCGATTGTGATATGGTGGAGGTGGAGGTGGGTAATGCATAGTACGGTTCATTGGGTTCGCCTGCTTTAGGGGCCGGTGGTCGTACTTGCTTCATGGAAGCTCTTGGGAATGTGTCGCATCTACAAAACCAAGGAGATGGGATATGCACTCGAGTATGGAAGACCATAGACAAGATGAGCATGTGTTAAGAGAAACGAGACCGCATGTAAATTTGATCTCGTGACGACAAGTGCGGATGAATGTCTCGGGAGGATAAACGAACGAATTAATATGCTTACCCGAGCGAACAGCTTGGAGTCTCCTCCGCCTTGAGAGTTTGACATGGTGCGCGCGCGTGGTTGAGGACTACCTATGTACGGGCCTATTCAGGTTTCCGGCTTCGCAGGCCTTCCCTTCCTGTGGTGTCTCGGGAACTCTGTAGGAGTCTTGCCCAGCCCGCCGATAAGTAGGATGGAGCAGTCTCAATTACAACTGACTACCTTGGCGATCGGGGACAAGGTAGCGTATCTTGGAGAGTCGCCCAGGAAAGCTTGCAAGCCCCTCACGCAATGCGCAGCCAACCAAGCTTCATGTATGTCAGACTGTCCAATCGTACGAGGTGTGGTCGTCGGTGTGGTAAGTCAAGGATGGAGGGGTTCGAGGGGATGAAGTGTCACATGCGCAGCGTCGCAAACTCTTCGATTCGTTAGGTTTCTCGAGGCTGAAAGGTTGAGTTGAAAGCTACCGGGCGTTCGTACCCTGCATGTGGCGCGTTATAACAATAATGAAGTCGGCGCCAGGGCAGGTCATTGTCAAACTCGTCGATAGAGTGGAAGTCGCGATGCACGCCCGGTGGTAACTCCACCAAAGGCCGTTGAGTCCGGCCCCCTGAAACCCCTTGACCTATGTACATAAGGACCATGTATGTACAGTAGGTATGTGTATGTACGTATGGATGTATGTATGTATCCGTATTTCGTCGCCCGTGTGTGTGCAAGATGTACTTTAGTATGGGATTGTTCGCTTTGCTCGGGTCGCTTAGCGTGCACGGCTCACCGGCTTGTCAGGGCGAAACTTGAACGTGAAGGGCGGCTCTTTAGTGGATCCGAACTCCTGTGGAGAAAACGAGTATCCTCCCCCAGCAACAAGTTACCTTACTGGATTAGATTGACAGACAGCTTGACGTGACGGCTTCATCCACTCCCCAGCTAATAACAACTATCGCAACATCATCTACACCGAGACCCTCTGTCTCTACGCCACGCACCCACGACGTTTCGAGCGCCTTGTTTACCAGAGGTCTCCGGACACGCCATCATAATACCCACACCATGGCGACAACTACAGTCCCCAAATGGGTCGCCGACCTGAACAACCCACCACAGGCCAAGTCCAAGCCTGGTGGCATCGCCGACCCTCCGGCCTTTCCGTCTACTTCGTATACCAAGGCTACGGGATCAAAGGTATGACCAGCTCATTGCGCACAGCCACAACTGTACTTTATAAGGGGAGGTGCTAACGTTGACACAGAAGCAAGTAGCTCAAGCCCCCGCCCGCAAAGCGCCTACCCCCGAGGAAACAGATACGCTCAAGCTCAAGAAGGCCTGGGAAGTTGCTCTGGCGCCCGTGAAGCAGCTACCCATGACCGCCATCATGATGTACATGTCCGGCAACTCGTTACAAATCTTCAGCATTATGATGGTATTCATGGCTTTCAAGAACCCCATCATGGGCGTTCTGGGTACGAACCAGGCCTTCGAGCGCTTCGAGAGTGATGGGAACAAGGGAAAGATGCTGCAGGCAAAGTTGGCATATGTTGCGATGCAGCTTGTGGCGTTGGCATTGGGTGTCTGGAAAGTGAATGCCATGGGATTACTACCGTAAGTCTGGCCTTGGTATACCCTCTCCTTCTTTTCTTTACGACGTTTTTCAATCGAATGAAGCCAAGCGCATTGAAGATATCCATCTCTGAAATTGTGCTAACTACTCTTGACAGGACGACAAGATCAGACTGGTTGGCGTGGGAAGCACTACGAGAGCCTATAGAACACGCTGTATTTGCGCTATAAAACCAGTCGTATAGGGGCTTGAATAAAAGCAGGCTAAAACGAAAGTATGTAGCTGTAACAGCTGCTGAACTCGTCAAACATCTTTCCCTGCGCCGGTAATGACTGATGTATCTCGTTGCAACGTATGGTAAATTTGCCGGTCTCCATCACTGAGCGCCCCAGTTTATTATGGCGTGCGGCACCCATAAGCACCCGTGCTACTCGGAACACCGCTCTTTATTTCGGATCCATCAGTACTGTAACTTTTTCCATTCGTCGCCGACTGTTGTTGGGTGCTTGGTCCCGATTGGAGATCTCCAACATTTTGAAACGGCTCCTCAATCATTGGTCGTTCACGATATGTCGCCATCACTGTTTGGGTCTGCGGAGTCGGCGGAGTCTGGTACCAATCACGACAATATTCCCTGAGAGTAGCCTCGCGAGTTATGTAAGGGCGGTCACGGAACGTTAGGAGCAGCGAGCTTGTTGTCATGCTTACTCCTGGGGTGCTGCTTCCAAGGGTTGGTGTTAAGCTGGGTTGGCTTGATGGAGATGTGGGAAGCACAACCACGGAACTCATCCGAGTGCTAGTGGCAGGCTCTTGTACATATAAGGCATCTCTGATTGCTCTGTCGTTCGCGGTCAGTGGTTCCATCTGCTCCCTCGGCGCGCTCTGGCCTTCAACGGTGTTGTTTTGTGTTGTAGAGGCAGTCTGATACTGAAGTTCATTAGTCAGTCGCCAACCGACAGTCAATTCAAGGCTATCCTTACGTTCTGTGGGTGCAACTTCTCTTGGCTCTCCCCTCGGGCCATCTTGAAGGATTGTGGTATTCGTAGTAGATATGTCGAGGTACTCGAAACACTGATCTGTTCATGCTTGGTGCCGAAGGTAATTCTGCTATACTGTTACAGCTTAAGAGCTAGAACACGATGTGCCAGTTGAGTTCTGGTTTTGTCGAAGGGAGAGCAACCATTCGCTATTTATATGTATTTAATAGTATTTTTATGTCCGCAGTTTGCCATATGCTAGACCTGGTGATCACATAAGCATGGTCGTTAAATCATGGCACAAGGTAATCTTGGGTCGTATGCAGGTTCATGTTGTGATCATTCCCGGATACAATTCCGTATGGTTGTTCCACGCGATAAAAGTTTTAGTCGCCGCACAGAATTGCCTATTTCAATCTACAGGGTTACACCGGAACTGTATCTAGTTCCCGCGGGTCCCTCTGACAAGCGGGTAAGGCTTGTAGGAAAAGAAAAAGAAAACCCCCCGAGCGGCGCATACGAAAGCTCCTGACGGTTATATGTGATTTATGCCATACATCCACCAATATCACACCGAATGGCCTTGAAAATCAAGACATGAAAAAGAAATCGAAAAGGGGCCTAGGAGGACACCATAGGATAAGCTGGATTGTTTTGGTCAGATTAATGGGTGTTCGAGTTCATGCGATTCGTCTATTTTTATGTCGTTCACTTGAGACCCTACTAGTTCGGGACGAATCCAATGGAGTACAACGTACTGGGCAGAGGACCGCGATTTAAACCTGCATCCAGCAACACGATTCAGGGACTTCCGACAGGCTCGACGGAGAATATTGAAACCTGGTTGCGATACGGTACATTCAGTAGCGACTCAGCAGTGCTGTTTAACTGACAACAATTGGCTCGGGGAACGTTCCCGGTGGTGTCATGTTGATCATGACGTATCGTTTCACTTGATCGTGAGCACTCTCGACGGGTGTGGGCTCTTGTATGCTGACGAATTATCCTCGATGGTTCATCCTCTGAGCTAACAGTGAATACTCGACGAACCAGAACTGTCCGAATCGAGTAATTGTCTCATTAGGCCTTCTATCAGATAACATGGCGAGTGATCATCAGTCTAATCTGGTTCTATAGCATAACACTGCCATTCTCTAGAAAATCGGAACTGTTAATCCTTGCAGAAGTGAATAGGAGATTTCCAGCAATTACTGGGCATGGGATCTATTAAGTACCTTCTGTGTAAGGCTCTTAAAGGCCATAGAATTAGGACGTGAGCCTTGCGTTGGCTGTGTAACTCAGTAGACGCCCAAGCAGCCTTAAAAGAAAAAAGGGAACAATAGCTTGGATAACAATTGGCCATTTTACCATATATGATTGGGTAGTCTTTAATTAGATAGCACCAAGGACTATATGCGCCTGGTTTGCCATTCCACATAATACATAAGTTGACTTGATGATGGGAAGGTCAAGAGGAAGTAGCTTTGACTTCTGCAATCATTATGCAAAGCACTTACTACGGTAGTTACATAGAGTACCTTGAATGGTAAAAGACCAGTAAACTTCTTATCCACCAGTTTGTAGCTTGACTTAGACACAACGACTACAGGAGAAGGAAAGAGTAGGTCATAGCCAGGATTTATCTGATGCCTATGATAATTTGAGCACCTGCTGCATGTTTCCGTTGGGCTCTGCCATGGGAAGTCAAGGGGCTGTCCGGAGGCAGCCTTCCAGGCCGGGGCGAACCAGAATTTTGGGTCGCAACAGCGATACAAGCCACAGATTGCAGCTGCAGAACGAGTTCCCTCCGAATTGAGAAGTGGTAAATGCGCCTAGAGGGTCGAGGGGCGCGAGGCCATGATCAGAGCAAGGATGGCTGACGCACACAATGGCAATTACCAACAAGGATGTAACTTCCTTTCCATACCGCTTTTCAAACTACGACATACCATATCAGGCGAGCCGCATTGGAGAGGCAGCCATATGTCGATTTGTCCCCCAAGGCCCTGATGCTGCGGTTGTACCTAGGACCTCCGAATGTGGTATGAAGAGGGCAGCTTGATGCACTGCTATCGTTCTGGCAAAGAATTGTTGCCTTGCTGGTCTAACATCAATGGAGCGGTCAAGGTCATGTATATTTTCACTAGGCACAACCAACCGGCGGAAGATGTACCGTACCTATCGGAAATCCGGTATGCTGCGATTCCTTCGCAATGATCCAACTCAGCTTCAATGCGTCAGGTCTTTCCGCGTGGACCTGCTGTAGTTGAAAAGATTGTATAGTCTGATTGGTTGGTTCCCATTTGAAACAAGGCAACACAGTCTACTGCAGGCTTGAACTCGCTATCGTGGCTGCAGTGTTTATGACTATCTCGTGCGTACGGCGGTCAAGCAAGCGTTCTGACACGCAACATTCGCCACGCCTCGATGAACCGATACAAACCCGCAGATGCCTCTTTCTTTGAGGACTACAGTGGGCAAAAGGAACAGTGACAGCGTGAGTAAAGCCGACACATGATATGGCTATATAGTACGTCGTTGGCAGCACAACAAATGCAGGTAATCTGGGTTGAAGCAAGCCCCGCGGCTGAGGATTTCAAGTGTAACGATCGTCGGATGGGAGAGCGTACACCGCTCGTGGGCGTTTGGTGTTGAGGGTGTGCTCCAGGGCCACAAGCAGTTTATAGTGCCAGCTAGCCAGGCCGCCAGCCATTGGAGGGAAGGTAGGTAAGTTAATGTTTGTTCAGCTCGAATTCAATGGGGCCGGGGATGGTGGGGCCCAACCCCACTATGTACATAGCAGAGTTTCGTGGACATGCAGTACAGCGACTTAAGCTTGGTAATGACATCCAACGCACAAGACCGTCTACGGATCCGTACCTTGTGCACTAACTGTACTGTACAGCGGCTGCACAAAGCCTTCCAAGTGAGTCCGTGTCGAAGCACATGACAGTGGAACTCGGGTCACTAATTACATCACCTTGCTTATTTGGGAAACACAACAACCAAACTCTGTGACAACTCTATCTCCGCCGACTGCAACCACGAGGCCCCTTCGAATGGCTCAGAGGGCGGGGTTCTTTGCTGTTGCCGCAACCGCAATGTCCCGACGCTCGTCATGACAGATGACCCAAAGTGACCCGCAGAGTAACTGAGTTTTGGCCTTGCTGAACCCTTTGGCCCAATGAATTACGAGGCCGTCGAGGTAGAGGCCGTGACCATGGGGGATGCGACCGAATCCATTGCTTCAAAGGCCAACAGCCACAATGGTGGGAACGCACCTCCGCCAAGTGCCGGCAGTGACGGTGTCAAGGCGGACCCTCTGAACGTGAACGAGCAACCACCCGAACCCGCCTTTCCGCTCCTACAGAACAATACTAGCAGCGAGACTCTGGCGCAAAATGTCCAAGCTCAGAAAGGCGGCACCGTCGAAGACGACGCCGACGAAGAGCCTGCCGTAGCCCAACCTTTTATCCGAACACACAGTCCCGACTCCGCCTCGAGAGAAGATACGCCGCCGGAAGAGGAACGGTCGCCGGCGCGCCTCTTCTACAAGATGCACAAGTTCACACTCTATGAGACCGCCAGTCGCTACTACATCGTGGGGGGAGATGTCACGGAAAAGCGGTACCGTATCCTGAAGATCGACCGAACCACCCATGACTCGGACCTGAACATCGTAGATGAGAAGATCATATACAGTCAGAAGGAGATGGCCTCGATATTAGACACCATCGACGATGGGAATAAAGGGACCGGAGGCATCAAGCTGTGTTGTACCACTTGGGGCTTGCTTGGCTTTATCAAGTTTACTGGTCCATATTACATGTTGTTGATAACCAAGAAGAGCACTGTTGCCATGATCGGAGGTCACTATGTTTACCAAATCGATGGCACCGAATTGATCCCTCTGACCCCACCTAGATACAAGCCAGACATTCGCAATACAGACGAACAGCGCTTCCTGGGCATTCTCAATAACCTCGACTTGACGCGCTCCTTCTATTACAGTTACTCATATGACATTACCCGCACTCTGCAGCACAACATCACACGAGAGCGTATTGCTCTCGTAAACGGTTTGCCGGGTACCACCTATGAGGACCCGAATCCCATGTTCGTCTGGAATAGTCACCTACTCCAACCGGGTGCTGACTCTTTGCATGAGCCTTTTGACTGGTGTCGCCCCATCGTCCACGGGTACATCGACCAAGCCGCCGTTTCCATATATGGAAGAACTGCACACATCACAGTTATTGCCAGAAGGTCTCGTTTCTTCGCCGGTGCTCGATTCTTGAAGAGAGGCGCCAATGATATGGGCTATGTTGCCAATGATGTTGAGACAGAACAGATTGTATCAGAATCGCTCACAACCTCGTTCCATTCTCCTGGACCTAAACTTTTTGCCAGTCCACAATACACATCCTACGTTCAGCATCGAGGCAGCATCCCGCTGTACTGGACACAAGACAACATGGGTGTTACCCCTAAGCCACCTATTGAGCTCAATCTCGTTGACCCCTTCTACACTGCTGCCGCTCTCCACTTCAACAACCTCTTTGAGAGATATGGCTCACCTATTTACGTCCTCAATCTTGTCAAGGCGAAGGAAAGATCGCCCAGAGAGTCCAAGCTCCTTGACGAGTACACCAACTGCATCAACTATCTCAACCAGTTCCTGCCAGATGACCACAAGATTATCCAAAAGCATTGGGATATGAGCCGAGCAGCCAAGAGTCGAGATCAAGACGTTATCGGGACTCTCGAGAACATTGCAGAGCATGTCGTCACAACCACTGGCTTCTTTCACAATGGTGACGGTGTGATTTCTCCATCTCAAGTACAAAACGGGGTGGCCCGAACGAACTGCATCGACTGCCTAGACCGTACTAACGCAGCTCAGTTTGTTATTGGCAAGCGCGCTCTTGGACACCAACTGCATGCACTGGGTATTATTGAAGACACCATTGTTGAGTATGACACCGATGCCGTCAACCTCTTTACGCACATGTATCATGATCACGGTGACACGATTGCCGTACAATATGGTGGTTCACAGCTTGTGAATACCATGGAGACGTACCGCAAGATCAATCAATGGACAAGCCACTCTCGCGACATGATCGAGAGCTTCAAACGATACTATAATAACTCCTTCATGGACAGTCAACGCCAAGAAGCTTACAATCTGTTCTTGGGCAATTACATCTTCTCTCAGGGGCAGCCCATGCTATGGGATCTGTCGACCGATTACTACCTGCATCATACAGACCCCAGAACTTGGTTGGAGAAAGTCCCGCATCATTACATACGCTGGTTTAACCCAAGATACTTGCAAAAGAGGACCTTGCCGCCTTACGTCGTGCTGAAGCGCCACGACGAGACCCAGCCAGTGTCAGCCTACGATGATTATTGGCTGGAATATTACAGGCCCTCAACTTTATCGTCTTTTATGAAGATGTTTCCGTATAAGATGAACTCCACTATTAAGTATATACCCTTCAAATCTACCCAAGAGGGCCGGTACGATCTAAGCCCCTTCCGCGTCCGAACCGAGGACAATCAAGAACATCATGAGAGAAAGAAGCCAGCACATGTAGGCAGGAAAGAAGTTACTATTGTTGATCCTCAAGAGAAGCAAAAGGCAAAGGCCGACGAGGCTGACGCTTTGCTGGAGCGCCCAGGTACTCGTGGCATCTCTATACATCGATGGCTACAGCCAGTGTCTCTTGAAAATAAGCCCACAATTCCCCAAGGTATCATGAAGGAGTCCACCCATGGCGGGCAATCCTCTGATGTGCCTCGTAAGCAGACGCCACAAGAGAAATCCAAAGCCGCGCAGTGGACCTTCAAAACCATGGTACATGAGTCCCTCAATCCATCAGTCAACGCACATGACACGGACGAGTATCGGCGGTACATTTCGCATCCCCAGTCCCTGCCTCTCGTCATCTCTAACGAGGCACCTGCTGATGTGGACGCTTCCGAATACACTGAGTACCTCAACGGAAGCTGGCAAACTGACGGGCTCGCAAATGATAAGACAGTCCACGAGGAGGACATCACAGCATACTGGGACTTGTTAAAGGTTGGTGACAATCCGCTCACAGTCACAGACGACGATTTGCCAAAGAAGAGATACAAAGCCTACGGCAAGTGGCTAAGGGGCAAGAGTCTCTTCAAACAGCAGCCTGTCGATTAGGAATCGGCGGGTGCGGGTGTACTGCAGACGCCTATGAGTGCTACGTTTGGCGAGGACACCATGTTCGATCGGCGGATCAGTGGATCTTCGTGGGTAGGAAGAGAGGCTTGAGACGCGGCTCTTTCTCGATAAGGGGAGAGACAACCTCTGACAATGGAGTATCTCCAGATTTCAAAATTGCAGCTAAAATAGCAGAGGTTTGCGAAAGTGCTGCCTTGAGGTCCTCTTGGCTGGGTGAACCAGAAGGGTATGTATCCTCATCCTCAATATTGAGGTAGCAATTCGCCAGGGTGCGAATGATCTCAGTATGGTAGCCACCTATCCGCGGCCAGCAACATCGCATCGTGGCTTGAAGTAGCTGGTTAGCGGCAAGCAAAGCGGGTGGATATTTGGTGCCAAATGGCTCTGTCATGATCTCTGAGGCCATGGGTATAATATCCTGCATGAAGTTGTCAGCGTTGCATGGAAGGCGTTTTGGGGTGCTTTTATGCGTTCTAGCGAAATACGAACCTTTAAATGCTTTACTGCCAGAATACCAATACCGTTCACAATAGACACCATCTTCTTGCAGAAACATTCGTTCAATTGTATGTGCTCATTCGTGTGACGGTACCCTACCAATAGCCCTTCGCGAATTATATTGTCGATGGTCTTTCGCTGCGAGTGCGTGAAGGCTGGTTGCTTGACTGGCTCGGCTATCTCCGCTTCCGGGTAGGCCATGCCTGCAATTTGGAAGAGCGCCGGGTATGCTGCATTGAGGATCTGGATTGATTCGTCTTCCGGGGTCAACGTAGGAAGATATAATACAGCAGGGAAGATGGCCTGCTCGAACACGTCTGCCAGACCGACGGCCGCCATTTGTCCGGGTGGGCAGCGTTCCCAGAACGCACTGAAGATATGCAGGGCACGCACCTTGATGTCGGTCTGCGGCTCATCTAGTAGCGTCAAGAGCACGGGTGTGTATTGGTGCCAGTGCTTAGAAAGCATGTCGTGGTCAGACTTGGACACTGCCCATTCGAACACGCTGATCGCGTAGCGGTATGAGTGCTTCCACGGCTTCAGGTCTTGTTCAGAAGGGTCGTTGAAGGAGCCGGCATACCGAGAAGTTTCGACAAACTCGGCCTTGCGGCCGGACGCCGTTACCGTCGCTGGTCTCGATTTGGAGAACAAGGGCCGGAGAAAGTTTGAGATTATCGTCGACGTGATCAATGCAATTTTCTTGCCTTTATCAGGGAGTTGCTTGTCCAGTATCGAGTGAGCTACAGCTGCTGATGAAGAAGATGACCAGGGATCATGCGCGTTGCTATAGGCTATTACGGTTAGTAGGACTTGCCCGTTCAGGCTGGTCTCCTTTTTGTCTTGTATATTTTCTAAGATATCGAGACCAATTTGACCTCGGAAGACATTGTTCTCCCGTTGCGTGGCAACTAACAAGGAATTAGCTGTTTGTTATCTCTGAGCTTGACGTCTCATTACCCTCTGAGCCCGAAGCAACTGGCAGAATACTTTTTGCGACATATTCTGCGATGGCCGCAGCGGATTTTGAGTCCCCGCCATAGTTTTCGTTCAATTGATCGCTCTGGAGGCCTGCTTGAAGCGCTCTTAGAGATGCGATACTGCCCTAGGTATCACGTAAGTTAGTTCCACTGCCGACCGACGGGGTTAGTGCAATTGCAGCCTTGCAAAGCGTAGGGCTTACCGACTCATCCGACTGAATGATACCATGTACGAGATCCTCAAGACTGAACTGGGAAGTCAAACCTGGTGGGCGTCAGTCTCTTCAGTCAATTACGTTTGTCGGTGCCAGAAATTACATTGTGCGAGTCCATCAGGTACTTCAGTTGGAGAGCCTGTCTCACCGAGGCGAGCGCAGTTTTCACACAACGTCTGAAACATGTTTAACAACAACAACAATAACAACCATGAATAAACACTGTGATTCTGCTAAATAGTTTTGGCATCACAAACAATCATAGGTATTGCTTTGGTTAGATTGTTCCATGCTTCAAGAAGATTCGAGATGCTGGGCTACCGCAGGTGCCAGCAGCCGCCCCTCTCTCCACACCTGTCAGACACCTCATGACATGCATGTGAACCGCAGGCGTGATACTGTGATTTATGCAAACCCAAATATGTGTACCTGTATATAACAAAAGAAAAAGAAAAATTCCGTTGATGGTGGGCTATCCATACTGTAATGTTAATGGCCACGTGCACCAGCGACGTGCCCATCATTATTGGTTGAGGCAACCACAACCCATGAAGCCAAACAGAAGATAAAGTGACCAAGAATATAACAAATGTTTAGAGAAGTAAGAAATGAAAATAGAAATGAAATCTAGGGGCCCAGCCGGGATTTCTGGCTCCTTTATCAATACCCGAGTTCTTTTTTCATGTATACTAGAACAACTCACGAACTCGTGATTGCCGCATTCACTATCTAAACTGTCTGGCGAGCATGTTGCTCGGCTTGGATTAGCTTAGCTGAGCTTAGCATCGGGACGAACTAATTACGGATCCGCATATATGTACTGCTTTGTAACTGTGTACATATGGGATGCAAGGGGATTTTCCCTTATTTGCAAGAGGTTGCTCTAACCTAACCTAGGTAGGTTTCGGCAAGTGGAACCAGCCTGCCTGGGACCTTGACCCACTTGACCCAGACCCTGACCGTGACGAACAGGGGGAAATAATGATCGGGGAGTAGCTTCCGCATGCAACGATTCTGTCCATGTGGTTTTCTTCTGCTGAATTCCCGACGCAGTGTTTGATGTCCACGAGGACGTCGTTGCCCGGTCTCTACTCTACGCGCATATAAACGCAACACGTTCGCACTCGAAGCGGCCGACCGTGGAGGGGCACCTAGACTGCTAGACATGCGCCTTCCAAAGTAATCCCAAACTACAGGCTGAGGCTACCGCCTTGAGAGCCGAAAGCTTTCAGAACCACTTGGAATGCCATGATCCGGTCTCGATGAAGGAGCCAAGCGTCAAGATGTTCTTGTCTAGTATTCTCGGCGCTTCCGGGCGTGGTGGCTCTGACAAGTCCAGAGCCCGGAACCAGCAAACGACCCCAGAGGTGTCGCCGTCACGCCGACCACGAAGCCCAGATCCAGCGTCCGTAGTCTACATATCCGACGAGTCGCAACTGCAGCCAGTGAATCCTCTGCCGAATGAAACATTAGATTTGAATGCCAGCCTGCAGATACTCGCCGCTGTGTTTCCGGACGTGCAGATTGAGGTCTTCCGGGAAATGCTGCTGAGCTTTTCCGAAGAGTCAAGAGTTGCCGTCGTTGCCGACGCCATGCTGAAGAATCCGACCCGATGGCTCAAAGGACGAAGGAGACTCCTCGCTGAGGGGAAACAGGTTCCGGGCCCTGCGCTGGAGCGTCTAGTTCCCCGAAACGAAGCCTTCCGAGGGGACGAGTACCGAAACGCAGTCCGCGCTTTAGCCCTGTCCGAATTCAAGGGTTTGTCTCGATCTTCCATCGAAGCTGTGCTCTCAGAGTCGAATTATTCTTATCTCGATGCACGACCCACCTTGGTTGACATTTCGTCCAAGTCCTGGAAGTTCACATTTCAAGCCATCTTCTTCCGGCGCAAGCCTGTGACGAGCGGCGAGGCGAAGCACCATCCACTGGTCGTTTGGAAATCCACAGGACATGGCTCAATCATACCAACCATCAAGTCCACTAGCAACCCCGAACTCGACCGAGAGTTGTTCGAAGAGCTCATCGTACCGTTGCAGAGAATGGAAGCGGCTGCGAGGGCGGACCATGACTATGACTTGGCCGTCAAACTACACACCGAGGAAGCCGAAGCATGCGAAGCCACATATGAGTGTACATGTTGCTACACGGATGTTACATTTGAGGAGATCACCACATGCAACAGTCACGAACACATGGTTTGCTTCAGATGCGTCCAACATTCCATCACAGAAGCCGTATTCGGACAAGGATGGATGAGAAACATCGACAAAGACACAGGAACCCTTCGGTGTCCAGCCGTGTCTTCTGATGAATGCAAAGGCTGCATTTCGTCTGAACACATTTACCGTGCTATGCAATCACAGAAAAGTGGTGCCGAAATTCTCCATAAGATGGACCAACGGCTTGCCGAGCACGACTTGATTGCGAGCAATCTGCCCCTTATTCGGTGCCCCTTCTGCAACTATGCTGAAGTGGACGAACTATATGTGCCGACGAACAAGCGAACGTTGAGGCTTCGGGCTCGCAACATCCCAAATCTCATCCTAATATTCATCTGCTCCATGATTTCTCCACTTTCAATCCCTCTTGTCTTTTCCGCATTCGCATTTTTGGTTCTATTGTGCAATGGGGTGTTCCGGAACTGGGTCACGTCCCGTTTTCGTGCAGCTGTTTCGCGCCATCAAAGACGGCGTCTAGGCTTGAGGTTCGCCTGCCGGAATCCCTCTTGCGGCCGTTCTTCATGTATGTCCTGTTCAAAAGCGTGGGTTGACATCCATGTATGCCACGAGTCTAGTCTCGTCGCGTTGCGTACACAGGTCGAGCAAGCCATGTCCATGGCTGTCAAGCGTGTCTGTCCACGATGCAACACAAGCTTCGTCAAGTCAGCCGGCTGCAACAAGCTAACTTGCCCTTGCGGCTACAAGATGTGCTACGTCTGCCGCAAGGACATCAGCTTGAGCACCGAGGGGTACCAACATTTTTGTCAGCACTTCCGTCCCGAAGGAGATGGAAGACGCTGCAGGGAGTGTGCCAAGTGCAACCTGTGGGAAGCAGAAGACACGGAGGCTATCCTGAAGGAGGCACGTGTCGAGGCCGAGAAGAAATGGCGCGAAACCGAGAGAAGAGAGTTATCAGGAGCCGAAAAGGCGTATCTGGAGACCGGCATTGCAAGCACACAGGATGATGTCGTGACGCGGATACTTGCCAACGGCAGTAAAGTGCCTAGCATGGAGGATATTTCCGACGGAATTATTGAAGCGCTATTTTTCATTGGTACGTAAGGGAGGATCAGACATACCCGCACTGGTCATTTGGTTTTGCTGCATTTTCTGTTCGGTTGGTTGGTTGGAGAGTGTAAGAAGCTAGCTGGGAGCACCGAAAAGCGAATGATACCGGAGAGGATAGAAATTGGTTCATTGGCGTTCAGGCACGGGACATGGGGACTCTCATTGGGCATGGTATTGGCTGCACGGCAAACGGCACTGGATGGCGCCTCTCATGCTATACCCTCTACACTATATTAGTTGTTTGCGAGGTATTTTGAACTTGTAGGATTTGCAAAGTTAATCATAATTCAGTACATCAAACTCTTGGGTCTGTTGGCCATTGAACTTTCGCCCTACTCGTATTCATACAATAGCAACCGTGCCACACCTGATCGCATCGTGTCGCATCTTAATTCGTCAAACCAGGTGTCCCCCCCCCCCCCCCCCCCCTACAGTAGATTAGACAAGCTCGACAGCGGCACCCGAGATGGCAGGCTTGCCAGTCTCCTTTACCTTGGTCTGGAAGATGACCTTCTTTCCATCCTTCCACATCTCGGTGACCAAGGTCTCACCAGGCAGGACCGTTCCGGCGAAGCGAACCTTGATGTTCTTGTACGGGCCAAACTTTTCGTAGACGGCCTTGCCAGCAATACCCATGAAGCACAGCCCGTGCAGGATGGGACGCTTGAACCCGCCCAGCTTGGCAAAGTTGGGGTCGACGTGCAGAGGGTTGTAGTCACCACTCAGACGGTAGATGGCAGCCTGCTCCTCGGTGGTCTTCTCCTCGACCACGACGTCAGGCATGCGCTGGGGCGGGACGTTGGCGGCCGTGGCGGCGCCGCGGTCCTGGGGCTTCTTGGGCCCGCCGAAGCCCCCCGAGCCGCGCAGGAAGACGGTCGACTCGTTGTAGAAGATCTCCTCTCCCGTCTCGGCGTTGACGGTGCTCACACCGCTCTTGAGGATGGCAGCTGAGCCCTTGTCGACGACCTCGATCAACTTGGCGGAGCTCTTTGTCCTGGCAGAAGTCGGGATGGGGTATTTCTTGATCTCGAGGTACTGCTCACCGTGAAGCAGCATCATGGGGTTGAAGTTGGGCACAACCTCATCCATACTGTATGGTGTCTCGACATCGAAGGCGGGGATGACACCGAAGGTCGGGAGGACTTGGAAATCGTCGTGGCCCTCAAAGACGTAAGCGAGGTCGGTTCTCTTGGCACCGACACCGAGGTTGTAGAGCATGGAGTCTCGATCGGTATACGTGAATTCAGTTTCAGGCGACTGGGCAGATTGTGCCTTGGCAATAGCTTGGAGATACTGGCTGTCACCTGAAGAAGCGGGAGCGGATGACGGTGGCGACTTGGACTTCTAATTTACAATCATTGTCAACACAAGCCATTCTACACTAGACTTTGGATATATACAGTTGAGCTAGGGGGCAAAGATAATTGGAAGTTCATACCTTGCCAGCCCCGCTCTTGTTCTCCATGTTTGCCATGATCTTCTGGATCGAGTCTGCAGCCTTCTCGGGGTGGTCTGCCCTGCCGTCTTCAAAGTCAATGACCTTGCTCCATTGCTCAAGGACGGCTTCGGGAGTCAACGGCACATCAACAGGGAAAGCGGCACCACCGGCGCGCTGCCACCTCGTCTGGCCGGCCCAACCACTGCCAACTTCGTAAAGACCCCCAGTTGGGTTCTTGGGTCCCTTCTCGGCGGACAGAGCCAACACAAGAGGCGCTATGTAATCCGGCTTGAACGCCTGGACCATCTCTTCCGGCATGATCGTCTTGGTCATGGCAGTGCCAGCGTTGGGTGCAATGGTGTTGACGTAAATGTTATATTTGTAACCTTCGAGGGCGAGTGCTCTGGAGAAACCAAGTATACCGCATTTCTGTTTGTGTCAGCAAGAGAAGAGAAAGAAGAGAAGAAGAAAAAAAGGGAAAGAAGGGGGGGGAGGAAAAAGAAAGAACAAGTTCCATCTTTGAGTGCAGATATAAACTTACGGCGGCGGCATAGTTGGACTGGCCAAAGTTACCATAGATACCACTGGTAGATGTTGTGTTTACAATACGGCCAAACTTCTGCTTCAACATGATAGGCCATGCGGCCTTGGTGACCTTGTAGGTACCACGTAAATGTACATTCAAGACGGGGTCCCAAAGGTTGTCGTCCATGTTGGTAAAAGCCTTGTCGCGTAGGATACCGGCATTGTTGATAATGATATCAATGCGACCGAATGCATCCATAGCCGCCTTTACGACAGTCTCGCCGTCCTCGGCGGACGCCTTGACGCCTACTGCCTTACCTCCCAGCTTCTTGATCTCCTCGACCACAGTGTCAGGGTTTGCGAGATCGTTGACAACAACTGATGCACCGGCCTTGGCGAATGCGAGAGAGTATGCGCGACCGATACCTGCACCGCCACCAGTGACCAGGGCAACGCGGCCCTTGAAGTCGACTTTCTCACCCTGCTCACTGGGGCCCATCTTCATGGACTCCTCGAGAAGAGTCATGAAGTCATTGGGTCCAGATGGGTATTGTGGGTTTGAGAAATCGGTCACCTTGCTCCATTGCTTCAGGACGGCACCAGGAGTGTAGCTGTCGTCGGCCTTCAACAAAAGACCACTGGATCTCTCCCACCGGAGCTTGGCAATGTGGCCACCGCCGACCTCGAAAATGGAGCCGTTCTCGGTGGTGTTGGTCTTGTGGACCAAGACGGCGACGAGCGGCACAACCCACTCGGGCCTCAAGTTCTCAAGCACATCCGGAGGCATGACAGTTTCAGTCATGCGACTCGCTGCGATGGGTGCAATGACATTTGAGATGATGTTGTACTTTGCGCCCTCCTTGGCCAGCGTCTCTGTGAAGCCGACTTGCGCCAGCTTTGCCGCCGAGTAGTTGCACTGGCCGAAGCTGCCGAAGAGACCAGCAGCAGATGCGGTGTTGATGACTCGTCCGTACTTTTGCTTGCGGAAGTGCGGCCATGCAGCACGGGCGCACTTGTAGGCTCCCTTGACGTGAACCTTCATGATCAAATCCCAGTCATTGTCGCTCATATTCTTGAAGCTGACGTCCCGAAGGATGCCGGCATTGTTGATTAAAATATCGATCCGGCCGAAGGTCTTGACGGCGGTTTCGATGATCTTGTCGCCATTCTCGACACTGTCGTAGTTGGCGACGGCCTGGCCGCCGGCCTTCTTGATCTCGTCAACGACTACATCGGCAGCCTGCCAAACCAGCCCTGTTAGCATTGGACAATTACTTGGGGCAGTGCGCTGCTAGCTGGCGGGAGGGAATGCCATACCTTTGTCGAGTTACCCTCTCCCTTGAAAGAGCCACCAAGATCGTTGACGACGACCTTGGCTCCTCTTGAACCAAAGAAGGTAGCGTATGCCTTACCCAGACCACCACCGGCGCCGGTGACGACGACGACTTGGTCGTCATAGCGTAGCTGTTCCGCCATTGTGTGAAGCCGTGGAATGTGGGTGAACGAAACAACAAAAGGCTAGGGGGAAATGGATGTAGGTTCTTTCACAATGGGATGATGCGGACAGTGAGGACGGACAGGACGTAGTTTATGGTTGAGGATGAACTTAAAAGGCATTGTTTGTCTACGCACCCTGCTGATCTCCGACGCAGCTTGCCGTCTTCGAGGTGCCCCAGATATGACCTCGGGTGCCGAGGCAGTTGGTTAGCCAGCGGGTTAGCCAGCGCGCAACATCAGCGCCTCCATTGCCGAGGGGGACGCTAGGCCGGATCCGTCCTCGTTCGTTCTGGGGGACGGGACGGGGACGCGATGGGATGCGATGGGATGCGAATGCCTTTCTCACATGCCATTCCCCAAGGCCACTCCCACCTCTCACCTCTCACCTCTCACTCAGCGCCAGAACCCCAGATCAGACAACCCCCCCCCCCCCCCCATGAATGAGGTCATGTGCATCAAGACTCCCCAAGTCCACTAACCTCTAGGCTGGAGCAAGATCCTTCAGGTATTCCATTCCTGCAATCACATGTTCAGACCCTAGCATCCGTGCTTGGTGCTAGACTAGGTTCGTCTACACACTGTAGGTCAGCCTTTCTGCAGTAGCATGGACTCAACTCAACATAACTACACACCACTGTGCATATTCCATTGATAGAAACGATGGAGCAAACTGTACTTGGTACACACTGGCGGCAATGGCCACGGTCGGGAAACCCGTCGATGCAGAGGTAGTATTGTATTGGCATTTGCCGAACGGGTTGATGCAACCATATTTGCCAAAACGCACCGCGAATGAATGGCTACCGCGAAAAGTGCCCGCCCTGCAGTTGCAAATTACTGGCAAGGTAAGTTACCACCGATGTCGTTTGCATTCTAGTCTAGACTGAGTTCAGCCGGGCGAGCCACAGCCGCTTGGACTGTGTAGATAGTCGCTATCAGGCACCCCGCAGTTCCCCCACAGTGGCTGTTTCTGCAAATAGACAACCATCTCCGTCCGAACTGGCCGAGTCACCGCACCGTAGTTTTTCATCGGCATGAAATGAGACTAGGTAAAGAAGTATCACTCAGCTACCGCCCAAAGGACAACATATCAGGTACATATATATATATATATCTATACCGTTGACCCCGGCGTGTAAGGGCTTCTTGTCGCAAACTCGGGCTTGTCGTCCTGGCAGGTTAGGACGCTCAGATCGAAACGCTGTACTGTAGAACAAGGTAGTCCCGGTCTAATGAAAGTGCGGATTACAGTGAACCGGGCCTTGATACCAGCGGTCGAATCCCTATTCAAGAAGCAACTGGAGTCCACCCCTGAAATGTCCTTCACCACACTATAGAAAAACGCATTCTAAATTGTCAAGTGCGATTGTCGAAAGAAAGAAGAAGAAGAAGAAGAAGAAGAAAATAACACATCCAAAATGTCTCACATAATTGACGACAAATCTCCCATCTGCATACCCTTCATCCTTGAACGTCTGCACCGGCACCAAGCCAGCAATTCAGAAAAACCATTCATAATCGGTCTCAACGGCGTGCAAGGAGTCGGCAAGACGACGCTCGTCAAGGCACTTGCCTCGACTTTGCGGGAAAAGGAGGCACTGCAGACATTAGTCGTCAGCATCGATGACTTCTACCTGAAGCATGAGGACCAGGTCGCGCTGGCCGAGTCCCACCCGGACAACGTGCTGGTATCATGCAGGGGCGAGCCTGGTAAACTGGCGGCCCTACATTCATTCGTATGCGACCCGTCCTGACGTGGATACAGGAACACATGACATGCTCCTGGCCGATGACTTCTTCTCCGCAATTGTAGAAGGGAGGCCGGCCAAGATCCCGCAGTACGACAAATCCGCTTTCGCGGGGCAGGGCGACAGAGGCCCGGAATCAGCATGGGAGCCTGTCAATCAGACAGGCCAGCCCAAAGTCCAAGTCGTGATATTCGAGGGCTGGTGCGTCGGCTTCAGGCCCCTTTCCTCCGGAGAGGTCAAGGCAAAGTGGGAGGCTCCTAGCAGGACGTTGAACTTGCACAGACTCGAGCATCTGCTGTTCGTGAATGAGCGGCTGAGGGCGTATGATCCGATAACGGAGTTGATTGACGCTTTCATCCATATTGATGCCGAGGACACACAGTATGTCTATGATTGGCGGCGCGAGCAGGAAGTCAAGCTTCGGGCAGAGAAAGGTACGGGCATGACAGATGAGCAGGTCGTCAGGTTCGTGGATGCTTACTATCCTGCTTACGAGCTATTCTCAGACAGATTGAGGCAGGGCGTGCTCACAGGCAAGTCGGGGCGCCAACTGAGGCTCGTGGTTGGTAAAGACAGGAAAGTGAAGCAAAATATAATTATTTGAGACTGATGAGAGCAGACAAACCTGCTCCCGTCTATATAAGCTATACGAAACAATCATACCGAAAGGCCCACACGAAATGAGCAAAATGATGCTATGGAGCCAATACCAAACTCCAGTTGATGCGATCGTCCATGTCGTGATTTTCATAATTGGTCGTAAGTCGTTCATTTTCTGATGTCCTCGATGTGCCAACCAAGGAAAAAAAGAAAAGAAAAAGCATTATGCTTTTTCTGTCAACTACTATCACAATGCCAAACCGTGGGCGGATATGCACAACTAAAAGTACACCTTGATTTCACTCCAGCTCCTTATTCTTCATCATGACCTGGCCCTCCTTCCTAAAATCGTCCAGGGTTTGGTCGATTCCGCGCATCTTTTTCTCGACAGCATCCTCTCGTTCGGCAATCTCTCTCTCAAAATCGTCCACACGCTTTCTTTTATCCTTGCGAGCATCTTTGAGTCTATTCATGATATCTCCAAACTGCTCCAGGAACCAGTCACCAGAGTCATCCCAGTCTCTAACTGGCATATTTGTGAAGAAGCTTGTTTGAGCTCCTGCATCTTTGTGAAGAAAATGGTGCAACTTCTCGGGCAGAGTACCTTGGAGCGGGCGCTGGAGAGAATTGGATTCTGCCTGAGCAGGGTCAAAGTCAAAGTCTTGGTCTTTCAGTTCGGCGTAGTTCATGGCGGCAAGTGCACTGTCGTCGTAGTCAAGGTCGAATGATCGCTTCTTGAGGTTCGAATATGATGGGCGCTGTTCAGGTGGCTGGCGTTTTTCAACCGATGGGCGTTTCTCGATAGACTGACGTTTTTCGACTGGTTGCCGTTTCTCAATTGAATGGCGCTTTTCTGGCTCGGGCCGGGGCATAGAGCTCTCACGCAGGCTATTGCCACGTCTGATGACAGTCGTCTCCTCTGTGAACAATTGGCGGTTAACCGGCTGGGCTGACTTGACTGCTGGCTTTGGAGTGGGCTGATCGTCAACGCTTTCGACGTCGACCTCGGTTTCTGGAAGATCTTGTAGGTCTTGACGGCTAGTGATGGGCGTGTCAAGGTTCTCGAAGACAGTTGTGCGTTGAGTGTCACGGACACCAGGCACTCTTAAATGACCACGACCATCACGTGCTGCATAGTCCATCACATCATCAGGTGTCTGATATGTCTTCTCAGGGGGTGAAGACGGCTCTTCGGTGGCGCTGGGATACGTGGTTCTCTCTGCAAAGGTTTCACGTTTAGTAGTCCTAAGAGGGAGTCTCCCTCCACGGTGATTGAGTGTACCCGGCGGCGTCTTTTCAAGGTCAGGTTGATAACGTGGCTCCTCTACGTAGTCGTCAGACTCCTGACCGAAACCTTTGGATGTAGACTTGGACCTGAATTCAGGCGTCGAGGACCTTCGCGCAGCCGGGTTACTCCCTAATACATCGATGAGCCCATTCTCGCCTATTATGAAAGGAGGGCGATCTCTGTCAGAGTCTCTCTTGGATTGTTGACGTGTCATGCTTCTTGGCTTGAAGGCAGTATCTAGATAGGGCATACGAGACTGGGTCGGCAATCTAAGGTCAGCATTACTAGCAGTTTCACTCAAGGTTGAACCCTCTATAGTAGAGCCTTCCCAGAAAGGACCCTGGCCCTGACTTTGGACCTGTCGGTGCATGTTCTGCAGCGGCTCTGTCGACGCTCCTCGGTTACGCGGGGCATGCAAGGAGGCTTCTCTGATATGACTGAGCTGATGGTTAGGACGCGCAGAGACGGGTCGGCTCAGTGCAGGGGGTAGGCGAGCAGCAGCTGCCCCTGCAGCTCTCGAGTTGGCGTTGGCATTGATGATAGGCATACGCGACTGAGGTTGAGTAGTCCTTGGTGGCGAGTTTGCAGGAGCAGGAGCTGGAATTGGATGGGCTGGATTTGGTTGATGGTGGAGGACGTGGCCCTTCTGGGGGCTGCCAGAGTCATCTTGAGCGAAGCCTTGATTTACACCAGGTGCCGCCTTGGCGTTCTGGCCATTGTTCAGAACCCAGGCCTGCATTTTGGTTTTGGAGTTGTGTAAGAATTGGGGTGCCATTGGAATGGCAATTGCTTTGCTGGCGTCAGTTCCTGGGGCGCATTGGAAGGCCAGCCTGTCTTTGTTTATTGTGAATTTCAGAGTTCAGGCGACAACGCGCGGTACGGTACGTGAAGACCGACGTGTGTCAATTGCGAAGACCGGCCACAAGCAGGCGGGCGAACAAGGCAGCCGGGTTATGTATTATGCTGCCATCCTGCCCAATGGCGGACCTTGGTATTGGGTCGCAACAGTTCCGTTCAGTTATGGCCTGAAATGCACCCAGAGACCATCCAATTATTGAAGGGTTGCGACATTGGCAGCGTGACTGGAGATAAGTTGTTCGGCAGGAAAGCCTCGAACTAGACACCGCGCAGTCATGTGACGATGCGCATGGGCCCGATTGCTCTGTCCCCATCCTCAACCCACACAGATTCCCCAACCACATTCGCCGCCTTACCTTTGGGCCGTCTAGACTTAGACGCATGCCAGATGAGCTGTCCCGCGTCCCCATCCACTATGAACAGCCAGTCAAAACCATGGATGCAATTGTCCGACCTAGAGCTTCTGAGGATTTCAAGTGCTCGAATCACAATTGCAGGTACCCGCGACTAGTGACCGTTGCGCTCGTGTGCGTTGGACCCTCTGTTCAGCCTATGTGTGTGTGGGGGGTATAAGATTATATTGGACAGAGGGATCGAAATCCCGGTTGAGCCCTTATTCGATCAGTAGTCAGTCGGTTGGTCTCGTTGTTCCCTGCGGTAGATGGCTTTGTGATCCCAGGATCGTGATTGGAATTCGTTTCATTCATGTCACTGTTCAGATTATCGGGCAGCGTTCGGACTTCGCGGAACGTTCAAAGAAGGTATACTTCCACCGCTCTTTGTCTTCCAAAATCAGCCAACTGGCTTTCATCTGGACCTCTTCTCATGTATGCCATTTCAAACGCAATGGTACCCAACAGTCGTGATTCCATGTGTATGCCTAGACAAGCCGTACCAATACTTGAGGTCGTCTGCGTCTATCCCATCCTGTGTTGCAACCCAATTGCTATTTGAGCCATCACCAGTATCATGCTCTTAAATAGACAAAGGCAAATCCAGCTATTTCGTGGTGCTAGACCACGCCTGTTCATTCCAGGTTGTTGCATGATCTTCCACGATAAAGACAGCTACAACGACTGTCCGTCTGGCTATCTCTAGCTCGTGCAGAATATACCCAAATCGGGATTGCATTACGGGATAGCACAACTGTGGCACTAGACATTCACTCGATGAGGTCTTGGGCAGACTCCACTGCTCGAAGAGCTATCCAGCGTTTTGAGGCTCTTAATCACCTGAGTCATCATATGATATGTTTTTCGCAAAAGCCATTGTAACACAGCACGGTATGCTTCCCATACGGCTTTGAGAATTACAAACTTGACAATAATATCAAAGGCAGCCGCTGCAAGAAATAAACAACACACAGACACATGTACATTGACTGTTCCGTCAATAACCATGCGACCTCGAATGACCGGACTATATTGACAACGTAGTCCCATGCCACTTTATGTTGCACGCCTGACACAGCTTGTAGTACTGGTCAGCAAGGGTATAAGTCATGGGGGGGTTTTTTTTTTTGGATCACAATAGGAAATGATGCTTTTCTGTGTTTATACTCGTCAAATTGCCCTGAAGAGCGTTGAAATCATTCTGTTATGACGGTTCTGCGTCATACTTAACGATTGTCATACTCTTTTGGTATGATGACACCAATAGTGTGCACATCTCTGATGCCAGACAGCGCTGTTGCCCAACTCATGGTATCAAGAGTTGATTCCGTTGTGCTGATCAGAGACTGGTTTCTGGGAGGCTCAACTATATCTAAAACTCGCCGACTATCTCTTTTGGTTTTCATCCATGTTTCAGGCTTTCGACTAAACATCGCATCAAACGTCAAGGCGAGTCGAGGCCAAGAAAGCATAGGGGGGCCATGGTTCGGTAATAAAACCATTGTCAATGGATCGCGGAGTCATGACCATAGTTGATGGGCCCGGCGGTGGTGGAACACCCGCCATTTCTTAATCATACAAGTTAGTCCAGCTCTAGGTGAATGTAGTGTTTCAAACCCAAACTCAATTGCTCCAGTGTTGACTAAAAGGGCCTACTGGTCTCCTTTCTTCTTGTTGGGAATGCGAATACCATTGGTGTAGACATCGCTATTCTTGCCTTTGCGCTTTCCGATTTTGAAACCAATATGCTTCCAGGTCTTTACAGATATCTGCGCATCGTTCTCGAGGAAATTCCAGGCCTTGAACTTAACCTCATACTACGCTTTACTGTGCTACTCGTTAGAAATGCATATATACTCTGAGTATGTTACACTCACATTGCCCGGAATCCATCATCTTCATGCGTAGGCGAACATCCTTTAGCGCCATGGATTGCTGTACGTAGAGCTGGTGGATTCGAGGCTTTTGTGCCTCCCTTTCTGCCCGAGTTGGCATATTGCCTGTGGTACAGTAGAGCCTGTCGTTTCGGAGCACGAATTGTTTTAGTAGCTTATGTTGAAGACTCAAGAGTACCACTCAGTGACCTCTTGGGATGCGGACGAAGAAATCTCTGAGTAAGTCTAGGAGCCTGAAATATATTATATTTATCTTGGAAAGAGAACTGACAACAGCTGCAAGCCAGCTTGTGATCGCCTGTGATTGGCCGTCCCCGGAATCTGCTTCGCCCCCTGCGCTCGACACAGCCCGCACGCCCATGTCTTGCGTGGTTGCATCATCTCATGCGATGAGATTGATGGATGGGTCAATCTCTCAATCTGGAGGCTGTATATGCCTTGTCACGCGTTGCAGTCTTTTCGTCTTCACTTCGGCCACTATTCTAGTATACAAGACTGTTTCACTTCTTGAGGCAGTTGTATTAAGGCAAGCAAGACCCAGTTCTAGGAAAATTAGCCATCTTTCTTTGCAGTTCGATGTTCAGATCAATCATAGACCCGAAGTATATATTACAAAAGCGTAGACAATAGTTGGCTCATAACACTCCTCTCACACCGCAAACGTCATGACGTTCTCGAACGAGGGTATAATTGCTATAATCGGGGTGACTGTGTCTTTGCCATCTGTTTTTGTAATTATCAGCAGGCATTTACAGCGTCGCCGGCATGATAACTGGGCTCGATTTCGCCGAACACGACCAAGTGAGTACGAAAGATTTTAAAAACAAGATATCATCGCATCGCAGCAGGCTGTAGTTTTTTAGACGAGCCATTCAGTATTCTAGACACCGCATGACTGATCTTACTCTCTAGGAGTTGGAACGTTTAGTGTGCTCATACCCCGGCCGGTTGATGGCAGTTTCGAACTGATGTACCTTGAAGAAGGACGCCTGTGCTATAGTATGAATCTCATTCGTGCAGGTTCTTTTCAGTCAAACACAAACACCGTCACACCACTTAGCTGAGACTAGGAAAGTGATAAATCATGATGCTGGCCTAGAACTCCTCCATTACCTCCAATTGATCCGCCAAAGCCTTTTCACAGCCTTGCGGACTACGACATGGAGGATATTCTCAAACTTAAAGGTGCCTTTGACGAGAACGTATATGGTTAAATAAAATTGGTGCCCGACATGAACATGTATCCAAAGTAATACTTAATTTCACCAGACGCCATGCTAAGCAATACTCTTCATATGACATACACTGTAGACGGTTTTTACACCATGATCCTTCTTAGACCTTCTGTACCGCCTAGTATGCGCCGTCCCGTGACGGCGCACCTTCCCTCGCCGCTTTCCCATTTTCCTGTCCTGTCCTCCATGAAAGATTCTTGTCTTGGATGGGACCCCTCTACCCATCTATGTATACATGAATAGCAATACACGACACCGGTCTGGCATGCTGTGGCTGTTTGAATCTCGTTGTCACATATCGGGCATAAATCTGACTCCTTGGGGGGTAGGACTGTATATATCGGAAGCAGCGAAGGTGTAGCAATCGGCGCGCTATCTACGTCACCCTCCCTTGCATCATTGTCAACCTTCGGCTTGTCATCGGCGTCCGCGGCTTTCTTTGGCGACCTTGAGCCTGATGCTGGCAGTCCACTGACTACTGGAGGCGGCAACTCTAGATTTTCTGCCGCCTTTCGGGTTAGTTGCTTTGCAAAATCGCTCGCATACCACCACTCCAGAAACTTGAGCGCAAAGATGCTCATGGGCAGCACCATGCTCAAGCTGCCCAATATTCTCGGCCCTAGAGTCCTGGGATGGAACATGCTCAAACCAGCCGCCGGCAACTGCCCGGGCCTTGGTTTGTCCAGCTCTTCCAGGGCTTTGTAGTCTGCGCCATTCATCCGCCGCACTCTTGTGCCGATCAGCCACATCAGCGGACTGTGGTATTTCGACCCGTCAAACAAATAAGCCAGGTTGAAGGCCAGGACTGCGAAGCAGTATCCCGCATGCACACTCGGGTACACGTTTCTTATAAACCACTTGTAGTAATAGAGTATTCTTTGCTTGACTGTCGGGTTCGCAGGCATACGCGTGTAGTTTGCGCCCAGCAAGGCTCTCGGCGCCTCGATCTCGTGCGACTCGTCCAGCCTCCGCTTCAGGTAGGGAATGCCGATTATCACGGCCAGGTTCTTCCAGATATCCGCGTTAGCCAGCTTCAGGGTGTCCCTGACGATGCCGGAGGCGGCTGTGGAGGCGCGCGGGATCTCGGCGGCGAGGGCCTTTTCGCGCTTGAGCCCGTAGAAATTCTCAGTGAATGAGCCGCCGCGAGTGCGCAGGTAATGGCGCTCCACGAGGAGCATGGCGAGTGCGTAGAGTTCATCGAAGGAGTTGAGCGCGCGCAGCAGATAGCGCGGATATCTCTGCGTCAAAACGGTCAAGAGGTATCGCAGAGTGGGAGGCAGTAGCGTGTTCAGTTGCTGCTCGGAAAGGATCTCGAAGAGTGAAGGCTTCTGGTCGTCGAAAGTGCCCCGGAGGGCGGTGACGAACTCCATGGTCGCTGCAGGGGCATGTAAAGCTTCGAATTAGCTTGTCGGGGTGAGCCGAAGTGATTGCGCTGCCTCATAAGCATGGCATGGCGATGATATGGTAACGGAGCTGTGGAACGTGCCGTGACGTTTCGTTGGGTGGGCATATAAGAGAGAGTGTGTGAGAGAGAGCGCGAGAGTGAGAGATAGAGAGAGAGCAGAGCCTGGAGTTTATGCCGAGGCTCGCTAACGCTGCGGGCGCCGGTGCCGGTGCCGGTGCTGGAATTGAGGTCAGCGGCACGCTACATCCCGTTGACGTACACCAACCAATGACTTATTCAATTGGAGCTGTTTAAAGGCTACATATATCCCATATACATGTACATGCTGCCCAATAAAGTTGACAAGATCATCAACAGAACATGGATGTTATATGTTGATGCGTCTGTCTTGTTCATGAGCTTGTTGGTATACGATAATGCAATGGTACTTCTTGTGTCTAACGCCCGACAATGCTTCCCTGTGAAACAAATGCTACTGTGAGCAGTGTATTACCTACTAGGTTAGTAAGTAGGTTGATTTGACAGAAGCGCAAGGTTAGCCTTCTGTCGCACACCTTCCAATGCAAATGACGACCCAAGGCCAGGGCCAAAGGCTTTGAAGGCTGTATAGCAGAAAAGCCACAACATCGTACTTGATTCTAGCGGCTCTGTTCTTGCGAGGATAGCCACACAAGCAACGTTTATGTGCATCTTCCCAGACTGTGTAGCCAGAAGATAATAGACAGCATGCCGACCTAGCGCCAGGAAGGAGCTGTAAGTACGGTATGTACAGTCCTATGCAAGCAGGCCGCGGCACGTCGCAAACCCCCGGTCACTCGACAGATTGCGGGGAGGGGCCAGACGTTGTTGCTATGTATGCATGTGCGCCGGTACGATCTACGGGATCATTATGGTACAAGTAGTGTACTAACGTATATAGTACACTTACAGGGGACTTCCCGCTCTGCACCTCCCCACTAACGGACCCTGCGCACGCCTGGGCTCAACATCATACGTCAGCCTCGACGCGTTGCGAAACGCACTCCGTGGCTTTTTCGCTTTATCGCTTTATCGCTTTTTCGATAACTGCGGCAGGTAAGAGTAGCCGGTGACTTGAATTAAGTCCAACAACACACCTTGGCCTTGAAGAGCGAGAGAAAGAGAGAGAGAGAGAGAGAGAGAGAGAGGAAGCCAATTGACCCATTGTCCGCGAGATAACCTCTCTAAAGGCTCCGAAAGCTGGTCCCTCGATTACATATTTCCGTGTCGAGGAAATAGCTGTCTGCCTCCCTGCTGTACAGTAGTAGCTCAATTGAGTTCCGCATTTCCCTCTCCCCCCTACAAAACCGGTCCATGAGCCTGTAACTTGGCTGAGCGCCCGCCGAGCCATTGCCTGCTCACTTGCAACAATGGAAGCACTTCTGCATTGGATCAGGGAGACACCCAACGATGTATTAGGGAGGATTGGAGCTGCCGCAGCCCTGGTTCTATTCTTTGCCGTAAGACATACTATTTACCCCCGCCTCACCCGCAATGCGCACCCACCCACATACACGATTATACTGACCTGACTCCTGGTTGCAGCTCTACGCCGGCCTTCATCTGGTCGCCCCCAAGCCTCGGTCCGTCCTGTCCCGCGAGAGGCACTACAAGACGACAACCGGCGACGGCAAATGGATCCTCAAGAAGCTTCCGTGCTGGCATGATCGCTGGCTTGCGGAGCGTCACGCCAGCGAGACCCGTACCAACAATCACGTCCACATCCCCGACACGGGCGCGATTGAGCCTGCTTCGCTGCGACTCAGCGTCGTAATCCCTGCCTACAACGAGGAGAAGCGCATTCTCCCTGCCCTCGAGGAGGCCGTCAGGTACCTCGACGCCAAGTTTGGGAGAGAGCCACGGCCTGCCACCGCCGACGAGAAACCCATTCTCAGCCCGACCACCTCGACCCACCGGAGGATTAAGAACCCACCTCAGGCCGAGCTGGCCGGTTACGAGATCATCGTTGTCAACGACGGTTCCAGGGATAGAACCGAAGATGTCGTCCTCACCTTCTCCCAGGAGCACAACCTCCACGATGTCCTCCGCCTCGTCAATCTCGAGAAGAACCGCGGCAAAGGCGGTGCCGTGACTCACGGACTGCGACACGTTCGAGGCGAATATGTGCTCTTTGCAGATGCGGATGGTGCCTCCAAGTTCAGCGACCTGGGCAAACTGATCGAGGGCTGCGACGACGTCAAGGACGCCGGGGACCGTGGCGTTGCCATCGGCAGCAGAGGTCATCTGGTCGGCAGCGAGGCTGTAGTCCAGCGCTCGGCTCTGCGCAATTTCCTCATGCGCGGCTTTCATGTCGTCCTCATGATCTTGACGCCCCCGGCCACCTCGCGCATTCGGGACACGCAGTGTGGTTTCAAGCTCTTCTCGCGGGCCGCCTTGCCGCACATCGTGCCCTACATGCACGCCGAGGGCTGGATCTTTGACATTGAGATGCTGATGCTGGCCGAGTCGGCCCCGGCCGTGCCTGTGCTCGGCAGCGATGGTGCTGTTATTGGCAGCAGCCCTGGAATTAAGGTCGCCGAGGTCCCCATCGACTGGCATGAGGTGGACGGAAGCAAGCTGAACGTCATCCAAGACAGTATCCGCATGGCGCTAGGACTCGCCGTGCTGAGGGCAAGCTGGATGTTTGGCGTCTATAGACGGCGCTTGACATGAGTTGCCACTACATAAAGAGACGATGTCGTGGAGACAAATACCCCAGCCCACACGATAACGTGGCTATAGATCTGCTTTACACCCTGACCAAAAATAAAATAAAAAAGTTATTAAATACCTGCTTTAGATGTTGTCATGTACAACTATTTCTCTTCCATCACCAGATTCATATACGACCAACTATTGCTGGCTGTGTCAAGATGATATCATTACTATTAATCTACTTCAGGTCTATGCATGTGCCAGAATGCTAAATGCTCCCTGGTTTCTTTCCCAAGTATGTACATGTCAGTCCATATCCCGTTAATCACGTCGACCGAGTTGAGCTTTTTCTCGTCCATCTTATCACATCCAGACCCGATCTGGGCTGGGGGAAGGGGGGGGGGTATGCATAATCATACAAGTCGCTAATACGCCGTCGATGGCACGAAAGCCAGTTTTCAATGCTTCGAAATGCAAAAACGTCATCCTATCGTCTTTCACATGGAGGATCGGCACATCTAAAAGACCTCCTTGTACATAACAGGCAGGAATACTACGCAGGCCGTCCACAGCAGACGGATCGCGTTCACGAGCACCATGGGGACGTTCCACAATCCCGTGCTCTTGGCGTCGATCCAGATGGCCAGGAACGCGACGGCGAAAAAGTGGTATGCCAGCACCAGTGGTCTGTGGATCAGCCCTCCCATCAGGCCCATGGGAGATGACGTGATGCCCTTCTGGAAATACGCGAAGCAGCCACGCTGCAGCTTGGCGAGGTTGGGGTCCGCCGCGCTGAAGAGCGAGTATAGAGCTTGCGCCAGCACGTTGATGATGGAGGTCAGAGACTTGCGCCTCCAATGGAACGCATCCATGGCTCGCAGCACGGCGGACGAGTCGCCCAGGTTGGGAATCTTGGACGGGGCCAGCAGCTCGGAGAGGAGCACCACGTCGTTCAGCGCGACGGTCATGCCGCCGCCGGTAAGAGGATGTCGCATGTTCATGGCATCGCCTAGGACGAGAAGGCCAGGATGTGACTGCTTCGACGGCGGGAGCCATGAGTTTGGCATGGAGCGTGGGATTTTGGTATCTCTCTCTAGGGCGTCCTTGAAAGCAGGTTGGACTTGAGGTGGCAGCGAGGGGATGACTACGTTCTGGATATAGCCGCGCACGCCGCCGTTGGATGTGGACGCAGCAGGGCACTCTAATGGTACGTCAACGAGAGCGCGGGTTTCGTGCGTGCCAATTTGGTAGAGGAGAACTGGCGAGGCGGTGCCAAGAACAACGTGACCGAAGTTTGGCTGCGGGAGATTGGCGTCGATGAGTTCGAGGGCATAGAACTTGGACTTTACCACCGGTGTCCTTTCGATGTACTTCTTGCGGAAGATGGAGGCGTATCCGTCGGCGACGATGGTCAATTGACCGAAGAAGAAGTCGGGGACCTTCTCGCGTGTGGCGTGATCGACTGTGCGGGCCTCGACGCCGAGAATCTCCGAGTTGTGCTCGCCTTTTATGGTGGAAATGGCCTCGGTCTCTACCATGGTGATATTGGGATGCGCCTGACAGGTATCCCGCAGTTTTTGCACAAATCGTCCATGGTGAAAGCTGAAACCCTGTGGCCTGGAGTCCTTCTCTTCGGTGTGTGCTGAGCCGTTGGCACTTCCGTTCAGGGACCCATTCGCATGTCCACTTGCGGTTCCGTTTGCACCTCCCTTCAAGAGACCTTGAATCTGGGGGTATGGTATCACTACCTGGTCGCCATAGTATATAACGTCGAAGCCGTTGCAAGCGATGGAGTCGATGCCCTCGATACAGTGGCCGAGGCCGAGCTTCCTCAGGGCTTCGACGCCGCCAGGCTGCAATAGCTCACCGACGATGCGATCTGGTTGCCTCATCCACCTTTCGAGGAGCAGGACGCTGCGATCCTGCTGTGCGAGTGCATATGCAGCCGCGCAACCGAAGACACCTGCGCCGACAACGACGACGTCAGCTTCATGGTATCGCGATCTCCGCTCGGCGCGAGCATCTTGGGTTGTCGTTGTGGTAGTCATCGGAAAGTGTTTGCCTGTGAAAAGTCGAATCGTTTCTGGCAGACGATATAGAGGTGGAGGGGCGGCGGCGTTTAGGACGCTAGAGTGACGGCAAAGACAGTGAATGAGTGAGGGCAGGAATTGTGTTGAAGCGCCTCTGTGAATGTGTCTGGGAGCGACACGCCGGGGAAATATCAGAACAGAGTCCAGACAACCTTGCGGTGAGGAAATTAGACTATCAAAAAGTCGTTCGTGATGTCAGTCCCCAATGGCACCAGAAGACCCTGCATCAAGTCATAAATCGTCTGATCATGATCGAGCCATTTCAAGCCAATTCTTTTGATCGCGCCGCACCCACGGACTGGATTGATGGATTGGAACCCCCTAAATTACAGTGGGGCTCCCGGTACTCGCGCCCTGCCCGGCCATGCACATGCACTGACTCAAACCATCTCTCCATCGGCTTTGGAGCATGTGAAGACCACTCCGGCCAGCGTATTGTTGTGATGCCAGTAACCTAACCTAGTCCATACTTCCTTCCAGTCCTTGGGCATTGATGATTCCAGCCCAGCAGCACTACGACTGGTGCTCAGGAGGCGACTTGCGATACTTGCTTGCCTACAGCAGATCAAGAGGTTTCCAATGCTGAATACCAACGTTAAAACCAACTAACTTAACCCCGACAGTGACCTAGGTTAGAGCGGATCCGTGCTGCCCGTTGGATGACGCCTACACATTGACAGCCAGACCAAAACGGTGGATCTTGATTATGCCTAACTCAGCAAGGTATCTACTGTACGTAAGGTTACGTGTAGAATATATCCAGTGCCATAACAACCAACACCCAGTCCAGCAAAACGATGCATTGATATCCAAGTACACTGAACGGCCAGCTAAGTAGGGTGAGTTTCATTAGATTCAAACAAGCATACATGGCTCGTATGGACTGCTCCCGGGCGACTGCTGGAATCCAGCCGAATCCTACATTCTCTTGCTGAGCCTAGACGCTAGACTAACGATCTTCAGCAGTACAGTCTGTATCCCACGTCGCTGTATTTTCAGCTTTGCCATTTGTGAGAATATGAGACCCATGAATACCGAGTACAAGCTGGTGAAAGCGGTTGTTGTTCCATTGAAATCGTCCAAGGTCATCTGTAAAACATCCTATATCTGCGACGGTGAAAATGAGATTGTCTCAAAGTCTGCAGTGGTTGCAGAGTATCATGCCCTGGGAGCGAGTGCGTCAGTGAATATCACGAGACAAGGCTGCGTCCTTCTTTAACGTTAATCTGGATCACTCACCTCATCGACGTCAGCATCACCTCGTTCAATTAAGTCGATACATGCATGGATGCCGTAGTCGTCAATCATGGTCTCTTTCGTCGAGGTGTAAGGCCCGGTCATCGTCTCGAAGCATGTCCTCTTGACGGAACCATTCCAAATGACGAGCCTTGAATTTTGCTTTCAAGGGGCGGGAACAGATGGGGCACAGTATCTGTGATCACGACAGGGCATAGTTGCATCAGCTTAAATAACTATTTCTTGGTTGTGCTCTATAAAGGTAAGGTGAAATAGGAGACTGTACGGTACAAAGCATATAGTATAAGTCTTGTCCACAATCCGGGGAAGTAGAAGACGTTTGAATCGCCATATGATGTTCGAATCCAGTCACAAGTCCTTCAACGTACCAATTAGCACATAAAAACCATGAGTTTAAAAGCTGTGAACCACATCCCCCCCCCCTCCCAGCTCAGGCAATATTGCTACTATGTAGAGAACTTGAAAATATTACTTAAACTTGGATGGGTTCTCAACGGGAATAGTAACAAAAGGATTTGGGGTAAAATGGAGAAACGGCGATAGCTGAGATGTAGGCATTGTATTGGAAGATATGAAAGAGGCGAGCCGAGCGCGATGCTTCCACCTCTGTGGGTAGAAACGGGATGCTTCCCTTGTTGATTAAAATGGTAGGACTCCTCGGGAGGCATGAAGCGCAGGCTCACAAGAACTGATGGTGCGAAAGGTCGTCAGAGTCTCTCAGCACTCTCAAAAACGGCTGGTATCTCATTCGCACTTTCAGCGATGCTGACAGAACGATTATGGCAATGCGAGTGTCGCAGGACTAGCTTGTACTGTCCTTGGCCACGAGGTCGCATTTTGTAACGTTCCATTCTGGTACTGGCACCCGCGATGCCCATGGCTAGCTCGTAGAATCTAATTCAACGACGACTAGAAGTGAGTGGCCAAAACCATGATGTTTCGTTTTGAAAAGAGTGAGGTTTCAAGTGGAAGCCGACTCAAACAGGAAGACCGCAGACGCATGAAGAGCCCATGAGGACAAAACACCCCATAAGTGTCTGGCGAATATACCGCATGCGGGAGGGTGTCAACTCTTACCAGAGTGATGTAAAGCGCCGATCCGTTGTCTAGGCTTGAAACACGGACCTTTATACAGATGGTCGGTATGTTCTGACCAACGCTCGGAGTGCTCTCTCCTCTATCGAGTGTAGCTATGCCGCTGTCAGACTATTAGCAACTGGGAACGGAGACTAGCTGTGTATGTCGAAATACGTATCCCGAGTAGCCGTTTCACATCCCGGAATGGCGATCAACGTTTTCACTACACTCTCTCGAAGGTCGAGTGAAGTCCATCCATGGCTGGCAGCTCCAATGGAGGTGGACAATCGTGTTCAATTTTGCTTGCCTCCTCTGGCCAGCGATTTAACGTCGATGGCATGGTTATTGAACTGGTGAAGAGAGAGATTCAGGGCAGGACCGGCGGCTGGAAACCACAACATCCACCAAGAATCTAAAAACCAAAGCTCAAATGGGCAAAAGAGGAGCCATGGGTCAAACAACAGCACCACTTATTAGGCTCAAAGCCGGATATCATAGATGACTTTAATAAAAGAGAACTGGGGAGAATTCCAGACCCAATCTAATGCTCCAATCTTCGACGATACCAGGCTGTCTCCCTCATCTGTGCCTGTTCTGTTTGTCCGCGCTAGTGTAGAATATCTGTATATAGTTGCACTGATCGGTTTAATTTTTCTGAAGTGTCGTTGAGTTTGTCTCGTGTATGCTGTTTCTCTTAAAATAAAGTTGATCCTTCGAAATCATTTTCTACAGTGACCTGATAGTTGTAGCGCCATGTGACGATAGAACCAGTGTTGCAATGAGCGTGCACCTTTACTGTGAGCAGTGACATGTAAGCAGGTTCTATAGTTGAACTCCTTCACTGCGTGAGACTTGGAAAGAAACTAGCGAAGACTTTCTTTTCATTATTTGAAAACAAATGAGCTAGTCACATCATATAAAGGGGTATCCACAATGAGAGATCTTCCATGCCTCGAAAAGTTCTAAAGACCTAGACGCTTTAACAACAAAATGCTCAGATAATTTTCGCTTCTCGGACTCCAATAGACAAATGAAAAATACTGCGTGTGTATCGGGGTTTGAGTTCAGGTGTAGGAACTCCAGGATCGCCGATCTGTATCGTTCAGCTGTTTAGCTACCATGCTTGGGAGCTGGAAGATGCAGCTGGAGATGGTTCTGCGACCAACTTACGACCAGGCTCTTGTTCCACCTTGGTTTTCTCCTTCTTCTTGTCGGTGTTATCTGTTGTTTTCTTTCTGGAAAAAAATCCTAACCCTGGTTTCTTCTCGGCGCTGCTAACGCTCATGTCGTCTCCTGGTCTCACGATCTTGACGGAGTGTGGTTCAAGATGCGACTGCGGGAAGATACCCCAGCTCTTTCCAGACGTGCCAGACCAGCACCAATGATCTGAATATGTCCCTACATACATGTTAGCGCGTAGATTCACAAGTAGCGAGCCTAAAAAGGTTGCTTACAGCTAATGTTCTTAATCACATCACCCTGGTTAAATTTCAGCCAGTTGCCCTCGCCCTTTTGATTCCACTTCCACCTCACAATAGCCTGCATACTGCTCGTTCCTTGCATTCTAGTCTCGCTCTTCGGTGGTGCATCTAAATGCACAGAGTCGGCCTCAAACGCCGCGCGAACACCATCGTGCCACCCAATTCCCCATTTGCCGTCATATTTCTCTGGAAATTCGATCCCGACAATTTTGGCGCCAACGGCAAACTGCAAGGCAGCGCCTCGATCCGGTGGACTTCTCATAATCCCGTGCGCGTTTCTTCTAGTTTCCGTCGCAACAGCTGTCGGAAGCTTACTGACCTCAGGCGCGATGCCGGCCATAACTGACTGCACAGGCGTGCTTGAGAAATGTAAATCGAAATTATCCTTGAACGTTTCAGGTATTTCGCTTCCATCAATGACGACCAGCCCGGGAATCTTTGGGAGCGGCCGCGGGTGCCGGGCCATGTGTGTAAAGAGCTGTTTCTGGTTGAAGAAGACAGTTGCGTCACTTTCGTCAAGGGTTTTGCCATCGTGGATACAGAAAACGCAGCCATACAACTGCTCTTCTATGTGCCGGATCGAGAGATGGCTCTTCTGCAACACGCGAAGCCGGAATCCCACTGAATGAGATGTATGATTACCTTTGGCTAGAACTTTTGTCAATATCCGTTGCCAAGCAGGGGTATGGCGCCGCTGAACTACTCACAGTTATTGTTTAGGTCCTGCTCCACGGCCGCAAAGTCAAGTTCATACAAGCAGTGCGTGCACTTGGCTACCGTGGTGTGAGAGAATCCGCCAACAGGTCTTTTGATCTTCTTGATACCAAGCTCGCCTCGCATAACTTCTTCAGCCCCTTTGCAGAAACCCTTCATCTGGTAAAATGATGAATGTGGTCCGATACTGCAGTCGCTCTGCCTCGGCGGCATCTGTGGAACCTCGGGGGTTTCAGATTCGACGGGTATAATCCCGGGGTCATCCTCAAGGGGTTGAGGCGTCGGGGGCAAAGACCGCAAAATATTACCACTTGTATGCGGACGGGCGTGTATTGTGGCTAAGGTGCCGGAGGAACTGGTGTTGAAAGTCCCAACAGGCGAATGCAGCCCACTTCTGTAGCCGGGAGGTGAAGCAGAGTATAGTGGCAGATGGCCCCCTACGGAATAGGGGCTGCCAGGAGGCACCGATAGCACTGATGAAGTCCGCTGCGTACTAGCCATGGGGCTTGTTGCTTCATCTATGAGCACGTCGAATATCGAGCTATTAAGTGAGTCTACAGACGGTTGACGATCGATATGCGAATTGCTGGCCAACGAAGCTTGTCGGGGAGGAAATTTCACGATGCCTACATTATGTGCTGGAGTGTGAGTATAATTGTTGATAGCACTGTCCTCGGGAATCGCCAGGGACGGATTGCCGAAATGGGGAGAGACACTGATAGGGGATTGACTTATGTCAGAGACGGAATCAAGAGACTGACCAGAGTATCTCGGCAGCTCGCTACTGCTATAGCTTGAATAGCTTGGTCTTGATTTCTCAAAAGGTCCTCCGTTCGATAGGGAGTCTCCTCTCGAGCGGCCGTTCATTGCTCGATCTCGCCAGTATGCTGAATCTGGGTCGATGTGGACGGCTGCCCCTTGATGCAAGAAAGAATCACTGCCAAGACGTTGGGCTTCTTTTCGCGTGCTATTTGAGCGTCCTCTGATATTGCTGGATGGAATAGCCGGCAGCGGCACAACCGGCGGCAGAGTTGGTGAATCGCCCACAGCCACTGGCGGTCGCCGCTCGACAGGAGTGCCACTATCAGGGCGAGCACTTAGATTTAGTGGTGGTAGTGTATCTACTTGCCAGGGATCTATCGATGGAGGTCGTGGGGGATGTTCCAGAGGTTCCGAAGACATCGTGGAACGGTGTGAACTATTCCTCTCCAAATCGCTGACTGGTCGGGAGGCTTGTCTCGAATTCGTCCTGCTATCAGAAATTCCGTCAACACCCAAATCAGGACCGGCTCGACTGCCCATCACTAACATCTCACTCAATTGTTGTTCAATTTCGCTGATCTCCTCTGGTGGCGGGTCTACAACGATGCTTGCTTGTCTCGAAGACACCTTTGTATCTACGATTGGTGCTGCTGTCGGTGCTGGCGCAGCAAGCTTGATGCGCTTGAGTATTTCTACTATCTTTGGTGCTGCTCGTCTCGAGGCTTTTTGGAGCTCTTCAAATTTGTCTGCATCAAATTCCTCGGCCTCGATATAGTCGTCGAAATCCCACAATAAGTCCTCTAATTCGGATCTAAATTCCCCAATCTCCTCTATAGTGGCATGCCATTCAGTTTCTGTCGTTCCAATCGCTTGGGAGGGCAGCTTACTATGTTCCTTCATTGCATCAACAAAATTCGCCCCGTACTCTTCATAATTCTTCTGGCACAGCGGCTCTATCTTCTTTAGTGCTCTTTCTCCCTCTTTCGCGAGGCTCTGCGCTGCCTTGCGCATGGGTGTTGAAACACCCTCATTTGCAGGTTCGGCATTACCCACAGCTATATTCGCTTTTTCGATGATCTCCCTGAATGGCGATAATATTAATTGCTCTATCTCGTCCGCCATCTTCCAGTCGTGTTGAGAGTCGAGGTGCCCGAAGCGACTTCGGAAAGTGGGCAGTCTGGCGGTCGATGGTGGGGTTTGTCGATAAGTTATATTGGCGCTGCTGCTGAGGTAAACGGGATGGCTCTTGCTTAACCTTCTCAAGCACAAGTCCCTAGAAAAGCTTGTGTATAAACTTGGTCCGCACTGTCAGATCGCTAAAGATAAATCCAGGGCAGAGTCATAGAGCCGCAGAAGGCTATGGAGGACGAGACAAGAAGGATGGAGAATAAGCAAGCCGTGTCACTAAATGCAGACGAGTCTGGGTACCTGGCTATTTCTTGCAGAGAGGCTGAATTGCGCTGCTCAGCATCTACTTGGAGTATGTAAGCCTTTCGGCACAACAATCCACTCACAGCCGCCGCGGATTATATTCCCATTGCCCAGGTAGCGACTATTTAGTAAGATGAGCCGCGGCACCGTCGCACAAACGAGACTGGGGTTTTCCCTCAGATGGTTGGTCTCTATCCGTAGAACGAAGCTTTTTCGTACGAAGTGATAGCATTTGGGGTAGCATCCCATGTAAGTTGACCGGGGCCGTTCCAATTCATGCAGCCTTCACACCATCTCCGACGCTACCAATTAGCCACCAATTCTACTCGATGGGGGAACGCAGGCGTTGTGGATAAACTTCTTGTGCCAACGGCGCTGGGCGGTGACCTGACACTCCGTAAATCCTGCAGCTGAATGGTGGAATGGACCCTTGTCGACCTCGTCTCGACTGGTGCGGGAATATTGCGAGCGACAGGCATTTCAGTGCCCTGCTAAACTGCTAGCCAAGCCTTGTATGCCAATTGGGCAGGCAGAACATCACCGGTTGCATCCGCGACAATCTTTGTCTAGCGCTCTTGACCAGGGGTAGCTTCATGGTTAAGGGTCTTCACATAGTAGACAACCTACACGGCCTCGCAAGCATTTCGTCAGATCATGACCCCTGATATTTCCGTGTTAACGCTCGACCATATTCAAGGCGCTGTCGAAGGTAGGATGTGATTACCAGGCCTACCAAAACGTACTGCATCAGCTCAGTTTACACCGCGACAATCGGCCACCACAAACCATGTTGAGCTACGGCATGTCTCACTTGTGCGGGAGATACAGTAAGTATACTTCGGGTCAGCTCAGGCCTCTACGAGAATTACAAATCTATTTGCCATTTGCAGTCTTACGGCACATTGATGATTTAAGGTTTGGTTGCCCTTTCCCTTCAAAAAGCCCGACCAGAGATGAGAGGCGTGTCAAGGCACTGATCATATGCACGACATGAACCCAGCATCAATAACCACACGGATCCAGACTCATCGAATGCATACACCGTCAGCTCGACCCACATATCCAGAACAGCCCTTCTTATGTTCCAACCCTAAAAACAGAATGGGGAAATTGTTGTTAACTTCAGGAATGGTCAATTGATCGCAACATCGGGCTTGATCCAATATTGCAACTCAAAGATAAGGACTGACCCTGACATGGAACAAGCCCGTAGAGTATCCCGCCAGACTGGAACAAAGATGCCAATATTCTGCTTGGCGCTGCCGCTAGACAGGTGCTTGTGCTTATAGCCTGTGCAATACACCAAGGAAGCCTTGAATTTGGCAAGGCGTTCCGGGAGGCTTTCCTGGGATCTCGGCCGTGTACACTGGAGGATCGAGGTCTACGGGTCCGTAGAGAATATAACTACACATAACATTGACTCCACGCTGCGGGTCGACCCCATTGCGCTAATCTAGTGTTATCGGTGAACTAAAGTGTACCTATTGCACCCCAGCTCTGCCAGAGGCATTCCTCGATTGCAGCACGTTCTCGCTGGGGGTGGAGAAACTGAGTAAAGCTATTGTCAACAAACAGGCGCTCTAGAAAGAGATAAAAATCACACGTTCTTACTGTAATTGACTAACTAGCGGAAGCCGGTCGTTCATGGTGTACAAACAGCACGTCGACTTCACCGATTGAGAATGAAAAGCCCACGTGGGCTATGCGTCTCATTTGTTGCGCAATCCCCCACGGCGCCCCTTGTGCTGTAGCCCGCCCTGTCTGTGAAGCTTCGAGAACATTGCTTGGAAATTGCTTCCATGGTCTTAAGCGAGAAGGCGAAGCACTGCGGCTGAAGCCAGCCAATATTCTGATTGCTGCATCATTAATCTGGCCTCGTGACCAATTCCTATATGCGAAGCCGATCACAAGTCAAGGCTAGACTGCGTCACTTATACTTCACATGTGATCAATCCACAAGGAACTCGGCAGTGCCTTTGTTGTTGCGGCGCCAGGCAATTACATATGCTTATACCGTTCACGTCGCTGTTACCAGAGTAAGTTAGTCTGCCAGGAGGGCCCATATATGATATAGGGCACCGTTACCGACTATCGGTTTGGGTCGCTTTTACGTAAGTGGGGAATAGAGCACAATCGGCAATATCGTTCTAACCACATTTATGTGACGTTGAGTCCCATTTGAGAATCTGCATATCATATTCCAACGCTCTTGGCAATATGATAATCTAGTCGTGACACTTGCTGTAAACGATTTTGATTTGAAGTTTCTCTCCACCATGAAAGGAGATTTTATTAGATAGTAGGAGCAATAACGCAGTACCACTACTAACAAATATGCTCTCAAACTAGGAAATTTACTCAGGTTAGCAATCTCATGGCAATCAAATCGTCACTTTAACACCATGTGTACTAAATTCCTGCACTTTGTGATAGCCTTGTGATACTTCAATTCTAGCCACAGTTGTTCATTAGCTTTATGTAGTACCAATGGCGGTATAAGGAAAAAAACAACACATTCGCACTAGTATGGCTAGCTATCAACGCTTCCGTTGAGGTGTCACCATTCGCAAGTAGAACACATGTGTACGTCAAAGCCCATTTCTAGTTTCACGGAGCATCGACTCTGAATTAGCTGTGTATGATATCAGCGCTTAAGAATGATAAGATGAACTAGATCCGCCGTGCTCTAGACTTATGAGTTTTCCTTGTGATGCCTGGCACGGTTTCGGCCAAGGTGAGGTTAGAAGCATAGAACTGAAGTGCAGTTTGTAGAATGAAAATAAATATAGTTGGACTTGATCGACTTATATGATAGAGAAATGCACGATGTAAGCATTTCTAGTGCCACATCATAAGGCCAAGCAGCTCTGTCACCGGAAGTCGACCCTGACACAAAAGCAGAAGTATCAATTCTTCACATTTTCTATTCAAATTTCGCCTTGAACCGGACTTCTTATTGAGCACTAACAGAAAGCCTGTTCTTCATCATGTCCGGTGATCATTAAGGATACTCATCTCAATTGTCTCACTTCAAGGAGAAATCCGTTTCTCCACCGCAGGACCACCTCTACCGAACCAGAATTCCGGCTTCAAAAAGCTTTTATGCAACTTCGGCATGCTTCCCGGGTGTGGCCCGTTATCTTGGCGTCGATTAGTTCTTGACAACCAAGGGCTCGATATTCCAGATGCCTTCAGCATATTCGTTGATGCATCGATCAGAGCTGAAGAAGCCCATCCTAGACACGCTGCGGATACATTTGGTGACCCACTCATCCTGGTTTCGGTATTCGTTGTCGATGATCTTCTGTGTGTCAATGTAGCTCTCAAAGTCGTCAGATACCAAGTAGTAGTCGCCATGATCGCGGACGGCGGCAATCATTGCGCCAAAATCGTTAGGCTCGCCGAATTTGCCGCTTTGAATTGCTTCGAACACCTTATTAAGATTGGAGTCGACATGGTGCGCGCCATATGTATGCGAATGTCGCAGATCCTCGACATCTTCCGAAAGCGTGCCGAAGAGGAAGATGTTTTCTTGGCCGATCTCACGAGTAATCTCAATCTAGTCAAGAAGTCAGTAAACACATGAAGCATAAACAAAGATACATAAGCACAACTCACATTTGCACCATCACAAGTACCAATAATCAAGCCACCGTTCAGTACAAACTTCATGTTACTGGTACCTGACGCCTCAGTACCAGCAGTTGAGATATGCTCGCTAATATCATTGGCTGGAACGATCATCTCGGCCTTGCTGACATTGTAGTCTTCCAGGAAGATGACCTTAAGCAGGTCACCAATTTCAGGGTCGTTGTTGATAACAGCACCGACATTGTTGATCAAGTGGATGATTTGCTTAGCCATCCAGTAACCGGGAGCCGCTTTCCCGCCAAAGATGGAAACACGCGGCAGCTGCTTCTTCCTCTCTTCGGGACTCAGGGCCTTCAACGCCAAGTATCGGTGAATGACACCGAAAATATTCAGCTGCTGGCGCTTGTACTCATGAATTCGTTTGACTTGAACATCAAAAAGAGCAGCCGGGTTCACCGTGACGTCAAGAGTATCCTTGATGTATCGTGCCAGTCGTACTTTGTTGGCGTACTTGATTTCTGCCCATTCCTTCCTGAACGCCTTGTCATCTGCGTATTGCTCGATCTTGTTCAGCAATGTTAGATCCTTCAAGAACTCATGACCTCCGGTCTTGCTTGCGATCAATTCAGACAATCGAGGGTTTGCCTGGTGTAGCCATCGACGCGGCGTGATACCGTTCGTCACATTTGTAAACTTGTCAGCCCCAAAAATAGCTACGAAGTCTTTGAAGATGGTGGTTTGAATAAGGTCGGAATGGAGCTCGGCAACACCATTGACCTTGTGGGATCCAACAATGGCCAAGAACGCCATGCGGACCATCTTGGTCTGAGACTCTTCGATAATGGATACCCGGCTGAGGATTCCGCGGTCATTAGGGAAGCTCTTCTCAACTTGTTGCAAGAAAAAGAGGTTGATATCGTAGATGATTTGTAAGTGGCGGGGCAGTAAGTGCTGGAACAACCCGACAGACCACTTCTCGAGTGCTTCTGGAAGAACGGTGTGGTTTGTATAGCCGAACTGGCAAAAAATTAGTCAATATCAGAGGATACGAATGAGTCAACCTACAGTTGATGTAACAATCTTCCAAGCTTCATCCCACTCGAGATGCTCTTGGTCCACTAGAATTCTTTGTAACTCAACAATGGCAAGCGTCGGATGAGTATCGTTGAGCTGAATAGCCACTTGGTCAGGGAACTCGCCCCAAGAACGCTTTGACTTCTTGAATCTTCGGACGATATCATGCAAAGATGCCGCTACCCAGAAGTATTGCTGCTTGAGACGCAGCTCCTTACCCCTCTCCAGGTTGTCGTTGGGGTAGAGAACTGCACTGATGGTCTCGGCTCTTTGCTGATCGGCGACTGAGCTCTCGTACTCTCCACTGTTGAACTTTTGGAAATCAAATTCGCCGCTCGAGGCTTTGCTAGACCACAGACGAAGGTTGTTGGTGGACGGTGTGGCGTAACCTGGAATCGGCACGTCATAGGCCACAGCGGTGACAATCTCTCCGCCCTCCCAGTGAGCCACAGGCTTGCCGTTCTCGTCTTGCGACTTGCGAACTTGTCCATAGAATTGGATCTGTCAGGGACTTAGTTACTGCAACCCAGGGATCTGGGCGTCATGAGATAACTTACATCAACAGTAACATCGTGGCGAGGGAACTCCCAAGGATTAAAGTCAAGCCAGTAATCTGGGACCTCGACCTGATAGCCGTTGATAATCTCTTGCTTGAAGATGCCATATCGGTATCTCAGCCCATAGCCCCAGGCGGGATAATTGAGGGATGCCAAGCTGTCAAGGAAGCAAGCGGCAAGTCGACCAAGACCACCGTTACCCAAAGCAGCGTCGTGCTCTTGTCCGATAATATCCTCGATGCGGAAGCCAAGGTCCTTCAAACCGTCTGTGGCGAGGTTAGCTTGACATGCTTTACGGCTATATGTCAGAAGATGGCGGCTATCTTACCCTTTGCTACATCTTTCAGTCCAAGGTTGAGCATGGCATTGTCCATGGCACGTCCCATCAAAAATTCCAGACTGAGGTAGTAGACACGTTTGGTATCTGACAATGTTTGACGCTGCTGAGTCTTGTTCCACGCAGTGATCAAGCGGTCGCGGAACGCTAATGCAGCAGCTGAATATGCAGCCCCTTCATCACAGTTGTACAGACTACGGGCCAATGTGGTCTCGACATGGCGAACAACCTCTTTCTCAAAGCCATCCTTGTCGGTGAAGCCTTTGACCTGATGTTTGGTCCAGGCCTCTCGCTGAGGTTCAGGGATCGAAGCTGTAGAGAGACGTGTTAGTGACTTTGAGCTGATTGTCAAAAACACACGACTCGTCCACAAACAAGTGTATAGCAGTAGTTGTGGACCTCCGTGGCACGATGGCCCACTTTTAATTATATAGCTTTTCATGGGCCAAACAGAATTGACAGTATGGACTCACCCTCAACACTCTTTTGATCGCCAGCGCCAAAACCAGTGTACGTCCTCTTGTGTTTGGGCCGAGAGATGCCACTGGGAGCAACAGAACCGACGATGTCTACAATCGGGGCCGAAGTCGAGGGTCTACGCTCTCTCAAAGGAATTCGCTGCGGCTGCTCCGTCGCCATGGTGAACAGAGGTCTAGCTGAAACTGCGGGAGCTCTAGTTTGTATATGGTATAGTGGAGTGTGGTGTAATGTAGTGTAGGGGTGGTAGTCTACTGGTCTAGAAAGTGAAGCTATCTCCAGGTATTAGTACTATAATCAATTGCCACGGACATTCAGCAGGTTATGACCACGAGGCATGCATAGCCGTTGGCAGGGGAGCACTTACATTCTGTGAAGCAGGTCTACGGAATCGCGGTGCTTGCTCAAGTGGGCTGCCAATGGCGGGAATGAGGGGCACGCGGGGTATGGTGTTGTTGACAGCTCTTTAGGTGGTACCCGGTCTTACGAATGGACGATCACCGCGCGGCAGAGAAACAAATACACAGATTGGACGTTCCGGGACGAACCTCTCGAGTTGCAAGACGGGCTTGGAGAGAGAGAACGAAGCTCGGAAGAACGAGGGAGGTGGAGTGAGATTGGTATATAAGAACAAACAGGGCGGGAAGCTCCTGGAGAATGGAGTGCTCTTGAGGATGGGCTGATTGCCCAATAAGCTAAAGGTGCAATGACGACAGTCAACAGCCCCAGACAAGACGGGGAGAGGGCACAGCTGCAAGCTCCGGGGTTGGGTCTTATGAGTGAGACGCGACTGCATCCTGATCTCGAATTCTAATTGCTTTGAATCTCTCCTACGCATACAAGGTGCGCTTCTCTACATATGACCAGGACAGTGGACTCGTCCAAGCTAGGCAAACCGCAGACCGACCCAGCCCCCCAGTCAGCGCATGCCAGTCGAACTTAAGGTATGGTACCACAGTAGAAACAGCCATTGAACCTCCAATGGATCCATTCGAGATATGCGCTGAAGCGTGCTGGCGTTTCCTTAGTGGCATGGGGTGGAAGCAAGAGTGCGGGGTGGAATGCTGAGATGCGAAGTATTCTCCACCAAACCACTCTCTAGCCGGGCCGGATACTGCCATTTCTCGCTCCATAACCTGGAAGTCCACCTCGTGTTATATCCACCATCGCACGATGGAATGCACAAGAAAGGAAGGATCAAGGCGCGATTGCTCTTAGCTGAGCAGTGGAAGTTTTGAGGCGGTCAGTTCCGCCGTCTCCGATTGCTTTTGTGGGCAGAAAAGCATTTCCTTCATGGTTGCATCGTGATCATCATCATGATCAGTGCCGATGTCCCCTGCTCGGGCAAGCTGTTTGTGTAGGATTGGGTGCATGTGTCTGTTCATGCTGCTGCATTATGGTTTAGCCGTTCCACCATCTCGCAGCTGCAGCTTGACAGTCGCTGAGGTCGTGATGCATGAGTGGCAGCGTATGAGTGTCTTATTTGCTAGAAACCAACTCAGCTATGTCATCCCACATTCACTCACCGTCCAACAGCACCATGTGCATAATCACATTCACCTCGATCTTGCGGAACCTTGCAAGAATGCGGGCTTGTGACGGCAAATCATCAAGCTCACCGGCTTCGCAACACTAAAAATCAAGCAAGCTGCGGTCCGTGTCGTGATAGCAGTTTAATTACGCGTGAGATCTGATCTATATCATCAATACTATTTCTATGCCATGGAAATAGTCCCATTGCCATTGCTGCATAACATATTACGATCATGTCATCCTTGCTGAGCAGCTAATAGGCTGGTTTATGCATTATGCATCTTCGTCCGCCTATTGCGTCGATTGATAACAAGAAACTTGTCGCAAATGTGAGCATAGTCGATGTTTTTCGGATGGCCGGTGTGACTAGCAAACGGGTATGTCTTGCGCTGCTCCACTGAAAAGCACCACAATCCATCGCTTCCGGAAGTTGTGGACGTTACTGAGATACCACTTTTCCTATTGATTGAAACTGCCGCCTATATGTTGCGGCCGCATGTATCCTGGCTCGGTCTTCAGCGAGCCCAAAGTGTCGTTCTCGACGGCACTTTTGATGCCGTTCCCATAGCGCACTCGTGTGTTTCTGCCCCTCGAGATTACGTACCATGCTATACCCGGTACCTCACCGGATCGGATGTCATGTCCGGACTCTAGTCGTAAGAACGTTACATAGATTGTTCATGTACGCCGGCCCCGGAACGCCATGCCAAAAATTGCAAGAAAACCTTCAGTCCCGACGAAAGCAAAACTCCTCCCAATGCTGAAAGTTAAGGACTCCGTTGTAGCTAGAACTCCGAGCCAGCAAGTCAGTAGATGCGAAGAAAAAATGTGTCATCAGAGGATGCCGGAATCCTTGAGGGCATTATTCAGGATGGTCTCCTTCACTGCTGCAAAAACCAATCGGACATTTGAAGTGTCTGTGGCTTGCGTCAAACTAGTGCACGTTAATGTTTGTTTGCGAAAAGGTAGGCAACAATGCAGCTTACTGGGGGTACAGGTTAAGATGTGCCCTGTTGACCTGGTTAAACCTCCAAAGCAGGTATTTGGCTGCCTTGTTCACGTCGTTTCCTCCAGAGTAATCCGGAAAGTAATTACCAAGCGGCGATCGCGGAAGCTTGACTTTGAAGATGTCGACTTTGTTCAGGAACAGGATGATACTGGTACGCATAAACCATCTTGAGTTTACGACAGAGTCAAAGAGTAAGAGACTCTCCATCATGCGATTCTAATGAATCAATCAGTACGTGTGACCATATTCGGGGAAAGGTTTCGTACTTGACTACTTTCCTCCAGCAGAACCTGATCGTACTCGCTCAATGCCACACAAAAGATAATCGAAGTGACATTTTCGAAGCAGTGAATCCATTTCTTGCGTTCGCTCCTTTGGCCGCCAACATCAAACATGCTGAAGCAATAGTTAGCCGTGTTCTTTTCTGGCCGAGTCCCATGTCTGGACTTACTGAATGCTGAGAGCTCCCATCTGGAACCGAGTCTCATATATACCCGTAGTTTTGGTTCTTGCTCGGAGCACGTCCATTTCATTCGGTAGATAGTCGGGGGCGCATATTCTCTGCACTTCGTCAAAGAAACTGCATAGGGGTCAGCGTGGAGATTGTGATGCAGACAAAGTTACAACGTACTATCCCGCAGAATCCATCAAGTAAAACTCGGTTTGGTGCTCCATCAGCCTTTCTATACATGGATCACTCCATATCGCTTGTACTGCCTGACCAATCTGTGGTTCGAGGTGTGCAGATGGTCCCGACTCGACGGTATAGCTTAGTAACAGATTGCAGTGTTCCCGGACTGCCGGATTGCTCGGTTCAATTTCGAATTGATCCATGGCATTGATGACAGCCTTTGCGCATTCGATCAAGTTTTTGAAGACGGTAGCTCTGTAGTTGTATAGTTCGTCTTCCGAGTAGCCCTTCAGATGGATGATCTTCATCTGCTTTACGATTGTTGATTTCCCGCTCTCGCCGGACCCTACATGCAGTTTCGGATTAGAGTCTGCCTCATGATTTGGAGCCTTGAATAAGCTCACCAAGTAAGAGGATTTTGCATTCTCGCCGTAACCTCTTGGAATCTTCGTCGAGAGATCTATCAATTGCTTGACTGCGCTTTTTCTGCTCCTCCTCCTCTTTATTCGTGCTCATGCACGAACCCATTTTCGCAGGATAGAGCCGAGCGCAAAATATAGGTTCTTTCAACAAAGACTGCCCTATACCAGAACTCGTGCCGGAAACGATACCAGCACGGTCCCTACAAGCTCATTTCCCGTCTGTCTCGCTCTCGGCAGCTTGAGCGACTGTTGAAGGTCTCGTGAGGAATAAGCTTGCGTCGGAGCACACAGTATCGGTGTTGATGACGGTGGCGTAGGGTTTGTCCCCCGCAGTGCGTATGAGGCGTGCAGCTCAGAGCGCTGTCCTGTGTTCATGAGCTGATATCGCAGACTGGTGAACGCGGCCGGATGCAACGCAGCTTTTCGCAAGACAAAGGTAGCCTGGTCGAGGAAGCTTGTTTAGTAGAGAATCGCTGCTATGAAGGCTCGCCAGTCAGATGACGAAATAAATTGAGAATGTTCGGGAGGACGGTTGAATTGGGTGGCAGCGCAGTCTGGGGCAGCTTCCAGACTCCACAGCGCTGCTTTTTGCTTTTGCTTTTGTTCCGCACTGCTACTTTAGCGAGAAGCCGTCGATCGTTTTAGAGTGTGGGATCCTGGAGTTGGCGGACAAATTGCAAGAGTAGCTCCTCCAGAGCCAAGCCGAGAAGTTGCAGTAGCAGTGACGTGGAGGTTGCAAATGCCCCAATGAAAGGAATGCGTTGGATTTTACCTACGAGACAGAGAGAGAAGGAGAGAAAGAGAGAGTGATGGACTGATTCGGTTTGTCGTTACCAAGGGTCGCCCCGAGTCCACAGCCGTTTCTTTTGTGTAACTTCAAAGCACTGTCTTTCGGGCGGTACAAGTACAAGGCGCACCTAGCTCAATAAGTTGAGATGAGCCCGAGGCAAATACATGAACTAAGTTGAGCTCGAGCTGGGGGGGTAAGCGGCCAAGAAGCTCAATCAAGTCGGGTCGGGGGGATGGGGAATAGAGGATAGAGGGAATGGCGATCAAAGGAAAGATAGTTGCAACCGACAGACCGAAATGGCCGACGATGCTGCAGCACCCTTTCTACCAGGCTGAACTGTAAAAAAGGACGACCTGCAAGCGGACGTACGCAGTACTCGGCTGCGACTAGTTGCGAAATGGCACAACTGTGCGATGATGGCGAAGAACGTCCCTTATTATTCGTCAGTCCCAGCGTCCGTTCTGCCTGCCTTGCTCGGTAAAGCTCGATCCATTACAACGTGGGATATGTGCACAGTGGCCTTGTCTATCGTACTAGGCCAAGTACATAACTCATTAAATGGTGGGTGCGCGATGATCGATGGGGCCTCCTTCATATGTATCGAAACTATGAAACTGGGCCGTGGGCTACTGCCGCATAAACGTGGAAACTTGCCAGCACTTGCAAAGTTGACCCTGACACGGGCATTACCCCATTTCCAGCTTGGACGTGCGGATACTGTGCAAGCTTGTCATGTGCAGGCCGACATGACCAGTCACTGGTGTCGACCAAAACAAAACAAAAAGTATTATAAAAATAATTAAAAACAAAAACTTTTCGGCATACCACCTATTCACTCAATAGAAATGCTCAGCGTCTAGCGGAAAGCTTCGATGGTCTATTAGCGTAGGGCGGGTACGATCGGACCAAGGGATTGTAGCTTCTTTTTGTTGAGCTCGAGATTAGAAGTGCTCCTGTCTAATTATAATCGAGCGGCAATTCACCAGTGCTTGTGCATCTTAATTTCAAGGACTCGCAGCACGGCCGTACGTAGTGCAGCTTAATTTCGTCAAGAATATAAACATGCATTGGTCTGAGCAATCATACGTCTGCACCGTCGGGTGTATCGTCTTTACAGGAGCCAGCTGCCCTGTCCCCAGCCTCTTTCGTTAGAACGACACTCGCTTATATGCTGGATTACATCGAGTCAGAGGATTGATGTTGCTAGTCTGCATGCTTCCCACATGTTCCTAATCAAACGACACCTGTGAGCCTCCTTTCCAACGGAGAGTCGGCTTCCCGGTAGTTTGCCGAACATTGCTTTTCCAAGTTTTGTTTGAGGCTGAAGGCATCCGCATGACAAGCCCCAAACGCATTTGTGTCTACTACTTGATATTCATGAGATAGATAGATGGTCCCCTCGACCCAGAATTCTATTTCAGAGTCAAGGTCCACTCGTTTGCCATGGCGCTGGGACAAGCCATTACCCACGTGGGGCTGCTGGCGATCGCCACTTGTGGATTCGGATCTCACGTATCTCCTCTTGAATGATATTCGATCCAAGTCACTATCACTACTGTACTTTGACCTTGACAATGCCACAAGTAAACCGCCCGAATACAAAAAGCCTTACCTAAATAGCCTTCTAGTCATACTTTGATTGGAATCCAGGAGAAAGTTCCTGAGAAGCTAGAGGCGCCAGCACTCGTCCCAGCAAGTAACACTGACCAATATGAGGGCCTTGCTTGCTATAAAACATGTTATAATGGAGCTCGCACTGCCATTGTGTCGTAACTTCCGCAATGGCCGAGCAATTACAGACTCGAAACCTTGGTATTGTTCTCTGAGAAAAAAATGAAGCTTTCTATCAATCACTAATAGCACTCATTGCTAAAATTACTTATTTCCTCGTCATCGAACCATCATTTTGGTGACGAAGGTAGATTAGTGGTGGCTTTGTCACATTTATTCCACAGATCATCTTCCCAAGGTATCGGCGATTCCACGTGTCAATCCGGGGGTTCCCAGGGGCCATGGTAGGACAACTTCTTCGGCGACAACTTTCGATTCGTCGACCCAGATCTCAACCCACCTGTCAAGTGCAGCTCATGTCTCGCATAAAGTGTAATCAGTCTCGAGTTCAAATTCATCGTTTATCGTTGCATGCCCACAACCCGTTTAGACTGCTGATGCTTGCAACTTCATTCTTGTGTCATGGAGATGGCATTCGACTGCAAAAAATACACCAAGCTTAGTTATAACCCGCCTGGCTAATACTAAGGACTTGCTAGCCTACGAACATATTGTCTTCATCGCATACCCGTGTTCCTGGTTTCAAACTTTATTGGCAAGCCACTCTCTTCACAATTTCCAAAAGCCGCCGATCTCCCAGGTATTCGACACGAGATGGGAAGATACGATGCAGGGGCGACTCTCCGTAACTGGCAATACCGCTGTGAAGTAATTGCCTGGCTCGAGCACCGGATCGCGAAACCGAAAGTAGCGCTGTGAGTCAAACGGCCACATATGATCAACTCCGGATTAAGACTGACATCCGTCATTTCACCATGAGGATAACCGACCATACGTATTTCCATCACGTGCTGGCAATTTTCTTTAATCCACACGATACTGTGGTACAACAGTCCTTGGAGTTCGAGGGCTGCAATGCAAGCTTGAGCGTAAACAAACTTTTCTAGCCGAACTCTGCATTGCCATCCACGGTTGCTGGTTGCAGTATTGCGCCGCTCCAACGCGGCAGTGTTGTTGCCCTGGTTCACGTTTCTCGTGTTATTGATATTGATGGCAAGTCGTCTTTGCCTACCTCGTGCAGGAACCAGGCTCTACATATCACGCCCATTCACTTAATTCCTAGCTCCGCGAAAGAGCGTCTAAATAATTGAGTGGCTAGGTCAACGGCAGCCAGGAAGATATCTCACACGTGGCAAAGTCGCCGGCCCGCATAAGATCCCAGACACATTCCTCAGTTCACGGATGGGGTCGCCCGATAAGTAATTGATACAGCCGCCAGGCCCATCCGCTCCCAAGCGCTGGTTGACGCTCTCCGAAACAACAGTGGCTCCGTTCATTGTCCCTGATTAGGGCCTGCTTGAGTCAGCATAAGATTTATATGATTTTAGCGACGAAGAATTTAGTTGTTGTTTGTTGGGACAAATCCACAAAGTTAAGAGGCACTCGGAGCGACACGCAGCACACTAGGCCTAAGTGATGTCGATGGGAGCGTACTACGAATGCCGAAACAGCCACTTCCAGGACAGCCTGGGAACTTCCTGTAAGTTGCAAATGGTGACCGCGCCATTTGGATCACACTGTTTCGCCGTCCCTTACATGCACACTGAACAATGGCATACTCGAGGGCATTGATGGTACCCAGGTATGTGGACTAAAATCAGACATTATCTGCATTTGAGTGTGCACTATGGGCAACATCTTGGACTTGGCCGACTTCGATTTAATGCTCTCGGTAACAGCTTACGCATGAAACAACACGGTGTGGCTGATGCTTGGTCACGGCTAATCGGACGGCCGTGCTGTAGCAAATATCTGGGGTTTAGCCAGATCCAAGAACAGAAAAGAGTAATACAGGCTTGATATATCCTGAGTCCATATCACGAGCAGCATGAATATCAAATGGCATTTCAAAATATGCTGGCTACAACAGATGCTGTTTTGGTTACGGCAAGTGCAAGTAGGTCATGAGATATGAACAGATGAAATTCAGAGGTCGAGTTACATATTAGTGCTCATCAACGACATTTGAAGCAAGTGGCAGCTATAATGAATCGCATTTAATGTGTCTAATATATACCAAGGATTTTATGGTTCCCACTCGTTGTAACTTCAGACCCGACAACATTTCACTTACGACCCGGATCAGATATGAATGAGCAGTCTTCCAGAATACTAGTTTTTGCCGTGCTACTCAACTTTGCTTCTTGTTTATTCCTAGACTAGTTGAGATTGCTTAATACACAAACAATGCACATGGATAGTTGGAACTAACTTCCGTTGCTGCTTCCCGACTACAAAAGCAAGTGGACCACCGTGAAAACACATGAACATGACTATAACATTAAAGGACGTGAAACACAGTTCAAGATAATGGTGCTTACAAAGGTCCATGAAGACTACAGTGAATTTCTTGTAGTCTTCCACTGCTGTAATATGAAATAACCTCGAAAGTACCAAATTCGATACATAAGTCAAATAGAAGCCAGCAGTATAATTTGCAATATGATGGTCTATTACAGCTCATTCCTGGATAGTCTCCATGCTGCAAAGTGGGCTAACATCTGGGGGGTAACTCCCTTTGGTGTTCTTCGGATTGCTCTTTCCAACACAGCCATGCCATTATCAGGTTCGTCATCAACTCCGCCACTGTCATCAACTGGCATAAACGCCTTGTCGAACAACCGGCTCAATTCAGCACCCGAATAACCGTTCGTTCGCCTGGCCAATTCGGGGATATCCAATGAAGGGATTCGCAGCTGTTGTGCCTTCCTGCTGATTATGGCCTCTCGAGCCTGGTCATCAGGGAGCGGGACGTATATAGTCTCATCGAACCGTCCTGGCCGCATAAGCGCGGGGTCAAGTGAATCGGGCTTGTTGGTAGCCGCCAGGACGAAGACATCGCCCATCTCTTCAAAGCCATCCATTTCCGAAAGCAACGCACCCAAGGCCTGAACACCTCCACCAGCAGTCGCGCCACTCCCCGACCGGTTGCCGGCGATGGAATCAATTTCGTCGAAGAATATGACGCTAGGGCTTGCTTCTCGGGCCCTCTGAAAGAGGTTTCGAATAGAACGTTCAGTTTCTCCAACGTACATATTTAGAAGCTCTCCACCCTTTACAGAGAAGAAGTTGAACCCGGATTCGGTGGCCAGGGCCTGAGCAGTCATCGTCTTTGAGCATCCAGGAGGTCCGTACATCAAGACGCCCTTCGGTGGTCGCCATTGCACGCCATGGCTTGGGGGTCGGTTGAACACTTGCCGTAGAGCTCTCTTGACTTCCTGATATCCTCCGATATCGTTCCATCTAACAATCGGCGGCTTTAAGGTGATGTCATGCATAGCAGTGGGACGTACCTCCTGGAGTGCTTGCCTGACGTCGTCCCAGGTCAAAGGCTGCTCGCCACTGCGGTCTCCGGTACGACGTTGCGAAGCATGAGTCGTGGCGTGGAGGAGCTTTTTCAGATCCCTCCCGGTGTATGCGTGCGTACGATCGACCATATCAGATACAAACTGCTCAAAATTCTCCTCCGAGAAATTAGGCGAATAATATCTAACAATTTCTTTTCGCGCCGGTGCATCAGGAATTGTGAGAGTGATATGACGCTCGAAAGTAGACTCGGTTTGCAGGCCGTCGGGAATATCGTCCGAGTAGTTGCCGCAAGTTGCAACTACGAGCACATCCGGTCGCTTTCCATTTCTCTCTGTCAAGGCAGCAAGCTCTTCTAGCCCGTTAAGAATGGCATCGCTGGCGCCCGGCTTGTCTTTACCAACCAAGGTTTTGATGTTATCCATCAGGATGATGGTTGGTTTTTCTTCGTCAATGGCGCTTCTGAAGTATTCCTGGATTGCGTGCGGCTTATCCGTACTCTTGACACGCTTGACCGTTCCCCAGCGAGTGTTCGCAATTTGCTTTAGAAGCATTGTCTTTCCTGTACCGCGGCTGCCCTGAATCACAATGGCACAAGATGGGTCGATGATGATCTTTGGACTGTACTTGACGCCATAATCTGAAAAGAACTCGTTCAATTTGTCCAACGGTTCTTTCATACCGGGCATACCAGTCACCTCCAAGCGCCCAGGAGCACCATGTGCACCCTCTCCGTCGTCCATGCCCTCGTCGAGCCATTGGACACGGGTATTGGGAGAGTATTTGGTGACATTGTTGTGAGAGCCGTTGACTGACACAACGAGAAATGACCTTCGATAGCCCTTGCCAACGACTTTGTGAAATTTCAGCCCTGGGAAAACGAACTCTGCTTCTTCTGCAGTGGGGGTCAACAAGCATACATATCCGCGTTACTTTTCAGACTTACGAAATAACGTCTCTACAGTCCATGCCCAGTACTTCTTTTCGGCTTCAGCAATAGCGGGGACATCGGGGGTGATGTCTCGAACCACCACTCTCTCAGCATCTGGAGCGGTTGTTTTTCCAGCATCAGATATCTGGATGAGCTCACCGAGCCCTATAGATGCCGCTTCCCGCAGAGCTAGGCTGAGTGTGGCAACGCTCTTGTTACCCTTGAGGTTCACGTCTGTCGATGGCCACACGATGGCTTCACATCGCTTTTTAGGTTCAGCAACAGATTCGACATATACAACCTGGCCTGACTGTAGCCCATTTTCGACTTGTAGAGTTCCGTTCAGGAACACTTTAGCAGCATGTTTCTGACTGGGAAGTTCCTGCGACTGGATTCGCACCTTGACCTCAATAGGTTTCTTCATGGCGACCATGTAATTCAGAAGAATGTAATGTGGTTCGAGTGAAAAGAGCCTTGATGGTCGATACAAAGTGATTTAATTGCAGACCAAAGGATTTACTGATGAGCAGGTGGTAGATGGTCAACCTGCTTGCTCATATGGGGGCTGCAGCTGATTGATCGGCCCGTGAAGCGATCAGCTTTTCAAGTTGAGTCAGACTTGTTAGGCGCGTTCGCTGCATCTCTGAAAGCCAGGAAGAATTGCAAAGCAGTGGCCGGTAGTACTTACACCCTAGTTACGTACATAGGCGTGCATTGCGTGGAAAAGGGAAGTGTGAGGGTGTTGTTCCCATTTCAAAATTCTCATGCAAGAGAAAAGCGCCTCTGTTGATTGGGTGGCACTTATGGTTTTGGGCAGTGATCCATATATATGTAGCGCCTTTTCTTTTTCCACACCCGTTTTAACTCACGGGCAAGGGTTGTACGATACTTAGCATTAGTTCAATCTAGTCCTACACGCAAAAGTTAAAGATTTCCAGAAATGTGACGGGTACGAAAGCTTTTGCTTATGTAACGACGAGACGAGCCAGTATAATTGTTACGTAGTGCAATCGGCACTAGCGAATCCGGCCCTCGCAACTCATTTTTATTTTACGCCCGCAGCCAACTCTCGCTATCAGTTGGCTCCGTCTCTCTTGGCTTCCCATGGCTGGCTTCCTATATTACACAAAGTCAAAAATCGCTGTCTGACCTAATCCCAGCCCTTACACAGATGCCCCTTTTATGAGGAAATCAAGCACCCTTGAATGTACATGGCTTCTGGCTTCTTTTGTGTGACTCTCAGTGTATGCGGCCTGTCCATGTGGTACGGTATCTGGTCAGCGCATCTCGTGGCTTTTGTGGCTAGTGACTGAATTTCCCAAAGAAATTCATCTAAGATGCCGACCTAAAAGTAAAGCTCTCATAAATCATGCGACAGCTACAGCGGCCCTTAACGCAACCCATAGCTGCAGCATGGCGTTCCAACTTCCTCTCTCTACCTGTTCGCGGTAGCATCTGCTGCCCATTCTCATCTACGCCTCGACATTTGGCTTCCGAGGACGCAGCACGACCCAGCCCGGAACCTGAACCACACCCGGAGTCGCAGCAGCAGAGGCCGTCACTCTTCGCAGAGCTCTTTCCCGACGAGGCGAAGCAGCGTGCCCGTCTACAGTCCAGACCGCCAGCATCAGACCTACCTACCAATGCAACCGAAAACCAGCCGCCACGCACCTTGTCCCCTCTACCCCATTCCGCCCACCCCCTGATCTCCTACTATGAGGACTCCTCCCACCACCCCGCCGCCGCCAGCGCCCAGCGCTGCACCGTCGTCCTCAGCGCGACCTCGAAACACCTCGTCGAATCCGACTTCTACCGCGTGGGCTCCGGCCGCGCCGCCCACGTCGAGGGCTGGGTGGGCGGCATCACCAAGGTGACGCAGGCGCGGGACCTGCACACGCTCGAGCCTCTCGGCCGCTACTACGTCGGCTTCGAGACGGCGGCGGCGGCGGCGGCGTGGCGCGAGGAGGTCAAGAGGCTGCATGAGCTCAGCAAGCTGTACACGCCCGGCGTCGTGCGCCGGAGGGAGCCCAAGGGCACCGCCGACTTCCAAGTCGGCAGGCCGCTCAACGTCAAGGGGGCGGAGACGACGGCGGATACGGCCAAGGACTGGGATGGCGGGGGGGTCGAGGAGCTGGAGGCCGTGAGGCGCGAGGTCGAGGGGTTCACGCTCGTCCCCCCGGGCGTGCGCTGGGATCTCGAGGTGGCCAAGTACACGGCCGAGGAGCGGGCAATGGAGCATGCGGGGAGTCTGGTTGACAAGCTGTGCCGCAAGGCTGGGACCAAGTACCTGGTCATGATCGTCGTAGGCGGTGGCAGACTCAGCCATGGGGCTCTACGGAAAGCAATCCGGTCCGACGGGGCGGAGAGAGGCCTGCCTTGGCGGGTGAAGAATCTCGAGGCCAAGCCCGGCGACGGCAGATGGGGGATCATGCCGTTCGGCAAGAGCGTATTGAAGGCGCAGGAGCGGGCCCATGATACTGCGGCTGGCAATGAAACGGACACGCATGCGGGCGAGGCATGGAGTGAAGCCAGGAGGTATGCCCGGTTCCTTGTACCGTTCCTGGACGAGCCCGAGGCGCGACGCTTTGTGAGAAACTGGCACCGCCGCCAGCTGACCCTGAAGATGGGCCATAGGGACGCAGACGTACAAGGCGTCAAGGAATGGGAAGAGACGAGGCTTCTCAATGTGACATTACTGTGGTAACACTTTCTGTATACAACAACTAATTGTACATGATAACAAGCAATGTATTGATATAATTCATCGAGATAGCGACCCGAACGCTTTCACAGAATCCAGTCCTCAAAGTTGACATCCACCACATGCACGCCTACACTTTAAACACTTTAAACACTCTATTACCAAGTAGTAAGCGTCAAGTTGCAGTTCATATCAACGGGACAAAAGCAAGGCCGAAAATTGGGAGAAAACATATTAGAACCATTAACAACCGAACTCCGCCCAAGACATTTACTCTGTTCCATCGCTGAATCTGGTTTGGAATCGACTGCCCGCCTACCTACCGCTCCGATCCACATCCTCTCAGCTTCTTTCCGGCTGAAAAGAATGACAAGCTCTCCTTTGTGCACGATGCTTACACTACCATTCCAGCCACAGCCTGCGAGTTCAGGCAATTTTCCTGCCCCTCAAGATATATACCTTGCCGTCGAAAGCCTCGTCCCCGCGAGCCCACATACCCTGTGGTTCCATTTAAGTTGTCTGTCGTCGTCGCCGCGCGCAGGTGTGGGCGTGGTATTTAGTGCAAGCCGCCTGTGCCTCTTCATATACGATGTTTTTCTTTTTCTTCTCCCCTCCCACCCGCCGAGCGTTCTTATTCTGCAGGCCTTCTAGCAGCACTTGCTGCCACTGGCTTCCCCTTGGCCACCGACAGTTACTCCGGTTGCTCCAGTGGCGGATTGGTCCTTTGACGTGTCAATGATGCGCTTCTTGATGTCGGCAGCGAGCGAGTAGAACGCCTTGTCGATGTTGATGTTGCTCTTGGCGGATACCTCGAGGAAAGGAATGCCGAGCTCCTTGGCGAGGGCCTCGCCGGTTTCCGTGGAAACGACCCTCTTGTCCTCCCAGTCGCACTTGTTGCCGATGAGAATCTTGTTGACGCCTTCGGTAGCGTGCTGCTCTACGTTGGCGAACCAGGTGCGGATGTCTGTGTATGTCGAGTTAGAATTGCATGCAGGTTTCGTCAGAAGCGTGGGGCAGGGAACGCACTATCGAAAGACCTCTGGTCGGTAACATCATAGACAAGCAGTATGCCCATGGCACCACGGTAGTAGGCGGTGGTGATGGTACGGAAGCGCTCCTGACCGGCGGTGTCCCAGATTTGTAGCTTGACACGCTTGCCATCTAGCTCAATCGTTCTGATCTTGAAGTCGATACCGATGGTGGTGATGAAGGATGGCGTGAAGGAGTCCTCGCTGAAGCGCAGCAGACAGCATGACTTGCCTACGCCAGAGTCGCCGATGAGCAGGAGCTTGATCTAGGGAGCAGGCGGCAATGTCAGCTCGGGAAAGGGATGCATGCTGTTTGTCCCTCTGTTCTGGCGTGCAGCGAAAAAGCGCAACGTCATAGCATGGGCATGGAATAGGAGCCGACGTACTAGGAAATCATAGTTTCGGTTGCCCGACATTTTGGCAATGGCACGGGGTCGACTCGTTGCCGACGGTGCAGTCTAGGTGAATAGATGAATAGATAGATGGACAGCTAGCTGTTCTGTTCTGTTCTGTTCTTTTTCTTCCCTGGTCTTATCGGTCTGCAGGTGTCCAGTCGAGTGAGGTCGTCAATAGCAAAGGAGGGACGCAGGAAGGAGTGTCTCAACGTCGTCGTGGGTCGTGGTGATTGATCGTGGTTATTGGTCGTGGCGGATAAGATAGGAGGATTACAATAGATCAAGGTCTCACAAGGTAGTTACTTGGGTTGCGTTGCTGGCTGCTGGATGCGACGTGTAGCCTGCTGTCAACCTGCCAATCTGTCTGTCAGTTAGGTTAATCAATCCATCAGTCCATCCCAGCAGTCCCAATAGAATCTAAAATGGGAGGTGACTTTGTCACCCAGTCAGTCTAGCAGCACTATGTAAGTACCGAACACCGCTCTATCCCCACTCAATACGCTGTATTCAATCCACTAAGCTCACTGGACCTGCACTGGACTCTAACCTATGTAGCTTGCTCGAAGTAGTATTGCTGCTACCTACAGTAGGCATACGTAGTTAGGCAAAGCAAGTACCTGACCTAGACGTGCACGTGGAAGGGCTATCTCTAGCCCGTCCCCTCTGTGCTTTGTGGTACGGGGGGCAAACTGAAACTGACTTCAGTACCTCATGCTTCGCAACCCCGGTGACATTGCCGCAAATCGAAACTAATCTCGGAAGACGAGCAGTGACTTTAGCTAGGCACACGCGAGTTGCTCATACACAAGCCACCGTGCAAGGCTTTCAAGGCAGCAGTTTGTGTTGAACATGGCAGGGATGGTCATTTGACATTCGCTGTAGTCTATGTGCCACTCTTTTGGGCTGTGAGTTGGATCAATTCATGATTTAACGTTAACCATTGTGTCTTAGGAAAAATCATGCCAGTGGGTACGAACTGTACCGAAACCGTTGCACCCAGGCACGTTCACACTCATTGTATATTACGTTGATGTCCACCGATCTGAACTCTATCAAAGCTCTTCAGCGGAAACCCGGACTGATACCCTACCTTGAAGGTTACAAAGGTGAGTCATTATTGTAGCAACATTTTCAAAGTGCATCGTTCCCAGCTTACTGCTGTTTCCTCGTCCACCAAACTTTGATTGACCACCAGGCCGCACTGATTGTGAGTCGCATCATCAACTCGAATGACCAAAACCAAGTGGTGAATAATTACTGCATGCTAAGTGTTGATTGATATCTTTTTGTATATGTCTTCAGTACTATTGGCTCATCATAACAATCCGTGTCTGATTGTGGGCTATTTGAGCCATTTCGCGTATGCCCACCGTATACGATCAAGTGCTCGCACCTGTGATTGAATGCCTTTGAGGTTCGCGAGGTCATCCAGATCCTCGAGAAACTCCCTCTCAACATCGGCCGGTATAAGCGAGTGCGCAAGTCGACGAAGAACGTGTACTTCGCACACCAGCAAGCCATGGTCTCTGTATGATAGGAGGTTGTTGGGGGATGGCGTCGCCTCGGAAAAGATGCGGTCAATATTGCGAAGCACACGCACAGTCTTGACGGCATGGCTCTCCTTTCTATAACCTTTCCTTCCTCCAGACAACCCTCGTAGATATCGGAACAAACCAATGGAAACCAGGATACCGGGGGTCAGTCCCACGAACCCGAAAACCAATTCCTGACTCTTCAGCAAGGAATCTATGCCAGTCATAGCTACCTCTACATCGACCTTTGTCTTCTGGACCTGAATGAGCAACGTCCGTACGAGGTCCCCGCGAAGAGCACCGACAAGCGGGCTTTGAAGATCCTTTTCATACGCTCGAAGCACGGGGGTCAGATCACCTTCTCTCACTTTGGCTCTGATATCTGCGATTTGAGATTCAGATATCGATGAGGCGCCAATCGCAGAACTTGGTTTATCCGTCGCAAAGTCGACAACCATGCGCTCCAAAGAGTCCCGATCCGCTTTAAGGCTGTCCCTGCTCATGATGGCGATTTCACTATTCGAATCATGGCGTATCGTTCCGATAACCTTGCGAGTCGGCTCCAAAATCCAATTAAACCAGAAATCTTTGACCGTAGCCCCAAAGTCAGTGATCCAGTCGATAATCTCTTGTCTTCGGTTAACAAAGATGCGTAAAATCGTCGTCGAAGAAAGCAGTAATGCTGTTGCAGGCAGCCAGTATCGTACGAGTCTTGACGGTCGGCCATTCTTGGCTACGAGCTTGTCAGTTGCCTCCAAATGGTTGGGCAACTGTGTTCTCAAGAGTGTTTGCAGGCGCTTGGCAACCACAGCAGGTCTGTTGCTCTCGTCTTCCTCGACCTGGATGGAGAGCTCTGGGTCTTCTTCAACACCAGCAAAGACCTTGTCTTCGAACTCAGCAACACCCGCATCCAGAGTCAGTACATCCTTGAGAACCATGTCCATGAGAGCAACACTACGTTCAACGACCCCTTTCCATTCCTGGTTGTTGGACATGATTATGTCACTCTTACCATCGTCGCTGCCATTACCTCCGAATGCTAAACCTTCATCGATGAGCACGCCAAGACCGCTCGAAGTCATTTCCCGAAGTTTCTTCAGCTTTGCTTGCTTTTTCCGTGCCTCAGCACGAGCAATAGCAGCCGGAGACAGTATCCGTCTTTGAATGTTCACTAAAGATCTCTCGCGAATAGTCTCTCTAACAATCCCGTAAAATTGCTGCCATCTTTGCGAAATGGTCGAGGTTAACTCTTCGCCCAAGTTTTGCTCGGAGAATTCACCGGTGATAGATGAGCGACGACGGCGGAGACGAGTTTTACTGTCCTGGTAAATATCTTGCGTCCAGGTCCAGAACCTCCAGGGAGAGGTTTGTACCAAGTAAAGTGTGCTGTATGACCGCGACGACAAGACATCATCCCAATACCAGATGTGATCATTTAAGGGAATGATCTGATCAAGGAGGGTGTCCATAATAACACCGTACGTCTGTACGGTAGCTTTGCTAACAAGAAGCCATTCAAGCTCAGCCTCATATTGGCTGGGACCAAGCTCATCGTCGCTGGCCGCAGCGCCGAGATTGGACTGAGTTAGAAGATTTTGTAGTCTCCATGCTGGCAAGACGGGCTGAGTAGTGGAGGTTGTTGATAGTGTTTTGATGATGTGAAGCAATTCCCTAACTCGTGGTGAGTCTAGTTGGGCAGTTGCTTGAGCACCAAATTCGTCGTCGTGCTGATTTAAATGGGCGAAAGGAATACGATCAAGTTGCGCATCCAGACGCCGTACCTGGCTATGGGTTTGGTCGTCAACATACTTGTAACCAACAATAGCCGCTTCTACGTTGCAACTTACTCTGCCACAACTGACATGGTCGCCCCTATTCACGCCGGCGACGAGGAAGTAGGGATGAAACGACAGTGGTGTGTGAGGAGATATAAAGTGGGTCTCAACCTGAGCATGAGTTCATAATTGCCGGGCCGGGAACAGCAAGCACGATGATCGAATGATGCGGCAGGCGGAAAAAGTTTTGGATCTGGTGATTTGGACACTGACTATCAGGCAGAAGATCCGAACGATGCGTCTCGAACCCGAACACGAAATCGAGGCTTAGAGGATTCCCGTGATCGGCACCAGGCAGCCTTGCGTGCAAAGGATGGCGTTGGCTGGAGTCTGTATTTGTTTACTTGCAGTAGAAAGTTGACATTTGGTGGCAAAGCGGCTCAAAATGAATGCAGTGAAGTCATGGATCAATTTGCAGGTACCCGCTGGTTGCTACCGCGGCGTGCGTTCACTGTGTGCGTGTCTGTGTGGGTGTGTGCGCTGGTAACAGCCCGCTGCATACTCCATAGCGTAGCCAACGGTGTAGCCAACGACTGAGCTGTGGGCCCTGGCTCCCTGGCTCCCGTTGAGCGAAACTGAATTACGGACAGGTCAGTTGCAAGGTGACCAAAAGGTACTTTACTCACTCGATGGAAAGAAGGAAAAGGAAAAGAAGAAGAAACCCCACAGAAACCTTCCAGGATGGACGCTAACAAAGTCCCCGCCATGATAGAAATTTAAGCTCTACAGCACACGTAAATCCAGATACGGTATCCTCCCGTTTGTACATACAGTAGCAAAGCTGACACGCGCGACGCGCGAGGCCAATGGCTGGTGTTTGAGTTAGTTCCCAATGTAAGGCGCCGTGTCAATCCTCAGGTAATACATATGCCAGGAAACAATGGCAATGAGATGACTGCTTTCAGGTGGGCTAGGAAGATCCCGGGCATTTGGGGGCCTCAGTGATTGCCCAGTAATGCTTGATACCTCGCCTGCTCCTGTACATGATTCACCAGTAGGTACTGTATATAGTTAGCTGACTTGACCACGACTGCGCCGCCACATGAGAGTGAAGGGCCGCTGTCTACGTATAGTACACCTGCATCTGAATCTGCATGTGGATGCGAATGTGGGTTCCAGATGAGTTCCTGGGCGTGATCCGTACATTCAATGATCACTCCTCCTCCATGGTGTCTAGTGTGGATCCGGAACTGAGGAATCCGCGTCGTCCCACAATGGGGTGGGCAGTTTAATTGGTCATTTTTGTTGGCAAGGGTAGCGTCTTTGAAAATCTCCCAATCCACCCCCTTATCGCCTCCTCAACGTTTCGCTCTTAAAAAGAATCACATTACTGCTCACATTCAGGGTGCAACACTCCTTTGAAAGCTGTCTTGTCGCAGTTGCTTCTCTTACCTGTGTGTGTGTGTGTGTGTGAGCTCAAGAGAGAGCTCAAGCGAGCGACTAATTCATTCCTTCTTTCCGACCTCGGTCCAGCTGCTCACCTAATATCGCCTTAAACATGGCGGCAATGTATGACCTTCCTGCGAATTCCCAGACCGTCACTTAACTCAGTTCGCCCATACTGACCAATCGTGCTTGCAGCAACGCTACTCTTGTTGGTGCTCTCAGCAACTTCACCACCCCCGATACCTTTACCGGAGTCTTCGACGAGGTCACCAAGTATAATGTCCAGCTCAACATTGTCGAGCGCCTCTGGGCTGCCTGGTATCTCTGGATGCAGAACGACACGCTAGCAACCGGAATTATGAGCTTCGTCATGCATGAAGTTGTCTACTTTGGCCGATGCCTTCCCTGGATGATCATCGATCGTACGCCCTACTTCAACAGATACAAGATACAAAACCAAAAGATCCCAACCCTGAAGGAGCAGTGGGACTGCGCCAGCTTGGTCCTGCTTAGCCATTTCACCGTTGAGCTTCCTCAGATTTGGCTCTTCCATCCCATTGCCACTTATTTCGGCATGGACTACGGCGTGCCTTTCCCCTCCATCTACAAGATGGCCTTCCAAATTGCCATATTCTTCATCATGGAGGACACCTGGCACTACTGGTTCCATCGCGCTCTGCACTACGGCCCTCTCTACAAGATGATCCACAAGCTTCACCATACCTACTCTGCTCCTTTCGGTTTGGCCGCCGAATACGCCTCGCCCATCGAAGTCATGCTCCTTGCCCTCGGAACTGTCGGATCCCCCATTCTCTGGGTCTCACTCACCGGCGACCTCCACCTGTTTACCATGTACATGTGGATTGTCGGTCGTCTCTTCCAGGCCATTGACTCTCACAGTGGATACGACTTCCCGTGGAGCTTGCACCACTTCTTGCCCTTCTGGGCTGGTGCACACCACCACGATGTCCACCACGAGCGTTTCATTGGCAACTACTCTTCCAGCTTCCGATGGTGGGACTACATGCTCGACACTGAGTCTGGCCCCGAGGCTGCCAAGCGTCGTCGTGACAGGAAACTGGCTGCTCTGAAGGCTAAGAAGCAGAACTAAAGGGTTTCGGTTCATTCTATAGATGAATGATAAGAGACAGTTCAGAGACTAGATCTGCAAACTCCATATAATGGTCGCATGGTTGCGCGCGTGGAGTCAATAGTGATAGGGTCTTTCCAGCAGGAACGGAAAACCAAGTTCCAACATCACCGAACAGCATGATTTTACATGAATGGCGTTTGAGGTCCCGAGTCGTTCGTTGATTGTACATATTTTGGGGCCGAATCAGCTTGCATAGAAGTTTTTAATAATTTTTAGGGTGGGGGACTTTTCTGATATAGACGACACTTAATGATACAACGCGCCGTCACGCCTCATCGGTGGACGGCTCTCTAATGCTGCGACAATCTTTTTCCATTAAGACTACATTATCATGCTCAACGCTGACGCTTGCGGCAGCACGACATGATTAGTTTCTTGGGACTTTGCCTGCGTTTCACGTGCTTATGCCGTCTTGTCGTCCATGATGAACCGAATGGCTGGTTGTCCAAGCTACGGAATCTAGGCCTTGCTCTTTTGTTTGGGCGCACAGCAGTCTCCAGCTTTAGACGCAACAGTGTCAACTAATTGCTTCCCAATGCTGCAGCTGGCACCACCGCTCTCCTCGTTGATTTCCCCAAAGTCTTTGGCAAGGCTGTCACATTTGCTGGCGAGCTCGATATCCTGCGATGAGAGACCCTGGGGGCTGTGCGTAGTCCAGCGGATGAAGGTCGTGTTGTACACCTAGACCCGGTGTGTCAGTAATAACGCCTGTCTTAGCTCAGGCTTTTGTGTATAAATCAAAATGGCGTCGGTACTTTGCGTGACGAATGCTGGGTAAGGGTAGAATTGAGAAAGGAATGGCGGAAATGCCACACACGCATGGACGTATATGAGTCAGCACACGAGAGGCATTACGCGTCGGTAGGTCTCCGTGTGGTTGAAAGAGGATGCGGCGGGATAAGGGGGGCTTACATTAGACCATTCTGGATGATGGTTCTTGATTTTGCATTGCAGTGCTACTGCTGTCATGAAGTCCTGATAAGCTAAAGTCAGCGCATCATCATGTGGTTGGCAATATTTGTAGAAACGAGAAACGCATGGCTGGGCGATGATGCAAGTGGTGCTAATTTTTAACTGCTCTGCAGTCCGGAGACACGACTCGAATATGTATTACATATTCGATGCCTGAACGGCTTCGTCGCTTGCGCCCAAATGGTCTGTCGCAGGTTGAAGATTAGAGCCTCCACATGAAGCATTATAACAGTCCTATTGTCTAATGCATGGATGCCTCTCAAAACCCATGGCTTTACCCAATGGACGACCCAGAGTCCTTATCATTAACGCCGGGCGTAACTGCCAAGGCAAAGAGCCACGATCTTTCCTGCCAGCGCCTTACATGAATTGGCGGCCCAGGATGCTTTTCGAGGCTCTCAATCATGTGTCCCCATCATTCAGCAAAAATGTGCTTAGGCTGACAAGCTTGTAATACCTGGCATCTCGGACTGCCATGTTGACCATGAGTGATCGCACCGACGAATGAAGGACGGAAGGAGAACACGATCACCTACCCATGTCTTGGCAAATGTCTTAAACTTGAAGCTCCGCTCCAGCCCTTCGCCACTCGGTATCAGCGTCCAGCGCCCTGGATTTGCTCCATCTGAAGATGCCAGCAAGCTCTGGAGCTTTCGTGCCAAGTCTGGCTCATCCGAGCCAGCAGAGAACTTGGGCTTAGTTTGCAACGAAGTCAATGTAGACATTCTTGTTTCCAAGAGACAACGCTCTCGAGGTAGCTGGCGTCTAGGCAGGCGTTGCAGATACAAAGACGTGGCTTGTTGGCTGACTTTTCGTGTTTGAGTCTGTGATACAACTCTGCAGACAGTACTCGGCCCTCGATGTAGACTGTGTGCGTAGCACGTCCTAAGGGATTGCATTTGCGAGCGTCTTGTGTAGCTTGCTTCTATTGAACAGTATTGTAACGTTGAATGTAAGCTTTTACGGCGTGAGAGGAGCGCGTCACTGAAATGCGAATATGTGTCGGAGGTACGTGTTGGTTGACTAAGACGGCGGCATAAATGGGGGTGCGAAATATGGCTGAGTGACGTTGAAATTTTGATAACGTTAGAAGCCAAGCATGGGCCAGCGTTCGGTCACAATCTCACGACGGCTCGTAACGAGGCTTGTAACTTCAGCATTGAGATGTCACCCATGTTGAATATCCCCTACAGTCTGTGCTACCATGACATATGGCTACGAGATATTTCCCCTTCATTTATCTCCGGCCACCTGTACGACTGATCTTCATCGAGGTACATTGTTGGAGCGTGTCTCCCGGGTAAGCCACTGGGATGATTTTGTGGGGTAAACGGAAGACGCATCCGACTAGATAGCAGGTGGAAGGCAGATTATTTACATATTGGTTTTAGGTCAGCAACTTGTGCGTATATTCAAATGGCCTGATATCTCACTTCCCAAATTCATAACGCTTCCACATTTAATCATCAGTGCTTCATCACTTGTTGACTCAAGGCAAACCCTTTCTCTTTCCATGATGCGCGTTTCACAGCACGATATGCCCCCGGAATTTGCCATGGCTGCTGAAGAACCAGCAGCAGTTACTTATACCGCACTCCGTTCTGATCTGCTGATCCCTGGTCGCGGCAAGCCCATTGTAGGCGGTGCATTGATCATTAAAGGCGCCAAAATCGAGTGGGTGGGACAGTACGCAGACCGTCCATCCAAATATGGCTCTATCAAGTTCCGGCATTTGCCTGTACTCATTCCGGGCATGTGGGATTGTCATACGCACTACGGGGGTTACGGGAAAGCTTTCGGTGCCATTGGTGATCATAAAGCTTTGCTACCAGGCGCAAGTGCTCTGGCTGGAGCCGTCACGGTCGAAGACCTCAAGCGCACGCTTGATGCAGGGTTTACCAGTGTGAGGGAACTGTCTGGGGTGAGAATTGCTGCCATCTGCTCCACAGGGCTGAGCTAACCTGCGATATATAGTTTGCAGGATACTTGTGGCCTGGTATTCGAGACGGGTATCTTGTTGGGCCGAATGTTTACTCGTCCCTGACACTGTTGTCTACTACTGGTGGGCATGGCGATCTGCACGACGCGCCCTTGTGTGCAATCAAGCAGTTCTCTGACGCTGGTGGCAATTTCTATATCTGTGATGGCGTCGATGAATGCATTAAAGGAGTTCGCGAGATGGTCCGCAGAGGAGCCCGTTGTATTAAGGTCTGCTCGTCGGGAGGTGTACTCAGTCTCGATGACGACCCAGAAGATCGTCAGTTTTCGGACGAAGAGCTCAAGGCCATATGTGACGAGGCAGCTCGGACCGGCCGGGCCGTTGCTGCTCATGCCATCGGGAAAGCCGGAATAATGGCGGCTCTCAGAGCAGGCGTCACGAGTATAGAGCATGGCTGTTACCTTGATGAGGAGGTTGCAGATCTGATGAAAGAAAAGGGTACAGTCCTAGTGGCCACTCGGCATATTCAAGAAAGCCTCTACCTTGACCACAGTGAGTTCCCCCCACCGGTGGTCGAAAAGATCAAGAAGATTGTGCCCCTCACCAGGGCCAACTACAAAAAGGCAATAAGACTAGGCGTCAAGATTGCCCTGGGCACAGACATGTGGAACAGCAATCCAGAGCATCGGATCTCTCATGGGCGTAATGCTATGGAGCTTACGTACGCGGTTGCTGCTGGATTCACTCCGCTGGAGGCGATCGAGGCGATCACTGCCACGGCTCCGGAGGTCTTGGGTAAGAAGGCTCCAAGAAGCGGACAACTGAAGGAGGGGTATGATGCCGACGTTATAGGCGTCGCTGGCAATCCTTTGGAGGATCTGGCATTCCTTACTAATCCATCACACATCTCCCATGTCTGGAAAGGCGGCAAGCTCTATAAGTCTCCATAAAACATTATCCTTCGTTACACCATCCTGAATTGAAGTTTCCGATCAAGGTACGTCTCAGTGGTAACACTTTCAGCGGGATTTTTTCGGGATAGCTCGGCAGGATGCACAGTAAGCAGTAAAGCACGTAGCAGGCAGGTGACATTGTGTCAAAGATGGTGAAATTTGCACCCAAGTCCGGCATGAACATGCATTACGGGTCCAATGCAAAGATTGCAGATCAGCGCAACTCATTGTCTTTTCAAAGGGCGTACTGTTAGCACGGCTATCGCAGCTTGCGTCTAAGGGTCGATCAAGCACATTGTTGCTTCTATTGCTCCTCTAATGGTAAAAATACCGAAGAAGGATGTGATTATGTATTCCTGAATTCTAGTGGCCCAACTTTATGGGATGAGCGATGGGCATTGCGAGCCCTGCATGGATCCTCACTAAGTAGCGTACAACGGGTCCTATCCGCGCGCCCAGTAAGTCTCATGCGACCGTATTGCTTTCGCGGTTCTTATTGCAGATTGGCACGCGACGTGAAGGCATAGGCATCGAGTACAGCGGAAATGTCTACCTGGTAAGTAATAGACTTGGTTGCAGTGATGATACTTGACAAGCTGAAGATATCAACTCGTTTGGGAAGACGGGTATTGCATACATAGCAAGACGGTGTGCTGTGCCACAGCACGCTCCAAAGTCTCGCCCATTTAGCCTTGGATCATCTAGATTAACTTTGGCAGGCTCTTCATATCATCTTGACCGGATGAGCCGGCTGTGGAGACAACAGCAGTCAAGCCTTCCCATCTCAAGGTTGTTGCATACATACCTCTTCAGGCATTAGTCATCCTTGCAAGTCCATTCCGGCAACAGTTCGAGCTAGACTAGTATGGAGAACGACTTTCCACTCTCAACACGTCAGCGATTCCATCGTCTGCAATGCTCATGAATCAAGGAGGTCTCGGATGTAAACAGTGCAAAGGTCAACCAAAGACGTGCTCCACAGCTCAGACAACCCAGGAAGCGAAAGAGGCTCGGAGCATACTTTTGTCATTTCACGTTACATGAATTATGTAGTCAGCAGGCATCTGCAGCTAGTCTTAAATACCAACACAATGATCTGGCTGAGTTTGACCCCCGCGTGCCATGTATCTCTTGAATAGGTTAGGAGTTGAGAACAGTGTCGTGACGATTGAGAGTCTCTGGTCGCTTTCGCCAAAGGCTTAAAAACGGCTCATGATAGGCCACTTTGCCCCGTCATTGTACTTTCTTATCCTGGTTTTCTTAGTCAGGCGCGGAGCCAGCAGATCATGCATTCGCAGCTCCATTCGATCTTTGTCTCAAAGCAATTCTCTCTGCGTATCAAATAGGTACATAGCGACTTTTCCTTGCCATGCTCGCTGGCTTTCCCTCATATGATGGACAATTAATAAGATGGGTAAAAGGGCGATATTTGCTTCGGAATATCCGAAGGCAAACCAATGCATCATGGGCACTCAATTACATGATGGTGCACATGTATGTGTTTATGGCTTGACCTCATGGTCTTGGCCCTGGAAATTAGTAATGGGTGGGGAATGCCAATAACCCGACCTCACTGTAGGCGGATTACTGCTCGGCCAGTTTGGCCGTTGGAAGCATGCAGCCCACTCTAACTGCACACCTTTGCTTGGAATGCAATCGACGTATACGGCACGCAATAATTGGATGCGAAAGCCCCATGCACGTATTCAATTCTTGCATGAAGCAGAAATACGTGAAAGGGAGTAATGCCACTAGCCTACATGGATTTGATAAGTTAACAAGTAGGTAAGCAGACTGGGAACTACTGTACAGCCCGCTGAGTTGGAAAGGAGGATCGGCGAGGCGACCGGCCGACGAGTCATGCTTGCTTTTGGTGTGCGGGTAGGTTATGTAATGCAGTACTCTTGCTCAACGTTCATGATGTTGACAAAAAGTCAAAATAACCCGAAAGTTATGGGCAACAAATACTTATGCGGAGCTTCGGAAGTTAGGTGAAGAGATATTGGATGTAAGGCACAAAGTCTCATCTGCCAAGGTATCCGTTACAGTAAAGAAAGTGGCTGACAACACGGCAACAATGTGATGTGATGCTTCGTGGCTCATGGGGGGAAAAAGTAGTACAGCACCAAAACCCAAGAGGCTGGCTCACATTAGGTAAGGACTTTGGAGCTCCGGTGTCCGTTCCTAGCCACCAGTGCCAACGGATAGATGTGGAATACTTTAAGCATGTCGTGTTATGGTACCTCTATGCCCGAGCTGTTCCCTGAAAACCCCGAGTCAACCACTAAAAGCTCCAGTAACAACTTTCAGGGTACTTTTGCGCCAAAAAATTAACCGGAGAAGGAGAGTAAAACTGAGTTTCTACGCCTCGCAACTGCAGTTTCAAGGCTTCGGACGAAACACATGATACCAGCCCTTTATCGAATCACACAGTTTTGGTGTACACACTTTATTCTGCCATTGTAAGAAAAGCTAACACCAGAAAAGCATGCTAGACGGTCACGTTTCCTTTCTCCTTAAAGCCACTGCTGTGCTTCAATACTCGTCTGATCGTGCCGTGCCGTGCTTATCACCATGTAATCAATTATTACATTTGTACCAATATAGCCTTCGTGACACCTTACTTAGAGGGGTGCCTATCTCGGATCTCAACTCCAGAGCAAGCAGGCCGAGAAGGCCCCCATCTACTGTCTATCTGGCAAACATACTATGTGCAGGGACCTAGCGGCAACTGGGGCTGTCAGCCATTCAGCGTTGCTGACAAACCACTTCGCTGTGAGCATGAGCTAATCTCTGGAAGTGGAAGGGGAAGCGGAATTCCTCCATCTTGGCTGCACACCTCACCTGTCGCGTTAGCGAGCAACCAGGTCCAAAGCGACGACTGAACGGCCCGGACTGTCGGCATTCCCACTTTTACGACTGCTGCACTGCAATCCGCGGCCGCTACGGCCATTGCATCGCATGCACCACGGCCACGCCACTTGTTGCACATTTTATCCAACCTGCAGTTATTCCGTACTGTACTTACGTTTCAGCCGCTTTACAGATTGAGAAGTGCTGTTGGTGGCGTGATTGTAGTCACCTCTCTTTCGCCCTTCCAATTCCCTCGGCTACACACGATTTTCTCCCACTCCGGACAACTGTCACACAGCGATTACGAGCCTCTTCATATATTGTACACCCTCAGAGTACCTGCTTAAGCCACGTTTTGCTGGTTAATCAAGTTCGCGGTTGTTGCATTGGCAGTCCCCTGATCAAAACGCGGTACTTGATCACATAGCTGAATAATTGGGCTCGGATTACGCGAAAACTCCGGTGTGGGTTCCTTTGATTGGCCTAGCCACCGTCAGCACTCTAAGACCTTTCCTTACAGTGAGCCCTCGGTACATACGGTTCAGATCTCGTGCGAGCCAGAATCAGCTTCCGGTCAACAGTACAGCAAATCAGTTTATTTTTGAGGTCCTGGGTCACACAAGACGCTGCAGATTCCACCTGATTTCTTCGCGATCACCAGTCAATTCTTGTTCTTCACCAATGGAGTACGCCAACTCAGCAGCTTCTACAGCGGTTTCCAAGGTCAGTAAATAAATACTTGGCTTACTTAGCATTGCATGTCCCTTTCAATCCCAGCCATTCTTTTTGCCCCGGAACCCCAGTCATCGCCCCAAGCCGCTGTTGGGGTGTGTGCTCATCCCAATCCAAACCCCTTGCTTTACTTGTTGTCGGGTTTGTCGCGCTGCTGGCAGGCACCAGAACCGTCCTCAGCACTTTTAGTTATGTGTTACCAAGTACTTCTCTTCCACACGATTGTTTCTTATTAGCCAGCAACACCATCGCACAACAAACAGTCCGGATGCTGACTCAGTTTTCAACATGCAGAGCGATACAAGCTTCAATGGTAAGTGCGGTACGCGTCTCTTGGCTCTTGACCCTTACAGGCTCATGCTTCCGTCATGCTTTTCTCTACGCATTTCTTTACAGCTGCACCCCACCACCTCCGACACAATAGGTTCACCTCTCCCCTCTAGAGCCATGCTTAGGCCGTTTAATCCCTTCGTGTATATGTAATCAACGTCGTCTCAAGCTGGCGCCAGTGTAGCCTCAACCTAAGATGGCCTTCGGTCTTGCGTTACATATACATCCCCCTCGTCTATCCACCTCACCAGCTACTTCATTACCAAATACCCGCTCCTGGATCCATGTCGGGGGGTTTCATTCTCATACATATTCGCTTGCTGGCCCACCTTGAATCGCTGTCCTAGTTCCTACTGGCTCTTATATTTCGTGGTCTCCCACACCTGGTATCTTCAAGGATTACATACACTTGGAATGCCCGAGTTCGATTCAACCTTGGATTAGTTTTTGACATATTTTGAACAGACCTGGATGTTAGGACCAAACTTGCTCAAGCGGCTGCAAGTCATCTAAGTCATCTGGACAGAACAGAAGCTGCAACAAACGGAGGAAGTAATATTTCGCGACAATCTGCTTCAAACCAAGCACGACCATATGGTTACGAGGAGCCTGTCGTAAACTTGCAACCTCAAATCCAGCCGCAGTTGAGAGCGGACACCAGCACCGCGCCTGCTGCTGATATGATGTCAACTGGCCCGTCTGGGGCGGGCCCCTCGAGTTCTGCTGTTTCTGCTATGGCCGTTCAGGATCTTATAGATCATGATCCTGACGATGTCACTGGACCTGATGGACGCAAAGCTAAGCGGGAATTATCCCAGTCTAAACGCGCAGCACAAAACAGAGCCGCTCAACGAGCTTTCAGGCAGAGAAAAGAGCACTATATCAAAAAGTTAGAACAGCAAGTCCGCGACTACAACGATATGGATCAGCAGTTGAAAGCAGCACAGAGCGACAACTTTGCTTTACGCGATTACGCCATATTACTTCAATCGCGCCTAATGGATGCCCAGGTCGAGGTTCCACAACCACCTCATCTACATACGCCTGTGCCTTATCCTCCTCCCCCGCCAAGGGCTGCTCCGGTTGCTGCCAGTCGAGCTGCTGAACCTCCAACTGGTATTCCGTCCGCAGGAACTCTTGCTGATGTTGCTGCTGCCGTTGCTGGTTACCAAGCGCATGGTGCGGTTGACGGGTATTCGAAATTTAAAGCGGAAAACGACCACAGTCGCCGTGAAGAGGATGCCCGTAAAATACATGAGCCTTTACCGCCATCGTCATCATTGAGAACATAGAGTAAGGACGATGTATGGATGGCGACTCTGGTAGCACCATTAAGGGTCATAGGGGATCAGGTCACTAAAAACAGAGCGGCGAGAACGAGGTCGTACCAGCGTGGTTGGAAGAGGATGAGGATATAGCCAATCTTGGTGGTTTCGTGACAAGAACTGGCGCGAGGCAGCAAGTAGAGGCGGTGGTCGGTATTTGTTTCAGATGGCGTTGAGGATCTGTTGTACTTGGTTTCGACATATTTAGGCGTCTCCGGTAGTCCTTTGAGCCCACGGAGACTCTTCGTGGTTTGCTGGAGTCATGACAAGTGGCCTGGCTTGTAAATATTATTGCAATACGTCGCATACAATGTTGTGTTCAGCTAACATCGGCTGGACACCTTATGGATTGCCGGAAAGGATTCGCGTCGAGCGTAAGAACAGAAACAATGACGTTGTAGTTTAAGGGGAAACACAGTTCCATTGAAGTTGCCTTGTGAGACCGTCTATTCTCAAATCCAATATCACTGTGGTGATGATCATCTGTGGATCGCCCGTAGCGGCACTCTAATACGTAGGCGAGAGGGGAGAGAGTTTTGTGGGAAGCTGTCGTACTGGACGAAATCCGGGGTTATTTTATTTAAACTAGGTTAGACTAGTTGCTGAATCGTTTCGTTCCTGGTAGGGCCTACAGCTAAGTTGGACGAACCCTACTCGGTATCTTTGCGACAGCACTCCAGCAAGATTACATACTCAACCAGCCAGCGACAATAGAGCGCGGTTTACCTCTCCAAAGGGGCCTGGTACATGTCGCATTGTAGTAGTCTATCGATACATATTCGCGCTGCAAAGGAATAGATACACCCCCATTGACTGGCCAACAGAGCCAACCTCGGAACTTGATCTATGGATCCCATAGTTCAAGGGCCAATGGGTTTGATAGCTCTTGGTATGAAAACGATGAATTGATCTAGGCAAGTTAGTGCTCGGTGCCTATTAAACGGGCCCTAATATGTTTGGTTTATCCAGTCACAGCGGAATCCGTAAGACAATCTCTCAAAGATGAAAGCAAAAGAAAATTTCTCTTTTCTGTTTTCTTTTTCTATTTAAAATTCGGATAGTCTTCTCTGCCCAAGTCAGAACCATATGTGAGATAGACCCATAGCCGCACGTGCCAGGTCTACCACAAAACATAAACCCTGGTGATGACAGGTACGAGCATTTTGTATTGCTTAATAGATTACTAATTCTGCTACGAAACCTGTCCCACTGGCTTTTGAAGCAATTATGCCCAGTCCAGGGAATGACCTCTAGGACAAATTTAACTTTCGCCCACCGATATGTTCTATTTTAAACACGCCCAGACCTCGCTCACTACCTACGCTATATCGGTTATGTTACTGGTTCAGATGCTCCGCTGGCTACTTGGTTCTGGCCACGTTCGTGATCAAGACCAAGTGTTGCCCAAATCATGTTCCTAAAGATCAATGTCAGCATTGCACCAAGATATGCTTCATTTTTCGAGCGTCTCAATTCTGTGGGAATACGGAAAAGATTGTGAGGGTGGGAAAAAATGCTCTTCTATCCAAAAGCAGTATAATGTTGCAGTAGGGCCTCACGAGGTGGTAGCACCAAGCGAATCCGTAATGCGATTGAAGATACGCTCTTGAAGTCCGAGCACAATGGTGACACACGAGACCAGATACGGGCTCGCTCATGTCACATACCAAACGTGGCAGATCCTAGGATTGTGCTGCTCGCACATTGAAACGTGAGGCTTCCGCATGCACCTATCCTAGCGAGAGGCAGGGTACATACGACCAGAGTGCATAATGAAGAATGAACAATGTAAAAACAGGTGATCATGCTTGTCTTGGTGGGAGGCCGATTGGATAAGGAAATAGCTGGGGCCAAAGAGCCGGGGTTGGCATGTATGCAGTCAGCCGGAACTCACCTTCAGATAGTCACCACCTTTCTCCTGCCATTCGGCCTTTGTCACGACAGCCGATTTGTACCCAGATGATCCGACCCAACCTGCGGCCCCCTTCCAGGCATCAAGTATCGGGTCCTTTGCTCTCCGGATAGTCAATGGACTGTCGGCTGGCAATAGTGCTGTTAGACCTTGTCGTAGTCTGTAGTCGAAGTTTTCGAACATGGTGTTGCCTCCTGTTAAGAATACGTCGCGTAGGAAAACATCGCGATTGATGCCTGGAATGCCAACGAGGCGCTGATTGAGAATGTCGCCGGTAATTTCCAGAAGGCCGGCCTGATCCACACCAGCAATAGAGGGCTGAAATATGACTTCCGGCACTTTGATGCGCTCTACATTTAGGTGTAGCTGATTGATCTCAGCCTGCGAACCCATGAACGGCCGAGGGCCACGTGCAAATGCATGTAAAAGGGATTTGCTCCAGTCGTTCTGTGCTTCAAATGTGTCGTCGTGCGTAAAGTTGGTATCGTAGCGGAGCAGGTCTTCCTCGAGGGATTTCAGGCTCCCTTCAAGATCCTCCTCGCCGCCTTCTTCGTCATCACTGGCGTCTTGCCCAACCGCAATGTCCCGGTAGACACCCCAGTCATCGTCGTTGGCCCCAAAGTTATCATCATCACCGCCGCGGCGCCGTTTGCCACGCGGGCCATCAGATGCTAGATTCGCGATAGACTTCATACGAATTTGAGATGCAAGAGATTTTCGGTTGCCGAGATCAGCCTTGAGTCGGTCCCGCTCCTTCATACGTTGCAAGACGTCGGCACGTGCCACTCGTTTCTCCTCTAACCAACCCTCGAGATCATTGGTGCGGCGGTCTATATCCGCTTGTTCTTCTGCAGCGATGCGAGCCTTTTCTGCTTCCTTCTCGGCCTTGGCACGAGCACGTGCTTCGTGGTTGGATTTGAGCAGGCGTTGCTGCTTCTTCGCCTTCAATCCTGCATCATCAAGCTCTTCATCGGGCATGTCCAGCAAGCTGAAGTCTGGAGCTTCTACCTCTTCCTCGACATCAATACCGAGATCCTTGTTGCGGGCCTTCTTAACGGCCTTTTCAAATTCCTTGATGGTACGCTCCAGATGGGTCTCGTCCTTCATGTCATCGGCATCTAGTAAGCGCTTTGTGTCTTTCTTGTTGGCGTTGGCTATTTTCTCTTGGAGCTGCTTGTAATATTCGAGCTCTTGCTCTTTGCGGATGAGCCGTTCTAGACGCATCTTCTGTGCTTGCTCTTGTAATCTTCGTCCGCTTTCTTTCTTTCGCTCTGCTATACGCGCAAGGTCCTCCTCGCTCTTCTGGACAATGACTTCTTCGGTGAAGGGGTATTGTATGACAACGTCTCTGTCTTCAAGTCCAGTCCAATCAAGGTAGGACCGTACCTCGTTATCGTAGTCTTGAGAGAGGTGTCCGTGATCGCGCAGCATGTATTCGGCCTGGGAGGCATTGAGCTTCCCAGGAAACGCTGGGTACTTAAGTCTAATAAGTTTCAGAAGGTATTCGGCCGCGTGCCAACCGCCCCAATTGAGTCTAATGGCCTGGGCAAGCATCGCTTTGTGATTGTAAACGGGTATGACGTGAGTCGAGCTGTATGACGAAGAGACGACCAAACCCGTGTGTCCTTTATTGTGCCGATACGAGAATAGAGAGTCGATTCCAGTAGCCAGAGATGGCGCGCCGTAGCATTCGAAGATGATCTCATTCATAGATTTCCTGGAATAAGGCAAATTTGCAACTGCCTCTGTCAAGACAATAGGCACATCGATCGAGCCATCGCTGGCATTCATGCCCAACTTGAGGAAGGTCCAATCAAGAACATGTTCCATGACATCCCAGTTGCTAGCGATACCTGTGCCAGCCTCAAAGGCATTCCTGATGTGTCCACGCGCGGTCGTGTCGGCATAGCAATCGGTGCCAGCGAAAGAGTACGTCTTACCCAGTTTGCGATCTCTGTACTTGGCCATAATCGGGGGTAGGCTGAATCGCGGTTTCGACTCGAAAGACCATCCCGCTCTAACAGCAGAGGAGCCTGCAAGTTGCATCTTGTTAGCGCTCGGCGTGAGGACCAGCAAGTGTGGTATGAGTGCGCACCATTGTCAATCACTATGGCGGCGCTGCCTGCAGGTTGCGCCAATGCCTTTTCTCTGCCATCTGGCTGTGGAGGTGTGTATTTCTCGAAGCGGACTTCCTTGACGGGGAATATCCTCGCTGCAGGATAGGTCTTCTCTCGGCGAATTGGGAGCTCTCCCAGCACCTGTGCAGGCGGATCGATGGCAGAGGGCGCCATGGTTAGGGTTGGTGGTGGTGTCAGTTCACGATGTTGATGTACGTTGCAAAGCGTTGCATGGTGAGAGTGAAAAGAGAACAGAGCAAAGAGGGGCACTGCCGAGCTGGCTGGCGAGTTCACCGAGACTTTGCTGGCTTCATTCAATTGATTCGTAGGAATAAGTGTGATCAAAGCTTCAGTTAACTATGGTTACGCTGGTTTGCAGCAAACTCATTCCAACATTTGTTAACTTGCGCCTGCAGGGGTCACACCTCTCACAGGAGCTATGGCCCATGGGAAAGTACCTTCACCCACGTCTACGTCAACGCTGACGCCTATGTCTACGCGAGTACACACAGGAACTTGTATGCCTCTGACTTTTAAGATCTCTAGGTTAATTAAATAACCAGATCGCGTAGACGCGCCACGAGTGGGGCAAGTGCAAATGGCCAGCCTATAATCCGTACATACATAATCACGCCCATGTAGGAAGGACATATTGGAGACTATGTGGAATCAGTTTCGAATGATATAATGGTATCGGCTCAATGACGTTAGTTGCCCGTCTGTCAGCAAATTCTTAGAGCGAAGTGGTGGCTTTCTCAAGAGAAATCTTTTTTCCTTTGCTTCTAATTTTTTTTTAATATTATCAGACTCCATGTCGCATGTATGTTGGCAATTGACAATCCTGCTGCCCGATGCGCCTGTCTTTCAGGTCTCATGCTATCCCCAGCCTGAATCTCACGAAGGCTCCTTAAGCCCATCGGTAGCTATAATAAGGTCAGTCTAAATAGAGTCCCATCATTGATATGGCCCAATACATACCTTCCAGGTGGAAAAGGACATTTGACTGGTAGTTCTTAAACATCTGGGCTACAAGCTCGATGTTCATGTTCTGAATGTTAATGTCCTTGTTGTTCGTGAGCGTGATGATCTCAACAGCATTGACCCCAAACCTGTCGTATGATTTCACATACCTGCAGCTGCTTGTTCATGACCAAGATAGATTCATTCAGTTTCTCCTGATCAAACCAACATTAGGCTTACATTAGGCTTGACCTTACGTTCAGCAGTGACTTACAACGTTGGTGATGATCCTCGAAAGCAGGAGGTTCTGCTGGTGCTCATGAGGGCTCTCCTATTCAGAGGTGAACATGTGCCATCTTCGAAGGACGCGGTGGCTCTTACCATTTCTCAATTCCCCCCGTGATGTTGTCGTATGAGATATGTGTGAGGTGTTGCTTGGTTGTACCTTGGCTAGGGAGTCGAGGCGATAGTTGGTCGTGCAAGCTCTAAACCATCGGACCTTGTAAGCACCGATCACTTTGCATCCCTCAGAGCTTCTAACCTGAACATTAGTCACAGGCTGCCTGGCAAACAAAGCCAAAGACGTGCATTCACCACGCGTTTGTCCTCGTCTTCGCAACAATCACACATATCGATTCAAAACCACCTGGTTATCCTATACTGAGGTGGCAACGTAACCATGGCCGCACCCACAGAGGCTCAGATAGCCCATCAAGAGCTCATTGACAAGCTCGACATCCACTCGATTCCCAAGTCCTTCCGCAACACTAATTGGCGGCCGAACCAGCGCCGCAACAAAAACATCAAGACCATACTGGGCGACGCCTCTCGTAAAGAAGCGTCCACCATCGCCACTCCCCAGGACGGCGACAGCGGTGTCGCTACTCCAGCCGCCGCTGTCGACGAAAATGGCCTCTCGACCTCGGGCACCTCGACGCCAGCTACCTCCGGCGGCAAGCTCGAGCCACCAAATCTTGCGCAGGCGTCAAGGAGCTTGAGCAAGCTGGTCCTGGAGAAAAGTCTCAAGGCCGGCGGAGGAGGTGCTACGGCTTCAGCACCCAGCGCTACTTACACGAACATCGAGAGCGCGCCGTCACTGGCTCACCAGAAACGATACTGCGATATCACGGGTCTTCCGGCACCATACATGGACCCGAAGAGCCGGCTGAGGTATCATGACAAGGAAGTCTTCGGGTATATTCGCACTCTACCCCAAAGCGTGACAGAGCAGTATCTCGAGGCTAGGGGTGCGCACACCATTCTCAAATAAGTGGTTGGGCACATGTTTACAGGGTGAATATGGCGGCTGGCAATTCAAGATATTCTTTGGCAGTACATGATAGCAACGGCGTTGGGCGTTTGATACGAGCGGTGCGGACAGGGTGTTATAACGCCGTGTTGTCATTTGCGCCTGAAAAGTTCACAGAGCATCAGCCATATGGGCTGTTTACACCATTATACTCACCTAATCTACGGAGTACATGAGATCTACAGTAGGAAGCAGAAGAGTCGCTACCACTATGGAAATGTTCGACCAACAAAGTCAAGTCTATCCTACGCACCAGTCACCTTTCGGTGACTGGTAGAAAGGTATACACTCCGGCTTAATCGTGATAGAGAGTTTGTTCTCTGCCTGTAACTGACGGGTACCGAGGATGAATGGGGAACCAAACTCAGTTACCATAGCTCGAAAGCTGTGGTCGCCGCGGCATGAATTGAGTGCTTGGAAAGATATCTGACCGCCCAAAATGTAGGGAGACCTTGTTTTTGTCTTTTCGCTTCAGCAATACAGACCTTTTGATTGTTGGGCATTCACTTCAGTGCCCGCTTCGGGGAGGGCTTTTTTATTTTATTTTATCAGCCTGCTTTGATAGGACGTCTTCCAGAACTCCAATACCATAAAAGCTCCAGACGCGAGCTGAGCTGGACGAGATATTATGAGAGGAAGTCGTGGGCGTTTCAAGTTTGTTGTTGTTGTTGTAGTTGGCTCCAACGGGAGAAAGTCATGCACTGAAAACAAAAAAACTCTAGCTTCGGATTTCCAGTGGGGCCTTGGAAATTGTAGTTGGTGCGTGGCTATCGGACAGGCTCCAGCGCCAGCTGTGCATCCCACCACAAGCAGCTGCAGTTGGAGTTCGCGTCGTCGCGAACTCCAACGGTACTGCGTCTTTTCCTGATCAGCCTTACAGCGAGATAGCTTTGTGGTATTGGTTTCCGAGAAATTGCTCGATAGATAGATAACGAGAGCAGGTCGTCTATAAGGGGCTATTCTAGAATATATAGCATCGCTGTATCAAACAAAGTCTAGATTTTTACTTTTCGCTTGAAAACAAAAATAAAAGCAAACCTGCCGATAAGACACGGCGCAAAAGCACGAACCCCTGGTTCATGTTTAATGAGAGAGCTTCGAACACGTCCCAACTTTTTTCTCAAGTTAGGACTTTGAGTTCTGCAATTGCGCCTACCACGTTTCGGACCCGCCTCTTGACTATTGATTGTCAACCTCTCTCCTCGAACCCGGACCGAGTATTGATCACAGAGCTCTCACAGAGCGACCACGTCTGCAACGATGCCTACCATGTGGTTGTCAGACACACAAAGTAAGCTCGAGCTTCGGGATGTCCTTATGGCAGTACTGGGAATGCGCCGACTAACACACATGGACAGAAATCGGAGTAGCGTTCTGCTCGGGTGGTATGTTGACTGAAACCTCTATTCCAGGATTGTCAGCATACAACTAACAGTTCCCACGCAGGAGGGTTTTTCCTCATCGGCGGTGTCATGATGTTCTTTGACAGAGCTATGTAAGTTTTGCGCATACCTGCAGGCTTTCCTGTGTGGTCCTCTTCGTGGTCGTCCTGAGTATAGAGACAAGTATTAACCAAGCGCTCAAACAGGTTAGCAATGGGCAATGTGAGTCCCCTTCCGATCGACGGCCAATTCTCCCCCGTGCCTCTGATCGAGGCCAGGCCACCTCGCCGACGCCTCCAACGAAAGCTTCTCTAACCTGGGCAATTCACAGATCCTCTTTCTAATCGGCCTCACCATCATTATCGGACCCCAAAAGACGCTCGCGTTCTTCGCACGAAAGCAAAAGGCAAAGGGCACGGCGGCGTTCTTTGGTGGGTTGCTGTTGATTCTCGCGCGATGGCCACTGATCGGCTTCTGCGTCGAACTATATGGAATCATGGTGCTATTCGGCGACTTCTTGGGCACAATAGCCGGATTCGCCAGGAGCATTCCTGTCATCGGTCCCTATATTGGCGTCCTAGTCGACCGATCTGGTGTGGGCCGGCGGAACGCTGAGTTGCCTGTGTAAAGCCGATGGTTATATAAAATTACGTGTCAAAGATTGGAAGACAAGCATGATTTCGAGCGACGTTAAAGATAAAAGCTGTACTATACGAATCATTAGACTGGTGCTGTATAAAGGCGTTCTTTCTTTCTTTGCTTCTTTTTTGCATTCTGTTTGCGTTCTTGTGGTATGAAGTGTTTGTACTATATTCGTCCGTCTTCTCCGAGTATTCGGAAATGGGCACTTCCAAACGGCGCAGGTCTACAGAAGGGAGCCATTTGAATATACAAGCCATTTCGTTCACACACTTCAGGGGGTAAATAAAGGGACCCGAGTTTGTCCTCTCTTTGAAAAGAGGCCATTTCTCATTTGCCTATGCAGAATCCTAAGGAGCCAGGCAGAGCGGGTTCGTCGAACCGAAAACAATTACAGCCGCCTTGTGATATATGCATCATCGTTCCAAAATCAAACTCTAGATACCTCTTCCGAACTCGAGCGCTCCGCGGTATATCACATCAGACTTCCTCGGCCTGTAGACACCGATATATGCGACAAATGTGTTGCCATTTCTGCATTCATCTTCGGGCTATGCGTCGTCATAGAGTCCTTGGCTTAGTATCCAGACTTGATCAGGTAGTCTGCCAGTGCCTCGACGGTTTGTGCTGCGTTTCCGGCTATGACACTCTCTCCATAGTGTCCGACCAGGATAGCTTGCTTTGTCTTGACTACGACGACACCAGTGCGACCCTGTCCATGCCCATGCCTTTGTTAGCTCTAACTCCCATTTCTGCGCATCCCGGATTTCGCAATGAAGGAACCGGGGTGTGGGGAGATCAACGTACCTGGCGAAGGTAGGCACTTCGGTCCTCAACCCTGGTGGCAACGTAACGCTCACCGGCAACGTGCACACCCTCGGAAAAAGCCTTGTTCTTTGAGTCTTCGGAACCGCTCACGAGGGAGGCGAGGTTCTTCTGCTCATCAGGCTTGATCTGATGTGTTCTTCTGTTAGTCCACCATCCAGCTGCCACTTGTGATATTTCGGGGTCAAGGGTGATCATACAGTGAAACCGCTCGATATGGCCCAGACGCTGTCGCCAGCGGCGCTGATAATAGCGCCCTGGTCCAGGTGGCCAGTGCCGACAAGGCTGTGGTTCTCTTAGTCAACAAGTGTCTCTCGAAAAATCTACGTCGCCGTGATCGCTTGGGTCGTACCTGGAGTCAACATATGCTGTTGCGAGACACTACAGTTAGCCATCACGTCTCCCAACTGAAGGTGGGGGTTATAATGTTTTTATTCGTGGCGGGGTCAAGAAGAAGTCATACCTTGCCAAGACATCTTGTAAATATGTATGAAGTAGGCCGGAGCTTGAAAATTGAGGGAAAGGAAGAATGAGTGGGAAGCCCGCTTCTGGTGGTTTTTTATTTGTTTAGATGACGAAGTTGCTAAGCTGAGAGCTTGGATCAATCAATGGAAAGATGCAAATGGCGGGATGATGCGCGCAAGAACGGGCACGAGCATCGACGGCAAGCTGGAGACGTTTTTAGGAGGGGCACATATGGATGGATGGATGGATGGATTACTGGGGCCGCTTCGGAAGACCCAGTTGCATTAACTCTCTTTTTCCTAAGGTCAGCTTCTGGCTGCCTGACAGCCATTGATGACAAAGGGTCCAACTGCTAACGACCCCGAACTGCTAACTATCGACATTTCCGGCGCCTAATGTTGTGAGGTTTCAAGTGGATAATGCTCATTGCTGAGGCAATCCCTTTTTTTTTTCTCCCCGAAGCGGGACAACTACATACACATGTGTGGTCGGTCCTCCGCCATTTCCCGCTGTCAAGTCATTAGCCGTTACTGGTGTCTGTCTGGTCAGGGGACCATCGAACAAACTGCCATCTTTGTCTCCAATCATTGTTTCTTCTCCTAAGAACTAACCTAGGTAAATAGGTATATATGTTTCCTGGGGGAGACTCATTTTTTAATTTTTTAAATTTTTTTTTTCAAACCTCGCTGAAGTTCCAATTTGGTCCATGCCCTCAAATCACGTAACTTCAGCGTCATATTCTCTCCAAATTGACCCCGCCAACTTTGACCGTCCACGTACAGCTCACAATGTCGGTCAACTCATGGTGGGGCAATATCCAAGCAAGCTTGCAACGGTACCATACTATTATTACACAACGACTCCTCAGAAGCCCTGCCGTCTTTCACGAGTCAAGACTGTGAGGCATCTGAGAAAACTCGCAACATACCGATCTCTCTCCCTCGGTGTTACCTGGTACCATCCAACCTAGTCTGGCCAGTCAAGTGGTGCATGCAAAAGTTCACGAAGGGGTACAAATACCTCTTAGCAGCCTTCCAGCGAAATAATATGGAATGACTTCAAAAAGTATTGCTAGGATGAGTACATGCTTGTAAGAAAACCCATTCGTACAACATGGGGAGATGGGTTATCACTGCGAGATCAGTGAGCGCTTGAATTTATGCGACTTTATGAAAATTTGTATTAACAGTTTGCCCGTTTAGCTAACATCTAACAGTCGTCTCACTTGGAGTCGCGTCGCCTTGCCTGCATAACACGGCTCATGCCTCGAACGTTCACCATAAACATGTCTAGAAAGTATTCAACTATACAAAAGACGCGCACTATGTGAATTGCTTCTCAGCAATCACAAAGTTGGCAAGGAATCTTGCTTGAGGACGGTGTGTGTCCAAGAACAGTGTATCGACTCAACTTAATACCATTGTAAAAAACAACAACAAAAGGAACACCTATAACCTCTAGCAAGATCTCACCGAAAAAAAAAAAAAAAAAAAAACTCATCACGGTACTGATCAACTGGTCAATTTGGTCCGACAAACCACATTCACACCTGTAAACTTTTGGACGAGGGTAGCGTGCTACACTAATTTCATGCTTTCCCAGTGAGCTTTTTTGACCTTTTATATACCAAACAAACGCTTGAATGAGTGTATATCTCATAAGAAATTGCGTAAATAGAAAAGATCTGAGCAAGCTGAACCTATATGATTCTGGAGTCTTTGGGATGAACGTTGGAGCTCACGTGTATAACTACAATCGAAGAGAGTGGAGAGCAAATTCGCTTGATCTTTGGAGCCCAAGCATTTCCCGTTATCAAACTACGCAACTAATTTCAGAACAGCCCTTGCCGCACAAGCCATGAACTGAACAGTACGTCAAAATCACAACGTTACGGCCATTTCTGATGATCGCATTGTATGGATAGAACTCCCGATGGCTTACGAGGGTCTAAAGCAACTGGCAACTGTTACAGCCTTGTTAGCGGCTTCATGTCCTCCCCATGTCTAACCTGAAGTCTCAACCAGCCTTCAATGGAAGACACACCATCGCAAATCTTGAAACGTGACAGCTCCAACCTGGGCAACTTTCACCGGTCTTACCAATTTCACGAAGGGGGCCCCCAATTTCAATGCGTGCGCGTATGCAAGAAGAATACAAGGCTGAGGCTGTCCGCTGATGTTGGCTGCGCGCAAGATTTGTTCATGATTTCGTCGCTCATTTGAATGATGAAGCTACTTAAAGTAAATGAGATTGAGCTTATATTGGGCCATCAGCTACGCAAACGAAGTCGCAATAAACAAAAATCAAGATTCGCTGACTCGACAAGCCTCTCCTGGTTTCGTGATTGGCAAGTGTCTCTAAATCAACTTGAGGAACTCCTCTCATTTCCCGGTCGTTCCATATCTCCATGCTCCAAACATTAACGATATAATATCAGCTCTATTGCGAGTATCCACTCCGCGGGATCTGGCCCGCTTTAGGTATGGATCTTCACAATCTTTTGAGGTACACCTAAGCATGTAGGAACCGCCCGCAGCCTTGGGGGGCGTGAGAATCCTGTTGCGCCTACTGTGTAACAAGATAACACTCTCAATTCAACTGGGGATAAGCCAACGAGCGCGCTTGAAGTTGCGGGCACCAGGATTTCTTCAACAGCGCCATGATTTAGTTGAACATATGTAGGTACTGCTCAAACTGTCCAGGGGTCAGGGCAGTCGCGCCAAGGAACCACTGCGTCAGTCGTTTCCTGCGATTCCGAACGTCTGTACCCGCACACCCACTGCTAAGAGCTTCTCGAAACTCGCAAATCTTCCAAGGCGGATGCTGTTTTAGTGTTGCAGGCTGTTGAGGCTATTCGGTAGAAAAGCGCTGCGCGACTAGTTTTCAGTGTTTGTGTCAGCCGTGAGGGACTACTCTGTCATTCTGAAACTTGAACATTTCAAATTCGTCAAAGGTCCCCTCCATGACCCTCGCTCATCTATCCTCAAAACCCTAGTCCATCTCTGGAAGCTAACAAGACCCCAGAGGAACCCCGTCAGCCATTCTCTGCGAATTTCTGGGGCATGATCCTTGATGCTGATCAACCTTGTAAATAACCGTCCCATCAATCTCAAACAGACACCACCGAAAGGCATCTATGACCGGTCCATCGTAGCTTTGGCTAAGTGAACATGAAGGTTCCGGTATGAGAGCTTCAAAGCCGTATGGTAGGTACCGTAATGCAAGGCGCTTCCGTCTTGGTCAAGTTGAGCAGTTCGCTTTTGAATTCAATGTCTTTTATATGATGCAAGTCGACGGTTTTACCTTCATATCTTTCTTTGCGTTCAACGATCTTTCATGTCACGTTTGCTCGTGTTTTGTTTTTAGAAACCACATCCCAGGAGATTTGGAGCCGGAGCCAAGATCCGTTCATCATTGGGCTGCAGGTCCCACCCCGAGACTTCAAGGATTCTTTTATTACTGGAGTCGTTGGCCAGGCCTGGACGGAAAATGTTCAATTTGGTTCACAAGGCCAAGAGGTCTAAGGATGCTGCAGGAAATACAAGTGCATTCGTGAAGCACGACCCCGGATCCCTTGCCCAGAGAGGACAGGCTACTGTATCAGATCAATCACAACCCACGCGAGTGCGTTATAATACTGAGGCTCCTCCTTCGGTCGCCTTTGCTAGTGGTAACCCGTATCTCGATCGTCCTTTGCCTGCTCCACCGACCCAGAAAGTGACGATGCTGGTGAGACCGAATACATCTGGAGGGTCGAGCTCGAGGAGCCAGGTAGGGAGCGACTTCAGCAAATTCAACAAATACGACAGGAGGATATCTCGAGATGACTTCTATTTGAGTATGAAACCAAGAGCAGGCACGGGATTCAAGCCTCAATTCGCAACTTTCAGTGGCCAGCTGCCAACTCCCGAAGGAAGTCCACGATCCAAAGTGTTATCTCGACCAACAATCCCAATAGTTCGAATGCCAACACCAGATTCTATAGACGACATTTCTGCGCCTATAGGGATGGCTTTAGGCAGCCCGACACATCAGCCTGTCGGATGGGGTACTTGGTCTTCATCTTCACATCAGACATTACGCCCTGAGCCAGTCCAAGTTGTAAACCCAACTTCGCCTCTCTCGTCGGTGGAAAGTGTTGATCCCCATGACGTGCCTAAGGAGAAAAAGCAACCGCCAAAGCGTAGACTTTTTGGCCTCTTCAGCAGGAGAAATACGGATCAGTCTCAAGCAGCGGTATCGATTTCAGAGCCAAATCAATTAGGACAGACATCTCAAGTAAACCAGGCTGGCCCAAAACCATCAAACATCGATCAAGCGAGACCTGGGAGGAGCAATACAAGTGTCAGCCAAAAATTCTCCAGACACAAGCCTATTGTCATTCGGTCACAAACCATGCCATACGAGAAAGGTCAAGCCTCAAAGGCGAAGTCAACGGTTTTCAGATCGAGAAACCCTAGTGTTGATACTTACGGGAGCTCGAATCCTCATGAGAGGAGCACAAGCAATTTTGGAAGTATTCCGATCGTACTGCAACCGCCTCCTCAGGCATCAGGTCCTGCGCCGGGCTTGCTCAATGTAGCTATACCGGAGAGCTCATTAGAGAGATATAGTGTTATGTTCCAGGAAGTTTTAGAAGAACAGCCGAGCAACTCTTCGGCATTATTGGCTAGACGGCAAGCTACAGTCAGGGAGCTGAGAAAGATCAGTGATGCCGTCGCGGCAGAAAAGGTTAGTCGCCATGTAAAAAAAAAAATCTTTAATCATCTTTCATACTAATTTCTTGACCAGGAGGAAAGACTGGCACGGCCTAGACGAGTAACCTCACCACAACCGAGGACAAAATCTCCAGGTCCATCATTTGCACTATTTCCTTCAACGCCGTCGGGCAGAAATTCATCCCAACAACTATCGCATCCGCAGCCAAGGGTGGTACGGTCCAACACATCACCAGCATTGCTGCCATCCCCTTCCAGGGAGACTTTCGACCTACCACAGCAGCCACATCAAAAGGAGCCTGAAGCTGCCCATCACCATATAAGCAGGATGGCCATACCTACTACGGCCAGGACAACTTCCCAACCTGCACCTATATGGGTGCCTGCCCCTACCCATGGCTTCAACTTTGACCCTGAACAGTCCGGTCTTATCCTAGAATCTCCTACGGATGTCGAGTCACCCACGTTGTCGCCAGACATAATCAGGAGCACCATAGTCAAGCCTAAAATCCAGGAGCCCGATTGGCAAATCATTGAGCCGTCAACACACACAACTACTACCACCACCACCACGAACTCCTCAGTAACTAGCTCGAGGAAGCGCTCTCCATCGTCCGCAACCGCCTCGTCATCGCAGAGTCATGCGACCAAGCCGTCGTTTGACCTCATGGACGAACCGGACGATATTTTTATCAACCGGGACCCGGTGGAGATATCGATCGCCAGGCAGATATCCATCTCAAGGCAGCAGCGCAAATTGCTGCAACCACTACAAACTAGCTTCTCGGTAAGGTCGAGGGCTGGTTCCGCGAAGGGGAGCCCGCCGGTGCCCAGGATTGCCATCGGCGTGAACGAGCGCTTGGCCGAGACCAGGACCGCGACGCCTACGATTGTGACGCCCGACGAGACGTTTGAGACGCTACTCCTTCAGCACCGCAAGAGTGAGCATATCCGAGTGGAGGATTACTAATTTCTATATCTTCTTTTTGTTTTGCGGTCATCTTTGCTTTTCATTTTATTATTCTTCGTCGAGCCCGCACGACGGTTGTCCCAATCGGGATATAGGGGGCTTGCCATTGGGCGGCCATGGACTTTATTGGCAATGGACATTCTAGAAGGCTGAGGCAAAAAGACAAGCGGCTTGCTTTTTCTGGTGTTTCCTGGGGTAACTGAAGGGGTGGATATACCATTTTGCGACCATTTGCAGTCTGAGACTCGAGCATCACTTATTCCTTTTGTCTAATTGGGGGAAAGGGTCACATTGACTGGGCTGGGAGCTATGGTCACTTGGGAGGTAGTACAATTATGACCATATGAACTCAGTCAACTGCAAGATTGCCTGATGATGAACATCTTGGACCTTTGCTGAAATTTTCAGCCATTATTGTGCATATCCTCCGGCCACCTCCAAAACTATGAACGATCAAAATTGGCCGATTTGTCTGCTACATGTTAACCGAGTATACCAACGAACGACTGGCACTAAATACATCCGGTGTAGTTCCCAAGGTTAAAATAACTGGACCAAACGAGGTGTAATCAGTGTAATCGGCACAGCACATCTCTGCGTCTGTGCACTACCTCTGCTATGCTGAAATGCATTCAAGGACCGAAAGTACAAAGAACGCCAAGAACCAAAAGGGAGCCTGCAAAATGATACGCGATATCTACATGATAAGACAGCACGAGTTCTGCTTCTTCGCTTGTTCTGTAGTCGAAATATGTCAGCAACAAGCCCTGCGAGAATGGAGACAGGGAGAGAGAAGCGGTGTGGAAACATACGGTAGAACATCTTGCTCTGGGCACTCAGACCATCACTCTTGGCCACGAGATCATCAATCTTCTCGCCACGCTGTAGCACACTCTCGATGGTCTTGTGCAGCACGATCTTGGTCTCGTCGAGCTCGCGCTGGATCTTCATGATGCTGTCGGCCTGGTGGGGGTCCTGGTACTTGGCGATGTAGTCCTTGAGTTCGGGCATCTGCTGGGGCTGGCCCTGCGACCAGGCCGACTTGGGGTGCGAGGACAGGAACTCGTCCAGGACCTTGGAGAGCAGCTGGTGGGCAACGAGGGCGGGATACTCGTGGTCGCTCATGATGATGCCGCACACGCCCTCGGATCGGGCGTAGGCGTGGAAGGTGTAGTCCTGCTCCTCAACGTCCTGTCGCTGGCCGGGACGTGTCCGCTCGGCCACCGTCTTGGAGAACATGGTCATGAACTCGCCATAGCTGTTTGCGCGCTTCTTTGTTAGCCATCCGCTGACAATGCAATTCCTTTACCCTCATAACACCATGGGAACGGCCAAGGCATCGATAAGGACGGGCAAGGGTGTCGTACTTGTTTCGGGTGAATCGCGAATATGCGCTCAGCTCCTTCTCAGCTACCAACTCGACGCCGGGCTTCTGCTCGTTCTGGATGATCTGTGTTGGGGGGGGACAGACGTCATGGTCAGCCAGTTTGCTCCAGTGTGCTAGAGATAGCGGTACCTACATACTCCGATGTAGTGCAACTTCATGGTGGGCAAGAGGGTCGTAGTGACTATTCACCCCGATGAGATTTGCGAGCGATGATGTTTGTTTCTGGGTTTTGTTGGGTGAGTGTCGTCGGTGATATGTTCCTCGGTTCCCTTTTGTTTGAAAGATGGTGCATGAATCGTTCTTGAGACAAAGGGAGGTTCGGCGTTGGAGGGGTCTATCAGGGGGACGGGGATAATAAGAGCATAAAGCCACATGTACTGTGTGTTGTTTGGCCGCCTGATCGTCCTTGCCGAGTCCACTAAACCTACTACTTTTCCACCTTGCCTCAGGCTTACCGCCCTCTGGCATAAGCCATCGCCCGCTGGATCTCAGAGTTACAGCACTCCCGTAGGTACAGGGCCTTTGGGAAGTATTAATAGCGGTGTGCGGGGCATAGGACTGCTACCCATACAGTAACTTATGTGTAGCTAGGACTTAACTTGGGGGCCATCTCCGCTCGAATCCACTCCATGTGTGTACTGCATGGTACGGTTCCGTCTGGAGTACATGGTGGCTCTACCTACTGTAAGCCACAAAGCCGCTAAACAGCAGTGAGAGAAAGAAAGAGTCATCATTAAGCGCCAAAATCGTACAAAGTAAGCTCACCGTTTGAGTCAGCGGCTGCCAAAGTGAATTGAAGCTATTTGTCTGATAAAATTGGTATTCCAGTGCGCTCGTGCAAACCGCACCTCCATGCTGTAAAAAGTCTTGGCCACCAATACGGTACTGTCGACCTTGATCAGCCAGCGACGACCCCAGCGTTGAGGATTACACAGAGTGCAGAACAGGAGCCCTCAATCATACCTAGAACATGGCAAGCAGCGATGCAGAGGCCCGGTGGCGGGAGCAGTTCGCTGCCATGAAGTCTGCGCTTGCTGAACTAAACTTACCAGCCGGTGGAAAGCTGCAAGAAGAATCTGATTTTGATCTCGATGATGAATTCACTTCCGGCAACAGCGGCGACGATGTCTGGGATTTCATCCAGGACAGCGAGGAAGACCTTTGGAGCAGCGATTTCATCGAGGATACCAATGGACAGTTGGATCAAGGGAATGCTAACTCAACCTGGTTCACCAACCAGTGCGCTACTGTTGCCTCCAAGAAGAACGGTCTCTCGCCAGATACTTTTCAAGCCCAGATCCTGGAAATCCTAGCTTCGGGCCAGTCGGAGGAGCAGGTGTCAGCCGCGCTCACAGATTTGGTCGGATTTGATGACCTCGACTTCGTCATTGAGGTCATATCCCACAGAAATGACATTGTAGCTGGCTTCGCTTCTCAAAGCGGAGCACAGACAGCGGGGAACCGGTTGCTCACAAGAGCCGAAAGAGAGGAGGCCTTGCGTCAAAGAGACTGGGAGCACAAGAACGCATCTTTGGCCCCTACTATGCACAAGGAGGTACAGTACCCTCATGTCTACAGAGCCCACGCTGCTGGTAACACTCTGAGCGCTGCCGGAAAACGATACGCTCTACCGACGGGGAGCGAAAGAATTCTACGCGAAAAATATGAAGAAATCAAGGTACCCGCCGGCAAGACCGGCGTCCTTGCGCCTGGAAGAAGGTTATTGCCTATTGACGAGATGGATGGGCTCTGTCGAAGGACCTTCAAGGGATACAAGGCGCTAAATCGAATGCAAAGTCTCGTATATCCGATCGCATATAAGACGAGCGAGAACATGCTCATCTGTGCCCCAACCGGTGCTGGTAAAACCGATGCAGCTATGTTGACTATTTTGCAGACAATTTGTCATTATTGCACCCCTAATCCCATCGAGGATCACGAGGCAACAGACTTCGCGGTCGATCTCAACGACTTTAAAATTGTTTATGTTGCACCGATGAAGGCTTTGGCTGCTGAGATCACTGAGAAACTCGGGAAGCGCCTGGCTTGGGCAGGCATCCGCGCTCGAGAATTTACTGGAGATATGCACCTTACCAAGGCTGAGATCGTTCAGACGCAGATTATTGTTACTACCCCTGAGAAATGGGATGTGGTTACAAGAAAGGGTACTGGAGATACTGAACTAGTGCAAAAAGTTCGATTGTTAATCATTGATGAGGTTCATATGCTTCACGACGAGCGAGGCGCCGTTCTCGAGTCGTTGGTCGCTAGAACCGAAAGACAAGTTGAAAGCACCCAGTCCTTGATTCGAATTGTTGGTCTCAGTGCTACTCTTCCCAACTTCATTGATGTGTCCGACTTTCTGAAAGTCAACCGACAGCAAGGTCTTTTTTACTTTGATGGCTCATTCCGACCTGTTCCCCTTGAGCAGCACTTCATAGGAGTGAAAGGCAAGCCGAATTCAAAGCAGTCCAGAGAGAATCTTGATCAGATCGCCTTCGAAAAAGTAAGGGATATGCTCCAGGAAGACCACCAAGTTATGGTCTTTGTCCATTCTCGACGAGACACTCTTTTGACGGCTAAAATGCTCCACCAAAAAGCTATTGACGAGTTTTGCGTTGATCTATTCGATCCTACGGGGCATCCAGCTTACGAACAGGCTATTAGAGATATGAAATCTTGCAAGGCGAGAGAGTTGAGAGACCTCGTACCCAAAGGGCTCGGCATTCATCATGCTGGTATGACCAGATCTGACAGAAATCTCATGGAAAGGCTATTCTCAGAGGGTGTTATCAAGGTGCTCTGCTGTACCGCTACACTCGCATGGGGTGTTAACCTGCCTGCTGCTGCAGTCGTCATAAAGGGCACGCAAGTCTATAGCGCACAAGATGGTAAATTCGTCGACCTTGGTATCCTCGATGTGCTCCAGATCTTTGGTCGTGCAGGCCGTCCGCAATTTGAGGATGTCGGTATTGGCATGATCTGCACCACTCAAGACAAACTATCGCACTACCTCACCGCTGTTACGGAGCAGCAACCTATCGAGTCGAAATTCTCAACCAAGTTGGTCGATAACTTGAATGCCGAGATTGCTCTCGGCACAGTAACATCTATTGCTGAAGCTGTACAATGGATTGGATACTCTTTTCTTTTCGTCCGAATGCAGCGAAGCCCTATGACCTATGGTATTGAATGGGCCGAAATCCGCGATGATCCCACTCTTGTCCAACGGCGGAGACAACTTGCGATCCAGGCTGCAAGAACCCTTCAGAAGAGCCAGATGGTTATCTTCAATGAAATTACTGAAGAACTTCGAAGCAAGGATGTTGGACGTATTGCGAGTCAATACTACATTCAACAGACCAGTATCGAGATCTTCAACACAATGATGAATGCTCAAGCCTCGGAGGCAGACATTCTAAAAATGATCAGTATGAGTGGAGAGTTCGACAACATCCAGTCAAGGGACAGTGAGGCAGATGAACTCACCCACCTCAGAAATGATGTGATCCCCTGCGAAGTACCAGGCGGAATTGACACACCACAGGCAAAGACAAACATCCTCCTCCAATCGTTCATTTCAAGAGCTCAGCCGGAAGATTTTGCTCTGGGCAACGATCAAAACTACGTCTCCCAGCAATCTGGCCGTATCTGTAGAGCTTTGTTCATGATTGCACTCAACCGACGCTGGGGCTACCAGTGTCTTGTACTTCTCACCATGGCGAAGTCCATTGAGAGACGTTTGTGGCCATTTCAACATCCTCTTCACCAATTCGACCTTCCAAAGCCGGTACTCAATCAACTTGATGCCAAAGACAACCTCACCATCGAGGCTATGAAAGAAATGGACTTCGCAGAGATTGGAGGGTTGGTGCATAACCAAAGTGCCGGCAAAAAGATTGGGCTCATTCTCAATAACTTTCCAACCCTCACTGTGGAAGCTGAGATTGCCCCTCTGAATCGAGACGTCTTGCGAATCAAGCTATATATATCACCCGAATTCAAGTGGAACGATCATACTCACGGCACGACCGAGTCTTTCTATATTTGGGTTGAGAACTCCGAGACTTCTGAAATATACCATCATGAATATTTTATTCTGAGCAGGAGGAAGCTCTATGACGACCACGAGCTCAACTTCACCATTCCCCTCTCCGATCCCTTGCCCAATCAGATATATGTAAGGGCGGTTTCGGACAAATGGCTTGGCGCTGAAACCGTTACACCAGTCTCCTTCCAGCATCTCATCCGTCCTGACACTGAAAGTGTGTACACAGAACTTCTCAACCTCCAACCATTACCTGTCAGTGCCTTCAATAATCCTGCTCTAGAGGAGCTGTATGCGAAGCGATTTCAGTTCTTCAACCCTATGCAGACGCAAATCTTTCATACCCTCTATCACACTCCAGCGAATGTGCTTCTCGGTTCTCCCACTGGAAGTGGAAAAACTACCGCTGCTGAACTAGCTATGTGGTGGGCCTTCAGAGAAAAACCAGGATCCAAGGTAGTCTATATCGCGCCCATGAAAGCCCTTGTTCGTGAACGAGTCATCGATTGGGGAAATCGACTTGCAAAGCCCCTGGGTTTGAAACTCGTTGAGTTGACGGGTGACAACACGCCTGACACTAGAACTATCAAGGACGCGGACATTATTGTCACTACTCCTGAGAAGTGGGACGGTATCTCCCGTAGCTGGCAGACGAGAGGTTATGTTCGTCAGGTCTCATTGGTCATTATCGACGAGATTCACTTGCTGGCAGGCGATCGTGGTCCGATTCTTGAAATCATCGTTTCACGTATGAACTATATCGCCGAGTCCACAAAGAGCACAGTCCGTTTGTTGGGCATGTCTACAGCATGTGCCAATGCCTCCGACCTTGGAAACTGGTTGGGTGTCAAAGAAGGGTTATTCAACTTTAGACACTCCGTTCGGCCGGTGCCTCTTGAGCTGTACATCGATGGGTTCCCATCAGTCAGAGGCTTTTGCCCGTTGATGCAGTCAATGAACCGTCCGACATTCCTTGCCGTCAAAACGCACAGTCCAAGCAAGCCCGTCATCGTCTTCGTACCCTCACGTCGTCAGACCCGCCTAACTGCTAAAGATCTGATCAACATGTGCGGTTTGGAGGACAACCCTCGTCGATTCTTGCATATGGAAGAAGAAGATCTACAACTCAATCTTTCCCGGGTGAAGGACGAAGCGCTGAAAGAGGCTATCAGCTTTGGTATCGGGTTGCACCATGCCGGCCTCGTCGAAACCGACCGTCAACTGTCCGAAGAGCTGTTCTTGAATAACAAGATTCAAATCCTGATTGCAACCAGCACTTTGGCATGGGGAGTCAACCTACCGGCCCATCTTGTCGTGGTGAAGGGCACGCAATATTATGATGCCAAGATTGAAGGATATAAAGACATGGACCTTACCGATGTTCTGCAAATGTTGGGCCGTGCTGGTCGACCTCAGTTCGACACCTCCGGAGTTGCCAGAATCTTCACTCAAGATGCAAAGAAGGATTTTTACAAACACTTCCTGCATACCGGTTTCCCTGTAGAGTCCTCGTTGCATACTGTTCTCGACAACCATTTGGCTGCTGAAGTGTCAGCGGAAACCATCATCTCAAAACAGGATGCTCTGGACTATCTGACATGGACCTTCTTTTTCCGTCGACTCCACAAAAACCCCTCCTACTATGGTCTGGAGATCTCGGCTGAAGAGCATAATAGTATTGCAGCCCAGCAGCTTGCCAACGATTACATGATCGAAATGGTTAATAAGTCCTTGGATGAACTTGCAAAGTCAAGCTGTGTTGACGTTTTCCCCAACGGTGACGTTGATCCGACACCGATGGGCAAGATTATGAGTTACTACTACCTGTCACATAAGACCATTCGGTATCTCGTTAAGCATGCCAAACCGAAAGCCTCTTTTGAGGATGCCCTTGAATGGATGTCTAACGCAACAGAGTACGACGAGCTTCCAGTACGGCATAACGAGGATCTCATCAACGCAGAACTGTCGCGCAACTTGCCCTTCCCAGGAACCAACTTCGGACTTCCTATGTGGGATCCCCATGTCAAGTCTTTTCTGCTCCTGCAGGCACACATGGCGCGTATTGACCTGCCCATAACTGATTATGTCGGAGATCAGACAAGCGTGCTCGACCAAGCGATCCGTATCATCCAGGCATCGATCGACGTACTTACTGAACTCGGCTACCTCTCCAGTTGCCTCGAAATGATCAAGCTACTTCAGTGCATCAAGTCCGCGCGTTGGCCGCAAGACTCTCCTTCGTCCATCTTACCTGGTGTCAATTCTGATAAGGTCGGGGACGCGATACCTTTGAAACAAATCAGCACCTTCAAGAAACCCCAGATAGATGAGTTGGCACAGAAACTCAATGTCCCACAGCTCCAATTAACCCGGTTTTCGCGTGCCGCTTCGGCCCTGCCCAACGTCAGTGTACGGGCCGAGAATGTCACGGCGCTTTCTCTGACAGTGTCGCTCAAGCGCCAGAACCCAATCGTGGAGCGAGAGGGGCGCGTCTACGCCCCCAAGTACCCCAAGCCCCAGACTGAGGGTTGGTTCGTAGTCATCTGCGACGTGGCGAAGGATGAAATCATCGCAGTCAAGCGCGCAGGCTGGAGTCAAGGCCCCGGCAAGTCTGTCTCTACGGGGTCCCGACCAACGTCCAAGGTCAATCTCAAGCTGCCGGCGCCAGACAAGGAGGGCAAGGGTAGAAAGATCGATGTTCTGGTATTGAGCGATGCGTATATCGGGATGGAATACAGAATCAAGGGCGTCGAGATCCCGGCGCTGCCAATGGTGGACGATGATGTGGGTAAGTCAAAGGGGGCGGTCGGCGGCCAGGCAGGCGGTGCTAGTGCTGCTTGAGACTAATGGGGCATAAGGATTCAGACCTTGAGTAAATAATAAAAGACCTTTTTTTCTTCTACTCTTCCTTCAGATATTGCTGCTGGAACTTGCAGGCTCAAATGTGTACAAGCCATCAGAAAAAACTTATTTGGTCCATCCACTACTGCTACCAGCTCGTGCCACGCAATGGGTAGCAAAAGCCCCGAATACATCAGCTGAATCCTCCCCTCTAGTGGACCGCACATATGCCCCATGCAGTCCGATCATCACATCATCGCGATCAACTCCCCCTCCTACGCCCAGCCGACCTTCTATGTAGCCGGCGACCGGGTCCCCACCCTACCCGCAGGCAGCACCGTGACCTCCCTCAGGCAGGGCAACAAGCCCCTTGTGACTACCGCCGCCCCCTCCATGAACTCGGGAAAGTCGTACCGGTCCTGGAGCTGGCCTACAGCTCTGACGAGGTCCCGGATCCGGATGATGCGGTGAGCCGTGTGTTAGAGCGCGGGGAGCTCGCGGCCGGGGGTTCAGCAGGTCGGGCAGGTGGCATATGAGGGTGTACAGGTAGCCGATGACGACATGTTCGGCCGTGATGCTGCTGCTGCCGTTGTTGTTTTGTTGGGAGCCATAGATGTTGCTATTATCGAAGACATTACCGGCGAAGATGCGGGATCCGCGGAGAAGTATTGGTGTGCCATGAAAGAGGGTTTCGGCTTTGCCAGGGCTCAGACGATCTGAGAATGGTAGGGTGCAGGTTGGGCTCATGATGATGAGATATATTTTTCTACATGGTTTGGTGTTGGCTATGTTTCCTGCAAACTGGTGGCGGCGTCATTTGTGGGGGGGCACTATTCTGTATACAGCTGTTTAGTATGACCCAGTGCCTTAGACATTTCACTTGTTCCACGGCCTGATTGTTTGGCTTCAAATCATAGGCTGCAAGTGAAATTTGAGAAAGACAATTCTCTTGGATGAAGCAATGTCAGACACTGGTAGTCTGATGTCGGCTGCTCCGGATGTCTTGCCTCAAGGAGTAAAGGAACCTGCCATGCTTAAAAGCGAACTCTTTATCTTTACTCTCACTGATTTGAAGCATATGGGTTGGCCTATAAACTCCATTCCAAGCCAGACTTGACGACTACTCAAGGGCCGAAAACAAAGACTGCTTGGGGCTTTATTCCAAGGGGTAACTGCAGGTAAAAGTTCAGTTGATACATGCTCGATGTCTAGAATACACTCGTCAATAGTAAAGATCTCCTACGCCATCCATGCACACGGCCCATTGGACCTTTGTGTCTTCGCCTCGGGTACAGTTCCAACATGGTTTTCCCCATAGGATCTAGCTGATGAAGCAAAGGGCGCCCAGCCCAACGTAGAAAACGAACAAAGGGTAGACGGCGATACCAACCCGGTTCTTGACCACACCGCTACCACCAAGGATGCTGACACCGGCGGCCAGCGACCAGGCAACCAGAAGGATATAGATGGGTATGCGCGGGATGGTAGGGAGCTTGATGGCGGAGAACATGGCAGCGAGGACAAGGGGGAAGAGGGTGTAGCCGATGATGCACACACTTTGGGCGAAGGAACTATGTCTTGTCAGCTACTGGCAAGAAGGATTTGTGTCACGGGCGTTGTTCTCTGGGTGGGCTTCTCCCAACACTCACATGCTTCCGCCTAGCAGCTTGATCTGCAAGGTGACGACGGCCTCACCGATCCAGACCATGGCAAAGACGCCGGAGAAAACAATATCCTTCTGGTCGTTCTGAGCCCTGAAGCTCAAGAGCAGACTCAACAAGAGACAGAAGATGAGGGGGCCCCACATGTCCCAGTCCCTCAGTCCGGGGGTCATGTTGTTCTGGTCGAGCAGGGCCTCTGTGTCCATGACGCGGCCGGTCAGACCTTGCAGCTCTTCCCTGACACCAGTCAGGCCAGCGCCGCGGATGTTGGCATAGGCGCCACGAATGCCGTCCGAGGACTCGAACATGGTGCCTCCGAAGAGGTACTTGGGGTAGAGGACCTCGCGCATCTTGGACCAGACAGCCAGGAGGTCGCGGCGCAGGGTGTCCCAGACGGTCTCATCGATGGTGTTCTGGGGGGCACGACGGTCTTCGCCGGGGATTCGGGAGGTCAGGTAGGACTGATCGACGGGACCCGAGGACGAGGAGGAGCCGATGTTGCCCGTCAGCGGTTGGCGCTGTGAGAGAGGGTCGTCAAAGTCGTTGAGGTCGGCTGCAGGACTGCTGTTAGCTTTGTTGTTCGAGGTAACAATACGTCGACTGTGTGGAAGGCATGCTCACCATCATCCGGGTCAATGAGGTCGTCCTCCACCTCAGGAGCATGGTACTGGTGACTCGAGGAAGCCATTGTGCTCTAGTGTACGTTCCACAGAGGGAAATGAGCGATGATTTGGTTCGGATTCGGAACTACTCTACTTCCAAGGGAGCATAACGCGTTGCTCTGGGATGATCACGAGAGATCTCGTAAGATGCACCGAATGCAATGAGTTGTGAAATGCGGCAGGCAACAACGAGTTGAAGCGACTACCCACTGGAATTGGTAATAAAATCCGTGAAGCTTCAAGAGTGCCTGGGGCCTACTTGGGAGCCTACGGTAGCCAAGGTAAGTAGGTTAGTTAAGTTGAGTTGAGTTGAGCTATGGACATGTACGTATGTAGTCGCAGTCTAGGTTACTAGGATACAGTAGGTCAGGTACCTTACGTATTGTATTGTGCTTCTCTTACTTCTTTCCACGTTTCCTCAATTGAACTCTGGCCGCGGAGGGCCCAAGCTCCTTAGCGTGGGTGCTCTATACTGCACATACTGCACATGTGTACACACACACACACACACACACATACATATATATAGTACACCATCTCCGCGCAGCACTTTCGCTAGCATGACCTGTCTTGGTGCGAAACGTACCGACCGCGAAAAGTGCGGGACTGACTGTACAGATTACAGAGTACGGACACATCTTATCTACATGGTACGATACTACATACATACATACTGTACATACCTAGCCACGAGTGCGCCAAGGCTGCAGAATTGCACTCGCAATGCAAACATATCATGCCATACGCAGACAAGCCGGAATATCAATCTCCTCTTCTGGATTCTCTCAAAGACCATTGTTCATTACTTTTGAACCAAAGTGTGCTGAGCACATCCGTTGGGTATCTAGAATCTGACGCCAACCACATCAGGCTTCAGCATATAGTAAAAACAGAGTATCGCCTTTTTCTCCCTTTTCAGCCCATTCCAAAAGGAAAGAAAGCAACAAAGAAAGAATGAAAGACAAAGAATTACGAGCCAATCAACCCCCCCAGCGCCATACCTATCCAGTTCACCTTACAGTTTTGCTCGTGCGAGCTTTGTCAAATAATTGCGTACATCGTAATGCTGTCATCTACACTACTGCCACATGCGACGGATGTTGCGCGGTTCCTGAACCGGATTTGATGCCTGCACACCCGCCACAGACTGGTCCCCGTTTTGTCCTTGTTCTTGTTGTTGCTGTTGTGCAAGATTAGCTGCCGCTGCCTCGGCCCAAGGCTCCTGTACAGGATAGCCCTGGTGGTAACTTGCCGCCATTTGCGGTGCGTGGTGCGATTGGTGATACATGTGTTCATGCCCCATATGGCTATAGCCTGTTGACTGTCCCCAGGACGGCCGCGAGTAATGCTGGCTTGTGTAGTTCGACCCACCATAGGCAGACCCGTAACTATTCAGACCTCCACCAGATGGCCCCGGCATGTAGCGGTGGTTGGAAGAAGCCAGCCCTTTGCCCTTGTGATCGTTTAGACCCGACTGCTGCCATCGGTACCGCGCTTGATTCTCCGGGCCCAGATACGACGTTTGTCCGCCGCTCGGGTCCCATATCGGCAGTCCATTCGGAGGTTGAGCTTCTCCGCGAGGTATTCCACGCCCGTACGCCGCAAAGTTGCCGTTGATGCCGCACAAAGCCCATGCGAAAACTGCCACATCTCGGATCGAACGCATCAACATGTCTGTTGGCGGCCCACCCGCGGCTTTAGCATGTTCCTGTAAGGGCATGTGTTGGGGGAGAAGTGGCGATTGGAAGCGATGATAGAGTTCTGGGGGGTAGTACGGTTGTATTGGCTGCTCGCCCCAGGGTGCTGCAAAGAGGCCATTCTGAGAATGTATCGATATTGACGGTGAGTACATGTTGGGTATTGCTGGCCGGGCGCGTCGAAGAATCACAACAAGCCCATCTGATGTGCAGGACACAACGGCTTCGAGCTCGACAGCCGGTAAAGGCCCCTGCTGGCGTCTATTGCCATCCTGATTGCCACCCTGGATATCATCCTGGTCGGCAACGTTAGTCCGTCCTTGTGCTGGCTCCCTGGCGTCGGGAGCCGCGTTCGAGGATCCAGCTGCATGGTTTGTGGATGCCTCTTCACGGCGTATAGATCCAAGAACTTCAGCTTTGGAAGGGTCGGGACTCATTGACTCGGTCTTGATGACCGCATCGCCATCATCGTCCAAGTCCATGGGAGAGCTGAGATGAGCACCGCCGTCCGAGTCCATATCGCTGCTGCTTGGACTGCCTCTGCCGCGGACTCCATCGACTCCGTCAACGCCGTTAGCACCATCCATTCCATGACCTCCACGGACACCATCGATGCCGTCTACGCCTCCGTCTATTTCTGCATCAAGCTCTTCCTGTGTCCTTGGATCACGGAACCAGAATCTCAGATACGCAATCGAGTCGTTGGACTTGGCACTTTCGAGACACCTAACAGCATCAGCCAAACAATTGTTCGCTATACATTCGTAGAAGCTTTTGTGCTGGATTTGGTCAGGTCTGAGACCAAGGATCTGCGAAACAGCATCTGTGGAAAACATGATCGACAACGGCCTGGTAAACCTGTTTAGGATCAAGGCAGCCCGAGGTTCTCGCTCCACAGGTGGCATCCGGAACTTGGGGGAGAGGTGCTCGAGCATGTGATAGCGAGGGTCCCGCGGTGAACTCGAGAAGATCCTCCGAATTTGTGGTGCCTCGATAGCCCGTCCTAGAAAGCTGTCAGCTTGGTCACCTTTCATCTTGACCGTACAACGTACGTTCGCTCTTGGCTCCAATTCGATAAATACTGGTACAAGCTACCAGAACATCATGAACTATGGTGAAGCAACACTCGCAGCTGATCCATTGCCCATTTCGATGCTGCACTCGCAGATAATGGAGCGAAGCAGCTTTGTCTAATCGCACACCTCTGCCATGAATCTTCCTTGCCCATGCCTCCTCGTCTGGATGGAAATAGTCGAAGCATGGCCGGCCCTGGACTTCATGAGGCTCATATCCAAGGATTTCGGTGATTGAGGCTGAAGCGAAGAGAATATTGGCTTCAGGTGACAGATCTAGGGAAGCCCGTAAAGTTAGTAAACGCAGAGCAAAAGTATCGAGCGGTTGATAGAGTTTTTTCTCCCCCAGCAAGGTCGAAAGGTTAAATATTTAGCCACGGGTACTGACTGTGAATGGTTATAAAAGTATGCTCCATTGCACCGAAAATTTCTTCCATTATTTCCTGTTTTATGAATGAAACTGTATTAGGGGTCAAGTGCCTTCCGTTCCAACTCTAACACAGCTTACTGAAGGCCTGCTATAGGGTCTGTGTGGACAGGCAAGATGTTGTTTTCCAAGCTTCCTCTGATAAGGGCCGTTGGAGTGATGGCAAGGTTACAAGACTCGTGTTTCGCGGTTTCCTCGGTTGTTCAGCACGGGAATGGAAGTGCTCTAGGCCAGCAGGCCAGAGGGGGTGTCTTTGAATAACCGAGTCTTGTATGACATGGATTCCCGTCGCCACGGTCAGAGAGGTTGAGCCGCCCCAGGAGCTATCAACCAAGCACTTTTGTACGAGGTCCCGTACACAAATGCAGATACTAGCGTGGCGGCACTCTGCAGAAGACACTGAGGGGCCCCGTGGAATGGACCAGCCAGAGAGCTTCTGGGTCACCGATGAGTTGTTTTTTCTCCCCAAGTGACACAACGTTGCTTCGGTCCAATGCAGTCGCACGCGGGATGGACTTGCAATGCAACTGACAACGGTAGCCAGTCAGAATACGAGTCGTCGAGAAGGGTGCAGAGAATTGCAGCAGCTGGGCACACGACGTTGACAGGGCTGAGGGAAGAAGATCAGACGGTTGCAAATGCAGCAGTATTAATCACGAACGACGGCCAGTCAGCAAGAAACCGTGCCGATGTCAAAGAGACGGGACGAAAGAAGGGCCACAGAAGGATGATGAAGTGGTTCAACGTATGACAGATGCAGCCAAGTCAAGGAAGATGCTTGAAAGCCGCCGGTGCTTGGAGAGAAAAAGCGAGAGAGGTGGTGTTTGGTGACGGCACGGAGATGGTAGGGAATAAGATAATAAATAGAGAGGAGTTGCCCTGCTATCAATGTCAGCGTGGTGAAACGGCAAAATGGTTCATGTTATAGCTCACAGAACAGTAGCAAGCAACAATAAGAAGTATCCGTTCTTGTCGAATTTGATGCCGGCTGAACAATTTGGGTATTGATGTACCCTGACGCAGGCACTCCACAAACCGTCCACTGTCTGCCACAAACCAATCCAATGCCACTTTTACAGGGTGCTCACACTAAATCCTGGAGCGGAGAGACTTTATTATTAACAGCGAGAGAACAGGGGCCTGGGCGAGCCTGCGGCGTGCGGCCCTACGCACTAGACTAGCCCAGGGTTCGCTTCTAGCAGTGACAACTCCCGCGGAACGTCACAATTAGGCGAATGCTGTTGAAAAAAGCATGGCCGGAGGATCGACTCGCTAGTCTCCGTCGCGCTTAGTCTCGAAATTACCAAGTACTCACACAGTTTGCACATTTTATACCAGGGTCGCGCTTACTACTGTATCTGTCAGGGAAAGCGATCAACCACCGAAACGAAAGCACCAGGCATCTATCCTACCGTAGCTAGTCTAGACACAAACAGAGCCATCTGGCCATGTCGCAAAAACCAAGAGATGAATCTAAGCATAACCCGTGTAGGTCAGCTCGTACTGCGCTGACATACCCGTAGCGCTTGCTTTCGATACCAGTCTATAAGCTCTGCCAGCCCAGTGTATACTACGTACAATCATTCAAGGATGCTTGTATAGTGGAACATTTGCAGCACGCCTCATAACCCAAAACATGGTTATGTGGAGTCGCCAGTGCTCAATGTTTAAAGCGATCAATAGAGCGCCTCGTTCTAATGTGAATATATGACTACTTCAAATGTCAACATGGTATGCCGTTACTCGTTATATAGCATTTCATCGACTAACCACTGCTTTACGTTAGTAGCAGGTACTATAACACGTCCTATAACAAATTTGGTCCGGGTATATGCTTTGTTCCACGACGAAATCTCTTATATAAATGATCAAGCGATATCATCTCCAAGGACAAGAACAGAGATCAACTTTCGGGTGTTAGACGACTATTCCGGTAGAGCTTGCGAGAACAGGGGCCTTTGCGGAGGGAGAAAGCCTTTTTCAGCATGGCTGAGATTCGGAAGCTGACAGGGGCCGGCACATGGGCTTCCGCTTCCTGACAGCACCAGTAAACTGCGCTGCCTTCGAGCGCTACATGGTAGGTGTGACCTTTTGGTCGAACACCCTTGAAAAAATAATGAACCAGGCTCTCGGGATATACTACTAGGATTCCAAGTTGAGACTGCGGGAGCCCTTAAGCGACAGGCATGCAAGACATACAGGACCTTGGGTGAAGCCGTGATTTGCTTCGCAAGCTCAGCATCTACATACACTTCTAAACATACTTGGCTGCAAATTCCTCCACAGCTAGGAAAAAAATATCAGTTAGAGTATATCTATCCTTGACCGCAAATTCGGCTTACTGGCGACTCGTAACAGGCCAGGCTGATGATAGATGACCATGTAATGCTGTCGGCAATCATCTTGACAATAAAAATACCGAAGTGCTCTCTGTCGTGAAGTGACATGTCTCTGGTTCAAATTGGTGCGTTCGGTGGAGATACGCCTCATGGCCCTTCTGGTGGAGCGGGATTACGCAGTACCTCCAGCAGGGCCGAAATGGATACACTGAGGAGCCGTTCTCCTGCAATGAAGCCGCTTGACTGCCACCAAAGATCTTGTTTAGTCCGTCCACGCCATTTGCAGTTGAGTGTGCACGATACGATCAAAGGGTGTAAAGTTAAATAAACCTATTCCCGCATTGGTTCCGTTCACGAATTAAAGAGCCCCGACAGTATGATATCGGGACTACAATCAGTGGTTCTGCCATCATCACCCAGTACCGTGCTGACGGATAAGAAAGGGCCTGGAAAGCTGTCGAATCTGATATTTCGTGCCAGAGACTTCATCAGCAAGAGTGTTGCGTACTGTGCAGATGCTGGATTGGTAACTGTGACAGTACAAATCGTCAATCACAAACCCAACGGCTCACGCTTGACTAGTCGCGAACCGCAGCCGGGACTACATGGCGGATTATAGTTCTGGAACAACGGAGCCTAAGGGGAAGCCACAACTTGCGTGCCGCTGCCGTGATCGTCAAGCTCTAGAGTATCTTAATGGCCGAATCGTTGCCATTGTTTGCTTTGACATCGGCTGTGGCTTGGTTAATCGCGAAGAAAGGTGAGGCTATTTAATTTTGTGAAGGGTAAGGCAACTGGCGATCGATGTCAGATGAACGCGTCCCATGAGAGACCGTGAGCATCGAGCCAATCAGCTCGAAGAACTGCCGCATTTCCATGATCAACCCCACCAAAAGAGCAGGGGCACACGAGTGATAAGAACATTGGCATCGCCGTGACGAATAACGGCAAGCGATTGCTCGTCCTCGGAGTTACATGTTCTTTCGTACGAGAGCTTCTTGGAAGGAGTGCCGTTGAACACCTTTAGCGTGACAAAGCCTTTGACATATGCAAGAGCCGACCAAGCCGTCACAGCCGAAAAACAAAACAAAATCAATGCTAGCATACACCTATCAATATACCACACGCCATGAAAACATGGAGCATTTTCAGAAATGGCTGGTCAAAATTGGACGCCAGGTTGTGATAGCCTGTAGCCACTTAAAAAGCTAGACGGAGTTTGCCGTCCCGAATTTGAATACTCGAGGGTTTGTTTCGAACGAGCTATTGTCGAAGACGACTCTACCCTCCACACCAACTATTAGGGAACACAGGGAACATGTATACTGGACTGGGCAACTACGTCAAACCTGGTTATTGATAAAGTCTGTCAGTGCCAGAACTCGAAGCTCTTGGATGTATGCACAGTAGGTCCAGTTCGACCACTAACGCTTTCGGTCTCAAATAGAATTAGTACAACCAAACTCTCTTGTTTGATGGTTCTGTTCCTGCATTCACGGGCTGAACTAAACACCGGCTTATTCCGTATTTCAGCAAGCGAAACCAGTACGCCTCGGAGCCGGTGCACATTGTTATGGTTCGCCAAGTTGACTTAACCTACGTTAGGTACCACTTGCCCTTGCGTTTCGGAGGAAACAAACAGCATATGAAAGCTACATGTTTCATACATTGCGCTTGTATGCTAACCGTAACCTTCCAACTTGCTTGATGCCGATAGTGGAATGATACAACATACTCAAAAACACCAGGCAAAGTCATGCATTCGCAGTTGGGTTACAATGTGCGGCATGGTGGCAGATAAAAGACTACGTACAACTGCGTCTTGCAAGTGCTATCTCACCTCGTCAGTTCCAGTACAACAGCTGTTGATACTTAGCTTGCGTGCTGAAAACGTGAATTGTATATCTATTTCAGCAGTATCCGTGCAGAGAAGCTATGCACACGATTTTAGGTCGCAATTGTTCCGATAAGAGATAAGTTCCAGCTGTTTCAATGTGACAACTTGCACGTACCTCTGCTTGATCCTATCAAAAATTTAACATCGGGAGGTGCTGAAATAGCCCTCTAACATGATTTAATGACCGCAAAACACTGATGGAGCCCATCATGCCTTGCATCCTGTCCCGAGGTCGAGTCATAGGATTTTTCATTTTCGATTACTGAACAAACGAAAATAGGTGCCTCAATTAGCCCAGAGCAGGTCGAATTGGTTCCAGTGACATAGCTTTAGGACGACCATTCTCACTACCGCATCTGTGTCTGTTGTGTTTCGTGACGAAACTGCACGATACCGGAGGTGGCTGTCAACGAGTCGATGAATGAATGGTACAGTACTAGGTTAAGGCCTTGCTGCGAAGCTAAGCACTTACTGGGGTTACCATAAATTCATAACCATCCATTTACTACTGGCAAGGACCACGACAAGGGTGTCAGCCAGAATCCATGTCAACCTTGGCATTCGATTCCTTCGATTGCTGCAAGGAGGATTGAGCACTCGAGATCACTCACATTAATCCTCGTTATCAGAATCCGACAATAGCTTGGTTAGAGACCATTCGCAGCATTTGTGCGGTGTGCAAGCATCCGCCACATATCCGCCCCACGCCGAGTGTCCAACACGATACAACCGAGACAACAAGCGCTACAGACTGCCATTTGAAGTACCTTGAAAGATATTTCTGGCCAAGTTCGCGTGATAGACCCCTGTGCTCGGGATGCCATCAACTATTTTCAACGACGAATGGGATCTTCCCCGCCTCAAGGCGTCTATCGGGTTTGAGGTAAGATTACCACAGTCAACGTTTCCAACGTATATGTGTTGCTAATGGATATAGGATGATTCCAAGGAAGATACCGGTATGCTTGCTTATATTTCGTTACGCTTGTCGATACTGACCATCTTGTCACTGCTAGAGTTCTTCGATGTGAAGTTCTATCCGTACCTTCAACCTACGGACGACCCAGTATTTGCCGCCGTTAGTAAGAAACATGCGAGTATTCCATCATTGTGGTGCCATTTGTGCACTTTCTGGGGCTGACTTCGTGCACAGATTGTGATTTATCGACTGTCAAGCAATGTCAGTCCATTCATCGAACTTGTCCAAGTGCTGCGTGATGACGATGTAAGCTCAGCTGTATTGCTGCAGGGTTTCTATGCTGACCTCATGCCAGCAAGGCGCCGTTAATTGCAGTTGCACTTGGACCAAAGATCCTGAAACCGAGGTCCCCTGGCTTTGTGTAGCTGGGTGGGACGCGAAGATTAAGATTTACGATGTGATCAGTGGTACTTTAGTCAAGGTAATTCCTCATCTGCCGGCTTTGGGGCACTATACTAACTGGTCATAGACACTTGTTGGCCATGGAGCTGTGAGTTCTGAGAAACCTGAGGATTGTACGCTGGCACTAACATTGAGGAGGAAATCAATGACCTTGCCACATGCCCAAACAACCCTTCCATACTAGCTTCCGCTTCGCAAGATACAACGGTCAGGATATGGAGTCTTGATTCCTCTGATGAAGACCAGCCTTGCCTCGCCATTCTTGGGGGAGAAGGCCACTCTTCTGGTTTGTTGGCAACTGTAATACTATGCCATTGACGAGTCACCGTTGTATCACTAATGAATGCTCTCCAGGCATTTCACAATAGTGGACGATACGTCCTTTCTGCAGGCCACGACAATTGTGTTTGCATGGTAACTAGTTCTAAACTATTCTTCCGAGTCAGTTGTGCTAACTCACTTATGCAGTGGACATTGCCAGACCTCTCTGATAGACCCCGGACCAGAAACCCCCTTCCACCAGTAATCGTACACTATCCGCACTTCTTCACATCAGAGGTCCATAGTGGAATTGTCGATTGGTAGGCACCAGCCCTTTGTTTATGAGACTCCCCGCAGCTTACTGTAACAGTGTTGCATTTTACGGAGACATGATTCTCTCGCGAGCATGCCATGAGGACGTAATTGTTCTGTGGAGGATCGAAGGGTTCTCTTCCAAAAACCCACCACCATCTCCATCTGACGCCCCCACGACTAGCGACACTGAGCGGCTTACTCGATCGGCTTTCGTTCCAGTAACTGTATCAGCGGCTCCTCAATACACCCGCATGATACAATTTCATACACCTGGCAGTGGCCACCAGTTCTACATGCGCTTCAAGCTGTATCATGACACTGGGAAGCATCCAGTCCTCGCATTCTGCAATGCACATTCAAATGTTTTCTTCTGGGACTTGGCGCGGATCACGGCGTTTCACGAGTTTGTCACTGAGCTAAATAGGCCCGATCGTGACGTGCCTTTACAGCGTCCTAGCTGGCTACAACCCGTTGTGCACAGACAAAAGGCTGACCCGGTCAGTAAGGTGCGAGCCGACGCAGATGACAGGGACTCGGTAATATCGGGTCGGACTGGTAGCGATATTGACCCTTCAGCTAATTCTAACAACCACTACAGCCAAGAGACACTCGACTCATGGCATGATAGGTACGACTCTACCCGCATAGACGAAGCACTTAGGTCTCATAGCCAGAGCTCCGTGTCCGTCAAGGATTTTATTGGAAGACAGGTGGCTTGGAGTCCGCTCGGTGACTGGTGCGTTGTGGTAGGGAGCAAGAACCTCATGGTAGTATTAGCCCGCTGGCAGAAGAAGGAGAAGGACGACAGAAGATCTGGCCACTAATATCAGTTATCTTGCTCGATATTAGTTCTACATATAACAAAGTCATTGTCGGCGCTTGTGTGGGAAGTTGAGGGGAACGAGTGCACCAAGTTAGTGGCTGAACTGCCCTGGCCTTTTTTATGTGGTCAGTCTCAGACGGCTACCACGAAAAGTATGGCTGCCAGCTTACACCACAAGCGAAAAGAGCAATTAACTCGTTAAAATCAGGGCCGCATTTGAAGTCGTGCGGAACGCTAAGTGATAAGCATCTTATGCTGATTCAATGTTGATAATACTGCCTAGCAATCTCTGTAGTTCGTTTATAGACACTGACTTAGTTCTGTTTCCTTTTGATGGTCGTGCCAGTATTTGGGCTTGTTTTTCATAGGATATTTCAACAAGTGCCCCCCCTTCCCTATTATCTACGACAACATAGAAGCTTGATCGTCATCCGGGTCCAGGTAACGATTTAGCCATGGCTCCAGCTGTCCGCCTCTCTCTACTATCCTTTCGAATGTGACACTTGCCTGCTCTATTTCCTGCTCTCTGCGCCTTATAGCATCCCTATCATCCATGCCGTGAGTATTATGCGTGGCCAGGGAGAGTCCCTGCAATCTGTCACCTACGCTCCTGCTGTTGGCGCTACCGGACTTCAAAAGACGCGTGGGCAAGTACAAATCCCCAATGAACAGTGACAGCATACCTCGAAGTCTTAAAAGCTCGATATGTGTCGAGTATGGCACAGACTGCATCAGGTTGTCCATCCTCGCGGCGATTTGTTGTGCGGCTACTTGAGTCGCGTGACGCACCTCGTCACACGCTTCCCAAACCGTGTTTTCTTGCTCATACTGGCGTTTTTGTGTCTGCGTACCGTGATCCTCTTCTAACTCGTGCTGTGATGATGGCAGGTCAGACATGATCCCACTGTCGTCCGCGGGTATGGACGACTGATCGATCCGATGCAGTGCCCGTCTGCATTCAGCATCGATGTTGTAGATCTCAATACTGTACAGCGCAGGCCAGAAATCGACGGCGCTGATAGACCGTGGGAAGTGGTGGTCGTAGGGATTGTACTGTGCTAGAGTCTCGAGGTAATTGCGTACTTTCTCTATGTTGTTTGTTGAACCCCAGCGGGGAGGCTGTTGACTGGATACTTCCTGTGCTTCTTCTCCTTCAAAATGGTGTCCGTCCCTCCTTTCCTCGCCATCTCTCATCAGTATCTCAGTACCAAGGGTCCACATCTCATTTAACCGAATATCAACGTCTTTGGTCCTGATCAAGAGGCTGAAAGCCCGCTTTGCGCGTGGGATATCACCTTCGTGGATGCACCGGTGCAATATAGCCATCATAGTGTTCATGTGCTTGAACTTTTGCGAAGAGCTCGGGGTCATCTCAACCTCACTTTGCCTTTTAGACTCTCCGTCTGTATCAACATCAGCCTCCGATCCACTTCCAAGAGTTGACATCCTGCTTTGACGTCGGCCCCGCTGGCTTTGCACAGCTCCTGACTGCCAATTCGGTGGTAGTCCTTTGTGTGGGAAATTGGTGTGAATCTTGGAGGGTACCTCCTCCTCCGGCGAAAGACCTGCCAAAGCGAACTGGCGCAGGGTATTTGGGGAATGACTTCTTGGGTTGATGGCATCAGAAGGGAAGCGCGAGGAAGAGGCAATAATGTCCGTCTCCGGTGAGGCAGAGCCATCCATCTCATCTTTCGGGTTCCTCTTTCTCTTGCGCTGTGTTCCTAGCCGCCATGAAGGCACGGGCAGCGCAAAAGGTTCCATGTTCTAACACTGTTGTCTCAACACTGGCTAGATAGAACGTATCAACAAATATTTTGTCGGTGATCAGACGTTAACGAGAAAAATTCTTTTGCGACTGAGAGCCTGACGCTATGTAAGGATAGATGGAAAAGCTGTAATTGTGAATTAGCAGACGACAAGCAAATTGATGAGCGCATGACTTACATGCTCAATGACTTCTTCACTTGGGAAAACCGAGAAAATCCCTAGAACAGCACAACATGCCGCAAAATGCAGTAAGCAACGGCCGAGGACGATAGTTTGAAGTTCATATATCTCACAAGTACGAACAAATTAAATTTATGAGTCTCCGGTCGAGAAATATGTCAATGAATGACTACATACACTTTTTTGCACTTTCTTGCCATTGAGCAGCGGCTATGCGAAAAAGCGGGCATGCAAGTAGAGGAGCTTACTAGCTCCTAATGCAATAATCCAAGTTAGTCATGTGACGACTGGATTGGATGTTAGACTAGCTTTGGAACTTCATCATTGAAGGTGAAGCTATCCAGTGACAGAGCTGCAATTTCACAGCACAACTCCAAACCCAATCGTTGGACTTCACCCACGATGCGCCGGACACTACGACTCTTCGCCGCCGTCAAGCCGGTGCGCTACCTCGAGGCCGGTAACCCCACCGGTCTCACCGGTCTCTACACGCACAACTCGCCGCGCTCGACGCTGCTCTACCTCTACGGCTCGACCCTGGACAAGATCAAGACCGCCCCGGAGTCCTCGCTCTACCGCCAATCGATTGAGGCCCAGACAAAGCATCGCATGAGCATCGTCTCCGCCGCCGTACCGCCCGGATACAATGAGTGGCAGCAGAACGCCCAGAAGATCCTGAAGGAGAACCCAGAGGGCTTCAATATCGCCTCCCAGGCCGCCATCAATGGCGCACAGGCTCAGATCATCACGAGGGGAAACCAGATTTTCCTGATGCGCCACGATCCCATCAAAGAGGATGAGCGTTACGAGGAGTGGGATGGCGAGGTTGACGAGGGTGGCGAGAAGGAGGGTCTGCGCACCGAGGCTGAACGCGCGGACCAAGAACTCTTCTTCTCGAGAAAGCCCATGGAGATCAAACCCAAAGTTACATGGGAGCCTGAGCCGCAGTTGACTGCCGACCAGTTTGTTTCCAGAAGAACGCACTACTCATCCACGCACTAACGTTTGGCAGGGTTGAGGAGATTGAGCAGAAGATTGGTGCTGGCCTGATTGAGGAAGTCGTGCAAATGGCCGAGAGCGAGCTGAAGCTTCTTGACCTTATGCTTCAGGCCAAGCCGTAAGTTCATTTTGAATGTTATCTAATGGTTTCAGCTAACCCGAAAATAGGTGGGAGGAACTCGAGGAGAAGCCCGCTGAGGGCCAATGGACATATTTCGAGCGCAACTCATCGTAAGGGGCTAGATCCGGGACAGCACAGCATTTGCCATGCGTGATCTATTTGGGATCCGCTGATGTACAGTATAGTCTCACTTGTACATAAATTTAGAGCCGCTAGTTGCCAGGGGTAGTCAGAGTTGATATAAAACATCACTACATGCAGGCATTGTTGAGGGCATTGAATCACTAATAAAACTGGCTATCAGCTGAACACCGCCCACGTCGGAATGGGAATACTCGATGTATGTTTTGGTGTTGCCCAAACTGAATCCACACTACACCGTTCTGGGCGTCTGACAGGGTCAAATACATTAACATCCCACCTTGATTGGACAAATTTTCTCCAGAGCTCATGCACATATCCACGTAATCCAAAAACGTGGCTGGTTCACAGCCTTCCGCGATGTCAGAACATAAACAAAAGCAGTGATCAAGTCTCGTGACGTCCGCTCCGAGAAATGCGGTTACTCGAAACTAGCACACTCAAAGTCATTGATTCCTTTAGTATTGGCGAATCCGTGGCATATCAATATGCGATTCTATCTCACACCTGGGATGGAGATGAGTTGACTCTACAAGAGATGGAAGGTCCTCATAAGAAAATCAAGGAGAAGAGAGGTTATCTCAAGGTTGCAGGCGCGTGTGCCCTTGCGTTAGAGAATGGATTTAAGTACATCTGGATCGATACTTGCTGGTACGCATTGATCACAAATAGCAATGCACATCAATGCACATATAACTAATAAAACCATACAGCATCGACAAGACCAACAGCGTGGAACTCTCCGAGGCCATCAACTCGATGTGGCAGTGGTACAAGGAGTCAGCGGTTTGTTATGTCTACCTGGTAGACATACCGGATCACCTCAGTGCTCGAAATCTTGACCGTCGTGGGGATATGAAGTTCCAGACGAGCAGATGGTTCACTCGGGGATGGACGCTGCAGGTCAGTATTCAGGGTCGCTGATTTCCTGCTTGGATTATCTCGAGAGCTGAAGTGGACTCTGTTTAATCCTTCATGATCTCAAGGCCCCAAAGATGCTCCAAGATACTCCTGGAATACTATGATTGAGAGATTGCTAATCGGTGCGGGATGAGTAGGAACTTCTAGCGCCACGCTTCGTTGAGTTCTACGCCAGTGACTGGAGCGAGATTGGCACCAAATATAGTCTTGCGACTAGGCTGCATAAGATAACACGAATTAGTAAAGATGCTCTAGATGGGAAAGAGCTCTCCTCGTTTTCTGTCGCAGAGAGGATGTCCTGGGCCGCTAGAAGAAAAACAACCCGGCCAGAGGATATGGCGTATTGTCTGCTTGGAATATTCGAGGTCAATCTTCCACTTATCTACGGCGAAGGGCGTGGTTCCTTCTATCGTCTCCAAGAAGAGATCATGAAACGATATGAGGACTACACAATACTACTGCCTGGTTTCTGTGATGGGTCGCACATACCCACGCTGGACGAGGAATTGTTAGAAGAAACGATGGATTTAGATATGGCTTCTCAACCGCGTGAAACCACCGAGGGTTTCAAAATCCTGGAATACTCTAGTGGGCCGTGGAACACACATACAGGCCCGCGAAAGCCACTCATCGCCTCAGATATCCATTCGTTCAGAACGCCGATTCCGTGGTTCAACCAGCCTAGACCAGGAGCGACGTATTCAGGCATATATACTGACAACGATCGAGGTCCTTGGCGGAATCAGACGTCGCCTAGATTCACTGCTCGAGGACTACATATCAGCACAGGATTGCAAAAGTGCTCCGGGACGCCGTCTTTTTATCTACTTTATTGTAGATGCAAGATGAACGACAATCTGATCTGCTTGTTTCTTAAACGTGATGAGAGGAAAGACCTCATTCTTCGCCACATTGAACATGACAGTCGTTTTGTCCTCGTACCATCAAAATATAGAAATCGTTTTCAGTACAACGACGTCTACCTCGATACCACATTTCGGGACGATACGAATGCATTAAGCCGCTCAACAATAGGTGGTTACGGAGCTATGCTGACGATAGATCTCAGCAAGGTAACACAACGAGGCCTTACCGTCGCGACAAGCCACGCAGTCTACGTCGGCACAAGCTTCGGGCTGCAGGCACGCTGGACACCCTGGAAAACCTGGCGCTATTCTGTCCCACGGCTGGTAATCAATTATCAGGAAAACAGCATTGGCCCAACATTGGTGTGGTGTTCGATTCCAAAAGTTCGGTCTGATGTAATTGTGTTATTTGAGCAGCGAAGTTGTGAAATATTTCAAGGCACCCTTAACGGGAGTTCCTCTCCGCTTGCTGAGCTGTCAGATGCATCGAAATTCCCGTTACCGGAAAACTTGCTGCAATTTTTTGGCATATCGAATTTCGGTCTTGGCGAGTCGATATGTGATAGAGCCAGCACACTGATTAAGGACCTGTTGGTGACAGCGGCCATCAAGCGACGCGGACCTGGGGCCGGCCTTTTGGTCAGCTTCGAAACAGTGGTTGGCAGACAAGACGCGATGTTTTGAATATGGTGACCTAGACATATCTTTCTAGAAGAAGCACAGCACATGGCACTCCGCAATACTTGGCTACCAGATCCTAGAAAGAAAAGCAAAAAGGCGACGTTCGGCGCTAGAGTGCGGTTCGGTGCGTCGGCGGCTTGGCAAGCACATGATGTACTATGTAACCCAGATAAAAGTGTGGAACCGGAATTTCCGGTTCCTTGTTCGAATTGTCCTTTCAATCCCATCTCTCACGAGAGCGAACCATTATCTCACAGCGTGGTACGATTCGTGTTTGCCACTGCTCACGGAAGGATGTTAGAAACTAATGCGGAAGGTGGTGGTGCTTCTGATGTACGATTTGGGGGAACCTCTCGAGCAGCCAAGCTGGACCACCGCACACTTAAGTACCAACGTTAGACTAGACTACTACTAATGAAAATATCGGTGTTGTTCCACACTATAAGATCGGCTTGCCGACGGCCACGGAGCAGCAGTGACAGCTAAATCCGCACGGAAGTGGATGAGCCACCGTCTTGCAGGGCTGATAAGGACCTGCCCACTTCTAGGCCTTTTGTCGGCGCAAAACGTCACCCTGATAAAGGCCCAAAGAAATGGGCAATGGACGCCAAGTGGGACTTTTCGCTGCTTCGTAAAGCGCGATGAGATGCTGTACGGCCCATACTTTGCCCTGTGCGTTGGACGTGCGCCAGGGCGAAGATCCCGAGTCTTCGTATCCAATTCTGACGGAATCTCCTTTTCTGGCGTCTGGCTGGAACTGACCACTGTTCTTCGACTATTTATTTGTCCCGTAGGAATAGCAGCAACAGCGATGTCCATTCCGAACACCCAAATATGTCGACCACTACAACCTTAGCAGGAAGCAGAGCGCCGTCTGCTCATCTTGTATCACTTGATCACCCTGAAGCTTGTGGGGATAAAAGTACATCAAAGTTCCAGCCCGATTTCAAGCACGGAAAACAAAGTGAAACGCCATCTAGCGACACTGATGGCAAGGAAACTGGCGAAAGGTATCCAGGCAATATTGTTGGATGGGATGGACCCGACGACCCGGAATGTCCCCGAAATTGGCCCAAATGGAAGAAATGTTTCTTCGTCCTCGTCACCTCGGCGGTAATCGCAACTGTATCTTTCGGATCCAGCGTGTTCGCACCAGCCTCCAAAGTCACTGCTGTCGAATTTGATGTTTCTGTGATCGTCATGCGACTTGCAGTGGCACTCTGGATTTTGGGATTTTTTACAGGCCCGATCTTCTTCGGGCCGCTTTCGGAGCTTTTCGGCCATGCTATGGTGTTTTCGATGGCCATATGTGGTGTCGCCATTTTCCAGCTGCCCATTGCTCTCGGTGAAAACCTTCAGACGATTCTAATAAGTCGATTTTTCTCTGGTGTCTTTGGAAGTGCGGCATTCGCGACAGTGTCAGGAATGTACGTCGAGCTGTATGAGCCGATACCTCGAGGTGTTGCGCTGGGATTATCCTCGATATGTATTAATCTTGGAGCTACGATTGCACCCATCGCTGGTGCCTATATCGTTGATGGGTCTGGGTCACAGTGGCGATGGACGGCATGGGCGACCCTCATCGTCATGAGCACATTTGGTATCGCTGCACTTTTCGCTGTACGGGAATCGTCGTCAAGGATGATTCTGAGGCACAAGGCAAAACGACTGCGTTTCGAGACGGGGAACTGGGCGCTCCACTCCAAGTCAGAGGAGACCCGCGTTGAGTTCAAGGACATCATTTATCGTTACTTGACAAAACCCGTCCGGATGTTCATCACAGAGCCGATTTTGATCATATTCACGATATATCTGACACTGGTTTATGGCACCCTATATCTGTCGTTTCAAGCTTTCCCGACTGCGTTCCAGGAAAGAGGTTGGTCAACCAGAGCGAGTTCGCTACCGTTCATTGCCGTAGTCTGTGGAGTTATCTCGGCCTGGGGCGTACAATCGCTTTTCACCATAACCTGGTACAAGAACCAAGTTGTGAGACTTCACGGGCCTGCGCCGCCCGAGTATCGGTTACCACCGATGATGGTAGGGGCATTTATTCTTCCACCATCGCTCCTGTGGTTTGGATGGTCTGGAAATGTCCATCCTGCTTCACAGATTATCGCAACATACTTCATCGGATTGGGTCTAATGCTGATTTTCGTGCCCGGTATTTCGTACATCGTCGATGTGTACGGCTTTCACTCTAACTCGGCCATGTCCATACACGTTATTGTGCGAAGTTTGATAGCTTGTTCCTTCCCTATGTTTGGGAGTATAATGTACGAGAAACTGGGGGTAGCCTGGGCCTCATCAGTGTTGGCCTTCCTATGTATTGCCTTGGCGCCAGCACCTCTACTATTTTGGGTATATGGCAAGAAGATCCGAAGCTGGTCATCGTTTGCTTTTGATTGAGGGTGCGTTCAGAGATACCCCATAGAGTTTTAGATAATTATGTTATGGCGTAGAAGAAGTCTCATGGCCTTGTATGAAGCGTTGCTTATCTTCCTCTTGTGTTTGATTCTTTTTCGGACCAGATTGCTTTTGATACCAACTACTCGAACCGGTACAATTGGGTTCAGACTATTTAAGTCAACCATGAACTCTTGGTGCCTGTGATGGTGAGCATAGGCAATTCGACTCACGGGGTTTAATATACTTGATTTTGCTTGCGTTTTGCTTCATCCCAAACTCCTCGCTAACCTCGTATATTTTCCTTGCAGCCTATCCACGCTACCTAAAGGCTCCTGGAGCCCATACCACTAGCAAGTCTTCGATGCAGGCGAACTCGTCATTCTGACCTGCCAGTCAGACCATAATGACAACGCAGCAGGGATGTTGGTACAAGGGCAACCGAATATGAACATGCCTTACGGTTGGGAGCTACTTGAACAGTGTCGTGTAATGTACGCAATTTTGCCCATGGAACGGGCAAAATCCCATTTTTCTTGACTTGTGAAACAAAATCACTCCGGTGCGTAGACTTCCAAGCATAGAGTTCGCATGTAAACATTGTTTTAGTACCTGCCACAATATGAACGAAGCACGACTCGTCAGTCTAAGTGATCCAGGTGCGAAGCTGGTCAATGTTGACCACATGGCTGGATTAAGCAAAGCCTACAACTAAAAGCTTTGCTGTCCTTCTTAGCGCTTGCTCAAGAGTTGAGAGTCATATGTTTGTCAACCAAACGTCCCCATCTCCGTATCTCGATTTTTTTTTTTTTTTTTTGCTTTTCTTTGCTCTTCTTTTTGTTTTCTTTTTATAGCTTGAGGCTCCCGCGCGGGACCCCACCCGGAACTCCATTGGGATGATGGCAGGCAGAAAGCGAGATATAAAAGAGAATACGCAAAAAATTACAATGCGCAAATCTCCGAGGACCAGTATTTCGCCTGTGTGGGTTGTACATTTCTCAGCCGCAATGCTTGGCTCTTCACCAAGCAGAACCGTCGCGTAGGCGATGGCCACTCGGGCTGGCTCGCGTAAATTTGAAGGGGCCGACAGATTCCGAACGGACGATGACTTGCGGACGTGCAATCGTCACTCTATAGGCTCCCGGGCCGTGCCAGTGGAGGAGACGCCGAAGACTCTGGTCTTTACAGAGCGGCAACATTACTCCGTGACCGTCGATCAGTACACGTCAGCGCGTGGATGGGCGTCGTTCCCATGTCAGACTGAACCTGGCGCAGGTTTGATTGCCGACTTCGCTACATAGTACACGTGGTGCAGCGCCTTTGCCTCATTGGTTACGGTAATCGAATCAACAGGCCCTGGAAATACTCTGCAATAGCGCTCAGGCGCTGTAGCATGGCCATGGGGAAAAAAAACCCCCGCGATGACGGTTTGGGATTGCGCTGGAAACAATTTGTCGCGAGCCCATGACGGATAAAATCCTTCGCTAAGCACTGCATGTCTTCGAAACGAATGCGCCGCATAAGGAGCGCCGAGAAGCGCGAAAGGCAAGTTATCCGTCTGTCCTGGAGCGAATCTACCCTTTGGTGGTCACGCGACCCCGCTGAACTAGGTTGACTAGGTTGCTGGAGCCCGGGTAGTGCCCAGGGCATTTTTATTTAGTGGAACCATAAGTATGTATTCCGTTGGACGTTTCCATTAGTTACGGATAGGATTTCTTGGTATTGATCGTGATCCCACTTTACCATGCTGGACCAAACTGGACCCCTATCGCTTTCGCTCCAGGATACACCTCCACGAATGATGCATTTCTTGGCCATGTCTGCCTCTTGCCGCCCTGCATGGTGGCCGCGGTTTCTGCCTCTCTGATTCTTGGCACGGTTAGGGCGGCATAAGCTGGTCTTGATCATCATTGTTCAGCCGCCAGATGGCGAATTCTCCCAGATGGGGTTGTTTCGTTTGTCTCTCCTTTTATTCGGACGTCATTTTCGCCAACACTGGAGGACAATTCACTTGAGTTAATCCAATTCAGTGCACGCTCTCATCGTGCTTGACAGGACCCTTGACGGACAAGACACCTGATACAGTTAGTGCTCGCGCCCGATGTCAATGTGAGAGCCGTCAGCGAGCACCTTCTTCTTTTCGTCGCTGGATAGATGTTTTCGTGTCCTCGTATTAATTAGCTGTGTTTGTGATTTCCCCCCTCCAGCTCTCATTCTTACAAGTCCTTTTGCTCGATCGGTTTTCACACATGGGGGTTCCTCCCAATTTCGTTTCGAGCGATATGCCAAACCAGTTGTTGCGCTTGTTTCGCACGAATCCTCATGTCGCAAAGATATTGGCGAGGCGACGGTTCGTCGTCGCCTTAGGAATCCCACTCGTGATTCTTTGTAGGTTATCTCTCAGTACCAAACTTTATTCTGCGCAAAAGGTCTGACAGGCATTATTTGGGTACAGTCATGTTGATGTCCGGATTTGTTGTTGATATCGACACACGTACGTTGACGTCTGACACCCTGAATGGTGTTCATGTCGGCCATTCACAGTCAAACTCCTCTAATGCGCACTCAAATTCGTCGGTAACATTGACAGAGCGACCGATAACCGCATACACGTCATACCAACGACCTGGGTATGATCTCCCCCTGGCTCATGGAATACCTTTGCGCATCTTGGCCCTAGGCGCCTCAACAACCCGAGGCGATAGCGTGGCGGAGGTGGATAATAACGGGTTTCGAAGACCGCTCAGACAAAGATTGACGACCCTGGGTAATAAAGTAAACTTTGTCGGCACAGAGAGGCTTGGAAATATGACCGACAATGATATTGTTGCAGGACCAGGAGTCCGAGTGGACACTATCCATGGAATGGCCGAACAGATTGTGTCTAAGAGCAAACCAAATCTTATTCTTGTTAACGCAGGCACAAACGATTGCTTGATGCATGTCGACATTGACAACTTTTACAAGCGTTATGACAATCTGGTGCAGTACCTTCTCATGGCTTCACACAAGGCGACCCTTGTTCTTGGAACACTGCTGCCGACCTGGAATACTCAGTTCGACGGAAGGGAAGACGTGTTTAGGGTCAACCCTCAGATCCGCAGATTGGCAAAAATCTATCAGAAGCAGGGATTACCAGTTGTTCTTGCTGAGATGCAAGGACCCGATGGCATTCAGGATGAGAATCTTGCTGAGGATGGTAAGAGTCGAGAGCAAAAAAAGCCATCGAGCCAAGCGCTAACTCGCGACATCAGGCATGCACCCGGCAACTGCGGGATATGAAATGATGGCCACGAAACTGTTCGAGGCCATAGTCGAGGCCGATGCCAGAGGATTTTTGCAGCCAGCTGAAACGGTTCCCTGGATTTCAGATGACGGCGAAGAGGGTAGGAAAGACGAATCCAACTACCAAAACTGGTACAAGCAACAACGAAACCTGGAGACCGAATGGAAAGCGCGCGAGGAGTCAGAGATGGCTAAGATGGAGGCCGAGCTCGAGATTATGAGACAACAACGCAAGGCGTCTGGACAGTGATACCCCTTTGATTTCGATAAACTACGAGGTAAATTATTTATCAGGCGTACAGCTAGTTTCTAGAGAGAGCCAAACAAGCTGCCGTGCCAGCTATTCGGGGCTTAAACCTGTCAGGGTCTGCATTTCTAGACATTCAGAAGGATAAAAGCCGGCTGGTCATCCGGAGTAGAATTGAGATCAACGACTGGGTCATATCAGGAGCACGGACACGAGAGCTTGTAGGTTTACTGCACGAGGCTGGCTCGCCTGGGATTGGTATGTTTGGAACACTTGGATTCAAGTTTGAATGCAGCCAACAGCAAGCTTACAACACTGTCTGTGGGCGAAAACGAGGTATATAGTAATGTAATATGTTCACAGTCACTACGGTCAACCTAAACTACCACATCCGTACGATGCGACAAAGTGGCGTGGGCGACAAGAGATAGAGCATTACGAGTCAGTAAAAGTACGATTATAGTATAGTATAAGTGGGCTCGTTTCAACTAAGCAGAAATGCAAGTATTGGTTGTATAGTGTAGTGGTTAGCACGTGGGATTTTGATTATAAAAATTGAAATCTTCCTGAGACCCCTGTTCGAACCCGGGTACGACCTCTCAAAAATTTGCTTTTGCTGGCCGCGATGACTCCTTTTTGGAGACGTTAGCGGGGTTCACTCATTTATCTTTTGGCTAATGCATTCCGTTGTCGGGGAGTCCACCACGTTCTGCAGTGGCGTATATTTTGTTCCAAGGAGTTGACTGGCTGGTGTGATGCATACCACATCATGTGCTTTCCGCGAAGTTGTATATATGTATGTATGCATTTTTGTATAGCTTTATAACATTTTTATCACACAAACAAGTCAATGTTGCACAGCGTGTGAATGAACAGCAACGACTCCTCAACCGGTGCCGTGGTCCCTATGCAGATGTACACAATATCAGAGATAAGCACTGCGAAACGCACCCTGCCGCGGGGTAAGAACATCCATGGCGGGGCAAGCAGCAAGCACATCATCGCGAGGCGAGCTGGCGCCAGGGCGATTGGTCAATTAGTACGAATGAACGACCGTACTGCACATCGATAACCGGGGCCAGTTATAAGCACGAGGCCTTTTTATTATTATTATAATCCAGTCACATCTTTTGCCTAGAAGTGGTTCCTTCCTCTGTAATCTATACGTGTTTACTAAACCTTCATGTTCCCAAGAACAGCTCTGCACACACTTCATACGCTTACACGACGTCGCCCAACCCCATCTGCCGTTCCCTGCGACCTATCCGCATTGATCCGCAGAGTCAACATGTCTTCCGCCGTAGCCAAGCGCCTCTCCGGCAAGACCATCGTCATCACGGGCGCCAGCTCTGGAATCGGGCGCTCGACGGCTCTCGAGTTCGCGCGGACGTCGCCGCAGGACTTGCGTCTGATCCTCACGGCGCGGCGAATCGATGCGCTAAAGGAGGTCGCAGCCGACATCACAAAAGAGGTCGGGGACGGCGTCAAGGTCTTGCCCGTCGAGCTGGACGTTTCGAAGCCGGACCAGGTCAGAGAGTTTGTAGGGAAGCTGCCGGAGGAGTGGAGGAACATCGATGTCTTGGTCAACAATGCGTAAGTTACCGCCTATGGACTTGGTTGGGTTGGGTTGGGGTATCGCTAGCCGTGGGGAACCCAGTATGCGCAGCATCACTGACAATTATGACGATGCTACAGAGGCCTGGTGAAGGGTGTCGCCAAGGCACCTGAGATCGCTGAGGCGGACATCAATGAGATGTTCGCAACGAACGTGACGGGTTTGATCAACTTGACACAGGCAGTCTTGCCCATTTTCTTCGGCCGATCAGATGGAGGCAAGGGAGACATCGTCAACATCGGGAGCATCGCGGGCAGGGAACCATACCAGGGTGGTAGCATCTACTGCGCAACCAAAGCCGCAGTGCGTAGCTTTACAGAAAGTTTGAGGAAAGAAACTGTTGCATCGCAAATTAGGGTCATTGAGATCGATCCTGGCCAGGTGGAGACGGTAAGTTAGAAAGAAGAACTTGTCAACACTTTGTGTTATTGCTTGACCGCTGACAGTTCAGTAGAACTTCTCTGTGGTTCGATTCTACGGCGACAAGTCGAAGGCTGACGCAGTTTATTCGTATGTCCCCATCGTCCCCGTTGACTACATGTAGCTGACCATTTCTAGCGGTGTGGAACCCTTGACACCAGATGATATTGCAGAGGTGGTGGTATTTGCGGTGGGAAGAAGAGACAATGTTGTGATTGCTGATACTCTCATTTATCACAAACACCAGGCAGGAGCTGGTCTGGTTCATCGAAAGGCCTAGAAGTAATGGAAACATGTATATTGAGCGATATATATATATATATATATTTAGAATAGAGCAATGTAGAGTGTACAATTGGCATTGTGAGGCATCGCTGTTGAGTCAAACTCGAGGGCCAGTTGCCCATGATTTACGAGACCTACCAGAATGAAATTTGAGGCAATTGTTACCTGATCCGAGATCTGTTCCGAATTAGCTAAGCCCAAGACAAAATATGTACTAGTGATTTGAGTAGAAATTCTTGGGTCAGAAAGCCGTATTACTCATTCACCAAAAGCCGGCATCCAACTGGCAGACCTCAAGACGATGCCTGACAGTCGAACGCACTGGAACATCATCACGTCCGAAGACAACTCCACAACTGATCATCGATGCCCTAAGACAACTACAGTGCGGGAGGGTCGCTCGGCTCCGGTGACATAGTTGAATGGATAAACGCGTTTCATCATAAAAGAGCGGGCGATGGAAGAAGAGTGCTGTCGTACCTAGTGGAGCTATAAAGTACAAATGCACGATGCGAGAGATCCTTGAATACTGTTTCATGTCAGTCAAAGGCCATCCGACTAGCGACATGTAGATAGAAGTTGGAGGTTGAAATGGAGTCAGAGAATGTTTTGGTATGGGGTATCATCACAGTGCTTCAGAAGCAGAACTGAAAATAAAGGTTCTCATCACGGACATGGGTTGTGTGTGGAAAGGTAAAGATGGACTTACTGGAGGATGTTAGAATAAGTGTGAACGCAAGCAAGCGCGTTCAGGGCATTAAACCACCAGAGTTCTAAATGAGAGTCAGCCGAGCGTTCCTGGGTAACATCTCAAAAGGGTTGTAATGTTGATGGTGCTTCAGATGGTGATGCATGTTAGTTCTGCGCTCATGGAAATCGCTAAGAACTGTGGATAAAATATCATCAACAGCAGGGGCCGGTGAGGGAGGTGGAAAGAGCGCAATCATGCATTGGAGACTTACGCTGTAACGGCTGTTGACACTGCGACTCCTACCTCGTCGACCCAGGATGAAGCAACACAGACAAAATCCGCGAATGAGGAGCAATTCCTAGGAAAACTCTGCAGCGAATATCGTGAAGCCGAGAGTATCCCAAGGAATCGCTCAACATGGCAAGATGACCCGGAAGTACTGTCGCTCATGTGTTGTCATCTTTGGGTCTGGTCGAGAGGTGGAAGTCGCATGTGTAACAGTAGGAAGAAAATTTAAGAAGGGAAACGCGGGTGGCAGTTTTGTTTTGGAAGCTCGAAAATTTGGTCTGAAGGTCGGTGACAACTGTGGCCGGTGCGTGAAGCTTCCGTGGTGGGGCAGGCTGGCAGGCGTCGGGATTCCTTGCAGGGGCAGAGGGGAGGGAAGTGCACGTCAGTTCAGTCCAGTGGTCGTACTAGACTAGTCTAATCTAGCCTCAATTATTTTTCATCATCAGCGTACTACCTAACGCGCCATTCTGAATATCATATCGTGGTGCAATAACTCACAGCCCTCGCAAACAATGGCCGACAGAAGGAGGATAAATGGCCCAGTCGGCAATACGACGCCGCCTGTATTCGAGAAGCCCCCATCTCGCCCTAAATCAAAGCCGTCAGATTCCATTCGCAAGATATGTAAGTCTGTTGGCGGGGCATGCTGAAGGTACAGCAGCTCGTACAATTGGACATGTGCTGATACTTGGGCAGTCCTGAAGACTGGCGTCACTCCCTCGGCTTCTGGGTCAGCTTATCTTGAACTCGAGAGCCGCCCCGGTCCCAACAAGACAAGCATAAAACTCTCATGTACCGTTCACGGACCGCGAGCGCTTCCTCGATCAGCACCTTTCTCTCCCCACATCATGCTCACAACACACGTCAAATATGCCCCTTTTGCAACGAGGACACGACGCGGTTACATTCGCGACTCTAGCGAACGAGATCTGGGAGTACATCTAGAGACGGCACTGCGGGGTGCCATCATAGCGGATCGATGGCCTAAGAGTGGTGTGGACATTATTGTTACCATCATCGAAGGAGACCAGGATCGCCATGCTCCCCACAACCAGGACAGCGATAATTGGGATATGCTCAACGTCTTGGGTGCATGTGTGACGGTGGCCTCGGCCGCAATTGCGGATGCAGGAATCGATTGCGTAGACACGGTGGCTGGTGGAGTTGCCGCTTTGGTCTCCAAGGACGATGGCACACCACCCAGTATCGTCGTGGATCCCATCGTGTCCGAGGACCAGAAAATACTTGCAGGTTGTTGTGTAGCATACCTGCCAACAAGAGACGAAATTACAAACGTGTGGTTCAAGGGTCAACTACCGGGTGGAGATATCCTGGTCTACAACAAGATGACGGAGAAGAGCTTGGTGGCATGTCGAAGTGCAAACAGGGTCATCGTTCAAGCCCTGAATGAGACAGCAAAGAAAGGCCAGGAGGCCACTTGAGAAGCGACCGCGTACACCCAGTATTATATGGGGAGGTATGAGACCCCAAAACCAGGAGTGGAACTCAGCTCTACTCTCCCTATCGCCAAGGTCTGTGGTCGGTCGTGTTGCATACGTTGGGGCATTCCCGTGGCAAGCTCTGCTTGACCAGACAGAACAGGGAGCTACTAGCGAACAGCACCAACACCAACTCAGCCTGCAGTTGTTTAAGTACGGCCGACAACTCTGCTCTACTGGCCCTGGCAGTGAGGCCGCTTTGCACCGACGATGAAGAGCACTTCTGCTCGAGCAGTAGACAATGCACTTGGCGTTGGACAGGATGGAAACCTAAGCTAGTCGGTAGAGCTCTACCCAGCGTGACATGATTATACCCAATGACAAAACGAACAAATGTACAGATCTCAAGACGTGTATGACCTATATCCTGGGAGGGGAGCCTATTTGGGGACTCTGGCGACTGGTAGAGATTTTTAAGGACATTGTCTACATGTGTTAGGATTAGTGGTCCTTGCCACAAGGACTATTGCTCCAGAACACAGTGCTTGAGGTTTCGTTTGTTTGTTTGTTTGTTTGTCAATTTGTGTCGTTGCGTGTCGGCCGTCGAGAAGTTAACTTGGTACTAACTGAGCCTACATACCTATTTAGCGGGCATGTGGGCCCACACGCGCTGTGAAACGCGCTGCGGGAAAGCAAGTTGGACCCGACGTTCCGGGTGAGGCGCCGTCACATCCAAATGCTGTGAATGCTATCATGTGTACATGATTAAGCCATGTATGCTCTGCTGTGCTACAAATACAATAGTGAATTCATGGGTGCTCTTTTGTGCCGAGTACCTTGACTTTGATCTTACAGCAGAGCTTGCCTTGAGGGGGGGGGGGACCTACACCTCAACCCACTTCCCCAGCCGTGACCTCCTCTACCGTCACCCGTCAGGTTTATTCTGTACATTTACCAAGTCCATCGCATCTTCTTTTCTTCTCATACCGCATCACTCCCGTATTGTACCCCATCGTACTGCGCATGATATTCGCCCCAACGATGCATCCTCCAAGCCGGCGGCACTAGCAATCCAATAAGACAAGACCGATCTCTGCGGTGAACTCTATCACCGGGACGACTTTCTGTCACCATCATCCGACATTCCTGGCACGGTAGAGTAGCCCGTAAGCAAACGGACCATGGCATCCCCAGGCGCTGCCGTCATTCCCGCACCCACGGCTCTCGACAACTCAAGCATGCTCCACAACCTTACTCAATGGACTTTACATCACTTGCGATTGCCTGTCAACGTCTCGCGATATGCCGAAGACCTGCTCCTCGCCGGGCCTAGGATGCTAACCAAGTTAGGCTCCATCATATCTTATGCGGACACCGTCGACGGGTTCGGCCAGCGAGTTATTCCCGATCCCACCGGGTCCGACCTGTTCCTTACCACCGCCATAGTAGGAAGTACGACTTCCGACCTGGCCGCCGAAGCCTCCGTTGCTGCCGCCACGGTCGCAGAGATAGTAGACCAGGACCCAGGCGCCATGGCATCTCGGCTGAGCTTGGAAGGGGCAAAGGGGCTGGGGAGCGTATTCAGCTATGCGACAAGCAAATGGGCGCTTTGTTGCGTAGCCATGGCCATCATACTCAACAGGACGCACATCTTCGCCGCGAGCAGACGCCGACTTCGCTTGGCATGGCACATCCGCTTCCTCCTCCGCATCCTCCCCATTGTCTGCTTCCTCTACCAAGCTCGAGAAGTCTTACAGTCGATGCAATGCCAAACGTCACCCGACTTCGCCGAAATGCGCTGGGGCAATGCAAGCAAGTCATCGGACTTGCTGTTCACAGAACCAGGAGGTTATCTACATACAATCAGCTCAACCCTACTGCTGGGAGCTAGCGACTACGACTCTTGCCGGGCAGTTAACATGGTCCCAGACGAGCATCAGGTCTCTGCCAGTGAGCTTCGTGGCTCATTGTCCCTTCTATGGCCCTTGTTCGGAACCTTTTGCTTGAGTCACTTCTTGGAGACTGTGTCATGCGCCGTACAAGGCCGTCCCGTGGCTGTGGAGACGGGCATGACACTCTTTGAGCACTCTCTCGCTTTTGCGGAAGCCGATGCTGCTGTGAGTAACCAGTTGGGCTGGGGACTGTTCGGCAGCGGCGGCAGCCCCAACGTCACTTTCACCCAGGGGTCCACGGGCGCCAGCATAGCCGTGTCTCGGTCCATGATCATGAAGAGAGTCAATACGCCCCCAGAGATTCTCCTCGTGGCATTCCTATCCGCTATGAGCCATGTGACCAGCCATGTGCTTGGAGTCTTCAATCTACAGCACAGATTCCGTCTCGTCAACACAGGCTTTTGGGCCATGTGTTTTATGAGCAGCATTGTGTTCGAAGCATTCAATTTCTCTTTAGATGACCCATCCAACATGGGTCTCTTCAGGTTTCCGACAGTCTGTATCATTGGTTTTATTCCACATGTCATGGTCTTCGTCGGCATTTTCATCTGTGCCCTGATCTATGGCATTGCGCTTGTTCTTTCGGCACTCTCGCCGCCCCCAGTGCTAGAAAACGCCCAGCAGCTCAAGTTCAGGCAACGCCTACGCCTGGCACATGAGAATATGCAAGCCAACATATCATTGTCCGACATCCGTGTCAGCCGTGATATGGACTTCTACACGGCTCTGCTAAGGATAGGTTTCGGGGTTATCACAATGGCCAGTGAAGCTGTTTATCTCAACGAGGACCGCAGTGTCAACATCAAGCAGCTTACATGGTTGGAGGAGGAGCGTTTCAAAGAACTGGAAAAGTTCCGAATGCAGTGGACGGGATCCAACTTGGGCGATTCACGATATGATCAGGCAGGCACAATCGGTCTCATTCCGGTCAAGGACAACCAGCTCTCCGCCTCAAGTGGCTACGCGAGGGAGCGTGCCGCGCAGAAAATCCCGAAAACTAGAGCAGGAGACAAGAGAGTGAAGGATGGCGTGGGAGCAATCGAGCGGAGCTCGCGGTGGATACTTGCGCTTGATTTCATCCTGAACATCAATCGTCTGATATTACGGTGGCTTTCTTTGGTCATTTTACGGGGCCTTGCTGGGGTGGGAATAAGAGCACGACCTCGCTTCCTACTCTGGGCGTCGCGCCGACCTAAGCCGAGTAAGAGGGACGAGCAAAAAGCAGAAACGACTGCGACAGCAAGCTCGAGCGGCCGAGACAATCAGTCCATGCTCTATAACGATGAGGGTGCCGACGTCGAGTCCGAAATGATGCTGCGTCTGAGGCATACCCCCGAAACAGCCAACATCTCTTGGGCAGATATCGACAAACGACTCTACCAAACATGGAAGCACGGAGGACTCTGGGGGTCAGTAGACACAAGTGGCGAATGGGAGCCAGAATCAGACGCAGGAGATTGGGACACCACCAGTTTGCTCGACAGTACAGCAGGAAGCGAGGTTGGCGCAAATGATCGCGATACATATCCATGGGAAGATGAGGACGATCTTTCTGACGGACAACGCACACCAACACAGCGATCTCATCTCACCTCCAGGGAACATACGCCTCTCGATGCGAGCATAGCTATGAGCGACCTGGCTCGTCTCCTTAATCCCTCAACTGCAGAGGAACGTCAGGAGGCCCAAACGCTTGCTGCTCATTTGACAAGCGACCGCATCATGACGCGATCGGCGTATGCACGCCAGCAGGCGGCGCAGCGGACGCGAATCCTTACCACAGCTGTTCGTCCCGGCCGCGAGCGCAACCGGAGGATGACGCCCGAAGAAGAGGCGGAATCGCTCGAGCAGCTCATCCTCTCCCGCCGCTCTGCACCTCCCGCGGGTCGTCCCACACAAAATGATCTAGACAACGGCACCGAGAACACGGGCTCTTGGGCTGGGTTGGGTGATAATAACGGAGAAAACGGACCGCAATGCGTTGTCTGTCACAGCTCGCCCCGGACAGTCATCGTGTGGCCTTGCCGCTGTTTGAGCCTCTGCGATGAATGCAGAGTCACGTTGGCCATGAACAACTTTGACAAGTGTGTCTGCTGCCGCAGAGAGGTCATCAGCTTCTCGAGGATTTATGTGCCTTGAAGACGGGGGGTGGGTGAAAATTTCCTAGGAGGTACACCCGCTTTTGTGGCCTTTTTTTCTCCGTCCTTTTTTTTTTCTTTCTTTTTTCGTCTTGTTTTCTTTTTGGGATCATTGCTAGGAGTTATGGGATTCACTGGGTTTTTGTGACACGCATGACCACCATTATTTTTAGGAGAACAGCGAAGGGAGTTCGGGCTAATCAAGCCGCAGAACTAAGGGACATCCTCGCAGACAATGTGCTTGTTCTTGTATCTACTCTCCGATACGGAAATCCTACTCTCAGTATCTGGTAAATGGCGGGTTATCACGAAGATATGCTTCCTCGAACTAAGTACTGGCTAGTTTGATATTCACTATGTTGACCTAGCACACCTGGCCAACCCTACATAGCAGCCCACTCGATACTGAAGGCTCGTACCGGCGGAATAACCTTGCTCTTTCTGTTTACGGCGAGGTCCTCCCGGGACGGAGCCTCTCCTGCTTGGCTTTGGCCGGCAGGTATCTCCCCACCTATCAAGTAAGCCTTCTTGACATTTGTGCCCAGCCTTCCACCAGTGACAAGATCGAGTAGTTTGATCTGCTCCCTCCACCCATAGTGAGTTGCTTGGAAATGACTATGATACCTCAAAGGGTCGCCGGGATAGACGTTGTAATCACATCCAAACCGCAAGCCGGGCATCATGAAGTATCCCTTGTTGTGCAAGTGAGCATAGAGAGCGTAGCCACGCGGAACATCGATCAGTGCCAAAGTATCTTCTTCAGGTGGGGGGGTCAGCAAGGCACCACTGGTGACTGGCGTTATGGCATATGGCTCGACGGCCGAGCTCTGCGGCTTTGCTTTGGGCGCGTTCCTGTCAGGCGCATCAAAAAGGGTGGGCTCTCCGGCAACAGAGGACGTGTCCCGGTTAGGCAAACTACTATTTTCGGCTGCTGAAGAATCCCGCTTTGCCTTTCTGTCTTTCTTATTCTTACCCTTGCCTTTGCTCAAGGCCTGAGATTGCTTGTATTCCCTCAGCTCACGCGCAGCTGTGGCTGCACGAGTACCGTCGGTCTTGATGGCCTGCAGGTAAGCGGCACGCGAGGTGGGGTCCAGGGATGGTATGCGCGAGGGATGGAAAACAGAGTCATCGACGACATAGGCTGCCTTCTTGCCGACAAGCACCATGGCCTCTTCTACCATAAGCTCGACAGGCAGTCCCATGAACACGCTTTGTGACGGAGCTTGAGGCATAGTCCCCACAAAGGGAGAGCAAATATTATGATGCCGGCGCAAATACATGATATCGTCAATGTCGAAGACGAGATATCTGTCGGTGACCTTGGAGATCCGAATCGGCAGTGCGACAGTCTCTGACGCCATTGCAGCAGTTTGCAGCAGTCCTATCGAGTTCAGTCAGCGAGGAGCTCTCGAAAGAATAGTAGGATAACAGATTTGTGGTTGAGTCGATGATCATTTTAAAAAGGATTGAGATAATGGTGTCAACATGTTCGCTTTCAGGGGATTGACAGATTATTATTTGGTGTAATCAGGTCATCATGGAATGGTAGGAGATGCGCCAAAAACTTACCTTGACTTTGCTGGTTGGTTAATGAAGAAGAAGCTGTTCCGAGCTCAAGCTTTAACAAAATATAAAAACTTTCCGAGACGTGGGGTCGGCGTAGTGGCAGATGGCACAGCCCCATAAATCGCGTTGCCATAGGGTGCCGGCCCGTCAAGAGCCTCCCGGGCAAAGTCTCAGAATTTAGAACTCGATACTTGTCTTGGTAGTCGACGCCGGGTTTTTCTCCTTCTCTTCGTCTTCCAGCATGGGTGGTAGCACAAATGGCTTGATGATTAAGCCTTTCGAACGGCTCAGGCTGAAGGCCATGTCCTCGCCCGTGTGTCCGTCAGAACCACCACCCTTTTCATGATGAACAGGCAAGCTGTGGACCTTCAATAGACCTTGCGTCTTCTCTTCTGATTTTGAGTCGGACTTGGAGTCTGGTGGAGGTGCATGGACTGCGTCGAGTTGCAACGGGATGAGCTCAAGCGCACCATCGCACAGTAATTCCATCCACCGTGTGAGTCCAGTAGAACGCGGGTATAGCGAGAGCGGAAGAGTCATGACAACAGTGAGCTTTGCTGCATTCTGTCTCAACAGCGCTCGCAACCCGTGCAAGAATTGCAAGACTTCGTCGGGTCGGCATAGCGAACTCGAGTACATGGTTGGTGATAGTAGATTTGGTATTGCCACACGGTGAATTGTCGTCACCGGTGAGCTTGCAACCTTTGCAGCGATGTCCCTGAGGAATGCCTTGAGGGGAGATACAGAGTCCTTGGGCTGTCTCCCCGGACTGGGCATGCTCATCGAGGGGTTGAACGTGATCTGTCCTTTGACATGCGCAGGAGATAAACGCTTCGTCAAATCAAAGGAATGACAAAAGACGCTCGGAGAGCCTGCCGAGGCACTGGCTGGTCTTTGAGGCGCGTCTACACCATGTTAGCAAGAAGTGCATACATCTGATTTTAGGGGTAGTAGCAGACCTCTGGGGGTACCCACGGACGCCAGACTCTCATATCTCCAGGCAATCTTCATTTTGTCACTGGCACTAGTCTCAGACTTTGCAGATGATCTCGACTCGGCTGCAATACCTGGCAATTCCGTCTTCCAACTCTCATGCATGCCCAACACGTGGACTTGATGGCCCTGCACAAGACCTTCGGCAGCATAATATCGGAGCAGGATGCCGGCAAAGTCAGTAGTGCCATGTTCTTCTATGAGGAGCGATGTACCCATAGGCAACCCGGAGTGGCCTGCGAGCAAAGTGTCCAATGATGCAGTTCCTGTGGATGTAGTCGGCCGTCCGTCGAGGGGTGACGGACGCAGCCCAGGGATGGATACATTTTCTGCTTTCACTTGTGCTGCAGCTGCCGACGAGGACGTGCTGATGACGGTATTTCTCTTCCTCAATGACATGGCGGCTGATCGGGATTTGTGAGAGCAGACAAGCACAGTAGACATAAATGCAAATATCCTCGACTCTAATATGCCTCGGGCGTGTAAGTGCTAGGATTTCGTCACTAGCCCAATCGCGGGGCACTGAAATTTGCGAGTGACATTTCCGCAGTGAGCGGAAGGTCTGCTGGAGCTTCCCCCGTAGGGCCGTAGGGGGAGCCTGCTGGGGAGCCTGCTGGGGAGCCTGCTGGTGCGGCTGTCACTGCAACTTGAACGGAAGGCCCCGCAGTGACTTTAGGTCCGGCTTTTGAGCTTCAGAAGGAAGGAAAAAAAAAAAAAAAGAAGGAACCCCCCCCAAGTCCAACCAGTCCCCCGAAAAACAGAAGCAATCCAGACTCGGACCGCCGCTCCAAGTCCAGTCGAAACCACCATCGGAATAACCATATTTCTGCAATCACCCTGTCTTCGTGACTTGCCAACATGTCGTCCGGTGACGCGCAGCTATTCGAAGAGACCTTCGTGGTCACTGACTACAACCAGGCCAAGTACGACCGTGTCGCTCGTATCACAGCCACCTCGAACGACAACGCCACGCAGATGACTCTGGATATCAACATCGAGCTGTTCCCCTGCCGAGTTGGCGACCCGCTGAACGTTGTGCTTGCGACCACACTGAGTCTCGACGGCAAGCAGGGCGAGGAGGAGCGCGGCTGGAGGGATATCAAGGCCGGTACCGATACCGCGAGTCTAGCAGACAGCTTCGACTATGTGTGTCATGGCAAGATTTACAAGTTCGAGGATGGCGCAGACGGTCAAAGCATGTGAGTTCTCCGCTGTCTCTGGAGCAACCTTGCGAGAAGACACCTTGGAAAAGGCGATCGGTTTTGCTGACTTATTGGAATACAGCAAGGCCTATATCTCCTTCGGCGGGCTGCTCATGATGCTCGAGGGTCCCTCCAAGAAGCTTCTGCCCTTGAGGGTCGACAACACTTATCTCCTGGTTAAGAAATAAGGTGGCTTCATCATCGGACAACTTCATTCCCCTTGCAACGCTTACAAGCGATGCACGAGTCCAGCGCGAACCCTATGTGCATTTCATGCAGATGTCTGCAAAATGGGTGAAAGGGATGGCGACGAAATCAGCAGAATTAGAGGTTCAGGTGAATGATTCAGATTTGGCGTTCAGGCGTATGAAAAGGCATGACATGACACTGCAACTCAGCAGCCTTGCGTATAGAGCAAGAACGAGATGTGCATTTTAACAAATCAGTTCGCTAGTAAGGCTATTGTAACGAAATCGATGGAGATGCTATTTGGTGCGGACCAGGAAAGGGAGTCTTCCGGTGCATCCTCCGGATGATCTCATCAAAGTCCGGCTCGTTCTCCCTGGTCAAGATGCCTCTTCGAATGAAGAAATCTATCAATACCAAAGCGCAATTGGGCTTGAACTCTCCCCCAGCCAATGCTTCCTGTATCTGCTCCACGGTCCACAAGTAGAATTCCTCGACCTCGCCGTCCTTGGGTGTCGGTTTGACATGGTCAGGTAGCTCAATATCATAAACCCATTGAGTTTCGGGATATACGAGGTCTTTTTCTCCGCCCGCCCTTTCGTCTGTAATGTAAAGATAGACGACGGTGCCAGCCAGCTTGCACCTCTCTCTCATCATCGGTTCTGGCAGGTCGGCTTCCTCGTCTGCTTCCCGGATGATACACTCGAAAGGGTCTTCTGCCGTCATCAGACCTCCAGCAACGGTGTTGTCCAGCATACCAGGGTAGTTGCTTTTGTTGTTTGCACGTCTCGGCACCCAGATTTTAACGCCATGCTTGGCTGCCTCGTCCTTCACATATGCCGTCATATGTACACCGTACCTCATGACTCCCAACAATCCAGCCCCGGCTCTCTCGACACTGTACAGCAGTTCGCCACCGTCGGTACTATAGACAGGCCAAGGCTCGTTCCTCCATTTCTTGATGATTTGCCACGATCCGTTGGTGTGCCAGTACTGCATTACATTACCCACGACCTTGGTGCGCTCAGCCTCGGTGGGCAGGTCAAAGGCGCGGACAGTCCGAGCCTCCGGGTCGATCTCCAAGGGACCACGGATGGATTCTGGGATAGAGAAAAGCGACTGCACAACGGGGGGGTGCATATAGCCTAGTGTGACATCGTCCCCGGCAGCGCTTCGGTGCACGAGTGTATACAGCGGCTCAGAAAATACTCTGCTCACACCTTCTTGGTCGTAAGGAAATCTGCACTCCGTGTCAGTGCCACACGCAACGTGAACGCATCGGGAGGAAGCATTTACATGTCTACCGCCTTGATGAGATCTAGATTGCTCAGACGTGCCATCTTGTTGGTTATGTATATGCTGGGGTCGGAACGGGCACTACTTGTCTGCAGATTTTCTGGATTGGCTGAAAGTGATGGTGAATAGCCCAATTGTTCTCTTGTCGTGGATAGACACTGGAGTTGCAAATCGGTTGAGGCGCCTATATTCCTCACGTGCTTGGTACAAGCCCGGTTCAGGCTGCGATTTGCAGGCGCAAACGGTGCTGACCCAATCCTCTGAACGGATATCAAGCGTTTTTTGACGTCAGACCAGGCTTGTCTAATATATGTCATTAGAGCCTGTCAGATGGGAAAAGCATAAAAAGATTTGCAGTACAGGACGAGACCAGTCCGACGAGCACAGGGATGTACAATGTTTGAAATGCACAAGCCAGGTGTGTGGTGCAGCACATGAATAACAATATTGGAGAAGTTGCATTGGCCATGGCGGGGTGTCACTGCATTTCCAACGGGACCATTTTCCCGCATTTCGGACTGCCAGAGATCATCAGCCTTACTCACAGTACATTGTACAGTATCTCACATGTAACCTAACGTTAGACATGTGGATGGAGTAGGCCAGGTACCAAAAGTGGCGCAGCCCAAAGTATCCGCAGTAGTACTATGTATGCACAGATAGCCCTAACCCTTGTTCGGCCACTGCTATTTTTGGTGGTCAAGGAGATGGCATTGGACGCTTCTCGAGACATCGCGAGGTACGGCAAGAGGCTCGCAAAGGAATCTGGGTTTTGATGCGAAGTATTCGTTGATTGATACGCTCTTCTTCTCACAGCACTAGCCTATCCCTATGAACCCTGACCCGACCCTAAGTTGGGTTCGTCTGTGATGACCATCTCCGAACGTTTTTCTTGACTATATCCACGTTTCGTGCGAGTTTCCGGATGGCGCAGTGAGGGAGCGGTAGTCCACAACCATGGCGAGGCGTTTATCGGTGCTAGAAGTGGGTAAGAATAGTACCAAGTGAAATGTCGACTGCCATCCCGTACCTTGACAAATCCAATGGCGGCAGCCTTCTCACGGAAGCATTGACGGCACAGGTCGAGAGAGTACTTGCGGATCAGACCGGCGCGGTGAGTGCAGACGCGGCTGTAAACGATGGTTAGTCGGTCGGATGGCCGAATGAATGAATGAATTCAAGTCTCGAAGCGCATGAACCTACCACTGGCGAGCGCCCTTGCCGTAACCGTGAGGTCGGCTTGCCCAGACAGATTCGTGAGACATGATGCTATTCTTGATTTGATCGATCCGTAGAATAGGCGATGATGGGTTCTGGCGACTCGTTGGTGTCGTTCGGAGATGATGGGCGACGGATGATGGATGATTGTGAGGATCAAATTGCCAGGGAGTAAATTAAGAGAAAGTGGGTGAGTAAAAAACGATAACAGCTATCGGCAGCTGGTGCGGCTGTGAGGGGCCGGCGTGCCAGCTGCAGCCACACATCGAACTTTAGGTAGGAAGCTGTCAAGCCACACCTGCTCCACCTGTGCCCGATATTTCTGCCGGCAGCTGTGCTCTCCATGGGATTTATAGTTTACGATACTTATCGACAGTTGTCCAGGAATGCACCGTTGGGTCTGCTCACGCAGGGTCAGCTCACCCGTCAAGTTGTAGGGCCCTCGATCAACGCGGTACAGTAGATCCAGGGGCAGTAGGTTTCCCAGTGCTGGGTTTCTTGATGGCATGCGTGAGCTTTGGTTGCGTTGCTGCTACGTCGTTCCCTACAGATCCGTATCTAGTTACCGTAAATTACTGTCTCGGCGCCTTGCTCATCGAGGCCACCAGGGTCGATGTTATGGCACAACCGCAATTATATGACCAGATGTAGATCGTAAAACCCGAAAACTCGACATACTCATTGAGCTTACAATGTAATAATATACGCATATAAACACCACGCGGCTTAACCAAACCAGTATGGATTTGTAGACTATAGGCCGTTCTACTTGAATAGTAACCAGCACTTTATGCCTTTCATAGATGAATCATCGACATGTCCACTTACAGGGTTACTTCTTCCCCTTCATTACCTCGACTAAGTGCCTTGACACATCACGGGGAGTCAGCTTCTGTAATGCTGTTGCTTCAAATCTGGCGATCTTCTAGCTTCGTGATAACTAGGCAATGGGGGGTACTCATGTAGCTTGAGAGTTACTCCAAGAATGCAAGTGGGCTTTATTCTAGCCCACATGACAAGGTGGGCACAGCCGCCATCGATTTGAGCTCCGGTGCAGTACATTGGAAGCTATCGGGGCTTGTGGAACTTTCGAGCTCAAGCTCGTGAGATCCTCACGTTCATTCCGGACAGATACCGCAACGCCATGCTTGAATTGCTTTCTCAGTAGACCTCAATCGGTCGCGCAACCTTACCAAACAACCCTTACTCGTAGCTTTACCAAAAAAAAAAAAAAACTCGCAAAACCAGATCACAATGGCAGAACAACAACAGCAACAGCAACAGCAACAGCCCCTCTTCGGCCTCCTGCCCGCGGGGCAGCCTCTAATCACGGTACCTTCTTCGATACCAAGCCCAACATCTTTTCTCTACGCGATCCCCTCAACGACACCCTCAAACCCCAAACCGTTCTCACATCTTGCAATATTTCTACTGCCCGGCGTCACACTACCTCCCGATACCGCCGCGGCCATCTACCTAATCACGAACCCACAAGCCCTCGCCTCGGGCGGACAGCTTAACACGCGCTTCCTGGGCGGCGTGGGGCCGGGCAAAGAGAGCGCCGTGTTCAAGCTCGGCGGCGGCCAGGAAGGCGTGCTCATCGGCGTCAGCGTTGAGTCCGCGGGGAGCGTCGCGCAGAGCATCGAGCAGCAGCAGGCGGCCAAGTCGATAGGCACCAATGACTCAACAGGTGAGCTGGTTAAAGCCGGTGGTGTTGGTGGTGGGCAGCCCTCGACGCTGGTCCTCGCGCAAAGAATTATTCAGAATGCCTTCAACTTCCTGGCGAGTTTCAGTGGGCAGGCCGGCAATACTGAGGTCGTGCCGCTGAAGGCGTTTGAGGAGTGGTGGAAGAAGTTTGAGAGTAGGGTCAGGAGTGATCCTAGCTTTCTGGAGAGGGATAGCAATTGAAGTCAGCCCAGTCTCATGTTGGGCGGGCAAATGAGGGGGAGAGATCTATGGTGCCCCTGTTCCTCGTTGATACGAGAGATACCAGTTCAGGGGCCATACATTTAGTGAGGAACGAACACGGGCGTCGAGTCCCCGGCACGGCAGCCCTCCGAGCTCGCGGCTAGGCCAGCTGGACCATGGCGGACTCAGGATGTGCGTGCATTATATTGTGAAGTTACGATGCCGTTGCCAACGGCGAAACCCGTGCATGCAGTAACCTCGTGGGAATTATTGGAATACCGATGTTTGCTGTAGGAAAGAACAAAGAGCTGATTTACCGAAGAATTGGCTGTGTCGACTCAACTGGGATTATTATTATATTTTCCGTGTCCCGGAATGGAGATGCTTCATAACGCGCAATTACTCCAAAACTAATATACTACCACAAAGTGCAATGTCTACCAAAGGAGGAGTCTCTACATATACGCAACCGAGTCCTATCACCCATGTCTCCTACTGCTGCATGTATCAGAACGCATTGTTGCCATTGATGTCAAACACCCATCCCCACAAATTCATCGCAAAAGCCATGGCACGGCACTCCGACGATGTTGAAGGGCAAATTAGCGGGATACCCGGCGCCATGGAGTGTCATCGCACGACACCAAAGCAGAATATCCGTGTGGAAATTGCCCATGCCAAAGCATAGAGGCTTATCGGAAAACTGATAATTGAACCTGACATTTAGAGGGTCAGAGAGTGCCTCGATACGTGCCCATGAACCGCTCTTTCCTGGACCCGTCGTGGGATCGGAGGCGGATAGCACTTGCAGAATAGCCGCGTTGGCTGTGTTGAGCCGAGCGGAAGACAGATGGGAAAATATCGGTGATATATCCGGAGAAGTGGATCCTGGAGACGACGTCGAAGGCATCGGCAGTGAAATTGCTTCGAATACGCGCTGGGCCAAAGGGTCCTGGGTCTCTTCTTTTGCCCTCCGATTGCCCCCTTGGCTTGCACTGTTCTCAAACCACGGGAACCAGACGACTTGGGATCGCTTCACGAGATGCTCAATTCCATCCACGGGCTGATCATCCCTTATCACCTCCCCAATCATCTTTTTCTCGCCAGAAAGCTTGGTATGCTCCGGTATTCTGCATAGCTTGAACCTGAGGACTCTTCCATCACTGGGGTTTCTCACGCTCAAGTCCAAGCCCTCAAGCGCGCGTCTCTCATCTAGGACACTGAACGCCAGGACCTCGAGCAGGTTGGCCATGCATGGGATGTATTCGATCCTGACATATCTCACCGAGAGACAGGATGCCAGAAACAGAGGGTGCACCAGAGTCAGCAACTGTGGTTCGCCGCATGAAGCCCAGCGCCTCGTGTCCTTCCATGCGAGGGTATCACGATCCGGGTTAAAGGCTGGTCTCCGGCTCTCCTGTTCGGCTGAGAGCAGCCTATCGGCGAGTTTCCTCGTCGACAGCTTGGCATCGTCGTCGCCCTTCTCAAAATCGTTCAGCTGGTGACTATCGCTCAAGGTTATCGCCTCGTTCACCGGCAACGGCCCCTCGTTGTTGTTCGGTCCTTCTTCTTCTTCTTCTTCTTCTTCTTCTTCTTCTTCTTCTTCTGCCTCGCCGCTATTTTGGGCCCCGCCGTCTGGCACCGCCGCCGCACCTAGCAGGGTCTCCAGGATATGCCTGTCGATTCTCAGCCCGCCATACAACCCCTTGAGCTCCGCCCAGGCGTCGTATCTGGCCTTGAGCACGGCGGGCAGCGGAGCCCGAGGCGTCTCCATGTCCGAAACTACCGAGTAGCATGTCCACCAATCCTTTTCGGTGGACCAGCTCCAAGCATCCAGGTCGAGCTTGAGGCGAACAGGTATAGTCCGTGGAGTGAGCGCTAGGCGGTAGATTTTCAGTTTGAGCTCGGTGGGTAGAAGCGGGAAGAGGTGAAAATAGCCTAGGGTTGTCATTATTCAAGTGGTTTAATGTATGGAAAAAAACTATAAAACAATTTGCACTTTTTGGGCCGTCGGATAACATGTGTAGTCTTCGTCCAAATTGACAAGTGTTGTTTGTTCGAGGCAAGCTTTAGGGGTAGAGATGATGGCGATCAAAAGATGTTCATTCGAACCGAAGCCCATTGTGATAGCTGCAATGATATTGTACACCCTATCCCTCAAGGTTGTACTCCTTTTTAGCTGTACCACCAACGCGCGGTCGGTCGCGTCAGATTTGGCCAAACGGGTGGCCATCAAGGTCATCAATCTCAACAATGAGATGAAAGTCGCGTCAAGCACGGCACATACCATTTTCTCAATCGGAAAAGCAGTTAGTAAGTTGATGTCAAGCTCCAAGAGTTCGAGTAAATAGAGGGTCACTCATCGGAAATACAGAAGGGGCTTATTCGAAGCCGTCCACGTTTTTCTGTCAAGCCACAGCTGCCGGAACATACGTTACCATCTCCGAATCATTTGGCCACGAAAAACTCGTTTGTCAATTGTGTTGATAAATGGTATATTTCAGACCTTGTAGGCCCATAAGATATCGAGGAGTCTAACCAGTCGACAATCCCAATCCACGGCGGCGACAGCACCGCTGCTCATCAAGTTCATGAACCGCAAAGCCCAGACTATATCATTTCTCTAATCCAAAACCACATGTACACCGAGAACAAAATACCTTAAATATTCCTTGATCGGGGGCAAAATGCGAGACAACCTGATCCTAGCCATAAACTCCGCTCCTGGGCGCTAATATAACAACATGCAACGTGAAAGTCGGAGCCGTGGACGGCATATTCGAACATGGGCATTTCTTCAAAACAAAACACATAACTGTGACAAGTTCTCTTAGTCCTCGTTTAGCGGGCTCATCAATGGGCTCTTGATCCTCGTAGGGCTGCACGCTCTGCTCCTTCGGCCTGCGTGCAGCATGTGAGGTGTCAGTCTCTCGCGGCTCTCCGTTCTCACCACCAATCCACTTCGATCTAGGGCACTGGCAGGATGCGTGGATTTGGTCAGGTCGTCGAACGACCCCATAACGTTGAGCTTAGGCGTAGCCAACCCAGACGTCCTTCCCTGGCGGGTTCCACCACTACTGTCGGAGTGTTCGCCCTCATCTGATTCGACATCGCCCAACTCGAATTCTGCAGCATCACCTTCCTCCACAACGCGTTCGTAGTTGTGCGAGTTTCGCCCAAATATCTTGCCTGTGAGAGCAGCCAGTCCACGATTTGACTTGGCACGCGGGCTCCCTGGTCTGCGCTGATGACGGCGAAAGAGCGAGTTGATCTTGCCATAAACACGCATCCTCCTGTCTTTCCGGCGGAATATGTAACCGATAAAGATAATTATAAGAATAAATAAAGCAAATCCGGATCCGGACTTCCTCTTGACGTGATCTACCAAGTCGTCGGCTAGATCATCCCAATCCTCGTTTCCAATGGTAGATAGCGCCGTCCAGTTCGAGCCAGCATATTGAAAGTCCTTCGGGATGCCCTTAACGTTACTGCCAAACCCAACAGGGTGTTTTTCGGAGCCATCTATGGGCGGAACTTGGCCAGCGGCATACAAGACCATAGGACCCAAAGTCCAGCTGACTTCGATATCGTCGATCTTATCCACGGCTTGGAAAGGTTCGAGGAATCCCTTATCCTTTGCAGCTTCGCCGATGCCTTTGGTAATGTTGATGTCAGGAGTCGGGGTGTTTTCAATGCCTATACGCGGAACTCCTATTCCCTCGTGAAGTACATTGATCAACCACGAGGCTTTAAAACAAGCCTCCTGCGCATCTTTGGAGTGGTCCTTTTTCCGAGATCCTACTGGCGCAATATCGGTCCAACTTTGGCTGCAGAACTCCTCTACTTTCTTTTGATATGTGTTGTAGTCGTAGGCTTTTTCGCCCTTTTCTTCGAATACCCCGTGAGTGGTATGCCAGTATTCGGACACGCCCACGAAGTGATTGACGTCGAAGTCAATCCCAGGAACATGCTGGCCGTTGAGCAGGCAAGGCTCGTCTTCGCAGGGAGCATCTTTTCCAAGCAGGGGCCTGGTCATCTTCAGACATCCTGGAAAGTCGCCTGTGCCAACCAATTCCAGCTTGTTGGAAACCCCCTTGATGAGCTCTCCGTCTTCTGTTGTTCGCAGGCCTCTCGGCATGCATGGATCTGGTACTTCGTGCTCCTTGTCGATAAGGTACGTGTCCACGAGTTTCTGTACGTATCTCTGTCTAGCCTGGTGTACACCAAAGCCAAGCCAGGTCGTAGTGAAGACCTTGTACTCGGAGGAAGCGCCGTTCATTGTTCGCATCCTCAAGAGCTTCAGGTCGTCAGCGTGCTTCTCGGCTTCGGTACTGTTGGGGGCAAAGGCGATCTGTGCCGATGCGCCACCCATATCGAGAAACCCGTATGTGTGGTGGTCTTTCCCATGAGCATGCCCTTCCGGGTCGTCGAAGCCTCCAAGTAGGTAGTTGGCGGCAATCCACCCGTACAAACCCTCCGTCTCACCTGGGATGACCTGTATATGCCTGTCACAGTCGGGAAGCGAGAATCGGGTGTTTTGGCGGAAGTAAGTGCAAAGGTTGGACAGCACAGCCCTTTGTTGTAGCGGGGGCAGTAGCCGCATGCCAGCAGTGGCCATGAGGAAGATGGGGGTGTCGGCGTGCTTTTCCTCCGGGATGGTGGCAACCGCCTTTTCGACCAGATCCTTCATGTAGTCGCCGACATCTTCGGGATGTTCTCCGAATGAGGATATACCTGGGCGTATCTTCTCGGTCCACTTCTTCTTTGTCTCGACTTTCGGCAAGCTGGCCAAATCCTCGTCATCTGCGTCTTTGATGGCTTTTGCGGGGTCTTCCCAACGATATATATGTAGACGCGTCCCTGAGGAGCCGGCGTCGAAGATGACGCCCCATCGCCCTGTTCACAAGAGTCGTGTTAGCGCACACCATGTCGATCTGCTGCATGGGGCTGCAGAGCGGCTTGAAGCCATCGTACGCACATTTCGATTTGCCCATCGGATGGGATATCTTTGTTCTGGAGTAAGGAGCTAAGCTCGATGTGATGGTTCGATAGTGGGCGCGAACGATGCGACGTCTCGTCGGTTTCGTCAGCTTCAAAGCAAAAGCTTATCGCATTTCTACCGTCTTGTGCCGTGTCTTGGGGGGGAAAAAGTTGCTCAAGCGGAAGATTGCGAGAAAACCGAATGGGCGCGAATTTGCTGGTGCCGGTCGGTAGTCGAGTCGTTATCGAATTCAAGGTTCGGAGATTGCGCGTTGGGTCTGTGCCAAGGTTGTTGTGCTGATTAAAGGGGTCTGGGGTCTGGTTTGGGTCTGGGTCTGGGTCTTTGGTCGGGGTCTACATCTACGTAGCTACTACTTGGGGATCCTACGGTAGGGTAGATAGTAACGAATGGGCAAGGAACTGAATAAGAGCCAGTCTGATGCGAGCAGTGCAAAAAGCAGCCAGTTGAAAGTGAAGCGAAGGTGGAGATGAGAATGTTGAGTATATTCTATCGAAAGGTTGCTTGGGTGATAACGAACGAGGGGGGGAGGGGGGGCGCGATGATGGAAAGCAGGGAGAAAACACGGCTTGGCCGAGAGCGATTGGAATTGTAATTGGAATCCAATAACAAATTACCTACCTGGCAATTGGCCCTGGTGTATCGAATCGTGTCGTGCATGCAATACCTAACGCGGAGTACTTGCGGTACATGCACACACACAGTAGGTACAGCAGACACAGCAGATACAGCAGATACAGCAGGTAGCTTGAGAACTAACTACAGTAACCTTAGGCTACACTAGAAAAGAAGATGGGAGTGGATCCATTGTGCCCCGCCGCCTCTCTAGTAGGTTAGTACGTGTACATAGTAATCCGTGGATCACCCTCTGAATCATGCGGGATGAGAAGGAACAAAAGCTTGGGAATTCTTTTTATGGATGGCACTGCCGAAAGGCGAACCCTCACTGGGCGAATCAGGCCGTTGGTGGTGGTAGAATGCTAGACAGCAGGAACAGGTGCGACGACGACGCTTACAGAAGCTGCAGCAGTAGCTTCGCTGTTCTCGGAACACCTGCAGTGATGCGTGCTTACACAGTGCTAAGCTAGGCTAGAGTACCGAGAGCACCACCAAATTATCTCGCATACAACTTAAAGAGCAACATGGCAACACAATCAAGAGCTCGCTCATATTTCTGTGCTGCGATGAACTCGCATGAAGCCAGTAAAACCGCATGAAACACAATTTTCGTCGGAGTCCAGGTTACGCACCCACATGCCTAGCGAGTGGCTTTGGGATACTGCACATCAACAAGCGATTTTTGAATTCGAATTATCCACAGCCAACGTATAGTTTAAGTGTCTGGATCCAATTAACACGGTCAAGGGATACAGTTTTGTTCGCCGCAACCATGGACAGAAACCTCACTATTACAGCAGCCTACCATCAGAAGTGGTAACATACGTAATCTCTCCACCCCGTCGTGATCGCAATGCAGCACTCCTGCTCTGACATTGGGTTCGGCAGTGTTGTTTGTACTAAATCTACCACCAACTGGACTTTGCATGACGGACGAACCTACATTGTCGAAGTGCCCTTTGTTCGATATCGCTGTCTCCCAATAGTGCTGATGGTGGTTATGGCCTCTGTCTCAGTCACATGTTCTTTTTTCTTTCTCATGCCGCCTGGCTTCTCCACTTTATCCACGGCGTACCAGACAGATTGATTTGTACTCCCCCACCAGTTGCTTTCATATGTGAATGTCTCGTGTAGAAACGCCCCAATACAATGTACAATGCAAGCAGCCAACAGTCCGGAACCGGCTTGATATCCTTAGCGCACCATTGGCGGACCGAGAAACGTGCATTCAAGACCATTTTACGGATAGACTACCTACGGCCATACATTGGTAGCGTCTGCTCAACACGAGATGAGATTGCCCATGATAGGTTGGGCTGATTGAGAGTTGACCAGGTCTCGAGACATCTCGTCACGCCGTATATCTGTCCTTTGGCGATACGCGGCAGCTCTAACCTTGAGCAAATGTTTGACGGGAGACGTGTGACCGAGTCTGCTGTTTAGCAGCGTCTATGTCATTGCTCCACTTTCTGCATGTCAGTCCAGACTCGTCTGCCACGCCGTGCAGGGGTCGTCTCGATATGGCAGGACGAGCAACCCGAAGAAAGCACAGGAGCCACCAACCATTCTAAGTGAAAGCCGTTATGCGGAACTGCTTCCAGTCAAAAATGGCCATGTACTCGGAGAAATAACGTCGTTAGGCTTTTCGAAGATTGTGTTTCCATCGAATTGTCCTGGTAGTAGTCGTCGTTCCCCGTGAGAAAAGTGGGGTGTCCTTGTCTCATTTCCAACTTGGAAGGCATGATGGGTAAGTAGTGAGAGAGTGAACAGCCCCAGCGCTAGATGAAGAAGCTGGCGCATTTCGTGGTGTTGCTCACTAACGTTCGACGTTGCCTACTCATCAAGACTAATCAAACACTAAGGCAAGCGCAAATTGCCAATTGGGCATTATCAAGTACGCACACTGCGCCGCTTATCTTGCTTGGGTGTCGATGGCAATGAGCTACATCGAAGCGCATATTGGCATCGTTGTGATAAACCATGCACATGGATCACCAGTAGTCCAAATGCTCACACAACCAGCTGCCAGCGTCAAGCTGATCAGAAGTTATCTAAGACTAGAGCTTAGCAAAAACGCTTACCATATCTATGATTCCCCTTTCTAACCAGAAACAAGAGAGCCACATTAAATTCCGCCAACATTATGCAGTTTGTCACATTACTATACAATCTGTACTGGCAAACAACACGAAGAACGAACAAAGCCATTGTGACAACAAGCGACTTGTTAGGCACCTGGCCTTCTGCTATGGGTACAGCTGATCCAGAAACGCCGATAATGCTACCTAGAAATGCACGAGACCTTGAAATTCGTCCGATGCAAAACCGTATCCGTCTAAAAAAATTTGGCCCATGGCGGATATCATCGTGGAGGATCTCCTTGGACCGGCTATACACTAGCCGTCCCCACTTCCATGAGGCTGTAAGTGGGTGTGATGTAAGGCGCTTTGCTGCCTTCTCTTCCTTTTGCAGGAGGACAAGATCAGGCCCTTGACCATTAAAATATGAGGTAAAAAGACGCAGGCTTGATTTCCCAGCTGTGGAGCTCTCGCCGTGCAATCTTATGGGAACGCTTCGCTGGCTGCGGATTTGTCTCAAAGACAAGCAAGCTCAGGCTTCCCAGCCATTATAAAAGTAGAGGTGACGAAAAGATCAGAGTGAGGACCCCAGCTGTAGGTTCCTCACCCTATTTCTTTCCGCCTAACTAAAAGGTAGGGTGAGATGCACCTCATTCGTAGTGAGAGTGGGATAATGACTTACCTGTGATTAGAGGTGGACGATGGGGGCCCCCATATTAAATAAGACTGTCAACAGCTATTGCTTGGGGCCTCCGCAAAGGACATACCCAGCAGATAACTCCGACAAGGAGAATCAGCTCCGGTTGAAATAGTAGGCGATGGTTCTGAGCACTCAAGTGCTCGCATAGCTTTTTGAGCTAATAAAACCGGGTTCACGGCATGGAAGACACTCGGAGAGGCTATATGTGTTTCTAACCACAGAAACGCCACAGCCTATTTCCAGTGAAATCAGCCAGTATCACGCCTTGGTCCAGCCATGATCATGATTGGTATTATAGGGGTAGGTATGTTCAACATACCGCGGAGGAGAGGGGAGCCTGCACAGGGTTTGGGTGTTGTAACTTAGAGAGGGAACGGCCACACCAACTTAGGGTGATTTATATGATGAGCTGGCACTTCATCGTCCGTCGTGTCGTTTTTCGACATGCATCCATGACAAGAGAAGCGACAAAGGATGCGGAAATCTAAATCCCCGCGGCCCGATCCTTGGCCCCAGCTCTTTGGATTCGGTCAAGCTTTTCCTTCTCGTAAGTGCCCCGAAAATCTCCAACGGCAGCCCGGACTTGCTCACGCATAGAGAAAACGTATTTTCTCTCTGCAAGGATCATCTCGAGTACGTCGTATGCGCCCTCCCATGAGTCTAGATGGGCGAATTCTGGATGCCTTTTGATCAGCTCAAAAGATTTCATGAGCGGCTCGCATAGCACGAGCACTTGCTGGAGCTCCTTTTGAGTATTGTTGGCTTCTCTACGGTATTTCTCAGCCAGATTTCGGTAGGCCCTCTCCGGTGTCAAATAGGTGTTGGACACCAGGCTTGACTTTCGCTGTCGTGGCCGTGGAGAGGGTGGTGTAACCTGAATGACGATCTGCGGCGGGTGAGGTTGTGTGGCCTTAGACTTTCTGCTTAGAAGATCATTTTCATCCTGGCTTTCTCCACCGGTGAAATAGGACTGGTTAGGTAATTGATCCATGTCCGCTGGAGAGAAGATTCTCCCCTGGCGTCGGACCTGTCTTTCGTCAACTTGCGAGCGAGCCTTTTCGAAACAAAGGTCGGGAACCGGCGTGTATCCAGCACTATCACACGGTGTGTGGCCACTGTTGGTCGACTCGCCATTGACGAAGACCTCGGTCGATGCCCTTCCAAAGTCAGACATCGAACCAAGATCTATCTGGTCGTCGCCATTGACGGCCGACCATGAACAACTGGAGACACTCGGATGAGGCTTCGCCAGGCATGGATATATATGTCTCTCTGACATCTGCTCGCTCCGAATAGACGAAGGCAGCTCCACCGGATTCGACGACTTCCATTCGTTGATTTCTGGGCGATACGAGATCTGAGGTTGACCAGGCTTATGATTCCTGGTATCCATAGATCTACTAGCATCGGAAGATATCTTCGGAAAGGTCTTGTTCGTTGATGCTACCCGCGCCTGGCCCAACTTAACGTTGGAATCAGATGTTGTATCAGCTGGACGGCCTGTTCGCTTCTGCGTTGGACCAGCGGGAGCACAAAGGTCGGATGTGACGAGTGGTGGTGTTATCTGAATGGGTGCCGAGATCACCAGCTTGTCAGTCCTAGTCTTCTTCTTGTTCCTCCGGCTGTACAACTCCGAAAAAATGGACTTGTTCGAGCTTTCCTTTTGCTTAGCATCCTTGACTTTACCATACGACTCTGGTACCCGAGAAGCTCCTTGTCTTAATGAATGTGTCACCGATTTAGTGGAAGTAGGACTCAGGTCATTGGTATTTCTTGTCAGGGCCGGCGCCATCGAACTTTGTCGAGCAGCATCGTGACCTACGGCTTTTCGAGGAATTCGTCGGGTTTCACACCGTGGCACTGAGCTTTGGAACGAGCCATCATGCCTCAGCTCTGAAGTGCCAGCCTGCCTGAATTGAGAAGACGACATGATTTTTCTAGGAAGAATAGGTTCTGTAGCGATACTGTGAAGGTTGCAAAAGGAGTCTGCCACGGGGGAACGAGTAGACTGGGGACGGATAGGTTGGGGTTATATTCTTAAGTTACCACTATTTCACACAAAGACTCCCGTCATTAAAGAAGTGCTTGGTTCCTGTGAAGCCCTTGTCAAGAATAACAAAGCAATCAAATTAGTCTCGTCCACTGATTTGGTTCATTGTTAACATTTTCATAGTTAGCAGACTTCGAGACTCTCGATCGGGTAAACTTCATTGAGCTCTCATATCTATGCAACGCCCGTTGCATTATGTGTTTTTAAAGTATAATTATCAACGAGGTGTAAAGCCGCGCCGTACACCTCCCATAACAGTTGCGCTTTGAATATTACCCAACGCAGATTCTGGATGGTGACCTAATTCTCCTCGGGATAGCACAGAAGGATTTTGGATGGGTCGTTGAATAGCTGTAAAACGTAAGTTCTTAAATCATTGTTTAGCGACGACCATCTCGCTTACCATGTGGCCTGGTGGTCGGGACCACAAAAGCGTTAGGACCTCCCCCGTTGTGACTGCTCTTTAATCCTGAACTTAGGCCGATTGCCGGGAACTTGTCATTGTTCCTGGCGTTGGTAGATAGCTCGCTGAGAGGTGCTCGATTGTTTAAACGTTGGCGTGGGGAGCGAGGCCCAGCGACAAGGCCAGGAACTGTGGATAGTCCTATCCCAGAGGGTTGGCTTATTCGTTGGCGATAGGTTGATGGCGTGAGAGGTATGTCTACTGTATCGCGAGTCAGTGTTGAACAAGCACAGAATAAGGCTGAGTGTACCTACGTCCTCCAGTGTTGCCCTTGTCCCAAATTTCGTGGTTGGTCTGATGTGTGGCTTGGGCTGGATAAATGCTACCAGGGCCGTTGCCATTGGAATGTTGACTAGGTCGTTGCTTATATACAACATCCTCATAAGTCCTAAGGGACAGCCTTTCTCTCTGCGGCCTCGGACCACCAGTCGCTGTGTGGAGGTTTAAATCTACAGCATCCTCCGCTGCATGCTGCATCTGACCCATCATAGCCTTCCGTTTCAGCTTGTCGTACAGCTCCTGTGTTTGCATGAACTTTTTGTTTTTATCCTTTAGAGCTTGGGTCAGCTCGTCGTTTTTCCGGTGTAGAGACTGTTGATCAAAACTTAAATCTATAATTTGGTCAAACTCATGTGCCCTTCAAGGTGGTGGAAGTCCAGACACACTGGTAATCTTGTGGTTCAAAGCCGTGATCTGATTATTAGCCTCGCCAATGACCTTTTCAAGATGAACAGTAAGGTTTGAGTACTTTTCCGTCAAGGTCCTGCCAAAACATTCCTGGTAGACACTAAGGTGAAGTGAGCGTTAAAACATCTGTCAATGGCGCTTTGCTTACACTTCCTGGGTTGTTTGGTAAGCCCAAAAGCTCAAAGCACGACTCGCACATTCGATAATAATGGTCGGACTGAGGCCGCTCAGAACACTTGTCTTATAATCCTCGCTGGGATTAAGGTTTGTAACGACTGCATCATCCGGATTGGCCAACGGAGAACTGCAGGCCGGACACAGCTGCCTTTCGTTGGGATCTGTAAGCCCCAGGCGAGCGGCACATTCGGTACAGAATATGTGGCTATGGAAAAAGTGTGTTCAATGGTTAGTATGGCCACGCTACTCCTAAGTGTACCGTGGAATACGTTCGGAATGGCCGGGCATTACCTGCAGGTTGTTACCAGTGCCGTATCCCCGAGTTGCCTCCTGCACTTCAAAGAATTACAGCGTAGCATATGTTCCATCTCGAGATGGCAGGCGGGAAATATAAAGAGCAAGTGATTGGCTGTATGTACAGATCGATATACCTATGAGGCAAAGGACGCGAGAGAGAGCACCCGTAACGACTTGAGTATCTTGAATCAGAAACGTTGGATATTGGGTGACAGAGTCGAATGTAGGCCGCTGCGTTCAGCGCTGGATTATGCGAATAGGTACACAGCGATAAACAGTGATGAGGTTACTATGAGAGATTTTTGTGTCTATGTATGAATCGGAAGGGACAACCTTGCCGACAGATGTGCCTTCCTAGTGATTCGCGATGATAGAGTGCACTCGACGACCTGGTCAATTCAGTGCTACATCGCCTAGCGTGCCGATACGCTATATAGCCACCACGACCGTTCAAGGTCAGCGTAATCCATTACCATGATAATTTTCTGCTATACATTCATTATTGGAATGCCACACGTTGTTATGGTTCTCATCGTGGCTTTCGGTGATGGCCATGCTAAACAAACCGTATCGAAGCACCACCAGCTGTCACCAGCTGCCTTGATTAGATAACCGGCTTGTTGGCTGCCAACGTCATTCATTGCCTGCTACGCTGCGTTTGCCTGAAGCGTACCTAAAGTGTTAAGGTTAAGACAACTCTAATGATTCCAGAGGAAAGTAGTCTATGGTATTCAACAATACACAATAATCTCGTGATCACTTTTTAGTGTCAATAATTGATCATTCCACAAGCACCCCAGTACCCAATACTCATTTTCACGACACCAAAAACTGCACATGCTCCGGATCTCACCACACCATGACTGAGATCGTGATGAACCAGACACCCCCTATCCTTCATGGACCGTCAGAGAAGGAGAAAAAATACGACCGCCAGCTTCGTTTGTGGGCTGCTAGCGGCCAAGCAGCACTTGAGTCGGCAAATATTCTACTTGTTAACTCGGGCACCGGTACTGTTGGTATTGAAACTCTGAAGAATCTTGTGCTTCCAGGCACGTTTTTATACACCTCAGTTTGTCACATAGCTCTTACTCTAATATTGAAACAGGTATAGGACGCTTCACAATAGCAGATGAGAGAGTCGTCGACGAGGCTGATCTCGGAGTCAACTTCTTTTTGGATGAAACTAGCCTTGGAAAGCAGCGCTCGCAATGCTGTACACAGCTGCTCCAGGAGCTAAACCCAGAAGTTCGGGGTGACTGGTTTCCCAAGCAACAGGTATGTACATCTTGACGGTATGAGTTCTCTTCCCGTTTAAGAATACTAAATTAGCTCAGGGTGGGCTGGATGTCAAAGAGGTTCTCGCCAACTCCTCCACCTACACCCTTATAATGTATACAATGCCAATCGAGCCCGACAACCTGGCTACGTTAGAAGCATATGCCCGCCAGCACAGCACGCCTCTTGTAGCAATTCACAGTGCAGGACTCTACTCTTATTTCAAGATCAGTCTGCCTGGCGCTTTCCCAATTGTTGACACACATCCCGAGGTGGAGAAGACTGTGGACTTGCGCCTGACGCAGCCGTGGCCAGAGCTTGTTGAGTTTGCACAGGAAATGACCCGAGATATCGAGAGTATGAGCGATCACGACCATGGTCATCTACCTTATGTTGTCATTCTACTTCACTACTTAGAGAAGTGGAAGTTGACGCACGGCGGCGAATATCCTACAGAGTACAAGGCAAAGATTGAGTTCCGCAAGACTGTAGCCGCTGCTGCAAGGACCAATAGTGCTGAGGGTAGCGAAGAGAACTTTACAGAGGCTGTAGCTGCAGTGAATCGAAGTGTGAAGAAGCCCCAGCTTGAGTCAACACTCCGGGAAGTTTTTGACCATCAACCTACTAATGAGGTATGAGGAATATCTATCAATTTTTCGGACTTGACTGATGAAAACAGGCCGAAAGAAATTCTTCATTCTGGAAGATTGCAAGTGCCATCAAGAAGTTCCACGAGCAGCACGGCTGTTTGCCCCTTCCTGGTAGCCTACCGGATATGAAGGCCCAGTCTAAAGTCTACGTCAAGTTGCAGGGTATATACAAGGCAAAGGCTAGGAATGACGCACTTGAAGTACTGGAGATTACCAGAGCCACACCCGGTGGCAAAGATATTGACCCCGCGGAGGTCGATTTGTTTTGCAAGAACGCATCTTTCGTAAAGCTTGTTAATGCTACGGCTAATGGCCGAGATTTGTCCAAGATTTACGGTGAGTTTACTTCAACCGCTCATTGAGACCGTGACTATGTCACTAATTTTAGTCATTCAGAATCCGAGAAGGAAAATGATAAACTCGCTGAGGATATGATGATGCCTCTATCATCGCTACCCATTTACCTCGCGCTTTCGGCAACTTCCCATAATCCTACTGCCTCAGCTGACGAAGTATTGGCTAACATTAACGGCAAGCTGCCAGGTGCAGCCGATGATATGCGAGTTAAACAAGCTGCTCAAGAGGTGGCTCGAGCCGGCGGCGGCGAGCTTCACGACCTATCCGCAGTCGTAGGCGGCATGGTAGCACAAGAGGCGATCAAAATCATTACCAAGCAGTATATTCCCATTGACAACACGTGCATATTCGACGGCATCAGCAGCCGATGTCAGGTACTTTGCTTGTAGAGTTGGGCCCACTTTGAGTGGAGGTGGGTGAGAGAAGGGAGAAACTCCAAAGATAGTCTACCGGCATTCGCCTCAACAGATCCGGATTTAGCATGGGGAGGTTTGAGGTTTGTGGAGACTTCTCCAGAGCCCGGATGCTTGGCATATAGTAAATGGCACTACATCCACCCACCATCTCATGATCAAGACATACACTTCGGATCGCAGGCCCTTGCAGTAACCTCGTCTCATAGCCCTTGCAGCAAGACAAGGACATCTGGATCTGTAAACCGGCGAAAATTGGCCCGCGTCACCAGACAACAGTTGCCTTCCTCTGCTTTTGCGATATCTAGCATGTACTGCCGGGCTCTTGTTCATGGGGTGGGGTGCTAAACGCGATTGCCATGACTGACTGGCATATTGTGAGTATATCGCATCGGTAGCAATACCGCGCTTGGTAAGACCCGTTTTCGACGGGCTAGACTATAGAAGTGTCTCAAACTCATACTCGAACTCCTTGGAAGCTGTGGGACCATCATTAAATAATTCACGCCTCTTTGTGCACTTCAAGCTCGAGTTGCAGTTGGCTAACAGTAAAATACGCTATTCGGATTTCTTTTCCCATGATCCAACAGCTAAAGTACCCTAGGTTACATGATCTCCCATCTGGATTACATGTACTTCAGGAATACTACTCCAAACCACCCCAGGTACCATCAGGTGCAGATGACCCCCGATGACTTAGCTAGCGGATGATTGGCCTTGGGATCTCGAGCAAGGGTTTGGCACTGGCTAAAAATTATTTCCTCCTGAATAGTTCGCAGATCATTTTCCCCCTTCTTTTTCCATTTGTAGTTCGGAGAAAACTCTGGTCGAAGGTATTTCGTCGTTTTCAGTTGTAGACCAATATTTCTCGACTTGCTGTCTTATTAGTAGGCTACCATGGTGGCCTTGTTGTTGCACCGCATACGTGGGTTAGATATCTTTAGAGGTCATTCATTGCGGGATATATGGTGCAGCGCGAAACGAGCTAAATCATCAAAGACGTTAGAGGCGAGAAATGCAATTTTAGCAATGCTCAGCAGAGTACCATGGCACAAGATACAGGTCGCCATACGGCTTACATGGATATTGGAGGGGTCAAATTAAAGAGATGGCAAATTTAGACAAGCACCCAGCATCACCTCTAACGATCCCTCGGCTGGGTCATGTCAACATCCGGGTAGTTTGGCGTTACGCCCGCCAGTTAGCAAGGGCAAATGTGGGACTCGAGCCAGTGGGATTATGCACGTGATGGATATGTCAAAATAGCTTCCTGTCGGTTAATCTAGGCGGCTGTCAATCCTCAAGGCATGATGATGTGGCTTTTGGCCACTTAGGGAGAGGTGGGCGCGGAGGGCACGTAGAATGCATCCTTAGTTTCTAAAATTCTTTTTCTATTTTGCCCCAAAAGGCACGCTGTCTCAACTTCAGACCAAAGGACCAAGAAATATTGAGGGAGCCCATATTTTGTTCTTTGACGCAGATACCTTTAGATACCAGGTCGAACATGGGTTGTGGTAGTCGACCCCATATACTGGTCACCTATAGGTGGCTTTTATACTTTGCCGGCGGGATCGGCCAGACAATGTCTCCCTGCAGCAGAGGAAGGCTGTATCTTCAATCCTTAAAAGGCTTACAAGATCCATGCTGTTTATTTAGAACACGGGCACTCATCGAAGTGGGCATTGCTTCTCGTCCTTACATTATTGTGATAATAGCTACGTCCAACGCCACCATGTAACTCAACGGCTGAGGTTCCAGAGTTGCTCTGTTGTTGGATTGCCTGTGGATATGCTCAAGGATGCAATTTCTCCCGGCACGAATCAAGCTTCATGGTAGCACCGATTATCCGATAGAATAAGCCCGTTGCCAAGATAGGCTAACAAGATCATGAGATGATGAGCCTCTGCAGCTCCTCTAGCTCCTATGCATGCAGGATTTGGCGAAGGTGTATCGTGGCTCAGTTGGTGTCACCTATATAGCGAGGGAATAACACTGCACTCCACAGAATGAGACCATGTGGCTCTGCAAGGTGCGAGAACTTGTAGCCGAGCGACTCGACATCAGTGTGGGGTAATTTGAGGGCCGCGGGATGATTTTGAGGGAAGTTGATCCGACCCCCAACAGCCAATTGAAGCTGCATTAGAAAACAAGTATTCAGTTGGGAGTTTAAGGGATGGGACGAATGGAAACGCGATTGCGGCTCAGCGATGTCACAAAAGGAGGCGTTGTGCTTTGTTAACATTAAGTTAAGATTAACCTTACAATGAGTCTTTAAGGTTAGTGGGAGCAGTCTTATACTCGGTAACAACAGCTGTGTGAGCAATCAACTTGAACCTGCTGCTGTGAATGAATTTTACCAGGGTTCAGCGAAACCAGACAGCCTAAAAAATAAAAAATAAAATAAAATAAAAACGAACCCACCAGATGTAACATGGCTTGAATATATACCTTTGTATTGGTTGTTACAAATCATGAATCACGCTGAAGATCGGCAAGAAATTCTGGGCTGGGCGGCGCGCGCGACAAAGGTACTCGTCATCGCACTAACCGTAATCGCGTCTACCGAGGATAAGGCTAATAAAGCGCGCGACATTTTTCTTCTTCTCCTTTGACCCAGATGCCATGGGGATTCTGGTCTCCATGATTTCACGGACACGTTGGCGGTAGACCCCGTCTCTTCGGCACGCCTCCCGTAGTAGCGCGCTTTTACATGTTCCCTTAATCCTACAATAAGCTGGGGATAATGCTTGCGGCAATCTCGCGGGCTGACCTGTCATTTTTATTCCCAAGACTTAACCACACACCAGACACCTGAAGATCAAATCGTTCGGCGCTACAAGGTATTGGCACATACGACACAACCGTCGGCCATAGACCGGAGATCTGCTCCTGTTGGCGGCTCGTCAGTACTGTATGGAGTGCAGGAGATATGTGTGCCTGGCATCGCGCCGCTAGTCTGGCTTTGCTGTGCTCTATATATTAAAAACCATGGTCATGTGGGGATTTTGAGCGGCATCTGGATCTTCATTTCCCGTCAAGCCCGCATGGTCTCTCCCAGCTAATACCCTGATCTGAAGTATCCGATCTGGTGGTTGGCTGTTCTCGAATTCTCCAACGAAGCTCATTGCAACCCCTTGGGGGCTAATTGAACCACTCTGACCGGACGATCATCCTCTACGTTGCGGGATGTGGAGGTAAATGCGTCGTGATGTGTGTAACTGTGCAATAGCAAGCAACAATGTATATCTTGCTTGCTTTCTGTACAAGCGCACACGAATCGCCCAATGGTTTCTGGTGTCTGTTCGTGGACACCAGGCAGTAATCAGTCACACACTATGTGTGGTGGTGCTTGTAAAGTTATTTCCTCCTGGCAGCTAGCGCCGGCAATCAACAAGAGGAAGGCTAATCCTATTTGGGGATGTTGAGCGCCGTGAGGGGGCTCCCCCAGGCCAACCCTACCCCTTGTCCATCCACATTTTCTTCCTTCTGCAACTTCATCTTAAGTCAATCCAAACTCTAAACTGTCCGAAACTTGGGATGTCTTTGACAGTCACATCCTCCTGCTTTGCTTTTGCGTCAACTCACGCACATAGCCGTCCGTGAATATGGGTATCGGCTAATCGGACAGCCTCAATTCGCCTGTTTACACACTGCGTTGGACATGATGGTGGTATAGCTTTGTATGAAACCAACGCCACCAAGGTAGTCTTCCGTCATCATCCCTTCTTTTAATATAGTTGCAAGGGATGGATACCCACATATACCGCTCTTCACTAGCCAGTTTCCTTGCCGGATGAGTGATGCCCAACTCACAAAGACGTCACCCGTCTAGCCGTCTTGCCTCTGTTCTGCTGCAAGTACCCTTTGCTCAGGTATGTGGATATCACATTTGGAGTATCCGGAAGTATCACCTTGATTTGTTTAGGGACGGCACTGATCTCCACCTGCACGTTGTCACCCGCCCTCGAGTACCACTGGTACTAACCATATTTCAGGGTCTACTCACCATTAACGGCCCCGCTGATCTTATAGCATGGGGAAATATACCTATTTGGTATGGATCGACTGTTCCTGAGTGATTGTATCCATCTCGGCCTGGTCAGGGGCGGCGACTTACCCCACAAGAAGTGACTGCCAGACTGCCAATCTCCGCATTATCATACTGCGCGGCTACAACGCCCATGCATCTATATAATCTTCAACACCTGCCATCCGCTCGGTTACCGGTCAGACCATGCCATGATAAGGCGCTGAACAACCGTCAGAGAGACTTTGTGTAGCCTCAAACGAATTCACATCAACATTATACTGAAGCTTCAAAGTCATGGCACCATCAATTCCTATCCCTACTCAGGGCGGGATGTTCCACACTTGTAGGCACAATTGATTCTTTCTGACATGGTATGGGCTCCTAACAGCATGTAGTCCAAGGAGTTACTCCCCGCAAACAATCAGTAGACTCCTCAGAGGGCTCTAAAGCCAGCTCAAGCAGTGCTGCAAAGCGGATTACTACGCCACATGCATGTGCCGAGTGCAAGCGCCGCAAAATGTAGGTATAACCTCTGCGTTTGGCTCGAGCAATTCTCCTAACCGTTTCAAAGACGATGTGATGGCCAGCAACCATGTGGTCAGTGCCTTTCGAGTCGAGCCCCAAAGCGGTGCTTCTATGACAAGCACCGACAGCGTGTAATTCCATCCAGAAAAACACTCGAGGCCCTGTCGCAATCTTTAGAAGAGTGCCGATCAATCCTTAAAAGGCTATATCCTCACCACGATATTATAACATTGTTACCATTATCACGACAGGAACTAGTCAATATTCTAGATCGACCAGGAGCAGACCCCGCCAATGGAATGCCATCGCCGCCACTTCACGGCTCACCGATGGAAGCTGGACTACAATCGCCTCCCTTGTCAGCAACTGAGCAAGGCATCTCCAGCCTCGAACAATTACCTTCGAGGGACGCAGAGTGGGATGAGGAGCGACGAGGAAGGGACCCGATCCCAGTGGAAGCAGACGACGTTAATGCATTGTCACTGTCGGTTGATCGACATGCATCATATCTCGGAGCCTCCTCCATCAAAGCAGCACTGATGGTGATGTTGAAGGTCCAGCCAACCCTACGAAGCTCGTTTACGCCGCCGCTAAACAGTGTTGAAATAGCGCATAACATGCCTATAATGAAGCAGAAGACCACAAACCTGAAGGAGCCACAGAGAGTACCATGGTCGTGGAAGGGGCAAACATTGATCGACGCCTATTTTAAGAGGATACACGTCTTCATTCCTATGCTCGACGAAGCCTCGTTCCGAGCCGACTATCTCGAAGGACAAAGGTGCGACGCGCCATGGCTGGCGATCCTCAACATGGTTTTTGCCATGGGGAGTATAGTTGCTATGAAGTCTGACGACTACAACCATCTGAATTACTACAATAGGGCCATGGAACACTTGCCGTTGGACTCCTTTGGCAGCAGCCATATTGAGACTGTTCAGGCATTGGCTTTGATAGGCGGTTACTATCTTCATTATATCAACCGACCTAATATGGCCAATGCCATACTTGGTGCAGCAATCCGCATGGCCAGTGCTCTTGGCCTTCATAGAGAAAGCCTTGTCACTGCGCCTTCAGGGAGCAGTAATGAGGCTGTAGCAGCCGAGACACGACGGAGGACATGGTGGAGCCTCTTCTGTCTCGATACCTGGTCTACGACCACTATGGGTCGACCTTCATTTGGTCGATGGGGTCCAGCCATCAACATAAGGGTGCCGGAGGCAGGCATTAGCTCTGGCCGTGACTCAGCCCAACATGCCGGCATTCTACCTCTGATCGAGAACATAAAGTTTTGCAAGATTGCCACGGGGGTTCAAGACATGCTTGCCATTTCGCCACTTCTTCGAGCCGAAGACCGAGTCAGTCTCGATGGTCAGCTTGTCAACTGGTACAGTAACCTGCCATGGTTATTGAGAACTACCGATCCATGTGCTGAGCCGCTGTATATCGTCCGTTGCATCATGAAGTGGCGATACCAGAATCTACGCATGCTTCTACACAGACCAGTGCTCCTTAATTTGGCAAGCAGTGGTGCTTCGCACGCAGCAGAGCATGATATTGCTGCTATTGAAGCTTGCCGCGACCTAGCCAAGGCTACGATCGAGGATATATCTCGAGAATGGACGCGCAACCAGATGTCTGGTTGGAATGCAGTCTGGTTCCTGTACCAGGCAGCGATGATTCCATTGGTCAGCATTTTCTGGCAATGGGATAGCCCACGTGTGCCAGACTGGCATAAGCAGCTTGAAACAGTTTTGGAGCTCCTCGAAGCTATGGAAGATTGGTCACTTGCTGCACGAAGAAGCCGAGAGGTTGTATGGCGCATGTACGAGGCTTCGCGGCAACTAGAGCCGGCGATGCGGGCTCAGACTCCTCTGCAGCGGCTCGTTACGGACCATAGCATGCTCATGGCCGACGGTTCGGAATTACATATGTCCCCAATTGGACTAGAGCCCGAAGGCTTCGGACTGATGGGTGTCTTTGACCAGCAGGGATTCTGGGATCTTGACGGTATGCTCTGGGGTGGCCCAGAAGAAATGGAGTACGCACCATTCGGTAGTGTTCACGATGGGATGATGCAAATGGATTATAGCATTATGGGCTCACATCAAGGAGCCGGCGGCATAGGCGGCGCGGCTTACTCCTTCGCTCAGTGAACCTAGGGAGCCTATTGGCGAATTGGTCTGGGGAATGTTGCATTCGTCTCTCATGGTTGCTTTCTGGTCGTTCTGGAAAAGGAGATACCTCTTTGTTTGGGAAACTGTTTTAGGGTAAAAGGGGCACAACTGCGCTGCTGAGAGATGGTAGCGAATGAGGCTTTACGATGGAATGACGTGTCGAAAACGGTGACTGTGTCAAGATTTGTACATAGCCTGTCACTTGATATGATGAACAAAGAAGCGCTGCAATCACATGAAGCGATGCTCACTCCACTACACCGCATTTCATAAGAGGCATTACGTGTTGTTGCCTGTATCACAAAGATGGTGGGACCCCAGGCGGACAGGAAATCCGGGGTGCAGGTAGAACCCATGCCTTTTGGTCATCCTGGTAAGAGGTGGCTGATGATCGCCGTCTCTTTCAAGTCAGCGAACCCCCAAGGGGACACTTTGGGGGCCGTTGGCTTCATCGATCAACACAGAATGGGTAACAGCGGCTCAGTGATATTCGCTGACCATTGCTCGGGTTGACCTAGAGGGTGTGAAGGTGGCCGCAGATAAGCATAGTATTGTAGTTATGAAGGGGTTATGAAGGCTTGCTAGCGTGTATCATGCATATATGAGAAAGGGTGTCTCAAGGTAAATTAAGATTTTTCCGGGCGCCAGCACAACGTGTCTCCTGCCACCCATGTGTGTTGGGGGTGGCCAGGAACAATGTCGTGCATTGTGAAATTTCTGGTCAAGGGTGAAGCGACGCAGCGATTGGGCGGATCTTTTACCAGCGCCGAGCCAATGGGTGAATCGAGGCAATATGGCATGTCGGCCCGCGGCGAACAAAACCCTGGCCTATACCAAGCACCCTAACCCTGGGCCCTGACTTTGCTGTCCAGGGTCTATGCGGCGATGACACGCAAGATAGACGCTACGACCCGTGTCACCCTTGCGTTGCGATACCCTACCCCCGTCCTTACCCTTTCTTCTTCTTCTTCCCCCCTATCCTCTTCAAGTACCTCAACGGCTTCCCCGTGCGGGGAAATGGCGGGGGGTCAGGCAGGTATTACGGAATGGAACACGTCTCTCACATAAGTCATAAGAGGAGCAAAAGGAGCCATTTTGTTCTGAGGGTCATAAGATGCGCTCGAGGTCGATGCGATAGGCTCGCTTGTATTGGAGAAGGCGATGATCAGCTTGCGTTAGGTCGAAGACCTGGGGTAGTATATTATCAAGCTTATTTCTCCAGGAACTGTAATCGAGACAATTAAGACCACCACAAGAGTGGAATAATGGGTCGACATTCCCAGCATGTGGGGTAAGGCCGACTCCAAGCAAAGGTATTCTGCTCCAAAACTCTAACCTAGACTAGTGTAGGGTAGGACATGTGCTTTTCTCCTACAGCTCCTATTTTGAGTTTATGCATCAGATCCTCTTGCCAGACAGTGCCGCCATGTTGTGGCACTTCAGTACAGCGGCAGTTGAAGGCACGACTGGGATACACAACCTTGACAGTTGCTGCCTTCACCCAAAACGTCGTCCTTAGAAGTGCTGTCTTGACGCAAGCAGCCGCACTCTGGGGAGGCGAGTTCCAGGAGCGACGAATCCTAGCCTTCATCACCATCACTTCAGCGTCATGGCCATGCCTTAGCATTAAACCATTGGAAAGCCTGGGACCTGGCGGCCATTTGCATATAACCGGCCGCTATGGGCTATAAGTTGCCTCCTTGCCTTTTTGTTCTTAGTTGCTTTTCAACGTCTTATACCCACCGCCTATATAGCACCATTACAAGGCTTGTCGGAAGACGAACCGCTAGGGCGGTTTGAGGACGAGAAGCTATCGTGACTTTGCTGCGGGCCGTCGCCCAGGCTCGATCCACCTACTCAAAATATTCGGTGCCAAACGTCGGTGTGTGCTTGTATTCTGCTTCAAAGCTAATGCGCTGTCCGGCATTTGAGCATTTAGCCAAGCGAACCCCAGATCCGGCAGAAGCATGCCTCTGATCGATTGTCGAGAATCTGGGGAATGCTTGAGAGCAGAAGCGAAGGGGGTTGAGTGTCTGTTCGCAACGTCTCCAAAACTCGCATACGATTTAGATGTGTCATTGATATTGGTCGAGCTTGTGTCACAGAAACGTAGTTGGCGACGAAGGCGCACTGGCCTCTCTGGGCCCCTTGGTTTCTCGCTTTGAGTTTCTCGCTTTGCAAAGCCTCTCTTATGGCTGTGTGCAACTGTGGCTGAACTGCTCCTTATGCAATTCGGCCCGTTATTAAGGGATAATATTAACTTCGAACTTGACCAGGCACTCAGCAAAGTGTCACCCAATACCTGATATGCAGTGCAGGTCACAAGGTCAATACGCTGGCAGCACATTCGTACTTTGGTTTTGTAGTTTTCTTTTTCTCTCTCGGCTATTATCTCATCATTGTCAACATGTTTTGAGACACTGTGAATGATAAGTATCAGACACCGGATTGTGGTATCACGAAACACCAAGCCAATGTCTCATATAGGCCTGGTCTTACGATGACTCCTTAATGACACTCCTGATGTTTGAGTCGTCACAGATATTCGGTGCAGAGGCTGCAATGATGCAGACAAAAGCAACTTGACCCGATGACGGAGCGCCGTGGCCCAATGGGATAAGGCTGTGTCAAGCGAGTTGCATGTGATAATTGGCTCCGAACTCATTTGCGCTGGTTTACCATGATGGTCTTACGCCGCAATAGAGAGCCATCACTTCAGTACTGGAATTGAGTATATCTAATTTGTTGGAAAAGTGCTGAATTGATGCAAAAAGCATGTTCAGTACATTGGTATGCGTGGCTTGATCATAGGATCCATGTTACGTGCGCTGTCGATATCACATCCTTGTAAAGCCGCCACATAGGGTGAAGTGATTATATCACATCACCTCCGTGCTATCCCGACGGTATTGTTTATTATACGATGTGTGACTAACCGCAGCAATGTCACAGATAGCTGCAGATGTAATGGTACTAAAAATAAGACACAATTAGCACGACGCAAGCTAAGTCAGGGCGTGTGGTCGTGTTCATTCCTCGCATGACGAATGTTGCTCGCAGCGCCCTGTAGCAAACGAATATCAAGTTCAGTGCCGAGCGTAACGCGTGCAGATTGCGTTGGTAATTCGATGTTGCCACGCATCATGGTCTGCTTTCTTTTATTTCTTTGCTGGACAGTATGAACCTTGTCGAGAGATACCTTGAGGTAAGAACATTACTCGGGTTTGAAACCTAGTCCTCTCATACGGAACAGCTTGGGCTAAGCTAAACTACAAATTCCATTGTACACGAAATATGTGCCATTGTACCTGACTTGGAAACTGTTCCCGAAATACGCGTTCCGATAATTGGTACTGGACTGATTTGGGCTGAGTGCTGCAGTCTACTTTGTGCTCAATCGCCACTACTTCGAAGTCCAAGTAGTCCAAGTAGTCCAACAGCGTCTTCACCACTTGAAGCATCATAAAATAGGCTAAGTGGTTCGCAGAACTGTGTACTTCAGGAGTTCGAGACGACCTGGTACGTATCAACAAGATTACTCCGACCAACCGCCCCCGCGACTTATGTCGATGGCCACAAAAACTGATGCTATAGATGTTACAAGTCGTCTGGATCAGGAATTTCACGGGGATGTAGGAACAAAATGCTGGAGAAGTAAGCTCGCCACCCATATTCTTCTGGATTAAGGATTACATTATGAGGACACACTCTAGCCATTACGAATAATTGAACACGTAGTTGATGAAAATAGTATGCAAGGTACTCGAGCGCAGCACGTGATGATATTCTTGATTATCGTGTATTCTGTACGGAGCATCATGTGATGCTTAACCATTGATGCATAATTCCTGGTTGACTTGTAATATATCAGTCTTATGCTCGACTGAGGCAAACTAAGTGGCTTCGAGGTGATTTGATTAACAATCGGATAAGTGATACAGCGGCACCGTTACAAGTCAATTGTACTCAGACAAGACGAAAGCTGCCAAGTAAAAGTTCAAATAGCTCAAGGGCGAGAACCGAACATGAATGAGAATTTACAGCAAACGCAAGTTCAGGCTTCTATTTTTGTTTTGGGAGGAAAGCGAGCTATTAAATTAATAAGTATCTAGTCCTACAGGATCCGATAGCCACATGTCTTTCATAGCTTCGGAAACAATGATGATAGTCTGGTATGGGCAAGATAGGTTGACCTTCCAAATAATCGCGAACTCATGACTTGGAAAAGACTCCGAGCTGTGACAAACAGCTAAATTTAAACCACATCCCATCTTGTTCCTCCGGAACAAAGACCAGAGAGCCCGTGGTTTAGACCAGAGACAGTACACAAGTCTCGATTGATCAATGATCCTTTGTAGGCTACAACGGAAGCAGCACAATAAAGAAGTTTAGCGATATACTCAAAACGTTTGCCACGTCTAAGAATTAGCAAATTTATTATAATTGTCTACATTCTCATTGTTATACACAGCTCTCATGCGTGTTAGTAAATCTGAATGCGATACAGTCAACACAAACAATCAATAACCGACTTCGCTACTTTCATTAGCGACCACACAGCATCAAAACCACATATGAACTGCAAACTACTACAGATCAGCACTGAATATTAATTCGGTATTTCGCAAGATTCCAGTGAATGAAGTTTCGATGGATTTGATATGGAACGGATATCGGCGACAGCCCAACAAAGGTAGCATAACATTATTTCGGATTCTGCGGCCGAATATCGAGGAACTGGCACAGAAAATGTACGGCGATGACAATGTTGCTGGCGTGCGCTATGGCAAGCACAAGGAAACGTCGTATATCTTGATATTTCTAGCAAAGGAGCCTGAAGGTGCGGAGGGATTTGCATCAAGCGAGTTTATGGCTCTCAGCGCAAACTTCTACGAGGTGCTGAAGGATGGCCAGGCTGAAGAAACAGAGGTCATAGCCAATATTCTCAAGCCAGATATAGTACAGAGGGACGGTCTTGCGGGATTAACGTTAGTAGACTTATTTGAGGTTCAAGTCAACCATCCCATAAGCGGAAGATTGCTCATAGGTCCCATCGAGAGGCAAAAAAGGTTTATGGGCTTATAGAAAGTACACACTAAAACATAATCTTGATAAATAAGCGATTGCAGCGTAGGAAAGAGAACCACAAAAGTCGATCAAATGCCAAGGAATACTCCATTCCTTGCAATGGTGTGTGGTTGGTCGTTCGTTCAATAAGACTTTTGAACAGATATACAAGTCGATAAATACTCAGAGCAAGATATTATACAACAGCGATTTGGTGTCCGTAGAAAGCTCACAGGTCCATGACTGCAGCCTGAAGTAATGACAACTCACAACACTTGTTTGGCAGCCAGAGCTAGCAATTTTCAAGCAGAGTATATTAAGATGCCGATATCATCGACCATGAATATTGATCATGATCCACATGCGAGCCCCACTCTCTAATTCTTTAACAAGTACATTGCAATCATTGGCAACAATTTTGGACGATATGGGGACATGTATGACAAGGTAGACATCCGGTAGTGTCCCGATCCTCATTTGCCCACGGCTGCTCTGTAATGGAGGTTCTTGTACGGTTGCTGGACTTGAAGTGGTGCCATCGTCCCTATCAAAACTGTCATGCAATGGTAAAACAGGCAGATATTCAAAGCTGAGTTGTGATCTAAGCACACTGTGCACCACTGCTATTGGACTAGGACTCTGTATTGTTCGCAATTACCGCCGCTTTCAAGTATGTGTTAGTACATTTAATCTCTACATACATGTATCGACGTCACTCCGACCGCTATTCGTCCAAAGCCCGGCGACCCATCTGTAGTCTGCTTCAAGAAAGAGGCGTTTCATTCCAGATCTCAAATTAAGACATACTAACCTAATAACATTGGGGATTTAATGGGTACTTCGGTCGGATCATGCGGAGCACAACGCAACCCAAGCCACGGTATGGAACTTGTGGGATTAAGAATAGTTGTTGAATGACAATTCATGTCCTCCTAACCTCGATTTGCGCGTTACTGCCCAGCCTACACGGACCACCGTTACTGGTCCGAAACCAGAACTTGAATGATGAAAATTCTCTCTGTGTGACAGGCTTTGAGTGAGATTGAATATCGAGACGCCAAAAGAAGACAAGCAGACACTGCAGATTTCGCGGCCAATTCACACCATTATCGCGCAAGGTCTGTAATTCCCCTTGGATTGCAGTCAGCTATACATGAGGAAAATAGCCCAGATATCGTCGTTCAGCAAGAGCTTGGACTCAGTTTGACAATCCTAAAGACAACGAGAGATCCCAAGACTCGGGCTCAGATTTGTTGACGTTCTTGACAGGATACTCTAGAGAACATCTCTAGCCTGCCCAGCATAAACGATGACAGTGACGAGGAAGCACATGAAGAAGGACTGAGGGCTTCACCGGGTTACTTCTCCGACCTTGTAGATTGTGGTTTGAAAATTGGCTTATGAACGATAGAGGCAAATTTGTGCACGCGAATGGACTAGTGTATATATTGATCAATATAGCGTAATTGTGATGCTGTTTGGGGCCAGCACCCTAGTCGTAACATTACCACTCGGTAGAATGTTATCCAAGAGGACGCGTATAAGCTCCGTCATCGTTCAAAAGGTTATCGTAGGTCTCGGCAGTATAAGATCAAGCTATCTAGGGCCGCCAGAAAGCTTCCTGGCCAAAAGAGATCGATCGGCCGAGTTCGATGGAACAAGGTGACGTTTCTTGGAGTTAATATTGGAGATACCAAACATGAGACCACAAGTAGTAAACCAAATGCTAGAGGTAAACTCGTGATGAGCCGCGAGTAGCAAAGTAGCAGAAATGACACGTATACATATTATTAACTCCTCTAACGTTGTAGACTATCAGGCTCGGCCTCGGAACCCCCCCCCCCGACTTTGTGGCAAATGCCTAACCACCTCTCGTAAATATCATTACATGCGATCAGCGGAAAACAGCCCTCCTTTCTATTTTATCTACCATATTACATGAGATGTCATTAACCAGTATGGCCATGCTTGCGTTGGCATCCTTCATTTTGATACTCAGCACCTTTGCCTCCCTTACCAGTTCTAGAACCTGCATCCGAGCCCGCTCGATTTGGCATATCCGCACGAGGTGCCTCCCTTTCATTCGTCTGTTTCGCGGGGGGACTGTGTTTGCCGTGGCCGATTGCAAGCATCTCGTAGCTCTGGGGTTCCTGGACGTACCGTGCCACAGCTGGTGGCATTGAGATGGAGAGTTGTTGTCCGTCGGTATCAGGGCTCCAAAAATGAGTGACGCTTTGCTGTGAGCGGTCGACAGAGTAGACATCAAAGTGTGAACCTATCGTGTCTGCATTGACTCTATGAAGACTGTTACCATTGGCGTTGCCGACATGGGAATAATGCAAATGGCAATGCGTGCTCCCCCAAGGGTGATTACAGTACCCGCTTGCGTCACCGAACAGTCCCTCTTCTAGCTGATGAGGAACTGGTCCGTCGTAGAAGTTTAGCTGAGTGTGGCTATGAGGCCATTGGTCATGGAACTGTTCGGTCTCCATGTTTCCAGTCAGCCAGACTATAGATGATTGGTGGCTATGTTGCTGGTCAGCACCCTAGTCAGAAACACATTAAAGGAAATAGCGTGGGGGAAGCTGACTCAGATTGGTACTCTTCTGCAGTCGCCCACTCGGAACCAGTGACGCTTAAAGCAGACATGTCTATCACCCACACACTTTACGATGAAATCGGAGCGGATAATGGTTGCGTAAATTTGTAGAAAGAAACTGTGTTGTGATATCAATGCAATTGTAAGGTATAACTATCTGGGACTGCTTGGGCAGGCTGGAATAGCGCACATGGGTAAAAGGTTTGTTAAGATGGACGAAGAGAAGGCTTAGTAGAAATGTATTTAAAAGGAGACCTAGTGGCCCATTGAGTCCCTCTGGATTTTGTGCCGTTACGATCAGACGGTAAATATAAATATGTTAGGCAAGTGAAACAAATACTGTACATCGAGTGTATAGGGAAAGGGGACATCAATAAAGTACCACTTAGCGTACAGCTATTGAGCTAAAGAAAAGAGACGACCAGAGGGTAAAAAGACATGTACGCTGGACCGAGTGTTTCTGAGGGTACAGTTGAGCTGTTATCTATACATAAATATAGATTCATATCGATCAGGCTGGGCCGAGGCAACACTGGTCCCTCCAGAAATAGAACTTCTGTTGACTGTCTCATGTCACCATATGGAAGATGAAACACAATATCTCGGCGTGATTCTAATTGACTGGAACATCGGCGAGGACCTGCGTTGTTCTGGTTGCAAATAGAACTGCCGTGATCTTGCAACGAAATCCGGATGGCATGCGTCAACGGTCGATGTAGGCCGCAAGAAATCGTCAGAACTCGATATTGGACCTTTGCATCCCAATCGAGAGTGGACCGCCGGTTTCTATGCAACCGCCTCGGTACTCAAAAAGTTTTAGTTCATGTCATAGGTCACCATTGAACGTTCTTGTCCATTGAGAGCTCAGCCTGGTGGGTGCTACAGCGCCCTTGCAGGACCTCCGATGCACAGTAAGCGGGCTCCATTCGCTAAAATTTCTCGAAGCCTTCTCGAAGCTTTCTAGAAGTATGTCCGCCAGGGTAGGACTAAAAATTCATTTAGATGCGGCATACTCGGCAAAAGTACACTACAGTAAAACTCTGAGCAACAAAAGACTAGATAAGTCACGGGCAACAATGACGTGAGTTGCAACTGGGTACGGCTCAGCATAATCCGCAACAATAAAAGGTTGATGGCTTCAGCAGTCAAGGTTTTGGAAGGAGTGAGTGGAACTACTATATGATCGTCGATTTGCAATGTGATGGATTGGTGTTTTTTTGACAGTAAACAGACGTCAGGTAGTAAGGTAGTGCAGGGCTTTCTGGAAGCAAAAGAGTTTTGCGCAGCCTGCAAAATATTCTTGGAACTGTCAAACCCATTCAGTCGGTCGATAGAGCCGTCAGTGTGCCTGCAAGGCTGTGGCTTGCATATTTCGAGCATGCACGTTCATGTGCAGTGAAGGCGCTTGCAACCTTGTCCAATTTTTTCTCGACTGTTCACTAAGACTACTACTTGACTGCAATTCCCTGGAGGTTGCCTTCTTTGCTTGATGCATAGTAGTTCCTTGCATTACAGCCAAGTCGTAGAACTGGTTGGTGCCGTGTGTGTGTGTGTAAGCAGCACGTCAAAGTCCACAAGGGCCAAAGGGGATACACCTTTACTTGGTGTGAACGAAGAGGATCTCTTGCTCGTAGACAGGTGTGCGGTTATTGAAGGGCTGCATTTCATCGCGCACAAACACTCGTTTGGGGTATGATGAAGAGGAGAGCAAGATGAAAGAGTTGCCGGTCGGGCAGCACACCGACATTTGGCCCAACTTCTGCTGACCACCAGCTCTGGGTAAAGCCGTACTGATATGGGAGACACCTAGGGCTGTGAAATTTTCACATAATATACACGCTACAATACAGGATAATAGGGAAAGAAATAAGGTAGCATTAGAAAGGATGCGGGACACTATGAAACCCAATGTAATACTTTTCCTAGATGATCAACTCGGTGGCATGAGCAATAACACCATGCGATATGTACCCGGGGTTCGAGGTGAAATATTGGAGATTACGACATCTTTTGTATGTAGTGTTCCTTACGTAGTGCTGAAGTTGAAAAGAGATGCGAAAAAAGACGGCCATGAACCACCGCCGACACAGTCGCCGAGCAATGTCAACCTGCAAAGCGACTCTCTTCGCGAGGGGTACTTGCCGTGATGTGCGGCTCCATTGTGCAACGTATGACTCGGCATCTCCATTGTGACTTGAAGACTAAGCATGTTCTGTGCGAGTTAAACCCCGACGACTAAGCGATGGGTGCACCCGTATTATAACCCTGCGTATATAGGTGAGATGGTCCATACCCGGTTGCAACTTCGATGCGGGCTCCGTTTGTAGCGTTCGCTTGCGCAGTGCTCGGATGCAGTTTCGGCGTTGGGACGCCCAATTAAACCAATAGCCAGTATGTATACTACGACTCAGCAATTGCCCAGGTGATCACGACTGATCCGAAGCAAGCTTCTTTTAGTGGTCTTTGAGCAACGCCTTCTGATTTAATTGGGTCTATTCATGACAGATACATTGCACTACGATGGCAACAATGCAGACATTTGCAGATGCAACATCGAGTACACTGTTAATGGTTCAACGGCTATCAGTCTCGGATCGACCCAGACAGAGGCAGAATCTTAATAAAGCTGGACCTTTTGTCCCGACCGGCCGTAAGTAAGGGAGCGCTCAGCATTCTAAGTTGGCCCGCCGTTTGGGTTTGGGTACGTGATGTGGGGGCTTGGGCCCAGCCCATCGGAATTTGGATCGCAGTTGAACCCAGAGAGGAAAAGTCGCCAAACCATTCGCATTCGCTTCGATGCTGGGTCCAGACTCTCCAGTCAGCCCTCCATAGCACCGGCACCATTGCCTTTTTGGCGCTTTGCGACCTCAGGTCTGGCCAGTGATGTTATTGATTGCGCCTCTGTAGCGCATACAGACTCTTCCCTCCTTACGAAAATCGCAGTACAATGGCTAGGGAGAGCATTTAGATTCCTCCGACCCCCGCGTAATAAAATGGTGAACGCCTAATTTATTTCGCATTCGCAACTTTGCTGTGCGCGATTCCGAATAAGATGTTGCCGCCAAGTTCTGGATATATTTACTAGATATGTAAATCTGCCGTACAATCAAATGTTGTACCGATACGTCTCGCTTGAGATCAACAGTTTGATATTTGTTCAGCAAAGCCCAGATTAGCCCCTCTGCCAGTTCCAGTCGACGATAAACGCGAAGCCTCTCTCGACATATCGAAATGGCCTCGATCAAATCCGAAAAAACAGTGCCGATCGAGCCCGTCTTAAAAAGCCCAGAATCCTCGGATGCCAACCCTGATAGACCAGAACTACCAGCTGTACGTTTCTGGTTGCTCGCGCTCAGGTAAGCATACTGCTAGTCTGTTATAGAAGATCATCGCTTTTCTCAACATCAGGAACTAGTTTATGTCTCGGGTTGCTTTTGTCGTTCATGGACTCATCCATCGTGGCCACGAGCTTGTTCGCTATTGGTACTGAATTTCAACAAATGGATACGGTAAACTGGGTTGCTTTGGCATATACGCTTTGCTATCTTGGCTTTGCGGTTTTCTTTGCTCGACTTTCCGATGTTATTGGCCGACGCAATGCATTTGCAACGGCATACCTGGTATTCTTTGCCTTTTCACTGGGATGTGGTTTCGCCAAAACCAGTAAGCTGTTTTTGGTATCATTTGTTGCTCTTTATAGCATGTTTCTGGAGCGAATATTGCTTCTCAGAGGCACCCCAGCTCCTTGTGACTGTTTCGTTAATACTCCCGAAGTCCCCCAACCCATTTACCAACGACTAATACTGACCCCCAATGGTTTAGTGAACCAATTAATTGCATGCCGTGCGTTCCAAGGGATTGGTGGCTCTGGTAAGTGTGCTACTGTCGCTTGTATTCATTTATAAGCTGACTTGATAGGACTGTACTCGATTACGATGATCATACTCCTCGAGACAACACCTGCCGGAACAAAACAATTTTTGGCAAGCATGATTGGTGTTGTGGTCGCTGTAGGTGGTGTCCTGGGCCCGGTCTTGGGAGGCGTTTTGACTCACTACACGTCCTGGAGATGGGTGTTTTGGATCAAGTAGGTTGAAAGAGCAACGTCTCTCGTGCATTTAGCTGATACTGTCGTAGCGGCCCGATTGGGTTTGTATCTATGGTACTTTTCTGCCTGGCATGGCCGAAAGCCGAGTACCTGCCAAACGTGGAACGCAGGACCTGGAAAGAGCTGGATTACCCAGGGTCTGTCCTTCTGATTGCTGCTGCAGTCCTCGTAGTATTCCCATTCCAGGATGCTTCAAGTAGCGCTCTCTGGGATCAAGCCATTTTCGTGGTACCACTTGTGGTCGGTCTGGCATGTTGGTTAGGCTTAGTGCTTTGGGAAGTCTTCATACACAGACGCTGGGGAGACAAAATGGCTGCCGCTTTTCCAATGGGTTTGTTGCGGAATCGGGCTTACACCTCAGCCGTTGTCAACACACTCTTCCTGGGCTTTCCGTTCGTCATGTTGGTTTATGCATTTCCACTGCGCGTTCAGGTCGTAAACGGGAAAAGTTCGCTGGTAGCGGGTGTGATGATGCTGCCGTTGCTTGCAGCAAGCGCAACTGGGTCTGTTCTTGCAGGCATAATAAACAAAGTCAAAGACAGGACAGTTGAGACCTTGGCCCTGTCTAGCTGCCTCGTAGCTTTAGGCTGTGGGTTGCTTTCTACAATATCAGGTACATTGGAGGTTGAGGCCAAAGCACTGGGATTTCTGGTTTTCGTTGGGCTTGGATTTGGCCTGTCGGCGGCTGGGACAACCATGGTCGGCAATCTGCAATCATCCCTGCGTGATCACTGTAGGTCCCATTCACTGTTTGATCCCGAGGTCGTCTTGATCTGTAAAACGAACACTAAATTTGTGCGAATAGCACCTGCTCAAGGCATTATCGCCCAGATCCGAATCCTTGGCGGCAGCTTGGGCATCGCTGCTTCCTCTGCGATATTGGGAACCACCCTGAGGTCTCAGCTTGCGAGCGTCGTAGACCCAAAATTACTCAACTCGCTCGAGAATGCTACCAGCCAACTCACCAGCGTGCAGTTGAACGCAGTCAGGCGCGCATACTCGGAAGCATTTAATGAAGACATGCGCGTTTGTGCCATTGTCGCAAGCGTATCGGTGGTGCTGGCTTTCGGCGCATGGACGAAGCCTTCCAGTCGACCAACAGTACAAGAGCGCGGGGCACAACATCTGAAAAACGAGATTGACAGAAGAACTGCTGCCGCAAATGAATACTAAGACGGAAGGGAGGTTGTAAAGGAACAAGCGCCTTTGAGTGACTGCAGTGTCGGGATGCAGTTGTAGATTTGAACATATAGATATACTGGGAAGGGCATATGCATTGGCTAGGAGTTTGGACATGTAATCCTGGAATAGCCGTTTGTTTGGCTTGTAGGGCAAACTAGGACCGCTAGAAGTCGGTCGTGTAACACTGAGATGAATGATACTCATGGCAGTGGCCCGCCGTGACCATTGTTACCGTTTCCAATCTGTGTACTTGATGGTATGTATATGTAATGGCTCCACGTACTCGGCCACTTCCGAATGTACTCGACATTATTCGTACTGTGTGCGAAGTTGCTTATTGTTGAATTGAATCCTCGTAGGCTGCATGTTTGTGCCGTGTTTGACATGAATGAGCAACTGGTGATGTAACTGATTCACATTCACAAGCAAATGTCACCAGGAAAATGGCAACTCAATCTGCTGCCGTGGCTGTGCGACGAGCGCGGTTCTTGCTGTCGAAGGCGTTGCTGAATGGGTGCATTCTGATATACATAGACTGGACCACTTTGCATTGAGTTGATATGTGGTGAAAATGACTTACAGTGGTCCTGAGATGGACTGTGCGTCGGATACGGGTTTTGAGGGGTGTGAAGCCTGCGCGTTGGACATGTTAGACTATGGTTAGTCAGGAGTAACTCTCAATTCCATGTACGTGTACTCCGTACTCCGTCGAGCAGTTTACCATGCAGCAAGTATGTAGCTACAGTATCATCTTCTCGGACAGCGCAAGCGCAAGCACATTAACGCCCACTTATTAGAAGGCCGCAGGGGCGGGGAGGTTCCAGTCTGCCACTGGGGGTTGGCCCAGCTGGTGCACTAGCTAAAATAAGCACCACCCTGGCCAAAGTCAGCTTAAGTAAAGTTGGCTTGGCGCTCCCTGTGACCAAATTGCGATATCCGTGAGAGACTGGTACGGATCCCGTACAGTAGGGGATCGTTTCGTGAGAAGCGACACCTTTTTCTTTCTGATCCTTTTGTGCGACGACGACCGTATGAGCATAGCATATCCGCCAATCCATTCCCCTGCACTTGTGCAGTATTCATTTCATCTTCATGTATCATTTCTGATACCAATTTGCATTACTTGGTGACGATTGACCCACGCGCTTTGTTCTCTTCTCCCCCGACCACGACCACCACGACTACAGACGAGCTCCTTATCATCTCGGGGGGAAACAAGGCTCCTTCTTTCTGCGAGAGACCCCCGAGTCTGTTTCACACCTGTAATACTTTCAACAACAAGACCAAACCCATTGTCAGCCACGGGCTGGCGCCTCACCGAATGTTGCCCTCGTATGCATCGTCCGGTGCTTCCAAGGTGATGCCCCGGCATACCTCTGGGGCCGCCTATGCCAACGGATATCCTCGGGGGAACACCTTCGACATCTCCCCCCACAGGTTGGTGTCCTCTCCCACCACTGATCAGACCATGTGTCTCTGGGCCATGGAAAAAAGACTAACCCACTCTTGTCAGATTTCAACCTCGAGCCTCGACTCCAGCTACTCGTCGCAGACGAAAACTTCTGCTACGGCTTGGCCTAGTAGCCGCCGTCGCAGCCTTGTTCGGCCTCTTCGTTTGGCCCGGCAGCGGCACATTTGTTTCAATATTTTCCCTGGGACTCCTAAGCAGTAATGAGGACGTCTTGCTGGATACGGTACGGTACTACGATCTGTCGAATGTACAGGGAACCGCGCGCGGATGGGAGCGGGAAGAACGCATTCTACTATGTGTGCCGCTGAGAGATGCCGAAGCGCACCTGAACATGATGTTCTCACACTTGCGCAACTTCACCTATCCGCATCATCTCATCGACCTTGCCTTCCTGGTTTCGGACTCCAAGGATCGTACTCTGGAAATCCTGGTCGAAAAGTTGGAGGATCTGCAGGCTGATGATGACCCAAAGATGCCCTACGGTGAAATCCAGCTCATTGAGAAGGATTTCGGTCAGAAGGTCAACCAAGATGTCGAGAGCCGTCACGGATTTGCTGCTCAGGCAAGCAGGAGAAAGCTGATGGCACAAGCCCGGAATTGGCTGTTGAGTGCCGCTCTCCGCCCGTATCACTCGTGGGTCTATTGGCGAGACGTTGATGTTGAGACGGCACCGTTCACTATCCTGGAAGATCTGATGCGCCACAACAAAGACGTCATCGTACCAAGTATGTATTTGCGCTTCCACTACGCTTGCAGTACATGTCCACTAACGAATGTCAGACGTCTGGCGTCCTCTTCCTGACTGGCTGGGTGGCGAGCAACCATATGACTTGAACTCGTGGCAGGAGTCCGAAACAGCACTCGCTCTTGCAGACACCCTCGACGAAGATGCTGTCATTGTCGAGGGATATGCCGAGTATGCCACCTGGCGACCCCATTTGGCCTACCTCCGGGACCCATACGGCGACCCTGATATGGAGATGGACATTGATGGTGTCGGCGGCGTGAGTATCCTCGCAAAGGCTCGAGTGTTCCGCTCTGGTGTCCATTTCCCAGCCTTCAGTTTCGAAAAGCACGCCGAGACGGAAGGTTTTGGAAAGGTAATCATGAACTTGCTTGAACGATTTACAATAGTCTGCTGACAAAATTTTCCAGATGGCGAAACGCATGCAATACTCGGTCGTCGGCTTGCCGCACTACACCATTTGGCACTTGTACGAGCCAAGCGTAGATGATATTAAACACATGGAGGTAAGTCAGATTCCGTTTGCCCATGAGAGTTTCGGAGCTGATAACAGGATAGGAGATGGAAGAGGAGAGGAAACAGAAGGAGAAGGAGGAAAAGGAGAAAGAGGAGCGCGAGAAGAAAGCCAAGGAGGCCTTCAGCGATAGTAGCAGTCAGTGGGAGAAGGACAAGGCCGATATGAAAGGTCTTGAAGGCCAGGAGGGTGGAAAAAGTACGAGCCCTTCTGAAAAGTCGAAGAAGACGTCCGAGGACGGTGACAAGGAAACGAGCGAGCAGACCGAGGCGAAATCAAAGGGTGGCAAGAGCAAGCCGAAGAAGGCTGAATCGTGATCCCGATAGCAAGGGTCATGGTATCATTCCCATCTGCAGAAATCTATCTTCCAATATCGACGCGGCGGAGAAAGGAGAAGACTGTCTTTCTTATTGATTTCTCCATCTTGGCGGCCCATTCCATTGGTTAACAGGCACCATTGGGGACGACCTGTTGTACAATATTGCCCAGAGGCAAAGAAGTCGTGGAGTTGGCGTTGTTCGTGCTAGTCGGGCACACTTATGATACGAAGCAAGGGACACTTCATGGAGTAACATGACTGATTATGCCTGGGATTTACATAGAGCGACGTATTAGACACGACGGACATGGAATACACCAAGGTTACATGGTCCGCAAGCAATCGAACAAGCTCCACAATATGGACGCCTCTGCTTTCATGCTGAAACGGCCTCCCCAGAACTCTACAGAATATATAAACAAATCCAAAGTCATGCTCGCTTTTGGCCATAAAACAGGACCCTTGTGTCGTAGAACTCCGAGGACAAGACGACGCAATGGTGTCGGGGTATCTGTCCATGGTGTGTCTAGTCTAGACTAACAAGTACTGTAAGTTAAATACTGGGACTAATCGAAGAGCTTTCGAAGCTGCCAATGGGCGAGCCGTGTGTGCCCTGCATCTGTGCCTGCACTCAGCTAGTTAGGTGGCATCTTCGGAAAAACACCGAGCGCCGACGGCAGGACACCCTGCCTCCTGCATCCTCTAGCACTAGACTAGACTAACCTTAGCATCCAACTCAACTGACCTTTAGTGGTCTGAATTGCTATTCGCCTTCCCCCATGCGTGAGCACTGAACACTGAGCAAGTCGTGTCGTCGAAGCTCCCTATCGGCGATCTGGACAGTAGCTCTGAACAACTGTTCATACCGAATTGATTGTATTTTATAACACCACCTCTGGCAATTGGAGCCTGGCTTACCCTCCCACTTCTTCACGAATACACACACTAGACGCTATAGACGAAGCGCCTGGAGCTTTGATAATCGAGACTGAGCAGACTAACACCTGTCAAAGCTCACTGGACCCCCGGCACTGGGAAGTTTGCTAAGTTCACCACGAGATTGAGAATGAATCGAGATGTGCAGGACGATGGCACCTCTGAGCACCAACTGACTACTGAACCGCCACTTCAACACCCGCCTCTCGGAACGAGCATGGCAGCAAACATGGCTGCCATTACCAACACCCACGCCGCCCAAGCGCCGAGCGCGCAGTTTCGAAGCAGGCCCGTGTCTGTCGCAGTGAACCCGGTATCGTTGGTCATTAACGAATGCATCTCAGTCACTTCCGTCATGCGCAAGCATGCGCGGTGGGCACAATCTTCGGTATCGTCCATCCTCGGTGGGAACCCAAACCCCGTGCAGCTCGGTCCGCCGAGCCCATCCCTTCGACCTGGTAGTAGAAGTTCGAATGCGAGTCTGGGCGTGGACGGGTCACAAGACATAGGAGTTGCCAACAGATGGGGCCTGCGTGGCAAAAAGGGCAAAAGCATGCAGGACAACCCCCTCATGGCCGGTTTTGGGCGCCTGCGACATGAGCTGTCGAGCTGCAGAGGTAAGGCTAGGCCAAGACCTATGTCCTATGGCGGGCGCAAGGACGTTGGACCATGCTAACTGTATATGCGGTAGACATACACGAGTTTGATGCTCCCGCTCTCCTGAACCCATTTCTCCAGGTCATACAAGCATCCGCGACCTCGGCCCCCATCACCATTCTGGCCCTCAAGGCCATCCGCAAATTCCTCGCCTATGGCTTCATCAGCCCTGAGTCGCCGCGGTTTGCCCTTGCCATGCAGTCCCTCTCAACAGCCATAACACATTGCCGCTTCGAGGCCAGCGACTCGGCACAAGACGAGGTCGTACTTCTCATGATCTTGAACCTGATGGAGGATATGCTGTCAAGTCCTGGGGGTGCCTTGTTGAGCGACGACAGCGTATGCGAAATGATGGAGACCGGGTTGACCATGTGTTGCCAGACCAGGTTGTCCGAGTTGCTGAGGAGGACGGCCGAGGCGGCCATGGTCAGGATGTGTCAGATCATTTTCGAGCACCTAAAACACCTAGAGGTCGTGGCCGGGGACGACATGGACGCCCTCGATCAGCAGACGAACGGCGACATGGGTGTTGTCAAGATGGTGCCTTCAACGAATGGAAACCACGTCATTGCGTCGTCCGATGCCCCTGCCAGTGCAGCGACTGAAGAACCTCGACAGTCGTTAGGCGAGACAGAGGAAGCTCAGCATCTGGTAGAAGAGACGACGGACGAGGATATTTCAGAGCTCGACATTAAACCGTATTCCTTGCCGTCGATGAAGGAGCTTTTCCGGGTCCTTGTCGATCTGCTAGATCCCCACGATAAGACCCAAGGGGACGCAATGCGTGTCATGGCCCTGCGCATCATCCATGTTGCACTCGAGGTGGCAGGGCCGTCTATCGCCAGGCATCCAGCTCTGGCCTCCGTTGCTGAGGACAAGCTTTGCCGGTACTTATTCCAGTTGGTCAGGTCAGATAACATGGCCATCCTACAAGAATCACTCATTGTTGCTGGGACGTTGCTTGAAACGTGTCGTGGAGTTCTGAAGCTGCAGCAAGAGCTCTTCCTGTCGTACCTTGTGGCCTGCCTCCACCCGCCAGTAGAGATTCCTCGCGAGCCTGGCATTGATCCCTCCTTATACGATGGTATTCCACAGGCGCCAAAGTTGATAAAGCCGCCCCCGTCCCAGTCGAGTAGTGGCAGGTCAACGCCAGTACCGGTGAAGGACCGGCAAAAACTTGGGTTGGAGGGTGGTGCGCGCAAGCCAGATGCACGGCAAGCTATGATTGAAAGTGTAGGCGCACTAGCCCGTCTACCGAATTTCATGGTGGAGCTGTTTGTGAACTATGATTGCGACACCGATCGTATAGACATGTGTGAAGACATGATTGGGTTATTGTCTAGAAACGCCTTGCCAGACTCCGCAACCTGGAGTACAACGAGTGTCCCCCCCCTCTGCCTAGATGCTTTGCTTGGCTATATTCAATTTATCGCCGATAGACTAGGGGATGAGCCAGTGTATGAGGGCCACCCGGACGCCACCAAGCTTCGCGAGCAAAGACTGCGTAAGAAGACTATCATTACAGGCGCCAACAAGTTCAACGAGAAGCCCGAAAAGGGGCTTGTTTATTTGCAATCGGAGGGCATCATTGACGATGTCAGCAATCCTTTTTCTGTGGCCAAGTTCCTGAAAGGTACCTCGAGGATACACAAGAAGATGCTCGGAGAATATGTCTCGAAGCGAGGGAACGAAAAGTTGCTTGAAGAGTTCACGAAGCTTTTCGACTTTTCAGGCAAACGCGTAGATGAGGCCTTGCGTCTCATGCTGGAAAGCTACCGCCTCCCAGGAGAGTCGGCACTTATCGAGCGGATAATGGTTACCTTCTCGAAAGTGTACATGTCCAGCGATATCCCACCTGGCTGTGCGGATGAGGATGCTGTGTATGTCCTCTCTTACGCTATCATCATGCTTAATACCGACCAGCACAATCCCAATTTCAAGCAAAAACGCATGGAAATCACGGATTTCGCCAGAAATCTGCGTGGCACGAACGGTGGCAAAGACTGGGCGCCTGAATACCTTCAAGCTATCTACGACGCAATCAAGACGAATGAGATTATCTTGCCCGATGAGCATGATAACCAGCATGCATTCGATTATGCGTGGAGGGAACTGCTTCTGAAGACCGAGTCTTCTGGGCCATTGGTTCTCTGCGACACGAACATATATGACGCAGATATGTTTGCGAAAACATGGAAACCAATCGTCTCGACATTGTCCTATGTATTCATGTCGGCTACAGACGATGCTGTTTTCGCAAGAGTGGTCACAGGCTTCGACCAATGTGCCAAGATTGCGTCCAAGTATGGTGTCACAGAAGCACTGGACCGCATTGTGTATACTCTCAGCTATATGACTACCCTTTCTACGGACAACTTGACGAGCACGACTCTCAATACAGAGATGAAGGTTTCGGACGATGGGCCCAGTGTCATGGTTAGCGAGCTCGCCGTTAAGCTCGGCAGAGACTTCAAGGCTCAGCTGGCCACTCTTGTGCTCTTCCGTGTTGTGACGGGCAGTGAGGCTGTGATCAAAGACGGCTGGCAATACGTAAGTGTCTCTGCTTCGAGAGCAACGCTTTTGGGTTATGCTAACGGGTTCTGACAGATGGTCCGCATTTGGTTGAATCTCTTCGTCAACTCTCTCATACCCGCTTTTCCCTCTGATGATTCCAACCAACTTCCCATACCCGCTATACCCCTCCAGACGCCTTCCCAAGTCATTGACCGCAACGCCAAGGCCGTAGACACCGGTCTTTTCTCTGCACTTTCATCTTACATCTCTAGCTACGCCGCCGACGATCCACCAGAACCTTCTGCTGAAGAGGTGGAGAGTACATTGGTCACTGTTGACTGCATCAATTCCTGCCAAGTCGGCGACGTGTTCACGAATATATTGTGTGTCCTCTCCATATTCGTAGCCGCATAGATACTAATAAGTCTCGTAGGAGTCTGCGCGCCGAGGTCTTGCGACCTCTCATCGAGGCGCTTTTGCAAGAACTTCCCGAGGATGACAGCGCTTCAGTACCGGCGATAACTGTGAGATCCGAAGGCATGCCTTCTTCGCCAGGGTCTAAGCAGGCGCGCGTTCGAAATATCTACGACCCATCGGTAGCTTACATCCTCGAATTCTGTACGATCCTTGCACTGAGAGATGAGGAGACCGTTGGACTACTTGGTAAACAAGTATCAGAAGCGCTTCAAGCAGTTCTTCGCGATGCTAGTAGGCATCACCCGATTCTCGTCTCAAGAGTGGCCTTCTACCAGTTTAGTGTCTTGAAAGCCAGCTATGTAAGTCTGCTCGAAACAAGACGGGATTTCCCCCCTCCATGTCTCTCTCCCCCTCTCTCTGACCTATGTCTTTAGGAACATGACTTCGTCCGTGCTCCAGTACTCTTGCACACCATTTCCACACTTCCTAAAGAGCTTCTTGGCAAGACGTCGGAGCTTGTTTTACAAGGACTCAAGTCGTGTATCAACGAGCCAGGGCCCCTTCGGAGTGAAATCATGACCTCACCGGATTTCTGGGTCCTGTTACGGAATCTAGCGGGCAACGCAAGCTCTGCGGCAGCTGTCTTCGAGATCCTGGAAGGTGGCGTATCAGGCACACCTTCGGCAATAATCGCGGACAATTACGAGGCTGCTATTGCTCTTCTGAATGACTTTGCCTCAGCTGCTAAGATCGGCGCTGTGGCAGAGCAGAAGGGCGACGCGGGCAACAAGCGGTCAAGAAGTGCTCGGCCAAAGAAGGAAACGCCGAGGTAAGGACAACCGCCACGTATCTGCTAAGATTTGTCTAACATGAAATAGCGAAAATGCCGTTGTGTCTCGAGGCGTCAAGGCTATCAACATCATCTACAACATGACGTCTCGCATCCCACACCTTATGAAGCAATCGCATCTTGAGGCTAATGAAGGTAAGACAGCCGAAGCTTAGAAATACCGGATTTAGCTAACAGCTATCCAGCCTGGTCAGCATACTGGCTGCCTATCTTCCAGGCGCTAACAACGCAATGCACAAACCCATGCCGTGAGATTCGTCATTTGGCGTTTTCTTCCTTGCAGAGGTGTTTGTTGTCGCCCGAGTTGACTGGCAGCGGCCACGAAGAATGGACTGCCATCTTTGATAAGGTCCTTTTCCCGCTGATCCTGAAACTACTCAAGCCAGAGGTGTACTCGTCTGATCGGGACGGCATGAGCGAGACACGAGTCCAAGTAGCATCACTACTCTGCAAGGTTTTCCTGCAGTACTTGGTCCTATTGTCCAAGTGGGATGGCATGCTCGATTTATGGCTGAAGATTATCGATATCATGGACCGCTTGATGAACAGCGGGCAAGGTGACAGTTTGGTAAGTCGATGTGACGGTGATGCGCGATTCAGACCTTGAGAAACCTGCTAATACACGGCAGGAGGAAGCAGTTCCCGAAAACCTGAAAAACGTGCTGCTGTTCATGTCGAGCAGCGGATATCTCGTATCGCCAAAGAAAGACCCATCACAGGAGACGCTGTGGGTTGAGACTTGGAAGCGCATCGACCGGTTCCTACCTGACTTGAGAAACGAGCTCGCGCTTGAAGACCCCGTGGCGCCAGAGGAGGAGCAGGTGCGGGTGCAGGTGCAGGAGGGGGAGGAAGCGAAGGCAAAGGCGGACGACGTAAGCGTTACTAAGCAGACGGGCGAATCGGAGAAAGCTGCTTAATAGAAAGCGCGCGGTTTGTATTTTGAGTTGTTTCGAACGTGTTCATGTGTACACTACAGCGTGGCTTTGGGGGCTGAAAGCGGCAGCATTGTCTGTAAGTCGTAGAAAGAAGTAGGGACTGAACAAATTAGACGGGTTGCGTTTCGTAGCGTGACACAAAGATAGAATGTCACCATTTATCGGCTTAGGTTCCCTAAGTAGTCAACCACGAACTACTCTGTAGAAATTCTGAATGAGTTATGATTCAAAGCGTACAGCAAGGTTGTAAGCTGTGTAATCCGTAGGTGATGCGTATCTGGACGTATCCCACTTACGGATCCGTACTGTAATGCTGTAGTTGGAATATTTCGGATACGGCGCAGACGCACTGACTAATTTGGCTCGGCCTAGTCCAACCTTGGACTAGGCCAAACCAGACTGACCTTAGCTTAGACTAGTCTAAATGGTAGAAGGAAAACCAAAAGGAGAGGGGAGCAAATAAAAATAAATAAAATAGAAAGGCACTTTACGCGTGTCGCGTCCTGTCGTTACGCGCCCTGCCTCCCTTTTTTGACTGTACTAACGTTTAGACCAACTTGAGGAAGGGTCTCCAGTCTCCCCCCCACTATCGCCAGGATTCAATCAATGGATGAATGCATCTCTAGGCAATACTCATACTCGTACTCATACTCACACTCGTAGCGCGCAACTCGAGTCCTCTATGCAGGTGTTCTGTGTAAATTGCCAATCTTCCTCAACCACAATATACCCGCGCATTTGAGGCATTATGGACAGTTTTATGCTTCGTGATGAAGCTGCAAAGGAGCGCATTCGCCTGGCCGAAGAATTCCTCGATCCTCGTGAGTTATGTTTTGTTTTGTTATACCTTTGTTTGCTTTGCTCTCCTGCTGTACTCCCTTGCACCCGCCCAAGTTGCTCGGCCAGCATTGGCAAGAACATTTGATATCCGATTCTGACGCTTGCAATCCAATCCAGATGATCAACATGCACGAAGCTACCGGTCCGATATCGTCTTGATGCTCCAGAAGAACCAAAGGAGACTGGTTGTCAATGTTGATCATGTGCGCGACCACAACCCAGAGCTGGCTGAGGGGCTTCTCTTCGACCCTTTCGATTACTCACTCGCCTTCAACCACGCCCTCAAGGAGATCGTCAAGACGGTAAACGGCGTGCGGCCCGACCAAGTAGATCCGGATGTCCTATACTACTGCGCCTTTGCCGGCAGCTTCGGCTTGAACGCTTGCAACCCCCGAACCCTCTCGTCCCATCACCTGAACCACATGGTCTCCATTGAGGGCATTGTGACCAGGACATCCCTCATCAGGCCCAAAGTCGTCAAGAGTGTGCATTACAACGAGAAAAAGAACATCTTCCACTTCCGCGAGTATCGCGATCAGACCATGACCAATGGACAGACAACGTCCAGCGTGTATCCCCAAGAGGACGACGATGGCAATCCTATCATCACCGAGTATGGTTTCTGCACATATAGAGATCACCAGACAATCTCCATCCAGGAGATGCCAGAGAGGGCTCCCGCTGGTCAACTTCCCCGCGGCGTGGACGTCATCCTGGATGACGACCTGGTGGACAAGGTCAAGCCTGGTGACAGAATCCAGCTGGTTGGCATCTTCCGAACTCTCGGTAATCGAAATACCAACCACAACAGTGCACTTTTCAAGACGGTTGTGCTGGCCAACAACGTCGTTTTGCTTTCCTCCAAAGCTGGCGCGGGCGTCGCTTCCGCCATCATCACAGACACAGATATCCGGAATATCAACAAGATTGCCAAAAAGAAGAACCTTTTCGAGCTACTGTCGCAATCTCTGGCACCCAGCATCTACGGCCACGACCACATCAAGAAGGCGATCTTACTTATGCTCCTTGGTGGTATGGAGAAGAACCTGGAGAATGGCACACATTTGAGGGGAGACATCAACATTCTCATGGTTGGTGACCCTTCCACGGCCAAGTCTCAACTTCTCCGATTCGTTCTGAACACGGCGCCTCTCGCCATTGCCACCACTGGTCGAGGTTCTTCCGGTGTCGGCTTGACGGCCGCTGTCACGTCAGACAAAGAAACCGGTGAGCGAAGGCTTGAAGCAGGTGCTATGGTCATGGCAGATCGCGGTGTAGTATGTATTGATGAATTCGACAAAATGTCAGACATCGACAGAGTCGCAATTCACGAAGTCATGGAGCAGCAGACTGTCACCATTGCCAAGGCTGGTATTCATACGTCACTGAATGCTCGTTGCAGTGTCATTGCAGCCGCCAATCCCATTTTTGGCCAGTACGACACACACAAAGATCCTCACAAGAATATCGCACTGCCAGACTCGCTCTTGTCGCGTTTCGATCTTCTCTTCATCGTCACAGATGATATCGAGGATACAAGAGATAGGCAAATTTCCGAGCACGTTTTACGTATGCATCGTTATCGCCAACCTGGTACCGATGAAGGTGCGCCTGTGCGCGAGAATGTCTCACAGGCACTTGGCGTCGCCCTTCAGAGCCAGAACGACACCCAAAAGCCAACTGATGTTTACGAAAAGTTCGATGCCATGCTGCATGCCGGTGTTACTCTAACTACTGGCCGCGGTGCGAACAAGCGTCATGAGGTACTGAGCATTCCTTTCATGAAAAAATACATCCAGTACGCCAAGACGAGGATAAAGCCTGTCCTCACGCAAGAGGCTTCTGACCGCATTGCGGACATCTACGTGGGTCTACGTAACGACGAGCTCGAGGGCAATCAACGCCGAACCTCGCCGTTGACCGTCCGTTCTCTCGAAACCATTATTCGACTGGCAACAGCACATGCAAAGGCACGCTTATCGAATCGTGTTGAGGAACGTGATACCACAGCAGCTGAGGGTATCCTTCGGTTCGCTTTGTTCAAGGAGGTTCTGGAGGATGAATCGAAGAGGAAGCGGAGGCGGACGAGAGCTGTGGAGTCCGGTTCTTCTAGCGAAGAGAGTTCAGATGACGACGATAGCGGCGACGGTACCGTTGGGGCCTCAGCAGCCCGCTCAAGTGCGGCTCGTTCCGCCCGTGCTTCTGCTCGAGGTCAGCCAAACGGCCGCCGTGCTGCTACGAAGGGGACAAGCGGCACCAACGGACCGAGCTCGCCTGCTCCCGTCGAAGAGGTTGAAGACGATTTGTACGATGTCACTCCTCGTCGCAGCCGCACCACAGCTGGCAGATCCAGCACCGCCGGTCCATCACAATCACAAGCTACGTCGTTCGCTTCTTCGGTACCGTCGTCGCAGTTACAATCACAAGAAGATTCGCAAGAAGATGCAGAGTTGGCGTCCGGTACTGCCGGTCTTGACATCGGCGGTCCCATCAGCAACGAGAGACTGGGTACATTCCGAACGTCTCTCGGTCAGCTTCTGAGCACAGATTTGTTCGACGATGATTCCGCAGACGTGGATGCTGTCATTACTGCCGTCAATGGGCGTGTTGGTCGCGGGAGTGGCGGCGCCTTCAGCCGCGACGAAGCTGTGAAGGCACTCAAACGCATGGACGCTGCAAACCAGATTATGTGAGTCCTCACCACCAGTAATTCTCTTCTACGGTCAAAAAGCTAATGCACACTTAGGTACACGGATGGTGATTTGGTATATAAAATTTGATGGGGCAAATATTGGAACTTGTGCTTCCGGAGCTTGTATGTAGTCAGATACCTTACCTATTGGAGTGGCGTTTGTTGTGGTACTTGTCGGGGATATCCAATCACGACAGCTTGCGGCCCGTTATGGAGGGGCACATACACACACACGCACGCACACACCACACATAATGAGATGAATGTTTGAACTTAGGACTAAGTTACTGGCGGTTTTGCTTCTCACATGGCTGAGTCGGGCGCGAAGTCAATCATGATCGATCAGTGCCACACCCGCGCGAGTAAGACAGACGAAATATTCACCATGCGCGATGCTGGGGCTACCCTCGTGGCACGCGCGCAGGGCGGGCTTTGGATGCCAAGAGCTCAGCTTCACTCTGGGGGAAATCACTTGCTTGCTTTGCAGGAATCCGCATCCGTAAGAACCTGGCAGCACCAGGCGGTGACTTTCCCTATGACCAATAGAAATGGCGTGACCGGAGCCGCCCAGGAAATGGCAGAGAATGGCAGAAAATCGCGCCCAGGCCAGGTTCGTTGTTAAAATAAGCAGCGTATTCGAAGATTCGGTGCTCTCAGTTTGGCCCACTCTGCAGCGACCCCATGCGCGAACGGCTGAAGCTTAATTGGACAGGCTGCCCCTGACTAGCAATGGCTGGATCCATCGCCGCCAGGGGAAACCGCCGCCTCATTCGCTACAATCTCGTGTTCATTTACACATGCATAAGTCAGCCCTCTAAACCATGCACTTTTCGCTCTGTTGTGTGATGGGCACAGCGAATGTAACAAACCATTGGTCGCTCCGTCGAAAGCGCATGTACCAATGCGCTCGGCGCTGTGGCTCTCCCCTAAACTAAGCTTACTTACCCCGAGTAGACACACCCGCCACGCGGTGTGCGGTAGAGAAGCACATATAACACCTCCCGCGCTCGACCTTGGTTGAATGTTTCCCTCCTCTCTCCTCATCCTCCGATCCAAGTCATTCGTTATATAATAACTCGCGCTTTTAGTAATTTACTACACGCACCCACACTCATTCTTTAGTACGATTTAATAATCAACAAAACCCACAAAATCCAAAATGCAGTACCGATTCGTCGCCGCTCTCGCCCTTGTTGGCGCTGCCAACGCTGCCTACCAGGCCCAGCCTCTTCCCTCTACCACCGAGGTTGAGACTTACCCTGTCGTAACTCCCTCTTCCTCCAAGGTTGAGACTTACCCTGCCTCCAGCTCGGCTGTCTCTTCCACCAAGGCCGAGAGCTACCCTGCTCACTCCGCCTCCAGCTCGGCTGTCTACTCTGCCAGCTCTGCCAGCTCCGTCTACTCTGCCAGCTCTGCTTCAACCACCCAGTACACCACCTCTACCATCTACAGCACCAAGGTCTCCACCATCACCAGCTGCGCCCCTGAGGTGACCAACTGCCCTGCCAGCTCTGGCAAGCCTCACGTCACCACCGAGGTCATCGAGGTCTCCACCACCGTCTGCCCCGTCACCGAGACCGAGACCGCCAAGACCTCCGCCACCAAGCCTGCTGAGACCTACCCTGCTGGCAGCGCTTCCACCGTCCCTGCTGTCGGCACCAGCTACCCTGCTGTCCCTGCCTCTTCTTCCAAGACTGAGGCTGTCTCCTCCAGCAAGCCTGCCACCAGCGCTCCTTACCCCACAACTGTTTCCACCAAGGTCCAGACCTACCCTGTCGGAACTGGCTCCGTTGGATCCAGCACCCAGGCTGTTGGTACCACCTACACTCCCAGCAAGCCTTCCGCTACTGGAACTGGATACTCCGCTGTTCCTACCGCCGGTGCCGCCTCTTTCGGCATGTCCGCCGCTGCCGTCGTTGGTGCTGCCGCCGCTTTCTTCTTGTAAATTTCCCCACCCGGGTGATTTCATGAAGAGCGACAAGGTGTTGTTGAGGAGGTAGATGGGGAAGAGGGGTTGCGTCAATGGAGAGGTTTGGTGATATACATACTGCATCTTCTGGTGTTGATTATATTCGTCTAAACTAATAAATAATTATAAAAACCCAAACCTCTGGTCTTGACTATATCTTGTGAATGAAACTGTAAATTGTCACCTAACCCATAGCCAACTCGGACAAAGTTATACCTTCAAGTTAGCCATCTGCATTCCAGTCGCTCGGAAGACCGGCTAGCTCGAAAGAACTTACAGGCAGTCATTGTAGACAGCAATCGTTACAGGAAAGCAAAAGCAGTATGATTCAAAGCGTACTGTCTCTACGGGATTGCTATCGCGGTCACTACTAAGAGCTTCGCAAGCCATCAGTATCACGAACATGCAGCAGCTCCATACGCTTTTCAAGTGGGGGATATCACGGAACTTGACGACGAAGGCCACATTTGATTCTTGCATGCTTCTATTGAACCAATGCAGAATGACCTCGGAGTGCACTAGATTCAGCACGTCCTTTCGATAAAAAGTCGGCTGTGGATAGTATGGGCCTTTGAGTCTATGTGACTTGGTGAATTGCTCTGTCGATGGCTTGATGATTCCTGTCCACCGCCTTGCAATGTCTCGCGCCAGATCATATTCCCACCATTCCTTGACCGCTAGTATACTCGTCTCAGGCGCACGTTGACAAAGTCTCGGGAGATCCTGCATATGCATCTAGAGGTGCCTTGAAACGCTTCAACGGTCTATGAGAGTCTCCAATTATTTCTCTTTTTTTCTTCTTTTTCTTTGTCCTTTTTGCGGCCCCAAATTGCGAAGAAGAAGAAAAAGAAAAGAAAACGAAGAAAAACAACCAATGATACACTGCACAATAACATGAAGCATGTGGCTTGCAGCGCAGATCAACCATGACAGCAATGACAGCCTGGGGTCTCGCACTGACTCCTGCAGGAACCATCCTTTCAAGAGACCTTACGAAACGACTTACCGACATGTACAGTACCAAGGAATCCAATCAGATGAGAATCCACACACACACACACACAGACGAACAGCCCGTCAGCGACCGCCTGTCCTCGGAAACAGCGGCTCCAATGAACCGTCCCATCATTTGTCAGACGGTACCTGCATATCTCTCTGTGCAGCTATCTACCTTAGCCTTCTCTGGATCAAGCCACCGCACCCCTGGCGCTAAGCGATCCACCTAAGGTTAGCGAATGTGGTGGTGCATACCAATATGGGGTTAGTCACTCTGACGTGCTGGAGAAATGAAGCGGACACTGGAGACAGAAATAGGAAAGGCATAAGAAACTTGATCCTGGCTTGCCTGTCAGTCATTTCGCGGTCAATTGCAGTCAATGATGTCGCGCCTCGTGTTATGGGAGCAACGGGATGTCAAGCAGGAGAAAAAAAAAAGAGAGGCCGTTTGGCAGTCTCTTCCTTGTATCGATCCCACCCATTTAATTATTATGCGACGATCTTATGTTCTGGATGGTCTCCACGTCAACAAAAAAAAATGTTGGCGTTCCACACAAAACTCCACGGAGTTCCGCGTGCGTCCAGAAGAACTTTTGTCAAGGGGGGCTATCTTTTTCTTGGCTCCCCTCTCCCCCCCGTTTCCTAGACCTGCCGCATTTGTCCAAATTAGAAGACCAAAAGACATCGTGCTAGCGATTCGGGGGGGCACAATTGGGCCACAGGCCTAGAATGGCTTCTAGGAAATGAGATGACATCACAGGCTTTTTTCGCCATTTAAGATATGGATTAGTCGAGATACACTCTTTGGTCCGGCAGAGTCTCTACATTTGATGTCGGCATCGGTATCCAGCTCGGGTCGGGATCTGGATGAATATGGATAGCTCAATCACCAATCCATTTACCAACTGCGTGCCGATTACGCAGGAATATAGGGTTGCAAGGTGTCGCATCAAATAGCGTCAAGTAAAGATGGCGGGAATGTCAGCGGGTAGCAATGTCGCAGGCTTGTGTACCCGGCTTACCACTCCATCGATTGCCAAAGGTGTACTCTCGCAAGATGTGTCTTGCAACGAATAAGCTACTCATTAACGTGGCTACATGCTCCGACATTGGAGTTTAACGGGGTTAGTTGATTGGAGTTGATCGGATTATCGAGTCATCTCGTTTAGCTTTGCAGCTATTGATGTTGCAAAGGTTATGTGGGTTATGGAACTTGAGGGGGGATATATCGGGCAAGAATGGATAGTAGGATATGTTTGCTGAGCTACCGAACTACCGGTCTGTTCTGATGAGTTGCAGTTAGGAATTTGTCTTTAGCCAAATGCAACCAAATCATGCTCATGTGAAATTATTGTTACTAAAGGCGATCTAGTCATTTCCTTGCGAACTCGGACCATCAGTGGTCATCCACTCAGTCATGATGTTATGGATCCCGTGGATATAGAGGTCTCGTTCCCGGGCAGTATCGAGTGCATCACGGGCGACGTGTTCGGTGATATGTTTTATGGTACCCTCCATCGCCACCTCGGAGTACTCGTTGGGAACATCGTGGACGTTATAAATATATTTAGGGTAGACAGAGCCTTCCGAAGTTGCGGCCGGGGTAGTGAACACCATGTATAGTACTGCCGTATCTGAAAAATAATCATAAACACTTGTCGGGCTGCCTTGTGAATACTCGATGTTCCCTGCATGGGTCTTGCCGTCTCGGCGATCTCTACTGGCATTGAATGATTCGAGGTCGACCTCTCTTAGGTTGCCGACATACTCGTTTTCCACCTCTATGAGGCGACGAACCTTAGTAACTGAAGAGGAGGCCACGTCGTGCTCTTCGAGTGAGCCATCGAATCGCCATAGGCCTGCCTGGTCCTTTCGCAAGGGTTTCGGGGGGGTTGCCTGCTATTAGTGAGGGTATTATCCTGGCGCTGTTATCGAGGAGCCGATATGACTCGGATTCCGTTCGCAGGGTTCCTTACGCGAGTGGCCTGGTCGCTACTAGAGTTATCCATGCTTCGTGTTCTGATCAGGGTATACCTACTAGGAGATTGTTTTCCTTAGATGATATCGTTAAATGGTAAAAAGGTAGATACGAAAGACTGGACTTAGATTCGGATAGTGCGAAAATGTGAGTATAAGCACTTGTCTTGTTCCGAGTTAACGATATAAGTATTTGCTAGGACTGGCTCTGTTTTCATATACGCAACCATAAAACGCAACATGGAACGCTTGGGAACCTTTCAATGATGCATCAAAATAAAATAAAAGCGAAATGTGTTAAGAGTTCAGTGTGAGTAATAATATTTATCTTTTGTTGATATTCACCTGGTTCATTGCCTTTTCAAAATACTTAAGGACTGTTATATTCCTCGGTGGTCTTGTCTTCTAACGATATTCTCACAATCTACGGGCAGCCTTATACTTCTCAAATATTACGTTACCATCCAAGTTTGCCTTATACCTCCCAAGTGTAATCTTCCTTTAGCAAAAAATACGCCTAAGAAACCTTGTATATCATCATGCCTCTGAGCCGACGGCTATGATTATATTCCAAGATGGCTCCAATAAGAGACTCGCATAAGTTATATGGTGTATACTTGTTCGTGTCTTCACCGTGGTTGGTCGTACCGCCGGGGTATCTCCAGATCATGTCGTCATAGAGCTCACTAATGCCTATCAAAGATGGCTAAATGTCGGTGGTTAAGATTTCTTTACAAGCCGGAAAACTCATCGGGCTCCTAGTACTCGACATGAACCTCACAGCCTCCGTTGACCCTGATGGTGAACACAAATCTATCTGATCCTTTATCGATATATTCAACCAGGGTGGCAGCACCGGTTGTCTCGATTTTCTCATGCAGCCATGGAGACCGGACCTTCATGTCCCGGGTGGTATTACTAGGTCTGGCCTGAACGAGGGGTGGCGAGTATTCTTTAACTACTCGGTTAGTGTTATTGTCGTGTTCGTCGATGCGAACCAAGCAGAAGTTGGCACCGCACCACATGTTCATAACTCTGTTATCTTTGCTCGCCATGTCGCCGGACTTGGTAATTTGACAATAGAGGTTTAATAAGGCACAATTTCTTGCTTTGGTACCGACGGTAGGTTTGGCTTGCCTCTTATAAAGGCGATGGCTTAAGAAGATATGATAACGTAATTGAAAGCTTAGCTTATCCTTTCTAACCCTGGAATTCGAGTAATTCCAGCTGCCAAGGTATTTATTCCATCATCGCGGAATATAAGCTCAGATCCTGAGCTCTTAACCTTTATTCTTTCCAGAGATGTTTTCCGCCCTTCAGCTTACAGCTCCTTGCACGATTCACTATTCCATCAATTCTATCAACCTCCAGGCTGTACATGTGAGTAGCTGTTCAAGTCTGTATTAAATCAACACCTTAGGCTTTCCGTCAATTGATACGACAGGTCTCCTAAGTGATGATAACAATGATGACGACATCCGCGTAATGTTGCCAGGTTCAGCCACGCGTTTCATAAATGCAGCATTCATCTCAATATCACACAGATAGCCACAGCCAGTATATTCAGGGAAAACGACAGAGCAATCACGACATGAAGTAGAGCATGCCACGAGGCAGCAGCAGGGTGGCGGCACAGCACGAGACTCAGCGCCGACACCCGTGTCTGAACAAAAGGTACCTGTATTCTGAGGCCAGCGCCCGCAATCACACATCAGCATCATGGGTCGCGCCAATGAAGAGAACTATTGGCAGGTAGTCGTAGACTCATTCGATCATGCTGGGCGCATGCGTATGAGGTCGACATATGTGAATACTTTTGGCGAGCAGCTACCAAGGTTGTATCATCTTCCCGGCCAGCGTTATAATGGCCAGGTTCCCAAGTACAACGGGTCAGTTTCTCTCATTCTTGGATGATATATCCCGAGTCGGTGGATGGGCTGCTGTTCGCGTCGAGGTTTTCAGATTGTCGAGATTGAGCAAGGCCAATACAGCTGGCGAGAGCGTGGCTAGCGAGCATAATAGACCAGAAGATCAGGGCCGTATCTACCAAATCCCTGGTATGTCTTTTGCACCATAAGGTGGGTTTGGAATAGGTATATATGTGTCGCGTTATTTTATGTATAAACGTATCGTTAAGGCTACGCTTGTGACGTCTCCGGACTCGTGCCTTAAGGACTAGACCTTTGATAGTAGACTCAGCAAACTGATTATTTCTAAACTGTGTTCATATTGAGTGGTCACATTTGCGTTGTATTAACGACCACTCTATAGAGAAATTGGTGCTTATTGGCATTAGTACAAAAAAAATAAAAAATAAATGATACAACCCCCCTTTTCTCAGTAGTGATAGCAAAGCCTTTCCGTAGCTTAGCAAAAGACCCGTTCACGCTTGATGCATCGGCCCCCAAGTTCCATGACCCTTAAGTTTAATACCCACATATAACGTTCCCGCCGCCGATATTTAATGCGAAGCTCGATGAAATAACCCAATGATTCGATAAATTTCAAATGTCATTGACCTCTGAAGACGATTGGACGACATCAAGGACTCGACGTGCCTTATCTGGGATTGTGAAGTCGGCTTCTAGAATGATTGCTATATTTTTGTGCGCCATAACTTTAGACCCGCAGCCCTGTCTTGGCTTGGCATCGTGGTTATCTTCGATCTCCTTCAGGGATTTGGCGAATACCGCGATCGTGCCTGCTCTGTTATTGGAAGTTGTTAATAATGAAAGAAGATAACTGGTGCAATCACCAAGTTGGATCAAGCACTTATGCTCAGGTGTGGCAATACTTTGAAAGTGCAATGAGTCGTTGCTAGATATCATCCCTGTTACGTTTCTGTCGCTCATGATCTCGGCGCGTTGAGCTCGCACAACTTGTAGTCGTGCATCACAGGACCTTATCCGCGGCATGACGAGTCATAATATGAATCTTGACTTCGGTGTTGGTGTAGAAGGTTAGCATCACAGACCGGTTCTAGACAGTAGACAGGCTCTAGCTTCAGGTGCGACCACAAATCAGATTGACTTTCAAACATCGCATCACACTCATCGCATGCATGCATGCATGAGACTTCACCTTCAAGTGGACGCAATTTTCTTGATCAATGAGCTTATGTACTGTCTAAATTTCGGAAAGATGGCTGAACATATCACGAACAAGTCGGCCCTCGTGCCAACCGAGCTTTGAAAACCACACATCCCACCACAAGGATGGTACTTCCTCTAGATGCTCCGTGCAAGTTAAGCCGGTTTTCCCTTTTTTTTCTTTTCCCTTTTTTTTTGGAGCCCAATTTGGACTTTCTTTTTCGGTTTGGCAAGTTGCGCACATAGTCGTTCATTGGAGGATCACGGTTGATTTTTAATAGTAGCACTAAGGTTTTATATCTAAGAATGCAGAGCTAAAAGCTTAGTCAGGCACACCAAGTCGAGCATTTATTAGTCCAGTCTATGGTAACTAGTTTTGCTCTGTATCACATTGATGGGATCATACTTGATCATGTTAAGAAGTTTTGAATCACGTTATCCCAAATTGTATTGTTGGAAGATCATGCCGCCAGCTGCAAATGAGCAGCGACAATTCATCTGATATTTGCAAGTACGCGAGGTGTCAAGTAATTGTAAATATTGTTCAACTTTCGTCAATTCATGCTATGCTAAGGTCTGCCATTCAATTAGGGTATCTCGTGATTCATTTTGGAATGCCTTGGCAATTCTCAGGACAAGTCCTGCATTTTTCCAACCATCTAGTATGCGTGAGTCTTGTTGCCGCCCACAGTCTTGGAACCATCCAAGTCACTGTCGACTCTAGGGTCGACCTTGTTCAAGATATCGCTCTTGTGAGGGCCAGCAGTGTTGTCGGCCGGGCCAACGTGAGTGGTGGCGTGTGTGCCACGGTGGTCCCGATCGCTGTCTACACGAGGGTCGGCAGCATTGGCCGCGCGAGAAGAGTGAGGGCCGTGAAGGCCTTCAGCAGTACCGGTGTGAGTGCCGTGGGTGGTACCAGAAGAGAAGCCGCCAGTAGTTCCACTTACACCATGAGTGCCGGTAGTGTGAGAACCAGTATGGGTACCAGTGCTGCCGAAAGCTCCAGTGCCTGTGCTGTGAGTGTTGCCAACAGTGCGGCTACCGTCGAGGTCCGAGTCCACGCGGGGATCAGCAGCGTTGCCGACACGAGAGGAGTGAGGGCCATGAGCTCCCTCGCCTGTGCCAGAGGTGCCATAACCAGTGCCGGTGTGAGTACCACCGATACCAGATGTGCCGTGAGTAGTGCCGCCTACACCGTGGGTGCCAGCGTGAGCACCGGTGTGGGTACCAGTGCTGCCGAAAGCTCCAGTGCCTGTGCTGTGAGTGTTGCCAACAGTGCGGCTACCGTCGAGGTCCGAGTCCACGCGGGGATCAGCAGCGTTGCCGACACGAGAGGAGTGAGGGCCATGAGCTCCCTCGCCTGTGCCAGAAGTACCGTAACCAGCACCAGTACCGGTGTGAGTTCCAGTGGTTCCTACACCGTGAGTTCCAGTGTGAGTTCCAGTGGCTCCTACACCGTGGGTACCGGTGTGGGTGCCGGTGGTGTGGCCGAACTCAGTGTTACCACGGTGGTCGCGGTCTGAATCTACCCTTGGATCGGCGGCATTTGCCGTTCTTGAACCGTGAGGGCCTGCAGTACCGGTGGGGGTCTCTTCATGCTTGTCCTTGTGGAGAGCGTCCTTGACCTTGTTGATGATTCCAGACATATTGGGTGGTTGTGGATGATTTATGATGAAGTGGTTTGGGGGTTGAGAGATTGGATTTATTGGCTAGAGGTTGTGATGAGTTGTTTGTTTGTTTGTTTGTGTGGATGGATGATGAGGAAATGCTTTGGAAGGGTGGGATTTCTGTTCCTTAAGTATTACGGAGGTTTGCTTGTTGTGCCTCACCTCCTCCCCGCCTTACCTGACGGTGACTGTACCTGGCCAACATGCATGGTTCTCAATCACCACAAGTTGAGCAAGTACAACCTGGATGAATTGTCGTGATAGTCTGATGTCATGTAGCGTCATCCTCACGTCGAAGAAAGCACATCCATGTCTAGTAATTAATGTGGACAGGGACCGTTTTAGTGGAAAGCGGAGATTCATCTATGATCAACGCGTGCAAAGTGTCCGAAACACTGCTTGTAGCAAGGTCAAGCATGTTTCCCTGGATGGAAATGCAGTTTCCGCACACGTGATTAGATTAGGAACACAAGCCAGCCAGTCTCTCCGGCTCTCTCCAAAGGATGGTCACTTCAGCAGCTCACAATGCCAAGATCTTACAAACAATGGACTATAACAACAAAAGATTCGCAGAGTGGACTTTGGGACACAGCAATTCTTGGATGCACTAATGCTCAGGTGGTCAGCCGCAACACTCCTTGATTGGCTCACATTGAAATAAGCTCCTCTCTGGGGAATTAGTTTCACATTGACTTTTGTATTCGCACTTTGGGTGTTGTCTTGCACCATCCTCCATGCCTTACCCAGCGGCATTTGTTTTAGTTCTCTCGGTGGGCAGCATGGGGAACACTAGCCAGTTCTGCAGGAACCTATTGTATGCGCCAAGTAGAAGAGCAGCTCTGAATTCGTCCCCAGCCCTGGCAAACCTAGCGGTTTACCCCGACTGGAGCATTGCCTACCACAGAAATCTGGAATCTACCACCGGACACGAAGTCCGTCCAGTCCTGTCCAGTCCCGTCGGAAGAGTGCAAGTCTCCATATTACTCCGTAGCGTCATTGCGTGTGAGCTAGCCCCTGACTGTGACGGTCAAGTAACCAAGGTTATCTGAAACTGGAGAAATGACGAGTCTCAACACGAGCCTAGACTCTGCAACTCCCGGTCAGGTACACACGTGGAACGTCGCAAAACAAGGCAGAAATGGCAGTAAATCGTTTGGAGATGTCTGTTCCGAGACGGGTATGACGCTTGAGGCGATCAGTCCCTGTCAAACCGAATGCACCGTAGATCAGCCTTAAAACGATTGCCGCGTTGCCGCTAGAATAGGCTTATGAACCAAGTAGGAAGGAAGATCTGTAGGATCGTGGCTGATGACGAGCTAGAGGTGGGGCAAATGTGGCGCTGTGGCGTCACCTCTCCTCACTATGCTGTGACAAACTGTAATACCCCGCTGGATGAAGTCATTATTGACTAGTTTCCAACTTGCTAAGATTGCCATGGAGACAGTATAACAGGTTTCCAAATTGCCCCAAGGCCTAGGCTTGCTGGGCATCGAGCTATTTTTCGTCAGCTGGACGGATTGCACAATTTGCTGCTGCAAGTCATCTGAGATCAGAGGTGCAGGTTGTTTGGCGTCGTGGAGCTAAGAGATGCCGTCATTAGCTATGATTGAGTCGCAAACGGACAGGTCCAGGCGCTAAGCCAGCCGGCCTTGCCATCTCGAGCAAAAGAGCTGAAAAGCAAGGCAGTTAAATAGCCATGCCCCATGCAAAGTACCTACCGGCAGAACGGCACGATGAGTCCTGGGATCAAACTCTTCATATCTGATATGTAAAACACTACTGAAGTAGCTTGTTTATCTGATTTATTGATGCCCTCGTGGCTTGTCCATTGTAATCGTAGTTTCTAGAAGGACACCTCACCCCCAGCAAGTCAAGTTCCTTGTCATGCGTCATTGTTCTGTTGGGTGTGCATCGCGAGTGTGCTGGCTTTACGTAATCAATCCCTTGCGGGGACTGGGGGAGCATTGTTGGGGCTATGTGCACAGACAGCAAATCGCGAATCCACTCGTAACATCCTCGTTCTGGCCGTTCTACTTGGTATGGAATGTGTCTTTTGAATATGGTCAGATAGTAAGCCCAAAGTGCCTTAACAATGCTTCATCGGTGGGCATTTTGTCAGGGAATCACAGAGGCATTCGATTGTCTCAGTAATAATACCCTCATAATTATATGCATGGAGTATCATCTCATAAACTTGACTCTTTGACCTTTATTTCCCTCCCAGCGACACCAAGAGAACAACCCATTCAAATGGTCCCAAGTCAACAACATCTAGATCCCTAAGACGATCAACTATGTCGTTATCAGCAAGGCACGCCCAGACTATAACGCACTTCTATGGAATCAGCGTTGATACTGAAAGTCATCGAGGTCTCTAGGTAATAGCTTCCCAATGCTTTAGCACCGTCCACCAGCATCCCAACACCCTGCGCCGCTTAGTCTTTGATTGGAGGTAACAGACCGGGGAGTCGAGGTCCATCTCAGCAATAACACAGCCGCCTGAAAATGCCCAATAGGCGTCGGAACAATGGTCTGCACCAAGCAGTGGTGTCGGGTGCCTGCGTTCTCAATATACATTTCAGTTTAACCATCGAGTTTTGGTCTCTGGCGATCGCAGTAAGAACGCCCTGCCAAAAGTGCTGATGTATGGTTGCACAGCGATGACAGGAGTTATGTCTATCTTTTCGCCGCGCCACTATGCCCATAATGATAAACACAAACCGTTGCAGACAAGCGTAAGCCGTTGAAGATACCCCCAAGTATGACTTCAAAGCTAGCGCGTCTTGAAGGGTTGATATAAACGACAATGACCATGCTACGGACAGTCCACATCATTGTCTTCGTAGGTTTGCTAGCCACATTCACGGCTGTGTAGAATTTTGACAAAGTAAAGTATTAAGAGAATGGGAAACCAAGGGCAACGACACCGCGAGATGACCTTGAGCTAGCTCAAGGTCGTAAAGGATGTGGAGATTAGAGAGAACCTCCGAGGTCTCCATAAGATCCTCACTGAGAGAGCTTGGCGAAGGTAGCAACCAAATTCATATAACAGGTCCTGTTCCAGCCGCGTTCCCGAGCAAGATATGGTCATAGTATACAATCGCACTAGTATCTAGGCAACTGTACCGATAGGAGGGGAGTTCAAGGGTTGTATTGGAGGACATCATACCCTCGAACTATCGTACACATCGTTAACTGTTATTGGTCGTACGACGGACGCAGGGCGTGATACCAAGGCCATCATTAAAGCTAATATAGTCAATTAGTAATAAGGTCATACTTATACCGGCCTAGGGCCGGGCTTCGTTATAGACCATCCCAACATGAACGTGCGCTACTTTGTCACAACAGTACACCAAGGCGTAATAAACCTCAACTTTTCAGTAGCGGTGTTACTGTAAGACTTGTTCGTTTGCGACCTGGCCTCCGCGACCCCAGAATTGACGTCGGTTTATGGAGGGGGATCAATGAACTTGGAATCCAAATTTTTATCAGTTTTGCTTGCTGAATAAGAATAAGCTGGCATGAAAATAATGAGTTGAGGAAATTGTCACCATGTTATTACCACTTCGTTCGCAAGAACAACTTGTGGGCCACCTTCCTCCGGACATCCCATAACGTGAGCATTATCAAGCTCGGTAGGCGCGCACACACGGTGACTCTAGGATGCCTGACGAGGACTTGTCAAGATTATGTTCCATGACAGACCAGGATGTGCATACACTTGAAAAGCTATTCTGCCTTTTAAGCGAGTAAAAATATGTTGCAACCATTTATGCTTTAGTCAAGTGCTCGCACTGAGATGGGGAGCAATGCTACGTCTATTATGGTATAATAATAGAGTTCTTCTTGATTTATTATAACACAATAATTTGCAACCATGATTTTTGTGTTTTGAAGTTCAAAATATTGTCAAGGAATGGCTGTGGCGGAACATCATGGAACAAGTATCTTGTGGCCACTTTGACAATGGGGTTCCGAGTAGTACATCGACCATTGTAGCAAGGCCGATCATAGGTTTCTAAGTATATGTTTAGCTTCGCCTACTATACTACTATTCAAAAAAATTTTTGAAAGCCTTATACATGCCTAAGGCTCTTTCCATAAGGGCGCCCGGCCTGGATATACCCAGTGAACACATCGTAATAATAACCTCATACTCACACAGTTGATACTATGCTCTTTAGTTTCCGGCATCCTAATATCCTGCTCGTATCTCTTCGGCCTGCTATTGCATGTATGTGGCCATTCCTTGCCGACGTCGACGCCTGAATAATTTATACATCAGCAGAAGATTTGTACATGATAAGGTGGAAAGTACTGCCATGGACTCTCGGTAGATAAAGTGTGGGGTGCTCATCTTTAGCAAAGATATTTTTCCTACGTTGCAGGTGTTCATCACAAACATAATTTCATATTTCATGGACAATCAAGCGTATCCTTTGATACTGGTAGTAACGGAGCCGCCTGCTTGGCGGGATGTCACACTAAAATGCACATTTCCTATTCACCCAGTGGATTTGTATGTTTATGAATACAACTCATCCATAAACCTCGTATGTAAATTGTTTCATAAATAGGACATAGTAAAGACAGGAAAACAGCAAATTGTAGACATAACTTCTAAGCTCTCGGCGAAGTGGAATCCGGGTGAGCTCGGAAGTCCTTCCAAGCGACGTCTGCACCCCAATTTCTGGACCAAATTTTTGACCCTGCTTTTTCACACGTGCATGAACGACAGGGTTATCAGTGAGGGGTAACAACATCTCGGTTCGCTGCGATTGAGGATGCCCAAAATCTCTCATATTGGGTTACCAGCCACCCATAATAATCCCTTCGGACTCGCCAGCGCTGACGATGTCTTCATGTGTCCACATGTCGTGTTCGCTTAAACTTTGCAGTCGATGATTAGATACAAAGGTTACCCCCAGAAATCGGTTGATTGGGGATGTGAGTAAACAAACAATACGCGATTGGACAATAAAGCAAACCCGGATGGCGTTTCCGTTGCAAAGGCGTGTTTCATTGTGGTGTAGGAAGCCAACCTTATATCGATCTTTCTGCAATAGGTTGGGTAACGTGTCTCACTAACACGACCTCGGCACGAAGTTGTAATTACTAATTACCCAGCCAGTTGAGCCCCGATTTAGGTTTGATTGGTGGCGGAAAAAACAACTGCCCAAATTGATCTATCACACTCGCCGAAAGCATTCACAAATATATCAAAAAAGAAGAATAGTTAGGAAGCGACTAATGCATATGTAATCTATTGCGTATAGTACTGAAATTCTCAACAATCGTGAGACATTGCTTCCGGGAAACTCTAGATACAAAGTAGGAAATCTGTGGTGTAGACGTCGTCGTTCGCACCTATAAGTTACCAGGTAGCGAGAAGCAATAATAAACATTAAAAAAGATCAATAGTTGCGTCTGCGTTTCGTCACAACCCTTACAACCGTCTCATTGCCGACGCCCTATAGGGCAAAAGCCAGAGCGGCACCGACTACTGCCACAAAGGACATGCCGAAGTTGGCGGCGCCAGCAGTAGCGTAAGCCGATGTAGCGCTGGCAGTAGCCCCAGTGGTGGTGGCACCGGTAGCCTTGGTGGCAGAACTGACAGCGTAGGTGCTGTTGGCAGTGGCAGCAGCGGTGGCGAGAGTGGTCTTGCCGGTTGCGTAGGTAGAGACACCGACCGCAGGGTAGGTAGAAACACCCTCAGCAGGCTTAGTGGAGGAAGCACCCTCAGCTGGGTAGGTAGATGCACCACCAGCAGGGTAGGTCGAAACTCCCTGGGCAGGCTTGGTGGAGGAAGCACCCTCAGCAGGCTTGGTGGATGAAGCACCACCAGCGGGGTAGGTGGCCTCGGTGGTGGGCTTGGTGGCCTCAGTGGTAGCCTTGGTAGAGGCGCCGCCAACGGGGTAGGTAGCCTCAGTGGTAGCCTTGGTTGAGGAAGCACCGCCAACGGGGTAGGTAGCCTCAGTGGTGGGCTTGGTGGCCTCGGTAGTGGCCTTGGTTGAAGAAGCGCCGCCAACGGGGTAGGTAGCCTCGGTGGTAGGCTTCGAAGCAGGTGAGGTCTCGGTCTCGGTCACGGGGCAAACAGTGGTGTATACCTCCACAGTGGAAGTGACGGAACCGACGGGGCAGTTGGTGACGGTAGCAGCACACGAAGTAATCGTGTAAGTGCGGGTGCTCGTAGCGGTGCTGGTAGTATACTCAGCCGGCTTGGTGGCGGACGAGGCAGGGTAGGTCTCAGCAGGCTTGGTGGCGGAAGAGGCAGGGTAGGTCTCTGTGGCCTTGGTGGCGGAAGAGGCCTTTCCAGTCTCGGTCTCGGTCACAGGGCAGACAGTGGTGTAAACCTCCACAGTGGAAGTGACTGATCCTACGGGGCAGTTGGTAACTGTAGGAGCACAAGACGTGATGGTGTAAGTCTTGGTGTTTGTGACAGTGGAGGTAGTATAAGCGGCAACGGAGCTAGCAGAAGCACCACCGCTGGGATATCCTGAGGGATAACCAGAGGGGTATGAGGAACCAGCAGGGTAGCTGGCGGAGGCGCCGCCGGATGGGTATCCGCTACCGGCAGGAGAGCTGGCAGAGGCGGCCTTGGAGCCCGTAGGGTAGCTAGCGGCAGAGCTGGAGGTCTCATCGGTCTCACACTCATCATCGCCACTAGGGTAAGCAGAGCTGGCAGGAGAAGAAGAGCTGGCACCCTTGGAAGGATAGCCAGAGCCAGCTGCGTAGCTGCTAGAGGCGGTGATGGCCGGGTAGGATGAACCGGTGGCAGCGTAAGAGCTGGTGGAGGTCACATCCTCGGTGCACTCATCCTCGGTGGCGGTGGTCTGGGGATAGCTGCGGCGGGTGGCGGAGACAGCGCCGAGCAGGAGAGCTCCTGCGGTGTACTTCGAAAGACGAACCATCTTGATAAATTCCAACGTTTGACGAGCGAGTGACTATAGTTGAGTTGACCACAAGGCAACCTTTTTCCTCACGAGTAGCAGGTGAGTTGATTGTTGTTGCGAAACACGAACGAATGTGGGTGGAACAGAACGAGTTACCAGGATGGATGGCAGCGTGCCGCCATGTTAAATAGAGAAGCTGGAGTAGACGGAGAAGCGAAAGCACATCGCATACGTCGACCGACCCGGTGCTGTGGACCGGGATCCATCATTGGCAGCAGTCTATTGTGACAGGGGTGCGCAATCTCGCCTTGCCAATATTGGATCGCAAATACGGGCTCAGCGGTTGTCTAGGTTGAGCCGTACATACACGTGCGCCCAGGCCAACAGTTGCTAGTCAGGGGTATATCCATCGAGACCCACGAATGAGAAAGCCTGCCCCACAAACTTCGTGCCAAATATGGTATAGTAGTAAGGAACTAGTCTTCGCTGATAGTCCGATCGTGTAATTTCCTTCGCGATGTGGAGATGTACTTGTCCGTGATTGGCGGAACGCGTGATCGTCAGCTCTCTTGCGAGTGACCGCTAAAATGCATGTGGTTTTGTTTGGCCAGCTTCGCCTCTCTTCGTTTTGCAGACGGACCAAGCATGGCAGGATTCCGTCGGTCGGTCCTATTGCGCGCAAGACCTCGTCAACCTCTTGGTGAGGATTTGCGAATCTAGAGACGTCGTTTATTTCTTGGATATGGCCCGATCATTAAAGTTCACGGTTGCCAAAATAGGATTTACTGTGCGACGATTGATCAACGGTTTAAGCTCACGGTACGCATGAGGCGACTGGCTGGTTCGCCGCGACTTTAGTTGAGCCTCTTGCTCCTGCAAAGAAACAAACTGTGTTTATTGCGGTGGTTGTCCAATGTCCACCCGACTGATAAACGTAGCCACCTAATTACCGTCCCGGATGGCCTAGAGTCCTGCTGCAGTCCAGGGTGGCTCGTAGAATCTAGCGGAAAAGTCAATTGTGCACGTCCAATCCACAGTGAGGCATAATTCGTGGCACGACGCTTTGCTTTCCGAGTTGTGGAAGCGAACAACATAAAAAATTCACGAATGAAATAAACTAGAGCATGGATTAACCTGACAAGAACAAACCCAGTTTATCCTATGTTTATATCATGTTACTGTAATTATTTTCGATCTCCTTACTTGATCTGTTCATTTTCAAGGTCATTCCGTGCGATATAAGGGGACGAATGACAAAATCCAGACATAGCCCCGGGGGGGTTTTGTGTGCGCCACTTCGTCGTGACATGTCCAAAGCTCTACTCCGTAAAGCTTGCTGAAAACGAGAGTGGGTGATACGATTCTCAAATGACTCGCAAGCTACTGGCGGGAACGGCCGAAGTTAAAATCCTCTGCCTGGCTTTCAGATCGCTGTTCCATAATCGGCCTGCATACCAAGTACGGGCAACGCCTTTCTCATCTGCCCCTGACTACTGCACAAGAAATCAACCGGCGCCTCAGTCAAATCTGAATTTGAAGGCCTGCGACCGTGAAGTAAAAGGGAGTCCCCCTTTGAGCTACCGCGACAATGTTGCCGGCAATCAATCTCGGCCACACCTTAACGGCCGTTTCTTATTTGCCGTCCACAGGGCGAATACCGTCTTGTGTCAATTCCTTTTTGCACACAATTGCGCCGATGAAAGCTTGGTAATGACTACTAGAAGACGGAAGATCCGGGAGGAACTCTGATAGACGACAGCGGTAGGCGCTGGATACGTGTAAACACGAGCTCGGCTAGTGTCGTCGATCTTGGTAGGGAGAAGCCTGCCAAAAAAAAGAGGAATTCCATTTTGCTGAAAGATTCTCCTTGCAAACGTCATTTACGTTGTATTTGGCCCCCGAGAAACTGGTGTTTGCCAATCCATAATTGCCGACCGTAAACGTTCGTATCAAGCTGGTATGTCGAATGAGGAATGATCGCAAGCTCTAAAATCCGGGGTCGTGCGCTGGGTTGGGGCATCCCGAAATCCTACGTAAGTTACATATTGTACATACATTGCAGAATTGGAGCGCAGACCTAGCAAGATTTCCGGGTTGAGAAAGTGGGTGCTTAGTCTCCATCACACGTAGGCCCTCCGGCGGCCATGACGATAGTGACGCGGCGCCAAGCCCCTTCGCACAGAACGAACAGAACGGTCAGATAAGCCTCTCCGAATATCAATCGGACAACAAAGCCCTTTTTTCATTGCAAGGCTTTGAACGGACTCAGAGAACTTTGCGCGGTTTGGGCTGCTTCACGGCGGTACGATTTGACAACGCCGAACATTACGTGGGCTGGTTTAGGTGGAGATATACAGGTTAATGCAAGTCTGAGCTATGTACATTCAAAGCGTATTTGAGACCTGGGAGCTATAGCCATAGCCATACATAGCATAGCCATCAAGCCTGCTGAGATTACGGATCTGTAGATGAGATGCTTTCTAAAAATGGCGTGGCCGGTGGATAGGGACCTCTGGCAGACCTGGATCCATGCTTCATTTGGCGGGGTAGATTTGATTTGCTTGGCTTGGCTACTTCAATGTGGTAAACCTCGACCCTTTTCAAGAGACATCCGAAATGAAGCTTTTCGTTCATCCGATCTTCATGCAAAGGAAATCCCCCCGGCTGGCTGGGTGGCAGGGGAGCCCACCATCAACATGCCTAATCCGTGGTCGCCAAGGCAGAGACCAGATCTAGACAGTGTACGGATCCATACATACTCAGTACTCGGTAAGCGTCATGTACAATCTACGGAGAGCAGGCTAGTTGCACGCACAGTCACGGTCACAAGCGACGGCACCGGAAGATATGTTGTTCCATCTGTCATGCCGTGCTACTCAGCTTATGCCGAGTTTCCCATGTTTTTTGCTGTTGCGCGGCTTTCGGCACGGCTCATGACGTCGCATCTCTCGTAAACCATCAATCTCAAGGCAGTTGGTGTTGGTCTTATGGACCCGCGGTCAGATTGGAAAATTGCAATTTTTTTCCATGTCGCCAAAGCTTCGTGTCTTTTGACATCTTAAAATACAGTGGTCTGCGCTCGTATTTCGACGTCACGGACATTCCTAGTTAAGCATCTGTCATTCAGTAACTTGAGCCGCGTTGTTTTTGTTGCTTGGTGGAACCAGCACCAACGTATCCTGTGGACTCCCTGAACCATTCCGCCTTGGCACTCATCATCACTGCTCTCCTCACCCCCCCGTTTTGGCAAATACACGTCCCAGCAGGGATCCAGACCAAGACAAAGCAGCCACATCATCGTCCTGCTTGTTCTACGTCAACGCCGCACCGGACAAGATCGTCCGCGTCGCGTCACGTCGTCAGTAGACAGCGCGCTTTCATCCAAAAGCTTGGTTCGCTGACATCATCGGCGGCCCTCGATTATGTCTACCACCGGGCATGGCGCTCCACAAGGACCCGTACCTTCGAGGGCCACTGGATCAAACAATGAACCGGACGGTCTGAACGGCTCGAACGGAGTCGATGACCAACAAGTACCCGATGCTGCTGCGCACCCCCAGGAGCCCGGCGGTCCTCAGGGCAACGGAGTCGACGGTGGGCCACACAAGACTTCGACCCGGCATAGTTCTGTCCCTGTCAAAGATAAGCTCAAAGAACAGAGGGACAAGATCAAAGAACAGAAGGACAAGGTCAAGACCAAAGCGAATCCACCTGGTGGGTTTGATTCCACGCCTATACCGGATGCACCGCCGGGCTATACAGTCAAGTTCGTCTTCCATGAGGCCACCAATCTTCCGGTTGCGGATATCAGCACCGGAAGCTCCGATCCGTTCCTCGAGGCTACCCTGTACACATCGCTGCCAAAGCGTCACAAGGAAGACGCCGACCTTGGCCACAGAACCCCGACTATTGCCCGTACGACTGAACCCAAGTGGGAGGCGGAGTGGATAGTTGCCAATGTTCCTTCATCGGGATTCAAGCTCAAATGTCGGCTCTATGATGAAGACTGGCCGGATCACAATGACAGGCTCGGTAATGTCACCATTAACGTACCTCATGTTGATGAGACTTGGCCAGGTTTCTCGCGACAGGAGTTTCATGCTAAAAAGCGGGTTGGTAGCAAGAGGGCGTACTTCCTCAAAGCCGTCACAACTGCCTTTCAGAAGGATTCTTCGATGACGCCGAGCCTTTTTGTGAGCGCTACCGTTCTTGGTAAATCCAACTCAGAGCCGAATGGACAGATATATACTCTTGGCCCGACTTCATATTATAGGCACGTCTCTCCAATGATCGGACGGCTCGCTGGCGTACAGGTCAACAAGAACGAAGACCACGATTCTGGTCACCACGAGGCTGGAGCTAGTGCTGGCCAAGACAGCGAGAGCCGGGAGAACAAGACAAAAAGATATGACTTTCAGGCTGTTGAGCTTCAACTCCAGGGGCCGGTCCCTCCCAAGCTCTATCATCGCTATGTTGAGTTCAGACCACTAATAGGTCTGATGTTCAGTCGTAAAGGTCTTCGCGGGCGTGTTCTCCACAAGGCTCTGACCCACCAGCATAATCGTATTTACAATTTCGACAGCTCCACTCAATATGGAACTTTCAAGCCCTGCTCTGAGGAAGCTAGCTTACAGTTCTTGAAGCTAGTGCATTTCGATCAAGGCGGTCGACTCTTTACATACATCATCACGCTGGATGGACTGTTTCGATTCACGGAAACTGGCAAAGAATTTGGGATTGACTTGCTGAGCAAGCACACAATGCACTCAGATGTGGCCACGTACATCGCGTGTTCGGGAGAATTTTTCGTACGCAGATTGCAGAAGCCCACCGGTTCTACGGACCCAGAGCCCGACCAACCCACACACCCCTCTCAGGAAATTCCTGGTGGGCCTCCGTTCCAGGATCCTCCAACAAAGCCGGAGTATTATCAGCTTGTGATTGACAATGACAGTGGAACCTACCGGCCGGACAAATCAGTCTTGCCTGATTTGCAGAAGTTCCTGGAAAGGCAGTTTCCAGGCTTGGGTGTTGTGGCACTTGCTTGTGATGATGATGAAGATCAGAAGCTGAAGGAAGCACAGAGAAATATTAAGAAGAAGGAAGGTGAACAAATCCGAATGGTTCGAAATCGCAGTCCGAGTGCCAGCTCCTTCAGCTCTGATGATATCAGTGATTTGGAGGAGATGGACAGTGCTGGGGATGCTGGGCGAAAGAGCAAAAAGGAGCGTATGTGGGATATGATGGAAAATGAAAACCCATATCAAGAGCTCAAGAATCAGTTCCGCCCCAAAGCCGGCGAAAGTGCTGCAGGTGGGTCGAACCAAGTCTCTTAATGTTGTGTTCTTCCCATCGACATGGTCTTGCCTCTTATATTCGAGTCAAAACCTGATGTGGGCTGCTTCAATTCCGGTGCAAGTCAGCCAGAGCGTTTCGTTTAAGAAGTTTGCTGTTGTTTATTCCCGAGATATCATTTGTCAATTACTTTTCTACGTTGGTAGGATTCAAATTAAATAGTTATAATGTTTATTGCTATAGACATCATTTCCTACTCTTAATGAAATACATTACCGCACAAAGTCGGGCATCAGCAAGCGGCGATGTGGCTGGAGGTCTTGTGGTACGATGAACGAATCCTCGTTTGGTTGATGGGAGTTTTGTACGTGCCCAGTAGAGATTTCCGTAATCTTAAATAGTCTTTAGCCCACTCAACTTCATTTAAACATGGAGTGACTGTGATTCGACGGACTGAATTAACATCAAAGGGAGCAGTTGTATGAGTGGCTTGTACTATCCTATGTGTGGTAAGAAGCCTGTCCAATCGACGTTGAAAAATGCTGTTGTATCCATATCTCTCTCAATTCTAGGAACGCCTCAATAATGAGGATATGTCTCGACACGTCGTGAAGCACTGCTATCGCCATCATCGTCCATAACTCCCACGGTATTAGCAGAATCGTGGATTCTCAATCCTCCAACTGCCTGACCCTTTCAACTCAGCTTTTTCAAATTCGATAAACTTCTTCCCGTCGGTAAATCTCAAATATGCCAATGTCCACCGACCCAACCGCATCCATGATGGAACTGTCTCCAGTGCTAGAAGGCGGCAACCACGTCGGAGAGGATCAGACTTGAATAACTCCTGAGCACTTTTCCCGAGATAGATGAGAGCGAAACATTCCAAAGCAACATGAAGGCCGGTGAACACCAAGGTCGCAAAACTTAAGCAGTGCACCTTCACACCCTACGGACACATGGTATATCTTCATTCGGTATCCGCTCAATCGGCTGAGAAGGTGGAATGACGGGCATTCTCATAAATGGTTCAACATGTATTGACCAACTTGGACCATCCTTATCGGTGAAGTCTAGCGGCGTGTTCTTCCAAACGGGTGATCCCATAAGACTTGCAATGTTGTATCTAGTGATAATACGGATAAGCGCTGGGAATATCGAAAGGTTTATGAAGCCATGTAAATTCAGTCATAAGCGAGCACATAACGATCACAAGAGTGTTGAATTTAATACTGGCAATGGCGAGACTCTTGAATAACCTGTTCGATACATTGAATAATGAGATACCCGATTGGAAATGCGGTAATAGCTGGACTATTGATAAATATATCGCGGCGTGATAATCGTGGCTGTTTGTTCAGTCGCGTAAGTAAACATATGTAAAATGTTTCAAATACCGGCGTTTCTTTCACTACGACGTGGAGTACTGCCAGGCAAGATATATGCCACTTGACGGAAGCGAGGTTTATCTCAGTAGAGCACATGTTAACCATTTTATGCCACAATGCGAGCTCTGTGAGCCGGATTAACTAAGCGCCGTGTTGATAGTGAGAAGGATAACGTTCTATGAGAAGAGTGTTGGCCCATATTTATTAAATAGACTCTTTCTACCTATTATAACAGACTCTCGAACCCATAGCCTAGCTCTTTGAATTTCTATATTACTTCTGCAATAGCAATAACTAGGTTAGCCTCCGATCCTAACAACTGCCCGCATTCTCTTTCAGGTAACTAAACCGAAAAACTAAGCCGTCAGGGCGATTGCGTGGTTTCAACCAAGAAGCAACATCTACTGGTGACACAATGGTATATACTTGGTTATTACGCTGGATCACTAATACCGAACACTATGACACGGGTTAGTGTTAGTATTGTGAGACTGATTGGGAAACTTCTATTGGATGGACACATACTAAGCACGGCTGGACGGTTATAGTAAGGACTTATTACGGGCTGGATACTTGTTGCTCGCCCTATGACCCGAAATGGCAAACTATGACCAGCACGTCTAAGACATTTAAAGGGGTGCCCCGTAGCGCTGTGAATGCATTACGGGGAAAGTATGAAAGCTACTTGGTAGACACATACCACTTATAGTGATCAATAGTAGGTCTATTGATGGAGTGTAGTGTAATGGTGAAGAACAGAGCTATCCTCTGTTCTACTGAAGGCTACCCAAGAGGGTTGCCCCCGATGGATACCTTGAGACATCTAAAACCACTTCTCTATCAATCAATTATAATTACATGACCAGGAGTGAAAATACAGAGTGATAGGGAGAGGGTAGAAAGCCGGTCAATGGAAGAGAACGTGTACGCAAGTGAGGATGTGCGACATATAGCGAGGGTTGATAGAGTCCAAACGAGAAGAGGGATTGTATTCGTAGAGATCGTCCAGTTATTCGACAGGGCGATTTCTAGATGAGTAACGATGTGACGCGATCGGGCTCAAAAAATCTCGAAGGGGTGCTACATGGCTGAAGATGAGCACAGAACAATTCGAGGAACTTGCCAACGTTTTTGTTGCTGATCAGAAATTGCATTCTGATTTCTCGACTGGGTTTTGGTGTGCAAATCTTAGGGACTTCCTAATTATTTTACCAGCCTCCCTCACCAAGGTATACACCATCAATATCGAGCTAGCTTGAACGCTGATTTTATACCTAACAATTTGATATCCCCATATCGAGTGAGGCTCCGAGAGCTCTGTCTTGATTCCCTTAACATTAATTAGTGAATTACAAACTTGTCATACTGAAATCCATGACAGCCTCCCAGAGCTCACAATCTCACATCGCACCACAGAACATTACATCTTCACGCTATCACCTCAAGCACCCATCTTCTTGGTGATCGTCAAGCATGGAATCGCGTGTACGTGATGTGAAAAAAGGACCATCAGGATATGTGGGTGAACATGAATCCCCATGGCCTAGTCTTGCCCTAAGGCACACAAGAACAAGTTGTCCTTCCACTACGGCCTACATGACATCCTAAGCGAGTACTCCGGACATCAAGAGGAGGGCCCTACGGCATAAGAGCTCGTGAAGTCAAGGAACGACTTCTCTGACCTCATTGCTAGGGAACTCGTTGACCATCTAGCCATCGAGCTTAGAACTGGATTACTTAAGAAGCTCCGTTTTAAGGATTTGGAAGACTTAGTCGCTGGGGCTACGAGGAAGGATACGAGTGGCAACGAGACCGACGGAAAGGGCGAGAGCGTTGAAGAGGACGACGATGGAGAGAATTGGAAGAATGGGTTGTTGAAGAAGGCTGCCGTAACATTGGTCGATAAACTTGCGCGCTAGTCTCACGGAAGAGGGAACTGTCAGTTAGTTATACATATCTCCCATGCGGTCAGGACGAATTTTTTTTTATATAAAAAAGAATCAGCATTTCGAATCACGAGCACGAGTTCGTTCATGGTGAGCCAACACCAAAACAACTCGGAAAAGACTAATTTGCCATAAATAGGCTATGTACGCGTTCACTTATGCCTCCTCTTTCCTGGCTTATGTCCCACATCAAAGCTCAGCAATGACTTTCTGATTAGTCCTTGAAACTTGTACCATCTTTTCCGACGAGCTCTTATCCGGGGCTTTGCTGGTTTGATCTGGAGCGACAGTCGCTTTACTAGACCTGCCAATCACACCGCCTTCGTTGTCGAGTGCCTCAACATACACGTCATTGATATAAAAGCCTCTCGCAAAAAGTCCGAACCGAGTTTCAAACCCCTGTCGTGGGACATCATGACTAACGACTTCTTGTATGTCATCCGATGTGGTAGTCAACCAGAGCCGCCAGATAGCTGTTCGTGTATCCCCATTCCAACTGACCCAGATTGAAAACGTATCGTTCTTGGTTTCCTCTACCATCACAGCCGGAGACTCGGGCGAATAACCTGTCCAATTGCCTCGAAATGCGCGATAGTTCTGCGTGTTCTGCTGACGTACGCCACTCTCCAGGAATGCATGAAAGAGCACTTCGCCGTTACTGTTGAATTCTGTAACCTGATTCGCTGATCCCCAGTTTACAAGAGCATTTCCATTTGGAAGGATTTGCGTAGACCCTTGCGAGAATGCAAGTATGGCATATGGTGGGAGAAATGCCTGCTCAAGCGTTGCTTCCGACTTGTCAACATTTAAGGAAATGATCTTGCCGGCAGAACCAGAACCGGCTGAATTATCGAAGAGTGAAATTGTGTCGAGTGCTTCTGAAACATACCGCGCATGGTGCTGGAATGCAAACTCTACCTCTGGCCCTAGGATGAAGTCAGAGAACTTGCCACCAAGGCGCCAAATGATGGAGCCGTCGGTTCCATTGAGCTTGTATAAGGTAGATGCAGAACGCGCTGAAATAAGATAATGACCGTCACTGCCCTTGGCGATAGAGTTGACGTGTAAATAGTCCCATGCCGTAGAGCTGTTATAGCCTGAGCCCGCTTGTGAGCCTAATCCGAGTATGCTTTCTATTGTATCGTTAACCAGATCAAAAAGGTACTAGTCGGCGATGGGTATACCTTTCGGCGACGTATAATCAAGGCTGTGCCATTCGAAAACCACTTTGCCGGTCTCAATGTCGAGTTCTGGCGCGAATCAGCTCCACTATTCGATCACTTGTCTTGATTGCTTACCCTGCAGTATGTACTCAAGAACCCAGGTCTGGTTTGAATCGCCACCATACGCCGACAAGTCGATCTCGCGGGGCGTATAGCTCCCAACTAATGCAGTCTTCTCGCCCACAATATTGAACTCATGCAGGTCGGATATATATTGAGTCGCGGATCTGACTTCTCGGATCGTCTGATAGTGCTGATCTACGATTTTATGGTGTCCATGGCCATGCCCTCGAAGGCGGTTGAGCGTTCCTTCGTACCCGAACAACACATCCTGACCTTCCCACTTGGCTGGCTGGAAATTGGCAGTTATGGGGTTAAAATAGCCGTAGCCTGACCACACGAGCTCTCCAGTGTTGTCAACAATGTATGGTCCAGACTGAGGTGTGCCTTCTTCAGACCAGCTGTATGGTGCAATGAATAAGTAACCTTGCTCAACATCGGGCGATGCCGGTATCGTGATGTTAAGGCGAGGTGGTGCAAGATCGGGACGAGTTCTGTAGGTCCTATCAGCCGTGCATTCATGCATTAGCATGAGGCTGGCAAGGAAACGATTGGCTTTATATTTCTGCATGGCATAAGTTCGGTTGTGTTGAGTGGACGAATTCGAATCGATGAAATGCGACGAGATGATGGATCACGGGGTTATTGGATGTTTGGTTGTTATCACATTGCGCTCATACATGGTTGAATTGCGCGATTGTTCACATTGCTGCTAGCGCTATATTTGGTTGGCCAAATAAGTCAACGCGTGACCTAATAGACCTAAAGCAATGCTTCATCTCCACATCCATAGGCGTGGCTTCAATGCCCGAACTTCCACCTGATAAAAACCAGCTTTTCCCTTACACCAAGTATCTGAAACCTTTGGACATTCTCAATGCCTCATCTGCACTATCCATGTGTTCCATGTCGGCTGTATGTGCAGCTACATCTGGCTGGGTTTCCCAGGCGCGCTCGCCTTGCTCCAGCTGCTTGTTGAGTCTGACTAGCATCAACTTAATGATGAAACAACCAGCAATGGTCACGCCAAACACTAAAAAGCTAGTTAGTCACAATAATTGGTTGTAGTGTAATCTATGTTGTTGCGTGTAATAACTTACTGGAAAGCACAATGCCGTATGACTTTCTGTAACCATTCTCACTGAGATTCCAGACGTATGATCCAGCCACGTTTCCAAGCTGGGAGAAAGCATTGATAAATGCGATCGCGACAGCTCGCTTGGCTGGTGGACGAGGAAACGTGGAAGAAATCCAAGAGTAAAAGACGATGAATCCGGCGTAAGAACTGGCTTGCAGGAATAAGGCAACGTATCGAGCCGCGATATTGAGGGTCGACATGCTGATAACGAAACCCACCAACCCAACGCAGATGGGGCCAACTATATGCCAGAACTAGAACTGTGTGAGTATTTGAGTGTGCTCGAAAAGTCGACAGTACTGACCTTTTCTCCAGTATGATCAGCGTGCCAAGCGTTGATCAACGACATGATACAGGAAAACACCCACGGAGGAGCAGACATGAGCAATGTCGGAACGTAGCTAAACCCGAGTGTACCGGTGAGCGTGGGCTGCAATTTGGGTCAGTCATGTCGGGAGATAATTAAGCACAAGAACACTCACAAAGAAGGCATTAAAGGACAGACCAACGACGTAGGCCGTGAAAGTCAAGCTCATGACGTAAATCTTGATATCCTTGATTGCCATGTTGAAACCAGCGAAGACACCCTGCTCCGCTGAGTCCTCGTCCGCCTCACCAACATCCTCAAGCATGCGTAGCTGAGCGACCTCAAGTTCCTCGGCAGTGAAACCGCGCGAGTTATGAGGAAGATCTGGCAGGATGAATGCGGCTGAAATGGCAAAACCCATGGTTATGGCTCCCTCAATCCAAAAAAGCCACCGCCATGCAGCATGTCCGAGAACACCTTGCATGTTCGACAAGACGCCGGCACCAATAAGAGCCGAGAACGCGTTCGAGATGAGATTACCACAGAACAAAATGGCATTTCTCGTCGTGAGCTCACGTCTTGTATACCATTTTGAAAGAATCATCAGCGCTCCGGGCAAGAACGCGGCCTCAATAAAACCCAGGAAGAATCGAGTCAGAACCATTCCAGTGAAGTTGTGCGTGATTCCGGAAAGCGTTGAGACTACTCCCCAAACCAGCATACAGCCGGCAATGTAGAGAGACGGGCGCGAGATTCTGTTGATCAAGATGTTGGAAGGCACCTGCATGAGAATGTATCCAACATACAAAATCGACAAGCATGTCGAATACTGCGTTGAGTCCAGCCCTAAGTCTGTCTGTAATCCCTTGAGTCGAGCCGCAGCGATATTGTTGCGGTCGAGATAGTTCATAATGTATAAGAAAATGAATAGAGCACACCGGGCGTCGAGTTTCCGTTTCAGGGACTTCTCCACCCGAGCGCGATGCTCTGGGGCCATGGCACGAGCACCAGCAAATTGCTGCTTGCCATATGGTTGGCTTTCAAGAGTCTCGACATTTCCCTTTCCGTGTAGGCCAGGCGCTGAGCCGGCCTTTGTGATTTCGTCGGCCATGTGGTGCGAGACTGCCTCCTGCCCAAACGTTTCCTACAATAAGCAAGACCTAGAATGGAACTGATTTCAGACACGTCCAAACCCCAGCAAGAGGTGGGAAATGGCACTTTTTAAATCGACGAAACACGAGGTCAATGTATCAGCCAAACGAATCATCGGGCAACCTCGGATCTTCGCTTCAAAGCGGTCAACACCTGTACTGGTGACATGATACTAAGATGTCCGCAGTATGGGGATAAGGCAGACCCATCCCCGCAGAAACCCCCGTTGAATTTTGACTCCCCGCTATGAGCCAGGCTCTACCTCGGCGTCTTGGCAACAACTCACAACTAAGCCAGTCCACTGAGAAGACCAGTATCCGCGAGACGCGATAGTGTGGCCAACCATTTTCGTGTGATCTCACATAAAGTGGAGGTTTTCTGGGGTTGATTCCATTCCCCTCAAATTCTTGTAGTAACTACCAGCCAGCCAGCCGGAGTTTCTCCAAAGGGCTGCCACTAAATGCCGTCACAGCAGTGCTCTCCGTCTCTGGAGAAGACGAGCTAAAAGGAAACATTCGAGGGATAAAATGGAGCCGTCTCCAGTAAATGTACCAAGTACATTTTAATGATCGTGCCCCGGAGTCAACAACGGCAGATGATGCTTCCTCAAATGTAGCGAAGTTTACCCTAGTTCCAGGGGAAATTCATGCTATTACTTATCCATTACTCGTGAATATAAGTCTCGCGTCGGCACGGGTAGCCGAATACATCCCTCGTAATCTCACCAGAGCACGCCTTGACTAATAACCTTCCACGTTAGAACTGCGAAGGTCATGAGATAGCTTTCTCAGCCGTCGGTTTGAGTCATTGTCATGCTTGTTCAAGGTTGCTGGAAGATGTCTTCCCCGGAACTACGTCATCACTTAATAAAAAATATCATTACCAGGCACAGAAAAACTACGGGGGCGATACCCCGTTGGTTGCTTGTGGAGAAGTGGGTGTCGGACACAGTAGGGAGCAATTTGCATGCTGTGTGAAATATAGAGATATTTATATATAATATATCATATGTTCTTGCATATTCCCATAACATTATCCTCATTCTATTTCAAAACAATGTTGGATAATGTTTATAATCTATGAAATTGGCGCGATTTTGGCGCGTGCATAATCCTCCAAGGGCCGAACACGCACGAATTAGCGTGGGGGTACACTCGCTCCAACCGAAACACGGTTTTAACGTACAGTAGGTTGCTTAGTCCGGTACAAGCTTAGCATTATTGTCCTTGGCTTCGAACCAATCTCTCGGAATGTTGCTTGTCGGGTTTCCATGATCCGGGCTCAGACGAATTGACGGCGTGCCGTTCACTTGGCTTCCAGTACAAGCAGCCAATCCACGTGGGCGTCCGTACTTGGCGGCGTGAATTCCCGTCTCGTCGAATTGCTCACGTTGCATTGCGAGTATTGGAAGCTTGCATATGTCCCAACCAGCGGGTCAAACCAGCTACCCTCAACGTTGCAAACATTCAGGCTTTGCGTTTCAACCGAGAAAGGTAATCCTGTTGGCGTATACACCATAATCCACGAGCCTTGGCTATCTCTTGCTGCGGTGACTCTTTTGTCATTGGTGCCAGCATCACTGGTGATAATGTACTGCGCCGGAAGTCGTTTGAAATAACTCCCTTCTCCACGGTCCATAATCGCCTTTGTGATATACTGAATCTGATTCGAGCCTGGAAGACTGATCTCGAGTGACCATGCGTATGCCGGTCCGCTTCCATCTTGGGTATAGAGTTCGGGTATGTACATTTGCATTACGTTATTGGCACCGTACGTAACACCTGCCGCACCAGATAGCACCTGTTCCATCATTAGTTGGCTTATACATTTTTGAACAGAGAACTCACGCTTTGCCAGCTGCCAACTCGAACATCGCTAGCATTCCAGTACGCATTTCCGCTCTTGCCATTGTTATAACGATTCTCGTAATGCGGTTCATTGTCCAGAGCGGGTCGTTCAACTCCTTCGCTCGTTTCGCCAGCCGCATACATCAGCTCAACTGCCTCCCATCCGCGGCGGCAATTCCACCATGGTATTGGCGGGTTTGGAGCGTAATCAGCATGTCCAGACTGACTGGCATCGAAAGTGAGCCATGATCTATCGCCTAGAAAAGCACTTGCTAGAGCAATTGGACCGTTGGTGAACCACTGATTAGTCGGATGAATAGTTATCAAAGGCGTCCAAGTCGAGGAGTTCCTCAAAATGCCAGGGGATTGCTTAGTCTGCAATGCAATCGTGGCCAATTCGCCCTGCACAATACCTTCTGCCAACTCGTCGTATACATATCCCCAGTCTGTATGGTTGTAATTTGGAGCAGCACCGCCCTTCGAATAATTGTCCTTCACTGCGGTCTTATTCTGCCACCAAGGGTTCGTGTCTGCCACCAAAAGTTTGGGGAGGTATGGATAGCGTCGACCAATGAAGTCGCCAAAAGGCCGCCCAGTAGTAATGTTTAGAACCGAGCCTTCATTATCTATTACATTTCAGTTGCAATAATCATTGACTAGTTATTCTCGGTCTTACCATTCGAATGGACATATTTGCCCCATGCTGGCACCAACGCTATTCGAACACCCTTGCTCCAAGCCAGCTCGACAATCGAGTCAACGAACTCCCAATACAATTCGTTCGGCTGCGTCACATCTTCATCAACGAAGGGGAGATCGTCGTTCCGATTCGGACTATCAATACCGACCTGTGTGAATCCAACGGCCAAAACCACATTATAGCCCTTGCTTGCACGGTCGCTTAAATACAGCTCAGCTTCACTATAGTTCAGACGATGAAACAGCAGCCAAGCAGTATCTGCTTGCCAAAAGAAAGGCGAGCCATGGGAATCTTGGAGGAAGTGGCCATCCGGCGACGGTGTAATGCCATATTCTGCGGGCACCTGCCAAGTTGCTCCATTTTTGACAAACGTTGCCGCCACGGTCAATACAGATGCTGTGATGTCTGCAAGTCTCATGATGTTGCAACCGGTTTTTCAATGTTCCTCTTTTTCTTTCTTTCTCCAAGTATTCCCCCTAATATAAGACCTTTGGATTGGCATCTCAAATAACAAGTGACATCTAAGTTGGGCTATACAGGATTCGTGGGGTAATATCGCCTATGGGAGACACAGATCGATTCTATAGACGGGAAATCTTTCCCCACGCTTCAGAGCACCTTCGTTTTAACCCGAATGCCGAATTAAATTTTTGTAAGATAAAATAAAACCAGCAGCGATCATCACATTCGAACCACAACAAGCCACTGAAAATATGTGGTTAGCAAATCGCTGCCAACCGGGTTCCACATCCTCCGGTGTATGAAAAAAGGCGAAAATTTGGGCTATACAATTACGACTTCATGAGAGACTCAGATTCTCAACTCATTGTCCCTAGTCATTAGCACTCGCGGCGTTGCATTATCATTCTTAACTGATGATAATTGTTCACCTAGGAGGTCTCGGAAGACACACGACTAACGTAAGTGATAATATCCTGAGGCCACTCTATTTGCGCTGATTACCAGCTATTCTGGAGTGTATATTTTATAATGAGGGAGGCTGGTCAAGCGCAGAAGAGGAAGTCACAAAGTCCGTACCATTTTCGCATACATATAACGATGCCGCGCGTCCAGCAAGCTGGCCATCCGATATCTGTCTCGATCCGAGTGAATTGAGTATGCTATTATTCTTGTCAAATTATGCTAATGACCTCGGTAATTCTTCAGCTCGTAAGATCTTTCGCAGTGGGCAACGGCTAAACCACCAGTCAAAGTCGGCTTTATGCCTCTGCTGACTTGACCTAACGCACCCAAATTTTACAGTGCCGGCTTCCCATACCACCTAGACAACCGCCGAGAGGATGGGCTGGTGTTCAATGCACTTTTGTAGCGTACACTGTCTTGTGTTAAATCGCAATACAGCGTCTCGTCCTAGAATGGCCATCGCATGACCGTCAACCACCGTGTCGTAGTACAAATTCTTCGTATTGGATGCTAATCATACAAGTATGTCGAAGGAAGGAGAAGAAAAGAAGAAAGTCTCACTAGGTCTCCCACGATAGGGACTTGCTGGCAGAAAGTCCTTCGCAAAATACTCTTGAACACATATTCGAATAATTGGATCACTGGTCCATGGGCAAGACCTGAAAATGGCTGGTATGAACTCAAATCATGAGAAATGTAGTAGCAGTATCGAAACTCAATTTCAACTTGATTCACAAGGTAATAGCCGTTCTTCAAAGGCTGTGACAGCTGCCTAGGTGCCACAAACTCATGTTCTTATGCATCAAAATCCAAATCAATGTCGTGGCGCATTATGCCCTCTCATGGTACCTCACAATGGTTCAACATCGTGGATATTGAGGACAACTTGGAAGCATGCTGCAGGGGATGTGCCGAGTTAAGTATTGGCAGATTCGGTTGGGGACGACAGCCATTTGAGCTGTAAATGATATGAGGATTACTAGTCCATTAACCTGTATGGGCATCCCTTGACAATGTCTGTGTACGTAAACTGTTGCTATCTAACCAGAATTAAGGCGATTCAACGTCACAAGCTCGGCCTCCTGAAATAATCATCACCTGTTTTCTTTTTCGTTTTCTTTTCCAAACAATCATGTAACTCAATCTTTCATGAGATATTACAGAAATTAGTGGATTAGTGTCATCGGTATACCATGGAGCCAAACTTTTGGGACAGGTTTCAAGACCTATAATGCATCCTTACAGTGGGACTTTTACCCTTCGTCGTTCGATCTGTGTGATTATTAATTCATTCTTCATTGGCTTTCACTTCCATTGTTTTCGTGATAGTAACATATGAGGAAGACTGTAAGCGTAAACAAGGCAGGAAACAGGAATCTTGACGTTTTCGAGCAGAGCGAGTCTATACAGATCGATCTGAATTGAGGCTCTAGAGGTCTGTGGATGACATATTGCGTACTGATTTCAATGGCCAATTTTAGGAGCTCAAAATGAATAGAAAACTAACTTCTCTATTGCCCGCTGCTCCCTCCGCATTCAATATGGCCAAGACAAGCAGGGAAAAGACAGCGGGGTGAAATTTTTCAACCTATAGGGATATAATTAAATCCCCTCCAAATGGCCAGTTACTAGGCTCTTCGGGAAATTTAAAGCTCCTGGAGAGGCGTGAGGGCGAGCCAGAAGAAAGCTAACATTTACTTAATGTCGATCAAGATATATGTAGAGCCGTGTAGAGCCGTGTAGAGCCTCGCTTGTTTACCAGATTTCTCGCGTGGGAACTTTGAAGCTTGTGTCAAGTGTACTTATTGCTTCGCACCTCAAGCAACGAGACAACTGCACTGGCCTCGCGTGTAAATATTATGAGTGTAATTTGACGTGCGTACTATCTCTGAATATAACAAAATCCCAAGACTTAATCCACTAGCTAAACTTGCGACCTGAGCAGATCAAATTGCGTTATCGATTCTTGATTGGCATCGTAACGGTTCGTAGCAGAGAGCTCTTTTGGGCGGCATCCAAATTAGACGACTTTCCAACGAAAGTTCCAGCTATGTGCCATAAGCCAGCCACATGCGTGAAGTTGATTAAGGAGAAGTTGCTTTGCTCGGCGTCGAAAAAGACCGGCTTTAGACGAGGTGGAAAGGCACGACTAGCCTCGGAGCATAATTACACCGTCTTTAGTCTCCGACAGAGCTCAGCTTAGGATTCGATTATCTTGTAGACATAACCACCCTAAGGCAAGGCAACTCGAAGTGACGCGTGCTGACCTGGCGTTTTATGTTCTTTAGATTTGTAACGCATTTGTGTCTTGCTAGGCAGAAGACGATGCCATAACTCTCTGGCACGATTACATCGAATTTGCAGGCCTTTCTTGTAAACCACCAATGCTGAAGTTGTTCCCAAAGGGGTACTAGATGTAGGGTTGACGAAAGAGTGCCTAACTTGAGAAGTTCAAATTCACTGCAATTTTTAACTATGTTATCCTCTCCTGGCCCATGAATCTCCAGCGAACGGGGAATAGAAACAGACTATTCCGTACCTTATTTGCAGTGGAGATAGCGGAGATAATCAGAATAATGCTCGAAATGGAAATAGCTTTTAAGGAAGGCTATTTGGTTATGGCGGGGCTTCGGCAAACATCTAAGCCCGATCGCATTGTCAGAATCCATAATTAATATGCTGTGTTGACCACTGAAAATTCTGTGTGCTGCCGCAGGCAGGCTAGCGTACCAGGCTCTCGGTCCCGCAGAACGAGATCCGGATCTCGAGTTGTGACGAGCTCTGCTGGGATGCAGATTACAATAGATCCCTCTGCAGCTAACCTGGTTTCTGAGATATTTGGACACAGGTTGTTGCTGTTCAATATGTTTCCGTTGAGTATCACGCCACGCATGAAACCCAAAGGGCTCCCCATTTCAATTGTATGCCGCACAGGGACGCGGAACAATATCCTTCACTTAAACATGACTTTCCCATATTATCGTACGTGACACCAGTTCCAATTTTCACGCGTGATGCCAGCTTGGCGATGAGGTCTGCAAGGCAAACCGTAGACTTTTCGTAGCGACTCTTCAAAATTCATCATTCCTTACGAGGATCCTGCCCTGAATAGCGTCGGGCGTATCCGGATTTTTCGGCCTTCCCATGAAGGTCGGGTGCGTCTCAGGTAATTATTACGTGCTTGGGCCATCATGGACGGTGATGACTCAATGAAGCCACCCTCTTATTGGTTCTGTGTTGCTGGTTGTCTAGGTTAGACTAGTCTCAAGTCATGGTATTGAGACGAGAGTTGCATACAACAAGCCAACTGTAGACTGTCGAATCAAACACAGTCATATGCAGCTGAAACATGTAGTGGTCATTGGAAGTTTTCTTTGTAATCTGTTCTTGGCCATTTTGAATGAATCCGAACTTGTGGTCCAATATTTAGGCGGCTTACGAAATGTGTCTTTAGGCACGGCTCTAGAGCGCAGTTAAAAGTCTCCGGGGGGGTCCAACAATGCCCCGTTGATGAGCTAAAACCAGTTACAGCGGAGTCCTCTAGGGTCCGAGGGCCCCTATTCCCGTTTTTGGGTGATACGCCGCAGGCATTACAGGTGTAAGCTAATGTTGTGCTTATGGTGATTGGCCTCGCATGGGGCACCACTCTCGTTTACAACAAATGAGTGAAATGAGTATTAGTATACGCCCGCGCTCTGTATTAATACCAGCCAAATCCCATCCAAGATGATCGGTGCCTGACATCGACGACTTTTTTTTGTTCGACATCCAGACACGAGTCAGGGAATTCAAGCTCACACTAAATTTGTCACAGTACACCTGGAGTCAGTTGTACGGGACATTCCAGAAACCGCGTGGGCGTGCATCGACAAACAAAAGCAACATTCCGAAGGCCCAGCTTTCGGGTTTTTGACACGATGCCACGAAGTTCTTTCGAGGGCGGATCTGAAGCCCCCACAGTAGCAGCGAGCGCTTCAAGTATAGCAGATAGGGAAAAGGATATCGACGCATATTCAGTGAGGGAAAATACGTCACAACCTGTCACAAGTCATACCATGGACAGAACCGCACAGCCATTGGCCCCAGTGCCCACAGAAGCCGAAAAGGTGATCGAGTTGACAACACAGGTAACGGCGAATTCACAATCTGCGAACACCATTAGAGAAGTGCAGACTCGGGAGGATGGGGTTCAATATCCTACGGGAATGAAACTCTTTCTCATTAGTCTAGCACTGTGTCTGAGCGTCTTCCTGATTGCCCTGGAGTAAGTCTAGTGATCCTGCTGCTGCTCATGTTCATTTTGCTAAAGCATTACAGTAATTCCATCATTGCAACCGCTATCCCCAAGATCTCCGATGACTTTCACAGTCTTTCGGACGTAGGTTGGTATGGAAGTGCCTACCTCCTCACGACAGCAGCTTTGCAGCTTATGTTTGGAAAGTTCTACACTTTCATGAGCATCAAGGCAGTCTACCTCATCGCTATCACAATCTTTGAGGTTGGTAGCTTGATCTGTGGTGTTGCACAAAATTCTGTCACGCTCATCGTTGGACGTGCCGTGGCGGGTATGGGGTCGGCCGGTATTTTCTCTGGTGCCCTTTTGATCCTCGCGCATAGCGTGCCGCTTCCTAAGCGACCAATGTATACTGGTCTCATCGGAGGCATGTATGGCATTGCTTCCGTTGCTGGTCCTCTGCTGGGGGGCGTTTTCACCGACAAGGCGGTATGTGTTATTTATGTCTCCGCTTTTGAAGATTTAATGCTTACGAAAAACTTAGACTTGGCGATGGTGTTTCTTCATCAACCTTCCAATCGGCGCCATCACTCTTGTCGTCATCTTCTTCTTTTTCCCGGACCCCAAGACGGACAAGCCGAAGGACGAGTCTTTTCTCGAAAGAGCCAAGCACTTTGACCCAATCGGAACTCTTGTTTTTATGCCCGCCATCATTTGTCTACTTCTAGCTCTGCAGTGGGGTGGCACTACATATGCCTGGAACAGCGGTCGCATCATTGCCCTCTTCGTCTTGTTCGGCGTTCTCATTATTCTATTCTGTAAGTGGCACTGACGATTATTTTCTACCCTTTTCAGCATGTCCATGGAGCATAAACTGCCCAGTAAAGGCAGCCAGTTTTTCATGGCTGTTTCACAAACTCCTGGGAACTCCTCGACTCAATTAGAAAGAAGTGATTACTGACTTCAAATGCTGCAGTGTTCATACAGTATCGCCAAGGTGAAGATGCTACTGTACCGCCACGTATTCTCAAAAACCGCTCTGTCTGGGCCGGAAGTCTGTATGCATTCGGCACGGGCTCGTCATTCTTCTTGCTCGTTTACTACATCCCGATCTGGTTCCAAGCCGTCCAGGGCGTTTCTGCTGTCAACTCGGGCATCCGAAATTTGCCAATGCTTCTCGCTGTTGTGGTTGCTTCAATCTTTGCTGGTGGTATGGTGACTGCGCTGGGTTACTACGCGCCGTTCATGATTGCTGGCACTGTATTGATGTCCGTTGGTGCTGGTCTTCTCTCAACGTTTAGTCCCTCAACTGCTTCGGGAGCATGGATTGGATACCAGATTATTTTCGGTATCGGTGTCGGTCTTGGTATGCAACAACCGATGATGGCAGTACAAACAGCGCTTGACATCAAGGATATTCCTACAGGGTCCTCAGTTGTGGTATTTCTACAAACGCTGGGAGGAGCACTGTTTGTCAGCGTTGCTCAGTCTGTCTTCACCAACCAGCTAGTCGCCTCGCTTCAAGAGAACGTGCCGACCTTGGATCCTAAAGTTATTTTGGTCACTGGTGCCACCAATCTTCAAAATACCGTCCCGGCAGAGCTGCTCAGCGGCGTGGTCGCTGCGTACAGTACAGCTTTGACTAAATCCTTCGTGGTTTCGGTTGGTTTGGCTGCATTCACAATTGTCGGCAGCGTTTTTATACCTTGGAAGAGTGTCAAGGGCAAGAATGTCGAGATGGGTATGGCTGCTTAGATCGGCCTCGTAATTTCTGTTCGTCATTCGCAATGAACAGCAATGGAATTGGTAGAGGGTTTTATGGTTTATAATAGCCCAGGGCTGCATTTGTTGCGTGATCATTCATAATTTGTTTTTTTTTGGCCTGGCGTTAAGGCACACGACGTTGAGTCGGGGTCGTATGAGGTCATGCGGAATTTGGTTGATTCTAGGGCTTTAGACGCCGTCGCGGCACTGTATTAGACAGGACCACTCCAATCATAATATAATCGTCAAGAAACACTTGAGTCACAAGTTTCCCATGTACTTATTCATTAATCAGTGTTCCGGTGTGGTGTCATCTTCCCTCTCAATGTATTTCTTCATATAATTTCGCAGTGGAGTAATATGGAGCCTCAAAGGATAAGACGGGTTTCACTAGCAATTTCGGTCCGCAGTTCTGCTTATTCGCAGGGGGAAAAAATATGAGGACCATAGGGTCATTATACATTAATCAACCCCGCCATCATTCTTAGTCGTGTACAGTCTCGCTTTTCAGCTGAAAGTCGAGCTCTGATTCAGGCACCTTTCTCGGACTTCATATTTATGGTGAAATTGAATTTGTGCATCTAAGCACTTCGGCGACTCGAGCTTTGAACTTCTTTTCACAAGGGTTCGTAAACGATAATGGGAAATATTTACATGATCCCCCTTTTACTCAGTCCATATTCGGAAAAGCTGATGGTACCCGTCCTGCGAAATATCCTCGGTTTGACGGGGTAGGGGTAAATAATATATGGCCAAAAGTCTGTGCCCCATGGTTCTGTAGTTGCGGTACTAGATCGCTATTGACCACGATCAGATCAGCGGCACGACTGTCAAATACTGTCAGACTATACCCTTCATGGAATCCGTTATTGCATGAAGACTTGAAGCTATCCGGGCCTGAGTCCTAATCCGTGAGGCGAAAAATGGCAGCTCTACCAAGAAATGTTAAATAGTGGACAACTGTTTCGTCGTAGTAGGTAATTAGACTATACGACTGAGGCATCCGAGGATAGCTGTATGTTTGAGTTCCTGACCCCGACTTTTGATGATAGTCTGCTTTATATTTGCCCAAAAAGCGCATCCACGTGCTTACAGCCTCTTGATATGTTGATTGATTGGTTTCTGCAGATAGCAAATTATCACTCAAGCCGATAGTAACACCACACTGGGCAACACTGTATTAAGCACAAGGGCATAGACTTCGAAGACATCCTATATTTCGATACCCAATTTGCGTCCACCATCTCACAAGATCAAACAAGCCCAATCAATACAGCTGCAAAACTGTCCTTGGTGGTTGTCCCGAGGCAGAACACTTGGGTACTACTGAATTTGAAAAGTCTTCGCAAATGTAGTTTTTCTTTAAACATCCAGCCTCTTGTGTTGCAGTCCGTCTTACATGGGGTTTGTATCGATCGTCACTTTTATCCGCTTGTTATTCTATGGACAACCAGAAAAGTGTTCAAGGACATTTGGATAGTTGAAGTTGTTTTTGTTATCTGAACCAATTTTCTTTGAATCGCATCATGTCCAATAGCGGAGAGGATCGTGTGCCTGACAAGTTTGCAGAAGCCACAAGCAGTATTTGCGCGAACAATTGAGTAGATGAACCCGATGGTAGACGATGGGTTTCCACCGCCTCGCCACTGTTTAAAGGAGAGCCAGTTCATATTCAATGGGCGGCATCGTTTGTGAAGGACGATGGTCCAAACCTTTCGCACGACATCACTATAAGTCCTGTCCGACACGAATCATCTTATGCCATTTTGATCAGACGGACGAATTCAATGTGAGGTGGTATTAATCACACTCTGATATAATTACAACATCACGCTACCGATAAGAGACCCGATATTGGGCGTATCATATGCAAACGGGAAGAGGAAACTGCAAACAGGTGTCTCATATTGTGAGGGCTCTCATTGCAGCAGCATTGATCAAAGTCAAGGTGCCAACGATTACCAAATCAGTTCATCTAAGAATGACTTAGTATTTTGTCAGTGTCGAGACGCCCTGTAATGGCCACAGTTTCCACGAGTTCGCTGAACCAGTGTGCTTAGCACTTTTTGGTTGGCTCGAACTCTCGCGCGCTTCAACTTATGTTTGGGATTGCGATGAGACGAACCAGAATATATCCACTTCATCTTGGCATCACTTCAGATGAGTGTTGGCCGTCATCCGAACTTCATCCCGCCCAGTTCAGACGGTGTCGCGTATGATCGGCGTCCCGGCTCGATTCGGTGCCTGCCGATCTTAAGCGCATCTCACTTGAATCAACCGCACCGGCTTCAGAGCATCATCAAAGCACACGTCCTTGGCGAGTCGAACAATTAAGTACGGCTTGAGATATAAGAGGGATATATAGCTACCACTTTGAATTTGATCGGTCAGTCACACAAGCTCCAGACTCTTACAACCTGCAGCCAATTTCATTCATTTCTTCCAGTTCTGTGAACTGATTCATTCCCTCGTACATATATACTTGCAATTACGATCAGTTCCGCTAGCCGGCATCGTTTTAATTACCCGCAATCATAATGCAGATCAAGTCATTTACTCTCGCCCTCTTCGCCGCTGCGAGCGTTTCGGCGCTCAAGATCAACAAGCCTCGTCAGAGCCAGAATGGTACGGCAGATACCGGGGCGGCAGACTTCGGACAATGCGATCCTTCAATCGACTTTCAGCTCGGCAGAGCAGGGCGCAAGGCCAACGAGGGTACCTTCCTGCCGGTTGACCCCCTCGTCGCTGAGGGGCAGCAGGACGCCTTGAACCCGAATATCATCACGAACCGTGTTTGTGACCAGTTGACCAACGTCTGCGAAGCCAACGACGCTGCAAAGAGCTTGTGCGAGGACGCTAAGGCCCAGGTTGCTGCTCTGGGAACGAAGGACCAGACTACGGCGGATGCCTTCAATTCTGCTCTGGGTTTCTAAACCGCCGGACGCTAAAGAAATGTGGGATGATCTGGCAATTCGGGATCTGGGTGCTTTTCAAAGTGGAACCACGGAGGCAGCAAATTGGCACTGACAAGGCGGATTATTGCTGGTAAGAAGGTCCGCGTAAGGCAGCCGCCAGCAGTACGGGGCAGCAGGGTTAGCCCATCGGCGGCTAGCTGGTTCCTGTATGTATGTACTACTATGTATGTACTGTAGAGAGTGGGCACCTCGATGAATGATAGTCTCAAATGTTGAAAGGACTGTTAATGAGATGCATTGCTTACCTCCAAAGACCAGTGGGGATTCAGCTGATGGTCGAAGATATACATATCTTCAGCATCAAGTATGGAGTATATTATGCCAAGTATCATGCTCGCAAGTGGTGGAGTGTCAGAAGCAATCCATTCATCTAAAACAACTCCAAACACTTTACCGTAACAGTGTTGCATTACGTGACTCCGATCCATCAAAGGTGCTTTTGGTTCTATCCCCCTAGATAGGCTTTAGGATGTAAGCCTGTAGGTCTATTTGGTATAGGATCGTCGTTACCTCATGCGCTGACTTTTTCCACGATCATGAGAACAGCATGTGACTGTGTTTCTTTTACTGCACGTCGTAGGTCGAGGCCCACCTGCTGTACTTGTACAGTGTTACTATTGTGTATGCATGCATGCATGCATGCATACATAGTAGGAACCATTCATGCGGATACAGGGAGGGTTACATGCCGTCTCTGGTGTTTCATTCGCGGAAACACGGCTTGGTCAATATTCGGCCGGAAGACTGCGTACTATGGTACATATTTACAGTAGACCACGTTTACCCCTGAATAGATGGATGGCAGTCTTTCATGAAGAAGTTTTAGGCGCTAGACAACAGTAGTTGGAAGTACTGCCCCCGGCAGAGGCCACACGCAGAGGCCTCACCTCGCTGAGCAGCGTCGAGCTCCCAAATTGTCATTTGGAAATTCGAACGCCTTCAACCAGTTGTTTTCTAAATTCCAACAAACGGGTTTGATGAAACGTGCCATTCGCGGTTGATACGACCAGTAGTTTGAGTTAAGCAGCGGTTGCAAAACGCTCCAAGCTTACGCTCCTAATTCCCCACGGCGAACGCTACCTCTGTCAATTGGCTTCAGGGGCCCTAGCTTCTGTAAGGATAGTTGCTGGGACGAAGCCCTATCGATCCCCATCAATTTCCCAGCCAGCATTGCTCGCGCCTCATGGTGGTGTTTGTCATGCCTGTGTACTCCGTACACAGCACCAAAGATCGCGAAGTGCTTGGTAAATTGGAAGACCTGCTAAACTTCGGAGCTCACCCACATCCCACAAGTCCCATTGCGGAGTACGACGACGTGCAACGACGCCTGACGGAGTGAATGGTGACTACAGTAGTCAAGCTCAATACGATACCGTAGGTACCAACTAGAAGTTACATTCTGGTAGCTCGGCAATACTGAAGTGCCGAATTGCTCAGCTCTCTGGGATTCCATATGCACTCACGAACAACCCCCTTGCAAACAGTTTGGCACCCCATCTCTAGTTCGACGGGGGAGGCACCGAATTCGGCAGCTTCCGTCTATCACTTTCAAAATCTTTTGACGCAGCATGCGGGCGTGTAATGGGTGGCAGTCTAGAAAAGCCACCGTCCTGCCAATCATTCCCCCGAAAATATGGGTTGCCACTTTCTCATGTATAACCGACCGGGATCTTTCCAGAGGCATTCTCAACAAGGGCTCCACGAGGCTTTTTCTACGATGAGGAACGCGGTCTTGCAGGGGATATTCGACAGTTGCATTCTCTAATGTCGGAATGTTGTTCATCGGTGGGCCAGAGATAGTTGATCCGCTCCATCAAGATTGGTACAGTATAAACGATCAACACAGCGGGTCTGCTTTTACGTAGGGCTTGGTCTCAATTTACCCAATATCCTTTCGTTCATCTTCGTTTGCGGTGACCACATGGTTCGAGTAACTACCGGTTTTGAAGCTTGAGCTTCGTTTTGTTATACAAGATGCGGGCTCTGGAAGTGGTAATCTCGTTACTGCTGGCCGCTGTACCAGTCATTGCTGCAAATTCAGCCGCAGAGGCCCCTACTTGTGGTGTAAGTCAGACTACGGTATGATCTATGGAAGTGGTGTTGAGGTTGACATTCGTCTCCAGGCGCTGTGTATTGGTCTCACGACTGTACACTCGGGGCTGTGTAATGTAACAGATATCGAGTGCATTTGTACAAATGCAGCCTTGAACGCCGAGATCCAGTCCTGTGTGACAGCGAACTGCACCATCAAAGAGGCACTGCGTAAGTGAGGGGACTAGTAGTCATTCTATCAAAAGGTTCGACTAACCTCATTCTTCCAGAAACACAAAAATACAGCTATGGGTTATGCGGGAGACAAGGAGAAGATCGAACAGCCCTGGTCTGGATTGTAGGCATCACATTTGGAGCAATAGGACTTTCAGCTTTCGGCCTGCGGTGCTTAGCAAGGCTGCACCTGGGTGCACAATCATGGGGCATGGATGATTGGGTTATGTGTGCGGCTATAGTAAGTGCTCTCCAGCTTGTGTAGCGGGTCCTGTCGTTAATCGTTCACAGCTTCTTATGATACCGCTCTGTGTATTGTCCGTTCCTCGTGCGTTAACTTCCGAACTGTGTAGGGATTTGTCAGAAGACTGACCAATGGATAGTTACGCAGCATGGCCTCGGTCTTGATATGTGGTTTGTGGACTTTGATGACATCACGTCCATCCTCTATGTAAGTGAAGCTGTTCTCACTGAATACGACACCAGCTAACCTCGATTGCAGTATTACTTCTGGGATGAGATGCTTTATATCACTGCGCTTGCCCTAACGAAAGTCTCGATCCTTTTTTTCTACCTCAAGGTCTTCCCGAAACGATCATTCCGAATAAGCGCCTACGTCTTGATTGCACTCAATATTTGCTATGCCCTGGGGTACGATTTAGTCTTAACATTCCAATGTTCACCGATCGATGGCGCATGGTTGAGCTGGGATGGCGAGTACAACGCCAAGTGCGTGAGCATCAATATCCTCGGATGGTCTGCTGCCGCGATCAACATTGCTCTGGACCTGGCAACAATCATTCTTCCACTGCCTGAATTGTTCCAGCTTTCTATGTCCTGGAAGAAGAAGGTCCAAATTTTGCTGATGTTTATGGTTGGGTTTTTTGTCACTGTTGTCAGCGCTGTCCGTCTACGATCACTCATCGAGTTTGGCACGACCAGCAACGTCACTCGTAAGTGTGCTTGTAAAACGGGTCAAATCATTTGCTAATACTACGTCCAGAGGACTACGTCGAGGTCGGTTACTGGTCGACAATCGAGGTTCCGGTTGGCATTATCTGTGCATGCATGCCTGCAATTCGATCACTCTTCAGCCAAGTCTTCCCCTCAATGTTCGGCACAACCCGAGGCGATACCAAATCAGGATACACATTCGGACACAGTCAGGGCTATCCGTCGAAGATGACGGGTCCGTCAAGGCTTGCCAGCAACGCAGGTAGCGCGCAGATCAGAGTGAAGCAGGAATGGACAGTAATGAGCAATCCTGCTGAGAACCGAAGTGATGTAGAGTTGAGGTCGTTCGAGCAGCAGATCGCAGGAGCTGACTCGCCTAAGAGAATAACCTTTCATAAGAACAGGCTTGATGAATGGAGTAAGACGGAAAAATCTCCTACGAGGGGCCCAAGGAGACAGGACTCCCGGGATAGTCACGAGACGGTTGTTTAGATACATCAGAACTGCACAAGTGATGGAATTTCATAGACATAAATCACACATAGAATTGAAACCAATTTCACTAGAGTGACAATCTGCCAGCGACTTGCCAGTGAATACACCTGCAACGTTTCGTCGGCATTCTCATCCCATGTTACATTTTGGCACTGCTCCAAATTCTTGATGTGTACTCTGGAATGCACGTACCGTCGGAATGTTGATCAAGGACATGGATTCGCGAACTAGGTCTAGTCTAGAGCATTCCGAAGGGTAACTGTGGTGAGTAATTTAGCGGCCGCATTTGTGGCCCTATCGCGTTCGGGGGCCCATCTCCGGATGTACTATGTACACTCAACTAGACTAGGTTAGTCTAGACGAGGAACATTTATGAGGTCTCATCAAAGTCAAAATTAAGAACGACACAGGCTGGGGGCTTCTAATGACCGCTATACGCATACTATATTGCTTATAATGCATGTGAAAGTCGAAGCTCGTGGCCAAGAAAATAGCGCTTACAGCGGCTAGACCACCAAGTCTGCCCCCTGTAAGTAGCCGTGGCGCATGTCACAAGACACCACAGGAGTCTCTAACCGAACATTTTTCATTGTGTGTTCTATCTATCCAAAATGATGCGTTTTTCCCCGTCCAAAGATGCTATGCCCGATGCTGAGCTGCGTCCACCGTCTAGTTATGCTATGCCTCTTACATGCTTGACTTACATTCAGGGTTGCCCACCATATTCTACCAGAGCTAACCAGCGTATACAAGACTCGTTACAAGCAATAAGCTCATTACAATCTCCCATTTTGTCACACTCCGCATCATTTCACTCGTATTATCCGTACAAAGGAAACCCAAAACATGACTGGTCAATGCAAGAAAGCGTACATGGTATCCTTGCGACAATTCCATGAAATACACCAAACTTTTTGACCGAGAACCCCCCCTTTAAGAAACAAAGGGGGGAAAAAAAGAAAGAAAGAAAGAAAGTAAGAAGAAGAAAAGGAGAAAAAATAGGAAAGAATAAGCCCAAAGGGCCATCACTTGTCAACATCAACCCTGATCACCGGCTTTTAGTGCCTCCCGCGTAGTGACGAAGAGCCCCGCGCCTTTGTCAAAGGGGTTTCGTACGAACACCAAGCCCTGCGACCGGGAGCGATCGTGCTTCTTTGAGCGGGAACCGCTCCTCGATTTGGGCCTGGACTGCAGCTTGTTGACCTGGGCCTGCAAGTCGCGCACCTGGCCAGCAGCTGCGTCACTCACCGCCCGAGCCTGCTCCAGTTGCTGCGTGAGGGCACTCAGCTGTGTGCTGATCGCTTGATGCTGTTGAGTGAGCGCGGGCACCTTGTCTGCTTCCGCCTTGAGCGACTCGATCTCGGCTTTTAGCTTCGTCTCCTCTGCCTTGAGCGCGTCAGCCTGTGCCTCGAGGTCCTTGGTGCGAGCCTCGAGCGTCTCCTTCTCCTCGGTGAGCTTGGTAACGGCTGAGGCATCCTCAAGCTTCTCCTTCAATGCGTCTAGCTCTTCTTTGTCTGCTTTCAACTGCTCTCTCTCAGCTTGGAGTATAGCGTCGCCTTCAGTACGTTTGTCTATATCGGCCTGAAGATTGTTGGTACGTTCTTCCAGCTCCTTGTGCTGTTGGGCGAGCTTGTTGAGTTCCTCGGCCTTGGACTCCAAGTCTGTGATGGTGGCCTTGGTTGAAGCAATATCCGACTCCAGCGCCGTGTTACGATCTTGAAGATCCTTGACCTCACCCTGAGCTGTCGTCAAGCTTGCGCTGACACCGTCGAGCTTATTCTTGATCTGAAGCCTCTCGGAGACGATGACGACGTTGGCGTCCTTGGCACCTTCAAGCTCTGTCTTCAGACCAGCGACAGTGATCTGAAGCTCGGCCTTGTCTGACTCAGCTTGCTTTTCCGCTGCCTCAAGCTTGGATTTCTCGGCTTCGACAAGCTTTTGGCCATTCTGTTTTTCTGCCTCAAGGAGTTCTGCAGCTTTGTCCTTTGTGGCCCGGACCTCCTCCTCAAGCTCTTCCCTAGACTCCTCGAGTTTATCGATCTGTGTCTTAAAGGCTTCAATATCGCCTTTGAGACCTTGAATCTCTTCCTTTAGATTGTCGATCTCCGTATGGAGGCTACCATTCTCTTCCTCTACCTCCTTGACGTGGCCCTCGAGCTTCTCTTGGCCCTCCTCCAGTCCTTTTTTCTCGTCTCTCAAAGTTGTTTGCTCGTCGGTCAAGGTCTTGACCTGCTCCTGCAGCTTCTCTACTTCTGTCTTCAGCGAGTCTCGCTGGGCAGTCAAGTCCTTGTGCTCCTTCATCTGCTCCTGTTGTCCTTCAAGCTCCTTTGTCAAAGAGTCACGCTCGGAGGTGAGAATCTTGATCTCATCTACATAGGAAATATTCTGCTTCACAATATCTGACTTCAACGTGTCGCGCTCCTTGGTGATGTCCTTGATTTCTGCGTCCCGCTCTTGAGTAAGACTCTTGAGCTCCTGCAGTTGTTTGTCCTGGCCGTCAACGTTCTTCTTCAGCGACTCCCGCTCGGCTTCTAAGGCCTTGAGCTGCTTATCCTGCGAACTGATTGTATTGCTCAACGATTTCGAAGAACGCTCCAGCTCGGCCGCCTTGCGTACCAGGATGACCTCCAGTTCTTTGTGCTGTGCCTCTTTTGTCGTCATGTCTCGTTCCAGCTGACCAACTTTTCTGTCCAGGGCATCTCGCGCATCCTTGAGTCCGTCCCTTTCCTTTTCGGCATCTTCTAGCATACCCTTCTGGAGGTTGAAGTTGCTTCGGTACTCATCAAGTTTTGTGCGCTGCTCCTGAAGCTCACGAGCCAAAAGTTCTTTAGCGTTACGTTCGTGGCTGAGAGACTTCTGCAGGTCCTTGGTGTCGTAGACCCGTGCCGACAACTTGTCTGTCGCGTCTACCAGTTCCTTGTTCAGCTGCACCCGGGCATCACGGAGGCTTTCTGCTTCGAGCTCCAGCTCGTCGATCTTGTCTAGCAGGTCCCGTTCGGCCTTGCGGGATACCTGGAGCTCTTGGCTTTGAGAAGATGCCCCCGGAGGGAATATCTGGATGTTGACTTGTCGCTTTTGAGGTGGGGATTTGGCCACCTCGGTTGAAGATGGACGGGTGCGTGGTCTCGCCTTGACCCGAGCCACTGTTGGTGGTGGGACGTGCCGGACATGTTTGATCTGAGTTGATGGCCGACCATCGTCGGTGATAGTCTCATCAGAAGCTACGCTGGTAGCCTGTGTGTTGATGGAAAGGTCTGATATTCCAGATTGAGAGTCAGTCTCGGGATCATAGGCGCTCTCAGGATAGCTATCGTAGCTGTCGTGGTGCCAGCTGTTGTCGTGCCCGTACTGCACTGGCGGGTATGTGGGCGAGTGCTGTATCTGTTCTGGTCTGCCAACACGGTAGAACCGTGCTGCAAGGGGGTCGTGGGCAGTTCTTGTGTTGACAGGCTTTAATATGCCTTTGTTGGGTGCTGGTCTGTCACTCGACCGGCTTGATGTTGTCTCGGTTTCTGAAGTCATTCCTGATTGCTGCCCTGAGCGGTAGTCTTGAAGCTCATACTGGCTTGGGAAGCCACCCGCCATAGCGGCTGGCACTTCTACCCTAGGTCGGCTTGATGCTGCCATTGTGTGACTTTATGTGTCGTCTGCAATCTTCTGGGCTGCCTTGATGATTCCGTTGTGTTGTGGTTGAGTTCTTGATGCTGTGTCCAGTGATGGGATTCTGTAGATGAGTGGTTGTAAGTTGTCGAAGTTGATCATTTCGCTGGGAGGTAGATTGGAGTGTGCGGAAAAGGTTAGACGAAAGCAGTCTTGTTGACGGAAAGTCAGCTGAGTGTGAATGAGGAGCAAGTCAGAGAAGATCGACGGGGTCACGGTATGCGGCTTCGACGCAAGAAGGAAGGGAGACTACAGTATGGTCAAATATGACAGGTTCCAGCGAGGCCCATGGCAGTGTGCACGGTGCAGCGGGAACGGCAGCGGGCTGGCAGGGGTGTTCCATGATGGAGCAATTGCTAACTATTTCCTTCGGCGTCTACTACATGACTCACAAGTGGCGGGGCTTCCAATCGCTATAAAGAACGGTGGTCAAGATTGGCTCTCAGAGTGAGGTTCCCCATATGGCCGGATGTGAATATTGCAGTTCCCCCAATCGGATGGACTAGGGTATATGCCATGCCACGTTAGGCATCGAGACCCAATTCCACCCAATGTTTTTTGATTGGCCACGCTGCAAACATCAGTCGCCACTTTTTGCCAAGTCATCACAAAAGTCATCTATTTTGTCCATTAATACTTTTCCAAGTGGGTCGTGCGTCGTTATTGCAGTTGTTGTTTGAGGCCTAATGACAACGTTAGACATCAGATCCCTGTCCAGACCCCTTCGGTCGTGTATAATTCGTGGGGTAGGTTTCCAATTTTATACACCTTCCATGCCAAACAACAATTGACATATACTGCAGTTATGCTGCGATTCACAAATTAAATTGCTCAATTCCTTTGGACATGATAATCGCGTGGCCTCTCCTGCGCGACATCTTGCTGCAAAGCATGGCAATATTTCCGACCAAAGATTGGCAATTTGTAAGTAAGGTACAAAATGCAACAGCGGCGATGTGACCCAACTTGTCTCAAGGCGTAATTGTGTTGTGCTTGAGCGCAGGCTAGTACAAAAATCGTAGCCCAATGGTGGCTGAGGGTGTGGTTGTGATCGACTGTATTTGTTGATCTGCAATCGCTTGTCGAACACCTCGGGTGGTTGGATGAGGTATAAACGTAAACCAAGCCTCAGGCATTTTCGCTTTACAACCCGAAACCGTATAATTACGTTTTGGCCTGATTAGCTTACTCCTGCAAGAGCAATGCAATGCCTGAATCCAGTCAGCAATTCGATTCAACTCTCTACCGTCGGCCCGATTTTACCAACGGACATGGTGAGATGGATTGTAGGAGCTGGTTCCTCCACATGTTGTAGTACTGAATGTATATAATCGCAATTTGATCGATTATTAAGTTTAATAGGTGCCATGGCGTAGTGCAGAAACGCAGTGGTCTATAAGAAAATGACAATTGTACCATCTCACCAAATAAGCATCGATATGGGAATTGGTGGGAAGCCTGAGTCCCGAGATTGTGATCTGTTAGCTTTTCGACAGAACCTGATACAAATAGATTCCAGAATAAGCACCTGGCGTGGCTCAATCAGAATGAGTACAGACGCCTCATGAGTTTGATTTGCCAGGAAGATCCGACTTGGCTCACCACATCAGACCGGGCGCAATGAACGCCCAGTTGCTTAAGTTCCCGGTCACTTTGTTATCCTCACTCGAACCTACTGCTCCAGCTGACCGCATAATTATAGCTTGGCTGAAGATTGTTGGAGCAAATCGTATCCAGGCATCATCAACAACTGCCTGACCGGTGATGGTAATATTCGGGGGAGGGCCTTGGAGTGATGTCAGAAGTTCATGGCGCAGAGGGCTCACCTCCCAGGTACAGGACAGGCAATTCGAAGAATTCTACCTGTTTGCTTGTTTTTCAGGGAAGCCCATGGTTTGCCACTTTACACCACCACCCTCAGACAATCTTGTAAACCGTGGAAAGCCCAACTGCTCTGGATTCAGAAGATACGAGGAGAATCGCTCAAGGCCCATCCATCATGCCTCAAAGATTCTTGATCTCGCGTCCGTACGGAACAACTTTGCCGTAGCGGATATTTGGAACCACTATTGGTAGGTTTACTGCTGGAATGCTAGGCACTCGTATTCGCTCCCCCTTGGCCGATGCATTGGGTATTCTGGCGGAAAGTGACAGCTTTTCCTGCGAACAAAACAAGTTGGATACATTTGAGTTTTGTCGACAGTATTACTATGTTCATCAGCAGGTTCTTGCCATGCGACTTTGGTCAACAAGTAAGGCAAGCAGATATTGTCGGCATTCGACTTCGAGAGCACAGTTGGCGGCTAAGCACACCAAGTTTAAGTGTAGGTGAGCTCGTCGCAGCGTGCCCTTTTTGTGATCACTCAGTGCGATATAACCTGAACTGACGTCAATGGTGTGTTGTGCAAGTAGTAGTTACAATGATTTAACTTACCCTCAGCACGGTACATGTGCTCCATAGTGATTGGTCCAGTGCTTGCGGCGATTAGGTGGAGCCCCAGCCACATGTGGCCAATGCATCTCCCGCTGGTGGCAGTACTGTGCAGTTCTCACAGTATAAGTTACTGTCATGCTGCGAACTTCGAGGGACTAGTGCACGGTGCCCCATCTTACCTCACCAAGCGGAGACCCCCCAAGCTGCTTCCGAGTCTGAAAAGCTGAGCTAGGCCAACGTCAACGTTAGCATCAACGCGCAGCTCATGTTGCCTGAAGCTTCTACAGTATTGTAAACGTCAAACTCGCAATCCCTCAGCTCACTCACCCTTCCAGCCGTTCAGATAGCCACCGATACGATACGATACCCCCATACCCCCAACCTTCCAGTTCCACACCACACAGCACAGCAGAACTTCTGGGAAACTCGCAATGGTATGCTTGTCTTGAATCACTGGCCATTCTCCAAGCTCGCAGCTAACATCAAGGACCCCCCCTTCGATAGACGTCGATAGGAACAGGTTACGATCTTGCCAACTCCATCTTCTCCCCCGATGGCCGCAACTTCCAAGTCGAATACGCAGTCAAGGCAGTAGAGAATGGCGGTACATCGGTCGGCATCCGAGCCAAGAACGGTGTCGTATTGGCAGTAGAGAAGGTCGTCACATCAAAGCTACTGAAGCCCGGCTCCAACAAGAGAATCGCTACCGTCGACAAGCACCTAGGCGTCGTAAGCACCCGAACGGACAAACTACTCCGCCCAATTTAAGCTGACATGCACTTCCCCCCAGGTCTACTCAGGCATGATTCCCGATGGCAGACACTTCGTAGACAGAGCCCGCGATGAGGCCCGCTCCTGGCGCGACACCTTCAAGACTCCCATCTCAACATCCGATCTCGCTTCCCGCATGGGCGGCTACCTACAAGCATACACACTGTACCAGTCCGTGCGCCCCTTTGGCATCACAGCCATTGTAGGTGGCTTCGATTCGGAGCTCGAGCAACCCGTCGATGGTGAGGTTGGCAGTGGTCCCTCGACCGGCGCCGGTGGCAAGGTGGAAGGCAAGCACGGCGGTCCAGGTCTCTACATGATCGAGCCGAGCGGTCTCTACTGGGGGTACTACGGCGCGGCAACTGGCAAGGGCCGCCAAGCAGCCAAGGCTGAGCTCGAGAAGCTGGACCTGGCTGCCGGTACTCTGGAGCTCGAGGACGCCGTCAAGGAGGCCGCGCGTATCATCTACGTCGCACAACAGGACAACAAGGACAAGGAGTTTGAGCTGGAGATGACCTGGATCAGCAACGCCGATGGCCCCACCAAGGGCAGGCATGAGGAGGTGCCCAAGGAGTTGCAGGAGGAGGCCGAGAGATTAGCAAAGAAGTCCCTCGATGGTGATGACGACGACGAGGACGACAAGAAGGATGATGACAAGATGGAGGAGTAGACAGTCATGACGTGATGAACGAGAATCAGACCTGGCCTTGTGCATTTGTATTATATGGCGATGCATTTCAGGAACTAGGGTTTTTATCTAGACTAACCCCGACCGAAAGTCATGATACTAAGCAGATTCCGTTTCTGACTTGATTTTCTGTGGTCTGCAACCAACGCGCCAGTATTTAGGTACGTGCACTGCCAAGATGCGCATGGTATTAGGGCTCTAGACAGCATATAAGTATGATTCTTTCTTACCGAACGTTAGTTAAGTCATTTGAGGTACGCATGCGAACTGCTATCTCTTCAGCCCACGGACCTGCGCGCTCAAATCCTCCATCGAGTCAAATCAAATTGAGACAAAGGTCACCGGCGTCATTGGGTTCAAGTTTAGGGACGCAATAATCGCCTTCTTTCTCCAAGGCGATCTCTTGTAGGAACAATAACTCGTCCTCGTCCCCATCACCCTCATCACCCTCATCGTGCTCAGGCGTATACTTGTCATTCAAAAAATCTTCTGCCTCTGGTGCAACTTTCTGCTCAAAGAGTGACTCGTTGTCGTCCTCACTGAGCTCACGAGGGTACCGGTGAGGAGTGGAAAACTCATCCTCTGATACCGACTCCTCCGTTGATGCTTCGTTTTCGGTATCATCGAATGCCACATCGAAGTCTCGCTTCCTTCCTGCTCGCACTTCTTTGTCCCATCGATTATATAGACTCTGCTGCACGCCACGCCATATACCCCAAGAGTCGTCCGCCACTTTCTTGTGATCAGTGCGTACTAATTCCCAGGTCGCCTCAACTTGTCTTGCTCTGCTGTCATTCCCCACTATCATCCTGGGCACTTTACAGTAGAAAGGACTGAGATCGAAATGTCGGCCATCGCCCTTACATCGGAGCTTCCTCGTCACAGTGACCGGTTCAAGAACGTGAGGACATGCCTCCCCATGAATTACGTCCCAGCGTTGAGCCTTCCAAGAGTCGGCGCCGCAGCTCACGGTGCGAATCATCAAGTCATCCCACTGCTCGATCCACCATTGGCCTTCTTGGGCTCGTCCGTGGCATAAGTCTTGATCCATAAGACCGAATGTCATATCATTCGACATGGCTTTGTACCACCCCCGCTCGTATTCCAAGCGGTTCTTGGTTGAGACTAAGGCGACTCTGCTCATAGGAGGATGTGTTTCCAGGAGCCGTTGCATAAAGCACAGAATTCTTGCTCGCGCGCTATCCCGGAAGGGATCCGCTCGATTGTGCCGATGGACGTGAAGCAGACCGTAGTGCTCGTACGGTGCCTCGTTACCCTTGAAAACCAGATCGTCGCCGCCATCACCCATCGAGTGCGTGTGTTTGGTCAGGATGGCACGCATGCAGTAATTTGCAAACTCGGGCATCTCGAGGTCCGCCGCTAGATTCCAGAGTCTCTCGGCCGCGTTGCCGCGGTGGAGATCGGTCATCTGCTCGTCCCCCAACTGTCCGGTATAACACCAGGCGACGAGCTTGCAGAAGTCGTCGGCTATTGAGTGACGTTCCTCAACTACCAAGACAGCGAGTTGCTTCTGCTTTCTCAGTTGCTGCCGCACCTCGCGGTCCATAACCCGAGAGAAGCATGCGAACAAGATCATATGGCATGTGACTTCCGTGACAGCAGCCCTCCCGATGTTGGTGATCTGGATTGTAACCATTTGTGCATCATAAGAGATTCTTCCATCATCAGTATATTCCCTGGTTGATGGCATAGCGTTGAGGGACGCGCACTTACAGTATGCTCAAGATTCTGGCATGGTCATCGCAAGCGTTGAGTGACTCGCAGGGTCCATGCCCACTTCAACAGCCACCACAGACGCAATACTTGTTGAGCTCTGCTCGAGACATCGTTGATCACGTTGTTTGGTCAGTCAATCTTGTCGATTTCTGCCGATACATTTTATCCTGTGACTTGCGTGATTTCTGGTGGCTGATCGTTGATGAAAGTGGTTGGAGGAGATGTGTGGTTGAACGGGTTGTACCTGAGTTGCTCTGATAGCGCGAATTGGGAGTACTGTTGGTTTCACAAAATGAGAAAGATACTCCTGGGAAAACGCGGATATATGGCTGTTACCTAGAAGAGGATAAATCAGCTCCGTCTCAAATTGGCAGGTACGAAAAGAACCGCAAACTTCACAGAGATGGGATCGCAATAATGGACTGGAGGTGAGAAGAATTCAAGTTGTTCGGACAGGATGTGTTCACTGAAGCCGTAGCTAACTTCGAAAGACTCGAAGATTCCCCGCATTACTCGGCATCCATCGCAGTTGGTGTGGACTATCTTGATTACACAGCTTTGTGGCGCCCTAAAGAATTAATTACGAAAATCTTCCATTCATTTTCCTCCCGAACTATGAGCATCCAGCTCGCCAGACGATTTTGCTTCTTTTTCTTTCTTTGTCATGATCCATTGAATACATAACCAGGGAGTTGCCCTCGCAACCAGGACAGCAGAGTTTGACCTTTTGGCGGAATCCAGTGCCAATGTTATGGGCTTGCCAGAAACTTGAGCTCTTCCTGAGCCTCTCGTTTTTCTTGCAGGTTACTGAAGTCTCTCACAGTGACTTCCCGGATCGACTTCATCCGAGCTTCAACCTCCTCAAACTCTTTCGCAGTGACGAATTTATTCGCCATGGACTCCAAGGCGAGTTCTTGTCCGCAACATTCTCATCATTCTCCTTTAGTTTGTTACAATCTCTGTAAGTGTAGAACTAGACTTGATAGCTGATCTTCTTCCCAAATTTCTGGGTTTTCTCAAATGACGAACTCGTCCATTATTGTATCCTGTTGCCCTCTTCAGTCTCAACCTACTAGTCTTGTGACGTCTCTGCCCACAATTTATTATGATTTACGTTTGGACAAGCAAACACGTAGTACTTACGGAAGGTGCCTGTGTAAAGAGTCACGCACCAGTCATGCTCATGGTCTGTCTAAATCCTGAGTGTACTAACTGTAAGTGTCCCAGCCATAAGTTACAGCTGCGTAAACCAGCAGTTATCTATTGCCCAACAGCTCTTCAATGATAAGCAGGACCTTTCCTCAAGCACACAGGTTTTATCATAGCGTAAGACGGGTATAAGCTCGGTACGGACAACGCACCTCCAAATTACAAGGACAACGGGCAGTTGGGCTTCCCTCGGAGGTGTCATGTCAACCCTAGCGGTAGGCATATTTTGTTAGAATAGTCACTATACAACAGTTGGCAAACACAGAAATTTCTACATCGCCTACAAAGTTAATCGTTTCGCATGGTCATGTTCGAAATGTGTCTCGTTCTTGAATCTGGCCCGCGCAGCAAGAGGTGGCAGGGTATTTAAACTTTCCAACGGAATGGTGATGACCTTGCGATATGCGCTTATGGAGTACTTTTTGGATCAATATTTGTCTTTCTACTTCTCAGTCATTAATTCTAGAACCGCGGACCAGACAACTCCAATACTAGGACCTGGTTAGCTTGATTTCGTGACAGTCAGCGTTGTAGACATATATCTCTACCAGGTCTGAATATAGAAGAATCCCGAACGCTTTGAGCCTGAAACCCAAACTTGGAGGAACACTTGGAGAACTTGAAATATGCTTGCGGTTGACTAGCTCCCAAAGCCTGGAGATCCACTTTCGAATGGGCTTGCAATATCTACGATAAGCTAATGGGAGCGGGAAATGACTGCTTGCAAGTGGGAGCAAAGTGATAAGATGTCTTATACCTTTAGTGACCTTCGATGGTGGGATTGTAACTACGAGACTAGAAGTACCAGCACCAACGAGCCTCGATCGGTGGCATCATTAAATCATGCAGGTACACAATATCGTGGAGAGACAAATTTGAACTTCGTTGCCACGGGTTCCTCAAGTTGGCTGAGTCTTCCATCTGTGGAATGAAACATTAGATCGAGGACTGGCGGGAGCAGGTTCCAAAGCATGAACGAGGGTCGCTAGCTTTAAGCTGCGAAAAGTGTCTGGAGAGCGAGTGTGAGAACAATGATACCCAGTGAAGACACCCCGCAGAAGAGCAATAATGACAATGTGTCCGATCGGCAACTTGGCCGACCGTGGACCCTTCGGCCTCGGCTACAGGCACGACAGAAGGGAATCGGACCAGAAAATGCAGACCTGCAAACATGTAACTGGAGAATTTGTTTTGTCCGTCTACTGCATTGAGAATGAACTAATTGGTCGAAGTAGTGGATCACCAAGAAATACGAGCATTGAACGAAGAAACGAGGCGCCTATTCAGGGATGTTATGGTTGTTTATTTTCCTCGGGGAAAAAAAAAAAAAGAATAAGCGTTTGCATTTTGCTCCACTATTACCCGCGGCAAGACTGCAAGGGGGATTTCTGAGTATGAAACAATGTTTCAAGTAGATCTGCGGCTCTGCTAGATCATTCGTCCGAAATATGAGCATGTGTGTGGATCAGATTGGAGCGCTCCCCTATACTCAAGCTACACAGCTACCGGTTGAACCACATCATGGGATCTATGAAGACATGGTTGTGCTCTTAAAGTTTAAGCACAGAATTGAAGTAACCCAGCAATCTGGTCGCCAAATTTTAAGTTCGAGTGGAGCACGGCAATGCCAAGCTTATCACATATAGTGTTTAGGCCCTGTCCTTTGGCCCTGGGCGCGTTTCAGGAGGGCCCCTCGCCCTGCTATAGCCAATCGCTCTCCGTCATCATTCCCAATCTGGATGGGGTGGAGTCGCTTAGGTCCTCTGTCTTCGGCTCGACCACCGAAGAGATGAGAGGAGCCTCAATCTATCATTGACGCGCGCAATCTCCAACACCGTCATTAGATTATTCGTGGAAAATGCAGGCTCCTAATATGGTTTGCTGTGGAGCTGACGAGGGCCTCATATAAGATCAAATTCTGCCCACCAGCAAGTCTTGGCTTTGTACGTTGTTGTGTCTTCATTCATTCAGCTTGACTATCTTTCATTGAACCAGGGGTTCTGTTCATTCATTCATTCATTACATTAACTTAAGCGATCTGGTTGTCGCATTACCTTCATTCTCAAAATGTTCCAAAAGCTTCTCGGTCTCTCCTTGGTGGCTGCTGTGTCAGCTCACCAGAACTTCCACCAGTTCTGGGTCAACGATGTCACTCCCGGCTACCAAGCCGGCATCCGAATGCCACCATCCAACAGCCCTGTCACCGATGTCACTAGCGACGACATCTCCTGCAATGTGAACGGCAACGATGTTCCCTCCGCCGTTGACACCATTGCCGCAAACGAAGGCGACAAAATCACCGTCAACTGGGACATTTCCTCCCACCCTGGTCCCATCACTCACTTCCTGTTCGGTCCCGTCGACGATGCCGCTCAGGCTACTGGTATTGGTGCTGGCTGGTTCAAGATTGACGAGAGAGACTACGTTGATGGCGCCTGGGCCAACGAATACCTCTCGGATAACGGGTACGTCCCACTGCCTTTACTCCGAAGACATGATCATGTTCCACATTCTCTCGCCTAGATCAGCAATTGCTAACTTTAATTCTTCGACAGCGGCAACTACACCTTCTCTCTGCCTACTGGCCTGCAGAGTGGTGAATACCTTGTGAGTATTATGGCAATACTCTTTGGCATCAGCTGCTAATGTGATTACAGCTCCGATCCGAGATGTTGGCTCTCCACGGCGCCCAGACTGTTGGTGGCGCTCAGTTCTATATTGGTTGCGCCCAGCTCAAGGTCACTGGAACTGGCTCCGGTTCATGCACACCCAGCATCTCTCTTCCCGGTGCCTACAATGCCGAGGACGACAACATCTACATCCCCAACGTCTACAACGGCTTCGACCCTACCACCTACACCGCGCCCGGTGGTGATGTCGCAGCCTGCGGTGCGGGTGCCTCCACCCCGGCTACTTCTGCCGTAGCATCGTCCGCTGCGGCCACCTCCGTTGCCGCATCCGCTACCAGCGCTGCCTCCTCGGCTGTCGCAACCGCAACCTCATCCTCTGCACCTGTTGCCGCAGCCTCTTCCAGCTCCAGCATTGCCGCCACCTCTGCTACTGTGACCTCTGCCGCCGCATCCACCACCTCCCAGGCCGCAGCAACCACTGTCGCCTCCAGCGCTGCACCCAGCGAGACAGACTCGGCTGATGACGACGAGTCTTGCGATGCCGATGACAGTGACGACGACGACGATGAGGACGAGGACACCTGTGAGCCTGAGGAGACCGAGGTTGCCACTTCTGCCGCACCCACCGTTGTTCCCTCTTCCGCTGCCCCCTCCACCCTGTTGACCCGCACCAGCAGCAAGGCCGCCACTTCTACTTCCGGTTCCAGCTCCGGAATCGCTCTTTATGGGCAATGCGGCGGTGCCTCTTACACTGGCGTTACCACTTGTGCCTCGGGTACTTGCACTGTGTGAGTGATTTCTAATACTATCCGCCTTTTTCCTTCAGATCTTACTCGAGGACGCAATAACTGACTTGGATGTTTTAGCATGAACGACTACTACTCACAGTGCGTTTGAGCTCTGATATACGGTAATAAGAGGCTGGGTTAGGTGATGGGAAGCTCCAGAATATTCTATTGTACATATTTACACTTGTAAAGATATAGCTGGCTTATTGCTGTTTAAATTCAGCATACAGCATTGAGAACAAATCTGCATTCACTGGTCTATCAAACGTGAGCCTTTGATGACCTTAAGCACGCTGTAGGTAAGTTCACGAATTGTCCAAATTTATCTTGAGACGATAGTGTAATTAGTGAAGCGCAAAGTGTCAGCCGCTCCCACAACAAAACTTATCGGCTGTTCTCCTCCCATGGCGCACCAGTACAGGTGAACCCGGTGGGATCAACTACACTATCACACAGGTAATTAGCGGGGGCGGTGTTGTTTACTGTATCGATGATGTCAATCCCCTCGATCTCAACGCCGGTGCAAGGTGCCGCCGCAGAGCACTGGATATCCGCAACAACATCGCTCGTGCAGTCACCTTTCCAGTCTTCGAGCCTGAGGTTGCGAATCTGAAATTCGGACGTTTCGCAGTCGCCACTGGCGTCGTTGTAGTGCGTGCACTGCGTCAGCGCAAAGATTCCCGTCGCATTGTGCAGGGTGAAGTTCGAGAATACCATATTGGCCGCATATCCTAGACCGCCACCACCGCCGTTCGGCGGATATCCACTCTGAATGCCGGTCCACTACAGAGTTGGTAGTCAGTAATCGCTTCTCTGAGATGGTCAGGGAGGCCTTTGAGGGCATTCGCAGCGCCAAATCAACTCTGATGGGCAACATGCACTCCATATTGTGCTGGGAACGATAGAAAATAACTCTAGAGTTGGCTTACTGTCTTGACATACGCGCCGTAACGCATGTTAGTTATCTCGATGTTCCGTGCTGTCACATTCTCGATAAACTCGAACGTGTCCTTGTACTGTCCGATGGATCCGATAGCAACTCCGAGACCTGTGTAGAAATGGCAGTCCTCGATGAGAATGTTGGTGCTGTTGGCCTTCATGGCAATACTGTCGTCACCGTTATCCACGGTCCAACCACGAAATGTGATGTTGTCAGCATAGACAGTATCGGCCCCGTCAGTGTTCAGAGACGAGAAACCAAAGCCAACGGCCTGACTAGTGTCCGTGCTGTTGACGTAGATATCCTCCAGAAGAACATTGCTGCTATGGATCAATGTCATCGTCCACATCTGCGACTGCACGAAGCGCAGACCACTAAAGTAGCTGTTGTGTGTCCCGGTGATAGTAATCTGGTGTGGCCGACCAGGATCTAGGGCATGATCAGAACTATTAGTATCGAGTTTCTAGGAAGAACATACAGTTGTTGGTTCCATTGATGAAGTCATACCACACCTGACCGTTTCCATCAAGTGTACCAATATCATGACCGATCCAGCTGATGTTATCACCCCCAAATAGCCATGCACTCGATTGGTTCTGGTAACCCACGGGCAAAGAATTGCTGAGCCAGTACGGGATATTCTGGTCCCATAGCAGAGTGCCTTGGAGATCGACATCGACGTTAGTGAGGCCAGTCGTGTTCATCACGCTTTTAATATTATATGTCTCATTCTTGAAGAAGACTTTGCCTCGATGGGACTCGTCATTGCGTCCGCAACGCTCGAAAGCGTCGATGATAGCCGGTGCTGAGTCCGTACCATTCGGACCAGGTTCAACAACACACACTCCGGGCTTGGTACATAGCGCGGCCACGGCCGGTGTCAACAACGCTACAGCAAACTGGCGTAGCATTTTGAATGGTGTGCAGGAATTTTCAAGCCCAGATACGTTCTAGATGACCGGCACAAAGGGCTATCTTATGTTTCGGAATGCTGATCCATATATCTCGGTCTCTGTCCGACCGAAGCAACAGGAAACGGCACCAAGATGATATCATTCTGGAGTCCGGTGGAGTACAGACCACAATTTTCTGAGCGGGAAAGCGTTCAATATCGGGAGTGCTATTGAGTCGCAAATAGTCGAGAGCCAGTGAATGTCAGCACAAAATGGTGCTGTTTATCATTCAACGACAAAATTTACTTCAGGTAGTACATCATATAAATCATTCGTGCGAAAATTATAGGTCCGAACAATCCTCAAGAACTCATATACTGTTTGCTTTAGACTCAACAATTCTGCAGTGGGAGAATACTTAGCTGTCGATTTTGATCTCTTCATGGCATCCAACTACCGGCACCGGCTCCGCTCCACAGCGAGTGCGGAGTATGGAGTCTCCAGATCCACCCAATCCATATTACTGACTCGCAATTCAGGGAATAAAGCGGGATTTCCCCCAATGAGATTACCAGATTCGTAAAATCGTGTGAAGATCTTGGTGTTAGGGGAGGAAACCCGAAATGCCGGCCAAGCCGGCAGAGTTGGGTGACAGAAGAATTGGCACGCTGGTCAATAGCTCACTCGGCTGTGCGCCAATGCTTGTCACACCCGCCTGCCGGCATTCCCATACATAGCTGAATAGAAATATTGCTTCGGGTGCTTGTTGAGAAAACTTTCGGATGTTACCGCGTCTCGCGGTACTATCCTCGAAGACTACTACGGAGAAATTAATTTACATGACCCGAGTGCTTAGAAGGATGAAAATAGCAACACTACAACAAGTGGTATATGAGATAATCCGAACCAAGAATTGAAGTTGCGTGACTGTGAAACTCGTATGCTGTTACTGACAATATTAATCTAGCAACAGTTTGTTGTCTGGTTATTGCGGAGTGCGAGCGCGAAAGTAACAGTCGCTTGTCGCGACGACGTTAGAAAAGAAAAAAAATCGCATGAAACTGCAAAAACATACGACACAGGGGATCCCCAGCGTTACCCACCTGAGCATTAATCCAGCGCTCTGACGATATACCTACCTGGTAAGTAAAGGACCAACTTAGCTACAGCCTGTAGCACGATAACGTGCAACCCGCTCACCAGCTAAGGAGTGGGTCTTTACAGCCGTTGAATATAGGCACGTTTGATGTCTCAAGCCAATGATGGATACATATCATGTTGCATCAGTTTCTTCTAGTCTAGCTTAAATCTTGGCTCACTATTGACACATTCAGTAAATTAAAACTAAGAACGTGTCCCTCTATCCCTATCATCTTACGAGGCAAGACCCAGCATTTCCTAAGCACCGTGGATGCTTGACTCTAGCTAGAACGAACTCGTAGTGTCGATATAAACGTACTAACCCTCAGTCTTAGAAGCCTCGTCACAGACCTCACGCAATAAATAGCTACATAATCTGTATATGTTTCTCTAAGCCAGCTATATTTCAAGACTATCCAAACTCAGATGTAGCCACTGAGTGCCTTGAGGAATAGCTTCTTTATGTATGAGCTTAGCTGGTCTTATGAGAATAACAGCCAATTTTGAGAACCTTTATTGTAATCAATTCACATGTGCTTGTTAGACGGGAATGTCTTTTTGAAATATCAAAGTCGTATTTTAAAGCCGCTTAAATATGTGTGTGAAACTTCACCTCCATTCCTAGTTGGCCAAGTCTTTTAGGTAATATAGGGCGCTGTCGTTAGTTAGCTATAGAGGCATTTCGGCCTTACGTAGATAGACGCTCCGCTCCATTAATATACCTACTATTGATCACCATGCATGTTACGTGTCTATCAGGTTCACTCTTTGAGTGCTGACGTGTGCCACCATATATGGGAGAAGTCACATCATGAATGTACCTTCTGTTTATGGGACAAAAAATTCGACATAAGAATAGCTCTATTCAAGCACAAGCTACCTTGTCATCGTAGAAGGTGTGCTACATAATTGACGCTCGTGTTCGGTTATTTACTGATACTGCTGTTGTTTTGACTGACTATTGAATTAATAAAGAATGTAATTGAGCCAGACAAACGCCTTCCGTACTAATATTCTAAATGGTTCTCGAAACTATTACACAAGACGATACACCATCTTGCAATAGCCAGGCCGTGTTTGCCGTTGGTCTAAGCAGTGCGCACGATAACCGTCATTAGACACGGATGCAGTTGAGTTGGCTCACACACTGATAATGATAACCATAGCTTGAACAGTGAGCAGCGCATATAATGATGGGAATGAAAATAGTGATCAATATTTTCTGTATTGATGGTGTTGTTTTCCGCTAAGGATCAGAGCTTATCTCTGACCCTTCGAGGGCTATCTAGATGGGTGAACTGCCTGCGGTATCCATCGTAAAAGCGGGAAGACGGCATTATGATAAATGTAGAGCCACAAGCAGACTATCAAAGAGGTCTCGCTCCACGAATTGCAAGTGAACGGCTTCTTACTACGGTTTTTAATCATTCACGTTATGGTTTCCCTATCCATTATGGAATACCAGCAAAATTCCAGCATGTCAAGTGCCCACACAGTTTGCCGAAGCTGTGATCCAATGGAGAAGTTCCGAATTACAACCACAAACTAATGACCAGGTAGGCATGGCTGGACAAATAAGATCTTCTTAACCTAAAGATGGTGGAGTCATCCGAAAGAGGGAGTTGGCACGAGATAAATTGCGCCAATTACGTGCCTATAGTCTCACAAATTATTGAATAATTTGCTCCACCTCCCCAGTTTCATAATTTTCCTCTCTATACTTGCCTCTAAGCTCTCGAGGCTGGGTGGAGCAACCCCTCAGTGACGAGCCGACACTGTTCTTTTCATACTAAGGCCTATGGTGATACCGATAAGGAGACTGAAACAGCTATTAATGTTCTGTTATTTTAAATAGGCGGCCAAAATTCCCTGGGAAGGGGGACCTGAGGCCTTTTTACATCATCGGCTGCTTTCTACTGACTTGAGTTTGGTGGATGATTCGGTGCTGCATGCGGTGGCCCGAAACAAGTGTGTCCTTCCTCCGCAACACCGTTCAAACCTCTACTTTATCTGTGCCGAGCTAAAGAAACCGAGCCGTGTGCTTTGATTGAACTTCATTTCAATAATCGCGTTAACTAGGTCACTTTCTGAAACCTTTGCATGATTTCAAGGCTAAACGAACGAGGCCAAGGCGTAATACGTGACCTTTACGTTTCCAAGTGTGCCATACATATATATATCGATCTTGGAGGGTGCGCGGGGCTTAAGAGTTAAGTTATGTTCTTACTATGATAGACAATACAACAGGGACGAAATCAAATTTAAATTCTGAACTCATTGCCCTTAAACATTCGTGATGTACTACTAACAGCTATCGACCTGACTCGGTGACTGAATTATGCCAAAGTATACAACAAATCGCTTTATTGCGACTTGCGATGAGCCTGTAGCCAGTTCAACCACTCTGAGAAGATGCTTGTCTGCACCGCAGCGCCGCGTAGTGCCCAATCCTTAAGACTCGAGTAGTACACATCCATCACCTTTTCCACATCGTTAATCGAACTTGCTATTAGCAAACCACTCGAAGAGACGGCACGGGCGAATGCATGTGACTGATCCTTTGGTGCTTCTTGTAAGACTTGCTGCAGTAACTCCAGGGTGCCACCGCTCTTGGTCTTCTGCTTCTTGACAGCATCCGAAAAATCACCAATGACTTTGATCGCTTTGTTGCCGATTTCCTTTGTCGATGTTGTCCGAATTGTCTGCAACAACGGCAGAAGTAGCTCGAATGCGAGTGGGTTTTGAGCTTCTTTTTTGACATACGAGTCCAAGAAGTCCAGAATCCGATGTTTGAAAATGATCATAGTTTCCTTGGCATCCTGGTTCTTCTTCTTCTTGTTGGGTTTCTGTGCCCTTTGCTTGAAGACTTCCGCCAGTTTCTGGTCGAACTCCATCATATCAGAATCCGATAGATCGGAATCATCCGACGAGTCAGCATCCTTGTCCTTGTCCAGACGATGACTACCAAGAATTTCCTCAAGCTTCGCGTCAAGATCAGCATATGCCTGAGTATCACCATCCTCTTCTTCCTCGTTTTCATCATCGCTCTCTCCCTCTGAGTCGGGAGCAGCACCGTTAAGTGTGACGAATTCGACATCAGAGCCAATCTCTGAAACTTCATCCTCATCCTCCTCATCCTCCTCATCCTCATCTTCCTCGTTACCTTCACTGGCATCTGACCCTTCCGCGACATCAAGCATTTCTTCATCCTCGGCGTCGAAGAGCGCCTGCTGACCCTTCAGGTTCTCTTCAGCTGTCAAGGGATCGGTAAGACGTTCCAGCGCATCAGCTGTCATTTGAGACGTGAAAGAACCAAATACTTCTTGAGTAACTTGCCGCATCATCGGAGATGGGCGTGATACAAGAGACAACAAAATTTCGACGAGAAGCGCAGATGCATCACTGTCTGCCTCATTGAGCTTCTCTGAGCATTGTTTTAGATCTGCCAATGTGTTGAGTGCATCCGAGTCTCCGTTGTATAGCTGCAAGATGGTGATAGCATAGAGAAGCGCAAAGCCAAGGGAAGAGCTTGAGCTCTTGGTAGACTTAGAGGATTTGATCAGCTTTTTCAGTGTTTTCGTCGCTGCTTTTCGCTCCGCCTCGATCTCTGCACTCATTTGCACAGCTGTCGCATCGATGGCTAACACGGCATTGCACAAATATTCGTAGTCTTCTTGTCGTTTAGTGAGTTTGGCAAATGCCGACTCGAGACGGTTGCGGAAATAGTCTCTTGTCTTCGTCGATAATTCCGGACTGAACGAATCATCCTTCTTGGAATAGGCACAACTGGTCATTTGGTTGATTGCAGTCTCAAGGATCTTACCCCTTGATTTTGCCTCTCTGGAGTCGCCGCCAGCAAGAGGCTTGTCTGATGTGCAGATCTTGACCAAGTAATCGGCGTATGCGCGTCTCAGCCTCTCAGCCTCTGGCGCATCATCGTCATTGAGCGCTTTAACTGGGTTCCGAAGAAGAGCAAAGATAGCATCAGCATCCTCAACGAATGGCGTTTGAAGAAGCTTCTCGATTGTTTTTGACTTCGTCCTTTGATCAAAATCATATGCCCCGTTCTTGCCGAGAAGTTGAGCTAGAACAGGCAGGAGGAAAGTGGGTTCTACCTCCACGACATCCTCTATGGTCTTGAGCGACTTGTTCGCAGCTAGGTGGAGATAACGATCCTCTTTCGCTGCCTGGTTGATCAAGCACTTCATCAGATTTCTTGAGAACAGCTCTTTGACCAGTGTTGCGTTCTTGATTGCCGCAAGACCTCCTAGGAACTTCTGAAATATCATGAAGCCACGATACTTCTGTTGTTCTGAAGCATTCTTCGAGAATAGCCCATCTGCAATTTGTTAGTACAATGTACAACGTGACGGTTTGTCACAGAACCTACCATCAACAACGGTATTCCAGAAAAGTGTGAATCGCTCAGAATCAATTCCTTTAGCCGTCTCGGTTTGTGCGGTGAAATATGCCAAAATAATATCCCAGACGAAGTGAAGCTGCGAATTCCAGCTACTTGTTGCAACCTTTGACTTCGGGACGTCTTTGTCGCCGGTGTCCTGCTTCACGTTTTCCTTCAGGACATTGGCCAATTCAGGTATACTCTTTGTCGCCAATGGATCGGCCCAGGGCTTGCTAGGCACCTTAAGCTTCGGATAAATTCGTGCAACCTGAATCCAAATACCCACACCTTCCGCTGTTTTGCCCCATCCAGCGTCGGCCAACTTCTTTAGCAGTTCTCCAGCCCTTTCCTGGCCCATTTGCGGCAAAGCTTGGACAATCACCCACGCGGTGTGTGATTTCATCCACACCTTCTTGTCAGCTAGTTTCAGTAGCAGATCTAGGACAGTTTGCCATCTCGAGTTGTCTTCGCCAAAGAGGATTTTCGCCTCAACAAAAGACTTGAGTCCGAAGAGCTGCCCAAAATAGTGATCGCGCTCCTCTGGACCTGAAATACCACCACTTGGTTGGGTTTTCTCCAGCAAAATGCTCAAGACGTTGTCGAATGTTAAACCGGGATACTTGGATTCAGCAAGCTTCTCTTTGCCGAAGAGCTGGCCGAGGATTTCAGTCAGGACGAGACTATAGCCAATCCTGGCGGCGTTTCGGGAACTGGCAAGCCCACGAAAGAGACGATATTCCAGATGCCTTTTCAAAGCGGGCTCTTCGCTGCTTAGTAGGCCGGTAATGGCTGCGTCAGCGGCCGCAATATGTTCCGTGCTATCGAAACTTCCGAGAAGGTCGTAAATTCTGGCCTCCCGCTTGCGGTTCTCAACATCCAGCTTCTCGGGAAAAGCTGACTTGTCGAGTTCTAGGTCTTGAGGTGCAACAACAGCCACAACGTCGCCATTCTTAGCTTTCTTGCGCGACGGCTGATTACCGCTAATGTTGGCTTTAGCACCGCGCTTTCTTTTTCCGCCCATGTTGAGAATTAATTGGCGATGTTGTAGTTCGTTGTGTTCACTTATGGCCTTCTGGTGCTTCAACTTTTTTTCGAGATTCATGGGTACTGCCGCCAATCACCGCTCGGCAGAAATCGAAAAGTGGTTAGCAGGGTGGGGCTCGTGGACGTGCATTGCCTGATGCTAGCTGAGTTAGGTGCAAGCTCATGGCTAGTCTAGCGGCTCCAAACCTCGCTATGGACCCATACCACATATTAGTATTGAGCTCCCTACATTGTTATTAGTCTAGATCGATTAAGCCGGCCATTGTATGAGTAACACCGTAGAATCGAATAGTCGCTTTTGCAACGAACCCTCGGAAGCCTAGCTGATATCACACACCCGTTACTTTCCTTGAACAGCGGGAGAAATTACATGTAGCTTCTATGGTTCAGTTGTTTCCGTGAGGAACAACTGACCCGGATTCACTGTGCCTTGGTCGGCTCGGTAATCACTTCGTTATTCCCTTCTCGAGCTAGCTTTGCATCATACTTAAATTTCATGGAAACAGAAATCCCGGATTAGATTGGAGACGATCAGTGCGATTTTGCTTTAATCCGCACTTGGGTACCGGTAGTCCGACCCTGTGATAAGCATATTCGCTTGAGCTACTACCGGGGTTGGGTCACTTGTTCTCATGCAGGTCTTAAGTTTGGGCTCAGATCAAATAACATAATTGTGCCTTATTGTTCTAGAAACAACCTTATATGTGACAAGCGGTTGAGCCTCATGAAACCGTCTCCCCCCCACCCCCCATAGCCAGTGTCTAGGGTCATGAGTAGCTTAATCGTACCAAAGTAGATTTCGCCTGCGATTACTTTTGATTTCGCCGGAATACCTGGATCAGTAGCATTAGGTACCTACACGTTGCCATGGCTTGCTTGGCCAGTGTTATTTAGGGAGTATTTCCCGAAACAGGCAATAAGCTATGCGCCTATCGCCGATGATAAAACTCAAATTGTTTGCCAACCTCTGTCTACAACATGTCGAAATTCAAAGCTATAGATGGAAGAGGTGGGAATTCTATTAAGCGTTGATTACTGCCAGAGCAGTTGTGGAAGTGTGTAACATAATTGCCACTGCAAAACTGTTATAATATAAGTCAGTATTGCCCCTTACTGACTGGGTGAGGCATTACAATGGCTGACAAAACTAGCTCAAGTTCGGAATTCACCATAGTGAATACCTAGTAGTGATCCGGACCTTCTTCGACAGTCATGATGGAACCACGTCTCTGCTCAATCAGAGTTTAATGTCAGGCACGCTCCAAGTCTCGGCCGCTACCCCTTTGAAGACCCCGTCAACCTTGTTACAACAATAAGTACAAATAACATTAACTTCCGGCTCAACGTTCGCCACTTCTAGTAAGCGTTAGTCTTTCTAGAAATAAGATTGAGTAATGAGGCACATCTTGCTCTCTCCTCACTTCGGTTCATGGTTACTGCAGTCATGCTAGAAATGGCAATATAATGTATGGACAAGGCTCAAAGCAGACAAGCTTAGCCTTCAGCGTTGAACTTGCTGCTGCAATATAACCGCTTTCGGTACATACGGGCTATCATTGTGCACAAGCAAGATTCAAAACCCTGACTAAGTGTCAAATCCGTAATCATAATCACCTAAGACCTCATTCAATTCCTACAATTTAACAACACTAAGCTTCACTTAACTAACTTGTATTCATTCAGTATCCGATAAGAACTAGAAGCAGTATATCCAACAGTCTTCCGAAGGTATTGCAAAACCGAAATGCGCAACATGTGCTCACCCGAGAGCAACCCACGGGCGTGCCGCGTGCTTCAATCGCTTGCTTCAAAAGGAGGTAATATTATAACGAATACCATAGGTAGAAGTGAATCGCTACAGCACGTTATTCGATCTACATTGTTCGAAAAGGTTAATTCCATGTCTCACTCGTCTAGAGATCTCAACCTTATTTGACGCGAACACGACGCGTGCCACATATAATACCCTGAAGAGCAGGCAATACATGGCTAACGAGTCCTTCAACGACACAGGATAAAATTACGTTTTAATTCAGCTTACAACACCAATCATCCCGGGTAAGCACTCGCTCAACTGGTAATTTCACTCCTAGCGACTCAAACTTTTAATGCGCGGACAGGAGGATCCCGCATCCAGTGGCAGATGTGGCCATGAACAAACGCATCATCATTCAAGTAGACCCAAAATATAAGTGGCAGACAGAGATTTGGTTATAGACGCGTGGAAAGGGCTGTTTTAGTTCAAGTCTTTCTTACACGCGAGCGCAAGCGAAAGCGAAACGAAGATATTCCACAACCGCGGACACCGAAATACGATACGTGCTGATTGTAAAAGCCGCTTGAGGAAAGAGGGTAGGAAGCAAAGAAAGAAAGAAAGAAAGAAAGAAAGAAAGAAAGAAAGAAAGAAAGAAAGAAAGAAAGAAACCTCCGTCGTCAATATGCGTTGTAGGGCCTGCGAACAGGTGGTCTATTGGACAGTGGAGCATTACCTGTCCTTCGTTCGATATATTGCCACTTCGCGATGGTTCCTTGCAAGCCGGCCACAACAGGTCCAGACCCATGCATACAGGCTCGTGAGAACCCTGTTTTAATTAATATTATATACGGCTGCAATGATCGTGATTGAACTGAAAGCGGACAGATAGGGCTGTGTTGCCCAGCGGGCAAGATCAATACATATTTTCACCGGATGCTTGTCTCTGCACAGCCGACCTTTAGTTCCACCAAGCGATCCAGGGTCGCCGGTATCTGCCGTCACTAGAATACGTATTGTACGCTGTGAATCCTAAGGAGTGATCGTGAGTTCCAAAGAACATTGAGTTCTTTAGAGGACAGCCAGTTTGCATGATTGCAATGTCACCCAAGCTTTTTGGCCAATAGAAAGATATGCTCTGCTTAGCGCACCAAAACCAGCTCGATGATTCGAACAATGCTGATCCCGAAATAGCAGTGGATTCGTACAAGCACGCTGACGACTTGTGAGAATGTGCAATCGACAGGAATGTGCCGGTACTATCCAAAGACAAGCAAACTTCTCTACTCCAGTACGCAGCCTTGTCCGCTCCTGAAACCGGTTGTTTGCCAAAACTACTGGACAGTGCGCCATGGAGCTTGGTTTTTGTCAACGTCTCCGTAGCGGTTGTTTGAGGACGCCCGGTTTAAGCCGAGGGCTAGTTTTATATGTATATTCGTCCTCCCACCGTGACGACCATGGTCTTCGGACCAGGTCAGCAAGTTGTATATGCACTATAATCAAAAGTGAGCAGCTAATATGTAATTGTATTGGAACCCATCCTTCTGCCAGGGTCCAAAGCCCGCGTTGCTTCGTCTAAATATTTCGCTGATGTGAGACGCATGCTGTGGGTATGATAAGGTTAGCCGAGAGCTGCATGGCCAAGCAAGAAAAGCTCGATAGCCCACCAGGGCTTAGCACGCACGTATCCCGTGATCTCGCGACTTGACTAGGGTAGCTGCAGCGCTCAAAGCTCAATGTTTACAGTTCCACGCGTACTTGGGTTTGTTTACTCAGGAGGCAGATAATGTTCTTACCCCTCATTAGCCGCTTTTCAGCTGCAGGACGAAGGAGCTTCCCCATGAACGGTGCCTCCATGCAACATGCTGTTAGGCCCTTGCGCTTATCAAACGAAGACATGCAGGAGCTAGCGTTTTCGTCACAATCCAGGTTTGCGAATGGCTCGGACGGCTTGTGTCCTGTCAGCTTGGATCGGGTCAATTGGAACACATGAGGCAAGCCATTAACATGCAAGAAATCGCATTATTGAAGACGCCGTTGCCGCTGTCATTGAAGTATGCGGCGTAGCCTGGGAGAAATCAGGCCGAGAGGGGAAATCCAGGGTGTGCATCAGCCCAGCTGAACACGCGCCGATTCACCCTCCGGGTGCGCCGCACCGGCGAGAGTAGATCTGACTTTCTTGCGACAGCGGTTCATTGCAGAGCTTGGGTTTCTCATTGGTTGTTTCCCGGATCTCATCTGATCTTTCTCTTGCTTCTTCCTCATGCAGGTCATCTGTGTGCATTGATTGGAGCGCCGAAGAGGCGGTCAGATTCGACCTGAGACAGCTATCAAAGGTGAAGCTCTTCAGAGCCCAAACAGCAACAAGTATTTCCACAAAAAGTAAACAAAGTTTATGCTAGTAAACAACGCAAACGTAAGAAATCTCGAATCCGATATCTCGATGTGAGAACTGCCACCTGCTGAATACATGCTATTTCGCCAGCTCCTGCAAAGAGGATCCTGTCGGAAGATCTTTCAATTGCCCAAGAGTCAATCTGGACTGGTTACCCATCTTTACGGGGCAATGACAGTAGAGTATGCTCTCGCGACCATGGTATGGACGAGCCAAACATTCCACTTCAATCGCATAGCGATGGGATCGAGACTGTTAAACTCAGCAATGACGTCGGTTCATGGTTCGGGAGATCGAAGCTTTGGTTGGAGCATCGAACCTTCTCACAACCCTCCACATTGGCTCTTTAGAACTAAGTTTTGGTGGCCGTATTCCGTAGAGAGCTTCCAGAACAGCACTGGCTCTTTGTTGGTCGTTGCACAACAACGTTGAGACTTGGTGTGAGGCTGATGTCCACATAGGCTCATACACACAGCCCACTGTTTTATCCATTTTGATTGTGCTTAACCCTCGCAACTATTGCGACAGGGTATTCAAAGATACTTACAGATTTCCTTCTGATGAGGCTCGGGTGTCGCTGCTGGCACCTGCTGCCATTAGATTCAATAGACAAATTTGCGTAATGGATACACGCGCTTGTTTCTTCCAATCATAGATAGACACGCCATCTTGAGGCTCTGTGTTATCCGCCATTGCAAGATTGCACAATGCACAAGGCACTATTCTTTTTCTCCTGTTCTTTCAAAACAAACCATCCAGGGCAAACACGACGATTGCTAATATTGTGGGATACATTATGGTAGTCCCGCCGTGGCAGAAAGCACAGCTAGTTTTGGGTGCTACTGAACGGGACTTGCGGGCGCACGGCAATGCAACCACTCTGAGATGCCGTAGAACTGGAACTGTTGGTCATGGTAACCACAAGTAAGCAGCAACGGCGCGTCTCGGAATGAGTGAGATTTCTGTCGTTTCTCTCAGCTGGCGCGGCTCTCCGCAGCTATCGCAACCTATCATATGAACAGCAAGGAAGCGGGGGCACCGCTAGCATCGTCATGCATGATCCCATCCCACCTGCAATAGCTGCCGGGGTGATGCTTATTCACAGGGCAACCAAGAGCAAGTTGCTCGCTCGGTTGAGCTCGACTGAGAATCGAGATGCTCATTACTCCGAAACAGCTCCGCGCCGTATAGAGCTTGTTACTAGTGCTTAACGCATTTCGAAGGAATGTTTCCCCAGTTTCGAAACCGAAGCCCATAGGGAACTCTCGTCTCAAGAGATCGAGGTAGCATGCGGAGCGACGATGAAGCACGGCAGTTTGCTAATTGTCATAGCTCCTCCAAATGTCCCCGCAACCCAGCAAGCCACTGGGTGCGCGAGGTTGCGACTTGTAATTTGCGAAAGAGCTCTGGACCAGTCCGAGACCCTGAATTTGTTGGTGACTGTATCGCAGGACGTGCGCAAGACAAAGAGCAATTGCGTTTGAACACGTGCATGATGGATGTTTTTGTCTGGAGAATAAACGCTATAAATCTGCCTGTTCTTGAAGAACATCACTTTGTGGGACAGGCAGGCAGGTCTAACCTTCCATTGCAGCAGCGTTAATGTGTGAGCCGAAGCCGCAGATGGTTTTGATCAGCCGTTGCTGCAAACGTGAAAATACATACTATGTAGTCTCGTCAAGGCGCCAGAGGTCATTGGTTGGATGTACAACTCTTGGCATTTCCCATGGCGCTTGGAAGTGTGTTGTATTCTTCATCTAGCCAGCGTGCTGCAGTCGGATACCCGAATTAAGGGCTTTGCGCGATATCTCAACACACACATTTGCTGACCCAAGCTTTCTGACAAGTTGAGTGAATCGCTTGCGGAAGGGCTATTCTCAGTCGAGGTCTCAGGTGCTGAACTCTCGCTGGCGCTAGGATACAGCTGGGATGCCAGACGGACGGCCCAGAAGCGACTGGGGTCTTTCCAGAAGAGGAAGACATGGATATCTTAAGCATGCCCTCAGAGGCTCAATAGCTTTGCGATCGGCCGACATTGATGCTTTGTTCGGAGCGTGCATAAGCACATACCTCTCCTAGCAAGACCAGGAGATCAAAAGGTACAATGAAGTGGAAGTAAAAAGTATCAATGGGCATAAGTGTATGCCCCTTGCTGAACCATGGCCGTGGTTCAGGTTAATGCAGGGCACAACAGAACCAATGCCGAGTCGATGGTTGAAGATGGGCAAACGTTGAACTCAGTCGGAAGCCCAATTTCTAAATCTGGACACAATAGTGAGTACTGCCAATTTAACATTTACAACACTGTTGCTGCTGATCTAATTCTGATCATCTTTGGAATGGTACATTTTCATAAGAAGTGTTGCTAATTTTACAACCTAAAGCTTGGGGCCTCGGTGATTATGTTCCTGCTTTCTTTGAAGGAGGACCCGAAAGACTTGACCGTGGGCCTCCGTCTTAGCGATCGAGCTGCTCCCAAAGTTTGAATTTCGAAAGGATCTTGTTGAGAATAACCCACAATGAGGCTCGATGACAACAGACCAGCATAACTCGGCGAGTGCAAGTCGCTTGCATTTGATTGTTGACACGATTGGGATATGTGCTGCCCGCTAAGATGGGCTTGTGCAGCTGTGACCCCGGGATGCACTGATGCAGAACATGGAGTAGAACATACATAAGTTTGGTTCCTTGAAAATTGGAGCAGTCAGCCCCAGCGAGTCACTGTGAGCCTTGGTTCTAGCGTGTCTAGGTATGGGGACGCCCTCTGAACAGAGGACCCCGGGGGCACCCTCGGGGCACAAAGGATGGCCTAGGGATCCCCTCTGGGCATTCTCCAGCTGTGGTGGTAGCGAAATACAGGTTTTGTCCGCCTGGAAGTTAGCGAATATGATGTAACCAGCGTGCGAGAAACCCCACTAGTGTTGGACGCTGTGCACTATGCCTAGCGCTTAGCATGGCCCCAAAGCAAGCTGTGGACGCAATAACCCCTGTAACAGACAGCGGTTGAAGACACGCTAAAAGCTGTAGGTCACATCCTAGTTGCAGCGAGCCAGGGACAACCATCCCACACCAAATTGCCCATGACAACGCCAGCAGCTGGGCCCAGCGGGTTTCTGGGTTTCTAGTTGCAGGCGTAGTTGCAGGCGTGCACACCCTCACCTTGGGTCGCCGAACAAAAGGCACCTTCACCCACCAATTCGAGGACTGCTTCCTTCCTGCTCTCTATCCGGCCTTGAAGTACCCGACACTTCATCCCATTGCCGTAGTCGTTTTCCTCCGACAACCAGCACACGTTCACCGGTGCAGTAGCGTGTCTGACACCAGACTACAGGAGAGCGAACGAGCAGATCCCCCTCGGGCAATTGAAAGAGTCGAGTCTTCGTATAAGTGCAGTGTCCGGGTTACCGAATGCGGGCGACGTGCTGGGACTTGAGCTCTGATCATTGGACGCAACCAGCTGAGCTACTCTGTGGTGTTCCATGTGGGAAAGCGACTCAGAAGACTTACAACGACCGCTATTACTCGGCTCCCTGTACTACTGCAGTACCGTACCTTAGGACCACACCACGCTGGAGCACCGCTACCACTTACAAGGCCGACCCTGACCTTGAACGAGAATCCTCGCCATCCTCGGACGAATTGACTTGACTCGCAACTTCCCTTTGCACAAAAAACAAGGGAATAAAGCAGTCTTATAACTTGGCCATTCATTAATTAATCAAACCACCCCTAGCTAATTGCAACTATTTGCATAATCAAAACCAAATAGTTGCGTTAATCCTCTTTTTCGTGGCCGACCACCCCGCGGCACTGCAAAAACCTCCGTCCGGTTGCCCTCCACCACCAAAGCGTCGTCGTTACTTGGTCAACTGCACGATCCCTTTTGAAACGGCCCCGTCACCAGTTTTCAAATTTTCACCTCGACCTTTGACTCGCGGATCTGTTAACTCAGTATCTGCTTGAACACAAGGGTCTCTCTGAATTCAACACTTCTGTTGGTCGGCTTGGAAAGACAAAAGGTTGCAACGTCGCCTCCCATCAAGAGATAGAGAAGAGAGAGCCAAAGAAGGACAGAAGAAAACAGAAAGAGCACTGCCGGTTGCTGGATCACTTCAGTCCTCGATATAACACCCTCGACAAGCAGGAAGCATCCATTGATTGTGACGACGTACTACCCACCACCTGTACTTAGATACATGATCGACTGCTTCCCCCAACAGGCATTTGAGAAGTACGGTTATCATCATATAACCTCCCGAGATTTCTAGAGTTTCCAGTCCCTCCATCCATTCAACGAGATCTGTACACTCCAATCGCCTAGAAAGCACCCTCGCCATGGACGCTTCCTCACCCCTTGCTGCCATGCACCCGGCACCTCCCCCTACATGGGGCTCAACTGCTGACATATATCGATCGCATGCTCAATTCAGTGCTAGCAAATCGTTCGGGTCAGGTACCTTCAATATCCGCGAGCAGCTGCAGAGATCGAAACCGGGCTACTTCGACGTCAAGTCCGTCCGTGGCTGCTCCCCTACTGCCAGTCTTGCTGCAGACCTGTCCCAGAACTTCAGGATAGACAATGAAGCTAGGTGAGTCTCTACATACATGAAAACCCCCGTCTTATGCCTGTTCATACTGACTTACACGAACCATTCAGCCCACGGTTCCCGACTCCTCGTCGAGCCCTCTTCACCTCAAACATGCTAGGAAACATGGATAGCCGAGGTAGGATCAAGTCACTTACCACTAGGGAAGATCTTGGAGAACTGACTCGAACCTGGAACAGACTATGTCACGACGCCTCCCCTGCCGGCATCCTCTTCACCCGTACCCGTGGACGTCGGCGACATGATGGACATTTCTCCATTGCCTCACAAGGAACCGTTCAATGGTTTCATTGAGATCACTTCTCCAACACCAGGCGAGCTTCCTCAAGACGACGACGACGACGACGATGACGACTCTATGATGCTGGAATCTCCTGTTGCCATGGTGCGCCAACAGTCTCTCGAGCCCCCAAGACCTGACAGCCGGAGACGTGTCGGGCTTCGCCGGCCTTCTTTGACTCGCACAAAGGGGTATTCGACTAATTCGCTGGCAAACCGGCTACATCCCGAAGCCCAGTTTCCCAACTTTAGGTTCGGCTCCGAGTCTCGCCTTAGCACTGCCTCGGCGTTATCCCTGGGCGAATGCTTTGCAGACTCTCCTCCGCAGGAGAAGAGGCCTCAGAGTGCCAACAGCCCCTCGTCGAATGGCCCTGGGTCCTTCCGTCCTAAGCCTCAGTTTGCCAGTCTTAGTGGTAGAAGAGAGCTTGGCGGCAGTTCTCCCATCAACGCCCATACCCGACGGCCCTCAAATCCCTTCCAGCGCCCACGTCGTCAATATAGACGATCATTGAGCATGTTCGAGAACCCTGTCGAAGTTGTCAGAGCCAAGACAGCCGATCCTGTCCCCCAAAGCGGTCTCCAGGCTGTCATGGACATTGAGGATGTCCATGAACCCATCCTCCCTCATTTCTTGCCTGAAGGTGAGAATGATACTATTCCTCGTATCTCGCAGGAGACCTTCTTGGACGTTTTGAACGGCAAGTTTGAGGAACAGTATACTCAGCGTATTGTTATTGACTGTCGCTTTGAGTACGAGTACGATGGAGGCCATATTGACGGCGCAATCAATTACAACGACAAGGAGCTCCTGGCACGCCATCTGTTTGACACTCCAATGGATGGCAAAGTCTTGCTGATATTCCACTGCGAGTACTCGGTACACCGCGCGCCCATGATGGCTCGACACGTACGCTCGCAAGATAGAACTGTCAATGCAGAGTTCTACCCCAAGCTGACTTATCCTGATGTCTACATCGTGGACGGTGGGTACAGTGAGTTCTTCACACAGTATCCTGGTAGATGCTACCCTCAATCATACGTGGAAATGAATGATCAGGAGCACATTGCCACCTGTGAGCGCGAAATGGGTAAGCTTCAACAAAAGCGGAAGGGCCTGAACCGAGCAAAGACTTTTGCGTTTGGTGCACGTGAATCCATGGTTGATGCTTCCCCAACTGCCCCGTGCAGAAACAGCTTGCAAGAGTCTCCCGTCTTGATGATCGGCAATTCGCCGATCCTTGGCGCCGATCGATCGCAGACGCGTCGAATGGCGTCGTACTGATTGCTGCTTCAGACTCAAATCGGTTGAAGATTGTCTTCCTGACTACTGAGGTAGTCAGTGCATCACACCCTGCTAATCCTTGGTGCGCTCACACCTGTGAAAATCTGCCCTATCCGGCTTGCAAGTTTTGCACTTTTACATCTAATTATACCCAACTTCTCCGGCATTAGACGGTCGCATTGGCATAGCATCTGATCAACTACATTGCTTAGAGCTTCGTTGGATCCGGCATCTGATTTATCTGCTCGCTGGCGCCATCAGTTCATTCTTCTCTATTCCAAGGCATGCCGACCTTTTCTTTCACTTCGGCCTTTTTCTTTTTGTTAATTTATTTTTACACTGGAACACCATATTTGATGTGGATCGGGCCACTGACCTACACCCAAACACTCCTCTCGCCATGAGAGATACGCATGGACTTTTTCCTGCTGCGGAAAACCATATTACGATATCGACGACTGTGGGCCACCGACCCAATGGCTCACTCACAATGAAGACTATATGTACGAACATACTCATCGGACGATTCCACCGATGCCATTCCTACCAACAACACGAATTTCCTTGTATCTGACATACTACCACCCCCCCCCCCAAACAAAAAATACTCCACGAGACTGAACTCTAAACATCGCTTTTCCATACGGAACTTGTTGCTTTTCCTTTGGAGTTACCTTGGCTACCGCTGTAGGAGACAGAAAACAGCAAAGTGAGAAAGAGCTCAATCGAGAGAATGCATTTCACCACAACAGAAGCGACTTTGCAACAGACCCACATCAATACGTGGGATTCATAAATGGAGATTACTGGAGGATGAAAACAATCACCAATAGAGCTCCGTCTTTGTGACAAAAATTCACAGGAGCATGCTGAAGTGCTATAGGGGTTGTTTTTGTTTTTCCCATGTCACACATACTCTCTTTTTGAGAAGTCTGTTCCAGGTGAGGGAAGAAGACATTCGTTTGTTCCTTCTGTCCTGCTGCCATTTTATACATTGATTTATTACCTCGTCTCCTCTACATACCGATTGGAGACTGGGACCACTGGCAGGCCTGAGGCTTTCATGCCATTATGCATCAAGGCATTTCTCCAAAGGCAATAGGACGATCAAAATGCGCCCCGGCCTAGCTGACTAGTACCTAGAAAGTGTAACTAGTTAGTAACGAGAATGCTGACTCTAAACAAACCCTTGATGTGTTCTTTGTGTGCCCAGTCTCACGTCTCAGCTTTTGATCATGCACATAGCCCTGCGCTTGTTCGCATAGTAATTTTTATTGTAGTTTTGGTTCACTGACGTTAGCTAGGCAGATGACAAGCACTCCAAGCGTAGAAGGCCTTGTCCAGATGAGGATGAGATATGCCAACTCCCACGTTACTGATCGCGGCCAGTAGCTACACCCCGGTAAGTGAACAATGCTACCAGCTGGCTCCAGCACCGTTGCAATGCCTGCACCCAGTATGAACCTGCCAGAGACAGCTTCGTGCACAATGGACCTCCAAAGTAACAGCACAAAGCTTCCTAGCATGACAACAAGTGTCGCTGCCAGCGTGTGGGTGCATATGTACATCCTCTCCTAGGCTGTACCACATTCAAGAGCAGAAAGGTGGCCGCTACTGGTGGCGGCTATATTATTAGTTGCCGCCGCGACGTCACAACGAAGCAAGCCCCGATAGCTTATTAAGTGGAGTGACCAACGGGACCGTCCTGATCTGCGGGGCCGAGTCCCCCCGGGTTGATGGTAGCGGGACTTGCACGGCGAGCTGGAGAAGCTAGTTGCTTGGTGGCCCCCACGACAGTGTATTGCTTCATGACTGGATCATATCGCTTGTTTCAATCTCAGCCATACTTAGTCTAGGAGTTGACTACACTCGAGTTTCGATGTTGAGGTTGATGCAGGAAACCAGAGCTTGTGATTGGGTAAATCTGGCGGAGCCAGGCTATAGTCAGCTCCAATGACGCAACATGCGTCAAAAATCGCGCAACCACCTATTGATTGCGCCTTCCGGGCGTGTAGTATATCAATGGGTTACATGGTTGGTTACCATTAAAATATTACCTGAACTCCAAAGACGATTTACTTCTTCCAAGTCGAGGATTGTATCGTCTTTACGAGCTCGAAAGGAGACTGCTTCTAGGAAATACGCTATCCCTGGGGAATGCATACTGAAAACTTGATTTTCGATTAAGGCTACCCATTGAGCACGGCGTGACTTGTTCCTTTATCGTGCAATGTGCCTTCGATGCACTGGCTAGGCTCTGTGACATATACACCATAGTCGTAAGTCGAGGGGACGCTATGTGGCATGGCTCCGTAAGTATGATGTATTGGTGTCTGTATACGCTCACGTTCATGGCTATTGATCTTAGGCGTACGAAAATTTTACTTCCGCGAATTTCAGTAGCAGGATAATGTAATCGCTGTCCAGGCGCATCGGATGTCTCCGAGGCGCTGACGTTGAGCTAGCAGAAAACCCCGAATGCACAAGCACTTGTGATTATTCCTTGTCATTACGTGGCAAAATACCGGGTGGCAGCTGTCCAAGTCTATTAGCGGGCTCAACGCTCATGTATTGCATGTGTGGTTTTGGGATCTAGAGGTTGACCATGTCAATAGATCCTTGCCGACTCTCGATTAGAATCCGGATTGTGTAAATGGCGGTGCCAGTGTTACAAAGTGTGAAGTGATTACTGGCATCAATATATAAAGTGTGTGCCCATTATATATCTTTACTATCGTTCCTTTGGGTGTGCTATCATCTAAAAGCCTAAGGGTTCTGTAAGTTTTGGTCTTTGACGGAGGACCTCGTGTTGCGTGAAAAGCAATAAGCACTTCGCACGCTGAGCTGCCCACACCTCAGACTTATTTTGAGTGGCTCAACAAGTTTACAAAATATGCATTGATGTCGGAAATATCCGGGATAAGAGACCGAAAATCCAGCCAGCTTATCATTATATACCCAACAGATTAAGCTGATGCAGTCCTTCAGTACTATTCAGAGATAAAGCTCCATTTTTGTCGAGCTGAATATCTTGCCTGTGTCACCTCCGCTTTCAGTATGCGTCTTCAACCATTTTAAGTTTCTCTGACATCACAATACGTCGCTGGCGTAAGGCTAGAGAAGAAGAGATAAGCAATGGTTCCGAGATAGCAAATGCAGAAGAATAATACCATCTGTATTACTGACCAAAGCCGCCCGGACCTAGAGCCATGGTTGTGTTTATACGACGATGAGGCCATACGCTTCTCTCCCCCATGAGTTCCGATCTCTTTTGAGGGTCTGTGGCACTCCAATGTGTCATGTTGCCTTCCAGGTGAGTTTATGTAAACGTTTGCACCATGAAGCTCCGTTGGGCATGGCACATCTCCTCGTGGCAAGAACCGCTCCCATTATCGTCATCAACCTGCACGATCTGTGGAATATGTCTGTTTAGGCAATCGAGTGGCTATGGGGTCCATACAAGCATAGCAAAGTCCATGACAAAGAGTCGAAAGAACTAATCTGGAAAATATCACTTCACAGAGGCACATTTGATCACTCACATTGATTTTACCTTGGCCAACAGGCGGATGCGTAAGCTTTGGGGCCGCAAGACCCTCACGAGTACAGGCTTTTGTATTTAAATACTCTGCATGATCCCAAAACATGTAACTATAGCCTCAGGATCTGGCCTGGGCGGCCAGGAAGCTTATCCATGGGCCGTCGCGGTCCTGTTACAGAATTGAAAGAAGAAATTTCGTCATGTATTTTGAGGTACACTCGCCTGATAAATACTCAAGATCGGTGGCGCTTCAAAGTTTTTGGTGCAGACACATTAGACGCTCAAAACTACCGAACAAACATTGAGAGCAACCTCTGCAGTCCGGCGAAGGAGAAATTTTTCTTATAGAGAGATGGGAAAGTCAACAACGTTTGAGATTGGCAGCCTGATTTTTGCTTCCATGTGCAACTGTTTTGTTTTTGTCCATTCTGATATTACTTTGAGTTGCAGCCAGAAGCTTGGAACAGACCGCCTACAGTACTATGCCCTGGCGTCACTGCTCATAAGTGCCCAGTTCGACCATGCTTTAGTTTACTGGAATGCCGCTGTGTTAACAAGATTGGACTCTAGTACCTCTCAGAGTTAGGCACGCCTGTCTAGATTGATGGAAGCCAAGTTACAGATGTGCACTGGTAAAATGTGCGAGAATGGCAGGCATAAATGAGAAAACAAGAACGGCTCATACCACCAGTCCTTTACTTAACTGACCCAGGATGATTTCTTTGACACCCAGAGAATAGTACTGCCCAGTCCTGTGATACCATAACGAAGCCTGTCCCAACGCCAATCGCCAGCCCAATGCAGATAGGGTATCATCCGGTAACTTTGTAACCGCCCAATGCTTTAAACCAAGAAGTGCATTATACAAGTGTGAAGTCCCAAGGCTTGAATGCTTCTTTGAACCGCTCCGCATCAATGGTCTCCTCCTCGACTGATTGACCAATAGCACGCCAGTCACTTCGGTCTTCAAGTTGCAACAACTTTGCCAATACTTTGCGTGGATACTGAAGATCAAACCGGAAGCCCTCGTCGATGGACATCACGAGTTCCTTACCCTGTATGGTCGCATTACCATCGTCAGACCAAAGCCAAATGCGAAGGAAATCGCCTTCCTCGTCCATGCCAGAACCCAGGTTGCGCTCTTTGAAAGAGGGATACTTCAGATTCTCAGCTTCAACCTTAAAGGCAGCCTCAACAAGACCTCTCCGAAGCAATTCAAATGGGACTGGGACGAACTGCCAATGCATATGAATGTTACGATTGCGGTTGATTTCCCAAGTGAGTGCGCCAAGTTTGTGGTTGGACTTTTTGCTGACCATGGCTTGCAGCGCCTCACGAAACCGCAACATTTCTGTGTAGGTCGCTAGGCCATCACCACCAGGAATCGCTCGTATAGTAGGTTCGTGCGAGAGTGGGATGATGATTTGATGGCCAGGAAAAGGAACACCGGATGCAGAGAAGGTGTCGGAACTGGGTAGAGGACCCTTGGCGGAGGCAACGTAGGCATGTTCTCCAATAGAACAGACCATGTGTGTTGCAAGTTCTGGATTACTAAGACAGAAGAAGCACTGTGCCGGTCCCGGCGGAGGAGAGCGCTGCTGGCGGCCTCTGCGAGACCGTCGCTCACGGTGACCATTGCTGAAGCGTTCGTAATGCTCAGAAGAACCTCCATCCGCCTGTCTCTTTGTACCTCTGGACTGCACGAAAGGTGACAGAGTGCTTCCAAGAGGAAGCGTAGATGCGCTGTCTCCCGCCTGCAATGTGAAAGCATACATAGCCTTGGCCTTTGCAGCATTACCAAAGGGGGCCATTGAGATGAACCGTGTGATTGGTCGGTCAGTATTGTCTTCCGCGTCGGGATAGAAGAAAGGCTCCCTCTCCCAGAAGAAGTCAGTAGGAGAAAACGAGAAGTGATAGCGAGGCTTGATTGCACTGCACAAATCCGCAATCTCCTGAGTGCTAGTGACTGCAGCCTGACTTTCAGGGGCGAGAGGGACTTGTGATTTTGACCAGACACCTGCAGGCCAGATCGATGTCAGAAGTATGTCAGCCTTGTTCGCACCTCTAAGCGATTTAGCATCGCTTTCTGTGTGGAAAGGAAGGTGCTGCTCCTTTGATTGTCCGCCCACAATACTTCGATCCAGGGCGCCGCCAAGAGTGACGATTCGAATGCCATCAGAGGTCTTGTTGATACTGCGCTTGCCGAGATAATGTAGGTTCTCGCAGATCTGTGCTTTACGTTAGTCACGCGGTCCTTGACCAGCAATGTGCTTATGGACTCACATCTTCGTCCTTTTCAATGCGTTCAATAACCTGAGCTGGCAGGGGCCCAGTGCCAACGGTGAAGTAGGTGGTGAGAGGTACTTTGATCTCCCCGTTAAGTAGACGCGTGACCAGAGCTCCATCGTCTCCAGAGCCGAACAAATCGCCTGTGACAAGGGCAAATGAGAAGTTGTTCTTGGCGTGTAAAGTGGCAAGCTTCTGGAAAGCTGGTTCGAGCTTGCCATTGAGGCTCCCGAGAACAATGCTAGAGAGGTTTAGTGCATGGGGGCAAGGAAGGAACGTCTGGTGTATGACTTACACTTTGGCCGCCATTGTGTCTCAACTGTGAGTATGCTCGCACATGCAATGTAGCGAATGACTTGGTGTGCTAGGGATGAGGTTTTGTAGGAGATGCAGGACCAAGTACTTTCAATCCGACGAGGCGCGATTGGTCAAAATGAATGAAGCTTTTAAGCTAGCCCAGGCTAGGGGAGACCAGTGATGGTGGTACTCAATGAGCTTCCGATCTGTGCTTCGTGGATTTGTGGGGCCCACGGACAAACTGAGCGCTGGACGCTAGGACTTCAGTGGTTAGCGCGTTCAGATAAGATGAAAAGGTCAAATCGATAGACGCTTATCGCTCTTTCCCAGAAAAAAGTTCAGGTCGCCGTTCACTTGTTCCATGGTGGGGAATAATGTCACTTGCTTAAGTTCAACTTCACATTCTTGTTCTTGCCCGCGCATACAACAACGAAGGCGCTGCACTTCATATTTTGCAGCCCCGTAACTCTCCACAAGATGCCTGCGACATCATCGGGTCGCATCGTCAAGTCCCGAAAGGGTAAGACGGGCACTCCACACCAGAAGAACCACCGCTGGGAGTCTTTCACTGTGAAGATCTCCAAGCTTCATTCCCTCGACCCTCTGCGCAGAGTACGTCGACATGATCTCGATGCCGAGGACTTTGAGTCGACGACCTCATATTTCAGGAATGGCCTCGACAAATGGGCCGATATGGATGTCTCCAGAGAGTTCATCTCTTTCAAGAGGGAGGTAAACCCCCTTTGCGAGAGCTTGCCCCAAATCATCCACTTCGAGGGCAAGATTATGGACTTGCTTGAGAAGTACATATCCGCCCAATCCAGAGAGTCGCTCGAGTCACTTTTAGATCTGTTGACTGCATTTGCCCACGATCTCGGAACTCGATTTGAGAAGCATTACCCGCGAGCCTTGGCACTCATCACGCAAATAGTCAGCAGAAAGCACGAGGCCGATGTCATCGAATGGACATTTGCCTGTCTGGCCTTCCTATTCAAGTACCTGTCGAGACTCTTGGTCACAGATATCCGCCCGACCTACGATGCCGTCGCACCGTTGCTCGGAAAGGCGCGCAATCCCCAATACATAGCACGATTCGCTGCCGAAGCCATGAGTTTCCTCATTAAGAAAGCTGCCGCCCCCTCATACCGAGAGAAGTCGCTTCCACTGATCGTCGAACATGCTCGCAACGACCTGAAGAACACCCGTGGTGATAAGCAATACGAGTTGTATTACCATGGCCTCATGACCATGTTTGCTGAGGCTATGAAAGGCCAAGGCAACGGGGTACACACTACTGCACCGGCTTTAGTCAAGGCCCTGATCGGGTCAGTACCCGAAGAAGAGAGTTGTTCGGAAGAACCCGAAACCTGGGCCGACGTTGTCTGTGGTACAGTGATCAGCATTATCCATCATACTACATCTGAGACCTTTGAGCCAATTGCGCAAGCCATCTATGACAGCCACGATGGCGCGCAAGGCTTGCATAACGTTTTGTTTTTGCGCCTCTTGGGTATCATAGCTGGCGTTCGGAAGGGCACCCGAATCACAGATTGGTCCACGTTACTCGATTTCCAACGCCAATGTCTTGCTGGTCTACTTGTAGATAAGTCCGCCCTCACAGTCCTCGAGCCATCCGCCATCTGGGATTACATCATCGTGAATATTGCTATAGTCTGGCAATATGCTTCGTTCGACGCTGTCACGCCCCATATTGCAGACTTAATGAAGACATTGGCAACGGAGCCTTTGAAGGGGTGGTTCATACCGTTTTGCTCCTACTTTTCCGAGTTGGATGCCAATAAGTTTCGAAGTCTGTTCCAAAACCACTTTCAAAAGTAAGAACATCCACGAATTCCGAACCTTCCTCTATTTCAGGCTAATATCTTTAGATTCATTGGTTCCCATTGGGCCGAGGATAGTAATCAGGACATGCTCTACATACTTCTGCCTAGGATGGTTCAGTCTCAAGCACTTCCTTCTCTGGACGACAGCAAACCTTTCTCCCTACCCCAGGCCTGGCAAGAGGAGATTATCAAGACATTTGGACGATTGGAGGACACACCTTTCCCAGAAGCTGGGCCCCAGGGGTGCGACGAAAGCCCTGCTATCCGGAGAAATACATGTTTACCAAAATACGCTGCGATCCTGCACCTATTAGAGTATGCCAGTGTTGATACAAAGACGACGGAGTTCATTTCGGACAGGCTTTCCACCAAATTGAAGCTCGCTCTTCGACCTTCCGATTTTCTCGGAAACGAAGAAGCGCGATTCATCGTCAGTCAGGGATTTGCCTCTTACATACGGCTGAGCAAAGCTGTGGGAAAGTTCGACGAATCTCTTGGTCCGCTGCTCCGGGCGGCTGCACCTCGTTATTCAACCTTGACCGGCTATCTTGAGGCAATGCTCACCTACGAGGCGCAAGCTGGATCGTCGCCTCAGGGAGATGACAGTGAAAGCCCCGAAAAAGAGCAGAGTCCTCTTCTCAAAAGTCTTATTGGAAATCTTGCATCGCAATCATCTGAACTTCGTACCGCTTCTTTGAAACTACTCAGCAGCATGAAATCGGCACCGGACCAACTAGATGCCTTGTCCATTATGTTACATACCCAACAAATGCCTTTGGATCTACAGAACGCTCGCGCTATTTCAGTATATCTTCGAAAACTCGGAGCTATCTACGCCCGGCTTCATGAGGATTCTTGGCTTCGGCAAGCTGTTCCTGCTTATCTTTTCGGAATGCTGACAGTCAAGCTCCTGCCGGTTTGGGAGACTGCAGTCGAGGCTTTGAAACAAGTCAGCCAATCGTCCAGTGGAGAAGAAGCCGTATGCGACCGTGCCTTTACATGGCTCGAGTCATCATCAAAACGATGGGACGGATCTGGACAACAGGCAACTGGGCCTCCACGTCGATTTGCCACCGATTTCGAATGCCTCAATCTTAACCAGCTGCGCAAAAAGGCTGATGATTCTAAGCGGGCCAGCATAGAGGCATCCGACGTCTTGCTGCATGAGTTTGAGGAGAGCCAGGAGCTTGCCGAGGAAAACCCGGCGAACGCACGTTCGCAAGCTCTGAAGGTCTTCTCAGCAGCCCCGAACCTAGTGGAAAAGCGATCGCGCAAACTGGTTCCCATTTTCTTATCATGGGCATCAGATACTGACGACCAAGCTGATAATTTTGAGGAGGAGCAGGCTTCTAGTACTGGCGAGTTTTGGTCTCTGACAGATAGAAAGGCCCTTTTGGGCGTCTTTGCACAATTCGTGAACCCTAAGGTTCTCTTTCAAAGCCAGCAGGTCTACGATGCACTACTGAAGCAGCTAGCAAATGGTGATATCGAAGTACAGAAAGCAGCGTTGAAGGCTATTTTGGCGTGGAAGCAAGAGGGATTGAAGCCATACCGAGAGAGTCTTGACTTCTTGCTTGACGAAGCCAGGTTCAAGAACGAACTTACTGTTCTCTTCCAAGGTGATAACCAGATCCAGCCCAAACATCATGACGAGGCTATGCCAGTGCTCCTTCGCCTGCTTTATGGTCGGACAATCTCGAAGAAGGGCGCGTCTAGTGGCCGAGGCGGGCTTCATGCTACTCGTCTCGCGGTGCTTCGGAACTTGAGCGTCGAGGATATGGGCGGCTTCTTGGACATCGCATTAGGAGATTTACGTGGCGTTCACGTTGTCGACGCAAACGGCAACCTTCGTGCCGACGTCCTTAACCGGAATGTGCTCACTGTCCGAAAACAAGTGGGTTTCTTGAACATGATTTCATCCATGATCAATGAGCTTGGCACGAGCGTCGCCGACTATACATCAACAATCATTTCTGCTGTACTTTATTGTCTTGTTAATGCTTGCCGCAAACTTGACAAAGCGAAAGACGGCGCAGATGAAGATGATGGTGACACCAACACTTCACTGCTTCGAAACGTTCGAAGCATCGCCCTCAAATGTGTAGTATCGCTTCTGCAAAACGCGCAGATGTTCAACTGGGCGCCCTATTCGGACGTTATCATCAAGGAAGTTGTGGCACCAAGACTAGACAATCTACCAACGGAGAACACCGAGGGTGTCTCGGGAACCATGCAACTGCTCTCCACCCTTTCCTTGATACCTAAGACAGCTCTATTTCTTGGTATCGATGAAAGAATCATAGGCAAACTGACAGACTTATTGTTGATCGCTAAAGCGAAGGATGAGGTCAAGATTTTTGCGCTCAGTATTGTGCGCAACCTAATCAAGCTGGCTGAAGCTCCCGCTGCTGAATCCGAGTTCAACGAACTCATTAAAGAAGAACTCCTCGATTCCAACCTGGAGATGATACTTGGAAAGATCAGCCGGCTCCTGCGATCTCAGGAAAGGACTGACACCGAGCCGGGCAAGGAGCTCGGCAAAGACCTTCTGGCTGCTTGTGTCGAGACCATTGTCGAACTGTCCCCACTTGTTCAACAATCAGGCAATGCCACGGATTTGATCGATATATCCGTTTTCCTTCTGAATCAGCCGCCACGTCGTGTCCACCCCAAGGTAAAGGGTAGCGTTCTTACGATTCTGGAAAACTTCTTGCAACTGGAAAACGTTTCACCTGACAGCGAACTACGAAGTCGCATCTACACGACTATCTCGAGCCTTTACAACTTCTTCAAGGATAAGTCTAGTCGTGAAGCTCTATCCAGGGTACTAGCTGTTTTCGTGTCAAAAGATTCGAATATTTCGGATGAGGTAGCTAGGCTTTGTGCCAAGCTAAATTCTTACGTTGAAGGTCGCATTGACGAGCCCGCATACGATGAACGATTGGATGCCTACAATACCATTCCAAGGTGTCGTTCACAGCACGTGAATGGGAGCCATTACTGCAGAATATGCTCTTTTATATTAAACATGATGAGGAATATGGTATACTATCTACCAATTCAGCTGATGGCATAAACCGATTTGCCGATGCAGCCGCATCGTCTACAGGCAAGGAGAAGGACAAATTTTTTGAAATGCTTCAATCCATGGTACTGCCTGCTATTTTCGCTGGCGCTCGGGAAACATCCGAGACCGTGAGAAGAGAAACAGTTCGAGTGCTCGGTCATTTAGTAACTCGATTACCGTCTTGGTCCCCAATCAGTGACTTGGTACACTTAAACCCACCACCAGACGAGAAGGACACGGACCCCAGTTTTTTCAGTCATATCCTCAGTTCAGCAGCCTCGAGGCAGATAAGAGCACTACAATTGCTGTCCAAGGTCATCAGCCACACGGAGCTGAGCAGTCGAAACTTGGCCCACTTCTTCGTCCCTCTTCTGGAGCACTTTGTCTATGGTCGTGAAGATGGAGAAGACGATCATGGTGTTGGTGCGCAGGCTTCTACTACGATTGCAGATATTTCGATTTCTCTCGAATGGCCGCAATATCGTGCCACTTTGAGCCGATACATTGGTTATATTCAATCCAAGCCCGAGCAACAGAAGCACGTGGTCAGGCTTCTGGGCAAGTTGATTGACAGCCTTGCACTGGCCGCAACTGAGAAATATGAAGATGCTATGGATATCGATGGCCAGGATGAGCAATCATCAAGCAAGAAACATCGCTTAGCAACAACCATGCCAGCAATGGATAAATTCAGCGATGATGTCATCAACAACATCATGCCGCCACTTATGAAGTATATTCACGGAAAAGACGAGACCACTGTGAGCTCGCGCGTGCCTGTTGGTGTGATTATTGTCAGGCTTCTGAAAGTGCTTCCAGCCGAGTTTTTGGAACAAAAACTACCTGGAGTTCTGACTGATATCTGTCACATTCTTCGCAGCAAAGCCTGGGAATCACGAGAAATGGCACGTGATACGTTGGCAAAGATGACCGCGCTCCTTGGTCCAAGTGCTTTTGGATTTGTTCTGGACGAGTTACGAGGTGCGTTAACGAAAGGCTATCAGCTGCACGTCTTGTCATACACTGTGCATGCCATTTTAGTTCGGGTGACCCCCGAATTTCAGCCTGGCGATTTGGATTACTGTCTTGACAAGATTGTGGCTGTGATCATGGATGACATCTTTGGTGCCACTGGTCAAGAGAAGGACGCAGAAGAATACACAAGCCAGATGAAGGAGGTAAAAAGCAGTAAGAGCCAGGACTCGATGGAATTAATTGCCAGAACAGCTTCGATCGGCCAATTACGTCAGCTTGTTCGCCCTCTGCAGGCACTCCTTCTGGAAAAGCTCGACTTGAAAATGGTGCGAAAGATTGACGACTTGCTCAACCGGATATCTAATGGATTGCTTGGCAACGCTGCTGCAGAAAGCCGCGACACCCTGATCTTCTGCTATGAGGTTATCCAAAAGGTGTACGAAAGCGAAAAGCCTCAGGCGGAGCAGAGGCTAGACTTCAAACTTCGTCGCTATTTGGTACAAAAAGGAGCCAAGAAGAGTGGCGAGCGTAGCACGACCAATAAGTACACACACAAGCTCGTTAGATTCGCATTTGACATTCTTCGATCTGTCCTCAAGAAGCACGACAGTTTGCGTAACGCTGGCAATATCTCAGGATTTGTTCCAATCTTCGGAGACGCTATTGTTGGAGGCGAGGAAGAAGTCAAGATAGCCACGTTTAAACTCCTCACAGTTCTTGTCAAGGTCCCGTTCAAGACAGATGATTTCATGAAGCTCTACAAGGTTGCGGCCAAGGATGCGATCAAGAGCATCTCAATTTCGACCACAACGACTAGCGACCTTGCGCAAACGGCCTTGAAGCTTGTCTCAGTTACACTTAGAGATAGGCGAGACGTTCCTGTCAAGGATGCCGCCGTGGATATGCTCCTAGGAAAGCTTAAGGATGATTTGACTGAGCCCCTCTACCGCCACGTCACCTTCAACTTTTTACGTGCCGTTTTGGATCGAAGGGTCGAGACGGCCACGGTTTATGATACTCTTGACTACGTCGGCAGTATTATGATCACCAATGATGACAAGGACACTCGAGACTTGGCACGTGGCGCCTTCTTCCAATTCCTTCGCGATTACCCGCAAAAGAAGAACAGATGGGCTAAGCAGCTTGCTTTCGTTGTGGCAAACCTCAAGTACGAACGCGAAGGCGGTCGTTTGTCCGTTATGGAAGTTATCCATTTGCTTTTGATGAAGTCAGCCCAAGACTTCGTTCAAGAAGTTGCCACCACGTGCTTCATCCCGCTTTTCTTCGTCCTCGCCAATGATGACAACGAAAAGTGCCGACTAGCAGCTGGTGAGCTGCTCAAGGAGATATTCCGTAAAGCTGATAAGGACAGCACGTCCAAATTTCTGAACCTTCTCCGAAACTGGCTTGGACAGGATGGCAATCAGTCCGTTCTCCGCCTCGCTATTCAGACCTTTGGCTTCTACTTCGAAGCCAGAGAGTCCACTCCGAAGGACCAGAAAGACCTCGATACTCTCTTGACTAAGATCAATGAGATACTTGACGACTATGCTACCTTTGCGGATGATTGGGAGCTTATCAATACTGTCGTCGAGGTTGTGCCCTGTCTCATGGATAAACACGAGTCGGTGGTTTTGGCGAATGAACAGCTGTGGCACGCCATTGGAAAGCCACTTGCTTCATCTCACCCGACAGTCAAGTTGGCAAGCATCAAACTGCTCAACAGGTATCTGACCGACTTTTACGAGAACACAAAAAATCCAGAAGAAACTGATGTGCTAGTCGGATCGCACGGTCTCCGCCTTGAGAAGGACGCCATCGAGGCTCTTGTCATGCTCGCCACCAATCTTCTGAGCCCACCTACTATCGCCAGGTGGCGCAAACGCATTGCCAAGCAGGGTTCTTTGGATGCATCTGAAGTCGACGTTAGCAATGAGACGCCAGATGTGGATGAAAACCTCGCAGGCGAAGTGATTCAGACTCTCGCTCGTCTCGGTAAATTTTTGGACCCAAAGCCATCAGCTTCTGACAAAACAGACGAGGTTGGCAATGGAAATGCAGACAACAAAGAAGAAGACGATGATGAATGGAGTGGTGTCGATGATGAGACCCCCAAAGCCGCCCCCATCACTCTACACACTCTTCTTAACTTCCTTTCCGACATCCTTGTCATCGAAACACGTGCACAAGCGTCTGCGCTCGTTCCCAAGGTTGCATCCATGCAACTGTTGGAACTCTATACCAAGACTCTCCCGTCTGCAACTCACCTTGTTCCATCCCTGAATATTCTCCTCACCCCATTGCACCACCTTACCGATCCGTCAATTCCCATCCCGTACTCCACGGATCCGTCCTATACACCACGAGTCCAGGAACTCCAAGAGAAGGCCCGCGAGCTGATGGAGACATTACAAAAGAAGGTTGGCACGGAACTGTACACACGAGAAGTCCTGGAAGTTAGAGAAGCAGTCAAGAGACGCAGAGAGGGTCGAGCCAGGAAGAGAAAGATCGAGGCAGTAGCGTATCCGGATCGATACGGCCAGTTCAAGAGGGGCAAGCTGGACAAGAAGATCAAGCGCAGGAAGGAGAGAGCGGGAGAGGAGAGGCAACGAAGACACGGTGCGAGGTATTGAGGTGAGCAGACCGACGAAATATAGTTGGTGCGGAAATGGTGAATATACCCCGAGAAGGATGTGGCTTTCTTTTATTTTGCCGTGTGGCATGGATCAGGAGTTCATGGAGCTGAAAAGGGCACTTGGTGTAAATCATTACATAGACTGGCGTCAGTGATATAATTGGATTTAAGTTCGGACGCGTTGACAACTTGATTCATTGCGTTGATTTTTGTTCATTGTGTTATACTCTGAAGATTGGTGTTTAGAGGGTAGATGATACAAGTCTATGTAGTTTGTACGGATTGAGGTGCATGTACATAAGGCCGACTATACCTTTCCATTTATATAGTACATCTTAAACCAAAGCTCTAGGCTCTTGACCAGCGCCGGTAATGAAATGCGCCCCGTAGGAGCAAGAACGTCCTCTATGTCTTCGAAATCAAGTAATCCGACTCGTCTATATCCTCTGACCCATAAATATCGAAGTCCTCCAACTGAACCTTTTGAGGAGGCAGCTTCTTCGCCGACTCAACGCCCTGAGTGATGCGTCTATAAGTCTCCTCGGGCAGTGGTCGCTGTGGCGTCTCCTTCATCACCGCCATGAAATCATCCGGCTTAACGGGCGCATATTGGTCCGTTATCTTCTCCTCAAACTGGATCTTGCGGAACTGAGGATATTTCTTCCTTGGAACATTAACCCGCATCTCAACAGCTTCGGTAGCGCCTTCGGGCCAAGCGTACACTATGCGATTCTGTGGTCGCTTAGGCGCCGTGTTGTGTGATTGATATTTGTACATGCGAGGCGCAAGAGAGGGATCAGGAGCGTCAGATGGGTTGTGATGTATTGTCCTGAACTTCATACCCGTGTTGACAAGCCGAACACGCGAGCCGTCCGGAGACGTGAACTGTTCGGCATCGGGTGCACTACTCTGCTCCATCCCTAAAGCGGTCTTTGGCTTGCCCATACGCGGTCTAAAGCTTTTTGGCCATTTGAAAGCACCACCACCGGGATTGCCTTGCTCGTAACTGACTCGGATCTGCGCGTAGTCGTCGGCATTGACACCCATGAGATTACGGGCTTCAGGATTGCGGAGGTTGGGGCGACCTTGCGAGGGAGATACAAATATCTTGCTGATAAGGGGTTTTGACTGCAGTTGGTCGTCGGCATGGCTAAGCTGCGGTTCTTGCGCATTATAATGCGCGGCGGCAAGTGGGGGGTTGGCGGGATGAATATCAGGATTGTGGGACTCGCGGCCAATCTCCGGGACGACCTTCCCGAAGATACCGACTTCATTAGAGTTTTGGACTGCAGGCTTCTGGTCCGTTAAGACTTGAGGTGTAGGGTTTGCCTTATGAGATACTGGTTTTCTAGAAACAGAATGGGGTCCCGCGGGTGTCGAGCTTGAGCTTGGAATTGGGTTTGGCGTTAAACTAAGTGGTGTGAGTGATTTCTCGCCCATCAACTTCAACTTGGTCATGCGATGCCTAAGCATGGCAAGATGGGCTTCTGGGATCTTACTTGGCGACGAGAATGTCGGGTCCCGACTGGGGGCGAGCTCGGGGTCCGGTGATGCTGTGACGCGCCTGAAGACGGGACGATCGGAGTTCTTGTCCTGAAGCTGTTGGACGGAACGGCGCTGCCATCTGGTGGACCCTCTGGCGCTCGGTTGTGATGCGGCAGGACTCCCCATAGCTCGTCTCAGCTCGGAAAGCTCGTCGTCGTTGATTCTGAACGTGTCCGCGCGGGACTCGGGTCGAGCAACAGAGCCAAAATGGTATTGACGTCGTGTGGAGGGAAGCGTGTTGACAGGCGCTGTGTTGTTTAGCTGAGGCCGAGTACTGGTGCTATTTAATGGTGGCGACGTCGCAGGGGCGGCCGATGGTACTGCGGCCGATGAAGAGACAGCCTCCACTTCCTGGTTTGGTGTTTCTGTCTCTGTCCGTCCTTGAGCGGCGGAGAGGGAGTCGCGACCAGCGCCACGCTGTGTTTGAGTACCATCTTCCCAGAACTCGATGTCTCCATCAACACCAAGGGTTCCGCGCTTGACGAGTTGTCCCTTTTCCTTCATGAGATCTTCAATGGTGAGCTTACGGTCACCGAATATGTTCAAATGGTCGCTGATGATATGTCGGTTTCGACATGATGAGCAGGTGATGAGAACAGATCCCTTATGGTAGCCCTGCTTGGAGATGGTATGCGAGGACCTTGTGCCGCAGGGGACACATGTGAAGGTCAACTCGTAATGCGGTTCCAACTGCTTGCGCGTCTTGGTTGTGCCCTCGCCCTCGCCCTCGGCATCATGATGTTCTACGGTAGGGGGGGAGGCAGGAGCAGGCCTGGGTATCTGGTGGGCATATCGACGGAGAAACTGGGCAGGTTGTAGAGTGCGTGGTAGACGAGGGTATGGTCGCAAGGGATGAGTGGCAAGAAAGGGAGAGGGCGCTCTGGAAGAGCGAAGGATATTATTGAACACAGAGATGGTGCGTTTCGAAGACATCATAAAAACATGCTAGGAGAGGTTGTTGGGTGGCAGCTCAAAGGCATCAATGGCGCTTCATTAAGGAAGCCCCAGCATAAAAGTGTTTGTTCTTAGCGATTCCCCCTACGGCGAAGGCAAAAGGCAAAGGCAAAAGACGAAGACAATGGAAGGGAGAGCGATAAGCGATACGCGATAAGCGATAAGCCGCAACCTGGTCCGATAAGCGATAACGTGGAGAGCGTTCCGTGATAAGAGGCGGCGAGAGAGAGATGCGTCACTGCGCTGGCCTTCACGATAAGTTAATGGCCTCGACTCTCCTATTCTATGCCGGCTACCTTGTACAGATCCGTTCGAGTTTTTTTTTTTTAAATGAAGTGAGGGCGAGGGAGGGGCAATGCCTTGCTTGACGTAGAGTAGTACCTTGCCTGAGATAGTTTGTACTGTACAGTATGGAATGTATACCACAGTGGCCAATTGCCAACAGGCTCGCCCCCCCAAGGCGGCCAAGGCGGCTATTTCTTTGAATTTCGGCGGCCTTGACATTCACAGCCTTGTTACATTCACTGCCTTTGAGCCTGGATTTGTTACATTCTGCTTCACTTCACTTCTGCCTTCCACCTGTTGTGGTGTTTTCCCTTCCGAGTCTGTTAGCAGCAAGTACGAGTAGTTCTCATGATCAATTCATGGCTGAGATACATGTCTTTCTATTCAGACATCGACCCCCACTAACCACTCGACCCTCAATTATCACTCTCACTATATTATACGCCACTCACTTGCCCCTCCGAATCTCGAATCTCGAATCTCGACTCTGAATCTCACGATGGTGTATGCTCTTGCTCCGCTATAGAATAGCTCCAGCTCCGGACCCCCACCCACAATCTGAAATCGAATACCGACACTGCACTGCAAACGCAACAATGATCTCCGGTCGTGGCGGCGCCATGCGCGGAGCTGCTGGTCGTATCAGGCCCCCCAGAAGGGTATGTACAAAAGTGCACCTCACCATCCTCGCCAGTTGCGTTTGCGCATTGCACCCTGCCGTCCAATCCAATCATCACGCTTCTTGGATGAGCTTGACAACTCTGAGGGAGCTCTGCACATCATCAACAACCTTCCTCTTCACCATTTCCTCCCACATCCCACCTCAATCTCGTGAACCCCCGGAGCACACAGCTACCCTTTCTCTTTTGAGCGTCACCTCACTTCGCCTCACGTCGCCCCCTTGTCTTCAACTGCCTCGTCTTGAAGTCACGGCTCGGTTTCGAGCAGAGACTGCTGGCCATCATGGTTGAACACTTTGAGGGGCGCATTATGCCCATAATCGAATTCATTCATAAATCTGACTTTGTATTCCCGCGAAAGCATATAGGTGTCGCCGCCAATGCCAACAGCTCCGGCCATGCCTCCAAAAACGAGGAGTTCGAATTCAACTGGCAAAAGCTCAAGTCAGCAATCCAAGACATTCACCTGAAGAATACTGGCGCCCTCACCTTCGAGCAGCTGTATCGACACGGCTATAAGATTGTACTTCTCAAGTTACCGCTCCGCCTCTACGACAACGTGAAGGCCTTCGAGGAAGAGTGGTTCGACCAGCATGTCATGCCCCCCATCCTCGACGTCATGAGCAGCAACTCGGTCAACACCATCGAGAACACCACAGCTATACAGCGTCGCGCCAATGGTGAGAAGTTCTTAAAGGTCATTAGGGAGTCCTGGGAGCAGCACAACACGGCCATGAACATGATAGCAGATATTCTCATGTATCTAGATCGCGGCTGGTCCCAGGAGCAGAACCGTCCGGGCATCTTCGCTGCTACCATTGGTCTTTTCCGAGACAAGGTTTTGCGACGACATCTTCAAAGCGGTGATGGTACCATTTCCTCCGTCCTCAATGGGACCATCATCGACGCTATCAACATGGAGAGAGAGGGCGATGCCATTGACAAGTCGCTCATCCGAAGCTGCACTGGCATGCTTGAGTCGCTTCATCAAACCGACGAGGAACACGAAGACGAAAAGCTCTATCTCGTCGATTTCGAGCCTGAGTATCTCGAATCCAGTCAGGACTACTACAAGGCGGAGTGCGAAAAGCTTCTGCAGGAGGGCGACGCTTGTGTCTGGTTGCAGTATACCCAGAGACGCCTCGAGGAGGAGGCGGATCGCTGCATCACCACTGTCTCGCCCATGACCAAGGATCGAATCGCTGCTGTTATTGATCACAACCTAATCAAGACTCATCTTGTTGACTTCATGAACCTGGAAGGTAGTGGCTTCCGCGCCATGGTAAACAACGACCGGGCCAACGATCTCACCATTCTTTACCATCTTGTCTGTCGCGTGGATACTAAAAGAGAAGCACTTCGAAAAGCTCTATCAGATCTCGTGGTCGAGTTAGGATATGAAATCGAGAAGGTCTTGCGAAACACTGATTTCTCATTCCCCCAGAAGACTGATGAAGAGCCCGCTGCTGAGGGTGAGGAAAGGGCCAAACCCAAGGCTCTGAACGCTGCAGCACAACAGACCGCTGCTGCTCTCAAGTGGATCTCTGACGTCCTTGACCTCAAGGATCGATTCGATCGCTTGTGGAAGGACTGTTTTGCTGAAGATTTAATTTTGCAGACGGCTCTTACGAAGAGCTATGCCGAGTTCATCAACAGATTCGATCGCAGTGCCGAGTACCTGTCGCTCTTCATTGACGACAACCTCAAACGTGGTTCCAGGGAGAGAACGGACGCGGAAATCGATGCAAACTTGGAACGAGCCAAGGACCTCTTGCGATATATCAGCGACAAGGACAAGTTCGAACTATACTATCAGAAACATCTTGCCAAACGCTTGCTGCAGCAGAAGTCTGAAGTCTCTGAAAAGGAAGAGCACATGCTCAGCCGGATGAAGTTGGAGCTGGGCAATAACTTCACCCAGAAGTTCGAGGGCATGTTCAAGGATTTGCAACTGTCCAAAGTTGAGACCACAAAATTTAGTGACCACCTTAAGAAAGAGGCACTTGAGCGTGGTGCGACTGGCGAAAAGCGCGCCGAGCTATCAGTCAACATTCTTGGTGGCAACAACTGGCCAAAAGAAATCATGGGTCGACAAAACAGCCTGGATGGTCAAGAACGTACAGATATCATCTTCCCACAAGAGATCAAAGCCACCCAAGATAGCTTTGCTACCTTCTATTCTAGCAACCATCAAGGCAGGATGCTCACGTGGGTGGGAAGCGCCGGCAGTGCTGAAATTAGATGCGTTTTCCCCAAGATTCCAGGCAAGACCTCGGGCCCACTTAGCCGTGAGCGTCGATATGAGCTCAGTGTCACCACCTATGGCATGATTGTCTTGATGCTCTTCAACGACCTTCCCGAAGGCGAGTATATCAGTTTTGAAGACGTTCAGGCCCGGACCAACATTCCCCGAGTTGACTTGATCAACGTCCTGACGTCGTTGTCGGTCATGAAAACCACAAAGGTCCTCCTGAAGGAGCCCGCCACCAAGGCTGCTGTGAAGCTGACTGACAAGTTCACTTACAACCGCGAGTTTGTCAGCAAGTCTATCAAGATCAAAATGACTCAAGTCAACGCTGCTAGCAAGGCCGAGAATGATGATGAACGCAAGCAGACCGATGAAAAGGCTACTGAAACTCGCAAGTACATCATCGACGCAGCCATTGTCCGCATCATGAAGTATGTCCTCCTCCTTACGTCCAAAGACTAGAAGAATCTACTGCTAACAAACTCAATAGAGCACGCAAGGAGGCCCCGCATGCCCAGGTCATCACTCAAGTCATCGAGCAGCTATCCCGTCAATTCAAGCCTGACATTAACCTCATTAAGAGTCGTATCGAGGATCTCATCGGTAGGGAGTATCTTGAGCGAGCAGACGTTGTGGATGGAAAACCTGCATACCGCTATTTGGCCTGAAACCGTATATGTACTCCCCTCAGCCGTGATATCCCGCTGTTTACGGACTTTGTTTCTTGGTCCTTTAGGATAAGGCTGGCTTGACGATACCCCTACATCTTTGCACATAATGACGATACGAAAACGACACTTATGAGGCATGGGAAGAGACTATCCGTTCTATCTGTTGGCTCTTTGCATCACTTGCATTTGCATATTCCAATATCGGCGAACAGGCGATAGAGAGGACTGGTTGGTCTCCCATAAGACGAATGCATACAAGAGAACACAAGTTACAGAAGATAGCGTAATGATCATGATCGTGATTTACGATCCTGCAGGAATCAATAGGATTAATAGAGAGCATTCTGCACACAACTTTTTGTTTCCCTGGCAGAGTGGATCGCCCATAGAACATCATTGTCCGGCGTAAAAAGAGGCATTACTCAACCCCTTGAAGCTAGTCAATTCTTGGACTCAGAACTGCTGGGCTGGGTAGATGCCACCAACTCACGATGATGCATAGGAAGAATTCGACCGGCCATAAATTTTATAGGAAACTACGTACAAACTGACAAATAAACGTTGGTCAAGTCGTAAGAGATCAAGCAGAGAATGAACAGTCCACTACGACTCTCAACTGGGGTGCTCCGTACTCAACTCATGCGCATAGCTCAAGCCTCTCGCCACAAACCTTCTGGAGGAAACCACAGGCAGCCAAGAACCCGAGAACGCCAGCCCAGTTTTAAGCCATGTTTATTTCCGTGCTAATCCCCTCGAGTCCCTCAAGTCCAGCACTGGCCGGAGCCAGGACCTGGCTGGCACTGAACCCGGCCGTCATTGCAACTGAGATACAAGAAGCTACTGTCAGCTACTCTATCTGGAATTATATATGGGCGCCAGTTCGCATCTTCGCCTTCGTGGAACTGAGCTTGAAGTCAACTTACCTATAGCAGCCGTACCCCTTGGAGCACTGACACTGTCCGATGACGCAGTCGGAGTGGGGAGGGAAGTTCTCGCCACATCGTGCATGGAGAGTCCGGGATTGAAGGGTGTCCTAAGGATGAGGGTAAAGTGTCAAAACTCAACACGGAATGATGGAGAGAAGAGGAGGCAAAGAGCCGTTACCTTGGATAGGTCCACGTAAGTAAATTCAGAGTCCTCCATGGTTTCCACAGCGTCATCGGCGGGGAAAGCTGAGACACCTGCGGCGGCCATGAGGAAGATGGCAAGATTTATGAGCACCTTCATTTTGTAGAAGGAAATTCGTCGTCTGTTGGGAGGCCAGTTGTGCTTTGATTTCCAATTCCTGCGAGGAGCAGATGAAGCTAATGTTTGAATGACTGATTACAGAGAGAGAAATACTGGGAGGACAGCCCTTTATATATTCATCACCGCCGCATTTTCGGACCTAGTTCGCGGCGTATGATTTTCTCTCCGTGCTTTTCTGTTGCAGTTCCGTCGCATCAATTGACGACCATGCGATTTCTGCATTGTGACGTGTACGTAGGTACAAGGGTGCATTGGTTATGTGTGTACGCAAGGCAAGTAGGATCCGTATAAGAAGCATACGTGTAGACATCAACACTACATAGGTGTACAATTGAGGTAGGATGTGGCCAGCAAACTTGCTGACTGGACGGTATGACAGTTCTAGGATTAATACATCATCATCTACGTTAGGTTCATCACAACAAAATCCCTAAGTCGAAACAATCCAGATAAGGACCATTTATAATACTGTCGTGATGCAATATAGCATTTTAAGATCTAGTGAACTCGTTGGAATGACTATATCTAGTCACTTATAATGAAGTTGCAACATTTAATATCGTGAAAGCGGCACACAATATACACAGACATCTCGACGATCAGCTAAATATAAGCTATTAAAATCATAGCTCTCGAAGACATGAGCATTGGACGCAGGTAAGAGACTCCTGCCGGGCCAGGAAAGAGACACACTCAACCACCAATGATAGGCCGGGCAGTATGTTTCACCGGCTGCCGCTGACCACATATTCCTTTTTAGATATCGATCCTCCTTGATGCCACACGTTATTCTTTTCTCGCAGCCTGGGAGCAGTCACAATCGGGTTTGATAGAGCCAATACCTGTGTTAGTCAGCCTGCGATCAAAACTCATCGGAAACTAAATACATCTCAACCACGTGAACACTACCGACACTCAACTACTGGAAATATTCACCAAGGTTCAGATTGACCTAAACGCTCTAGAGGCGATAATTAATATGTCAGCAATATTGCAGATCACCGAATGGAGCTTTGGATTTGTGGCGGGACCATATAATTCGTACGCCCATTACACGTAGATCCTGACTGTGCGTACCGATGTCCTTCTGCCATTCTAATTCAGTTGAATGATACCATTTCTGGGTTTATGGTAGGACATGTCATGTTCCACAGGTTTGCCGACAATGCAAGGAGTGCTACTCACCGGAAGTCAAGTATGGAGGCCTGCTCGTGCCGAAAGTCCCTCTATTGTGAAACGCATACTACTTATGGATCAGTACTAGTAAATTTGCTATTTGGCATTTCAGAAAGCTAAAAGTGTAACTTGAAAATTTCTAGCGAGTACCTATCGATCCAGGGCTCGCGGCCACTAGTAACGCTCTTCCCATTGTTGAAGTGTTTGGTGGCTTTCGTTTCATCCGCTCCAGCCACGGCTGAATCACGAAGTCGAGTGCCGCTCACGTCCATTGATGGATTGTGTTAGGTAATACCTGAATCAACTGATTGTTGTAGGTAAGCGGCTTATATACACGAAAAAAGACGTCGTCGAAATCAGGTGGATCAGGATGCCTTTGCTTTAGCTATGGAGTTTGGCTTAAGCCTTATAGCCAACCAGGTGCTAGGTTAGACACATAACGTGGTGCGCTACCGTCGACGTGTCTCGGATCATTTGTAAACTTCTGGGTAGAAACATTCGCATATGACAGGAAAGAACGCATATGCATTCTACCATAGCTTGAGAGACTGAAAGAACTTCTTTCGTTCAGTAGGCATAGCCCACCACCACATACTGTAACTCAGACCTTGCGTCAGCTGGTGAGGTGCTGAGGTTGATGGGGAATTCAGGCACGAGCGCCGGCAGTTGAGCCTGTCCCGCTGCCCATCTTTTGCATTATGACAAGGACCCACCCAATCCCTTTCAGACGTCCCCAGCAATCAAACCTTATTTACTTATACGTTACAGCAGAAGCTCTACACTGCCTTGTAAAGCGACAAAGACACGCTTAGCGACGTCACGAGCAGTGCTGCCATTCACAGTGTCCTCACAACATTCGTCCTAACCTTCGCTCTTCTAGATTAGTGAGTTTGAGGTATCGAGGTCTACTGCTTGGCCACTTGGCAGGGGTCAAGTTTCCCGCCGTGCAGGGATTCTCCGTCCTCTCCGAAGCCGTTTCTACTCAATTTATTCTTCGGACCATAGTCCTCCATCATCTTAATAGTTGCGCGAGAGCCGATCGCATTGTCGTCGCTTGCGAAATTCTGGCCGGATACTTCGGGAACGCTCCCAGTTGCTACCAAGATGGTAGAGATATAAGAAGTAAAGGTAACACTAGGTTCTTAGTTTAGGGCTTCTTTCAAGTGAAATCGACCACAGTCTTTGAACACACTCATTTGCCATGTTCTCCCACGTTCTCTATGCTGGTCTGCTGGCCTCCTTCGCCTCAGCGCGCCCCTCTGTCAGGACTGCACAAATCCAATGTCCGCTCGTGCTTTCTGGGCAAGTGCCAGCGACAAGTCAGTTGACCGACTTCGACTCCTCAGCGACAAGTATCTTCAACCCTGACTATGTCCGAGCAAGCGCAGTTCCATGGTCCGAAATACTACTGTTTCCTAATGTGACCAACTCGCGCTTCGATAACTCGAGCTACAAATCCGTCGAGGTCACCGTCAACGAGAATTCCATCTTTCAGACCCAAAACGGCTTCCGCCGTGCTGGTCTGCAGTTGGTCGGTGACACGAACGACGCTGGTGTTGGCAACACGGGTGTAAAGACACTACACTGGAGTGTGAAGCAAGACCCAACCAGGACGCTGAACCTGACTCATGAGTATTTGGTACGAATTTCTGGAATGTTAACACCGCGACTTTGCTGACCCCACGTGAAGAACGTATGGCACGAGCGATCTGATTACAATGGCAATCACTTCAACTTCGAGACTGGTACCCTAATCGACCAGCCCAGCTATGATAAGAACACATTCAAGATCACAAACCGCCAAAGCCAAGTGGTTTGGTCTACGCCTATCGACAATAGCGCATGGCAGAACTTTGCAGTGACACTGGACTTTGACAAAAAGTGAGTTTTTCCTTTTCAGTATTTTGCCTGTTGGGGGCTACGTGGCTCATTTCATTATAGCACCTTGCAAGTCTATTACTCCAAAGGCAACGGCCCTTTGGCAGCTGTCACCACAGCCTTGTCTAACGACAATTCTGGCTATGGACAATACCAGATTGGTATTCTTAAGAAGCCTACAGGCACCTCTGATGTCGTTAATTCTGGATATCAAGAGTCGCCTATCGACGAAGGACAGATTTATGGCGGCATTTTCCTCGAAGACAGCGCTGCTGGTTGCATTTCTCTGTAATTATATGATGTATCAATAGCAACGATCAAGGCCGCCAGTCTACTATTCAAGCATATACCTATTGGGTCTTTTTTTCTGTCTGCATATGTACCTTTACGACGAACTTTGTCAAGTAAGCTAGGTTAGTGTGTTTACCTTAAAAGCCACGCTCTTGGTGGGCTGATCTCACTCTTTCTGCCACAAATTAGTTGGCATCTCTCATCTTGGAGAAGTCAATATTCATCGTTTTCCTCAGCAATCTACCAGAACCGGAGGAACCGTTTTGCACAGCTGGTTGCGGCGCTTTGGGCATATTCGCCCCAGCGGCATAATTGGTAATAGATCTGCGCTGTAGAGCAGAGACTGGAGCAGAGGACTGCGCCTGTTGACTCGGTAGCAGTTGCCGGTCGTTCCTGGCGGTAGGCGCACTCTGGACAACATACGTTGTCTTAGGCAAGATGTCTAATATCTCGTATGACTGGGTAGCTATACCACTCATGTAAGCCATCTGACCCGTCGGTTGCTGCCACTGTGGCCACTCAAGGAACGTCTCCCGAGTCTGTGAACTTCTGGCAGACGAATTTTCCATGAAGAGGGAATCGCTCCGCTGCACGCGATTTTCGAATGAGGGTGGCGTCTCGGCTCTCTTGGGAGGAATGATTACCTGGTCGTCAAAACCGAAGTCTAGATTGGCAAGGCCGCTGTCCGTTCTGTGTAAAGGCGGCGGTACATTTCTACGAACAGGCCGGCTAACGTCACCGAGAAAGCTCTGGCGCTTCTGCGTCAAGTTTCTCACAAACAGCTCATTGGATTCCTGCTCCCTGAGCGTCACACTACTGCGCACGGGCTGGGAAGCTGTTGGGGCTTTGGGCTCTGCAGACGGAATGTACGCAGAGACTCTCCTGACACCTCTTTGAGGCCCACCACCAGCAGCGATCCTTTGGCCGAATGATGTGGTCTCACATGCGGTTTTCACCGGTGACGTAGGCACATTCGGCTCTGCGTTTCTGCTCGAAAATACTATGTCCTGCTGAGGAACAGGATCGGAACTGATGACTTTAAAATCTGATAGGCCAGCAGCCTGCTTGAAGTGGTATTTCCCACGGTGGAAATCATTGGACAGCCTCTCCAGCCGCGCGAGCATCGATTTCCCCCCAGGCGATGGATTGAGCGATCCACGTGCCGGACTGGGAGACCTTGAGCGGGAAACACTCGTTGCAGAGCTCCGCGTAGACAGCCTAGTCCCCTCCTCCCTGCGTAGCGATGAGCCAAAAGACTCGGTAGGCGATACACTTACAGTGCTTGGGGAAGCAGCCGACAGCGGTGTTGGACTCCTAGCCATGGAATTGACCGTAAAAGAGCTTCGAGACTGCTGAGAGGGGGGAATTGCAACTGATAACGGACGGAAGCTGCGTTCCGGCTCCGACTCCCGCACACTGGCAGGATCTATCATCTCAAAGTCGATTCCATGAGCCTTCACATGGTGCATGTTGTCGGGAGTAACGCCAAGGTCTCGCGGAATATGCGAGAAAGCCGCGGCAAATTTGGCAGAGCAGACGCTGCGCAAGTCGCCGTCCTCGATACAACCAACCGCCTTGGCAGTAATACTCTCGCTCCTCTCTCGCCTGATATCTCGGCTCGTAGCCATCTTGTGCCTATCCGTATAGGTTTCCGAGGTGATAGTCGCCGTGGAAAACCTGCAACTGTCGAGACCCGATTCGGGCTCTTTGGGCATAGGAGGCATGGGCCGCAGTATTTCATTCTGCGTCATGACAAGGCGCGACCCTCTGTAAGTCGCCCTTATCGAATCCGGCTTTCCAGGGAACTTGCGGCTATTGCCTCTCAGGGCCATGGACAGACGCTTCTGCGCCGTGCTCCCGCTGGGGATAGCTGCCTCGCTCTTTGCCCGCATATGAGGTGGCATCAGTATCCCCGGGTGTGACAACGGTGGGCGGAATGCCTTCTCGCCACTGACCGAACCCCCCGCTTGACCGCGCTGCTGAGAGAGCGCATGGTTGCGTGCTCTCGAGCGGCTGGTCTTGGATCCTGTACTTCGTGTCGATCGGCCCGAGTCGCTCAGCGCCAGCGAGTCGCGCCGCGAGCGCCGCCCGGTCTCGGGCTCACCCGGTGGCGGTGCGTGTGGTGTGCGCGGATCCGCGATCTGCGTTACCACCGCATCGCATGTGTTCATACTCTCGAAGCTGGGCGTTCCATAAAGTGTACGTAGCTCGCCAGCCATCACCGTCATGGGCGAATCAGCGCGGAAGGGAGGTATGTTGGCGGCGTTCATTCCAGCTAGGTGGCCCAGAGCTGCTACCCTGTTGAGAGATTGGGAAAGACGCCGGCGGTCGGCAGAGGAAGATATAGATGTTACCGATAAAGGCATTGTGTTGAAAGATATTCGTACGTACGAGACGAAAATTGGAGATTGGAGGAATAAGTGAGGGCGATGAATATCAACTGATTTTGGACACAAGTGACGGCGATCACAGAAGATACCAGCCTTTCTGTGGTGTTGAAACCTAAAGTTAGGGAATGCTACTGGGTTAGAGTCTATGTATAGAGGAAGGCTCAAAGAATGGGCTGTAATGCAATGATCTTGTTCAGACCGTGTGAACGATCATCCTCGTTCAGGGTAAAGGGTTTATGATATACCGATATGGCCATACAAAGAAAATCAAAACCGGCTTTGAACTATCTACTCAAAGCTCGAGGCTTCTATGAAAATACAATATAGTTGTGATCCACAAGAGCCAATCTTGGTTCTTTGTGCGGATGATGAGAAGCCCATTACCCGGCGTGGCCAAGCTAATTTATGCACAAATAAATTTCACTTCCTGAAGGTATGTAACCCGTTTTGCCACTTGAATCCAGAGCTTGGGTGGCTAGGTTTTACAGAGTTCTACAAAAAGTAACTCTCAAAAGCCTCGAGCAAATTCATTTGTGGTTCATCGGGAACAGTCAGCCTGTGGAATAATCTATTCCCGGGGTACAAATTAGAGAAAGGTGTACTTTCCTAAAAAGTCTCAACCTCTCATCTCCTTCTACGCTGGAATTGGTATCATCTTCTGTAGGAGGAATACCATATTCGAAACTGGTCTCGTCGGCATGACGACCGTACCTGTGCGCACAAATTGAATTCGATCGAGATCTACCCCTATCCGTCACAGTCTGCGACACAATCTTTGCTCGCGCATTGTGATGCACTTGACAAGCTGCAATTATGACGAACTAATGTTTGGATAGATTTGCCAATATCACTAGCCACTGCCTCCTTTCAAACGCGAAATACGTCGTGTGAAAATCTGCCAGGAAACGAAGGACTGCAAAGCACTACAAGGCATGTAACGACGTGATGAAATGCTTGAAATCCAGGAGATGTTCAGCCTTGGTGCCAACGCATTGATCAAGTTGTATTACATGGAACAGAGACTCCCCAGAGCGGCTTCGGCATGCGGGTCTGTGTCTATGGAGTCACGGTACGCGTTTAGTCAATTGATCCAGCAGTGAATGGCGTGGCACAGAATCCGATGCATCTATTAGAAGCCGCACCGAACCATGAATGACTATCCACTCGTTTTGCAGTGTAGAAAGGGTTGATCAGCTCCAATAGCAATCGGCACCGAAGTGGTGAGTGAGTAATGTCTTTTGTAAGCTGGGAGGGAAAATGATCATTGAAACAACAACGACAGTGTTCCATTTTAAAGTATTGTCAATTAAAATTATGTACATTCGAAATTCGGTCCATGAACCCGGCTGCCCTTGGTGCTACATGTATGTATAATCTTACAAAGGTGGAGCATTCGGATCCTCCATGCATTGGTCAACTCGCATCATCTGCTTACCTGTAGCCTTTGCGATCTGGATAAACTCTCTCAGGTAGCCTACCGTGCTCGGGTACAAATAGTGCATGACTACTAGATTGCCACCAGCAGCAACGTCGCGCTTGAAGGCATCGAGCTGCTTTTCCGGCGTGTCGGACTCGGCCCAAAGCCAGTCCTCAACATCCACACTCCAGTTGACGATATACGGTGTCTCGGTGCCCAAAGCCAGGGCAAGACGCTGCCTCATCCGTGCGCCCTCCGTGCCGAAGGGAGGGCGGAAGTACGGTGTGTGCAGACCATTGAACGCCTCTGCCACAGCAGCAAAGTCATTATTGTATTCCCAGTCAATGGCCTCGTAAGATGGAAGACCTTCCATTTTGGGGTGGGTAAACGAATGGAGAGCAATTTGGTGGCCATCGGCCATCATCTCCCGGTAGACGTTTGTCAGGTTGGTGCTAGCATCATCAAGAGGAGCACCGACAGTGAAGAACGTTACTTTGATGTCTTCTTCCTTGACTACCTGCATCACTTGCTGGGCTAGAGTCGGATCTCCGTCATCAATGGCGAAGGCGAAGGAGTTGGGGCGCTTGCAAGCAAAAACAAGATTGCCGCTTGGTAGCTTGGATGGGACGGTGAATTTTGACGGAATAGATGGCACGATCTCGATCTTAGATAACACGGTGGAATCTGTTGAATAAAATCCTAGAAGGGCAAAGCCAACAACCCGGGTTTGGTTGATATTGAAATGCGACATTGGCATATAGATGTCGTTGGCCGAGGAGTAGCGTGCTGCTTCAAGAGAGTCCCACGTCTCAGGAAAGGGTGCGATCGACTCGTTGCACTGCGAATTGTGTTGCTGCAGCGCGACAGAGAACTTGTTGCTTCCGCTGTAGGCGATATGTAGGTATGAGCCACTATAGCTAGTGTAGTCGCTGCAGCTTTCTGAGATCTGAGTGTAGAAGGCATAATCGGCATCATCCGACTTGATTGTGAGCGAGTTTTTGCCATAGGTGAGGGACATGCCCTCGTCGGCACCGTGCCAGAAACCCAGAGCATTCTCGCCATCCGAAGAGAAGTTGTCGATCGTGAAAGCCTTTGCGGTTCCGGAAGGAGCAGGCACGGTAGATGTAGGCCCGGACGGTACCGTGGTCGCAGGGACTATGTACTGAGATGGGGTATTGCCGCAGTAGAAGGCCATGGGGCCAAAAGTTACCGCATTTTTGAAACCTGTGAAGAAGAGCGTGTGCACTTTGGTGACATCTAAACCTTTGAACTTAGAAAACGGAATGCTGTATAGTTGCTCGGTTCCATCGAATGTCCAACCTAGGTTGGTGGTAGTTACGTAAATATTGGCAGTGTCCGTATCGTTGCCGCAGCTATCCGGAGAGCCTAATTGTATACCAAATTTGGTACCTGCTTTAGCCCTGATCGGCAGGGAGATGCCGCCATATGTGTTTTGTGTATTAACGCAGGGTGTGATACTGTAGAAGTACGAATCGGTGCTGTTGGGTGTGAGAGTAACATGGTTGTCTTCACTGACAACGATCGAAGCCATGGTCAAGTCATCGCTAGACGATTGGAGCATGGCATTGTAGTAGAGGAACGTCAACCGTGATTGCGACTCCCAGTCATCAATCAATAAATTACTGCAACTACCTGTTGACGTTGCACTCGGGCTGGTTGTGGATGACGAGGATGATGCCTTGGCCGAGATAGCAGATATGTCAGATGTCATAACGGCTGCTTTGTTACCTGCAGCCGTCAACGACGGGGCAGCTGCGGCGAATGTCAGTCATTTATCGCGCAAAACGAACCCAGTTTGATCATACCTGAAGATGTAGAAATATTGCCACTACAGACTAACTCAATATTGCCAAACTGCCACGAGAAGTCTGTTGAGGAAAAGCCAAACCATACGACACCCTGTATGGCGTCGAGATTCGCGCCGATGAAGGAGCTTAGGGGTACAGTGATTGTTTGAGGGGATCCAGTCAACCCGCTGACTTGATAGTAATAGCTGGCGTGCGCAGACTCTGAACACGATGTGGAAGTTTGTAGCTCAAGGCCCACTGAACCTTCCGCTGGCCCCTGAACGGAAAATGCGACGGCATCGTAACCATTGGTTGTAGCCGTCTCGCATGCTAAAGTCTCGTAGAAATAGGCGCTGGCGCTCGGCGTAAAAGTCAGAGCTCCATTCGAGGCTGATACTGAAGTCATGGTGCCATCCTCTGAAATTCAGTCAGTTCTAATACGTCATACAGCTAATTTATTTTGCATGCGTACCGCTTGTCCATTGGCCTAGGCTATTGGTGTTGGTCGACCACGTCGAGAAATCGTCAACTAGAAGATTTGAGCTGCAGGTGGAAGCCGCATTGCCTTGGCGGCCCTGTCTGGTATATAAGCCGGCCAGCAGACCGGAAAATAATTGGGTCAGCATGATGATAGAACCACTACATGCAGACAGCTGTCGCACAGAAATGAAGCGTAACTGTGGCTACGAGAGAAGGTAACAGCAAACCCGGAGAAGTATGACAAGCGTGACGCTTACCACTCTATATTGATAATGAGGGCAGATGGACCGAGTATATAGTAATTCCCGAATAGCTTGTGGGGCACCAAGATAAAAAGCAAACAATGAGAGGCTGTTTCACCAACTCCGTAATACGAGTACCAGTATGCGGACGTGCAACGTTTAAGCCAACGAGCCGGGCCCCAAGGCTATATTCTCAGGGCAGCCAAGCATGTCATGAGTTGCAATACTTTGCGGAGACATCGGTATCCCCACAGAAGAGAGGATAAATACTACATCCATCCAATATGGATGCAGCGTCCGAGAACAGCCATTATAGCTTAGAACCCCTTCAATATGCATAAGACACAAGCGCGAAGATCAGCCGATTTGCAACCAGTACTACATAGTATGTACGTAGACTAGCATCTTGAGTGGCGCAAGGGCACTGCTCCACGTTGAGGCTCTTTGTGCTGAAGTTGTCGATGCCAAGCCAACGGCTGCAACAGACGGGCTGCACACGCTCTCCATCCGATTTCAGGTGAAGGTGTCGAGGTGCTCATTAGCGGCATCAGATAACAAGCCGGTGCTGCGACAAGCCGCACTTTAATTTCGAACAAAGGGCTGAGGTTCCCCGACCGATTCACGCTTCCAACCTTTGACTTTACTAAGGCGAGCATGCGGAGGCATGTAAACGGGTTAGGCGCTTCTCGGAAGCATCAAGATGTTCGACCTGCATATCGGCTGGAGCTTGGCAATCAAGGACGGAAGTATTGGCTCTCTGATGGGACGTATTTTCGTAACGTGACATGGCTAACATATGTCATAGCCATTCCCTAACGGCAGATCTTCTCGGCTGAGAAAGTGATTGGATATGCCGAGGACCATTGGTGAATGCGTGCGGATTGATGGCGCGTCGGCGCTCAAACCAAAAAAGAGTTGACAATTGTTGCTTCCATGGCGAAAAGAATCACCAAAATTGTATCGGCAGTTAAGAGTTGGTACAGGGGCAAGGTACGATATACATGCAGTAACCTAAGGTCAGTACATACATATAAGGTTAGTACCTTATGACCAACCTAGACTAGTGCTAGACCAGTCTAGTCTGGGAGATCCCCTGGCACTAGTGGTACTATTTACGTACCACGAATAACTCAAAGCGTCCCCCTCCCCCAGAAGGGGGAAGATACACACAGCTTTATGGATGATGTGTGTCAATGATAACTGTTTGCGAAGATAGAGGGCAGTGAAGAGAAGCTATGGCAGGTTTTTGATACTTGGTTACAGATCATCCTAGCGAGATCGAAAGGCTCCTTTTTCTTTTTCTTCTTTACCCATGACGTGCTGGGCGATAACTCAAAGTCACAAGATTGCCTTTGCCCTTGCTGCCCGCTGCCCTCTGTACACGTAGATCCGTAGCTCTGGGACTTTGATGCATTCTGAACGGGCCATGTTGCAGGTTGCAAGGGGGGATACGGCGGTGGGCTATGGGGCAGCACCGCCACAATTTCAGCAGGAAGCAGCCCCGGAGCACGCTGGCACTCAAGCGCCACTTCTCGTAACCACAGTTTAACCCCCGGATGGAAGTTGCATCAGAACTATGAGAGCGGCCGTGACCTTGGCCTTATTTATTGTTTGATCCGGAATTATATCATGATAGATCCCTTCCAAACCATCAGTATTCCTGTGAAACGTCGCTAGAGTTCGTGACGCCCGTGGGGAAGAGCGGGTCTTACTGAGTCGCAATGGGTGAGTTGTTCTGCTGCAGTGGATTCCCCGACACAGTGGTGCGCGAGACTGACCTGACCGGCGCCAGAGTCGCCACGACCGTCGCGTGACTCCTTGTCGTCTGTCTCGACGACAAGTCTCGTCTTCGAGCGGATCAGTGAACGGGAGAAAGCCAAACCCCAGAGCAACGATCTCTCCGACTTCGACGACGACGATCCGCTCAGCAATGGCGACAATGACGAGACAGGTGCCTTCCTGCCGTCCGCCGCTTCGCGCGGTAAGGGCATACCAATGGACCGCAAGCTAAAACGAGTCATCATCATACTGGCTGGTCTCCTTGTCGCATCATGGGGCATCGGCCTCTTCACCTTCATAACCTCCAAGACGTATCAGCATTCCTCTCAGAAGGAGCATGATCCGCAGGCTACCAGCTCGCGAGGCTCTGGGAAGAAGATCAGGCTGGACCAGGTACAATCCGGCTTCTTTGCGCCCATGAGCCATGCTATCAGTTGGATCGAGGGCGCCAATGGGGAGGACGGGCTGCTGCTCGAGCAAGGGGCTATCAAGAAAGACTACCTGGTTGTCGAGGATGTACGAAGTCTCAACTCTGAGCGCGTATTCGCTGGCGAAGAACAATTAGCAAAGCAGACGCTCATGCGTAATAGCTGGTTCAACTACAAAGATCGACAAATCTCTCCCCAGAAGGTCTGGCCGAGCCCCAACCTCAAGAAGGTTTTGATTGCGACAGATGTCAAGAAAGACTGGAGGCACTCGTTCACCGCCGTCTACTGGTTATTCGATGTTGCTACCCAACAGGCCGAACCACTCGACCCCAGCAGTCCGGATCTCAGGGTACAGTTGGCGCAGTGGAGCCCTCAGAGCAATGCTGTAGCGTACACCAGCACCAATAATCTGTTTGTTCGTCGCCTAGAAAACCCCAAGGCTGTCCAGATTACCAAGGACGGTGGCCCAGAATACTTCTACGGTATTCCCGATTGGGTATACGAAGAAGAAGTTTTTGGGGGTAACAGCGCGACATGGTGGTCGGAGAATGGTGCTTTCCTGACCTTTCTGCGCACCAACGAAACCCTTGTCCCCGAGTACCCTGTGCAATACTTCATCGAACGCCCAAGCGGAACAGACCCCCCACCAGGCGAGGAGGCCTACCCCGAAGTACGTCAAATCAAGTATCCCAAAGCTGGCTCGCCAAATCCCTTCGTAGACTTGCTCTTCTACGATATGGTCCGTGGAGATATGTTCGAAGTAAACATCGCGGGCGGCTTCGCTCCAGAGGATCTTCTGATTACCGAAGTCGTCTGGGCTGGCACTCAGGTCATCGTCAAGGAAACAAACCGTGTTAGCGATATTATGCGCGTTGTTTTGGTCGATGTTGTGGCTAGAACAGGCAAGACTGTGCGGATCGATGACGTTGCTAAGATTGACGGCGGTTGGTTCGAGATTTCCCACGACACGCGCTACATTCCGGCCGATCCCGCAAATGGTCGTCCGAATGATGGCTACATTGACACGATCGTTCATGACAACGGTGACCATCTAGCCTACTTTAGTCCCTTGGACAACCCGGAGCCTGTCATGCTTACATCCGGCAAGTGGGAAGTCGACGGAGGCCCGCAAGCCGTGGACCTTAAGAATAATCTAATCTACTTCAGGGCCACCAAAGAGTCGTCCATCCAACGACACATCTACAGCGTAAAGATAGATGGTACGGACCTGAAGCCCGTCACTGACACTTCGAAAGAAAGTTTCTATTCTGCGTCTTTCTCAAGCAATGCTGGATACGTTCTACTCTCTTACCAAGGCCCGAGCATTCCGTGGCAGAAAGTTCTCAGTACTCCAGGTAATCCGAACACGTATGAGCACTTGATTGAGGAGAACAAGGACCTAGCCGCCAAAGCTCAGCGATACGAGCTACCCCTGTTGGAGTATGGTACCATCCATGTTGATGGCTTCGATTTCAACTACGTGGAACGCCGACCACCTCACTTTGACCCGACCAAGAGGTATCCTGTGCTCTTCCAGCAGTACCAGGGTCCAGGTTCGCAATCTGTCACAAAAGCATTCAAGGTCGACTTTCAGTCTTATGTTGCAGCTGCTCTTGGCTACGTTGTCGTCACGGTTGACGGTCGCGGTACGGGCTTCATCGGGCGAAAAGCTCGAGTAGTGGTTCGAAAGAACCTTGGTCGCTGGGAAGCGCATGATCAAATAGCCGCTGGTAAAATATGGGCCGCCAAACCCTATGTTGACGCCGACCGCCTCGCCATCTGGGGCTGGTCTTATGGCGGCTTTAACGCGCTCAAGACCCTTGAACAGGATGCCGGTCAGACCTTCAAGTATGGCATGGCTGTCGCGCCTGTCACGGACTGGAGATTCTATGACAGTATATACACGGAGCGGTATATGTTGACACCCCAGGAGAATCGCGCCGGCTATGATGATACCGCTGTCAACAACGTCACAGCTCTCTCGGGCAACGTTCGTTTCTTGATCATGCATGGGGTTGCAGACGATAATGTCCACATGCAGAACACCCTGACGCTCCTCGACAGACTGGACCTTGCTGGAATTGAAAATTATGACCTTCACATGTTCCCGGACAGTGATCATGGCATTTACTTTCATAATGCTAACAAGATTGTCTACGATAGTAAGTTGCTCGCTTGGGATATTTTAGCTTTTGATTAACAGTGTATAGAATTGACGAACTGGCTTATCAACGCTTTCAACGGCGAATGGTTGAAGATTACGGATGCAAAACCTATTGTAGAAGCACGTAAAAGAAACTTGGAGGAGATCAGGAAGAGAGATATCGCCCTTGTGGGATGAGCAATGCTTTGCGAAGTCCCACCGTCTAGATGGCGTTCATGGAGTTTTGAGCCTTCAAGTTAGTAATGATTCGGATATATTTCAGCAGCAATTTTAATAATACAAAGATTGCAAATTATCACCGCGAGCTCTAAACACGGTAGTTCTCCGAGTCGCATTGCACTCCATCCTCTACCGCCTTGGCTATGACAACTGATCTTGTCTCAAATTATACCGCTGGCTTTCCACTTAATGGCACCATTTACTAGCTAAATACTTCTGCATGAATATAACAGGGTTTTCCCGTCTACTGATAACAATGAAAAGCCCACCACAAAATGAACCATTTGCGGCCTTCGCGATCTCTACAGTAGCACCCTACCAGCCTACCACTGACCATCATTGTTACGTGCTGCGATGAGACGAGCCCGGCTCATCTATGTATGTACCTGCGTAGTATGCGGGGCCACGATCATCGGGTGGCAAAATGTTGGTGGAGTCAGCCCCTTCCCCCTCCCCTGATTCCCTCAGAAACTAAAGTAGGGAGGTAGCGGAGGCGAGACCCTGAAAAAACCAATACACGCATTAGTGCAAATGCACAGACCAATATAGCCAGTGTGTACCTACTTTAAGAAGACGGCCTTTCTCGGAGTACCGCTGGACACTTTCGACCTGCTGCTTCTACTACAATCACATTTTGATTCCAACGCTGACAGGCCATAGCAGCTGCGATATTGGCCAAGCATGGAGTCCTACACGTTCCTTTCGCAGGCATCGTTGGCCGCAACAATGATGGCCGCAACCGCTTGCACCTATGTCGCCTGCACTCCACCCCATCCCAATTCCGGGAAACCCACACAAACCAACGATTTTATCTCGACCTTGAATCTTACGCAGAAGCACAATATCAAAATTCTGTTGGCTCCTCTGTGTATCCTTGCGTTGCACTCATCTATACTGGCTCTTTTCTACCCACATATCCCGCCAGGCATTCTCGGTTACGGCGCCGAGAACGGGCCCAATACGGATCTGCTCACGTGGTCGGCCGCGACCACCATCCCGCTAGCTCTAATACTGCTCGCGGGGGTCCCGCTGCGACTGATATCATATTCGTCGCTGGGGAAGAACTTCACCTTTGCGCTCACCAAACCAGATCGCTTGACGACCACTGGCATTCATCGCTATCTGCAGCACCCCAGCTACACGGGGGTGGTGATTCTCATCGTTTGTAACATAGCATTGTTCGCCAGGGCGGACGGCGTGGCCAGTTGTTGGTTCCCTCAGGAGTGGGTACGGTTCTGTCAAGCTGTGAGACCGACCTCAATCATCCTTGGTCTGTCCATGTTGGCCTTTGCCGTGTGGAGGCGCGTACAGGAGGAGGAGGATATGCTACGCTCTGAATTTGGTGCCGAGTGGGAGAAGTGGCACGCAAGGACTGCGCGCTTCATTCCTTGGGTGATATAAGTCACGTTTCATGTCCGCAGACCATCATATCATGAATTTTGAATTGACATATACATTGCTCAACGCACCGAGCCTACGTTTCAAGTTCCGATTCCGTTGCTGGGGCTGTTTTGAGTATGCACTTCCGGCCCTTCGAAAACTCCATTCTACATGCTTATGTCCTGGGGTCATCCTGAACAATGGTGTCCGTGATATGGTGATATCAGATGGCACATGTCGTGTACATCATATCACCATCAATGAGGGCGGCGATTTCAGATTCTCGTGCTAAAACTTGTACGGCAAGATCTACCGAGTGGCACGTCGAACTGGTCAAGCGTAATATATGAAAGGCCTCTCCTGCATAGTCACCCATACTTTGCACTCCAATACCAATCATTACCCAAGTGTACATCGACATGACCGTCTCGTGCTGTTGGAAAGTATCTTTGAATTCAACCGATAGTTTTGCTACGCTCTAACTCGTTCCTAACGGCGGCGAATACGTTTAGGCCGAATTAGCGGCCAACAGTATTCCGGCTATCGCTGAGACCCTTGGCTTCATATTCTACGATTTTAGGCCTAGTTAGTATGAATCTGCTCGGCAGTGTAATTTGATGTAGAATACGGATAGAGATTCTGAGGATAACAGCCTGCCTACTTTGAGGCCAACCTTGAGCCAGAAAGCGTCAACATTGTATTGAATTCTGTTTCTGGGGCAATCCTCCCGGGAATTCTTTGAGGAAGCTTTTCCATGCACAGCTTCGTTGATCTGTAACGGGTTGTGGTAACATCTTATCTCCTACTGTATAAACTATTAGCATGAATAGTCGGCACAAATAGTATTATGAACACATGGAAAGCCAAACGAACATAAATATGCACCGGGAGGGTTTACTTAACGTGTCTCGCTTTCCTCTTGACATATTCTGTGTTTTCATTTCATTTCAATTCAAGGGGTCATTATGCAGATTATCTACCCCATGACACCTCCTAATTTCAAAAATGTATAAATTACCATGAAACCAAAAGCGTTGTATCGTCTATCCGAAGTTTTGTACACGTAGCTTAAAAAAGAAAATTAAAAATTTACGGTATAATAATTCTCATGTAAATGCTGCATAAAACTCTAATCTCTCGTGAAAATAAAAAGGGGGTATAATTATCATTAGTAATTATGATAAAAAGCAACATTATTATATCAATGCCAAAATAATAGCCGAAATTGTTAGGAAGGCGTTTATGCCCAACTTGTAGCCGCTTGACGTGTCGTCGTGTGGTGCTGGGAATATAAAGGGCTGGAAGCTGCCGGCTGTATCGGTGTCGTCCAGGTTGCATACAGTCCCACTGGCGTTAGCAATGGGTGTAGCATCGCTGAGGTTGTAGGTGACTTCGATCCACTGTATCTCAAGCAGGGCCGAATCGCCCAGCGTCATCATCCGTGTCCATGTACCTCCGTTGCCTACATGCATGTCCCACGTTAGTTCCTCTGTTTATGCACCGTTAGATTGGACAATATCACTCACCCCACATTGTCAGATATAGATGGCTGGGTTCGACAGGAACATTGGTATAGGTGTTTGCCATTTGGACTCCATCCACATACCAGACCACCTGGTCTGACACCCAATCCATGCGGTAGGTGATCCATTTCTCCCTGGTGAGGTCGTTGGGAAGCGACATGTTGAAATGTGTCGCGTTGATGTAGTTGCCATGAACATCGATACTGGGCTGAGTATTGAAGCCAACAATGTCTTGATCATCGCGAGTCAACAGCTCCATATCGGCTTCTTGTGTGTCGTTCTCATAGGTGAAAAAGGCAGCACAGGCACCGGGGTCGCCGGTAACACGCGCCTTCAAACGCAGCGACAAGTACAAGATAGAGTCCTCATTGAAATCAATACCGCTAGACTGTTGCGATGCCTCGTTTTCCCTGGAGCTGAGAAAGCTTAGGGCGGTAGTCGCATCAGAGTCATCTGTTACATTTGCTGCCATACGGGTTAGCACTTGATGACTTGCTTTTGCCTAACAAGCAAATGCGTGATTTATATCTCTTACTCATTGCGACTTTGCTCAGTTGGTAGTCAATTGGCAACAACGGGTTGTTGGGGTCGTTCTCTGCATATCTCAGGCCGTCCCTCCGTTGCCAGTCGAGCGACCAAGACATGTCGCTGGTCGAAGCTCCTGCTGTTTCATTATTGGGTGATGTTGCGTTTTGTACGGAATCCCACGTGTCTGAGGGGATGTTTCTGAAATCATAGAAGCGATAGTAGCTAAATTGTGAGGCAGCTGTGCCGTTTGTACTGAATGCAGAGCAGTTTGTGTATGCCGTCGCGGCTGGGAGGGCTGAAAGGCACCAAAACAGAGCAAGGAGAATGCGGTGCAGTGGGAGAGCACCGCCAACGGCGGGCTGACCTCCACGGGCTAGCATCGCGGACGCGGAACCGGGTTGTTGAAAATGCGGGCAACTCCCCTCAAGAGTTCCGTCCAAGAGATGCTTGCAATGGAAGCAAGAAGGAGCGACGTGAAGCAGTGACAAGATGTGACGGAAAGCAAAACCGCATCGAAGAGGTAATAAGTCCCATAAGTTCAGTTCAGTTGCTTAATCAGGAAAATTCGTCTCCGCCTGGAATAGCCGGTGACGCCCGAAGAAATACGAGAGTCGCCTTCCATGTATGTGGGACTGCCCTTCTAGTGGCCATCGTTTCCTGGTACTATAGCAGGCGCACGCGAGGGATTTGAGGGAAAACGTTCGTAGGGCAATTTTAGAATCCGTATTACAGCCCAAGTGAGTGGTTCAGCTAGACCGATAAGAGCTGGTGTAGAAGAGTTTTGAAGGGAAAACAAGCGGCTCATCAACTCTATTGCGGATAGGCGTGAAAATGCTCGGTCCGTTACCTGCGTCAGGCTTAGCCCGGGCTGTATAAGGCATAGTACAAATCCTCAGCCATGCTGTGATACGGCCGGCCATGACACAGACCCACCTGTCAGCGAGTTGAGCTCAAGCCAGGAGAAGATGACCAGGGGAGCCCCAGCACGCCCAGCCAATGGAGCCTTTTGCTGGCCCCTGTACGGATCCGTAAGGTCCTGGGGAGTCTAACCGGCTCAAGACCCTCTCAAGCCTCCGAGTGAAGGCCAAGCTTTTTCTCCATACTATATGAAATGGCATGATTTAAGCATCCAAACATAGTATACCTCAAACGAGCAAGGTCGGATTGAGGATACGGAGAAGGTATGGATCCGCAGAGAGAGTGGTTCTACCGGGTTTTACATGCTAAACGATGCCGTAGAATGGATTGGTTTGTCGTAGTCGCGAGTCAACCTATCTCGATAAGCACCAACACCTTGAAATGGTCTTTAGCTTGGGCTCGCTAGGATCCCGTCGAGAGTTCACAGGCGCGTGACCATCCACACTCCATATATTTGCTCCACAAGATAGAGATACTGTAGTAACATCTCCGCAGCTTTTGCGGAATATCTGTAACAGGGTCAAGGTCGAAAGAAGCTCCCAGCGCCACAGTCACGTCCTAGAGGCGGAAGACCAGCACTGGCCATCCACAATATCAAAAGCCGTTGTTTGTGACAGCTGAGGCGACGGCTGAGGCGGATCGACGGAGTAGTCTTCCAATAAATAGTTCATGAGCGGTTGCATAGCGTTTGCATGGCGTTTGCATGGCGTTTGCATGGCGTTTGCTTTAGTTCGCGAGCTACTGCAGGACATCCTCGGCGCCGGATACCGACTATGCCGACCAAGAGGAATTGTCTGCAGTACATAGGTCAGCAAGCGAAGGAGTTTTAAATTGACACAACCCAGCGCTCTCCACCATCGACCGTTTGAGAAGACGCATTGGATCCTCAACTTCAACAACGGATCCAAAAGCTCACGACACGTGTTCTCAGACCAGTACATATTATGATGCGATGGCATAATACCAATATGTCAGCTCCTTACTTGACGCCTCTTTTCTCAAACTATTTGACTTGCCATGCGAGATCGAGTGGCTGCAACTATGTTTAATTTTGCCGAAGCCTTGGACAGCAGCTACTAAAAGGTAAGATGAAAAAAAGAAAAAACTTTCCTTGTTAATAATCTTGAAAAAAAACTTTTTTATTAAAGAAATCAATTCCGCCGGATGACTGGAGGTTTCTGCGAAAGACTATGCGGTGCGCTTCGAGTTGTTTAGCTGGGTCTCGCTGCCGTCTCTGAATCCCAGATGCCGTAGTTTTACAAGTCGGCAGCGACCGACAAAGGTTCAAGGAAATAATAATACTGGAACGGGGGACTAATATGGCACAAGGCTGAGGCGACAACGTGGCTCGGTCTATTGAATGTATTACGCCGAACGTTGAACAACAGCACTAACAAATTTCATCTCGCCGGCAAGTTTGTGGCTGCGGATTATTGCATGATAGTGCTATGAAGCCGACTAGACAAGGAGCATCGGGATAAGTCTCGCCAGATGTTTCGACTACTAAAAATCAACCGGTCCATGCAGCTTAACATACCAGGATGATGTATAGACCAAAGCCGCTGCCGTTTCGGTTGTTTGCAGCGTTTACTTCTGGTGTCAATAGACGTGCCTTTTTGTACGCGCAACATTTATAGTCTAGTAATCCCAATGCTGCGTTATGATCCATGGTCATAGGTCGGTGGAGACTCCACGCTCAATATTGTCCGCTTGTCTTGCGATCTTCGGCCCCAAATAAATGTTCGTTATTGCAACTGATACCATATTGACCCCGCTAAACCACACCGTTGTTGTATACGCGCAATTTGGCAAAACACAGTTCTGGATGCCAGCGGGCAGCAAGATCACTGTCGAATTATCAGGTGTAATGTCTACGGGGTAGTACAAGCAGCGCATATTCATCACCGACAATTTACTTTTAGGGCTATTTTTACCATCACCCCATGTATCTCTTCGTGAGTTCTGAAGGCCAGCAGAGCAGCGTGCTGAGATTACACCTTTCAACACGTTGGACCAAATTCGTCACGCGGCACGATATAGTAGCAGGTCCTGGATACTGAGTATAAAGCCGTGGGACTGGTCAAAGTGTTCTGTATCTGGAGCGACGCGACACGCACTATTTTCAGTTGGTATCTGGGTTGGCGTGAGATCTTTATCAAGCTATAGATTTTGGGCGAATACCACACTCACATATTTGGCGACTTGCGCCAATTGACCTGTCCACAACTCTGACAGTTAAGTCGGCGCCCTGTGCTGATCGACACTGCTTCGTCGATCGCCTTCAACTTTCTGCTTATAACTTAACTGAACCCAATGTACTTGAGACTTTTGAGAAGGGCTGAAAATAGACGGACAGGTTGTGGAGTTTTGCATTCCCAACTTACATGTACTTCAAATCTAACATGGCTTTTGCTAATATCGCGAATCTAGACCAGAGTATCGACGTTCAGTGTCTACCATAGTTGCTATGTTTCGGGCCATCCACACATTGGTAGGACAGACACCTGCTCAGAGCTGTATATTGTGTAATTTTACATCTTACTGATTTGAAAAGTACCTACTCATCGACTTACCATTATTTATGTTTCAAGTGATGGCTCTCACGCTTTTTGAATCTTGTCTTCATAACGATGAAATTTTATTGGTGTTTTTCACCTTGCTAGTTGATAGGTCAATTTAAGATGGTAGGAGAGAACGCATTACGTCCACTATTTTGCAATATCCCCTATGAAACACTCTAGAAAAATCATGTCAAATCTCGATATCTTTCGGGCCTCCTCCTACTTTCGTTAACGAACATTCCACCGTTCTCCGAGTAACAAACAAAGCCATGATTAGTCACGCCCTCAGGGAATGCACTTGGTAGCCTGTTTTTAATCGCATCGGTAGCCCACTTTTTAGGAACGTGAATTTCACTATTCACAGCCTTATCACTAACGTGGACCTTGTTTGACTTACAAAGATGCTAAGTCACGAGATCGGAAAAATAGAATTGAAAAGCCTTATTTCCCCGTTTTATACTAAATCGGAAGTTGCAGAAAAGGCAAAGAAGATCGCTCCGATCTATGAGTTCAAGGCAAGTTCATGCCCTTTGCCAGCCACTATTTATAGATCGAGGAAACCTAAATACGGGTCGGCGTCAATAGCGATATGTAATACTACACTTTTAAAATAAGAGAAAAAGCCGCCGAAAAGAAGCACACTGAAAAATCAAAACCTTGGTCAATAGAGCCTGCTACAATGATGATGAAGCGTGGTGGCGAAACCCAAGTACTAGCGATCTGCTGAAACTATCAAATGCCAAAAAGATGTTAAAGATCTGCATTGATTTGTTAGAACTTGTTGAAGCAGGTTGTTTGAGGACACACTCTTAAAGTCAAGTTACCTCGCTTTTTATTCCGTGGCTTTCATGCTCAGTCAGGTGGCAGTTTCGACCCGCGTCTTAACCACAAGGACCGAATTGTATCTCATGGGTTTCTAAACAGAAAGAATCGACTGCCACTTATAGTATAGTCAATATCCGGGGCATGATCAAAGGGCATCTTGGAGGCAGCAGTGTCAAATCCGATTTCAGTTTCTGGTTAGTTGACCTAAAAATGATTATATAGCCATTATTGATACATGATTACCTGAACCTTACGTTGATTTGCATTACATAGTGGACATGCAAAAGGCTGAAGTGGCGGAGTATGGTTTACTACATGAGTAGCTAGTTTATAGTCCACCACATGGGAGGGCCTTCCAATGCGTTTTTATCGATAACCTAAAACAAGATGGGATTTACTCACATCTTCGACTCATACAATCAGGTGCGCCATACTACAATTCGCAAAATTCCTTCCATGCAAAGGCGGAGAGACCTTGTGGCAGCTGCAAGAAAAGGTGGCATGCTCTTCCAACATAAAGACTATGTGCATTCGCATTTTGCCATAGCCGTGCTGCTGCCATAGTGGGCTATCACTACGCTGGACAAGGAGCAACTAAACTTGACCAGTATCCAGTACGTAGTTTGTCTTCGTGTATATCGAAGGAGCCAAGACAGTCAGCCGATCAAAACATCGTATAGGAGCCAAAAGTCTGACGAACTCCTTTGACCCGTACGGCGAATTTTCCGGCATTGAAGTTCATGATCAACTTGCCATTGCTTTGGAACAACTGGCCTGTACTTGAAAGACTAAAAAAGAGGTACAATCAACAATGTGGCATGGTATGAGACGCTGCTTGATATTCGAGGTGGTCAGACACGGCACACTATTCTGTAGTTCGTTGGGTTACAATTTATGTCTGATTTCTTTCCACAAATGCAATTTCTAGTTTACGCTCATATGGGGTATGGGCAGCTGTGAGTGATACCTGCAAAGAGAAAGACAGCCTTAAATCTAAGTCTGTATTTTTGATGATCAACATTGCCGACCAGCAACATTTCGCGTTGCCTGTTTATAGTGCTTGGGTAGATTTGTGTCTAGGCCTTGCAACCAATCCTACAACGAGCACAACGATTGGGTTAAAGAGAACAGGATAAAAGGAATGATATGAGAATAAGTAGCTTATTGGCTCTATCTCAAACGAGATGTTGGTTCCGAAATGATGTTGCTTATTAACGAGACTCCGAAAAGTGCACGAAAATTTGTGACGAAACTGCTGAGGGGGCGTCGGTTACATTGCGCCTGAGCAGTTGCATTTAGGCAGTGCAACGTATCATGGCGCCAAGTATAAACCATACTGGGAAGCGTACGGTGCAGCGGGGAAACGACCGCCAAGACGCAGACCAGTTCGTGTTTCTACCAAGTAGACCCGTCCACCACGGAGAGCCTTTGTTGTGCTGCTCACGACATCGTCGCTGAAAGACCAACACGATGCAGATGCACTTTGGGTTCGGAATGCTATCAGCGGGTCTGCAATCAGCATTAGTGGCTGCTACCGGCTATCACAGTCGGCACGCAGGAGTGCCAGGTCGGTCCCAACTCATTTCCCAATGGGACGTCCAGTCCATCGCGGCAGTTAAAACGGATTCGATCGAACTGTCTCTCCCGGGTGCCGATGTTTCGTCGTGGCATCATGTCAACGCATCGCGCTGCACTCTCATGGGATGCTTGTTAGAGGCTGGAGTCTATGACGAGTCGCAGCTGTTCTATTCGGATAATCTCAAGCAATTCGATCGGGGTCAATTTTCGGTGCCATGGTTATACCGATATGAGTTTTCTTTGAGTCCAACTGAAGGGCAGCACTACTTCCTAGAGACGAATGGCATTACTTCGAAGGCCGATTTATACCTAAATGGCCATCAAGTTGCGAACCAAACAACACAAGTCGGAGCGTATGCCGGCCATACATATGATGTTACTGGTACCGTATTGAAAAATAACGCTCTTGTCGTTCAGGTTTACCCAACCGATTACAACTATGATTTTGCCCTGGGTTTCGTCGACTGGAATCCCTATCCTCCAGACAATGGCACAGGCGTTTGGCGTGATATCTTTATCAAGCGAACTGGGTCCGTGGGTCTTACATCCCTCCGGACCACGACCGATTTTGAGCTGCCACACGCGGATGGTAGTGCCTCAATCACCGTAATCGCAACCGTGCGGAATTTGGAAGATCGCGATGTGATCATTGAAGCGGAGAGCGCAATAGCGAGGATAGGAAGCTACGATGTGCTGACAAAGACCCATGTTGGGAGTCTCAAGGCATTGGGATCTATGGAACTGAGTCTGACAACAGTTGTGCACAATGCAGCGATCTGGTGGCCGAAAGCATGGGGAAAACAACCACTTTATAGTGCCCAGCTGTCTATTACAGTTGATGGAACTGTCTCCGATAGCACGAGCACGACATTCGGTATCCGTAAAGTCACTTCAGAGCTCAATTCAAACAACGATACCGTGTTCAGGGTGAATGGCCATCCATTCCAGGTCTTAGGTGGAGGTTATTCGGCGGATATGTTCCTTCGTTGGGATAGTGCCAAATTCACAACGCAAGCTCAATACATGCTCGATTTAGGTCATAATACCGTACGGCTTGAAGGAAAAAACGAGCACCCTGAGCTATATGCTATCGCAGATCGTATGGGACTGATGGTATTGCCCGGCTGGGAATGCTGCGATAAATGGGAAGCGTGGGCATACAACGAAGATCTAGCAGTCAAGGACGAGTGGAGCGATAGCGATTATGACACTGCAGATGTAAGTATTAGGCATGAAGTGGCCATGCTCCAAAGTCATCCAAGTGTGCTTGGCTACCTAGTTGGAAGTGACTACTGGCCAGATGATAGAGCGGCATCTATCTATCTCCAAGCATTCAAGGACAGTAACTGGCAGAACCCGATTATCGCATCTGCTTCAAAGAGAGGATATCCTTCGCAACTTGGTCCGTCTGGAATGAAAATGGCGGGACCGTACGATTGGGTGCCGCCTAACTATTGGTACGATACTGACTCAAACGAAGATCGCCTGGGGGCGGCATCCGGCTTTGGGTCTGAGTTGAGTGCTGGGGTCGGTACGCCAGAATTAGGCAGCTTGAAAAAGTTCCTTACTTCTGAGGACATGGACGCTCTCTGGCAGAACCCAGACGAGGGTCTATATCACATGTCAACAAATGTGTCCTCGTTTTATAACCGGAAGATTTACAACGAAGCGCTATGGAATCGCCTCGGTGCACCACAGTCTCTGGACGACTATCTGCTCAAAGCTCAAATATTGGATTACGAGGCAACTCGTGCTCAGTTCGAAGGTTTCTCAGCGTATTGGAACGCGGAAAGACCCGCTACGGGCATGATTTACTGGATGTTGAATAATGCCTGGCCAAGTCTGCATTGGAACCTATTCGATTATTACCTGCATCCGGCTGGATCTTATTTCGGCGCAAAAGTTGGAAGCAGACAGGAGCACGTCGCCTATAATTACGCTCATAAGTCAGTTTACCTTATCAACCATTCGATTGACGTTGTTGGGGCCAGGTTTGTGGTCATTAAGGCCATTGGCTTGGATGGCACAGTCATCAACAGCACAACTCTTGACGTACAAACGTGGCCAAATACAAGCAGAAGAATCCATGATCTCTCCTATCTCAGCTATCCTACTGACGTCATTTTTTTACAATTCATTCTAATGGATGTTAAGCATAACATAATTAGCAGAAACGTCTATTGGCTGGCCAAAACGCTTGATACTTTGGACTGGGAGAATTCTGACTGGTTCTATACTCCCGTAAACGAGTATGCAAATTACAGCGCTCTAGAAAGCCTTCGGGAGGCAAATGTTGTCGTATCAGCAAACACATTGCCTCATGGTGACACCACGAAAGTAGTGCTGGAAAATAAGTCCGACGGTCTCGCCTTCTTCATCAGTCTTAACCTCGTCGACGATGCTGGCCAGGATGTATTGCCTGTGTTCTGGTCTGACAATTATGTGAGCCTTTGGCCACACGAAACACTCGAATTGGAAGTTGAGACGTTTGGGAGCAAGGCAAAGACGCTTCAGATCAGAGGATACAACGTGGCAAAATCCATTGTGTCTATACACCACATGTAGTTTGCTAAGGGGCTACGAGAGTGTCACTTGTCACTCCTTCTACATATCTCTAGCGCAGTATGAGATACGCATTGATCCGAAACATCATCGGCAAGAAGACAAGTAATCTGTGACCATCTCACCCAGAGAACCTCGTCAAGAGAGGGCTTCGTTAAGACAGGGCTTTGGTCACGTGATACTATAGCAATAATCATCGATCAGCCGCTTAGCTCCGCCTCTCAGCTACACTTCAGCAAGCACAACCGAACAGTATTTCCGTCATGGAGAACGATTTTGCCATTGCACATGCCTAATCTTAGAGCTACTGAACAACAAACCTATGAATTCTTGACCTACTCTACAGAGAGTGTCTATACACGACGTCATGATGGATTTGATACACCAAGGAGAAGAAGCGGGGCCGGATCCGGAAGCTGAACAGCATAGCGACTTGACGTTCCATAGATTCATGGACCTGCCTCCCGAGCTTCGCGAGGCTATCTGGCGGAATGCACTTCCAGAGCCACGCATCGTCAGTGTCCTGGTGTACGCATTTCCGGGGCTGAAACTAGCGCCGCTGAACCGCGGCGAGCTCAAGTTGGACTTGTCTCAAGTGTGCTACGAATCGCGGCGTGTCGTCAGAGAAGCTGGCTATGTCTTGGCCCTCAGGGACGAAGATGACCCAAAAGATACTGGAGTTTGGTTCCATCCTAAGAGAGACATCCTCGAAAGAACGTTGTGGGGTCCGGGAGAGGAGGAATGGGGCTTGAGTTAGTAGCAAGACATAAGCACGACCTGTCTTTTTTCATTTCAATATCATTCCCACTAACTTCTTGTACGGTGCTTGGGATTTGGCCAAAACCTGTGCAGTGTAGCTTAGGCTCTTCAAAATGTCCATATGCATCCAACAAGCATTCAGCGATCTGAAGTACCGTCAACTCTAGATGCATGTCTTTTAGGACCACTTTGTGATTGCTCAGGTGTGTCCTCAAGGCGAAGTGTCTCAGACAGCTTGGCCAACTATAATGTGATCCAGCGACAAAATAGCCGCGCAAGGAGGAGGTTGTGAAGGATAATTAGAGGCTGCATATCATTTGGTTATGTGGTGGAATTGACAATATTGGGTGGTAGGCTAGGCGGGTATACATTTCCCCAGTAACAAGCTGGAGGTTGGTTTCGTGTCTACTTGTTTCAAGCACTGGTTACTTAGATGCGTAGTAGCCTTATAATATCCAATGAACCAAAAGTTTTCAACCACCTCCCGGGGGGAGGCTGAGAGGTACCCAGGCAATGACTTGGTGGTTCAGTGGTGGATGGCTCCGGCTTTAACACCTGGTTGGGTTTCGATTCCCTAAAAAGAGGCTCCGGGTCCTAGGATCGATTCGGATAACTACTTAACCTCTTTTTTTTTCTTCCCCCCTTTTTTTTTCTCCTTTTGCAACTTTCTCAATCTTACCTTTCTTTATTTGTATCCCTCCTCTATTAGGCTTACTTTTTCTCGTGCTTTTTAATATCGAGCATCTGGTCATAGATACTGCCATCCACAGGACATTGAACGGGAGGATAAAAACAATAAGTGACACGTCTAGAAGCGCGTTTGTCAGGATTTGACAGATTCACGATTAAACTACCTACACAAGGAGGTCAGACGAACAACGACCAATGCCCAATATCTAATAACGTCCTACCATCATGTGATGCAAATCTCAAAAAGCGAATCAAACCTGCTGCCACAGCCGCACCTGCCCGAGGAAAATCCGAGTTTGGGATTACCCAGATGAATTCTGCCGCGCCGATAAACAATCAGTACACATATTCCTCTTTGCCCTCCACTAATACACACTCCGCCATGCTCATATCCACGGGATGCAGAACCGCCACTGCTACACTCAGTCAAGCCAGTACTACGTTCTTACCCTTCACAATCTACCAACTGTCGATACAATCACGGTTATGTTCTTCATGATCATCCCAACCGATTTATGCCTGCTCGGCAGTGTCGAGAAACTATGCTTGGGTATTCCTGCACAATACAGAACTGGTTAGGTAAGCTCAAACAAACGAATTGTCCTCATCATACTACTTTCTTTTTCCCCGAGCTGTCAAAAGGGGGAGGACCAGAAGAACCCCATATGAAACGAAGGATACTGGCTTTATGATGACCAATAAGCCCTAACCTGATAAGCCGACCACTGCATCGAGTTAATAGAGGAGGCTTGTGGTCAGGACAGCACATATCAGGTGAGGTCAGAGAAAAAATACCTGAAGTATGGCCATACGTACTGGTGAGGCGGTTATCTGGCTTTGTGATTTTCCATGGTATTGGTGGGTAAGTCTTTCAGCCATCCCGATCTTTCCGTTCTCTGACATCTACTATAATTTAACTGTCTGATATAATGTTGTGAGTGATTCACTTATGTTACGTAATACCAGTAAGTTCATTCTTCTTAAATGTAGACAGCGACCCGGGCTATCCTATCATTTTAGGCAAGGTCAACACCTGTGATTAGTAGTAAATAAAAGGACATTCCGGCGTCACAGGACTATAAGGTTTCAAGCTGCAAATCTTGGTTGGCATTCCACTCATGGAAGGTTTGTAGCATAGAAGCGCTAAATAATGAGAACTGTCGTGAGATAATACAAGGTACCAGGTTGTGAAATTTGTCATGATTGATCATTTCAAAACGTACGAAGTGACAGACACGTAAGATGACAAAATGGACAGTGAGTGTTTCTTTTTTCTTTGGGAAAATTAAGAAGACATATATCTATTTCTTGTGGTTGAGTACTGTGATACTAGGCCTGCGAGGAGAGGTAGGAACTAAGCGACTAATAATAATATAACTAGGAAATAGCTATATCTGTTGGGTTAGTTGTAATCTTGAGAGGCTGGCTTGACTGTGGTGGTGGAGTGGTAAACATATCACGCCACAGCAATGTGACAGTGCCCATGGAGCAGGAGAACCTGTGGAAAGTGGTATCGACAGAGTACTTTATGTTCGGCCAAGCAAACAGAGGTGTTGACGTTACAGATAATTGGGCTAGAAGAAAACTCACCTGGATCAGGAGAACAGTTTCAAGTCTTCTGGGTCAGTACTGTTAGCCGTACACTACTAACAACAGAAGGGGCGGATGGGGGAGACGCTTAGTAAAATCCTATAAAGACACCAACCAACTCCAGTCCATGACATGATTCTGTGCAATTCCAGCACTAATTGCCCATCAGGCAGTCCTAGAAGCCCCTATGGCTCCGCTGATACCAACCATAAATTCATTGCGAACGGATGCGATGCATATGCCCGTGCCAAGACGCTGTCTATCTACCTATGTTCTTTCTGAAAAGAGTGTATTTAACTAGCTCATAAGCTGGGAAATGAACTCTATAGCTCCATATCGCCAGCCCATCCGCCCATCTGCGTAGCTCCGTACCGGTTTTCCATCAACTCTTGCTGCATTGCCCAGTCAGTGTTATAGACAGGGTCATTCGAGGGGCGATATGTAGGACCTCCGGCTGCGTTGCCGAAGTGGTTGTAGACGTTCTTAGGCCTCTGCACAGCCTCTTCGTGTGCGCGCCTGGCGGATTCCTCGTACTCGCGGCGAGCCATCTCTTCGTAACCAGACATCATGTAAGGTTCCGTGTAGTTAATTGTACCTGACCATTCTCCCTGTCCAGTTTGGACTGGTGTCAAGGGTGTTCCGTCCATGCTCATGGTAGTCTGCTTTTCCGCATCTTCTTGGATTTGTCTCTCGTATCGTAGCTGAGCGAGCATCTCCTCTTGCTGGACTGTAGTGTTGGACCATGCCACAGCAGGATTCTCCTGGGTGTTGGAAGGGGGGCAGATCCTCCAGAGCTCGATGAGGCGTTCCTTTTGGGCGTCCTCTGCCGTCTTGAAAAGCTCCATCTGGGATGCTGACAGTGTGGCAGGATTGACACCGTAGTGAGTGAGGATATCCTCTGCCGAGGGCTGTCGGGACTGAGGCGGTTCGGAAGACGGCCTCTCCCGTTCGACTACAGGCTCAGGCTCATGAGCAACGTGAGCGGAATGTGTGTAGTGTACAGAAGCATAGACGATGGGCTCCTGCTCCTGCTCTGGTTCTGGCTCTGGTTTGGCTTCAGTAGACTCAATGGGCTGGTCCGGGACGGGTTGCTGCTGTAGAGTCATGTTACGGTAGAACATAGCGGCAAGCTCATCATGAGCCATATTGTGTTGGCCGTTCATGTTCATCTAAAGATACATATCCCTATTAGGCAATGTCTCTGATGGCTTATAAGTTCACTTACCTCTTCAAGTTAAGCTCGTGCAAAAGCTATATGGATGAGTCTTGTTCCGTTTAATATCTAGATACTCGTTTTGCTAGAGTCGTAGAAAGCTGCGTCCGGGAGGGAGCGAAGGGGGTCAGAGTTGCGAAAGAAAGGAACGAACGGGGGCGGATGTTCGAGGTATGATTTCTGTGCGAGAGCGAACAGCGATATCAATTCTGTGTTTTATTGACTATGCTATGTACTGTAAAAGCACCAGAGAGGTATGGAATCCTTGGGGGAGATGAGAGCAGAAGAACAAAAAGGGCGTCAACTGTGCAAGTCCTTTTGTCCCGCGAGAGATCGTCGAGGCAAGAAGCGGTGGACGAGGTATCGTGGAGATCAGACAGACCAGACGTGGGCCAGACTCCGAGAAGAGTCCGGGGAGGGGTATCAAAGAGACGGACGGAAACGGATGGCTATCTGCTAGTCGAACGGAACAAAGAGCCAAGCGGTTCGTTACTATTGGTGTCGAGATCTTTGATTCCAAAAAGTGCAAACTTGCAAGACGGTGATAGTGATGGTTGGTCGGTCTAGCAATCAATAACGAAGAATGTCAAAATCTCGATTGCTGCATGAAGGGGGGATATGGACATGGTATTTATGACGACGGGCGAGGATGCTCGGGAAGCTTTCATTGATGGAGGGGTAATTTCCAGGCATGAGACCCTGTCAGCCAGCGCTAATTCTGGCTAACGGCTCCTGCGCCGACGGACTGGGTCGAAATGCACGCCCACGTTGGCGCCCAAATTGCCTATTAGGGCCTAGATGTACTGTTTTAGGGACCAGATGCAATGCATTGCACCCTATCAGTTGGTCATGCCTTGCCCCCCAAGGTTTCAGCATCTTTCGAGGACCGATCGCGCTGTCGAATCCCAAAGCGAACGGCTTTGGCTTTTAGAGGCTGGCACGAGTTTCACTTTACTCTCATTTCAGTCTACCGGCAACAGTGTCATTTCTCGACATGACATGTATTGGGTTTCTGGCAAACAGCCTGTGGGGACTAATTTACACCAGAGATCACCTGCAAGTTGAGGGAGAGAGCAGATGCTACAAGCGTTCTCAGCCGGTCCTCAGTGGATCTGAAAATCAGCGGTGAGGGCAGAAGATATGTATGGTTGCTAGCTATATAAAGGGTGCTCCGCCTGTTGGTGATACATATTCAATTCAAGTAGTGCTTTTGGGGCCTATCTATACTATCCGGTCTGCTCAGCTTATGGGCCTTCACCACTAACCGGACAGCCACACCACATGTTTGACTTGGATAGCCGAGACAACAACAAATAAGAAACTATCGCTTCTTGTTGCCTCGCTTCTTCGCCTTACCGCTTCCCTGACTCTTGCTCCCAGTGGCCTTGGCAAGGTCTTGCACACTCTGTGTAGGGTCAAGCAACTCGAAATCGTCATCCGTGCTGCTAGGGGTGCGCTGCGGAATATCCGAATCGTCATCAACAATGTCTCCATCGTCCTCACTAGCCCCTTCCTCAAAGTCTTCCTCGACAACATCCTTCTTGCCAAAGACGCGACGGAATACGTAAACTGGCAGCCTGACAAGAGCGGTATCACGAATGGTGGGAATTGGCATCTCGTTGGGCTATCAATGGTCGTTAGCAAGACTGCAAGCTGTATAAAGGGACTCGGAAGCAAACACACATCAAGCAGGAACTCCTGCACGTTACCATCCTCATCCTCTTGCTCCAGGTAGACATCACCGAGCGAGTCCACGACGAGAACCTTGCCGTTTTCCGCAACGACACGCTTCTTCGCACCGGTAGGTCCCTCGCCATTGCTGGGTTGAGTCTGCGGGACAGGCGTGGCACTGCCGCTGCTGGTATTCTTAGCAGCACGACCACGGGCGCCCGTACGCTTGCCCTCTTTGGCGGTTTCTTTCTTGGCCATGCGCTCCTGTTCACGTCTCTGCTTGCGGTTCGTAGGCATCATTTGTCCCTGCTCTTCTTCCGTGTCCGGGGCTTGAGGTGGGGGGGCAGGAGCAGTGACACCAGCATCAACTCCTGCAATGCCGAGGTTCTCGCCCCATGCGGCATGACGTGCAAACTTGATATACCTCTCAATGAATGTGCGCTGGCTTCTCCAGCCCAGATACAGCGCAAGGTAGTGGAAGGCGCCGCCACCTGCAAGGAAGACACCGATCAAGACCGTTCCCAAACCAGGTCTGTAGCGGCTGTAGTAGTAGCCAGTGCCCTTCCATGTCGGGAAGCCATTTGAAATGAAGTGGTCATAACGGGCGCGCTCGGGACCGGTCAGGATGTTGGCAATAACACCCAAACGCGTCTGCCTCTCACCGGCGTCCTTGATAGCGGCCTTGATCTCGGACTGTGTAGGTGGCTTGGTCGGCGTGTTGGATTTCTTGGCCTTGTTGGCACGGGCTTGGATTTGGGACTTGACCTTGTCCGGGTGTAGGGTCTTGGACTTCTTGCGGTAGGCGCGCTTGATCTCGTCCTGCGAGGCGGAGGGCGTGACACCAACGAAGTCGTAGAAGGTTATGTTGGCGCCTTCATGAGTGATGATCTCGTCGCGCAGGCGGAAGATTTCGTGGTCTGATGCCGCAACCCTTATTAGCGTGCATGTTTACACATTATGACATTGTCTCTGCAAGACTCACCTTCTTTGGACCACGCGGCCACAAGGGGTGTCAGGAGGGCCAAGAGGCCGAGAGAGAGGGTTGAGAACCTCATCGCAACGTGCTAGGTCTAGCTACCTGAGCATGAATCGATAATGACAAGGCAATAAATCCTAGATGAGAATGATAGAAACGGTCGCCCGAATCCCAAGTAGGCCGAGAAGAGGGCCTTGATAGATGCTGAGTCTTCAAGCACCAGGAAGAAACTGACTTCCTTGACTGTGCTACCCGGACTTTTTTATTTTTTTAACAATAATTTTTTTCCCTCCCTCGTCTATGAGACCCCGTGTCAAATGCAAGGTGTCGATTTGGCAATTGGCGGGACCTGCCGCCGAGACGCTAAGCTCCTGCTGTACCTCCTTATTTTAAAGGGGTTAAGATCTCCACACTTCTTGATCTCGGCCATTGCTGCTAAGTTAAATCAGCAGCAGTGCCAACAAACTTGCGACCTCGACGTTCAACTCCGGAACTACAGTGTGGACACAGCTGACTTTCGTGGCCAGTTCTCAATCGCCTCTACAGCACCACAAATCTTCGATCTAGTCAAGGAGCACTGATACCATCTCATATAATAATTTATGGCTACTCTTCGGTGGAGTCTATTCCCAAGACAGCGACTTGCGTGATGCAAGACACGCACCCCGTGCCTCTATGGATTTAGAACGCTATATTAACCGCGGGACAGCACTCTTCAACCTTGTGGCCTTCGAGCACTTGCCGCAGCAAGTCTTCGTTTCGCGGGACGCAGAAGATCTCATATTTCTTCGGCGCCATGATTAGGTCTCGTGGGTTCTTCATTCCTGTTCTGGGATTTGTGTCAACCTGGCCGTGCAACTCCAGGCGAAAACTGCTGAGGAGCCTTATGAACACTAGGTACAGCTCCCGAGATGCCAGTAGATGGCCTGCGCACATTCTGTACCCAAGCCCAAAAGTGAAGACCGGCGCGTCTGGCTTCTCGATCCAGCGCTCCGGTCGAAATTGCTGGGGATCATCCCAGAGCTCATGGTCTTTAATGTCGCGTCAGCTTTGGAAGAAACTGGCAATGGTACAATATGCTCACCGTAATTACAGGCCATTGCGTTCATGTAGAATGTTGTTCCTTCAGGAATGAGTACTCCGTTGTACTCAATGTCTTTGATCGATTGCCTAGGCAGATTGAGGGGAATAACAGTGAAGTAACGCAGTGCCTCCTTGGCTAGCCCGTTGATATAGGCGCACTTCTGATCGTCAGCAGCATCGCATAGAGGCTCATCAGATCTCTGGAAATCATTGATTGCCTCGTATGCCTTGTCCTGTATGTCTGGATGTTGCGCTAGGAAAGCCATACTGAACTGTACGGTATTAGATACTGTTTCGAAACCGCCTCCCAGAACAGAGAGGCTGATGGAGATGAGCTCGACGTCGCTAATCTTCTCCTCCTTGAACTTAATAATGTTGGCCTGGATACAAGGTTTGTTTGTGCCCATGGCCACCTTCTCAGAGAGCTCGTTATTCAAAGTACGAAGGTAATGGTCACGACGATCGCGCATCTCGCGAGCCTTCGCCGATGTCTTGTTGATAGGATTAAGACGCAGAAGCGGAACGTAGTCTTGAATGTTGCCCGTAGTCGATCTGAACCGGTTAAGCTCTTCTTCGACTTCCACAATCTCTTTGAATAGCCGATCCTCGTGCGACGGCACCCGAACGCCCCAGTTGATGGTCATAGCCAGGGACAACGACAGCCGTTGGATAAGCGGTAGAGGGTCTATTGGCGTCCTGCCCGCCTTTCCGTACGTGAAGAGATCTTCAATGAACGTTTTCGACTCCATGTCCAGATACGGTACGTAAGATTGGAGTGCTGGCCGGTTCAAGGCTACCGCGGCCCCCTTCTTGCGTCGCCTGAGCGACTCGTCGTATGGCGATGTGCCTATAGTCAGACCCGCAGTGCTAGACGCAATCTTGAAGGCCAATTAGCACCCTTTTCACATAACGAATATGGGCGAACTTGCTTTGTGGAAAGTGTAAGTCGTTGGCCGAGAACTCAGCGCCTGAGAATGTGATACCCAAAGTGTCTTCGCCGCCGCCGCACTGTTCACGACCACCACGGGGACGTTACCCATCTGTACCTGGTAGACGTCACCGTAGGTCTTGGACCAATCTTCATATTTCTCTGCAGCGTTACTACGGATGTCCCACAGATTCCCGATCAGCGGCCACCCCCTCGGTCCCCTCATGCCGGGGACTCGGGCTCCGCTGCGTACAGCCTCATTGTATATGAGGTAGCTCACAAATGCTATCACAATCGAAAGGAACGTAGACTGGATGAGGTGATCCACAAAGCGCTCCTTTGCAGTACGCATCAAAGCCTCGATAGCCATGTCATTAATTGTTTTGGGGAGTAGGCGTAGGTTAAGAAATACGCATCAGGGAAGCTTTGTATGGGAGTTCCCTCGCGGCTCAGGCGTTGTAGCCAGACAATATCACGCGGATAGACTTGCTGCAACGAATCGGAATGGGTGCACGCACATGGAGTGTTCGACTCGGCGGGAAAGAGACAGACAGAAGATGTATGGGGCAATCGATTGTTCCCGCCGGTTTTGCACAAGAGCCGACACCCGCCTGCATGACTGCATGTTAGGACGCAAATCAAGCATATCCTGTTCTATGAGAAGAGCATAGGATCCATCAGGTGAGCGATCGGTAGGCACCTCATTGGTTACTAGCCATCACCTAAAGATGATGGGCATTTGCGGGGAAAATGGAGTGCAGTGGAGCCAAACCGTGCCAAGATGGACACTTCGAATCGGGAAATGAGCTGCATGGAAGGTGGTTCTGCAAATTTCAGGAACAGAAAGAAAACAAGAAGAGGATGCAAAAGCTCCGAGCGATCCTGTCGAGAGGCCAGGCTAGATGGCAGGACAAGAGACCAGGACTTCCAAGGCAATGGTAGAGAAGTATGGTTGTAATATAGTGCTCCACTTTTTGCCATGATGCTAAGTTATTAGTGAGATAGTCTTGAATGATTGGCGTCCATGAATGAATTACACCAGGTCCTGGCCGACGCACGAATGTTCTGCCTTTTCATGTAAATGCAGACGATTTCCACGATGGCGACACGAAATCTTTCTCAAGCCGATATTGATAATGCTCATAAACTATTCATCTTAGTCCAATGAAGTAAGAACAATTCCGAACGCCGCGCCAGCCCCTTTCCCTTCATACAAACGAGGTTGAACCATATTCACTGAAATCTTCTCCCAGCAAGAACGAAGTGGTATCTAGGCGTATGTCGCCTACTGACCTGTATGCCTTTGATGTATCGAAGCGTGGGCATACACTACGACCACACAGAGCCCCACTTTCCTTAAACTAAACTCGCGCGTCTAGCATGAACATCCTAGATGCCCACAGTCTGCGCAAAGATCTTGGCAGCCAACTGGGACAAGAGTGTGGCCCTCTCGGCCTGCGGCAGCTCTTGGAAGACGGAGTACACGCTCTTTCCTCGAGCGTCTCTGACAGCACCTAGCCTGTTCCCCGCTGCGGCGCCGGCGAGCAATCCCGGGAAGTTGGCCAAGATGAAGCCTAGCACACCACCACTCAGGCCACCCGCCATGCTCCAGAATTTGCCAGTAGGGCGGTTGTTTTGCTCGGCCATGCCTTCCTCGCGCAACATCTCCTCGAACACATCACCAAACTGCTGGTCCTCTTTCTCTTGTCTTGCTTGCTGTGTATTCTGCGGGTTGGACTGGCCAGTGAAGAAGTTCCAAGCCCAAGAAGGGAAGCCGCCGGCGCTGGGCATGCCACCTGCTCCTGCGGAGCCGGTTGGGATTTCGTCGTCGAACTCGTCTTCGAACGGGTCGCTGTATGTGCCACCACTAGCGGCACCTGGACGACCACCCGAGAAGCCATACATCTTCCGCTGGGCGTCATACTCTCTTCGCCGACTGGAGTCCGAAAGTGTGTAATATGCATCGTTGACGAGCTGGAACTTGCGCGTGCGTGCTGCACGTTCGGGGGAGTCGGTGGGGACCCTATCAGGGTGGGTCTTCAGGGCAGCTCTGTGTGTGGAATTAGTATATGGGGGAGCTTGACGTGATAGAAGCAGCATGCGAGAAGACTCACTTTTTGTATGCATCGCGGATCTGCTGTGTTGTGGCACTCTCGGAGATCTCGAGGACCTTGTCTGCAATGCGCATTAGATTAGTGGGGTGGGAGCAACTAATTGAAGACAAGGAGACGACTTACAGTAGTTGGGGGGAGCGTTGCCAGCCATTTGTGCTTATTTTTACGCTGGAAACTGTATTGAGGCAGGAAGACGTAGCAGGCAAGGTAGACTGGGTATTGTGGTTAACGGCCAAGAGGAAAGGCTTCATTCATCCACGCGATGTTGCTACGTCAGGCTGTTGAGTATGCTCTGAAAGTGGGATGGATAGGGATCTGTACAAACGTCATCAGTTGTGGCTAAGGAGATGTGCAACGTGGCTTTGTCTGGGTTTTCCCTTTTCTTCTGTTCTCCTTATCGATAAACGCCACACCTCGGAACCGAGCGATCTAGCAACAAGTCGAACCGAAAAGTCGAACCGAAAACCGACACGAGAACCCGACGTTTTTGGACGTATCCACAATGGAAAGTAGTTAGTTCAGCCTGCGCGCCAGCGTCCTGCCAAGGCTCTACGCCCAAAACGAATCATGCTGCAGTTGCTTGAGGGGCTGCAGTAGTCGTGACGATCGATCCGTAAGGAGTCCAGAAACACTCCATATGGGCAACTGAACGCAGCCGACCAGCCACTCGAATTGTCGGTGAGGGTCCTCGCTGAACGGCAATGCAAGTAATTGTCCAATCTCCTCCGAGTCCCCATCTTCTCTACTCCATCCACCTGCAGAGCCTCTCACCTTGGATCGAAAGGTCACAAAAATCTCTGTCTGCGTTGCGACACGGCAGTTCGGACTGTTGTCAGTTTTTCAATGCTGTCCTTGCATCTCAGGAACAACTAGTCAACGATCTAGACGGCCGTCTTATGCTTTGCGACCCAAGCTGCTCCAGTTTATCCTCGACCATACTTGCACGAGTACGGTCCGTACACCTCACTACTCCACTGAAGTCGCAATAGCTCCTGGTCCTGGTGTTCGAGCCCGCGCAAATTCTTGTCCGTTGCAGGGCATAGTTGCGCTCCTTGCAGCCCAGCTGTGGAGTCCCTCCTGCGATCCGTTGACTCGAGCCTTGCATTACTTGCATGTGTGGTTACTGGCCCCATCGTCTACGAGCTTTCCTCCCGTCCTCTCCAGGGCTGCTAGGGCCAGCCCGTTGCTCCACGACTAATATATACCCACACGAACCTCACCAGGATCCCTTGATCTGCCCCCAGGAAGCCCATCGCTCCCATTGCTACAACTGAAGCCTGAAGAGTACAGCAGAACCCTCTGTCGCAATACGCAGACAGGAGAAAGCAAGCGAGCAAGCAAGCACTGCAACGAAACAGGCACAATGGGTTTCTTCGATGGCTGGGACGGTGCCTCCGTCGTGTCAGGGAAATCATCTCGTAAACATCACAAGTCCTCTTCTTCTCACAAGCACAAGTCATCAAAATCCCGCTCTGGCTCGAGGCACCGACACTCTAAATCCTCCACAAACCTGGGCGACCTCTTCGGCATCGACAGCGGCAGTCACTACAACAAACACAATGCCTCGCGAGGATCCTTCTTCAACATGGGAAACTCCAGCTCAAAGAGTTTCTTCGGACTGGGTCGCTCGTCCTCCTACTACAAGCGCTCCCCGCGCTCCAATTTCATGCAGCGCATGTACAAGCAGCTCAAGCGTCTCCTGCGCGACTTGGTATACTACGCCAAGAAGCACCCCATGAAGGTGTTCATGCTGGTCATCATGCCGTTGATCACGGGCGGTGCGCTGACAGCACTCCTCGCGCGCTTTGGGCTACGCCTGCCACCAGGCCTGGAGCGTATGCTTGGCATCGCCGCCAAGACAGCTTCGGGTGACAGCATTGGTCTGGTTGGCGAGGCTGTCCGGATGGCCAGCGGCCTGGGCGGCTCAGGAGCCGTGAGCGTCGAGCGCGGTCGCGATGGGCACACGGCTTGGGAGCGCCGATCCACATATGAAGACAACGGGTGGGGCGGTAGTGACTGGGGTGATGGCCTGATGAAGGGCGTCACAAAGATGTTTTGGTGAAAGCTTGGACTGATGATATTTGGGTATGACCAGTTGGGATTATGGCAGGCGAGGCGTTCTTTGATCATATGCGCAACTGATACCCCCGTTTGGGCAGTTATACCTGTTGCTATTTTCACTTCCATAGATAGATACGAGTTCAAGGGAGGACGAAAGTAGATTGGTGGATTTTAGGATACCCTCTAGCTAGAGATTTGAGCATGAATAAAGAGAAACGACTTGATGAAAACTGGGGTGCTCGGTTTTTGTGCATGTGGGCTGGGCTACTTGGCAGTCGGACAGCGTTGTACAAGCGCACAAGCTCTTACTGGGCCACGCCGCAGCTCCAGTCTGCTGAGGAGTCACAAGTTACCAACTAGTCTAGAGATATTCAGCAAGCTTGCAACCCAACTTGGAGCCCAAGAAGAGGTGATCTGAACAAACAACAAGGCGACATGCATCATTAAAGTATGTGTCTATGATATGATCTCACTTCTTCCGTCTTCTTCCGCCAGCACTGCTGCTGACCGGCTTCCGCTTGACAGGGGACGATCGCCCAGACGATCTCTTGCTCTTGGGCCTCTCGCGCTCCGGAGATGGCGAAACCTCCTCAACAACAATGGCGGCCTCATCAGGTGTTATGGTGCGTGATCGAGTGATATGAACACCACTGCCCACGTCATCACTTGTGCTTTCACCAGAACCCTCTTGATCGCTTGTCTCCTCGCTGCTACCATCTCTAGCTCCTGCGGGAGCATACCTGCGAGGTACGTTACCGTAACCACTCTCCGAGTGCCCCGATAAGTTTCGTCTGGCAGCCGCAGCGCCAGACACGTACGGGGCGCGCGGTCCCGCAGTTTGGTACATGAAAGGGTCTCGTGTATCGCGTGAGGATGACGACGATGGCCGCCACTCGCTGTCTTCCGGAGGATACGGAGGACGAGTTGAAGATGATCGACTAGACGACCCCGAGGCGTTCCGCTGATTCGGAGGTGGGCGCACATAGCTGTACTCAAACGGTGAACTTCCTTGTGCCGGCGATTGGCGATGCGATGATGAGGTTGCAGAACGAGGCCGTGTTCGCGAGCCAGGCGGTGGGAACAGACCCATGGGAGGCGCTCGGCCTTGGTTGTTTACGGTTGCTGGCGAGGGATGGCGTGGAAGAGCATCGTCTGACTTGGAGGCGCTTGCTTTCGTCTTGCTTGCCTTGCTTGGAACCGGAACCGGAACATCGAGGTGCGAAAGTGGCACCGCAACTCGTTGCTCCTTGCGCCGCTTCTTCTCGCTCCCATTGGACGTCTGTCGCCTTTTAGCTTTTGCTTCCTCCTCCAGCCTTTTCCGCCTTCGTTCGAGTGCCTTGAGCTCTTCTTTGCTGAGTTTAACATCCTGCCTTCCCTTGGACTGTGCTTTTCGTATCCTTGAAAGTGCTGATTGCACCAGAGCATCATCCAATTCCCGCGTAGCATCATCCTCGTCGTTGTCGCTGTCGTGATCAGAACTCTCTTCTGAGTCGTCCTCCGTAGACTCATTCCCTTCGTCATATGCATATGCGCGCCGTTGTCGCTCACTGCGACTCAAATCAACCCCCGTGAACTCGAGGGAGTCACTAGCAAGCCGTCTATTCCCGCGTCTTGCCAAATCAGCACCTTGTGTATCAGAATCTTCGCTGTCTACCTCCTCCACAACTCTTTGCCCCGAAGCCCAATGTTCGTGTACCCCCTCTTGAGGCGCCCAACCCTTCCTCTCGCGCCTCGATGGTCTTCCCCATTGGGGCACGTGTTTGGGAGCTCGCGGCCGACCATCTAGACCGCCTCCCCAGAAAAAGCCTCATCGATAGGCTTATCCATAAGCGCAGCGTGTCCGATAATGACGACGCCGCTAGCACCAAGCAGCCAGAGGACGGTGCTGAAAGTTGGAGCAATCAGGCCGAGGATGGCGACAGTAACAAACAGACCAGTGTAGAGTTGCGAGGTGGTAGCACGGAAGTTTCCAATGACGAGGTCCTGACCGTTGAGCTTGCCGAGGATCCATAGTCCACCGATAAGCAGGACGATGTCGAACAGAAGTAGCGGGCTTGTGATCAAGGCGTAGATACTCAGAAGGAAGAAGACAACCATGTAGTTGCTGGAGAACTGTCCCAGGTTGTAGTTGACACGAGACTGCATCTCACCAAAGTTGGCAGGCTTCGAGAGGCGCTTGAAGTCGAGGAACTCGCCGACAGGGCGCAGGTTCGAGAATCTGCTGGACAAGGAGGTGTTGCGGAAGCCATCGAATCGGTCGCCAATGTTGAGACGCGACGTCAGGGCGTCGAGAGGGATCTGAATGCGAGCCATGGCGATAGGTGACGGGTGGGTAGTGCGTGATCGCCCAAGGATGCCAGAGAATACTCGTTGCGATTAGAGAAAAGGCCAGATAAGATATATCTGACGCTATGGCTGGAGGACGTTTTGCAAGGAAGAAGCTCAAAGCCTAAGACAGCTGTCAAAAGTGTTTGAGCCTCAGAAGCCTGTGTTTCCGGAGATTGAAGGTTGAGGATTGGGGATAACTATTTGTCAAGGTCAAATGTTAAATTAAGAGCAGGCTTGAGGAAATTTTGGGAGTTGCGACGCAAAAGCCACGATCTAAAGAATGAAAGAAAGATAGGGGCAGCTAGCTTACGAATAGAATAGCGTTCTTCTCTACAGGTCCCTAGATCAAAGGCAATTCAGTTGCAGTGAGCTCCGATGAGGTTGCTGCACCAAGAGAGCGGTTGGTTGAGTCAATTCGACAAAGATTGAATGAATGTGGGCGTTGTTGCTACTGTGCTTGCGACACGACAAAGCAGAAAACCAACAGCTTTCAATAATGATATCGAGGGACGATTTTCTTCGCGATAACAGATCTGATCTGCCTGCTTTGCTTCGCTTTGGGGGGAAAATTACCCACGCTTCAATTTCCTGGAGCCAGGGGTCGCAGCACGGTTTGCGCTAAACACCCTGGCTTGTGCCGTCCGCCGTCGGGTCGTATCACTGCTGTGGCTTGCTAGGCAGGTAATAAAAAAAAGAATGCACAAAGCTCTCCACACCGGGGCTTGTGCTTGTCGTCTTGCAACTTTCTCTTCCTCCCTCAGCTCTGGGTTCACACGCGAGCTGAAAGGTGAAAGGAATATGAAGAGAGAAAATGGAATTCCTAGCCTTCGGACTTGAGGGAAGACTTTTCCTATCAACCTGACCCAAAGCTGGATCGCGCTACTGCGAGCCCAGCGGTGTCCTTGGAAGCTGCAGCTTGTTCGGCAAGGACTGATGCTGTCAGCGATGAACAAGTCACCGCCCTAAGAAAACCTACATACGGTAAGACCAAGACCAAGACCAAGACCCAATGTTATTTACATGGTAGTCTATGTACACTGGAAGCTCGGACTGCGGCATGCCTGTACGAGCGCCCAATCTTGCTTGCCAGCGCCTCACTGATTCAACAGGTATCCAGCACCTCCAGTTCCCGTGCGCACCTCCCGAGTTGCCTCATGACAAGTTTGTCGGGGTCGTACTCCGTATTCTCTCATAGCAAGAAGTCAACTGCTAGATGCACACGCAGCATGTTGTACCCCGCTACAAGCAAACTTTTTGCAGCCTGACCGCTGAAGACAATGTGGCTCGAACTCGCTTTTGTAGCACTTGGTTCCGATTGGGCGTCTTTTCTGGGGCCGGGCATCTCACATGCAAGTTGATTGGAGTGGTCGGTCCATCACGAAACTGCCACCTCATCCGCCCCGGAACCCCCCTCTTGTTGAGGCAGCACACTGCTGCCGGAGATTTCAACGGGATGTAATCGAGTAAAACGACTGGAGAATTCCATTGCCGTCGATGCTCCCCAACCGGTCATAAAACGCAGCCGAACCACTGCACGATCGGTATTCGAGGTGGGTTATAATTATATACTGCCCATGCCTCAGAAAGGTACAAGCCAGAATACTCTAATGCGTTGGCTATATGGTAGAGATGATGAATTGCACTTTGTATATCTAGCAATGCGACATGCAGCTCGGCGTAGTGTCAGAGCAAAGTATCATCAATCTAGCCTATAATTTATCGCCAGGTCCACGTCGCTGTCGTGTCTACTGGAAACAAGCTTCTAGTTCTTATCAAAGACGATCAGAGCGTACTTGAACGTGCCATTGGCGTAGCCTCTCCTCATTGCTCGGAAGGCTTGGAGGAAATTGAGACCGTCTCTGCCCCAAGAAATTGCAAAAGCCCACAAAGAGGGTGAAGAGACTAGAGACCATGAGATATCCCTGGCTAGGTTAGTGGTGGCCTAGGTGTTTCGATCGTCGTGGGAACGGGGTAGATAGGACAATATGACTGGCACGTGAATTCACATACCATGTTTTTGCAACGTCCTTGCTGATGTCCTCGGCTGCGCTCAGCCTAAAACCGGCCTTCTTGGCCATTGCGACGTACTCATCCACAGTGCACATGGGGGGGAGGAGCATGCCATCTTCGATAGGCTTAATGTCTGCCTTGTCTTGTTCCTCGGTCAGATTCGGAGCCTTGAACCAGTCAGCGACCACAAGTCGTGACGATGGACTAGTTCCAAGAAGCGAGAATGCGTTGTCAAAGAACAGCTGCTTGTTGGGAAAGTGCGAGAGAGCTTCAGATATCCAAACACAGTCAAATCCGTGTTCGGGCTTGCCGCCATTGGTTGAGAAATGGTCGCGCATCTTCTCGGCATCAAGCTCCAGATACCGCACGCTGCCGGGAGGGAAAGACAGAACATCCGACGACTGCAACTGCTCGCCGACAGGGCTATCAGCCAGAGTCAAGCGTTTTGCAATCTCGACCTGCTTGCCGCTGATGGTGATGCCGGTAACGTGACAGCCCTGCTCTTTGGCGAGGTAGCGGGAGGTGCCGCCAATACCACAGCCAACATCGAGAACGTTTGTGGATCTGGGGAGACCGGAAAGCTCAAGAAGATATTTGATCAAGTTCACTTGAGCCTCCTCCTTGGTCTCATCACCAGACCTCCAATACCCGTGGTGAATGTGCTGTCCCCTGCTTTGGTCAGTCACTGCGGTACAGACGTTGTGAAGTATGGACGAACGGTACCAGAGGGAGTAGTAATAATCAGAGGCGACGTTGTAGTGTAGCTTAATGCGGTCCTTGAGGGTATCAAAATTCCCGTGAGCCTCATAGCTAGGGACCTCATGCTGATCTCCTGGGTGCGCCGCTGAGTCGCTGTTGACTTGGACCTGACTAGACATCTTAGAGTTTGAATTGAGTTTTCTGCTGAAAAGGGGCTCTTTGGACTCCGGGGTGAAGACGTTTGATCGTGCAGGTACTCAAGCGGTAACTCAGGCGAGATAGAAAAGATGGACGGTCGAACGTTTCGGGATTATGGTAAAGAGAGATTAGGTTTAGTGGGACCAGATTAGGATTATACGCAAACTGCGCCAGGTCCAGAAAAGGACAAGAAAGATCAATTTTAAGCCCTGGACTCTTGCAAAGGATCCAAAGTAGTCAAGTCAGTCTACCTGTCTAGGTTTCGGCGCAAACCAGCTTGGGCTTGGAAACACACATGTTATCTCGTACTTTAGTACTTCAATGTTAAACGGTAGCGGTATGTAGCGAGATGTCATCGCGGGGCATTTGGACCAATTGCTGGGAGCTAAGCCGCTAGCGGGAAAGCGCGAGCGTACCTGACAGGGATGGCCCAAAAAGTGATTCTGATTGTGATTGTGATTGCACCATCACATTGTTTGGCCCGCCGAACAACCCCCCCCCCAAATCCTACAGCCGGAGCCAGAGAGCCAGAGAGCCAGAGCCAGAGCCTCAAAGCCTTGAAATTGTGAGTTGAGCTGGCGCATTTAATTTACATCATCATCATCATCAACAACAACACCGGACATACACACATACCGGCAACATGTCCAAAACGGTGGAGATCCAGTCGCCGGACCAGTTCAGTGAGATTCTTGACAAATCGCGAATCGTAGTGGCCGACTGTAAGTTCACCGCCTCATCGACTCCCATCTCTCTAGATAGCCTTGCTCGTGCTTGCCCTTCACTACCCCGCCATCGTCACTGCTGCGACTCATTCGCGCCGGGCACATGTACATCTATATCTACATCTACGGCTACACCTATAGCCGTGACGGACCGAAAGGCTGACAAAGCACACAGTCTATGCCAACTGGTGCGGACCTTGCAAACAGATCGCCCCTTTCTACGAACAACTATCCCAATCCCTGTCGAGACCGAACATTGCGACTTTCGTCAAGGTCAACACCGAAGGCGACGGGGCCAAGGACGTTGCACAAGCTTATGCTGTCACAAGTCTGCCCACCTTCATCATCTTCCGCGATGGCAAGATCGTCGACAAAGTCAAGGGCGCAGACCCCAACAGGCTGAAGACCATTCTGGAGAAGCTCGCCAATGAGATCGAGACGGCCGGTGAAGCTGGCGGAAGTAGCAGTGGTGGCGGCGGCATGACATGGCTGGGTGCTGATCTACCTCGCGGCTATTCCGATATTTCTGACATCGTCGACGTCCGCGGTCTGGAACTGCTGAACGCAGATTCCGAGTTCTCCGTCCGCACCCTGTTCAACAAGCCCAAGCCTGCAGGTTTGGGCAAGAGCTCATCCGAAGACAAGGACTGGGTGGAGAGCGACACGGACGAGCAGCTTTTGCTTTTCGTGCCCTTCAACTCCGCTGTCAAGCTGCACACTCTACAGGTATGACGCCGCTACTTCTCAAGCTGTCGCCTAGCATACTTGCGTAAGCTAACGCAAATCTGTCTAGATCACCTCTCTGCCGCCGAACGCAGAGGACGACGACGACGAAGACGAGATACCCGTGAGACCAAAGACCATCAAACTATTCACAAACCGTCCTCATAACCTAGGCTTTGACGAGGCCGACGATATCCAGCCGACGCAGGAAATCGAGATTCAGGAGGGCGACTGGAACGCCAATGGCACCGCTAGCATCAGCTTACGGTTCGTGCGATTCCAGAACATTTCCAGCCTCGTTCTTTTCGTCGTCGATGGTGATGGCGACAGTGAGAAAGTGCGACTCGACAGGGTGCGGTTGATTGGAGAGAGTGGAGAGAAGCGAGAAATGGGCAAGTTGGAGAAGATCGGGGACGAGCCGGGCGAGTAGTCACATTTACAAGTTACTCATGGTGTTCAATTCCGCTTGCCGCGAGTTGCGATCATGGGCACGGCCATGTCAAGATCCCAATGCAGGTCTCATACCCCATCAATGCAAGCTAAAGATGCACCTGAAAAACTTTGTCCTCGCTTGCAGTGCAGATATTGGCCCAACAACTCGAACTCTTGTGCCATAACAGCGCACCAGGTAATCACGTGTAACATAACTAAAGCAAGTCCACTCATGTAGAATCGGAACCAATTCAACACCTCAATTCGCTTGGGATGAAGTGGGATCACTGGTGAATAAACGGCCGAGAGCCTGAGAGCTTACGCACAGAATTGTCACACTTCAGGGGCTGCTGAGTTCATGCTTCAGCCCTTGCAGAACTGCAGCATGCATGACTGGGGAAATCATACACTATAAACTGAAGCGCAACGAGAGCTGACCAACCCACAAGCTCCTACACTCCCAAGACGAAATCGTATCGAAGCGTTCGAGGCAATCGCACGAAACGTGGTTGTCACATCAGGGCGAGCTTGACACCAACACAGATCTTGGTGCTTCGTTTTCGTTCAAGTGATACATGAAATTCTATCTAAGAAGGGGGATATGTCCGATACCTCCACCGCGACTCTTCACCAGGCAGTTCCGTGAGGAACCGCGACGAGGAGCCGACTCTGGAGCAGAGATGCCGATTGCAATTTGGTTTTTCTGTGACGAAACTGACGCAAATGTATCGTGAATTTTCGAGATCATTGCAATGGGGAAGACTCATAGGTTTATGTATGTCTTAAGATTTCGTCGCCGCACGATTTCAAAATCGTTCTCACGAAGGGAGTTTTTCCCACGTATTTATAGAGCCGCACGACCAACTCCGGCGGAGTTCTTGGCGGTCAACTCTGGCAGAAACGCATAGCCAAGACTGCCCGGCGAAATTAGTCCCTCTCCACCGAGAGAGCATTATCAGCACCTCATCTCAGATCTTAGACTGGTTGCTGTAGCTGATGAGACTGTACGAACTGAGGACAAGAGTATTGAGTCCTTGGTCAATGTATGCTCTCAGGTTTTGTTTCCTGGGTGAGAATCCCTACTGCATAATATCAGTCCGGACCTGTGGGTGTATACAATACAATACAGCACTTATGTGGACGATCGTCGTCTTTAATCCGACGCAGTTTCCGAGAACTTTACACATTTCAAAGAGTTTCGTCGATTAGGATACTCAACAAAGGTAGAAATCTTGGGGTTTTCTGTCGGCCCTTTCTAGAAATCTGGAATGCTCTGGTATGGAAGGTCAGATGAGGGCAGCGGGGCAAGGTACCGGGTCGATAGCATGGGTGTTTTCCCGCGGTGTTGAGCTCCGAGCCAGTTCTATGCAAAGAGCTTGCCCCACTGCCCTTTTCTAGGCCTGATACCATAGTACATACAGTCACGTTATCCACCTTATAATATATTTGCGTTCCAATCTGAACTTCAGATAGATAGTTGGTTTATTTTGTCATTTATTCTCAATTTCCTGATAGCGAAGTGTTGCCTTTGGTATAGTCGAGATTGTGTGCATGTGAAGAACATCTTGCCTAGAATCATGCCCAAATACAATGCAGCATAAAGCTACATATCAACCATAAAGGGCGTCCTCTGCACCTGGAACAATTACCAGATATATCTTTGCAGGGCAACGATGCAGAACGGCCACAAGCTAACAATACGTAATGACCAATTTGGTTACGCCAGCTGGCGCAGGTGACTGGCCGCTTGGATATGTGTTCTTCGGTTTCTATTTTGTTTGTTGTCGATATCAGCCTCGCATAGCACCCTCCCTGATGGAGTTTTTCGGTTGTGTCAGCCTTTCTCAGATAGAGTGTTTTGCGGGAATTCGGACCTTGCCGACGATGGCAAAATGCTACCAGAGAAGCAGCCCATGGATGCAGGAGCTCCATAATAACACTTGGCGAGGGGTAGCAAGACTCGTCTAACCTTAGACGGTTGTCATCAATCCGCAATACGTTCATCCGATAATGCCATGATCATGTTAAGGCAAGGATTCTTCGTTTCTTCATGCTCGTTTGTCTTAGAAGTTTCCATCTAAACTGCTTTCTGACCATGTCCTCCGAACTCGTCAATGATCGGCATCATACGGGGTTTGAAGGACGCCAAACTCATAGCATCCAGACAGGCTTGTCAGCCCACCGCAATCTATTTCCACAGCCCCTTCTCCAACCACGTTCGGTTCCGTGATGGTTCTCAGCACCGAGACTCTCTTCGCTCCTGTAACGTCACGCCGCAGTAGTAGAGCTCAGCAATCATAGTCAGATTGCCAAGCTGTGCGGACCGTAAACATGTTTCGTGGCCCTGGAGACCGCCAGTCAGTCAGCTGCTGGGGCCCGTAACCTGTGGGTGGTCTGCTGGCTCGACATGAACTGCGCGCGTGCCGATTGCACAGCAGGGGTTCCATTCAGCACCCCTCGTTCCAAGCGCGGTAAGAGCTATTGAACATGGTGTGCAGCATCTAATACGGAGCTATAGAATCCATTTATAGCCTCCTCGATGGCGGTCGCATACTTTATCTATCGACTAGGGGTCCACATCCTAGGGTCTTTTTGAATCTTAGTCGCATACTGGCTGCATTGTTACCCATGTCTCCCACGTTCTTTGACCACCTATTGAACGATGCTATCACCAGGATACTTCCGTCTCAAAGTCCCCGACTGCTTGGGCACGTCAGCGCTGTGACCGTAGTCAGTGTGGCAGGATCGCTCGATGTCCACATCCGGAAGTTTTCCGGCCAACGTCGGTTTTTACTTATGGGTTTGCGCGGCCTTGCTAGTCCATAACCACAACCTGGCTTGACAGGGAAGTTTGCTTTTCTTATGCCCCCAACCCTATTTTCCTAACATATGATTCAATGGTTATGGGTGGCTTGAAGCCACATCCTCTCCGTCGGGAGGGGGGTTTGTTTAACTACGTTTCGTATCGCACATACTTTCCTGGTATTCATTACTTACTTCCTAGCTTCTGCGTCTGCTTGATCGTCAATGTCATGCATTGTGCTTTGAAACATTACCTCCTGTACTTTACAACCCATATCCGCTGTCAATGCTCAAGCTATAGACGAGCTAAACTTTAAGCCCTGCTAAGCCTTTCTAACTCGAATCAAACTGTTTCTCGCGAATCCACAAGCCCTGTCCAAGCACAGCATCATCCTGGTTGGGGAAGAAACTGAGACTGCCGGTTACCAGGGTCAACCCCACAGAGAGGCGGGAGGGTAAACATATATATACCTGGGCAGCACGGCATTGTAAGAACAGAGGAGGAAAAGACTACGCAAATATTAGAACAGTCCTACAGGATTTGTGAACAAGACCTGAACATGATGGGTTTACTGCAAAGCTTCCCTCAGTTCTCGAAGCTACCACTCGAGCTGAGGGACCAGATCTGGGGATACGCCCTGCCAGAAGCAAGAGTATACGAAGTGCTGGACTCTCCTTGCACGGCACAAACGCAGTCAACGCCATCAAGTCAGCTCATGTTTGCAGACGTTCGCAACGAACCACCGCCGGCGGTAGCCAGAGTCTGCCGGGATGCACGACAAGCAGTCCTGCGTCGATACAAACCCATAGTCTTCTCGAACACAATGAAGCATGTTGATCTTTCAAGGGATATATTGCTATTAGACTCATACCTGCAAGTCAAGCGGTTGCTAAAAGTCGTGCGCCTGCTCAGTCAGGTTGAGGCGGTTCGTACGAAAGCCTGCCGCATTGCCTTGGGCACGTCGTGGGGCTTCTATACCGGTCTCCATCTACGGCTCTTTCACAAGACGGTCCAGACAAGGAAGAACATGGAGAAGTTCATGGAACACATATCCAAATTTCGGCGGTTGAAGACAATTATCTTGGTGGTTTACCAACGTTCGGCCTTCAATTTGAGATTGAAAGACCCTGACCGACAACCTCTGCCGTGGAAACACTACGACTGGTACGAGCCGTACCACTTCAATTTTAACGTCAACTTTAACTTCGATAATTACTTTTTACGACGGCCGTATCAAAGCATGTTGGTGCGCTACGAACCCGAGGTAGAAAAAGTCAACATGCCATTGCAAACTGTACCAGTATCAAAACAGCAGCAGATCGTCGACCCCCGCCCTCGTGGCTATCAAGTCCACGACTTGAAGGACACATTCGAAGACTGGATCAAGAAGTTGTCAGAAGAAGGATCGTTGAAAGACTTTGAGCCACCGAGCTTAGAAACAGCGACTTTGACATGGATTTATACCGGATTCAGCTACTAAATCGGTGTCTGGCACATCGTACATAATGTAAAATAATGGTAGTTACGAAGCACGATTGCAACGATTTATGAGTGCATATAGCAGAAATATGAATTCTGCTCAGAAATAATAGAGATGAGAAACACATCTGCTGTTAGTTACATAGACATCATGGACAAACATAGCCCCCAAAACTCACCGTTGCGAACTTGAACTGTCTTTTTCTTCTCTGCTGCTACGATCAAGGGCGAAACTCAGCTGGTGCTCGACGCTTCATGTTAGTTGTTGTGCAGGCTCTTGACATAGTTGATACGTGCTTGCGTATGCAAGATCTCAGACCACTGATTATCGACGGTACCATTTCGACAAAGGAGCTAGAAGAGATGAGGTCAACGCGACAATCAGACACAATCTCAATAAAAAAGGTATATTGATCCTCTGTTTCACACCTTACAACACGAATAACACAAGATAATGACGGGCGAGTGAGAATGGTTCTTACAGGTGTGGCGGAACGGCGGCGCCACACATTGCATACCCTGCAGGAGTACAATAACTTGTAAGCCTCAAGTCAGCAGCAGCAGCTGGTCAGGCTGACCACCCCTTCCTTTTGACTTTTGACAGTCAAGAGAGGGATATCGCGTGGGGACCGGCATGGCTTATTATTTTGCTACCATAAGTTTTGAATGTTGTGATAGCTTGGCGCTTATAGTATGTGCTCCAAGTACAGTAAGCTGTAATGACCTTTGTGTACATCGAGTCAATCCCGAATCTGACATTTGAAGATAGGTGAAGTTATAGCTCAAGGAGTTCCAAGTTATTGTCGCTTTAGCTACCAGTATTTCTCAATCAGAGTGATGACACGAGAATTCGCAGCTCTTTGATGGTTGGTAGGACATAACGTCTAGGCTTAGGTGGTGCTTGGAAGCTAGTTTCGAGTAAATGTCCACTGTGTGAGCCTTTCGACTAGGGCTGGCCATCCTAGGGCTACCAAATAATTTGTGTAAGCATGTGGCATTGATACCTTTACACTGATCAGCCTGTATCCTACTTGCACTATGGTAAGCTCAGTGTGTTCACAAACGTAATATGGATTACACGGTGGGAATGACGATGGGCCGCTCAACGTAGACCGTTTGTCGATAAGAGTCTAGGCGAATATCGATCTCAGTGTGTCGAGGAGTTTAGCAGAAATTCTAACTAGCGGTAGAGCATCCAACCAGCTTAGGGAAAAATCAACACAAAGGCTCTTTCGTTTTATGCGCCTTGAAGTTTTTTTCACGGCCGTTCCTGCTTTGTCTAAACAAACAACCAGTGCTCTTATATGCTACTAGATCACTCATTACCCTAGCATGGGATTACGAGAACTTCGAAAGGTCTCCTGATTCCTACCAAGAGGCTCTGTTTTCGAATTCATGCTAAGACACTACTAGCATTGCTTTTACTCTTGTGTCCGTACCATGGCAAGCAGAATTCGTACATGTATTATCTGTGAAAAGGTGGTTGCGATCAAGTTCAGCCCATTGTTGTTCGCTCTATCATTGTCTGGAGGCGTCCATTCACTCATGGTTCGCCCACAAGCCATGAAAACTACATGCATGAACTAACCATGTCCAAAAATAATTTGAATGCTAACCAAAGTAATGGTAAAAAGCCTAGATACTGGATCCGTAGTTGCGCAGTCGGTCCTGGTTGTCTTAAGAACAAATAGGAGTTTATACCACTGACCTTGAGCATTCCTAATATGTTATTATGAGTTATGTATAATCATAGAAACCAGACGACGTAGTGAACACATAATAGCTCGTAGACCATGAACCAGTATATTATTTAGATCTGATCACACTTTTGAATATTTAAAACAGAACAATCTCTAGTGGATTATACTGGCTGAAGGGCTTTCTTATTCTACCTGGGCTTTCTTCTGTTATCTTGGAAAATACCTGCTATCATTAGAAGCGGCCTCAACGTGTTATTTGCACGCCAGTCTGTTTATATGGAAGTGGTTCGTACCTACAATTTCTTTGGAAGTTTCCTTAAGTTACTCTTTACGTTTCAGCTAGTTTCTTCGACTATGAGTAATTTTTACGCATAGTTACACTAATTATATGCTAGTATGTTATATTTTATGCTTACCTTGTCTTTCCAGTGACCATAGCCTGGACATTTTGTTTGATCTAGGGGACTATAAAACACACCAAATCTGCATATCTTTACGAGTGCGTTCTAGTCACATTCTCATTTCCGTTTGATCTTTTGTGGCCAAGTCTCATAAGAAAAATTCATACTTGGTCTTGTTAATTTCCACATCACATGTAGTTCGACTTATTCTACCCTGTCAATTTAGGAGCGCTATCATGTTTTTACTGATTGTTGGCCTAGAGTTAATTGAAGCATTTTCACGCTATCAAGGACATTAGAGTATGGCCATACCGACATTCATACCTTGGCCTCATTTTGTCAACCTGTGTCAAATTAGCCGAGCGTTAAAGAGGCTGGATATGAGCTATATTTCTCTGCCCCGTTCAGGTAGAATCTAGTCAACATGATATTAAGCGCCAATTCTCATAACGCAATGTATAATAGTACCTTCGGACAAAAGCTGCCCATTTTAAGCCCCTACATAAGTTTGCCATATGTGTATTTTATTTTCCTGTTGGATTTGTCTCATGGGGTTGAGGGCCATAGAGTTACCATGTTAAACCCTGGGTCGACGATGAGTTGGCTTTTTCTGATCCTATTTACTACAGGCTCTTTTCGCCTTGGTGCCTCCATTTCCACTGGTGCAAGGGAGCTTGAGTGCGCCAGTTGGTTCCAAACTCAGCTCCAAATATCTCTAGGAGTCAGCTTACCCGGACATCGCTCCTTCTGTAATTTTCCTCAAGTACCATAATCATTATTGGACGACACAGCTCTTAAGCAAAGTCTGAGTTACCCTTGAACAATCCCAATCTTGGATCATCCGACCCGATTAACCTCATTTTCAATACCGTCACACTCAACTATCAACACCATTGAATCTTGTTAATTCCTAACTTCGCCACTCTCAAACATCACTTACGCCCAGATTTGGAAAAACGGATTTACAAGAGACCACAACAGAGCTGGAAGAGGTGGCAACGACAAGATTATACCCCGGCACTATCGTCACCCATGAAATTAAAGTAGTTCGTACAGCTATCTTCAAAGGTCGCGCTTTCTCAGCAGATATTGGCGTTGGTGAACTGGAGGCAACTTTCGCCTGGTATGCATTAAGAGGAGTTTTCCGCAGTGAAAATTTTAATGCCGGCGAGTTTCTAGTCCCATGAGATTGTGCCCACTCTCTTTGACGACAAAAATACCTAAGCACGCCAGTATTTCCGGAGACTCTGATTCTTCTTCGGACCAAGATAACCACACATTTTCTGGTGTGATCACCACCTCCTTCCCAATCAAGGTGCTGCCTACCAATGGAAAAATCATCCACCTAAGCGAGAATATTGTTAAGGGTCCGGAGATCTACCAATCGATCCAGCTCTGCCCTCACGCTGACGCCAAGACTATCATTGTCGATTGGGCTTGCTTCAAAAACCTCGGTGTCTTCCAGGATACTCTTCGCCTCCTTCACGGCTTTCTGATAGATATCTAGACACTCATCCTGGAAATGCCAACACGTGACCTGCTGAGAGCAATCGAAAGCCGTGATGTTCTCTTCACAGAGAGTGACATCGGCGGCGGCGGCGATGATGATGATAGCAGCAACCAGAGCAGGGTTGATAGCCTTTTCTCGTCCCCCAGATCTACCATATCCCACCAGTCTCACGCGTATCATGAAGACCTCGTCTAGCAAGGTAATAATAACCACTACAATATCAAGGTCCATCATGGCGTTATCAAAGGCAATGGCGAGCATATTGCCACCTTTACTACCAATCTGGAACCACTCGAGTACAAGAATAAAGTGGTCCATTGGTCAACGAGTGGTACCGCTGTTCATCAGACTTACAAGGATGATACCTTCTGCGACGAATGCAACAGTCTCTACACAATGAATTAGTTGGTCCCTCGTGATTTCCGACCTAAGTTGCCGAAGATCCTACTTGACGGCCTACTTATAGCCGACACCAAGGATAAGATCGCGTGAGCTCCTGGAGGTGACTGGAAGTTGAAGTGGCGCCTCGAGCCATCTCGAGACGTTCTCGACCTGCTAGAGAATCCCAACAAGGAGTAGGAAGGAAGCGGGATCATGGAGAAAGCAATGAGGAATTGGCCTGATCATGGGATGGGCAGGAAAATACGGGATGTAAATATAGCATTGCTTGAGCAATGAGAGACTTCAATCAAGGAAGGGAATGGGATTTATGGCAGTTCTTGAAAAACATACAACGTGTGCACTGACGTTTGGTTTAGCTCGTATCTGTGTGAAAATCATGCCAATGTTCAAATGTGGTTCCTCTGACTTTCTCACGAACAGTGTAAAGAACGATGCAATGTATTTATAAACAACACTGTAATTGAATACACGCGAAAAACGCTCCGGTCCCGCAAAAATGGACTTTTAAGATTCTACGATAGCATCCTAGTTTTTATAGTGCTGTTAGCGATACAGTGCCCACGTCCAGTAATTTGTAACGCTATATTAAGCTGTGTATATATATATATCGTGATCGAGGGCATATGGCTCTGTGTTTACTTGTACTTCACAAATTTCTTCGAAGTACTAAGCCGCTCGTGCGAAAGCCTTGTGTAATTCTACTCGCTGAGATCCTCATCCAACAGGCCGAGCAATACCTGCTGGCCGGCCCAAAGTTCTTCGGCAGTGGGCCTGATCTGCTGTGGAGGAAGAACAAATCCATAACGTCCAGTGTCCGGCAACTCAATTGTGTACGAGAAGTTAGCTCCGCCAATACTGTAGACATGATCAGGCGCAGCACCGGTTGTCGTGTAGAGAGTAGCACCGCTGGGGCCGTAAGTAAACGTTGTTTGCCGTGACGAGCTGTTACGGATCGTCTCACTGACCAGGGCAGATGCCTGGGTCCATTTTTCTAGCTCAGGTGCATATACGTCGGTACGATAGCCATACGGGGAGAGGATGTACTGGCCGTAGCTGTGCCAATCGATGAACAGTCTGATTCCCGCGCCGTCGCGAAGTTGGCGCACGAACTTGTCTAGTCCTTGGTTCTCTGGGGTGTCAGATGCCGCAAGACCTTTAAAGGTCTCAGAACAAGGGTTTGTAGATGCTCCATTAGGGGCATCCCAAGCAAATTCCCAGTTTCTATTTATATCCCGACCGTAACAAGATTGATCAGCTGGAGGAGGTGGTGGTGATTGGCGGTTCTTTCTCCAAAGTCTGTTTGTTGTTTGTGTATAAACGAAGCCTGTGATGGATTAGAAAGTGATCTACGAAGAGTGATCCGAGGTCATACCATCTGGGTTCACAAAGGGAAAGATATAAAAGTCGTATTTGTTCAGGAGGGCTTGAACATCCTCGTCTCCACTTTCAAACCCTTGGAGTAATTGTACTGTGATGTACTCTACAACCTGAGATTGCCTCATCAGCACATATCACAAACAGTCCTTCATTTTGATGCCGTCTCCTTACAGGTGCAGCAATCCACTCCCTAGCATGGACAGTGGCATGATACAGGACGGCTGGCTTTCCGGGGCCATCAGCCCCCCAGAGATGGAGACCATAGATGCTCCTGTTCTGAACCGAAGAACCGGACGAGATGTACTCGGAGTTGTTAGGGTATGTCGCCTGAATGTCGCGGAAATATTCGATGTGGTCTTCATAACTATGGTATGAATCGAACCAGGACGGATCATTGGCCTGACGCTTCCATGTGGCAGTGGAAGGGGACTCAGCGGCAATCGAGCTACCCAGGTTGTCGTGCATTACATGAGCTTCGAGCCCTAGTGCTTCAAAGGTGGCCAGTTGGGTTGGCGAAACCGCAACATCGACGTGGTCAATCTCATGGTTCCATTCGTCAAGTGACAGAGGCTCCAATTGCTCACGAATGGCCGAAGTGTGTCCGTGGGTATTGATGCGGAAGACTTTGTAGCCATCGTAATTAATAGGCTCGTCTTCCGCAATCGTGGTGGCAGCACTTGCGAGCAGTGACAACACCAGGTTAATTATGGACGACCGCATTTTGCTCAACCTTGTACAATATGAACGAAGACGTGGGAATCAGATGAAATCCTATTGTGGAAGCAATGAGGGACTTATATACATAGCCATGCCTCATTTGGTGCACAAGTCGTGCGTCGAACTGCATATAAGCCACATTCTCCATGCTTTTGGTAGAGGAGCCGATCTCCAATAATGCAACAGTCTAGGAGTTGATTGGACGGCTTGCCAAATATTGCGTTGCGAGTCCCAAAATCCGCGAGAATAGATGCCGCCAAGAAATGATGTGCGCTGGACTTGCCAAATTGTCCCAAGAAACTCGCAGCGGACTTGGACAATGGCAAGTGGCGGTAGCTTCGCGCAATGTAGTCTAATAATTGCGTAAAGGTGTATAAAGGTTCAAAATGCTACACAGACAACAGATTCGGCAGGTGAGTCTTGGCAGTTGGGCCAAGCGAGCACTACTGGAGCATAAACTGCGAGGACCATGCAACTGCAAATCTTGTTGTATTTCGCCAAGCCGCAAGCACGGCAAATAGAATTTTCCAAGCCAGAAGCTTGTCTGATACTTTCAGAAAGATGAGGGAATTATCCCAAGTCTACCTCCATCAGTGACTAGCATATTGCCATTGATGTATGCGCCGGCTTTGCTGACGAGGAATAGAATCGCGCCGGCTATATCTTCCTCGTCTCCTGGCCTCTCTTCCGGCACGAAGTCCTTCTGCCACCCAGCGTCCTTTTGCCGTGCCAGAACATCCTGCGTCATCTCACTTGGATACCCTGAGGCGGTAGTCAGCAGAGATCTATACGACTAAAATGATAGAGAGGTGGCACTCACAGCCAGGTAAAAGAACATTGGCGCGGATACTGTAAGGCACCAAACTGGATGTGAGCTGCTTCATAATGTGCACAACTGCAGCTTTCGAGGCTTCGTACGCATATCCCAGCACAGGCAGACGGGTGTATGCGCCAATACTGCTGGTCGCGATGACCTGACTTCTCTGTTTGCGATCACTTCGCTTATTGCCTTTATCCAGAAGCTCAAGGAAGGCGACGATGGTCATGAAAACGCCGGTAGTATTGACAGCGAAGGTCTCGTTGAAAGAGCCAGAACTCCAATTCCATAGATGGTTTCGAAACTGAGAAATAGTGGCATTCTCGGCGAGTCCATCAAGAGTTGGCCCAACAATACCAGAATTGGCGATTACAACATCAACATAACCGTGCTTCAATTCCAGCTCCGCAACAGCGCGCTCAAGATCGCTCTTGTCAGTGACGTCGCCTTGAATTGAATAGATATTTCCATATCTCTATCAGAAGTTAGGCTCCGGCTTCTGATGAATCGACTTGTCCGAACGCTGGTTCGACTTCATGTCAGTTAATGCAAGTTTGCTTCACTTACAGCAGATTTGACACCATTATCCAATGCTTCTTGACGGCGACCAATGATGTAGACCAGGGCACCATTGGCTTCAAGTGCTTGTGCGATCATGAGACCGATACCTATGAGATTTTGTGAGTTTCTATCAACAGATGTGTCGAATAGTCAAGGCAAGATGCCAGTACCTGTAGCGCCTCCTGTTACGACAACAACCAACCCTTTCACGCCGAACAAACCATTCGCATCAATTGTTATCGATCCCATATTGCCAGTGCTCATTTCATGAACCTGATGTTTGATCTCTCGTTCATTTCGTGTCTAGATGACATATTTATCCTCACAATCATGTTGAGCTAGTCCAGCTGCCAGATTATGCATTTGTTGCGTCAAAGTCGAAATTTTCAACGGTCTCCGCAGAAGAACTTTGATTCAAGGCATCTTCCCCAATGATGATAGCGATATATGACTGTTTTGGAGAAATTCGGTTCGGTTTCGTCGTAGTTAGAGACAATTTGCGAGATTGTTGCCCGTGAATGTTGGATAAGCATAACGTCTGACCATGAGATCTAAACATCACTCGGCGTAATTCCAATGTGGAGTTGTTCCAAGTACCCGAGTTCGACAGATCTAGCAGCTGACTACAATCATCCTGTAATACTTCGTATTCTCTTTCCATTTCACTCGTGCACAGTCAAGCAAGGTAGTCGGGCAGCGCATCAATTCCTCTGACATTTGACAGCTTTCAAAAGCCGATGGCGTGAAATTTCGGAGTATACACATAGCAGCGATGAATCAACCCGCCTCAACCTTAGCAAGCCGACGTCGCATCCATGTAGACTAAGTTCAAGGCCTGGCTCAACAGGCAATGAGTCAACCACTCTAGAGATTTGAGCTACATGGTAAACCAGCACCTCACCTTTGTCGGCAGGGTGAATCCAGTTTATCCCTGCTTATCGCATTTTGAACACTATGAGTGCCTATCTGTGCTATAGATCTATCTCCACATGCGGGGAGCTCGGCAGCGATCCGAACCATTTCCAGCTGTCTCCAAGGAGATGCGACGTTACCTGAAGTCACTAGAACCAGTTCAATTTCAACCATGAAATGAGAGGTTGAACAAACACCAACCTTGATATGAATTCCTCACTACTACGCTGTTGCAATGTGGTCTGTCGTGGGTCTTGTAGCACTCCATGGGCTCCTGGCGGGCATTTTAGCCTTACAGATCCCAATTGACCTAGACGGCCATTCAGAGCATGGCTCTGTTAGCGATTTTGGGCTATTTCCCACGGGCAAAGACGCCTTTCTTGATCAGTTGCTTGCGAATATGACAGTAGAAGATCTGGGTACGTAATATCCTCAAAGTAGAGAATCGTTTGCTAATAAACGTAACAGTGCTACAGCTTCACCTCATGTTCGCTGGCGACATCATTGGGCCGGAACCTTTTGATGAACTTTGGAGTAGGTTATATCACGGCTTGTAGAGAGAGCTTTCACTTACTCAACCACCAGACTCAACAATGAGCTCTAGCCCAGATTCTCCAATCGGCATGGTGCACGACTGGTACGGAACCATTCTGGAAGATTCATCACCCTTCCTCGTACTTACGCGTTCAGGTATCCGATGAACGCTTCAGCCTATAATAACCTACAAAGGACAAACCTCGACAGATCTCGACTCAAGGTCCCCTTGATGCAAACGGGAGAGTGCCTGCACGGCGTTGGCTCTTTCAAGCAATCCTTATTCCCGCAGAGCATTGGGCTGTCGGCTAGCTTCGACACTGATCTCGTCTACCGCGTTGCGCGTGCTATTGGGACGGAAGCCCGATCCATCGGAGTGCACGCATGTTTCTCTCCCGTCCTTGACCTGGGACTAGACCCGAGGTGGGGCCGGATGCAGGAGGCTTGGGGGGAGGATAAGGTGCTCACTTCGCATATGGGGGTTGCGTACTCATCAGGCTTGTCAAAGAACGGGTCGCTGTCCGAACCAGATGCTGTCGTGCCGATCGCAAAGCACTTCGCGGCCCATGGTTCGCCCCAGTCCGGCCACAATGCAGCACCGTTCATGGGGCATGGCAATCGACAGGTGATGCAGGATCTCCTACTGCCCTTCAAAGCGGCCATTGAGCTCGGCGGCGTGAGAGGTGTGATGATGGCTTATAATGAGTTTGACGACATACCAGCTTCCGTGCATCCTATGTTATACCAGGCTCTTGAAGACTGGAGTTACGATGGATTTGTCATGGCTGACGATACTGGCATCATGCAGCTCGAGACTGTTCACCAGGTGGCAAAATCTCCCGCGGACGCCTTGCGGCAATGGTTCAATGCAGGGGGAATGTTGCAGTTCTACGACTTTCCCCTCGATACTTACACAAAGTTGACGAAAGAATTGGTGGCCGATGGGCTCGTGAAAATAACGACTCTGCAGTCTCACGTCCGGAGGATTCTCAGCATGAAGTGGGATATTGGGCTGTTCGAGGACCCTCTTCTTCCCAAAGATATTGACCCAATCGGTATTGCCAAAAACAATCATGACTTGACTTTGGAGGCAGCACGCCAGAGTATTGTCCTCCTGGAAAACCGGAACTCCACACTACCGTTGAAGCCGAAAGAACAAAAAATCAAGAAAATAGCACTCATCGGTCCTTTCGCTGACACACTCAACTACGGGGGTTATTCTGGAACATGGGGACAGGCCCCAGCAGATACAGCGCATACTTTGAGGCAGAGCCTGCTCAGCTATACGAGCAGCGGTGATGAGGTGATTGAAGTGATTTCAAGCTGGGGTGCAAATTCTTGGGAGTACAACTCACAGTATGCTGTCCCGGGATACCTCCTATCTTCCAACAGCGTACGGGGCTTATCTGCCACCTACTTCGCCACGACAGACTTCCACAAACCTGTGGTTCACAAGACGGAGATCCCCAATCTGGATTGGGGGTTATATCCACCGTCCGGGCTTTCATCGACCAATTTCAGCGCCGTGTGGGAAGGTGAGCTCATGTCACCTGTTGATGCTGACGTTGATGGCTGGTTGGGGGTCGCGGTTGGGGCGAACACAACAGTCAGGCTGTTTGTTGATGGCGAACTGATCATGATGCAAGGGACCGACGGGCTATCGTCGAGTGGGACGATCATGAGCAATATCATGGATCACTCGTATATCCAGGAACACTCTACTAGCCCACCACCAGGCGCTGCTCCGTTCGCGTTCCGGAGAGGCGAGGTATACCACATTCGAATTGAATATCAGGCGTTCAACCTGGCAAAGAAAGTCGCGAATGTGGTATCTTTAAACCACCAGATGGTACTCTTCTGGAATCTGGTCAGTCGCCACGGAGATGCGGTGGGCCGAGCCGTCGCACTAGCGAAGAAGTCTGATATCATAGTTCTTGCGCTGGGCGCAGGCTGGAACAGCGATGGTGAAAATGGCGATAGAGCGACCCTTGGTCTAGCGCCAAGTCAAGATGCATTGGCACAGGAAATATACAAGCTGGGAAAGCCCGTGGTGCTTGTGCTCCAAGGTGGACGACCGTTCGCGATTCCTCAATACTATGCACAGAGCGCAGCTGTGATGAGCACATTCTTTCCTGGGCAGTCGGGTGGTCAAGCAATCGCCGATGTTCTCTTTGGAACCGTGAACCCAGGTGGTAGACTGCCAATAACGGTACCCAGAAACGTCGGCCAGCTTCCAGTCTATTACAACTTCAAATTTCTGGCGCGGAAGATAAGTAAGTGGGGGAAAAACAAAAATGAGAAGGAAAAAAAGTCGTGTTTTCATTTTCTCTTGTATTTGGGGCGGTGCCTCGTCTACTCCAGAAAATGGCAGCTTCGACGTGTGATGGTGAGAGTGAAGCTGACATTTTCTTCGTGACTAGATTATCTAGATGCCGAATCGGCGCCTGCCTACCCATTTGGCTATGGATTATCTTATACAACATTTAGGGTGGACAATTTGGTAGCATCGAAGGAGACATTTGCCAAAGGCGATACGATCACCTTCTCAGCGGATGTGAAGAATACTGGTAATGTGCATGGCAGTCATGTGTTGCAGGTATATGTCCTGGACCGAGTGTCATCGATAGTTCAACCAATGAAGCAGCTCGTGGCGTTCAAGCGGGTATATCTCGAAGCTGGAGAAGAAGCGTCCGTCTCGCTCGAAATAGATGTTGACCGATACTTGACTGTTTTGAATCGCTGGAACAAGTGGGAGTTGGAGGAAGGGATGTACACTTTCGCATTGCTAGCGCACGGCGGAGAGACAGCTCCTACCGGCACAAACGTTTCTATGCGTTGCATGTAAGCTAGTCTAGCCATAGGAATGCTGTCTCGCATGTGTACGTGGGTCAAGCCAAGCGAGCGAGCGTGCCAAATGCCATGTTGCATGCTCAAGCACCCAACGCCGAAGCGGTTGGTTCATTTTCCGTGCCAGGACGACATGTGCTGACAGTTGGGCATCCCAAGGTCAAAAACCACGACACATGCATTCGGGTGCACCAATTTGCCGTTTCTGCAGTTTTCTCCGGGGGACTTGCAATGCGTAAGTCTGTAGAAAAGAAGAAGACCTGATTTTTGTATTGTACGGAGCTTGTTGCTTTGTTCCCATTGCCCCAGCAGGTGATTTACTCTGGGGGACACGATAACGAGCTGCACGGTATGTAACTTACGTTATCATCACGTGGTTTGGCCTCTACTTCAGTAGCCCGAGCCCCAGCCCCAGCCCCAGCACCAGCACCAGCAGGGGATTGGCTCAAAAGACAGATAAGATATCCAAGTCCTGGTCTTGGGCCTTGGGGTCTTGGTCGTCCTTCAGAGTCAGAGCTTCGGCGTCAGCAGGCACCGGCTACCGCGCACTTCGCAGTGCAGTCTCACCGACCTTCCGGGTGTAAGTCGCGTTCCAGAGCTGGGCAACATAATCCACCTGCGAGCATCATGGATGACAGCATTGACCCCAGACTTCGCGGTGCCGAAGAGCACAGCTCAGTAGCCCTTACTGGCGGCCCAGCTCACAACACCGCCCATCTTGCATCGGCGCCAGTGCCAGCATCAGCATCAGCATCAGCAGATGCGTCGGCGCCTTCTCCTGTCGCAACCTCAACCTCAACCACAGGTCCCAGCCCAAGCTCGGTCGGACTACCGGTGCACAGCTATGGCGCAACCCCGGGCACTCCAGCATCCACGGTGCAGCATCCGTACGCGAATTCAAATGCAAACCCAGATGCGAATGCAGATCCAACAGCGGATGACCCCGAGACCCCCAACCCCGGCTTTGCCCCCGGCGCCACCACTCCAGGGAATCCTGACGATCCAAAGCGACCGCGAGCTTGCGAAGCATGCCGCGGATTGAAGGTCAAGTGCGAACCTGACCCTGCCGACGAGAATGGCCCTTGCAAGCGATGCAGAAAGGCCAACCGTTCCTGTGTCATCACGCAGCCCACCAGGAAGAGGCAGAAGAAGACCGACAGCAGAGTCGCCGAGCTCGAAAAGAAGATTGATGCGCTCACGGCCAGTCTGCAGGCCTCGAGAGGCGGAGGGCCTGCACAGCTACCTTCGCTAGAGCACAACCCCTTCGGCAGCGCCCAACAACAAGTCACCAACCTGCCGCGAGAATGGAGCCATGCGCCGCCGCCTTCTCAGGCCTCTCAGGTCCAGTCGACTCCGGAACAGGAGAAAGCGCAGTCCTTCTTCCTACCGCCCACCGGCATGGCCGGCCAGAAGAGAAAACACTCCGAAAACAGGGAGAGCTCTGCCGAAGAGTCTAGACTCTGGCACCAGCCAAAGGAGCCCCCGCGCCATGAATATACCACCGACATGATCGACCGAGGACTCATGACTATGCAGCAAGCCAATGATTACTTTGCCCGTTACACTGACCACATGATCAAGCATCTGCCAGCCGTCGTCTTTCCCCCAGGCACCACGGCTGCTGAAGTCAGAAAAACAAAGCCCCTCCTGTTTCTAGCAGTCATGGCAGCTGCATCTTCCGAAGCACCGCACATACAGCGCCAGCTCGTGAAGGAACTAATACAGCTCTTTGCCGACAAGATCGTTGTCTACGGCGAGAAGAGCCTAGAATTGGTCCAGGCCCTACAAGTTGGAGTTATCTGGTACCATCCGCCGGAGCATTTTGAGGAACTCAAGTTCTACCAGCTCGTGCATATGGGTGCAGTCATGGCTATCGACATTGGCTTGGGCAGAAAGCGGAGTAGCAGCAAGCAACGTATGATCCCATATACGTGGAAGGACCACCCAATGCGAAAGCATCCTCTGCCTGACCCGACGACCATTGAAGCCAGACGGGCTTGGCTAGCATGCTACTTCCTTGCCTCAAATGTTGCCATGGCATTGCATCGCCCAAACCTCATCAGATGGACTTCTTTCATGACAGAGTGTATCGACATCCTGGAGTCGTCTCCGGAAGCCGCACCTTCGGACAAGTACTTGTGCCATCTCGTATGGACCCATCGATTGGCAGAGGAAGTCGGAATACAGTTCTCCATGGACGATCCAACAACTTTTGTCAACGTTTCAGAGCCCAAGGTACAATATGCTCTTCGGGGTTTCGAAAGAGATCTGGAGAAGTACAGTGAATCGATCCCTCAAACAGAGAAGCAGCGTGAGTGGAGAATCTGCAATATGGCTTTTAGAGCACACACTAATTCGTCCCAGCTTCTCTTCTCCTCAGTTTTCACGTCCTCAGTCTCTATATGCACGAGATAGCGCTATATGTGGAGAAGGCGGAGGATATGCGACCCCCGTGCAATGCGGAGGTTCTCCGAGATCCTGTGCCCGGCCTCAACGAGTCTCTGACAGCCGCCCACATTGGTGCACTGAGCTCTTGTCTCACAGCCATCGACGGCATATTCGACACGTTTCTCTCAATGGATGTCTATAGCATACGCTGCCTACCCGTCTTTAATTTCGTACGAGTGGCCTACGCTGTGGTCGTCTTAATCAAGATGTACTTTAGTGCTAGTACGCCAAACTCTGAACTCGGCAGGGTGATCAACAAGGACAACATGAAGGTGGAAGAATATTTGGACAAGCTACTGGCCAAGTTTGGCGATGTCGCTGCTGCGGATAAGTCGCGGCCAGCTGCCAAATTTATTCTCGTTCTGGCCATGCTGAGGAGTTGGTTTCAGAAGCAGGGGAAAGCTGACAACGGAACACCTTCGCTCCCACCGCAAGACGCCACTGTCAAGGCAGAGGCTATGACATCGGCACCTGCTCCACAGCATCAGCAGCCAACAAATGAATACAACCCTGCCAACACGCCACTACAGCTTCTCTCCGAGATTGCGACCGGTAACCGCAACGGTGACCAGACCAACGTTGCTGCTAATGTTAACAACAATATCAATACCCAGCCCTTCACCAACTGGATGAGCTCTGCAGTTCCATCCACGGGAACATTCATGTATGACTCTGGCATGGGTATCAATGGCGTCATGCCTTACTTGAACAACTCTTTCAGCGCTGACTTTGACTACTCAAATCTGGGTGATGGCTTTGAGCAGGCTATGGGCTTGACTTTTGGCGGATTTATAGGTCCAGATATTGGTTCTCAAGGCATGGAGTATATCTTTGAAGGCGGACCCAACATGGGAACGCACTTTCCCTATCAGTGAGCACCGGCTCACTTTCTGAAGGTTTATATGCTACGGTCTGTTGTGGTGCGGTTAGTGCCGGAGTTGAAAAGTATCAACGCGAGTTTGGGACTTGCCGCGGGTGTTAGGGAGTTGGCGTTAACTGTATTACTTGGTGGAACCGGGAATCTGCAGCCCAGATTTGGCCCTTTGTTGAAAGCATAGCGTATCTAGCTCATATCTCAATTTAGCGCGTCTACCCTACTCATTATCTGAAATCGTAATATGATATATTCAGCTGAGGTCAGCCGCCGGTTCAAATGCTTGTTGTGGGTCCTGACCATAACCGAAGCCCCGCCCCTCTGTCATATATTCAAACTCGAGTCTCGGCCATGAAGTATCTTTCATGTCTCAAACGACAACGAGTGAAGAACGATGAGCTCCAAATCAACGAGCATCAAACATATTTTGATCTGTTAGATATAGAACAACCATGCCAAAACCTGTGCCAATACCCCCTCACTACGATCATGTCAAGTCATTTCGTTGGGCCGAATTCTCGAGTGGTCGCACTCGGAGCGGCGGGTGTTCTTTCACTGGCTATAATAACATCACTTTTCACTGTAAAGACGGAAAGAGGCAAGCCCTATGTTGAATCGCCACGAGGGAAGCTGGCGCATCTGTCGAAAGACGAGATCAGAAATCTACCCTACCCACCCGATGTCCTCCCTGGCGGCAGGGACGTCGCTACGCCCTATGGCTCTATCCGAGTCTTTGAGTGGGGTCACGAGGACGGAGAGAAGGTCTTGTTCCTCCACGGCATCAGCACGCCGGTGATTGCACTGGGCGACCTGGCACACGAACTCGCAGGCAAGGGGTACAGGGTCATGTTGTTCGGTTCGTCTCAAAATTCACACCTTCCAACGCTTCTTGATCACGTCTCAATTTCAAAAAAAAGAAAGAAAAAAAGAAAAGAAAAACTCCCCCCCAAGGAAGAAGAAAAGACTAACGCACTACCTCGACAGATCTGTTCGGACGCGGCTACTCGGACGCGCCCGTCGACCTCCCGCACGACGCGCGGCTGTACACGACGCAGATCCTGCTCGTGCTGGCCTCGTCTCCTCTGACGGGCTGGGGCTCCTTCCACCTTGTGGGCTACTCCCTCGGCGGCTGCCTCGCCGCCTCCTTCGCGCGCTACTTCCCGCACCGGCTGCGGTCCCTCGTCCTCGTGGCGGGCTCGGGCCTCATCCGCCCCCGCCACGTCGGCTGGCAGAGCAGACTGCTGTACAGCAGGTCTGGTCTGCTCCCGGAGCCGCTCGTCCGCTGGCTCGTGAGGCGGCGGATCAGGCCTGCGGCTGCTGATGAACCGTCGCTGGCCGGCGGGCCTGCTGACATCGTGGCCGCGGAGAGCAGCGGGACGACAGCGCAGGGAAGTGGTGGCAACGGGGATGCGAGTGGAGGACGAGGGTTCGATAGTGCATCGATCTCCAAAGACAGGCCGCACGTAAGTGTTTCACATGTGGTAAGGTGGCAGATCGATCACCATGAGGGGTTTATCGGGGCGTTTCTGAGCACGATCAGGTATGCGCCTATCTATGCGCCGCAGGGGGACTGGGAGGTATTGGCCCATATACTGGCTGAGAGGAGAGGAGCAGATAAAAAAATGGAAACAAGACCAAGGGGTCTGGAAGCGGGGAGGGTCTTGATGATTCTTGGGAAGGACGACCCGGTCGTGGTACCGTCGGAGACCATTGGGGATGCTGAGGCGGTTTTGGGGAGCGACGGCGTAGAGGCGGTGGTGTTGGACGCTGGGCACGAGGTTAACATCAAGTGTAGCAGCGAGGTTTGTGGCCACATAGACAGATTTATACACAGTGGGCGTAGTGTACAACAAACAGACTAAAGCAGGCCGGAACCCAACTACATGTACAAATATCTTGAGACACTCGATGGAATCAATATTTCTCATGAGATGACCGGGAAATGATCAAATGCAGTAGTAGTGCCTAGTATAAACTTCTCTTGTGTTGACGGCTATGGTCGGCCAAGCCATGTATAACGCAAGTAAGCCGATAGTAGCAGCAACTGCTTCCTTGTCATAAACAGATGTACTTTGGTATGGCCCCTGTGGCCGTAAGTTACAGTTGTGATCCAGACTGACTCGCTCAGAAGTTTGGGGTGAGGGGTAGTCATCGGGGCTGAGGGCCAGACTAGCGGGAGTATAGTTGCAATCTCTCTATATTTGGTGTGCTGGTGAATACTTTGGTTGAACTATCAAGTATGTAGGTGAGCTTCAGGCCCAGATTCTCGAATTGATGTGACGGTCGAGGTTAACTCATATCGAGAACCTAAATATGCTCATAGAGGTCTTAGAAAATGGTCACCGAATTATGAGTAATGGTATAATTCCCACGTAGATTCTCCATCCCGCATCCCATGTTGATTTGAAATCAAAAGCCATTCAGCGAAAGACGGACGATTCGAGTTAGACCGGAAAGCACAAGACAACAAAACTTCTCGCTCGCGAGTTATCGAGAAAGTTGAATACCCGACGTCGTGACCAAGTCTTATGCAAATAGTCCGTCGTGCCTCACTGCACAAAATATTCCAAGTCAATGTCCATCACACAGGTTGAAAGAGAACATACCCGATACCAAAAATCTGTCTAAGAACACGGTACCAGGTTCGCTTTGACGTTGTGTCGAGGGCAATATTGTTCCAGTACTAGCCCGGGTTTTAGTGAATGTACGAAGTACGCAGACTGTAGCTCTAGAGCATCACGTAACACTCCTGATGCCAATACTAATATGTCTTTGCGTTGGTCGGTCAGACTAAGAGCGATATGGAGGCATGGCTCGATCATGCTCAGACGCAGTGATATGGATCGAGTGCCTAACAAATCGTGAAATATATTCATAGAGAAGGTACAACAACTATGTCAACCACTTACAAGAAGTTGCGTATATTAGCACATGCGGCGAGGGCCTATTCCAGCAGTGAGAACTCGGGCTTACTTTTCCATGACCCCCGACTAGGTTAGGCGACTCCTCATGAAGTACGCTCTTTTGTGTGAGGTATGGCTAATATTTAGAAGCAGTAAACAGCAACCTTTTGCAGACCATGTTACACGGCAGGCCATGCTTTGCATCCAAGGTTAGAAGAGTGGAATATCTTGAGAGGAAGTAACGATGCTGGATCGTGTTTGGGTTCTAGCCTCGGTCGGCGCCTGCAATGGTTGAGTATGGTGTTTCACTGCAGACTTTGACTGCACCATGAGGAGGCACTCATCAGCCGATGGGCAGTCTTTGTGGGCTGAGCTTGTGGAGGCCTGGTGCCGAGAATCGTATGAATATCAAACGACTCGAGCCCACATATTTAGCTTCAGCGGACTCCGCTGCAGACAGCAACGGAGGCGTTACAAGTACGCATTTCCGTTTGGGCACGCAATGAGAAAGTGGCTAGCCTGTGTTTCCATGCAGGACGGTGTATATTCGAGGCTCGGGATTCGTTGATTCCAAGAGGACAAGCATGCCAAGCTATGGCTAGGTCGATAGTTCACAGTCCGCTACGTGACGGCATTGGGTGGTGGGGCCGCTTTGATGGTGATCTGGGGTAGGGTTGGGTATTGCTACAACTACTAATACTGTATGCATTCTGGCATGTGGTCTAGTACCCCATTCCACGAGAGCCGAGTGGAGACTATGCAAACTGCTCGACGCCGTACATCGAAAGATGTGAGTAGAAGTGTGGAGTTGCTTGGCGAAGCTTCCATCGTTGCATCGGTCGTGCCTGTGTTACTCGTACGGTTAGGCCAGGTAGCCTGGTCAAGGAGACCTACGTGGCTCAAAGTGGACATGGAGGTGGATAAAGATGCAGACGGGAGGGCAGCCGGGATGGCAGCCACCAGGAGGACGATAGCCAGATGCAGGTCATGGAGATTAGAGATTCATTCGCAAGGACTGCCAGGGAGAGATCCAAGTTGCGTGACTCGGATCGATCTGGGCGTATTCGGAGCAACATGGATTGCCCTCTCCTGCCTCTATCAGTTGTTGTGCTCTGGTTACATGTATCTATCTGATGAAGGCAAACGAGGGTCGGGTCGGCGGCGAGTTAATAGTAAATACGTCACAGGCCAGAGACCAGGAGTCCAGTGGCCAAGCAGCACCTTACCCACTGAAACCCCAGCTTCCCCGCATTTCCAGTTGAGCTTGTCCTCCAGGGCTCGGCCTTGGTTGGTCAGCGATAGTAGTACACAATCACGCCCCCAACGGGATGCGATGGGTGGGTAACTTATCTACTTACTTATCTGGTGGCAGCAGTCATTGGAAGTCCGCTACCGTGTCTGTCTTTTGTCTTTACTTTACTTTAGTCTTTAGGTTCTCCTGAAAGTTCCCCAAGCTCACTCACTCCCCTTACTTCTCTCTCCCCTTTACACAATCCTATCATCACATCCCATCACATCCCATCCACACTTGCGCCATTGATCAATGTCCAGTCCAAGTCCAATCTATCGGACTGCCCCTGTTACATCACAAAGTCGAATCAGCTTCCTGAGATCACCCACTTGAACCTCGAGGGGTATTACCCCGCCCCGCCAATCAAGGGTCCACGCGGTATTGAGTACCTGGCGCCATCTGAATCTGAAGCCATTATCTTGCCATCTCTCAAAGAAATACCACCTACCTCTGCTTGTTTTGCCACACCCGAAACTCACTCGGTCTTATCCATCACACAAAGGGTCCAGTCTTCTTTCAGTCGACACCACAATCTGTCTATCTATACTTGACCTCGCCTGGTCACTGCACATTTCAGTTCAGGGGTGCGAGCAGGCGTCTGCATTCTGCTCCTACCTCCTCCTACTCGTACTTCTACTCATACTTATATCTGCTCCGAGCCATCCCTCTCCCACCAAAACAAACCCGCGCCCTCTGGCCTACCTTCATTACATCACATAGCACACTACTTGGTCGAGATCCGATTGTACATCTGTCCGTCTGTTCCATTGTCCCACCTTGACATCGCCGCCATGTCCAACGACCGAGACCACAGCCCAACCTCGACCGGCCCACGTGAACGCCGGGGATCTGTCACCACAGCTGCCTTCTCGAGCCTCTTTCAGCGTAGCAACTCGAGCTCGGCCGGATCCAACGGTGTTCAACCTCTCAACTCATCCGCCGCAGCTAGAGATCCCCACCGGCGCCTTTCCGTCACTACCCTGGGTCTCTCGGGCGCTGCAGGTCCAGCCTCGGCCACGGGAGCTTTTGGTGGAATCCGACGAGGAAGTATTTCCACCAACAACTCGGACTCCATCGATGAGAACGCTATTGATGACGATGAGCCATCTGCACGCACAGCCCCTACCACCCCGTTCGTCCGACGCATGAGTTTTGGTGCCAACGCACTGCGTTCCGTACGATCTCCGCCAGCAGGTACCAGCCCTGGCTCTTCTGGTAGGCCTGCTCCTGACCAACCTCGCCGTCCTTCGGGCGGCATAACCCGCACGCCTCCCTCGGGCTCCGCTACCTTCACTGCACCCGCTGCGACTGCGACCGCAGGTGGTCGTAGAACTAGCATGGCTCAGGCAAGCACAACACTACCTGCAAGATCCCCTTCTGACGTTCTTTCCGCTACTCGTACAGACCAAGGCTTCAATTGGTCCGAGCAGCTTAGATCCCGCGCCGAAAGCAGCGTATCGGGCATGCGCCCATCCTTCAGCGGCTTGTCCGCTGCCGGTTCTCCTCCACGACCAGGAATTGCTTATCACGATCGCGCCAAGTCCGTCTCCGAAATGCCCGCGCCCCCTCAACAAGCTGCCGCCATAAAGCCTAAACAGCCAGAGCAACGCAAACCCGACGCCATGCAGGAGCGTATCCTCAAGGGTGACTTTTACATGGACTGAATGTACCAAATGTCCGGTTCGACTTTTGCAGGCAACTGAAAAAAGAAATGAAATGAAAAAAAGAAACCCATTGCAGCTCCAGACATCAGCTTGGCCAGGCGGCAAAACAACATGACATATTACTGTTTGTAGCGGCCAGTTCACAGCCCTTCCGGGGAAGATGACACAAACACCACAAACACGGCGGCCGCCACTCCATCGCGGCCGCCCCTCATACAATATTTGACTAAAGCCCAAGTTAATTGCAGCGGCCTTTTGCCTTTCGATTTTCCATTGAACCTGTCCCTTGCTAACTAACGTCACTCGCTACACCACTGCAATATGGCGCTAAAAGGGAGGACAAAGATTTGCTGCGATATTGAGGCAAACAATGTGGCCAAATTTTGGAACAGCAGGACATTGTACCATGGCACCGAAGCCTTGAGCCGTGCTCGTCAATCAACATGGGGAATCTGGGGGACAAAAGCTCTCAAAAGCAGCATATCTGGAATGAACTTCACATTGATTATGTCATTTCGGTAACGTTCGGAGTCTGTTAAGAGGTTGTCAAATTCTTGACTTTACATACGACATGACCCACGGCGCTGGGCACGAAGGGCTTGAGGAGCATGAGATTGGAACTATCTGCTCAGAAAATCTAGTAAATGAAACAAAACAAGTTATAAAGTACATGCAAAGCCCATGTAAAGCACTTCGCACCATGTCAACCACTTGCTTCTCTACTTGACCGTCTGGACTGCTTTGGCTTTGATGATCATCCGCCACCGTACATTAGCTATTTGTTCCAACACTGTGTTCTAACAAATAGAGCTACTTCAGCAAGTCCTTCGTATGCCTCCTATTTCATGAAGGGCGAGTTGTACCACAGGTAGTTGGGGGTTCTGGATACTAATTCAAGTGGTGAATGTTTCTTCATGCCCTCGACAATACAAAGCCGGTCATCAAGCTCGACAACCACGACGGATATGAAGTACCAGCGGTGGAATAAGACAAGTTACCAACAATAGACCAGACCGCTGCAGTGTCATCATGATAGACGGATCAAGGCCATACAAGATAATAACGTATTCAACGCTTTGCTTGAATGCACTTACTCAAAGGACTTGAAAATAAAATAATAAAATAAAAAAGCGGCGCCCAAAAACATGTGGCCAGCTCTCAACAGTTATCCGGAATAGACTCAGTGACTTACTACAAAGGGATGAGAAAGAAAGAAAAAATTGTTTGGCGTGGATATTCCGGGAGTTGAGATTCGTAACTCCATATATTGCATAGTCCACGGAATAGTACTCAAGTTATGTCACCAGAGGTCTAGCGGTCGTGTACACGAGCCCGTGATGATGTAGAGGTGAGGGCATCATAATCATAGCTGTAAATCGAGAGTGTGCCATTAACACCAATTCCGGCCTTTTTGATAGGTGTGCTCTGTATAGCCCTAAGACAGCATGCCTTGAGTCTTCTTGTTCTTGTTCGCTCTTGCTGCTCTGGTGAACACTCGGGTTCTCGACCTCGAACATGGCAAACAGGCCTCGAATTCATCTGGTCTACTTAGGACTGCTACCCTCCGTATGGCACAGACCGTCCTGATTTTTTATGGACACGTTCTGCAAGGGTAAAGGGTGTTACAAGAATTCTTAAAGTCGAGCTCTCGTGAGAATGAAAAATGCCGGCGGTGCGTTTCTGGAAGAGAAGTGATCAGGAGCATTACACCGTCTCTCGTACAGAGCTATGCTTGCCTTTCTGATGCTCCATAATCTTGGCTCTTTATTTCGAATGTGATTGGGCGATAGTTGTGAGCATCGGTCATATCCAGATTTCCAAGCTGGTGGTCTGATTCAGCCTCGACTCGTAGTTGTAGGAACTAGGAGATTTCGAGCTGGACGCAACTCAATGCTTCCATAGGACCCCTCGAAGGTTTTTATTTTTTATTTTTTTTTACTATACACAAGCGATTGTCTTTAGTATCGACAAGCGGGTGAATTGATATCGAGCGGGGGGGGGGGAGAAGGAAAGGGAAAAAAAGAATATGTGGAACAGCCAAAGGGCCTAGAGTGCCAAGTTTTGGGAGTCAAGAGGTGACGGAACGATGTCATATTCGCCGCATAGAACTTCCAAGCTTGCACCCGATTTTTGCCTGTTATTTGATGGAGTTGATGGTTTAGATAAAGCCCTCATCACCATGGTTGCTCTGCACATCTAGTGAAGGGGGCCCGCACCGCTGACACGTGGAAAGCCCCCAGCCCTATGCTTGCGGTTGTACCCATTATTCTTCCTGCATCTGGGCGGGAAGATTATCAAGATAATCAAGGCTCCGTTCTGGAGGATAGGTCTGATTGGTATCTGTCGTGCATCAAAACGGGGGGGGGGGGGGGGGATTGTCAAGATAATCAGTGCCCCGTTCCGTCGGGTGTCTTCTGCTTGGTCCACTTTCAGTATACTAAGCCGAGATCGGATGCGGCACGAAAAGAGATTTCCACCCGGCTTCGTTGTATGGATTTGACTCGTTTTACCATCTTGGTATTCCATTTCTTAAGGTTTCGAGATCTCTTCTTCTTTGATAATGGTAGTCGTGTATTGCCTCCATGGTTGCGGCCTAACGCTTTCTCCACATAACTAGTTAGGTTCATTGCGGTGTCATGAGGATCCTACGCGGGTCTCTGAGACGGGAGTTATGTTTAGGTAATTGTGAACTTCGAACGGATCTGGGAGACTGATCATTCCGACAAGATCTTGTGAAAATGTTGGATATCTCAAACTTCTCTTGAGTTTTCGAGGCTCTTGGTAACAGTCCCAGGGAAGGGTGAGAAGTTAAATACGGGGCTGAGCAACCTAAAGCCAGAACGAGTCTTCAAGACTATATTCTTTCTCAACCTCTAAGCCATCATACTCCTAGTTCCCACTAGAGAATGGCCGTCGGTCGATAACTCGGCGACTTTCATCAATTGACGAATTGGGCAGCCATAGCAATGAGGATACTTAACCCCTCATGCATGAACACGTCTACTATGTGACGGTTGAATTCACTATGACCTTGGGGGTCAAAGGCTAGGTAGTTGCCATTATTGTATTCTATTACCCGTGAATGACTTTCAGCTCTGAGGGTTATAACGACACTATGTGACCTTCCGCATCAGATTGAGAACCTTGATGGCCATGAATCACCCACAGCGCCCACACAAGCAATTTCTTCTTCAGCTCATGAACAACAGGATTTGGCCGTGACGTTAGAAGATTCACTCAAGCATATTAGAATCACTCTTATCCAGAACACTATTTACGCATCTTCGGCTCGGCGGTCATTATTTTCGGGACACCTCACGCCGAGATTTTAGTCACTTGCCCGAAGAACTGAACACATCGATCCCGAATACCTTGGCACGTCATTTGCTTATACTAGAGTTACAGCATCCTCTTGTACTACTATCCGATACCATTTATTAGCCGGCACGTTTCTGCTCGATATAGCCTTACCTTAAAACTACCCCTGATTGGCTGCCCCCGGTTGATAACAATACCCATAAATCAATCTCCTACACAGATCCCTGCAGCGGTATATACTTTTCCGAGCACACCACCATGGCTAGCTTCTTTTCTTATCTGCGCTCACTGTTTACTGGTGGGTGTGACGATGCGAGCCGGGATCTCGTCAGTCGTATCGTCGAGGCACATACTACCTTGGTCAACTTAGACAGCCTGCAGCCCGGTGAGATAACCAACAAGACCCTTGGAGGCCTTGTATCTCTATGCTGCGAGTCACATGATTCTAGTACTATCAACAAGGTACGTGTTATATTGTTACTGTTACTGTGTGCGTGCGTGTGTGTGTGTTTCCTTAGCAGGCCTAGGCACACCTCATTATGTTTTGCCATAATTACCTTTACCTGCCCTTAAAACTATACGAGGTTCTCACCCCACTAACATGCCACACACTAGGTCCTAACCCATCCCCGCATCCAGTCCATCCTACCCTCTCTCCGGCACATATCCTCTGCGTCTGAGTGCTGTCTAGAGTCGTACTGGGCCGACCAGATCGTGTCCCGGTCCCGGTCCTCCACGGAGGCCCTGTCCCTGCTCAAGTCCTTTCCCTACTTCCAGAACTATGTCGACCTGGCGCGCCTCGAGCTCCACGCGCTGTACGCCGTCGAGCCTGCGCCGGTCAGCCGCATCGCCTTTGTGGGCTCGGGCCCGCTGCCCCTGACGTCCATGTGTCTGCTGCGCAGTCTCCGCGACGGCGGCGACGACGACAACGTGGTGGAGGAAGAGGAGAAGAAGGAGAGACCGACGGTGATGAACATCGACCACAACGCGACAGCGCTGTCCGCGTCGACGGTACTGTGCGAGAAGCTGGGCTCCTGGAGCGCGGGGATGGCGTTCCGGTGCTCGGATGCGAACTCGGACCAGGACCTGAGCTCGTTCGACGTCGTCTTCCTCGCCGCGCTCGTGGGCGTCACGCAGCGGGACAAGGAGGAGATCGTCATCAGCGTAGCCAGACGGATGAGGAAGGGCGCCCTCATGGTGGTTCGGAGTGCGTATGGTCTGAAGACTGTGCTATATCCGGTAAGTTTATACCATTTTGATATATCTGACGCAGGCGACATGAGAAGCTCGATCCACATTACTAATTATGTGCGCATATGTAGGAGGTTGAATTGTCGAGTAGGAGGATATGCAAAGTCTTGCAAGTAGAGACTGTCACACACCCTTACGGAAATGTTGTGAACTCGGTTATTGTAGCTAGGGTAAAGGGGCTTGCGCTACCAACATAGATCACCACGGGTTGTGATGGTCCTCCACTCTGATCTGCAAAGCAATAAGCATCATACTTGAACACTATTAGTTAAAACACTTGTGCACAAGGCAAAAAATGAGGCCGTATGACTCCATGAGTAGCTGGCAATATCTGTTTCAACACTTTCAATTCTCTTCGCTGTTTACTAATTGTCCAACCGTTGCAAGTCAAAATCAGTTCTTGAGGTATCATGCTAATGCCCGCGCATTCTTGAAACGCTAATCTCTGCTTCCGGCTGAAGTCAATGCCACAACGCCAAACATGCATATGACATGGGAATAGTTTGATCCCAATGAACTGAAGTCTTGCCACCAACGCCTTTTTCGGGCTCATTAAATTGTTGTACAATCGTAAGAAAGCCATCTCTGGCACCAAGACTGCCGAATATTGCGGTCATGGAGGTGATATTACATGTTCCATGGACGAGTTTCGGAATTGCGCATTGATCGTCTATACTCCGATGACATAAATTAGATAATAAGTAGAACTCGCCCGGCTCCAGTCCGCAGGCTTTTTTTTTTCTTTTTTTTTTTCCGATGATAAGAACGCAGAACCGCTTTGAAATGGGAACCATCCAGGTTGAAGGCGCTGCGTAGCGCGTCGATATGCAAATGTTGATTGGGTATGGAAAGCAAAATCCGAATGAGAGTTGGTATCCTCATGAGACGATACAAAAAAGCTTGTAAATGCGGCGTATATATAGAAATCGCTAGAAAGAAGAACAAAAATCAAATTGTGGTCGTGAACCGTTGCGGTCATGGTACGGATCAGATCTCTATTCGCGAAGGCGACTCTTGGATCCTTGCTGATTGAGCATCATATTACCCATGAACATGGCGCTTTCCCTTCTTTTAGCCCGGGCTGCGTGTGGCTGGTCATAATCTGAATAATCTTGTTCATAAGAGGTTTGATAATGCGACCGATCATAATTGAGTTGGCCGTTGGTTGCTAATTGCCTCGCGTTAGGGTCGTAGTTCGTAGGTGGCATGTAGCCACTCTCATATGCTGGTCGGAGTGACGTTTGAGATCCGTTGGGCTGTTGGGCAAGATATTGTGGTTCGTACCCCATCTGACGAGAGACAGGTGGAGGTGTGGCCGTCGACCGACCACTTCCGGAAATTATAGCAGGAGGAGGCGTGGGTGTCGAGCGTTGTTGCTGCGTTTGTTCCATGAAGCGCGGACGCTGGGGCGATGTTGTGGCGCCAGCTCTAGATGCAGGTCGACGGGCCTGCGATTCTACCAACGGTCTCAAATCTGACTCAGAAACTGGTGAAGGCAGCTCATAATCTTCCGGGGCAATGCCAAATACTGCTTCGAAATTCTGTAAAAGCAAGGCAAACACCGGAGCAGGAATGTTCAACGTAGGCGAAAATACAATTCCAACATTCCTTACTGTCATCTTATTCATATCTGCATTGTTGTTGATCTTGACCAAGAAAGCAATCAAGTAACGCAGAAGAGTTCCGTTGGATTGCGGGAGCAGTTGTACGAGTTCTGACAATGCAGCGATCTTCTCTCTCTGACCAGACATCTCAGTGACAGTTAGAAATTGCAAGTGCAAATCTCGGGTCAGGATAGTCGTGGGTAACTCTCTGAGGTAAAGCTTAAGCAGTGATGCGACCGCGTGAATATCGTAATACGTTTCGTCCGTGAGTAAATTGATATCACCCTCGACGTTGAACCTTTCGCGAAGGGCTTTGATGACGACATTGGATCCACTCAAACGAAAGATGCCCTCCTCGAAAATTGCGTTTTTCGCTTCTAGATATTGGATACAACGGAACACGACCGCTGGTAGCGGGACGTTTACGTCAGTAGGTCCACAGTAACGAACGGCTTCCGCAAGAGGAGCACCAAACGACTGGCGAACAGGGCCACGGTACTCATTACCCTGGACTGATTGACTCGAGGCACTAAACAAAGAATCCTGGTCATCAGACGAAGAACGTGTCTTCGGACCAAATCCGAAGAAGCTACGCTTACGTTGTTTCTTTTCCTCAAGCGAGATACCAGGTGGTGCCAGAGCCGCCTTCGCACCCCAGATCGCGGTATCAGAGATAACTTGAGGGTCTCGCGGTGCAGAGATGGTGTACGAAGACGGCACTACTCGCTCCTGTTGGGAATCAGGTGTCTCGGTGTTACGGCGACGTGGCGGCACACCATCAGGGACGTCGCCTTGTGAAGTACCTTCGTAGCTGATGCCAATCAATCCATCTTGACTGGCGCTGTGGTCGTTATGTGCTTTTGTGACTTGCCCGTACTGCTTCTTCTTCGCGCTCACTCCTTTGGCCTGAGGAGTACTACCGGAACCATGGCGATCATGCTCAGTCTTGGCTTTCGAGACTTCTTCTACAGGGTCTTTGTAATCAATCCAGCGCAGCAAAGTCTCGACCCATTGATCACGCTCGTGGTCACTCTCCGCACAGAGAACATGCTTCACGTGACTAGAAGAATCTTTTTTCTTGGGTTCGAGAACCAGGAATGCGTGCCGATACTGATTGTCCATCTCATCATTAGAAGTACCAGCGGGTGAGCCCTCGTTGTTACTCTGTGACTGCTTCCCGATCTGAGCGTTTTGTAGCTTGATAGTTCCTAGGTGAGCACCACCAGGAGTTTCATAATATTTCAGGAGAGGTCCATCCAGGATAAAGAAGCGTGCTTTCCAACCACCGAAGTTCTTGCCTCTTTTGGTCAGGTACCCACTCTTCAATGGTCGGCCACCGGCGCCAGTCTTCAAGGTGCTAATCTCGCTGCTACTATCAACAGCGGAGCCGGTCTCGTCGGCATTGGGTGGCAGAGTGTTGGTCGACAGGTACTTGCAGAGCTCCAAAGCAGCCCCTATGTCCAATGGAGTGTTGAGCAATTCGTCCAGATACAGGTTCAGGGCTATCCGACGAGCATCGAGTTTCGCTGGAGCGTGGCCACTAAATAGTGAGCGGTCCGGGGTTCTCGCTGTGAAGGCAGAGCACTGCTTCAACTTCTGATCCAGCTTGGCTAGAGAAATGGTATCTTTCTCAACTCTCCATAATTCTCCGCCTTCGGCCCGAGAGAAGATGGCTAATGTGAAGACCGGATCCTCCTCAAGTTGTGTAAGAGATATCAGACTTGCTCTAGATGGCTTCATTCGAGACGAGGCCACCTTGACCTCCACAGAGAACAACGCATTAGGAGGAAGAAGTAGATCGGGAAGTTCTTCAGTGACAAAGCCCTTGTAGATACGGCTTCGCTCACTTGCACTCTCGCGACTTCCAGTGGGGCTTTGCTGTCCAGTCTCAGAGGCCATTTTTGTGATATTAAGCGGTTTTGGCGAAGTAAGTCCAAGCGGTTCGGCTGCTGACGGGCTGGTCGAAGGCGTGTTTGGTGGTAAGGGGATAGGCTGTCTAGGAGCACGAGGAGACAGGGGAGCAGCTGACATGAGCACTCCCCGTGGTGAGAGGGGTGGCGATGTGGCAGAGCTCATACCCATAGGGCGTGGGCTGGATGGCAATCCAGGTGACATCAAAGGTGCGGCAGGAGAAGACTGCGTGCTTCCACTCAAAATGCCGGCCAATGATGCCGGAATGTTGTTACGAACCAGCATTGGTTGAGAACCGGCAGACCGGGGACTGGCAGGGAGCAGATCCTGCGGGGGCTCAAGGTCGGGCTCCTTGGGGGTACCCTTCTGACTGCCCTTTTGTTTCTTGGAAAGGCTGCGTCTCTCTGCCTCGAGTTGTGCCAGCTTCTCCCTTTCTACGTCATCTTCATCCCTAGTCCGCCTTCTCCCACGACTTTCTGTGGGCACAGGTAGCTCGTCTACATCTAACAGCGAGTCGTAATCTGAATCTGAGTCGTTCTCGTCTTCAGGGGGGCTGATGAGCGTGGATTGTGCCTCCTTTCTTAGCTGTAAGGGGGCTGGCGGAGGCTTGCGCGGCGGGGGAGCGGATGGGGGAGGAAACTGCGAGATAGTTTGGTCGAGTAGTGGTGCAGACTCCTTGGAGGTGATTGGAGGTTTTGGTGGTGGTACGCTGGGTGGTGCGCTAGGTAAACTTCTCGACGGCGGAAGTCCCGTGTTGAAAAGCAAAATGGGAGAATCTTCGGCGGCTTGAGCAGCTTTGGTTGCCTCGTCCGCAGCGCGATCGTCCTCCTCATGGTCGAAATGTCCTAAGGCATGCTCTGATGGCTTGGGCATAGAATGCGAAGGGTCGAGTATTTCACCTACGGCAGACATAGGCCCATTAGATCCTCGGTCTGCAGGGGGCGTGATTGGATACGGAGCCATAGCCATATCTACTGGCGAATTCTTGATGCTGTCCGTATCCAAGTTGGACGGCGACGTAGGCACATCTGCTGCTTGTTCTCCTAGCCCTCTGACATCCACTTGTCGCGGGATTACCACAGTTGGCTGTTGTGTCTCTATCTTGGACGGTGCCTCTTGTGCTACCATTAGCTCCTTCATCTTCTTCCGGTACTTCTCCTTGTCCTTCAAGGCACGTTCCAGGTCCTTGTTGAGGCCCAGGATCATGGCCCTCTGCTTATCGACGAGCCTCCATAGCTGGGCATTTTGCTGTGATTGGCTGTGCTTCTCCTTCAACAAGTACTGAATGACCGCCTCAGGACTCCCTGCCGTCTTGATTAGATTCGCTATGTCAGTCGTTCCTGGTGCGGCGTCTTGGGAGGTCTTGGACGACATGGTCGAGATTATGGAATCTAGCGATGCGGTACGCGGGACTCCGTTGTTTGTACTTGATATCGAGTCAACCCGGGTAGAAACCGAGTTTCCTGCCATTGCTGGCATATCCTTCACAGGAGAGCCGACTGCTGGCTTCGTCGTCACGTACTGGCCGGAAATTCTTCTGGCAGCATTCGGAGAGACTGGGACCAACTGTGATCTGTAGACAATTGAAAGTTAGACCAAGCTCTTCCCGAGGGTCTGAGATGAGCAGCATGTACGAACCCAGACGCTCTAGTAAACGGTGAAATTGGTGTTGCCGGTGGGGAGGGTGTCTCTCCGTGACAGTGGCTGCTGTTGTTATGGTTGTTGATGAAGGGATGGGTAAAGAAGGTCTCTTTCGAGGGAGAGTATGGCGGGGCCTCTTTCGGCGCCTGTTGCTGATTTGCTGTGTTACTGCCGGGGAACAAGGCGTGAACCGGCGAAGGAAATGTCGAACGATTCGGGCTCGCGCTTGAGGGCGGCGATACTGCGGTGCTCGCGTGCAAAGGACTGGGAGCTGGTTTCCGTACTGATCTGAGTTGGGTGGAGATTTGTGGTCAGCGCTGGAGCTTCAACTTCAGACTTCCGATGGAGGGCAAGAGCTTGAGCTTGAGCTTGAGCGTGAGACAGCAGCGGAGCGTCTATGTTGATTAAGTTTCACAACTAGGTTCCAACAAAACGGCGTTGGAAGCCAAGTTGCTTCTAGATTGAATTCCAAACTTTGGCTAAGAAAGGGAAAAGCCCGCTAAGATTTGATTCGGTATTTGCGCATGTGGAACAACACATAGACACACGATCCAAAGCACGGTTGGAAAGGATAGGGCAGAATAGGATAGGATTGGATTGCGTAGACGAATAAGGAATCGCAAGAAATGGAAGGAACGCGGTAAAACGAGAAAGACGGTTGCGGGTCCAGATACTGGGATGAGGGTTGCATTGGGCTGTATGTTACTGTATATCCACTACATAGACTTATGTACGTGGATGGACAGGAAGAAAAGAGTAGGGCAAAAGCAAGGCAAGGCGAGGCAAGGCAAGGCAAGGCAGAGCAGAGCAGAGCAAAGCAAGGTGAGGCATGTACTGTACTCACTTTGGACCAGTGACAGTGATGCTCAATGGCGGTGGTGGAGGCGGCGAAAGTGTGGTAACGTTAACGTTGTCGCTGTCATCATCAGTTTCTTCAGCGTCGAAAAAGCTGACAAAAGCCCTGCCAATGGTCGGGCTGTCCTGTATCTGGTTGGGACTTCGGTTTGGGCTAGAATGAAGACGAGAGTCGGATGGACTCTCAGTTCTGCGGTCCATGTTCAATCTCTTGCCCTGGTTCCCGTTCCGGTCCTCGTTCTGGTTCTGGTTCTGGCTCTGGCTCTGGCTCTGGCTCTGCTTCTGCTGCTGGAGCGCAAGCTGCGACATTGGCCCACCCTGTCTGCGACTTTTGCTAGGTAAGGTATCCGCAAGGTATCTAGTAAATCTATGCGCAGCGCAGTGCTGCAACCAATTGAAGCACCTTTGCACCTTGCACCTTGCAATGGGTTAAAGGTAGACGAGGGACAGAAACCCCTGGCGTCCAATTGGAACTTGTCGCCAGTTGCGGGGGGGTCAAGGCTTTTTCCCTCTCGCCCAATCCGGATCGCTGCGGTTTCGAGACGAAAGGATCACCCTGATTGACGTTGCAGTCTTTTAGTGGCAGCTTGTGATCTCGACGTACAGCGTCTGGCGTTTGGGCACGCAACCGTCGCGCATGTATATGGAGACCCCAGCAGATGAGATGACTGAGACCTACTTTGAGCGTGTATGGTGTGGTCACGGCGAGAATAGTAGTCTCACTGCAAGTAAGCGCACAAGCGCATAGCCGTCGGTAGGTTCCTGGAATGCTGCGATCACAGTCGCCGGTGAGTTGGGACTCTCAGATGTTTCGTTCCTTTTGCTGGCAACCCCGGTTTTGGGTTTTTGCCCCTTCTCCAGTCCTTGGAAAGAATGCCGGAAGAAAAGTGTTGATCAAAGCCGAAAACTTGTCGCGTCAAGCGCCTTGCCACCAGATGGCATGTATTATTTAATTGATCCTCTCTCCTCTACTACACCCTATCAGCCCCCAAGCATCACTAGGTACCCAGCCAACATGCTTTGGTTCCCGTTAGATCTACCTAAGTGTGATTGAGCGCGACATCGTGTGATTAACTCCAAGATTTCGCTGCAAATGTCATGAGTCGCTGCAGCTCTTGTATCCGCAGTGGTGGAGATTCTGGCCCAAACTACTATGACGCCTATGCAAGCAATGTAGGCATGCTCTGAGAGAGGCTTAGGGGAGTTGAATAGTGGAGGATCCGTATGGCAGGGCTACAAAGGATTCTAATTGGATCCTCTGCCCCACATATCTGGTGCACTGATGACCACTGCTAGAACTGAACAAGTCATTGGCCTGAAAAGAACTCGGGCCACCACTATCTTGATGCGACTCTGCGCCGTCTGCTTCATCAAGAAATACTCCTCACGTCAAACACGTGGAACGGGCTAGTCAATCACAAACTTAAAGTCTGCTACATCATTCTATGCTACTAAAAGCCCATACGGGATCAAAAATCGAGGACAAGGTTGAATATTCACAGAGAAACCCATGTCAAATGTGGATGAAGTTAACGTCTAAGGAGGAGCGAGGCATTCCAGTGAATGGAAGCATAGCGGCCGTCGTCGACGTACATGACAAAAGCTCGCCGACACGCACGTGTGTTGACTTAGTGTGCGGCGACTAGATGCCAGGCAAAACAGGGGTCAATCAATGAATCCTTCAAGACCCCGGATTCCAACATGCGGCCGACACCATGTCGTCTGCTCATAATCAAAGTTGCAGCGGTGGTACGGGCCACTCGGAGCATTTTCTGCGAACGGCGTGGAATTTTCAAGCATTCACCCGCCCAAGCTTTCTGGAGAGATGGTAGCTGTAGTCAATCAAATACCGACTTCTGTCTGGCAGAAATGAAAAAAAAAAAAATGAAAAAAAAAAGATTTATACCTTTTTTTTTCTTTTTTTTTTTTTTTTTTAATTTAGAGGCTTTGACAGGTCCGATGTGTCTGAAATTTTGTCAAGTTGTGGTTATTGAACTTGTAACTTTGTCTAAGGTGACAACAGTTGAAGCTGCGCCTTTAAGAAGAAGACAAAAGAGAAGAAAAGGAATATAAAAGAAGAACAAGACCGAACTGAGTTGAGCATCTGCAGCCCGGTCAAGAAGGTCCCAACCCGGAGTGTTCTTCATGTATCATGCAGGAGAAGGTCAGGGCGGCTTCACCCTTCTCTGCAGGAACATTTGAAGGTTATCCCTAAAGAGCAAGTGCCACTTTGCAATGGCTACCGACCGATGCGGCTAAGCTCCAGTACCGAGGCCCCAAGAATCACCATTGTCATTGCCCTTCGTATCTCAATCTCATCAAGGCACTACATACCACATATGAGAGATTTTCGTCCCAGATTGGAGCAAAGTCTTTTGTTTCCGCGATTGAAGCAAACTCGCATGAAAACAAATATGGGGTTTGCCCGTCCAGCTCTGGCTGAAAACGTTATTAGATGTTGCTCAAATGACGACATTATACGCGAGAGGCGTCCACGGACCTGATGTTCGTCCAGCTGGGCCATCCACTATTAGCTCTACTTTTTAGGTCGCGGCTACCATGTTGTCCAATGCGCCGCACCTCGAAGGCATCCTACAATAGAACCGCCACCAGATCAGGAACATCAACTCTAGAGTACGATACCCAAGACTTTGCATCTTATCTGGCAATTGGACAAGGGGCTTTGCAGACTTGAGTCAAATGGTCATACACCAATCAGCTACCGAAAGCTTGCAACGTGGCAGCCGAGCGCTACAGGAAACAAACCACTGATGACAAACATCTAGAGGATCACATGTAATCTCCACATATTACATCTTAAAGAGCCACTTCGTTGTTGAATCAATCCTCGGCGTACTGTACGTACGTTGTACAAGTAAACTTCGATCACGCCGTCCACCAGTGTCGGTCATATCAGCTCTTGTAGATCATAATCCATTGCAAATCGAATCAGGACCAAGCAAGTTGTCAGAAGGTCAACCATGTGGTACCATCACGCTCTTCCCGAATCTCAAATCTCAAATCTTATACCCCTGACTTAACCAAACTCGACCATCTAATTCCCCATGTGCATCGGAGAACTATCAAGTTTAAGCTCTCCATGGGGGCCTTTCCCCCAATCACATTCTGCGCACTGCTGGCCTGTTTTTGGAGGCTAGCGCACGAGAAGGCGGTGTGATGGGCAGTCTGGGACAACATCTCATTGCTCCAATAGTGAAGCAGCACCCTATAGAGAAATGAATTATTATCGTATGGTGCGCTGCTGTGGCCAGCTTGCTGTGGCTCCCATGCAGCCTGGATATGCAAGCAATTTAGCGGAATGGCTGCCCAGCTCGCCCCGGTGCTGGCAAACTGCCCAACGGAACATACTTCTGTCACGGCATTGCAGCGCACATCAAACAGCGGCACATCAAAGTTCAGGTTTAAGATCTATGTAGGGATGTACGGCTAAAATGTCTCGGGCTTGATCACCAGCCTTTGATCTAACTGCTACATCGACGATTTCTTAGACACCAATGCGAAGCGTTATATAAACACCGTTGCCTTTGGGTCTGAGCTTTGATCTCGTTTCTTTGGTTTCTGAAACAAGAGATCCCGGCGAAGTTCCCCCTCCTATTTATGCTTAATTCACCATCTTCCGGACATGCCTCTCTTTTGTTGAGGCGACGTTCCATTGGTCATTCTAGTATGTACATGGCCACCTTCTTACGCGGGGATGCCACGTCTACGTTATACTAGCATTTGAAACGTAACCAGTCTTTCAGCTCGGTGTTAGATGTGCAAGAATGTCTGGCAAGGCAGCCCTTGACAGCAGCCAAGTCAAGTATAGTTGTCACTAACGCGGGGGCCCACACAATGCGGTTGACAAATCTTCCCAATGGTGTGTGATTCGTTACTTTAGATATAGATCCGACCGATTCTGAAGGACATATTGACGGCTCTTCTGGCCTAAGCCATTGCACTCCTTCGCAGGACTGATACGTCGGATCACTTGTTCGACATGCAGAGATCCAAATACTTATACAAATGTCATCAAGCTGTTGGCGCTTTACACTTATAACAGCCTTGCTTTTGTTCCGTCGTTCTAGAACGACAGACTTGGCAATCTGTCTTACAGCGGCAGGCAGATCTTGCACAACCTCAGATGCACAATCCCAG